AAGTGTAAAAATGCAAAGACTATAGTCTTTATTAATAAAAGTGTAAAATTCAAAGACTATAGTCTTTTGCGTAAAAATGTAAAAATGCAAAGACTATAGTCTTTTGCGTAAAAAATGTAAAAATGCAAAGACTACAGTCTTTTGCGTAAAAGTGTGTAAAAATGCAAAGACTATAGTCTTTTGCGTAAAAAAATGTAAAAATGCAAAGACTATAGTCTTTTGCATTAAAAAGTGTAAAAATGCAAAGAGTATAGGCAAAGGTCAAGAGTCAGGGGTAAAAGGTCAAAGGTTAAGAGTCAGGGGTCAAAATTCAAGAGTTAAAGGGTCAAGGGGTAAGGCTCGGGTGTCAATGGTCAAAGGTCAAGGGTCAAGGGTAAGGTGTCAAATGTCAATGGTCAGGGGTTAACGATCAATGGTCAAAGTCATCGATCCGGGGTCATGGGTCCGGGGTCAAAGGTCAGGTGTCATGGGTCAGGGTCCCGGCTCATTGGTCTTGTGTCATGGGTCTGGGGTCATGGGTCCGGGGTCATTGGTCTGGTGTCATGGGTCTGGGGTCATCGGTGCGAGGTCATGGGTCATGGGTCCCAGGTTATGGGTCCGGGTTCATGAGTCCCGGGTCATGGTAGCCGTGTCATGTCTCCGGTGTCATGGGTCTGGGGTCATGGGTCCGGGGTCATGGGTCATGGGTCATTTTCATGAAAATGCGTGAACTACAATTCACGCATTATAAAATGTGAAAGAAAAAGATGTTCGCAATTCACGCAATCTATAATTCACGCATTTTCATGAAAAAGACTATAATTCACGAATCTTCATGCAAAAGACTATAATTCACGAATTTTCATGCAAAAGACTATAGTTCACGAAATTTCATGCAAAAGACTATAATTCACGCATTTTCATGCAAAAGACTATAATTCACGAAATTTCATGCAAAAGACTATAATTCACGAATTTTAATGCAAAAGACTCGTTCGTATGTAAACCTTTCTTCATATCCAACTTTTTTCTGTGTATAGAAACCTTTTCTTTGTATCAAACTATTTAATTATTCTTTTTATCTAAACAATTATAATACCTATATACCCAATATGCGTCAATAAACATTTACAATAAACATTTACTAAACATGCCATCTTTTACATTATTTACAAACAAGTTCACTTATCGAACATATTTTAAATTAAATCGTTTGAACCCGGGACTATCGTTACATATTTGTGGATGTAGATGGTCCAGTTTCGTTGAGTCCAGAGAAGAACTGTTGCTGTTCGTGTTGACTGACATTTCGACAACCTTATCGCTAGTTATCTTCAGAGTAAATACCCCACACTTAAAAATACATAACTGAACCATGACTCTTCATAATCTTTTTCACATAACCTCTACCATTTTTGTCAACAAGCTTTCAACCTTATATACAACTTTTTCTTCGCCATTTTTTCATGAGATTATTATTAAACAATTCCTCCACCTGAAATCATAAAACAACACTTACCATTATAAATAATCTTGACATCCCTTTCACTCGACCTTTACACAATTTTAGCCAACACACTTAATAATAAAATTTCTTTTTTAAAACATCTTTTTCTTTCACATTTTATAAATACATATTAAAGTCTTGTTCCTACTTCCACTTCAAAACTTTAAACATACATTTCCCCATTTGTGATAAACACAGCCATAACAAAACATTTCAGTTTTCAAACCATCAAACACGGAAAATAAAAATCACAATAAATACTTCCACCAAAAGTTATATTTGTCGCGCTCATTTATAACACGAGATATCATTAAAACAATCATCTTCGTCAAAAAATACTTAAAAAACACCCACATTTTCCAAACCTGCTGATCATAGTCTTAATTTAACCACCAATCACACTGACAAATAAAATTTGAAACTTTTACTTCTATCTACAAAATGGTGCAAATTTTTTCAAAAACGAAGATCTCAGGTGAGGTGATTTAGGATTTTACAATATGCGTTGATATGACTAATTCAACCATTGATGTGCCCAAAAGCCATGCCCAAAACCTTATATCTCAATAGGAATGTGTACCGTATCAATGAAATTTTCATGAAAAACTCAGCACATTGTACTGTAACAGGTGAGCTTACTGCTATAGAAAAAGACAATATTTTGAAAGGACTACTAAAACAAACTCCATTTCATGACACTTTTTTACGGTGTTATTCAACCTCATTTCCGGTTCCAATGAAAGATAATTACGAACATTTTGCAATATTGCGCAGGATTGCAGAGAAAGACAACCGAGACATATATAATTAATAATATGGTTGGTTAAAAATATTGTCGTTGATCGCATGCCAATAAATGTTTCTTTCTCATTCTGCGGAGTTTTTTCGCTGCAGTATAAAGGACGAAAAGACAGGACTTCAACTTTAAATTAGCTAAATGTGTAGCTCTTTGACGCCGAATACTGTCAATGAAATTGAAAAGACTTCACTTCATATTTTTTTCTTTCATTTGCATCGGTGCAATTGCTACATTATGCCTCATCAATCAATGGAATTACGCAATGACTAAGTCGCAAATTTTAAATCAAAAATACTTAGTTTATTCAGCGACAGAAGAGGACGAAAATACGCTTGTTCTTTCTCAAGTATCGGCGAAACAAGACATCTTGAAAACACACAGAGAATCGTGCCGAATGGCAACATGTTTTGACTTTACCAAGTGTCTCGGAAACCAACTGAAAGTTTATGTATACCCATTTGAAAACGGAGAACGAGTTTCGTTGAACTACGCAAAAATTATACAAGCTGTTAAAAGGAGTGTTTACTATACGGCTGATCCTAGTGAAGCTTGCTTATTTGTTGTCAGCATTGATACGACCGACCAAGATCCACGTAGCAATGACTATGTCAAGCATGTAGGAGATAAGATTTCAGGTTTGCCATACTGGAACGATGGCCGTAATCATGTTTTATTTAATCTTTATTCAGGCACATGGCCCAACTATGTGGAAAGACTGGATTTTGACACGGGTCATGCAATTCTTGCGAAAGCTTCCTTTAGCCAAAATTATTTTCGACCTGGATTTGACATAAGTCTTCCACTTTTTGATAAAGAGTTACCTAATTTTGGCAATGGTAATGTTTTTGGTTCAGATAAGTTGTTCCCTTTTGTGAAAAAATACAAGATAGTGTTTAAGGGCAAAAGATATCTCCATGGCATTGGGGGAGAAAGTCGAGCATCTTTGCATCATATTCATAATAATAAAGACATTTTAATGCTAACAACTTGCAAGCATGGTCGTAATTGGAAAGACGTTAAAGATGATCGTTGTGATCATGATAATATGTTGTATGACAGGTAATTTCACCTGATAATTTTTGCTAAAATTGCCAATGAAGCTAGTTTACTTCAAATTTACATTATAGCAAAGACAAATTTTATTTCCCAAAGAACTTATTACTAACTGGCTGAGGCATATTATTTCAACAAACTTATATAATTGCTCATTGTAACGATAAGAAATAATTGTATGTATGAGCCTATAAAACAAATAACTGATGACTATTTTTTGAAAAAATGACAACCACTAAATCCAATTACTGTGTTGGTCTTTGTGGCCATCTACTTTTCATCAAAGTACTATATTATGGACTAATTTTTCAGATACGACTATCAAGAATTGATGAATAATGCAACATTCTGCCTTATTCCTCGTGGCAGACGTCTTGGTTCTTATCGTTTTCTTGAGGCTATGCAGTCAGGTTGCATTCCCCTGATTCTTAGTAATGGCTGGGTGCTACCATTTCATGAAAAGATTGATTGGAAAAAGGCAGTAATTTTTGCTGATGAAAGGCTGCTTACAATGATACCAACTTTGATTAGAGATTTCTCAGATGATGTGATTTTCAAAATGAAACAACAAGTTTTGTTCCTATGGAATACCTATTTCTTTTCAGTTGATAAGATTGTACAAACTGTTTTTCAGGTAATCCAAATCATCAGGATCCTAAATAATTGCATGAAAATGACTTAGAATTCATGCCAACATTTTAGACTCATCTGTCTGTTGTGTTGTTCAAGGCTTCCTAACTTTATAATTCTGCTTATTCTTTTAGGTAATAAATTCCCGTATAATACAACACACCACCAATGAATATGTTGTCTGGAATACATTACCTGGTAGTTTATCAATTCTTCAGTCGTATTCAAAAACCATCCAAGACTTTCCATTTTACTATGCAATCACTGGACAAAATGTCTCAGCAAAATTTTCTGCTGTTATTTATGCTTGGTCTTCCTATTTGAACTACAACTCGCCTCTTTATATGATGATTGAAAAGGTGGCGAAATCACAACATGTATCAAAGGTAGAGTTAAAAACTTATTACAGGTTTTTTAAATATTCCAAACTTTTCCCTAATCATTGCATTTAATGCAAAACTCACATTTTAAACTTCAAAAAGTTTAACTATCTCCATAAATTATGGCATTTTCTAAGATTCTGATGTCATGGTGGATTAATTAAACAAGATATCAAATTACAGCTTTCTTTAGTAGGATTTTTAAAAATCAAGCCTGAGCTGAATTTTGTGTTAACTGTAGAATGTAATAAGAATACACTGTAATGTTTACAATCTACACGCATCATAGGAAATAAAAACTGTGTCTATGTAGAGTCAACAAATGATTGGTGATTAAATACTTTGAACCTAATAACATTGTTCGGTGGTGGAGCTAGAGTATTTATACTTGATTGGTGAGATTTTATTTTTTGGAAATTGAAAATCAATAGTTTTGTTCTTTTGGTATTTTGAATTAAAAATTGAGCAGCGGTTATTTTCACTAACGCTGGATCCACCACTCACACTGTTTTTTTTACAAACTATGACAAACAATCCAGTAATGTTTTTCAATGGACAGATTATTGTCCTATGGACAGCGAAGGAACGCATCCCAGAAAAACGAAAATGGCCTTTGGTTGGTGTAACAATTATTGTACAGAGAATTAATATAAAGGTGAGATTGTCAATTAATGAATGTCTCATATCAAATACTGCCATGATAATTTTCTTTCATGTTCAACTTTGCAATTCATCACTTAAGAGAGGAGATAGTCGGATGTCAGTAAGATTTGTAACTACAGACGCTATTCTTTCGCTTGATGAAGACGTTAACTTAAAGATAGACGAGGTAATGAAAATCTCATCATTAAAAATACCAATATTTAGGCTCAGAGGTAATAGATCTTTACCGTAGAATGTTTCATGAAAGCTCCTCGTGAATACCTTACAAGTCACAGAGCATCTTTTAAACCTTTTTTCCACGCTTTTTAGATAAATTTTGCATTTCGTGTTTGGCAAAAGTTCCCCGATAGAATAGTCGGATTCCCGTGTAGGACCCACTATTGGGACCGCGCTCAATCTAAGTGGATTTATTCTTCGCAGTGGTCTAACAAATGTTCTATGGTTTTGACCAGCGCTGCATTCTATCACAGGTGAGACAGTCTACTCTTGGAGGACAGAAATATGTTAAAAAGGAAGAATATACTTATTCAATACGAAGCAAGCGAGATGTAGGACTTTCATGTTATCGTTTGTTATTTTATCTAGGTATTATAATTTCTACTACAGTCGTAACATACCGTCTTCAATTCACGAGTTACTCAACAACAATGAAGTATGTCAAGACATGATTCTTAGCTTTGTTGTGGCTCACATAACTCGTCAACCTCCGATAAAAGTCTTGGAACAAAAACCGTACAAGGAAGAATATATTTCTCTGTACAAGACGGAGTCAGCGAAGAAACAACACTTCGAGAAACACGAAGTGAGAAAGGAATGTTTTCAGGCTTTCGTTGATGCCTTTGGATATATGCCATTAATATACACCAGCGCAAGTTTTGATCCCGTTCTTTACAAAGATCCTATCTCAAACTTTCGTAAAAGATACCGCCTTTTAGAGTGATAGCATATACTGTAATCATATATCGGATAAAGTTGAAGCAACATAAAAGAACTCCAGAAAGGCTAGCTAACATCTCAGTTTCCGATGTTTATTATTTGGTTGAAAAAGTCAATAATAGCAAGTGCTGCAACTGCAATGATCGCGAAAATGTTGGGATTGTTCCCTTCCATTTTTTATCCCAAAAAAATCAACGGACCAAAGCTTAGGTTTTATATTAATAACACGTCAATATTGAAGAAAGTGAATGGACGGTTCCATACTATTGAACGTATGTTTGTATTAATGTATTTTTTTGTAACTAGACATACTGGAAATAATGTTTTTATCTTTTTTAAACGCATTGCTCCACAAAATCACCACGCATAGTTTATAAATTTTTCAAAAGTAGTCTCACCTGTTTCAGTAGGACCATAATTCTTATTTTTGAAGGAGAAATTTCACTGGAGAAACTAAAAAAGCAAAATTCGTATGTTATTTTAAATACATACAATCTTACGATTTTTTCATTCAAATTTCTGTCCATTCACTAAAATATAAAAAACATTTCACCTCCGAACTACTTCACGTACTTTAATAACTCGTGCATACTTTTCCTCGTATTTTGTACGTTTTTTCCACAAGGTTTTTCCCCATATTTAAATTTAATATTTCGTTAGCAAGTTGCATAAAATGCAAGGATGCTCTTTCGAAATCAAAATATTTTGTACCGATACATGAAGTAGCGCCACGTACGAGTACAGACATCTATCATCGCTATGACACTTGAAAGAAAAATTGAAATATTTCTCATTTTAGTTTATCTTCATTGTAATAGAATGAATCCACTAGCCATATTAATTTATTAGGAATTATCTGCTGTTACTAAAAATTTGCAGTTACTTCAACAACTCGTGCATACTTTTCGGCGCATTTTGTATGTTTTTCCACAAGGTTTTTTCCCATATTTAAATTTAATATTTCGTTAGCAAGTTGCATGAAATGCAAGGATGCTCTTTCGAAATCAAAATATTTTGTACCCATACATGAAGTATATAACACGTACGAGTACAGACATCTATCATCGCTTTGACACTTGAAAGAAAAATTGAAATATTTCTCATTTTAGTTTATCTTCATTGTAATAGAAGGAAACACTAACCATTTTAATTTAATAGGATTGATCCGTTTTATCTGCTGTTCATAATTCACTCACTTTCACGAGTTCTGAGCCCGCAGCAAAAACTCATGCAGCATTATGACGAGTGATATGCTAATGACTACGTGCAATAATTACGTGCTAGAAAGAATATATACATATTAACAAAAGTGCACAATTTGGAGCAAGTTCTACGTTTGTTAAGGACGTTGGAGGAAAAAAGACAAATTCATCAATATGGCCGTATTGATGGAGTCAGCTCTTCTGTTTTTGATCAAATGTCTTGTGCACAGTCATGGTAAGTAAATTTGATTTCGTGTAAATGATCAAAATGTTCAGACATTAGTCGCAACGTCCTTAGTCATGTTACCACCACAATCATATACATTGTTATTGTTTCGAGATCGTCTTCAGTATTTTATAATAAATACAAATGTTCGCTATATTCTACAAATCTATTTTAGTTGGTGTTTTAAAAAGCTATTTGTTATTGTGAAATATGAAATCCAAGCTGTAAGCCTGCCTGTGACGAGTTTTTTACATGAAATTAAGTAAATCAAAAATATTCTCATTTACAAGATTTTCAAAGAACATTTCGTTATTATTGAATAACGAAACACATCCTTATGCCCTCTTGGTCGACATGAACGCTGGTAACTCAATCGACATAAAAAATTCAGACGCGAGTGTTTGAAATATGACACACAAAAAATATATTTAATACACAGCTTGTAACTTTAAATAACTCCTGCTCTCGTCAAACTATACATCGCAGCATAGAATTGTTCTTATAGGGACAATATTCTAACAGTTTTAGATACACATAAACTTCAACTTGTGTCGTAATAATTTTGAGACGACGTATTGACTTGTTATATATATATAAACAAATATTAAAAATATCTAGCCCCAGGTGTTATTATTAGAAAGAATTTGTCTTTTGCGAAAAGAATTGCTTTCTTACTCAGAAACACAAAACACTTGCATTCATACAGTAGAGAAACGTTAGATAAATATAATTTGGATATCAGCGTCTTCCGGGAGAATTGCGTTGCTCAGCGCTTTTTGTTTTTATCATGTTTTATCGACAATTTTTTCTTACAATACGTAAAAATTGTATTTGAAGGAAACATAGTATAGCTATAACAGCCAGCTTTCAAAGCAGTTGGTCTGAAGTATATTAATTTAACAGAAAATTTTCGTAATAAGATGTTGAAGTAATTATCTCACTTTATAATGACGTCATTTCATTACTATATTATGCATACAACAGTATAAATTTCTGTATTGTATGTAGAAAGTGCTAAATGCCAGCAAAGTTATACAATGAATATGAGAATCATAATAATAATAATAATAATAATAATAGTATAAGTATAGATAATAAAAGCATAACAACAACTGATAATAATGTAATATTTGCACAAGGTCCTGCTATACACATTAAGTGCCATTGTTTGCATTCTCTTCTGAGAGAATGCTTTGATTCCACAGCAAAGCTAAAATTCACTCGCAAAAAGGATCTGACCAATCCTTCTTGCATGTTAAAATTAAAAGTTAGCTCTAATGATATGCTTTTTTGCATAATGCATTGGAAAGCCACGAACCTTCCATGTATGTGGATTGTGGAAATTTTGTTCATTATAAAATACTCATGAAATGATGTATAAATCAATGCAAGCTGACTTACAACATTATTTTCATTGAAAATTATCATATACCAAATTTCTTCTCATGTAAGACTAGCTTAAATTACACGCAGCCTTCTGATGTATGCCATGTCAATTTTTATAGAAATAAAAACAAAATTCTCCCTCTGGCAATTACCCCTTCCCTTTAAAAGTGGTGTTACAATATTTATTAAAAAACCTTAACCAATTTTGTTCACATATCTGTTGCTAATATTCAATAACAATAAATATGCAGTATAGTGCATTTTCTCACTCATTCTCTATTTGAAGTCACAGTAAAGCAGTTTTCTATTTTGTGTTTAATTTTTCATTCACAGTTATTGCTACTATTTTTTTTTGTTTTATCAATTTTTATTAATTTTTTTTACTGAGACTTCGCTTGCAAATCGGCACCTTCATCTATACACGACTTTTCACAGTCTTTCCACCTTTCAAATTCTTTTAAGAATTATCACCCCTGCGTGTATCAAAGGACATACAATACCTGTAGAATTACTGAGATCATGCACTATTCAATGAAGGATTTTGTTGCTCATTAAAACCAAAGCAAGGAATTTATGTATGAAAATGAGTTGGCCATTTTTGCAAAACTGAATGCTGTGCACATTGATGGACAGAAGACATATTTTTATGTTTACAAAATTATTTCAAAGTAATGTTTACCTTAATATAGATTCCATAGATGTATTTAAACGTTGAAATCCAGTGCACAATACAAGAAAACTTTCTTCACAATTCTTATTTTGCGAACTTTTTAATTTTTTTACTGTTGTATATTTCTGAAAGAAAAATAACAGCACGCTGATTATAACGAACCGGGTGTACAAATTGACGTTGCAAAAAAGGCTTTTTTTAGAGCCAATTGAAAGTAAAACAACTAAACTAAATAACTTTGTTTTCTTATATACTTAAAAGAACCTTTTAAAAGAATATTAGATTTTGTGTAAATATGACATATTATCTCTGCTGACGTGATGAAAATGTAAATTGCAATTGCTGTGTCGTAAAATTTTCATTCACACGACAATAACAATAATACTTACTCGTTGCAGGGCAAGAAGCAGGTTTATCCATGGTATTAGAGGATGATCAAATCCTGCACCCATATTCATACACTGTCACCATTGGAAACTGGTCGTTAACCAGTAACCCAGGTCTTTACTCTAACCTGTTCAATAAGAATGATAACTCGAAGTTTCATATCCCAAGATCTGGAGTGTACTACGTCACGGCCAACCTGATACTTGAAACAAAAAATAGGCTGTCCTATTACTATTCCTGGTGGAGACGCTACCGTCGTAGTATAACCCTTCATGGGGAAATTTATCTACGCAGTAGCAATGGTATGTATATATTACGTTTTGTCTTAAATGTCTGAAAACACAAGGCTAACTGACCACGACACGAAGCCCTTACATTGTTTTTCATTTTGATCATTCTTTTATTTCATATTTTTCAATTTTTTTTTCTGTTTGTTCACATAATCCTTTCTTAACTTTAAAAACTGGGGAATTAAAAATAGAGAAAAATGAACACGAATTTTATTGTAATATGCATCAAACTTTGCAATTTTATGGCGTTCTACACGAACCTAGGAACGCGAGCATATGAATAGAAAAATTTCAAAATATTTTTCATAGAGTCTATATGAAATTGACTGCTAGATATAGGCCTTGGATTTGATGCACAGAAAGAATAACACAAAGTGATTTCGATACACAGCAAAACTTCAGCGTGATTCATAATTTATTATTGGTATTCATCGTTTCAGGCGATTACATTCGATACAAGAAGAGAATATCGACATATGTAACAATGAAACAATACCAAGAAAAAAATCTCCATATTTCTGGCTACATTCAACTTGAACAAGGTTGGGAACTTTCTATAAGACTTTATGACGGATATCGATGGAAAAAAACGGTTAAAGCTGGAAGTACATTGTCTATATCTTACGCGAGTTCATCGCATTTATTTCCGGGAGTTTTGTTAGCAAGTAATTACGAATATATTTATCTTCGTTCACCTCAATACTCTTCTTTTGTGAATGAATGGAGTGAAATTGATGAAGGAAGCTCGTTTAACTCCACCGAAGGTTGGTTCATCTCTCTTTTTTCATTAATTTAAATAAGTGTTAAAATTTTTGTAAGATCCTGAATGTTAAGGTATTCATCTTTTATGAGTTTGAAACCATAATTATCATGTTAGAAATTTGGATTCTTTCTTGCCTCTTCAAGTCTTCTGTAATTGCAAGAAACTTGTTTATCTAACACCATTCATGTGTACCAACTTAATCTAAACTTCTCCTCTTAGGTAACATAATGGTTTTTCACGATGGTTTATATCACATCCTCGTCAATCTAAACGTTCGTCGTTATATCTCCGACGAAACACTGAAATTCGGCGTCATTTTGAACAACAAGACAACTGTAATTGAAAAACAGGTGAAAGTCGATGTGTCAGGATATGTAACCGTTATACTTGAAGAAATACTTTTACTTAACGAGAGAGATGTTGTTTCCATAACAGTGTCTAGTCCCAACAAACGAAACGAAAATGTCCGTGTACAATCATCTTCGAAATTTTTCATCTTTTCCAAAGGTGAATTTTTGACATCCATACCTGCGTTATCCGTTCAATATAAATCAAATGACAAGACAGAAGCAGCCAATACCTATATAACTTTGAATAACTGGGATACGTCATTTAGTCAAAACGGGATACGCCACTTCAAAAACGTTGAGTTAAAGAAAGGAAATTTGTGGCGCCGAAGACTGGAATTTATCAACATCTTCTTCAGTTATACTTGAGTAATTGCTCTACAATGAGCGCTAGATTATCTATAAGACACCAAAGTCAAACCCGTTTCCATTCAATCACTCCGAGCGATATAAGATTCAATAACGAAGTCAAGATTGCACATTACAGAATTCCATGTTGCTTCATTTAAAAGCGAATGACATTTTGAAAATTGAACTTAAGTCTAAAACAAGATTTAAAATACTACCAAAAACAATGTACCAAGTTGTTTACAACATCCGTCATTCTCTTTGGCCAGCGGCAATATTTGACATGAGTAAAAGATTTCACTTTCATTCAAACTCAGGTCCATCAAAGGTAAGATATACATTTAAAACTTATTCATTGAAAACTTAGAGCAATTGACAAACAAATTGGGTAACTTTACCAAAATATATTACTAAGGGTCTTGTCTACCCAAAATAGTCATTTTATTATTGACATGACCCCAAGAAAAGAATTGAGTTTAATTTGAGAACATCAAAGAACTAACAGTTAGGCAGTGTCGACTAATGTTGAAACTTTCCATAAATTGATTTCCATCGCAGCTAAAGAGTTGGATAATGTTGAAAACTAGATAAGAGTGAGAGAAATGTGGCGGGACAGTTTCAACTGTTTACACCAATAAAATCCCTACGACACGTTCTCTACAGATATAGCGGATACTATTATATTAATATATCTTCTTCCATAGATACGAGGATGGGCCATAAAAATTGAAGGCAATTGGAATGATCATTTTTTCGATTCAAACAATGAAACAGTGACAATAACTAATCCTGGTCTTTATATTATCTCTTACAACTTAATTATAAACTGTACTACAGCGGGTGGACAGTTGATTTCGGAGGTTGTACTGGATGATTCTACGATTGTCGAAGGTGGAAAGTGCGTACGCGGAAACGTTCCATTGACTTTCACATGTACAGCATCTACTCTGTTATACCTGAGTGAAAAACAAAATCTGTCTATTCAAGTATCAATGACTGAAAGTCAAGGGAAGCAAACTGTTTATGTCAAGGATCATAGTCGCTTCACACTCGCATTGCTCAGCGATACGCGGTCACATCCTGCTTTTAAAATGCAATTATTACCATTCACTCATGTGACCAAAGCAGGAAAGAAACAAACGGTGTCTTTGTCCAATCACGGTATCCCAAATGTCAATTACTTTAGAAGTGGAGCAATTTCTCTCAATTCTGCAAATAGCTTCACCAACACTGATGGTGGTTATTATTTGCTAAGTAACATTCAGTTTAGTCAAAAAAACGACGGTAAAATTTCATCTACAGTTGGTTCAGACGTTAGTAGTATCATATATAGCAAGGATCACAAGAAATCCAACTTTTCCATGACAGGATCAGATCTTACTCTTGACAAGCCGTTTTATTTCAATGTCACTGCCCAGGCGGGCACAACTGATCTCAAATGGCAATTGAATCATGGTAGTGTCGTGTCCGGACTACACCTTGGTAAAAATCAATCGTTAACTGCTATCAAAGCACAACTTAAAACGAGTAAAACGTTGTTATGCTCAGAGGATTGGACTTCAGTAGATTTCCTTAACTGGAAGAAACCCGTAATTCCATCGAAAAATCTGGGACATATCACATCAACAGGCATTCACTTGATGAAAGGTGGTTTTTATCTCGCATCACTCAACTTTGCCGTGCATTCAAACACTAGTAACACCATTATAAATGTAGGTGTATTTATTGACCAGCAGTTGATCTTAACCGGAAATGAAACAACCCCAAATGATGGTAGTTTCAGTATCTTCCTTGATGGTGTTTTGGATTTAAGAAACGGTCAGCATATCGGTGTTCAAGTGATGTGTAGCCAACCGACGACTGTAACTTACGCCGAAGGTGGTGGAGTATCATTATTTAAAGTAGACGAAACACAGCCACGTCCGAGCATGCGTAGAAGAATGCACAGTTACTCTTATTATAGAAATCGAAAGGTCAGACCTTTCTATGCATCCTCCAGTCAAACAAAAGGAAATTTTGAACAATTTCAAGATTATATTACTAGAAACGGTTGGCGTTTTAAAACTGTCAGAAGTGGTTTGTATCTAGTAAGTATTGTAGGCTCAGAGAATAGTTACGCCAGAAGTTATGAGGTTGCGTTTTCCATTCCTGCAAATGCTTCTGGGGAAGCAGCTTATTCGCTGGTCAAATGTTCGCCATTATATTACATTTCTAATTCAGCTAAACGTGATAATTCTGTGATGGTGACGGGCATTGTATCTCTACAGAAAGAACATAGTTTTGGTCTATTGTATAAAAGTAGCTATTCCTATTACTCCTATTACTACTATTACTCAAGCCGAATGTACATGGGTGTGCAATACCTTGGCGAAGAAGAAACCTCGAGCGGTTTCATGGCTACCTTACAAAAAGACATCGTTTTAAACAGCGGAAAAACTTCAAATAATAATATTTGGTCGTCTGATTCATCGTGTGGACGATACACCACCGCTGGTACCATGCATTTTAAAGAGCATGATGTTTTGTACAGCGGTTACTATATTGTTTCAATGAACGTAGTGTTGCATAATCAGAAACACAATAACTTTCGTTTTTGTTTCACTATCAATGGCAAGCCTATACCAAAAGTAGGTGCAAAGGATTTAAACCTGGGATGTTTTTATGAACAGCTGGCTAGCAACAAAAATAGCTCGATGAGTGGAACAGAAATATTATATTTAAAAGAGAACAGTAAGTTATCTGTGGAATGGTTTACCGATGAAGATCTTACAATTTCAAAGCGTTCCAGTTTCTCAGTGTATTACCTGGGCACGTCTGGAGGTATTCTGGGTTTCAACTCCGTGTCCAATGCTGTTAAACTAGAAAAGCTGCCAAGTTATTCAAGGCACCATTACTACTATTATTATTACGATAGCAATGACAATTATAATCAGTTTAAGGTGACAGGTTGGATAACATCTCTTTCAAAATCACCCATGGTTTTCCAGACACGTACGAGATTTCCGGTCGAAGATCTATTTATTGCTCCGCGCAACGGCATCTACATGGTCACGACAAAACTTCACGTTCAAAACGACGTCGTTTTAGAAGGCACCTGTCACGTAAAACTTCAAGTTTCAGTCGATGGCGATGTTTTAGATTTCGTCCACAAGAAAGGTATGAAAATATTGTCGTATTGGAAAAGTTATTATAAATAAGGCAAAAGCTACCATACAACGTTAGAATAATAGGTTACATTTTGGTAAGGTCGCTAAATAATTCCATGAAAAGGCCCAACGAAGAAGCATGGAATGAGATGAAATAAAAGTAAAGTTCTATCTTCGATTCATCTACTCATTTCGTAGTAAGGAGTTCTAAGAGTTTTTTCCACTTTTCCAAGATTCCTGTCACAAATAAATTGATTCTTGACGTCATATGACGGATCGCTATTGTGCGTCAAAGATAATACCAAGTATTTGCACTTTGCTTTTGCCAAATTATCGCGACAAAAATATTTTTACTCTTTAGAGTTGAATCAGTCATTGACTACCTTAACCATAACGACATCGTTAGAGTTGGAGAAGTGGCAAGGTGTTGCTGTACATTTTAGTTATGATCGAATCTACTGTCAAAACATTACAGTATTACCAGGTGGTGTCTTTTCCGTCATCTATCTAGGTAAGATTGAATTGTGGATGCATGATTAAAAGATTATCTCTAGGAAAATTATATCTAGGGATTATGTAGGGATGGTTATATCTAGGGATTATGTAGGGTGGATTATGTAGGGATGGATTATGTAGGGATGGATTATGCAGGGATGGATTATGTAGGGATGGTTATATCTAGGGATTATGTAGGAATGGTTGCATGATTAAAAGATTATTTAAAGGATATGATATAGAAGTTTCATCAGAAGATTTGAAATGATGGCGAGTTGTCTTGTCGTATTCTGGATTAATGCCAGCACATAAAAATGACTCAAGTGACGAATTTTGAGGTTGTTGACTTTGTGCAATATGAAGTGTGAGTTATTGCTTCAAAGTAAGATAAAAAGTGAAGAAAATGAGATATTGAACTTGTAGAAAAATGAGAAAATTGAGATATAGATGTATAAAAATGGCGGCCAACAGAAAAACATGATTGAGAAAAAGTGCTAGGTGTTGAGTAATACAAAGTTGACTTACATGAAGTAGCTAATATCTGTTGTAATATGTCAAATAACTATCCTTCACCAGACAGTGCAAAACAAGAGTTCACATTGTGGCCAAATCCCGGTCCACATATCGTAGAATTCCCAGCCGAAGCTACGGTATATGTGCGTGAAGACAAACGTACCTCATTGGTCAAATGTCGAGCTGTAGGAGACTCAGAAAACATCAAGTATCAATGGAAAACTGGCGACGATGTAAGTCAAATGAATTGATCTTACTCGCTGAAACCTTTATCAAACTTAGTTAAAATTTTATCCAAGCATGTACTTTATTCTAGTACGGCGATAGAGTACTTCATTCTAGTACGGAGACAGAGTACTTCATTCTAGTACGGAGATAGAGTACTTCATGGTACTTAGATTTTCTTTGGAAAAACTGTCATCGTTTTATTTTTATGAAGATACCTGTAACAGTCTTTTCTAACAATGATTTTCCTTCAATGTTTCTAAGTCTTTCCTTTGTTCTTATTCATATGATTCCTTATGCGATGCTAGACTCCTCATGTTTATGGCTTTGACTGGTTCTTCATTAAAACCATTTTATCATGGGTATACATTATAACCAGATAACTTTTCCCTTTAGAAAATCCTTGGTGAATCTAGCACATTGGACACCACGAAAATTGGTCATAACTCCAACTATGTAAAATGTGTAGCAAATATGAATGGGTTACTGGAAGAGTCCAAATTTATAACCGTCGTATCCATTGGTAACTAACTAAAAATGACGTAATCAAACACATAATTTTAGAGCAACTACAAACACACCGGTAAATAATTCTGAGAAAATAATTTACATAATTTTAGATCCTACAGTCCAGTTCACAGATACGTACAGCAACAGAATATACTACTTACCAGAGAAGAATGAAACCCACCAAACAGGTTATGAAAATGTGATGGAATTTGGTGTAAAAGAAAATAAGACTAGTTCCTATTACTGGTACTGGACGAGAAAAATCCGTTGTTCTATAACGAAAGGTAAAAAATGTAATGTGCATTTTAAGATGTAATCCTAAAATCATTTTTTGTTTCTTTTTTGTGCTTTACTTCATTGAAGTCTGCTTTAATAAGGAAATTGAATCAATGAATGTGAAAGAAATAACATACTCATTTTTATAAGGTTAAATAGTTGGAAGGTTAAATAGTTGGAAGGTTAAATAGTGGAAGGTTACTTTGTCAAATGTTGTTAGATAAAGTCGTAATTGTTTGTAGTTGTTGGATAAAGCATTATGCTATCATCCTTTTTGTTTTTATACTCATTTTTGTTTAGGCAACATGAGTACTTTCTTCATTTCAAGAAAATATTCTTACTACAGCGGTGGTGATGGCGAATTTTTTACGCTTCGCGCTAAAGTTGAAAAACTTGATCGCGAAGTCCACGACAAATACGTACTCGAAATAACTTGTGTGAATACGGAGTACACAGATGCACCGTCAGCGGTAACTAACATTACAATAGAGATCCTTGACTACAATGACAACGTTCCTGTGTTTGAAAAAAAGATATACTCCAAGACGATTTCAAACAACATCAAACCAGGAGAGGAAATAGTTCAAGTGATCGCAAACGACGATGATATAAAGGAAAATGGCAAGATATCTTACAGTTTGAAACTTGACAGTAATAGTTACATATTTACCATCGATAAGCATTATGGATTTATATCGCTGAAAGCAAACGAAAAATTAACTCAAAGATCGTAAGTTTCCTAGAATGTTGTTGGGTTATATGAAAATCTTTCTAATGATAAAAATTTCTTAATGGCTTAAGAGTTTACTTCGTGTGTGAAAGTAACAGTGTACCTTTATTACAAATAAATATAGAGTGTGTACACTTTATATAATATTTCTATGATGGAAAGATTTGATTTTTTAAAGCAAATGTTTGAAACGCAGTGTTACACATGAATTTTTTTCTGAAATGGTATAAAGCAATGTCTTGGTTCGAAGGAAAAAATAATAATACCTTGTTGAAAAAATGTGGACACTTTTCTCAAACATGAAGTTAGAGCATGTGCAAAGAAAACTGCACTCATAACTTAACTTGTCCCTTATAGTCGAGGATTGTGACTAGCCACTTAATCTGATTAGGAAAGCGGGAGAGATTGTGACTAGCCACTTAATCTGATTAGGAAAGCGGGAGAGATTGTTTAACGATTAACTGATTCTCTGTGTGTACAATTTCAGATATCGACTAACTGTTATCGCTACAGACCAAGGAAAACCACCTCGCAAAGCTTTCGTTACTGTTGTACTCGATGTTCAAGAAGGACCCGTTACGGATAATAACTATCCAGTATTTTACAAACATCAGTACGAAGCCCGGCTGTACGTGGGCGTACCAAAAGATACATACGTTACAACAGTACGTGCTCATGACCCAAACACATTTGATGATCTGCAAATAAATTACTTCATGTTGCCAAGTGGTTTAGAGAATTTCAAAGTTAACGAAAGTAACGGTGAGATCACCACTAAAAGAAAGCTTACGGAACGACAATATGATTTTATGGTTGGTGCTGAGTACAGTAAACGGTCAACACATATGGAGAATGGATTTTACAATACCACAAAAGTTGTTGTTTATGCAAACTACCTTGATACAACAACTCCTCGTTTTACGAAGCTAATATACCATGGTAAAATGAAAGAAGATAAAAAAGTTGGAGCCATAGTACGTAGAAATATTTTACATTTTTTTGCATTAGTGCAAGTAACAGTAAGAATTGATGTCCGTTTACACGATCCGTTTTGTTGAATCCGATTTTGTCAGATTAAAAAAAACGGATCACGTGAACACATATAAAGGGAGCCTCTGACTATTGGATCCGTCAGTCTGAAAAATAAGATGGAAATAAAACTCGCTCTATTTTTATCCAAAAAGATCAAAGAAAGCCGACTAACACCATTCTTCATTCTCAAAGGTTTATTTAAACAAACGACTTTTCTACCATGAGGTATTTTCCACCACCTGCGTTGGCGACGACGAGCAATATAAACGGTCAATTGACAATGATAATGAAGAAAATTATTTAAATCCCTTCAAATCCCTTCAAATTCTTTAAATCACCAAAATACAACCAAAAATGCATTCTATTGCTAATTTCGATGTTTTAGGAAGGGTGCCCCATGTGTCTTACTACGCTTCTGTACTTTCTGGTCGTGGCAAAAAAATAAGAGGCTAGCAAAAATGTTTGTACTTTGTAGTTTTATACTAAATATATGACTACGTTTCTTACCTCCCATACAGTGAAATTTTTCACAATGTTTTGAATTTGTTTTAGCTCAATGTCCGCGTGAAAGCCAATTATAACAACAAGAATGTTCAGTACTCTCTATCTGAAAATGAAAAAATGTTTGAAATCGATGGGACATCTGGAGAGATAACCTTAGCAAAGCCATTGGACTATGAAAAACGAAAACTTCATTTTTTCACTGTGACTGCCTCATCAAGTGATGTGAATCATGTGAAGAAAGAAGGTTTTTCTATCGTCGTCGTTCACGTTCTTGATGTCAATGATAACGCACCGATTTTTAAATCGTATCCGCGTAAAGCCGACGTTACACTGGTAATGTTTCGTTAATTTTACACTTGTTTTTCACACGTGACGTTGGTAATGTTTCGTTAATTTTACACTTGTTTTTCACACGTGACGTTGGTAATGTTTCGTTAATTTTACACTTGTTTTTCACACGTGACGTTGGTAATTTTTCTTTAGTTTCACTCTTGTCTTTCACACGTGACGTTGGTAATGTTTCGTTAATTTCACTCTTGTTTTCACACGTGACGTTGGTAATGTTTCGTTAGTGTCACGCTTGTCTTTTACACATTAGTTTACACCGGTAATGTTTATGATTATTTTTACACTTGTCTTTCACATGTTCCACTTGTAATGTCTATTTATCACACATTACAATGGTAATGTTTTGTTCGTTTCGTGAATACTTTGTGCTCAAAATGAAAAATCACAAGAGTCTTTCCGAATGGTTTTCCTAAGTTGATCTTCCAACTTGATTTAATACGCATTTCATTGTATGACCATCGCTTTATAAATGTTCCAGGGACAAGGATATCAAGAAATTGGTCGAGTTTATGCGACTGATGAGGACGATGGAAAAAATGGAAAAGTCGGATACTATTTAGCTCATGGTAAGATGCAGATACAGTACAATGGAACATGCTCAATTTATATTTTAAGCACATCAATTTTATTTTGCAGATTATAATGGTCTATTTTCCATTAACACTACCAATGGAAGTTTGTATTTTAATGGTGGACAGTTACTGCAAGTTGCTGACAGTTACTTGTATACTATTGTAATCGCAAGGGATGAAGGAAACCCTTACAATGAAAGTGCAGTGTTAATTCATGTTACTCTACATAATCCGACGCCACCCACGACTGTAGAACCACACTCTAATGGTAAGTTTGTAGGATGGGTAAGTGTGTGTTAATATGGAAGCATTTTCATGACTTAAATAGGAAGTGGGGAGGGGGGTACACACGTAGTATATAATGAACACACTGGACAAACGTTCGGTTGATACAGAGGGTACACACGTAGTATATAGTGGACACACTGGACAAACGTTCAGTTGATATAGAATAATACTTCAGGTGAGTAAAGTTTAAAAAGCACTAGCTGATGATTTCAAGCAAAAATGTAGCCTTTGTTGACTTTAACATTGTGCATATGATACAAGAAGGAATTTTGATTTAGCAACAGAACGTTCAAATGTTTCAACTTTTTCAAATGGTTCAAAAGGTTCAAGTGGACACAACAACACAATACTCATTGTTTCTCTTGTCGGAGGAGTTGTTTTCTTGATAGCATTGATTTTGGGCTTTGTTTTTCGCAAGTAAGTGCTTTAATATGATATGATTGTTTGAAAAATATTTTTGCAAAGATTCTTTTCCTCAAATTTGACTGTATTCTTAAGTTTTGATTGCCATCGAAGAGTCCTAATGAAGTTCTTTTGTTTGAGTTAAATCATTGTTTCCACATTTTTAAAATTTATAACCATTTAAAGACCTGTATCGAGGCTACTAGGCTGTTCAAAGATAAAGCAGAGATGTTGATAAGTACTATTATAAATCCTTAATCCATTATTTAGGAGGTGTACATCCAACAGACAGGCAGCTACAGCTATGACATATATCCACCTACCACCAGATGAAGAGGATGAAGAATTATTGGATGTTGAAGGGTTCATGAAACAGGAAATAACGAGAGAAGGCTGAGCCTAATCTCATCTGCATCTGACGAAAACTTGTTAAAAAATCAATAACCTTAATGAAGTTTTTTTGGTATGATGTTTAACATTAAGAACATTAATTAACTTCCATAGTTTAATAATTAATTTGATTAGGCGTATGCAAGAAAAAACTCCGTTGTTGAGCAGTTGAATAAAAATAGACAAATGAAAAATCATATTTTCTTGTGAACTTCAATTGTCAAGAACAAGCTTTCCGCAAAGTTGATTGCTAGAATTTAGATTATAATTTGTTTTGTCGAGGGTTTCGTTGTATGAAACCCTTGTAACTGAAAAATAAAAGACCTGCACCATTTTTTACTTTCTATTTTAGCATATTTAACAATATTTTTCAGTTTTGACGTGCAGGGAAAGTTACTGTAAAGTTACTAATTACTTGGCAAGACACTAACTTTTCACAGGTGAAATTCCTTCCGAAAATTCCTTTTTCGTGGTTTTGTTTATAAGTTGCTGATGTTATTTCATTTCAATTTTTTCAAAATTGTTTTTGAGATTACGAAGTAAAAGCGACATGATTTCAATGAGGTTTTTTGATGGTATATATATTAAAAATGAATGTACAATCAAAAATAAAATAATGCTTTAAATAACTATATACATGCAAACTGTGCAAATTAAATAACAATTGAAGAAGCTAATTGAGGGAAAACAGTTAATTACATTTCAATTAAAAGAAAAGATGTTTGAGTCTTTTTACTTCCATGTACTACCTTGCACCGTTAAAATGCAATTGATATCAATATCTAAGGAAAAGGGCAACTGTGATGCAAGGAAATATGTACATGAAGATTTTTTTGATTATCTACAATTGAAAAATACTATCTATATTATAAATTAATTTTTATCTATTAGGTTATCCTAAAATCTTTTCAGGCGATCCTTGCTCTTTTTTGAACCAATTGAAATTTGTTTGGCATTTTCTGTGTTTAATTTATGGCTACACTGTCCAGTTTTGTGATTTTCATCCACCCTGCACTGGCAGACACTGCAAAATACATGTTGGCATTTTTTACATTCCCACCATTCATCTGTCTTCTTGGAAGGTGACAGACAGTATGGGCATTTTATTCTTTCATATGTGTACAATAATTTTTCTCTGACTTCATTCAAATCAGTGGACACTTCTTTTGGTTGAGGTTTTCTAATATTGTCGTTTTGAGTGGACAATGGCTGTCGTTGAGGAACCGAGTTATCAAACTTTGTATGATAACCAAAATTTTCCTAAAGTGAGAAAAAAGGAAGTATAACACAAAAAACCTAAAGATGAAGAGAGCTTCCAAGCTGAATGAGTGCTAAACAATTACAATTTTTCACAGTAAATTATACCTTTCCCTTTTGTATTACATGTTGCTTTTGATTGGTGATATATTGTTCAAGCCTTGGAGATGCAATTTGATCTTTCTTGCAAACCTCCCTCCACAATTTTGACACCGATGCAACCCTGTCCATAGCATAATAAATCAGTTATCCAAATGCTTAATTATGTGAAATACGTCATTGATAATAGAAGCAAACAGCTCACTAACGCTCAAATTATCACAGTACAAGCCTAGTTTCAAAATTATTTCCACATTAAGCAATTACCTTAAAAGATCCCTTGATTTCAAATAGCTGAAGATCTGTTGGTAAATTAACTGGCAATTCATGATCTTAAGTTCTTTATAAAGTCAATTCTTTTAATACCCATACGCCATCCAATGATTTTGTTAGTGCAAAATGATATACGTGAATTTGTTAATAACATCTGAGAGTTGCTTCCATCAGCACATTTATCAAAATTTAGTTTTACCCTTGTCTTATCTGAGGGAGACAATGTTGCCTGATCATCAGTAGAACCATTGTCAATACAATCTTCTAGCTGGATGTTTGAACACCATTTTTCTCCATAATAAGAAATATTGTCCTTATTCTTTAACGGTTCTCTAGGCTCTGAATATGGCGTTAAGTAGACTGAACTGGCTTCAGGATGGTCAACTGTCGCCTCAGGAAACCATTGTTCATTTTCATATCGGCTGTAAGTCCTCTCGTGTGGTTTGCTGCTCATAGGTGGACTCATAAACGCAGAAGGAATATCTTCTGGCGATAGGCCTAGTCTTGAACGGCTTCTAAGCCTGCGTTTTGTAGCTATCGAATCATTTATGTGATGCAGCATCAATGACTCGCTTCTTTCACGTTTCTGATTCACTTCTAGTGTAGGTGGAGGACTCAAAGTCGCCGAACAACTGCTTTCAACAGATATGCCATGTTGCAAGGAGAGCGTCTTTCCGACAGGTGTATTCATATACATTTGCTCCAAAGATTGCGTTATATTTCCACTTTCGCTGGCAAAATTGTCTTCAGCCATTACAAAATACACGCTGTTTGTTTTTTTTATCTGATCTTTTTCTACTAAGCAATGTGTATATTATTCTTCTACAGTTTATGGTCGCTTTTCGCTTTTTTCAAAATATCACAAATCACGACATTTAGCCAATCATTTTCGAGATTGTTATAAATGAACCAATCAGAACGCAACGCTTATGCTGATAACCGCCTGCCACGAAGAAAGCCGGCTCAAACCGCGATAATCGAAGGGCACGTGTATGTGTGACAAATTTCGCGCGTTTCACATTAACATATTTAAAATTTATTGTGTTTATCTACCAACGCTTTCACCAGAAATTTGCATTTGTATGGTCTCACTAATGTACATCAAGAACAATTGATGCTCAAATTGACTCTCAAATTCAACATTAAACCTACAAGGCTCATTTCCCGCTCGACTTTACATCAGGTCATGATAATATGACGAAGTTGTATAGTATAAAGCAAATTCCGAAAAAGCAAGACATCTTGAGATTGTTATGTGTTACATTACAAAATGCAAAATATGCATCAAAACAAGACGAGAAGTGAACTTTAAATTTTCGACTTTATTTCAAAGTCATCCTCAGACAGAATGATATTTAAAACCATACATACACGTATATATTTGCAACGCATGAAATAAGTAAACGGAAGTAAGCAATAGAAATTAAATAGTGTGACATTTACAAAGGCAGAGTTGTTGTATTTCAAAAGGATGAATTGAAACTGCAGACTCGACTGGTATAAGGAGTATATTGTCATTTAAGAGAAGAGTTGTTATTCTTTGCTGGCCTTAAGTCCCGTGTTGAGAAAAGGTTTGTTATGTTTGATGAGTAGTGCTTCAAGAAAAGCAAGAATGTGGTAGTTGTTAGATTTGGTTGAGTGAAGTATTTTATAGTTGTTGAATACAAAGTTTTCTACAGGAGAGAGAGTTCTCTGGTTTCGTAGAGTCGCCAGGAATTGAGCGTTTTCGCACTCAGAGAAATGCTGGCCAACTGCACTAGAAGAGAGTCTGGTTGCATGTTCTCTGAGCCGTACAGACAGGCATCTTTGTGCCATGCCGATGTAGGTTTTACCACAGCCAGGGCAAGTTATATCGTATACGAGATTACTGCGAGAAAGTGAAGGAAGTTTGTCCTTGTTAGAGACAAAATAGGACAGTTTTTTATTCAATTCATCCTTTTGAAATACTACACCTCTTCCAACTCTGCCTTTGTAAATATCACTACTTAATTTCTATTGCTTACTTCCGCTCACTTATTTCATGCGTTGCAAATATATGTGTATGTATGGTTTTAAATATCATTCTGTCTGAGGATGACTTTGAAATAAAGTCGAAAATTTAAAGTTCACTTCTCGTCTTGTTTTGATGCATATTTTACAATCTCAAGATGTCTTGCTTTTTGAATTTGCTTTATACTATATTTCTTTAAATTGTCGGCTGGTCATGGTTTATGATGAAGTTGTTTTATGAACATTTAATACCCCATTGCCTCAAACTTGTTTTAAGTATCTTTCAGCTTCTCTACAATACTAAACACACAAAGTTGAAGAATGTAATTTACTGTAAGAAATTCCTTTAACAAGAAGAAATTCAAAATAACAGTAATGTACGAGTAAAATGCAAAGAAAACAAAACGTCATGTCCATGTAATTTTCTAGAATCATTTTTCCCAATTCTTATTTCTTAGTTTCCTGTGCAGACTGCTCTCTGGCTTGATGAGCTTGAAGGACAGAAACAGCTTCTTCAACCTTTGCAGCAAGAGCATCACGGAATTCCAACATGTGAAGCAATTCACTATTGTCAATCTCCAACAGCATGCCTGTGATCTTACCAGCAAGATCTGGATGGGTTTGTTGAATGAGTGGAAAGAGGCGCTCTCCTAACATCTGCTTTTGATCTGCAATAGATGCTTGAGCTAAAACAGTTGGGTTCAATACATCTGGTCCCTATGAAAAAATACAAATTATTTCAGAAACATTCACATAATACTCTAAACAATGATGGAACAAGAAAGCAAATGTTGTGTTTTTACTGGTAAAAAGCATATAGATAAATTATGCAATAATAATATACAAAAAGCTTCTACTCACAGAAATAGCAATACTAGCACTTGCAGCAGTTGCATTACCCTGAGCTTGTCCTACACCAGCTTGATTAATGGCAGGCTATACTTTTGGTTGCGTGTGCCTGATGCAGATGGAGCTCGCTGTCCACTTAAGCCAGCCATGTTGGCACCACCACCGGGAGCAATACGTGACTGCTGTTGGTTAATTGGACGTGGTGGAGCTCTAGGCATTCGAGGACGAGTCATCATTGCACCAGGATATCCTGGAGTGCCACGCACACCTTGATTAGAGAATCTAGGACGAGGAACTTGGGCAGGCAGGAAGGCTGGTCGTTGGCCCTAATAAAGTTTTCACATTTTACATGAATACATGAAGAATATTTAAGATTAAAAAAGAAAAAACATATACATACAGTTGGAAATGGTGCCATGGCAGGATAAAATCCACCAGTAAACATTTGACCAACTGGTTGAGTCCCTTGAGGAATCATCCTACCAACACGTTGCATGTGCTGGGCAGCTAGCTGTGCCTGACGCTCTTCTTTACGTTGTGCAAGAGCAACATAAAGTGGTTTAGTCATCACAATCTGACCATTTTTTTCTGTAACAGCCTTTGTGGCTTCCTCAGGTGACTGGAAGCAAACAAACCCAAAACCTGAAATACATTGTTCATTTTAAAAAAAAATGAGGATAAATTTAAATAATTCCTTCTAGTAAAAAACATCAAAAAAGTTGTAAACATAAGTTGGACCTTTGGAGTTGCCTTTTTCATCTCTCATCACTTTTGCACTTGTAATTGTTCCATAGCTTTCAAATTCTTTCCTCAGACGTGTATCATCAATGGATTCCTCGAGGTTCTTAATGTATAAGTTAACCCCTTGAAATTGAATATTCCTTTCCATCTTCTGTTGCTGGAAGCGTCGCCTTAATTCTGCCTGTCTTTCAGACTTCTTCTGAGCACGTCCACAATATAATATCCTACCATTCACCTCTTTATCATTTATTTCTTCAACAGCCTAAGACAAATGAATATGTCCATATAACAAGGAAATAACTTTAAACAACATGTACACAAGATATTACCTTACTAGCATGTTCTGGTTCTGCATAACTGACAAAGCCAAAGCCTCTGCTTTTGCCATCTTCAGTTCGCATCACTTTCATGCTTTGGATCTCACCAAACTTTTCAAAAAGATTCTTCATGTCTTCATCTGAGAAATCCTCACCAAAATTCTTGACATAAACATTGGTGAATTTTCTTGGCGCATCACCTAGCTGATCTATACGTTCCTTGCGAGACATCCATTTACCGACAAACCTGATAAAAATTGAAGTCTCATTGGCTTATTCAATAATCATAGAAAGTAATGTACATCAGTTCAACATTAGCAATTCGTGTAAATTTCTTAGACACCATTAGACACACCCTAATTGAACAGTCCCATACTACTCCCAACACGTGCATCAAAACATCCTGAAGTCACCCTGTTTTGTCTAAAAGTTAACTCAATAAAGCGGCTAACAAAAACAAAAAAAATTCACCCACACTTTCTTGTCATTCAGCAACATGCCGTTGACTTTCTCGATAGCTTCATCAGCCGCTTCTTGTGTCTCGAAATGGACATAACCAAAGCCCTTAGAAACTTCATTCTCATCCAACGCAATTTTGCATGAAAGGATGTTACCAAAAGCACTAAAAGTGTCGTACAGAGCCTTGTTGTCGATCCCTTTATCCAAATTTTTTATGAAGATATTTCCAACACCAGATCGGCGCAAAGAAGGATCTCTCTGACACCACATAATACGACATGGCCGTCCTTTGATAGGTTCAAAATTCATGGTATCCAACGCTCTTTCGGCTGCAAAATTTACCAAAATATAGCATATCTTGTACACATAGAAAAATGGGATACAATATCTTGCACAAAAAAGGCCTCCATAATGTATTACATACCATCTGCCGATTGCTGGAAGTTGACATAAGCATAGCCCAAAGAGCGACGCGTTGCCAAATCACGACAGACACGAATCGACACAACAGGACCGGTTGCACTGAATTTGTCGAAGAGAACGGCTTCGTTGACATCAGGAGCCAAATCTCCAACATAAAGCGTAGCCATGGGATAGTTATTCGGAGCTGTAGCGTTCATCTTTTTGATAAATTGTGGGTTGGCTTTTACTTTTCGACTTTCAACACGTTAACGTTGAGGTTGATACAATTTGTACTTTTTTTTCCTTTTTTAAACAATTTTTCGATTTTTTTGGTTTGTTTTAAATTTCTGTTAGTCGTGGCTAACAATTTTAATATTTTATAGTTTTTTTGGTTTGTTTTTCTTTTAAATTCAACGATTTGTCCTAAATAAATGACGCTAACGTAAAAATGACAACGCGTGAATGGCCGAAAATTTGCAAGGGAAGTAAATCAAGAAGTGAGTCCCTTAAATATTGGCATGGCATCCCCTATGTTAAAAATTATTCGCATTGATTGGTCAATATCATGGTCAATCAATATGGCACACACATACAACGTGTATATATGAATTAATACATAAATTTTATATTAAAAACAGAAAATTACAATTTCAAACAATGTAATCCAATTAATATCATGCCAAATACAATATTTGACATAACTATTATGGAAATAGTAGGCATGCCGACCGTTCGTTCTCCCATGTACTTTTTAATAATAAATTTGTGCTTTATCAACTATGAAAGTTGATGAAAAAGTTAGAACAGATTATTGAGAAAAATCAGAAAATAAATTACTTAGTTTTAGATTTAATTATTTAGTGATCTCTATAAAATGATGTTTCTGCTAATGATGGTGCTAACAGATTGAAAGAAATTAAAAGCTCCAAGATTGCAAAATGAGACATTGAGCTAACTGTAAAATGTATGTGATCTAAACAGTTGGCTTACATACTTTTTAAGGAACTTTTGGAGCTTTTCTACTTCCTTTAACTTCCAAACAATAAAAAGTAAAGTATGGAAATGAAAAGCTCTTAGATTTGCATAATTTTGGTACAACGAAAACATTTACTATAAACCGTTTCTTACGAAAACCAAATTTTTAAGAAATCGAACGAAATCCGTTGATAAGAGTACAAGGACCACTGTCGTTTTAATCCGTTCTTTTTCAACATATATTCATAATATTTGCATGCGCATTAAAATGAAGCTTAGACGTTTACTTACGCAACTAATTAAAATACATTTGGACTCCAGAAATCAAACAGCAAACTCAAAGAACATTCAATACAAACTCAGTGATGTTTGCTAACATTGATTGACTTGGTAGAAATATTTGTCGGTAGCTTAGGAAACCGTTATCGAAATGTCATTTAATAATGGGCTGTAATGCTTCGACTGAGAAGAATTCTTTAACAAAACCAAATGAAAGTACACAAAAAACAATACGTGTCTCTGAAGAAACAGTCTTGGAAAACGATGTAGAGAAATTTGTAACATTGAATGAAGCAAATCAAGTACCTAACGATGCAAATAAGAGCACCGATGGACAATTAGTTTCACCAAAGGTATCTTTAGAGATTTTACATCCGACACCACCTGTGAGCAAACAGAAAAAAAAGAAATCCAACAGAAAGAAGTTGAAGCAAGTAACGGCATGGAGTAGAAAAAGTACAATTGTCGAAACAGATTTTCTAAAAGATTTGAGATCACAAAGAGGGCAAAATAACCCATTTTATGAACAGGAATACGAAAAAAATGAAGTAGATGAGAGCGCAAGACTTGAGGGAGACGACGATAGCGGCATGGCTATTGATGATGAAGAATCTTTTGGTGACGTACTTATCGATGATTTGTCGAATGAAATATTTAGTGATCGCAAGAATGTATGTGTTTCTTAAAATGATAAATATGATCTGATTAATCTTATAATGATACCTTGTTCGAGCAAAAAGACTGCGGAAGTAATAATCTGTTAATGGTGACTGTTTATTCCTTTCATTTATTTAGTCATAGATGCTAGAGTTATTCTTCTTAAATTTTTCAAGGGAGGAGCTGATGAAGAATGTTTTGATGTGACAAAGATAATTGACGTTGAGAAATTCCGAGCCGCGAATAATGCTTACATAGAAAAAAATGATGCAGAAAAAGTTAATAAAGTCGATTTGAATTTTAAAACAAGCTTCACAAGAACTCGAAGACAAACCAGGTAAGATTGAAAATGAAAAATACTGCGGCGATTAATGATGACATTTCTCACAAATTCTTCACTCTCCCTTAATCCAATTCCCCGGATTACGTCCAACCATTTACTTAAAATGTGAATATTTTCGTGCTTGTCAAATGCAATAATTTTGGAGGTATCTATCTAGATAAGTAATCATGTTGGATCTGTGTTTTTTGAAACTCAAGATACGAACCATGATAACCTCGCGTCTTTTTCATAACTTGTCAAGTAATGCCTTGATTTAAGCATTAAAAAGAATAATACCCAACATAAGATACTATTGACATGTGAATACAACATGACCAAATTCATTTTTTTTAATCCTGCACGCTCCAGGAGTTTGATAAAGAAAACATGTAAAGATGCAAAATCACTAAAATAAAGTTCAACAATCCATCATCTTTGTTTTCATACTCCACAATAACACATAAAGAAAAATTTTCTAATAAACTGCAACTTACACTAAATGTATGTGAACTGCAAACAAAGCAAATCTCAATTTTGCCAACTCACGCAAGTAATAATGATCAAAACAGTTATTTTCGCTATTCTTACAGATTTCATGTTAAGACATCGCCAGAGAATGAAGACTTATATAATGATGATGATAAAAACTTAATAATGAGCATCGAGAAGGAATATTTGACCAATGAAGACAATATTTTACCAGGACAAATCATCGACTGAAAGAATTTGGTAATATTATTATAATCATTGCAATGAACACCTAACATGGCTGTGTTTATACTGAATCCATTCCTCCTAAAATAAATTGTCCTTTCTGAAATATGGCAGATAGTTTTATGATTTCATGATTTCTTTAAGAATTTATTAATGATAGACTGCATTCCACAAGATATTTCTCTTCTTCTAAAAGTGTGACCAGGATTTTCATTTGTTCAGACAAACAATTGCCCTTTTTGCCATAATTTACAATTTTGGACAGATCATTACTGTACTTGTTTAAAACAAGATCAAGTAAGTCAATCAAAATTCGTCTTTTCAATGTGTCATTTTCATTAGGAATGCTCTCGATGTTTAAACCGGATGACTCTTTAAGTTTTAAATCACTCAGCACCAGTATTTTCAAGGCTGCATTTAAACTCCATGATATGCCACTTATTGTGCAAAAATATGTTCTTTCAAGATCATATTTTTCAATCATATCATATTTATGTTTTGATATTTTGCTTTTTGTATGTTTTTCTGTGATTTTGTACAGCAGTCTTGGCAAGATACTCACACAATTATGGATGTTATTAGAAATGATGAATCCATATTCTAACCATAATTTTCTGTTATTGTGAGGACCATAATTTATAAATACTTGCTCACCTTTCTTGAATCTTGTTCTTGTGTAAATTACATAGCATTTGTCAGTTTCTGAGTACCCTGCATCAACCTACATGACATGCAACAGAGTCATTGAACTGAATATATGAAACTGGAGTGCTACATAACTCCCCCCAAACATGCAAATACAGGCATGCTTACCTAAAGGTGGCCTTACAGTTATATTTAATTCAATGAACTGAGTTGAACAATGTACATGTTTGTACTTAGTATAATAGATCATTAAATAAACTTACTTCAATAGGTGAATTACAACAAGTAAAAATTTTACCTCCACACAACAAGAATGGTTCAAAAGATCCAGCAATGGTGCTAAACAACATGACATTTTGTCCAAGTAAAATGCAGACTTAGTCTTTGCAGAGTCATTCATATGAACAGATCTTGTATTCACAATGTTCCATGCCCAAATTACATGATCGAAGTCCAACTTCATGCCATTCAACACAGTTGATGTTGAGATAAAATTCTTTAATGTTAAATAACATTTCCGAATATTTTTTAAATGCATCTGTCCATGATCAAAAAAAAAGTCAGGGCATTGATGGAGTTCAACGCCAAAACATGATGGAGTATTGAAGGTCAATGGTAGCATAGATATATAAGGAGCCCAAAATGATTCTTTACCAAATGACCGTTCAAAAATCAAAAATAAGCATAATACATCCACTGTTGAAAGTTTGTCAGCTTCTGGTTGATTGAATAAATCAGGATGTAAACACCTAAAAAAATATAATTAAAAGGAATTGGTGAGTTGGGTTGTCCATGAAATAAAAATAATTTTGAAAAGTTTTTTTAGAACAGTCAAGCATACCTTAAAGTTTCAACGCTAAACAAAAGGCTTTTGGGAACAGATATTAATAAATCACCAATGTTTATACATTTTGTTGCCATAAGCCCTCTCCCTGTAGATGAGAATGAAGCTGGTTTCATACTCGGACATAAAACACCATTTTGTTTTGCCCATTGAAAAAGGTTAATGTACTCCTCGTAATGAGCCAACGAAAAAGGAGAAAGAGCTTGCTGCTCGCCTTTTTTATGTCTTTCCCGCCAAGTACGACCTTTCTAGACATTAGCAAAGTAAAAACAACTTGAATTTTCAAATCAATTTCATTGACGCGGGTTCGCTACCACGACCACAATTGGTCGTGACTCGTCCTCGTGAGTTTTGCCACTGGCCGCGCTCAATTCCAGCTTAGAAGGTCTGGGAAAGAGTAAAATGAACATGCTGAAAAACCACTCACTTTAAATATAGATAAACAATGTCAGAAGAAAAATCAGGTGAACAATATATTGATGAAAATTTCGAATGCGATGCGCCACAATGGTATGATTTGGAAAACTTAAAAGACAACAATGAAAATTGTTCTAGTTGGTAAGATGTTTTGAATACAAGTACATTAATATGCAGAGCAGATAAAAATTTATAAGCACAATTTTTTTATTTGTACTATTTTTTACGCACACCTTGGACAACTAAATGCAAGCAACAATGAAACATAATACCCTCATAAATCGTGTAAAAATGTAAATGCTTACTACGTTAATAAAAGTTGTCGAAATAAAAACTTTTAGTGATGAATACAAGTGGTGGTGGTCAGAGAAATGCTACATAATGCCATCACCAGAGATGACCAATTCTACACAACCAGTTGTCAAACCAAAGAAGAACGATAATAGATTATCTGTGGTTTCCATGGAAGAGAAAAAAAACATGCCTCATTGTAATAAATTCAATTTGTGTAGTAACAATGGTTTATCTAGCACATTGAGTGGTGACACTTGCATACTTGGAGAAACCAGCTATAATTCAAATATTTCAACATTGACTAACCAGAAGAGAAAACATCAACACATTTATGTAGAAGACAGCGCTGTTGAGCTGAACTGCAACAATAAAAGAGGAATACAGACAAAAAGCCTCACAAACGATGGCAGCTAAGTGAACACAGCTCAATGTTTAGCCTTTCTCTACAAGATAAATCTACTGGTAAAATATTTTTTTGTGCCATGATGTTACCTCAAATGCAACCAGCTACAATTCTAAAGTTCCTCTTTTTGTACCCACAAGTTCTTCCTTTTGTATCAACAAGTGATTATTCTATTTAAATCATGATTAGCATCAGCTAGTTTATAGCCAAGAAAGCAAAACAGTACTACACATCATTATTAATGTTTATTATTCAAGTAAGGATGATCCCAATCATAATTTTGGGCAAGAGCAGTTCAGGCATTTGAATAAAACCAGTGATACAGAAACTATTAATAACATATATATTCAAGTACTCCTGTAATTAATTATTTATGCTTAGACTTACAACCAAAGCGAAGTACTTCAATGAAGCCATCCTTGCCATCTCGGAAGTCATATGTTATTGCCTCACCTATAAGAAAGACAATACCTAAAGATTTAAAGACTGTAAGGCGCTCCTGCCCTCAAAAACTTGAAAAAACAAATGGTACGATGGTAAGTAGTGACCTTGCATTAAACTATAGTCTAAAGAGGACCAATAGCTGTTTTCTGTTCAGGCAGGGTACTCATCAAATAATAAACTGACAACTGAAGATAGTGAGGATGAAGACATAAAAATGATAAAAGATTTAATAGAAGAGCACAACCAAAAGATTCTTGGACGGAAAATACTATATGATGACAATGGAAGAAGAATTAGGAGAACTGACTTACCACAACGAATCAAAAAGGTTTGTTTGCAAAAAGTATGAACAAGAGGGACTGGTACCAAGTACATAGGTAATGATACTGTGTACAGATTGTTGTATATCACATACAGAAATCTGAAATTTCTCTGATTGCCATTTTATTTCATTGTTGTTAACACGATGCCTACAGAGTCAATTTTCCTCCAATGTTGTTGATCATGTTTCTTTCATACAGAAAGAAAATATTAAGCCAACATGCACTATTTCCATCAACAAAAAATCAAAGGAAGACAGTTTGGAGAATGATATGGCAATACGTGAACTAATTGAAAAACACAACCAACGTATTCTTTCTAAGACAAGCAAGTACGATTTGAATGGAAGAAGGATTTGCAAAGGAAATACAACAGCAGTAGCTCCTAGCTCTGTGATGAAGGAGAAGGTGCGTACCATGATGTAGTTCACAGGTGTAATGGTACCTAGTAAGGAAAGGAAATGGTACGGTTGAAAGTGAATGTCATTTACAAAAAAATAGCCATTATTTTTCCTTTAGGGGAAAACAGACAACAAAACACATTGTATGTTTATGCCAAAGAACACAAGAAGATCTGGGTTACATCAAACTGTACGTAAACTGGTATGTAATATTCCATAGTAATGTTATAACAAAATTATGTAATTAATCTTATTGCGGCACATTGATGAAATATTAATTCAATTTCACTACTTGAACTGGACAGTTCATTCAAGTTTGAGATTATCTGTTCAATATAAAATGAAATTACAGTTCCATTGTTCTATATTTAAGGAAAAACAAGAGATGCACACAACGCTGACAAGGACAAAAAGTCATCGGAGATCGCATATAGTTGATCAAGAGAAACAAAAAATACCAATAAGGAAAAGTTAATTAAAAAATAACTTGTACAAATGATACCAAAAAATGCAGTTGACAAATTTGTAAATAAAATTCTTATAATGATTAATCTAGAGAGGTCAGGTGTGTAGCAAAAACGCTCCTAAGATTTATAATTAGCAAAAACATAGACATTAATTACAGTATGGTATTATGATTTCAATACATTCAGAAAGCTGAAATATGATTTGAAACAGAAAAAAATATTTTTAAAAAAAATCATGCTTTTTTTAATGGAATTGTATTAAAATTTATTTTGTTGAAATTTAATGGAAATGTACTAAAATTTAATTTGCATTGATGGCAGGTGGTACCAGATCTACGAATATAAAATATTAATAGGGATGCTGGTACCAGATCTATGAATATAAAATATTAATAGGGATGCTGGTACCAGATCTATGAATATAAAATATTAATAGGGATGCTGGTACCAGATCTACCAATATAAAACATTGAGGGATGCTAGTACCAGATCTACCAATAAAACATTGATGGAAGGTGGTACCAGATCTACCAATATAAAACATTGAGGGATGCTGGTACCAGATCTACCAATAAAACATTGATGGAAGGTGGTACCAGATCTACCAATATAAAACATTGAGGGATGCTGGTACCAGATCTACCAATAAAACATTGATGGAAGGTGGTACCAGATCTACCAATATAAAACATTGCGGGATGCTGGAACCAGATCTACCAATATAAAATACTAATAGGGATGCTGGTACCAGATCTACCAATATAAAACATTGAGGATGCTGGTACCAGATCTACCAATATAAAATACTAATAGGGATGCTGGTACCAGATCTACCAATATAAAATAATAATAGGGATGCTGGTACCAGATCTACCAACTAATACAATGGCATTGACCTATCACAAACCTGTCACTCCATTTAAGATGAACCAAAAATGATGTCATTGATACTCGACATTTTTTACCCTAAGGACAACCGGAACTGACGTACAGGGAATCATACCGATCTCTGTGATCACCATAGAAACGAAATCAGAAGGCGTGACATCATAGACTAAATTCAATAGGTTAAGCGAGTCATACTGTCGCCAGTTGTTAAGAATCTCGTCACCTGGAGAATGCCCGTCTGGTATCAAGTCGTCCGGATCACCTTTATAAGAATCAGAAAATGTTTAACTTTCAAATTTCAAATTAATTTTCCATGGAAATCTCCATGTCATAATAGAGGAAAAAATAAAATTCATGAAGAAAGTAAAGGATTTTTATTAATAAAAACAAACACGTACGGTACGTACCCAACTCGTTAAAAACAAAAGCATCCGTTTGCACACGATCACAGAACTTGTATGTTTCACAACAAACTAGAACGGGAACATTTGATCTCTTAGCTACCAGGGTCACCATGGCGGAACCAATCCTCGACATTACACAACCATTTGCCAGCAACGCATGCGCACCAAGAAAAACTTTAGACACCTGCAATATAATGGTACGTAATAAGGTAATGTTGGAATAAAAGAATTGGTGTATAATTAAAATATTTCCAGGTCGATTATCCCATCATTTCCTACTGTTAGCATTTAACAAACTCAGAAAATGAACAACTTTTAACATTACTTTACTTATTTAATGAAGTAACAAATAACGCAAAAACTTTTTCTTCATTCGATTTAGAGCCAGGTCTTGCGCACTGACAAAAAACTTCATTTCCATGCAATTCAGAGAATTTCCCAATAGTTATAAAAACAACTTGGTCAGTGGAATGAAGAATAAAAAATAACGACAGTTACAATAACTATAAAACATGCCTCCTTGATAAGATACGCCAGTGATGTTATTTGTGCATAAGAACATCGCACACCATGTTTTAATAACTGTTTCAGACAACGAATTCCTGGAAAATTAAGATGATAAGATAAGACAAATAATAACCAAAGAAGTAAAATGATCAATAGCATGTCTCAACGTGGAAAATGTCGTCTGTCTCGTGTTGCTGCAGGACGATGATATCGATTATACAAAATACCTTCATTTTTTGGTCTAGAATCAATTACAATCACATGAAACCTTTTTCCTGCATCGAAAGCGTCTTTCAAAATCTTTACAATTAGCGATGAGCTATAAAGTACGACACTGTTAAGTCAAATACCGATTTAGAAAACTGATAACGGCAATACACATACCATGCATACGTCATGATGACATCACCATCGGTGACTTTCTGAATGGCATAAGTCTTGGAAATAGCTTCGCCAGCCAGCACTATTTTTCTTTAATGAAACTGTCCACACACTCAATCAGGTTTGCCTTAGCCTAGAATGAAAAACATCAGGACAATATAGGGCAATGTTTCAATAAACAATACAATGCAAGGTATTAACAACCAATAATGAGTAGGATATTAACAATCAATATAGGACAGGGTTTCAACAAACAATATCAAAGATCGTGTTGTAGATATGCTACATAAATAAATCCATAATTCATGTGGTGACGAAATTTTACAAACCTGTTTTTCTGACATAGTTCGTGGTGTTTGTGTTATTTGCAGTTTTAGATATTTGATGGCATTTCCCATGCTCACTGAAAGCGGACGACATTGTGTTAAGAATCTATAAAAATTTATCACAGGTAATAATGAAAAAATAACATCAGTGTAGTTAAATTATTCGACAGTTACAGCCACTAAGATTGTTGGATAAGGTAGGATAGTGTAGGATAGGTTAGGATAAGTTTGAGTAGGTTACTAGGTTTATACGTGGCATACTTCTTCAATGTAGTTCACTAGGTTGAATATGAAAATACGCTACTGAAAATGATTACGAAACATAATTCTATACTTTCTCGCTTTCTTTACATCATTTAAAATACTTACGTAATATTAGGTTTTAGTTTGGCTTCAAGATCTCTATTTAATTCTTTATCAGTTGGTGTCGTGTAGTCCGTAATCACCTGCACAAACGACAATGAAAATCATGAACATGAATCATAGAAACAATTAGAACTAATTATAAGGTGACTATTTCCAAGTATAGGAAATTGTTTCGATTTTTAAATTTAAGTATTTAAAATCTTAAAATATCTTAAATAGCACAGGAAACAATTCCAAAACTGGTATTGATATGCCTAAAGACGTCGTTATTTGGACGACGAGTTAGATCTTGATTTTCTTGTAAAATATGACAGAGGTTGCGAGCTATTGTTTTGAACGTAACCAATTTTTCTCAGTTTTTTATCAAGCTTTTCAAATTATCTAGGCAAGATAATTGCAAGCGGAAGAATATATTGGCTCACTAGAATTAAAAAGAGGAAAAACATTGTTGCAACTAAAACCATCCCTTCTCTGGAAAAAACAGACAAACATGAGTATTAATCAAAGAATATTTGTTGCGGTGTCTAGTCAGTCTTTACATGTCTCCCATCAAACCATACTATTTTTCATTGATATCAAGATATTTTCTCAGATACCTGGTACTTTGATTGCCGGCAATGTACCGCAGCTTAACGAGGTTTTACTTGTAAGATATAAAATAGAAATATTTTAAGATTACTTGTTTTAACGCGACCAACAACGAAACGCATCTTGCGTTGGAACCACTAATAATACCCTCAGCATGTTGTAATCCAAGTTTTATGATTGCTGGATGAATACTTCCTGATGTGAACCTTTCCAAAAAAAATATTCTATACTTTCATGGAAGGATGGTAGAACTAAATTATATATAATCATAGCTATAGGCATAAATGGCATATCTGATTAATTATTAACTAAATCAATTGTACAGCTCTTTCGGATGAGCTAAAGATCATCACCACAGCTCAAATACTTTAGGAGATGAGATCCTTACTTGATTTCTTTTGTAAGACTCTGTTGTCTCTCATATTGATGTAAATGTGAAAAAAGGCCAACTTTTTTCTGCACTGACATACGCTGAGGAACATTCTCTTTAGCAAGTTTCTTTGCAATTTTCTTTGTAGTTTCTCATCGTCTGCTTGAACACTGGACAACACTCTAACCTCACCTTTGGCTACATGATGGAAATAATTTTAGTTCAGTTTTTTTCTGAAATAGGACACAATCTTCCACAAAATTATGTTAAATGCATTGTTCCCTCTATTAAGCAAACTTGCTGGTGAAATTGTCAATCATATGTAAGTTAAAATAAAATAAAAAATATGAAAGTTACCATCAGATGTAGTGGACTTGGTTGTTTTGCCAATTTCTTGTTTTTGAATTTTATTCCATCTTTGACTTCCCTATAAGCAATAAAAACAGTATCTTCAGTAAGAACGCATTGATTTGTATCAAGTTTGCCTGAATAAAATCTTTTAACCTGTTGTCCTTTTTTTTCTGTTTTATTTGCACCTTCTCCACTATTCTTTCCAGAATCTTTTGTCATTTTGCTGTCTTCTGATGAAGCTGGCTCATTTAAGACTTTGTTTTTGGCAGCTCGTTGTGCCTCCTAAATGAAAAGACATATTGAATTTAACTAGAATATTCATGTGTACATATAATTCAATGCAGGACAACAAGTACATTCAACTTAGGTGTTTTAAAATTCATGAACTTTTAAATCTGTTAGAGCTTTCTACTTCCAATCATTTCCATTGTCCTACTTCAAAATTATCTGAACAGCTTGTGATGCAACTGATGACATTTTGAATTTAATAAAAAAATAGAAAAAACTTTGCATAGTGTGACATGGCACTCTTTGAAACCTGTTTGGCCCTTCGTTCAGCTTTTAATTCTGCCTTAGACTTTTTCCCTTTCTGAGCAGTTTGGCCCTCAATGATCTTGGGATTTCCCTTCTTTACATCACGAGGTTTGTTGGGTTGAAGGTCGTCTGGTTTATCCATTGGAGCTCTTAAAAAAATAATAATATAGGACCTAAATGATGTCAAAATAAAGCGATCATTTGGGGGAGAAATCCTCAAATATAAAGTCACGTATGATAAGCCAGAAACCCAATATTTGTTGTTGAAAGTTATCGAGCAACAAAATTTTGCTTTGCAACGAGCTTTCTTAGTTAATAGAGCTGGTGAAATAACACAATTATAAATGTTTTTATACCACGGTCAAAGCAAGTGAAAAACCAAAACAAACCCAACAAGGCAATACAGAGTGCTTGTCCAAGAAACCACTTATTTTTCTCTATTTTTTTACTATTACTCCATATTCAACGTTATTATGTTTATCACTATTTAAATTTACAATTACAAATCACAATTCACAATATTACAAATTAGATCCCAGTCCTCTTCACGTACTCGTTAGAATGGCACAACCACTCCGCTTACCATCTTACCAACGTGCTGTGTGACCACAAGACTTGGTGATGACGATTCGTAGGAATTTCAAACTATTACAACAGACAATTTGAAACATTCTTCACGTCAGTATCTCAAATTTTCACATCAAGATGAAATGTTCAAAATGACTTGGCTTTACACTATATAATATGAATTTGGTAAACTAGTATACTTTTGAAGAATTTTTTGACAAAGCATTTTTTGACAAGTTAAAATCTGAGCAAGATAAATTCAGCCAGGATGATTTCCAAAAAAATCTGTCAGATAGCTACTTAAGAAAAAATATCCCAATTTCCAACTACGATAAAATAGAGCGATAGATGTTAATATTGATGGTTGGATAATTTGTCTGAAAGACATCACACATCCTTAAACTACAATTTTAAATTTTCATTATTTTCAGGGTTCGTTACTTCGTTTAATTGCTTGCCATGCTATAAAACAGGTCAAAACGTGTACTCCGCATTCATACCGGAAGAAATACGGTTTGGTTAATAAAGCTTTCGTAAAAATTTAGGAACACACAAGACACAGTGTTAGTAATGGGAGATGCGAAAGTGTATTTTTAATGTTATATCAAATCATCAAATAAAATTTTAGTAAAATTGGAAAGTTTGAATAAAAAATTAAAGCAATTTAGGTTTTGAATAAAAACAAATAATTAAACTGCTCAAAAAGTAATTTTTCGTTTCCTTCAACAAGGTGGGGATGTATTATATTTGTCATTATGTGTCATCAAATGTGTATAATTAGTCAAGCGCTAGCAATCATAGACAAGATTTTTCTTTATATGGTAAATAAAGAAGCAATGTGTCTTCCCGCATTAATGACAGGTAGGAAAGTGGGCACTTGAATATAAAAATACAATCACTTTTATTTAAGGAGGTATTTGTCTTTGACGTATCAATCATTAGTGCAATTTTATTTACTCGTGAAAAGACAGGATGTATCTCTAGTGACCACAAATAAATTTAGCTACACTTACATTGTCCAGAGTTGCTTGTGCATAAATTGGTCAAGAAACTAATTAGACTTTTTTTCTCCAAACACTTAACCATATATAGAACTTACCAACTTCAATTGTTCGGTCTGTACGGTAGCTAAAGAATGGTACAATATATGAAACCTAAGTTGTATTGTATATCAAGCCAAATTTTCACGAAAGAAATAATTTCAAAGACAGGAAAGTTAAAGATTTGAAAGAGTATATTACAAGGAAGTAGCTCTATAATCATGTAGTTACCATGAAAATCTTTCTGAGACGCATTTTTCAAATAAAAAATATATATATATCTTTCACATGTTTAAATCTTACAAAACCAACAAAACGCACGATCCATGTATGTTGTACCATTAGTTTATTTGACTTCTTTTTTTCATGACGATTGTCACGCAATTAAGGAAACTCAAAACAAAAAACTTCTTTCAGGGTTTGGTTTTGAGTAAATAATATATACAACGATTGAAAATGCGATGTCACACAGAAAGGTGGGTATAAATAGGAAACAGGATCCGCGTCTACAAGTGTGTCGCTTTGCACAATAAAAAATACATCAAACAATCCCTTGTTGGCGTCTTCAGAACGCGCCAAACAGACTTCAGACAACCAAAGCTCATTGTTAAAGCGAAACATATAGTGGGTTCTTTTGTCAGAGTGTTTTGATTTTGCAAATTTCCATTTTCTTTTGGTCTATTTATACGTGTAGAAGGAATAGCGTTCATTGTACTACTAAAAGAGACTACTAAAAGACATAAAGGAACTACTAAAAAAGACATAACTACTAAACTGAGATACCAACGATTTTCCAAATAACAGTATATTAATACTTCTCAACATTTTTAATGTAGTCGATATTAGTTGATAAATTATCTATGATATGCGTTACTTTACGAAGAAACTCACTTCGCAGAATTTAGGAACTGTATAAACGATATGACAATCACAAGTGAGATGAAGGAATGAAAAACCTTGTTACCAGAATTTCTTGTTAAGTTTGATGCAAAACAAAATTTCTCATCAGAAGATCTATGTATTGTTGAAAGCTGTAAACCTGTAAAAATAAGTTTCTAAATCGCTTAGTCTTTCATAAGTTATAAATGGAAAAGTATGACTAAAATTAAATCAACTATACGTCAAATAAAAATATGGTTAAAATAAAAAGAACGTCGAAAGTTATTAAGAAACGAAAGAATGATTTTGTGCTATTGAAAATGTGACTAAAAACTGTAACATCACAACAATGAGCCCCCGCTCGGTCGAATGTAAAACAACACGGTGAGAATAACATATGACTAGAAACACCTTTTCTTACATGACGTAATCCTGTCTTTTTAACGTGACCTAATTGTGCGGTATTCACTATGTTCATCACGTTTCTCACAATTTTTCTCAATAACGAAAAGAAACTCGTTATTTTCACGAATAAAAAGTGACATCTCAATCGTCAAAAAGATAACAAGTCAAATGTGATGACGATCCTTTTGTTTCGAAATAATTTTTTTCGACAAAAACTGTCATGGGATAAAGTACGAAGTGCATTAAAGGTCAATAATCTAAGTTTAAACCTTCAATACAACTAAACAAAAATAACTTTAAGTCAGTGACGTTACTTAATCGACAATTTGTAGTTGGGCAAAGTTTCGGTAATTTTCATAATCCTTCAACACTAGTTCACTACACCAAAACATAAAATATCCAAGAAAAGAAGAGAACAGTTCCCTCCCATTTTTTCCACGCGTAATCATGGTCACAAGAAAGCATGATGTAAGAGAAATTTCAATTTCCCGGAGATCCGGACGTGAAATAATTCCTGGCAATCTTAATCAGTACATAAAGTAGAGCTAACTTTACATCAGAAGATAATTGGTTCGTTTTTCAACAATGCAAAAGCGCAAAACTATCTCCATTAACATTGTCTCCTAGTAACTTTAAATATCTAAAAACCGACACGTAAAAAAAGAGGGTGGCCATAAAAAGGGAAACTATGTGACTCGAATTTCCGGTCATATGCTGTGGTCATATGTTCATGACGTCAGTAAGTTTATAAATGTCCGATGCAGCATAAGTAATGTCATTGTTGTAGTGTTCTCGCACAGCGTAAGCAAGAGTGTTGTTACTGAATACAAATAAAGAATTAAATACATCGAGGATTTCGAACGAATATACGTTTTTTAAAGTGTGTTGCCTTTAAAGCTTAAGTATGAGAGATTTAAAGAAAAGACTTTCACAAAGCATTGAACATTTGCATGATCTTATGTTTGACAGGAACGAAGTGGATTCTGTGCCATCAGGCGCAGATTATACAGGAGTTATATATCGCGAAGGATATTTGTTTAAACAAAGTCGTCGAATGAGAAGATACTGGAAGACGAGATACTTTGTATTAAGAAGCGATGGTCTGTTGTACTATCGAAGCAACTTAGAAAAAGATAACGTTCCTCTTGGGGTAATACCTCTGACACGTCTCAGTGTCCATGTCGACTGTATGGACAACAAAGGAAAACCTAAGTATTGTCTACGACTGTCTGGGAAACATTTGAAAACCTTTATACTTTGCTGTTTTGCGAGTGACGAACGAAACTGTTGGCTTACCGCCTTGTTAACGGCAATCTCCGAGGATATAGTGTCAACGTTCACTCTTCGTAAATATCGTGATGAGAGATGTTCATCAGTATCAAGCACAGACAGTGGCATATGGGAAGGACCTAGCACTCCTCGAGGTCCATCACCGCGCAATAAAACATTACTAAATATAAACAGACACAGTGCAATGAAACGTACAGGCTCGTGTGATATTAATGTTCTTTATCATCAAAGACAATTGAGTCGTGAGAAGTATTTAATGCGTCGACCGTCAAGGAGTTTAGGTAGTCTTGCTCAGTTAAACGAACTTCGTGAATTAGATGTAAGTGTAACTAATGACAAACGTGCAGTGAATGCACCAAAAAAAACAAGAAAACCATCGCGGTTTTGGAAATCAAAAACACGTTCGTCGGACGAAATGACAAACTGGCAAAGCAGCTACATCGATTTATCGTGCATTGCTTGATGCCAAAATTCTACTTTGATACACTTGATTGGAGTCGTTATGTTATTGGCGTTGTGGCTTTGTAAACAAAAACGTCTCAGTTACCTAGGCGATGAGATACTTATCTATTAAAATTGTTCATATCTAAGTTATTGCAAGGAGGAAAGAAGACTTTAAATTAAACGGGAAACCTTCGTTATTATAGTAATCTGTTATATAGCAAATAGTTTACGTAACAGATGTTGTATAAGCTGACCTTAAATGGACTGTACATAATGTATTTCCTGTTTTAACTTTAATAAATTTCGCATTTTACGTGCGCTTAAAAACGCTAATGGATGCATGGTTCAGTATGTTTTTAAGTCGAGATAATGTCACCATTAAATTTAGTTGAAAAAAAAAATTTAGTCGGTATCGTGCGATGCATTTAAAAACAATTTGGTTAATATCTTTTGAATTGTATCAATTCCTGTTCAATAAATTTGGATAAGATGATAATATTATTTCTAAGAAACAGTCTCGTTTAATATGATAAAGACGACGAGTAGACAAAAATGTTCGATGAAAACCTATGATTAACGTAATAAGTGATCACGTTAAATTGTTCTCGCAGCTGACGACATAAAAGGTGTGGAAGTCAAAACAAAGGCAGGAAAAATGTCATTACGTTTCCTTCTTGAATAATTTAGAAAAGTTTTGCAACAGATAAAACACGAACAATTGAAAATGCAATAGTAAAATCTATGCCTTCTGCTCACTTTTGAGATCTTACAAACCATCAAACATACCCTTGAAATGTAATTTCCTCACCTGATAAAGCTCACAGCAAGATCACTACATGATGCTCCTCACGCCTACAACAAAAGTATTTATAGTAAGAACAACTTTAAATTTGTACAAAGTTCAAAACATGTTGATTAAGTCACAGTTTTCACGTGCATCGCAAACATTTCATTATTTCTACGATGCTCGCATTCGTTTTAAATTATTTTTTTCAACAAAAACAAGTGCCCATGGCTCCATGCAGAAATTGACACCAATATTGACGTCGCAAGTGAAAACACGCACATTATGCTAATTAACAATAATATGAATGATGAATGTATTCTTCCACAAAACTACAGGGCTTTCTATGGAATGAACGAATCAACCGGTTAGCTTTTAACTATGAACAAAATTCTTACACATCTCTTGATGCTACAATGCTCATCAATCTCAATAACATCGTGAAATATCAGATATTTAGAAAAAAATATTTATAATGAACCAATATATAGAATAAATTTCACTGAGTTTAAAGAACAAAACAGATAACAACAATCGTTTTAAAATCATAGTATAAAAGATTGAATAATGAAACAAAAGCATCACACATGTTTGATACGTAATGTTTAAACAACAGGAAAGATGCCATGTATTTTTAAACACTTTAGTGAAAGTTGTCCCAGACACAGTTCCTTTGTGGCATAACGATTGAGTACGTATTAAAACAGTTCCTCGATCCAATCTTTCAGGTGTTAGGCGGTTATATTGTGTTGGTGAATATATTTTCTCCAGGCCAAAAATAGTCTTTACAGCCAAACGGTTTTGTTTTTGTTTACTCAAACCCGCGGACATCGAATAGTTTAACGACAAAGTAAAGCCAAGTAAACGAGAGAAAAAAAATTGTTACGATGATTGTTGATATTGCTTGTTAGTGTTGATTTTCTGTAGCATTGATAGAAATCGCTGCATCCACAGTTCAAATTATACAGCTACGCTACTATTACTATTACCACAGTCTTTAAAACTGACTGCACCTGTGACTTATTACAAAATTTTAATAATACATAGCAATATTATCATTGATAAATTAAACATGTGTCGACACAATTTCTACATTAACAACTAGAAAATTCCATCATTCTTATCATGCCATAAAGCAAACAACTTGTGATTAACAGCATGTAATCTTGCTGGTATATTTTTTGCAGTTTACTTTCCACTTGCTTGTTAAAAGTTTTATTGCAGTCGGGCCCTGTGAGGCTCATTTGCCCCAAGGTCGGCTCATTTGCAAAGGAAATTAAATTTCCTGTCGTTTACTGACATCAAAAAGCAATTCTCTAGTATAAAAATGTTGAATGATAAAAAATCACAAGAAGTCAACGTAAAAAAAAAACCCATAAAATTTCTGTCTGCAATACGCTCTAAATATTTCCTTATTGGATACTCCGGTTGCTACATTGGATAAAATGTTTTATGGAAAAGCGGTAAGTAAATAGAAAACACCTTGAAAATTAATCCCTCTTTGACGTCATTTATCAGTGGGAACAATAAATGAAATCTCGAGTTTGCCTCATTATAAACATAGTAACTTGAAATGGACAAATTATATTGCAAAGCAAAAGTCATGTTTCCTATATTAACTGTTTATCCTTTTTGTCGAAATTCCTAATGGCATACATGTGTGAAAAAGAATTTTCTTGCTTTCATAAAAGTAATTACATCTATAGAAATTATTAAAAGTTTCCGCAACATAATTGGCCATATAGATCTTTCTTTTATTTTCTCTTGAATAACTTAGCTCTCAGTTGTTAGAGGCTGAGCATCTATCCAGTTTAGTTGAATGCTTGTGGTTTACGTGCAAGAAAGACGTCATTTAAAATAAATCTTAAGTAGACGACGTGACCAGTATTTCAATTAAAAACTCTTATCAAATACCATGAACTTATGACAAATAGCTGACAGGGTGGGTGTTTTCAATACTCAATGAAATATCATAAAATGCCGTAGACTATCAGTATCAGACAACGTGGGTGTTGGTATGTTACATTAACACACGTGACTGATATGTTATCCAAAATTTGATACAGTTTCTGTCGTAATCAGTCTAGTCACACACAAGGCAGCTAAAATTTCACTGAAGAATGTCAAAGCCATCAAGAAATTTTCTAAAATATCACATTTTGCTATACAATGTTGCAATTATAAAGCAATAAACGAGAAATTACAGTGACTAAATTCCAATTTATACACTGATACACTTCACTTAGAAATATTGTACATTGTCACTGGTCTTTTCCTTGCAGACAAATTACAGACAAAAAACGAAAGCATTTCCGAATACCGAAATATTAACACAACCGTTGTCCCAAAATGGTAGGAAACGTTTTCTTCCAAAAATTCAGGAGGTTAAGATACTAATTTATGAGATCATGTTCCATAAGCAAATCAAGAGTTTTCTTAAATAATTTTTCTAATTGCAAAAATATTTTCAAAGAGACATGCATAATGACATTGCTGTATCTTTAAATACATGAAGTAATGAAACAAATGTGTTAGCTTGATACATCTATAAAGTTAAATACATGAAGTAGTGAAACAAATGTTTTAGCTTGATACATCTATAAAGTTAAATACATGAAGTAGTGAAACAAATGTTTTAGCTTGATACATCTATAAAGAAAGTATTGACAGCACACAAGCACCAAGGGAAAGAATGTATGAATCCATGAGCTTCAAATGTAACCAACAAATAATCTCAATATTGTGCACACTAGAATATATTTGGAAATACATATAGTATCTTTGAAAATTTACAATATGTTGAGCTTTTGAAAAACACAATCATAATATAAGTGAATGCACGTACATCAATATAAATACTATGTAAATGTTAATAAAACAAATAGTCACATTTAATAGGAAAAGAAATTCTAATTTGGTGAACGAATATTCTTATATTTCCCTCTTCTCAAGCACAAACATATGAAAATAATCACATCCCAATTAGCATCCTAGTACCTCCCGCATTAAAATATATGTTATGATCGAAACCTATCATGAATTATAAGTTTGCCATAAGGTCCAGACGAATAAATATATTTGTTTCCATTGTTATCTTCTACATATAAACTACTAGGATCTCGATGCTGTAGTAGGCCCCATTTTTTTGATAGTAAAGACAACACAGATTGATCATGTCTATGTCCAATAAAGCCATCATGATTTTTACCCAAAACATTAGGATCATCGGTGACACAACGAGCATCTGACGAGTATGCAAGCCACTCCATAACAAACTGCAGTGTTTTACAATCTTTGCGCATTACTACAAAAGATGCCAGAGTTTGGAAACTTGTTTCAATAAACTTTGGGAAATTCATCTCCATGACAATAAAGGTATCACCCTTAGTGTAGTATTTCTCCAAAAATTGAAGAGTAAATACAACTATTCCTTGCAAAGAATCACTAGCAAGTTTAAGTAATGGTCCAGCATCCTTTATAAGGTAACTGCCTGCATCTTCATACATGACTACATCGCCAAAATCCAAATCTTCAATAAGTGTTTTCAGAATCAAGTAAGGCTTCCAAAGCCAGTAACCAGCACCCTTGTGCCGAAAAATAATATTGCGATGAGTTTTACGGAAATTAGCCTTCACTGAGCATAAGTCATAGGCATGTGCAACATGAAAACCACCAACTTCCATAGCATGTCGCACAGCCCTAGCTTTCGAAATCTCACAACAATTTTCACCAAATGTAATAAAGTGTTTCTTAAAAGGTAGGCTCTTACTTGACACATTAAATTTTTTTGCTTTCTTTCTGGTTTCTAAACTATCTCCTTGTTCCCAGGGTTGGTTCCATCGAAAAAAGGTTCTTTCATAAGAGCTTAAGTCTACAGGTTTTTTAAAACTCCATTTAGTGTTTGCAGTATCGAAAGGCAACTGTATTTTTTCGCCATTCAACATGGATACAGCGATATTAAGTAAGTCGAAACATTGGTTCATTTGTTTATTGAACTTTGGAGGTAAGCTCAATTGTTTATGACCTTGCCTACAACGTCTCTCGATAAAAATTTCTCGCACGAATGCCAATCTTGTACTCAATTTGCACAACCCAATCATAAACAGGAATATGAGAAGTAAAAATACCACCCTTCTTTTTCGCATATTTCGAAGACTGACGTTTATCGTTTTGAAGTAAATTGGCCATAAAAATGTGATAAATTGTGATGTCACGTGTGTTTATTTTGAGCGAAACGTCGGCATGGGGAAACAAAAACCAATGTAAAGTTGAGGCGGAACTTTCATGCATTCAAAGTTGCTGTCGAGAAAGGATAGTTTTACGACAATACTCAAGTACATTTAACTTGAAATTAAATTTTCCATCAATCATTTACAACAGTCTGCAAAGAGTAACAACAATTAACGCACTCACCACTTGACTTTATATTGTCTTCACATTTAAATAGCTATAATTTAGAAATTATACAAATTTTTTTAAACTTGGCCAGTATGATAATTTATTGTCAAAATATATCCAAAATTAGGTGGCACAAAAATAAATGATAGAAAATCATCGACAAAGTCGGATGCACTTTGTAAATAATCTTATATATTTAAGTTAAAATTCCAGTTCTTTCAAACAGCCTTATAAATGCCAGGTAAATTTTTTAAACTTGGCATATTGTGAATTCTTATTTGCACAAAATAATGGCACAAAATAAAAGGAATAATATTTAGTTATTTAAGAATTTGTCGCTTCACAAGCTTGGGCATAAAAAATGTTGGGTAGAATTTTTTAAAGCTTGGTCAAGGAGATATATTTGACTAAAATATATCCAGAATCTTTCACTCCTTGCTTAACTTTAGAAAACATCGGTCGGATGAACCGATGCCGTAATTAATCTTATTTAATTAAGAATTCTTCTCTCCAACCTTAAAATAAATAAACTACACCTGAAATTTCTTAAACCATATGTATAATTATATTGTAAACAACTTGTCCTCTAAAACTCATAAGTTCATAAAAGTTTTTTTTAGTAAAAGTTCATGAAATGTTCACAAAATTCTTTTTTTCACAAAATTCAAAATAAAAATCAATAAATTTATAAACTTGGCCAGAATATAGAACACATTCTAAAATATAAAAATAGGAAAAAAATGCGAGAAATCAGATACACATCGGATACACGAACAGATAACTTATATAATTAACTTCTATGCCTTAATTTTTCAAACAAATACCTATAAATACAAACTCGTGAAATTTATTCTTTATCCAGAATATAGATAATTATATTCAAAATATATCAAAATCTAGAGGTGACAAAAAATAAATGATAGAAAATCATGATAAAGGGATGACACAGCGAATATAATCTTTATATTTAAGTTTTCGTTCTTTACAAACAAATTTAAATAAACACACGAGAAATTTTGAACCAAGTCTTTGTCATAAATATCCAAAATCTGCCAGTGGCAAAAATAAAGCGCGGATAATATTCAAGAGCTTATTCTCTATCAATAGGTTTCAAATGTCGTGCAACAGATTGTAAAATATCTTTTGTTTTTTTCCTCCAGTTTCTGACTGCTTTAGATATGGTACACCACGTCTCTCCATGATGAGGTTCGGCTATCTCGCAGCGTTTTAATACATTTTCTTGTTGATTCTGTAAAAAAAGTAGAAAAAGGGTAAATGGATAAAACAATACGTAGACAGCAATTGTTGGTCAATTTCCCATGCAAGCTAACCTCAGTGCCATGTTGCTGTTCAAATTTATAAAAATATGCCCAAATGTCGCCAAGATCTGGGTCAAGTTTCACTGCTCTGTTGAACCATTCTCTCGCTTTCGTTACTTTTCGTTCACTCCAAAACAGTTTAGCGACAGCCAACAAAACATTTGGATCATGTTCACAACGTTTTAAAGCGTCAACACTTTTTGTCTTTCTCTGAGGTCTCGCTTCCATAAATATTGCTTCTGCCCAAAGTATTCCAGCAGTGGGACATTCCTGAATTGCTAAATATATCAAAATGATTCATCACTTATATGTGTAGCCAAATAATTTAAAGCAATCCAAGCATTTTGATATCAAAAGGATGTCCTTGCGACAAAAGTCAAAACTGAACCGCATTAAGATAATGAAATTATGGGCAAATCATACGCTTTATACAATTTTTACAAAAGGAAATTAAAAACAAACAGTTTTCAGGATTATTTCAAAAAGCACTCCTGTTTAATTTCAATGCATTAGGAGAATAATTTGGCATTGAAAGAATTCTTCACATGTAAAATATATGACCATATTATAATGAAGATACAAGTATCGCAAGAAACAGAAACCTTTAGCCATTAATGATTTTGCAAATTCCCTGTTATCACCACGAATCTCAATTCTGATGGCTTCCAGCCAAAGTTCAGCACATTTTGCATTTCTTTGTCTTGCTTGCTCTAGCACTGACCTTGCTTTCGTTGAGAAACCTACACAAACAAAACAAAAGTCGTTCATGACACTACTTATGTTTGTTATTATATATATCTTATACATTATAAGATATTTTATGGTTTCTGTTTACTCTTCCTTCTCTCATCCGGCTGGACGAAAGAAAAAAACATTGGTGAGCAAAGCGGACACAATTCTAACATAATGCACTAATTCAGAACAACACAAACATATTGACGAGTGATACAAAACAGTGCAATATTTTCACCTATTTTTTCCTCGAGTCTTGATCTCAAAATCCACAATGGTATTGATGTTGGACATTTCTTTACCTGATCAACGAAAAAAAAGAAAAATACCGCATAAGTTATAGAGTTAAAATGCAGACATTGCATAACTATACTTCAATATCCATGAATACCCCTTGTTTATACGTTTCCCTCGCATCATCTTCCTTCCTTTCTTGTTCACAGATTTGCCCTTTCATCATCCAAAGCTAGGAACAAAAAAATCCTTCATCGTTTAAAATTACATGATGTAGTGGCGATGATTCCATGTTTTTACAGAGTTTCATGAATGAACAGTTTAAGAAATATGTTGGCAATAAAATTTAATAACGTAATCAGAGTTAAGTATCTACAATGTTTAAGTATAGAAGGATAGTAAAATCCATCCATTTTATTTTACCTTGGCAAAATCTGGATACTTTTGCACGCCATCATTTAATAAAACTAATGCCTACAATAAAGTTTCATTTGTTTTATGGAAAACTCAATGGATAGAACATCTTCACAGATATAAGAAAAAAAGTTAATCTGACCTCCTTAATGTTTCCAAGAACCCACTCTAATTTTGCTGACTTCATCATTACACGAGCTGTACAGGCATTCAATCGAGCCCTCTGAAGAAGTTTTCTAAACAAAAAAAACAATTAAACTAGTGGTTAGGGGTGCAGGAGTGGCGACAATTTCCCCATAAAATATTTATAAATATCAACCAATTAAGCAAATGCAATTATGATTTGTGTTTTAATGGCGCCCATTTCAAATTAATACTCCCAAATCATGATAAAAGACTAACAGAACTAGACAAAACAATCTGACATGGCACAGGAACACCTACACAGAAGCCAACAAAATCTTATATGAACTAGAGCACACTCCCCTCCCTCCCTAATATTATCATAACTGGATCTGACGGAAGAAGTGATACAGCTTCGTATCCACAATGAATCCTTTCGGTCGAAATTTGTCGTAATAATATGAACAAAAATAACACGAAAATTTTTCTTTTAGTATGTTGAGTTATCTGTTGAAGAATAAGTCACCTCGCTCTCTGATCTTCGTTATTTTCACTCTCCAGTTTCACAGCAGCTAACCATATTTCTTCACTGTTTGGATTTGCTTGAAACGCAAGAGCAAGAATAGATCTCGCAGCAGGAACATCTCCCTAGTAAAATGGAAGATTTGCTAAAGTACACTAAAACCAACTAGCACTGTTGTTTTTAGTTCTTACGGCCATCCATTTCGACTTTGCTCCCATCAGCCATAACTGTTCAGCCTTTGGACAATATTTGACAGCATTCTGCAGCAATGCTTCAAGGGAATCCCTAAACAACACAACTTAATGGTCGATGAATCGTCATAAGCTGTTTAGTAAATTATTTATTTCTTCGCTCACCTTGTCCCATGATTCTTTTCAAAAAATGCAGCTCGTAACCAAACTCCTTTTTTACTTGGAAACACGGTGAGAATGTGAGCATAAATTGCTCTGGCACACTCATGCGCATTATTGGCAACACACTGTTGTAGTAAAGAACATTTAATAAATGAAATTATCACACAGATCACCACAGTTATGTGGTGTTATATTTACATGAAATAATCAGACATGTTGTGCTTGTGATAAGCAGTTGTTATGTTCAGTGGCTGACACAAGAGGAGGAAAGAGGCTCTGAGCCCACTCCCACCCCACCCCCACGGTCCCACCCCCAATAATTTTATGAAGACTAAAAATCCTGTATCAAAGATCACAAATCACACCTATATATCTTAATGTCATGTCATATTAAATAATGACTATTTGGTACACTTCTCTCCCAGCATACCCATTAAACCTTCTTGATTTTTTGTTTTGCATTGGACGTTCTGGGAAATCCCATTCCTTGAGGACCAGTCCCCTCAATATTTCATTACGTGTCCGCCACTGGTAGTTTCACAAACGCTAGGAAGTTCTAGGAAATCCCAAGCTTTGAGAACCAGTCCCCTCAATATTTCATTAAGTGTCCGCCACTGGTAGTTTCACAAATGCTAGGAAGTTCTAGGAAATCCCAAGCTTTGAGAACCAGTCCCCTCAATATTTCATTAAGCGTTAGCCAGTGAAAAAAAAATTTCCAAAGATGGGAGAATGAGATCAAAATCATGTGATGTTCATGTTGTCACTTACACTTTCGGCATCATCAAGCCAAGTGTGTTTTCGATCTTCTTCCTCGATCCCAACGCCAATGACAGCCCGTCTACAAAATCAATAAGATAGTTAACGAGACAATAAATATGCATGTGTTAAAATAAACATCCAACGTTGAACATACATGATAGCTTGACATGTTTCAACGCTGCCAGATTTTTCACTTTCCTCACCATCTTTTATCCACTGATCTCGGTTGATTTCAACGCCATTTGCGACAAGAGATGCAACAGCTTTACAAAAAAAAAGCAAACAAAGAGTCCTATTTTTGAGCACTCATTCAAAGTGTTCAATTTTATGCACGTGATTGACTTACCTCTGTCAATAATCTTTGTCACCATGTTCGTATTACCATGGGCTTCTTCAAGTTTAGCGGCAGTAATCCAGATTTGTCGGTCAGTGGGAATATTCTCTCTTGCTTTATTTAATACTTTTCTCGCGTTTTCGTATACTTCTAATCTTGCTAAGGCCAGCCATAACTACATGTGGAATGGTGGAATGCAAGTCAGTAAGAGATTATAAGATGGAAGAAACAGAAAGCCCTGGACGATAAAAGAAAGTCAATGATCAATGTATATACTCTATAAACGTATATACCTCTACACTCTGTGGACAGCATTCTACGGCTCTGCTCAACAAAATACAAGCATCATCTGGCTCTTCAAGCTCCACAGCTAACTTCCAAAGTCGCACAGAATTGGGAATTTGCTCCAATGCTTCAGAGAAAAATAAAGCATAAACAATAGCTAAGAAAGAGTGCAGAGGATAACAGCACATAAAAGTATTAGTAACAAAACACGTGGTAATAAAGGGAGAGATTAAACAGAGAGAATTGAAAGAAGAAATTTTAGCAAGTATAGTTAAAATAGAGGTGATGCCAATTAACTGTATCACCTTTTCTATAAACACGTTTTTTGGCTTTTATGTCAATTTCCAGTTCGGCAGCTTTAATCCATAATCTAACGGAGTGTGGTAAATTTCTTACAGCTTGAGCCACTGTCGCCTTGCTATGTTCTGATGGCTGTTTAAAAGACACGTATTACATATTATTATTAATAAAGTAAATGGTTTGAACCCGGGAGTATCGTTATATGTTTGTAATTGATGATCGTCCAGGTTAATAAAGTCCTGAGAAGATACAGACTGACGTTTTTAGCGGTCATCTTCAGAGTCATTTTTGACTCTGAAGATGACTACCGCTAAGGTTGTCGAAACGTCAGTCTACAACAACAAAAACAGTCCTTCTCAGGACTTTATTAACCTGGACGATCATCAATTACAAACATATTATTATTAATACTACGAATACAAAATATATAAACTTCTTTGAGCAAAGCATCTGTACAAATAAGAATGAATGATACAAATGTTAGGAAAGGTAGATCAATATAATAAGTGAGTAAATTGGTGTTCTTCCATACAAGTAAAAAAAGATGAATACATAAATATGGTCATTCATAATAACTATGTAAAGTATATCATACCTGTAATCTAACAGCCTCGAGCCAAACATCTTCATCTTTACTACAAACTTCAGTACCTTTCATTATAATGTTCCTGGCTGATTGCATGCGACCAGTGACTTCCTCCAGTCTTGCTGCAGCAATCCAACCTTCAAAAGAAGAGATAAAAGTAAAGAGGGCGTTGATGGACTTAAATTCCAACGTATATTCTCACTCCTAAAGTCATCAATTTTCCATAATTTTGTCTGTCAAAAAACGCGGCTATTTCATACATTGGATGGACATCATAACGCTATCTCCCTCCCAATGTGTTTTAGTTGACTACATACCAGGTCCATGATGAGGGTTAGTTGTCGTCACGGACTTTAACAAGAGACGTGCCTTTTTTATGTCACTATAAATAAAAAAAAAGATGTAAAAACTATCATAACACTTTCATAAAACATGACGCTTAAATAATCAGCAACAAATATTCCAGGTTTCCGAAGTCTATTAAATTATATAAAAGTAGATTGAATCTCACCCTATGTCCCCACCAGATGCTGGAGTCAAACTCTGAAGATCCGTCAAATATCCTTTAGGATCCACCACAGTCTGTCCTGTCACGGAATCTGATGCCTGTGAATGTTTGTTTTTGAAACTTAAAGCATCGTAAACATACATATTTTTATGAAAGACAATCCATTCTTCAAAGACTAATCAAGCGACTTATAAAGTTAATTTTGTCAACAACCACTTTAAATATGTGACTAAAGGCCGATTTCCATTCAGAGCAAATTGTCGCACGATCGTCTTTTTGCGATCACTTTCTTTTGAATTGTGTGCAGCAGTGTGAAACTGTTCGGCTGGGAACTTACAATTGAAAAGAAAGTGATCTCAAAAAGTCGATCGCGCGACAATTGGCACTGAATGGAAATCAGCCTTAACGAAACTTTTATTCCATAATTGCTGAAGTAAGGGCACGTACTCCCAGAATTTGCAAGCATAAATATAGCTAATGGTATGCAATGAAAATAACCTGATCAAGTTTAACGCCAACAAGTGACTTTCTAGCTTCACCAATCTTCGTCAGATCTAGATCCCCGGATGGCGTTGAAAAACCGGGAGTCACTGTCCCAGGAAAGGGAGTCTGGAAACCAGCAAGCAGCTAAAATAAAAAAAAACACAATAAGAAATATGAACGCAAAGTGTAAGAAACATGGAATAAGTAGTAAGATGTGTTGAAACAAGAGTTGAGTGGAATTTCATATTACTGACATTAAATGTACAGTGTTACACAGAAGTTTATTGTTTTTACTTATGTGATCAAAAACTAGGATTTCAAGGATGCTGCAATGTTTATAAAAATTTATTGCCTTTTGACATGTCATTTGAATCAACCATAAAATTTTTCATAGATTTATTTTATAAAAGCCAGTTTAAATGGCAATGTTGACCTTGCTTTGCGCAATCTATGTTATAGAACTTTCTTGTTTAGAAACTTTAGTAGTATGTTTCTCAATTGGAGGAAAGACGGCAGAAAATCAAACAAATCTCTAAATTGCATATGCTTCCTTATAATATTCTTAGTGTTCATTGATTTGTATAGCTCTAAATTGATAAAATGTAAAACATGCATTTTGGAGCCGCCCCCCCCCCCAAGTATAAAGTGTACACTATACAATATTCCTTGAATTTTTGTCCTTCATATAAAAGAATTTATATGAAAACCTGTTGTCTGTGATCCAATGAAGTATGAGTCGCTCCGCTCATCATAGCACTTTTCAACACACTGTCTGGTACTGGAGTAAACCTAAACAGATAGAAATATACTTATTTATTTGGAAATATGTATGACAGCATCACAGCAAACATGTCAGGTCAACCTTCATTATTGCTCACACTAAAAGAGCAAAATTAATGGCCATACCTCACTTCTTTATCAACTCAAACACAACATATACTTTTCTCCCACACCAAACCTCTAAAGTTCACACACATCCCCTCCCAATAGGCAACCCTTGATATTCTGGTCACATTTCCACCATACTCTTATAGTAATACTTCTTCCCCATACCCAACCCCTAAAGGTCAAACTTCTCCCCATACCCTAACCCTAAGGGTCATACGTACTTCTTCCCCATACCTTACCCCTGATGGTCATATTTCTATTCATACCCAACCCCTACAGGTCATATATACTTCTTCCCCATACCCAATCCCTAAATGTCATACTTCTTCCCCATACCCTAACCCTAAAGGTCATATTTCTCCCCATACCCTACCCCTAAATGTCATCTTCTTCCCCATACCCTAACCCAAAGGTCATACTTTTCCCCATACCCAACCCCTGATGGTCATATTTCTCCCCATACCCTACCCCTGATGGTCATATTTCTCCCCATACCCTACCCCTAAATGTCATACTTCTCAGTTTGTGGATTTCTCTGTTTTCTGTTTCTGGCATCACCAACTTCAGGAATGCTATCCCAGTCATCTTTCGTCACATCGGAAAGTTTCCTCTGCAAAGCAAAATCATTGAACAAAAATGAAGCAACTATACTATAAAACATATAAAATACATAAACAGTGGAAGGGGGAGATATGTACATGAAGTGAGTAATAATGATATGAAATGATCTAGTTATAAGAAGATCACCTTTAAATCAGAAAATTGTTGTTGTATTTTTGGTCTCTCCTGACGATACTTCTCAACAACTTCTTTAAACTTTTTTTCTCTTTAAAATGAAAGTGAGTTAAGTTTTTAATTAACAAATCAAACTATATTCCATTCTCCACTATTCAATGATCAAGGTAAAAAAGATGATTTAGTCCAAACTTAACAATTAAAATTTCATCAATTAGCAAATGAATGCTTAACAATTTCAAATTCAAATCATCAAATTCTCCATAAATCTAAAATTAATTTCATATTAAATAGGGTTTGATTAATTTTTCTTATTACTAAAGTGAATGGCTTGAACCAAGGAGACACCATTACATGTTTTTAAATGTAGATAATGCAGGGGTTAGTGCAATCCTGAGGAGGACTATTGTTGGAGGTATTTTTCAAAATCTTTAGCAAGATCACATACCTTCTTTCCTTACGTCTACCATCCATTCTTTTATCAATAGCTTCATAAATTGCATCTGCTTCAATGTCATCTTTCTCATATGGACCGCTCGTGAATAAACTTCCACCATAGCCTGCAAACTACAAGACCGGCAGAAATTTGCCACAAATCAATACTTACTTAATGCAAGTTTTTTCTATAAAGAACTTATGAAAATGTGATTTCCATGTAAATTGAGTGCCCAGAAGTTATTATAAAATACATAATAATTTTGAAATGTTGCAGTGAAGATATTCAGTAATCATACATGGACCAGAGTGGAAAGTTTGTAAACTGTGCAACCAAGTTTAGAAAATTTGTATGCTAGGTGCCTACTTTTCTCAAAATAACAAACCTTACACTTTCCAATGAGGTACATGGAATAAACCTGTCACACAGGGTAACAAAGTATAACAGGTATAATATACAAGTATAACAAAGTATAATATTCTTGCCAGACCTGAAAGTTTGTAGTTTACACAGAAGATCTCAAGTGCGCAACTTTAAGAAATCAATACTTTTATGCTTGCACATTTTAAATCTTGAGTGTGCAGTTTAGAAACTTTCCAGTTTGGTATTCCAGTCATATGCAATACCTCATCATAATTCGTGTCATTCAGATCTTCTTCATCTTCATCATCTTTTTTCTTCTGAGCATTCAAATGTCGCTCGTCACTGAAATTACAATAACATAAGAAATTTACAACATAAAACAATATTCAATAAGTTAATAACAAATACAGGAAGTTTGTACCTAACATCTGTTGCTTCTCGAGCTGGACCAATGTCAGAACGAGTTGTAAATCCCGTTGCCCTTTTGAAAATTACGTTACAAAGTTAGTAGCAACAGACATGGAATAAATAATATACAGGCTAATAATGATCATATTGATGAGTAAGAAATTTCACCATTCCATTAAAATAAGTAAAAAAAAAATTGTTTCACATACCCACGTCCAAGACCGGGGACGTATCCTAAGGGTGCATCGACACCAATGAACGATTTCTTCCTGTTCAAAAAAGCCATCACATAAGTCAAATTTACTATTTTCTTACGAAACTTTACTCCTTACATCCACCAACATGGCGTCTGAGCTTAGCAACCACGCAAAGATTATGCGCAAACTTTCATAAGACTGAGGAGGAGCACATGACATGGCACAAGCACTCGTGCATGGCACACACGGCCCAACCATTGGGTGAGTTGTATAAAACCTAAAGGGAGCCCAGAGGCCCGACTGGGTCTAACCATCTAAAGCACGTCCTAAAATATTTTCATATTTTAATGCCTGTTATCAGAATAACTAGACAAGATGTTATAATTGATAAGATAAAAGAACACTCAGAGAGATGGCAGCCTGTTTCTAACACCTACATTAAAATTGGTAACAACAATGCATACACCTTTCTGTTGAAATGAATAATTTTGCTGAAAAATTTGCATCGTAGAAAGGTTCCCAACAGATTGCACAACATTATTAACAATAATTTCTTGTCAAAGAACATCAAAGGCATCTTTAATTGAAAGTCGTTGGCTCGAATATTAGAGAAATTACATAATTAAATGTTTTTTTTGTTCTCGTGTTTCAGTTGAATGCCCATGTATAAAACAAGCACAAGCGTCTATGCATATAATTTGAACGACTACAGATGATGCTGAACATTGCAACTGCGGTAATATATACAAAGAAAGAATTGATACATCAACAGACACAGTAATATTATATGGTCTCACATTTTGAAACGTCAACGTTTGGACAACGCTATGGTGTAGGGCGCGTCTAATTGCACATTTAATCAACACACCTTTCATAAAATTGGAAGCACTCAAGCAGAATATTTACTGTAGACGTAACCAAATCTCTATTTTCAAAAGTGTTAGCATTATCTCTCGAAAATCTTAATGGCAGATACAACAGGAGCATGTAAGTAAATACTATTCACTAATTTTTACTTGTGAATGTTTGTAAATGTTTTACAATTGGAAAAGTCACACATATAATTACTTTGATTGAGTTAAACTGATTCCCATCTGATTTATCTCAACTCTCCAGCGAAATAAACTCATGCTTTTAAGGAGACACTTTGTTTCACAATTCAGAAATACCTTTCGGTTCTTCAAAAACACTCATTTTCTGGCGTCTAAATTCGTCATATAATCATTACTCTAATAAACGCCGCTCTCGAATAGAAAGTATTTTTACTTTTCGAAAAACACCTGTGTTTAGTAAAATCTTCAGAGAAAGGTAAAAAAAAACACTGAAATCTAAATTGAAAATTATGAAAAACAAAACAATAGCGGCGATAGTGAAGGTTATCTGTTTCTGGTTAAATCTTTGAATACGAAAGCAGTGACGTGTATATTATAGATAGTATTTTATTGCAAGGGTCTTAGGGTAGATTGATTTTAGCCAGTATAAAGATAAATTGTTCTATTCTTGTTAGTACAGTCTCTTAGAATAGATCGTTCTTTCGAATTATCCATAAATAGAAATATTACTTAGGTATTCAAGTATATATTTCAATGGAGCAAGTTTTTGAGAGAACTTTTGCATCTAAAATAATATTATTCCTTTTCAGATATTTTTCTGGCGTTCGTTTTTATCTTGATAGTACTGCTTTTCTTTCTGAACAAGAAAATGAACTCAATTCCCCCACATGGCAACACGCGAAGGGAGTCGTTTGATGAAGAAACATATCTTACGTCCGATTACACAACCACAGAGTTTACGAGCGAATATGCGTCATCTGATGATATAAGTTCATACAGTAGTGACGATGTTCAAAGAAGATAAGGAAATATAGCTCATCGAACTTAGGTTGACGACGCTTTTGACAACAAGAGTGAATGGATAGTAATTATTGCCTACTGTTTACCTCCTACAACCCTAGTTGACGAAACAGCCAGTTACCATAATTAATAACTAGATACAATAGTTGATTAATTACAGGGCCATACATAATAACGTCCCCAGCTCGCACGTTTTGGTCCTGCTATGTACATTTTGCAGCACAATCATCGTTCATTTCATTAGAAATTTGTTGCTTTAGCACAGAGTGAACACTAAAAATTTGTGTAGCAGGACAGACTAAGCTTGAAGGCTGACTGTCCCAATGTATATTTGAACAATGTATAAGTACTACAACTTATGAACTAGCGTATATCCCTATTCCTAAAGAAAAAAATCACATTTAAATGAAAGAAAAAGTCTATTATTTGAGCAAATATAACCTGCTAACTCAAAACGATCATGCTTTATCATATATTTCGTCATAAACGATGACATGTTTGTCCCTATAAGGTTTGAATGCAAAATAAAACGATGTTAAATAAACTTAAGTCTAACTGTGCATATTCCAAACTCGACAACTAATCGTTAAATTTACAAAATACTTACAAAAATTTCAAAAATAAGTTATCGTCAATTTTTTTTTCTTTGGATGACCTCTATTTAAATCGAACAAAGTCATGCCTGTTTTCCAATTTTCCATTTGGACCTCTGCGGGCTAAATATTTCGCAAATGTTTTACCTTCTAAACCTCAAGAGAGACTAAACATGCAAGTTTATAATTTGAAATTATTCGAGAGTACAAAAAATAAATCAAGGTGTTCGTTGCAGGTAAAATATGTTAGCTTTGCTTTCGCTTGCAAGAAAATATACAAATAAGACAAAATTAGCTACAATGCCCTTCTGTGTTGGAGAAATTTTTTATCTATGTACATTTTTGCCTGAACTCAACACAAAGAAGACTGTGAAACAGGTGCAAATGATCCAATCTATTGATCAATAATCTTTTAAAACAATGATGATGCTAATGGAGAAAACAATATCGTTTCGTAAGGACAGCATGTGCGATAACATCATTTAATAAAAATGTTAGAGACATAATGAAATTACCAAATACAAAGGAAAAATCTACGAAGCTTTGATAAAAAGCTCAGAATTGATAATCAGAATGAAACGTGTGCAATTAGAAGCTTTATAGATGCCCACGTAATTTAACAACAATCATCACCCATTCAAATAACAACTACTTCTCTAAAGTATCGGAAAGATGACACAGAGAAGATATTATATCTTTATGATCTAGCAAAGTTAAGGTTAGTACACGAAACAAAACCATACACCTATACACACACATACATATCAACATACACAAGCCTAACATTTTCCTAACTTTCATAACTTTCATGTCACATGCAAAAAAAAATATAGGAGACAGGTGAAATCGACATGTATGGAACAAGGACAAATACTTAGATAAGATACTACACAATCAGAATTCATAATATCGTCAATAATGAGCTGATTAGTTCAATAACAAAGATCGTAATAAGCAATACAAAGGAAGGCGTAAAAAAAACGAAGAATATTAGCTACTGTTTAATTGTTTCGATAGATAACATCTTGCCATTGTTGGCTAAAGGATTAAATAAGATTCTGTTGGCCATGGAACAGCAGAAAACACGGTTGCATCGAACAGATAAACACATCTTGAGTTTATGTAAAGTTGAGGAGAGTTTAAAAAGATCGAGGTACGTGACTTATGTATAACTGAGAGGATTTATTTTACCTAAAGACAATCTTAAATGTTTTAAATATAACTATTTTAACATTTTTTTTCGTTCTGGTGTTATCTTAAAATGAAGACTCACAAACTTTTACATAACAGTTAATATTGAATCTATGCATATAAAACTACAATATTTCACTGTGCATGCAAACTATTCACAAGCACATGTGGGGAAAAAAATCAAGGAATGAAGAAAACGTGCAGGGGAGGAGGCTTATGGAGTACATGCCGTCGAAAACCACGCTGTAATTGTATATTTCACGCCTCTTTGCATGTGTTCTGTTATTCACAGACTTTACTGTTGTGGGCCACTAAAAATGCCCTTAACCCTCATACATCATTGTAAAATGAAATGTTTAAAAAAATTATGCCATGGATGATCATGCAGCCGATCTGAAAAAAAAGCTCATCTATTCATAGGACGAAGATGAAGTCGATATTTGCAGTGTGCTTTTACATTTTCCTGGCAAACAACTGTCTTTCTGCTTCAGTATCAATAGAAGGTACTTCAGTTCGCGTTTTATTTATGGCAAAAAATAATCTTCTTCATTTTACTGCCCTCTTACTGGAATCTACAACACCCCAGACTATAGAACCACCAGGACTTTTATTTAATATGTTATTTTTTAAATGTCGCCTTCATTTCTTACAGGAGGAAATGAACGTGATAATGACATGTTATCAGAGATAAAACGACGTGGAATAACCTATGGAACAGCACTCGGTCATAAAAACAGTGACGACAGAAAAAAATATGCTGCACAAAGAAAGAAAGCATACGATGAATTGTTTGGCAAAAGAACAAGCGACTATTCCCGACAAAAATACGAAGCAGAGTCGTCAGAAGATGAAAGTTTCCCCTCGCAAAGAGAACAGAAAGATTATATGTCCTTCAATAAAAGAAATCCAAACAATAAACCGTTTACTTTCGGTACAGCCCTCGGTCACAAGGGTAATACAGGTACAACTAAGTACGTTGATTCGCTCGATGCAAAATTCAAAGAGCTTTTTGGTGACGGAAAATAAACTTTCAAAAAATGCTTCATCTGTCCATGTATGTTTAAAGAACAAATTGTAAATGTCTTGAATAGTATAATTTAAATTAAAAACAAGAAAGAAAATACAGGAGTATGTTTGGCTTAAGAATAGAAATAAAATAGAAATGTATCAACATGACTCGTCTTAAATAAAATTTAATGTAAAATATAAGTCTAGACCGTGGGATTTTGGCTTATGGTTATGAGAATTTATAAAACGCCTTGTACAAAATATAAATACTCTTTCAAAGTCGATAACCAACATACAACCCAATAACCAACATACAGTCCAATAATTAACATACAACCCAAAAAATTAACATACAACCCAATAATTTGCATACAACCCAATAATCAATATACAACCCAATAATCAATATACAACCCAATAATCAATATACAACCCAATAATCAACATACAACCCAATAATCAACATACAAACCAATAATCAACATACAAACTAACAATATACAAGCTTCTCAACAACAAAAACATTTTCTAAATTAATTGCGCACATAATGCGAGGCCAAAAATCAACAAAAAAATCTGCATGAAACCAGGAAACTAATTTTTATAAAAAATTTTTGTGTTTTATAACTACAGCAATAAACAAAATAAACGCAAATATCATATGAATCACGACTGAAGTAAAACCTTCAGAAAAAAATCAAAAAGTCGCAATGTTTCATATTTTGCTGCATAATATATATTATAAGTTATATTTATATATTATTTAAAGTTTTGTTAAATTTCAACATTTTCTTATATAACAATTTTTGAGTTTAAATCCTACCTGCAGTTTGATAGAAAAATACTTTCACGCTTTAATTTTCCATACCTGGGATAAGAAAAACAGAGAAAAGTTGAGACGTAGAAATTAACATCCATGACAATTACTTGTGCTATAATATTCATTGAAAAAACCAAGTGAAATAAATGGAAAAAGAAACTTTAACACCCTTCCTTTTTCTTTAAATCGTTTAAGATAAACCACAGCTATCATTTTTTTTGCCACGACAAAGATAATCTTTATCGTCTAATTTTGAAATTTCTTTACAAAAAACTGACTCATAAAAAAAAGTTTTGTAAAATTTCCGTAAAACATCGGTGTAAAACTTCATTCATGATGAGTTCAAAGACTTTACGATTTAATCCTCTGCAGTTCTCCTGTCTATAGCTCATTACTATAAGCTACATTATCATAGTAATTACCTTTAATCGAAATCCTAACAGATCAGACATAACACCTGAGATCAAGGATAAGACAACTACTCTGGTGATGTTGTATAACAACGGATTAGTGGCCAAGCCAGATATCTTGTATGGACTTTCTAAATCCTACATGTAAGAGATATTGTAAATATTTAAGATCTCAATTTACAATGACACATGCAATGACACACATTATATTTATCTTTCATATATTGAGTTAAGACTGTTATCGTTTTCTGTGGTTCATTTATTACTACCTACACTGACACACGTTATTTCAGTTTATATTTAGTTAACGTAAAGACTGTTCTCGTTTTCTGTTGTTCATTTATCACTACCTACACTGACACACGTTATCTTAGTTTATATTTAGTTAACGTAAAGACTGTTCTCGTTCTCTGTTGTTCATTTATCCCCACCTACACTGACACACGTTATCTTAGTTTATATTTAGTTAACGTAAAGACTGTTCTCTTTCTGTTGTTCATTCATCTATATCCATACACTGACATACATCAAATACAATCTGCAACAACACAAAGTGTCATTTGTCCAATAACAAATGAGAAACGAATTTAAATACATACCTTTAATAATTTCGATGCAAGTTTCAACACATTATTCGCAATCATAAGTTCGTCCTTTTTTCCAGGATTTTTCTCCATTTGTAAATATAAATTTAGCTGCTCTGTCATGAGGACGCTGTTGTTACGAAATTTTCGGTTTATCTTTGAGCCCAACGTTACAAAACGTAATTGATAAATACACAAGACGAGCGACCTAAAAATGTAATATGAACGTGTGAGAAAAACTGTACGACTACAATGAAGAGAGATGTAGAAATGTTTTTACAAAAGTAAGTTACATAAATGGTAACTATAAAAGATATACAAAAAATAGACTCTTAAATAGAAAAAATCTATGTGGTTCTTATGAAAAAAAATTCTTCATTGCACATTCAAATTAAATTAAGGTATTTTATCTGTTGCATACATTGTAAGGTTTCTTTGTCAATTCACGAGGCATTTTAAATTTCAGAACATATTCAACTTGAGTAATAAACTTTGTAAGAAAATTCTTACCACATGAAAAACTCCACGTTAAATAACTTTGATAAAAATCTTTCTTTTTCCGTGACTTTGAGAAGCTGTAAGCATGTGATAACAACCAAACAGACGCTGAGAACAAATGTTGTTGATATAATGACGCTGACAGAACGTTGCGGACCACGTCTCTGAAACATTAAGTATAAAAGATTAAGAGCTTATAGGATAACCTTATATTGCTTTAAATACGATCAACAAGAAATGATGATCTTTACAGGATGTTTATGATCTTTACAGGATGTTTATGATCTTTACAGGATGTTTATGATCTTTACAGGATGTTTATGATCTTTACAGGATGTTTATGATCTTTACAGGATGTTTATGATCTTTAGGACGAAAAACTGGAAAAACTAATGTATAACAAGTACGGGCAAAATTAGTTTATGTAAGATGTCCTCGCGTACAGGATCGACAAAAGATGATGTTTTTAGAAATCACTTTTGTTATGATAGCCTTTTGTAATAACACTGGATCAACACTGGATCAATAAAAGATCAACACTGATTAACACTGAATCAATAAAAGATTATCCTTACGGAATCTCTTTTCAGTCTTTTGTAACGTGAAATTTCCAGCATATTAAAGACAGTTCAACTTAGATTTCCTCCATTGATAAAATTAGATTATTTAATGATTATCCTTACAAGACGATTAATTTACAAGTAACTATAAAGCAAGATCCTAACATTGAATTGTTCAAGATAAACTAAATTGAATAAAAGAACTTTCGCAATAGTTAATAAATAAAGATTCGCCATACTTTCAACAAAGATCGTAGACAAAGCCACATTTTGATGTTCTTTACTTTGTGCAGTCGAAAATGCGGTAACCCATGACGACGGGCTCGACGTGACGACGTAATAGTCCCAAACAATTTGGCGCATAGTAACCGCTGACAAACATAAATATGATATTTTATACGATAGTTGATGTTAAAGACAAATCTCTCTTACTTAGTGAAATGAAACAAAGAAAATCATTACCTGACGTAATGTTGAAAATCATTACCTGACGTAATGTTGAAAATCATTACCTGACGTAATGTTGAAAATCATTACCTGACGTAATGTTCTTTCAGCGACGCAAAGAAGAAAGAGAAAGCAGAAGGTTGATGCACCACTTTGAACAAGACTAATCCAAATCACTAAAGAGCTTCTGTAAAAGAAAACAAACACAGTTCATTTTTTATTGTGTTTTGAGTATGATTGTGATGATGAATTTTATTTCAAGGAGATGCAGGAATTGTTCGAATCAAAGTCTTTCACAAAAAAAAAAGGATAGATTGACAGATTTAAGTTGCTGCTGTAACAAAACATGAAAAATCTTATATTAACGAAACACATGGGTGAATGAACTTAATCATACAATCAGAAAAAGAATAAAAACACGGGTATTGTACAGATGACTGTGGATGTACGTATGCTAATCTCATTTACTAATACAAATCAATTGCTTTTCATTATTGCCAACTATGATATCATATGTCCCATCTCATCCCCCACCTTCCCTCACCACAACAGTAGTTCTTTTTGAAATGTAAAACATCGTAGCATATTCATTATAACAAAGGATGGAATGACAGTAAAAACATTGAAAAGATGAAATCTCTAAAGATAAAAATGTATAAGAAATCTTACTTGAAATTATCGCCGAAGCAGCGGAAGTAAATATTGTACAAACCGTCTATAGAAGTCCATTCTGAACTAACCTGGTGAGAGCATGCGCAAAAAATTAAAGGTCAATTTTCAATTTATAAAAGAGAATGCATGTAAAGACATACGTCACTGTCGTAGAGACGAAACAATGAAGGTGCAAATGCTTCACACAAGGAAACAACGACAGCAAAATGAAGATAACCAGAGTTGGGTTTAAAATCATTCTAAGAGGAGAAAACACACATTATTGACGTTCAGTAAAAATCAAAATCGAGTTCATAAATATTTTACCATTTTGTTTATGATAGCAGAACTCATATCTAGAAGCGTTAACTCCACTCGTTTAAACTGTCGACCTTCCCATATTGATGCACCAACTGTAAAATATAAAAAAACCTTGAACTTCAGAAATGATAAACAAATCTTGCTATCAAAAAACTTTTCATAAAATAAATCAACAAACAAAACAAAGAAACGAAATCCTACCCATTTCTCCAGTTGGTGCACCAACCGTTACTTCATTTAGAATTCCGTTCTAAAGAAATAAATCAGAAATAGTGCAAGTACTAACAAAGCCTGCATGGTTTGAACCCGGGAATATCGTTACATGATTGTAAATGTAGATCGTCAAGGTTGGTAAAGTCCGGTGAACGGCTGTTGGTGTTGAATGACGTTTCAAACTCGTATCATTTGACTCTGAAGATTTCAGCTTAAAATGACAAAAAATCGTGTCAATACCAACACCAACCGTCTTTTTAAGGACAGCACCTACATGGACGATCTACACATCTACAGTAACATGTAAAGATTAAAGTTACCAGGTGATTTAAACAATTTAATAGTTATTTCTGGGTATTTTCAATAGGAATCAACTGATGTTGAAAACTGTAGTCTCTATATTTTTTGTTTAAAGACGATAGAGATTCCATAACTCGAGTCTTGTTATACTTTTAGTCGAGTGCATTCAATCAATAATCTAACATAAATACCTACGTTCATTACAGAGCCAAAATCAATGCAACATCCTAACATCCATATAATGAGTTAAGACTTACCTTGTCCCATTTAAATGGGTCTTCTTCATCAAAATTTGAAGTGACTGATTCATTATCACTGTAAGATGTACCAGACGAACTCGATTCGTTGTTCTCAAAAAACTCTTCTTCAGTCCTCTCCGAGCGTTCAGCCTCTGTTCCTTCACTATGCGACTTTTCCTGATAAACGTCATCATGTTCTCCTTCATCATCACTGACATCTGTAGCACTCGGATCGGCAGTAGATGAGGTACCTTTAAAAACATTTCACGGTCAGACTAAATATCGATAAAGTTTATATTGACTAGTGTAAAGACTCTTCTTGTTTTCTGTTGTTCATTTATCACTACCTACACTGACACACGTTATCTTAGTTTATATTTTAAATAGTGTAAAGACTATTCTCGTCCTCTATTGTTCATTCATCACTACCCACACTGACACACGTTATCTTAGTTTACATTTTACATTGTGTAAAGACTGTTCTCGTCCTCTACTGTTCATTCATCACTACCAACACTGACACACGTTATCTTAGTTTACATTTTACATTGTGTAAAGACTATTCTCGTCCTCTACTGTTCATTCATCACTACCAACACTGACACACGTTATCTTAGTTTACATTTTACATTGTGTAAAGACTGTTCTCGTTCTCTGTTTTGGTTATCCGTTAAATCTCACGTTTTGTTGTGACGAGAATTGGTGTCATCTTTTCAGAACTTTCTTTCTTTCGAACTCTTTTTCTAACCCCATCCCGATGTGTTTTGTGCGTCAAGTCTTCAATCGAGCTGTCGAGATCGTTTCGGGAACGTTGCGCTTTGGACTTTTTACGCCAAGATTTTCTAAAAGTCATAGGACAAGCTGAAAGCTTTCCAGTAATGGTTTAACCTTTACGAGCAAGATAATTCTGGTATTTGTTTAATCGAAACTAGTTTTTGATTTCTTAAAGCAGGAGATTACTCAGATGAGAGAAAATATTCACATTCTCCCGTCAAGTTATAACTAAATATGAAAAAGAGGAAGTCAAACTATACATTATATCAAGAAATAAAATGTGAAAATGCATTTTTAATAAACAACGCAGTGATTGCACATTATTTGAGGTGGTTGTCTAACTCCAACAGAAAGGAAATAAAATTATTCGGAGAAACCAATCAGGAATTTTCATCTTTACCTGTGTCTACCAGATCGCAACGAAATGCCATCAATATTGGATACAGTTGTTGAAACAACCTGAGTATGAAGTACACCAAGTACAAACATAATGAGAACAGGTCCAAAGGCTTCTGTTGGGTATATAAGCTAAAATAAAAATATTGTACAATGAAAATAATGACATTATTCATATAGTATGATGAATTAGTATCAACCTTCATTTTATCTGAGTATGTTGTATAGAAGATAACAGCCAAGACTTGTGTAATGTACAATAACAGAAAAAACAAGCAGACTGAAGATGGCACAACACTTCTCCACCTGAAGGGATAAACAATTTCATATAAACACAACATGAAGACTATGACATTGTTATATTGCACATGGATTGAATAAGTTTTATTTTATTTAATGTTAATTTAAAAAACTTAATAAACAAACATGGTGCAATGCAAAACAGAGTAAACAGAGTAAATTCACAACAATTAACAAAAGTAACAGGCAGATTTAAAAGGAGTTCAGTATGGGAATGGGATATAAATGAATGGATAAAACAGGACAATACAGAATTGGGATGGAGTATAAATGAATGGATAAAACAGGACAATATAGAATGGGAATGGATTTAAATGAATAAATATAACTTCTTTATGATTTCAGCACTTAAACATGACAAGTTTTGATTTGAAATGTTTGATGGATGAATTTTTACCTACTAGGCAGTAAATTATGCTATGGTATAGAGAAGGTATTTATGATTAGGAAAACACTATTAACTTAAGGGATCGAGGATTCAAAAAACAAAAACAAAAGGTGGTCACATTGTGTTAAAATAATTTCTTAGTGATTTTTCTTGTTATCTAAGATTTATCTTAAAATATATCTAACACAAAATGAAGTATATACAGAAAAAGTTAGGATAAAACTGTACTTACCACTTGTAGTAAAATGGATAAAACAAAACACGTAAAAGACCTTTTTGAAGTACGACAAACCATCCATGAACTGGTTTGGCTTTTGAAAATGTTGAGCCTGAATAAGGAGAACATCAAGAATAACATGTACAGAGAATAAATAATGCTTAATATATGAAAAATGATCCAAGCATACCTCGTATCAAATCAATATCAATAAGCTCAGGTTTTAGGTTGCCACTTTTCCGGGGGGCACAGTTCAAATCCTGCAAATTGAATTGAAAAATGGATGTTGACATGTTTCATTCAATTTAACTACAGAAACAAAGATTAAGAATGTAGGCTAAATATGTTCTTTACCTCTAAAACTTTAATTTCTTTTTGCTCAATAGTTCGTTCCCACAATGCTTTATCATAACGACCAATCTGTACAAAGAGTAATGAATGTTTACTATAGCCAATGCTGGTTGAGCTATAGCATCAAGGCTAAAAGTTCAACAAGTAAGTTTTCTGGTAGACAACATTAATGAATGCAATATTAACTCTTCTGTAGTAAAGAGGCATTTAGAATAAACTAAATAAAAAAGTTGTTTTAAAGCTCAAATAATTAATAAGCACCTGCACTTTTAAACATCCTTCATGAAATTATTATCTTTAATTCTCAACATCTTTAATTTACAACCACCCATCACTTGAGCAAAATACCCAACCTTACAAGTTACAACCAAACTCCTCAGTTTTGAAAGTTATGCATCCAAAAATGCAGGCAAAACAAAGAATCATACAAATTATTCAAAAAAATTTCAATTAAACTTGTAAAGTTCTTTGAAAGTGTTGACATGCAAGTAAAAATGAATCTGCTCTCGCTATATAGGGTTATTCCAAATCCAAATCTTTCTCGTAAACAAAACAATTGTCAAGTGCTCAAGTGGTGACGATTAGTTTGATAAATTGAAGATGTTCACGACACTAAGACACATCACTGTCACGGTCAAGTCCTCAAAATCAATTATGTGTTTTTACACTTACGAAAAGGGTACTCACTTTTTGTTGAAACCATGCAATTGGATCACTGGAGTCCATTAAACCGCAAACAGATGGTTTAATCGTTGACTACAAATCAGTATCAAACTGTAAGTCTTGCACAAGCTATACGACCAGATTTTCATTGAAACTTCTCGAGCTCCTTATTCGGTAAAAAAAGCCTCTTCAGAAAAACCTGATCTACATTAAACCTGAGCGTTGAAAATGAGATTCAAATAAGGCGATATGTGAAATGGTCAGATGGCTAATCCTGTTAATTTTCAATCAATGAAAAAACCCGCCATGGCGCACTGATCTCATTCACTCACACTGGGTAGCTTTTCACAATCGGCCACCTGCAGAACGATTCTGTAACCATGTTTACTGCAATCAGTGCAAATCACATAATCAATGCAGTCTGGTTTGTTGGCTGTATTATTTATCACCGAACGCCACTGCAGTCCATCAGATTGAATAATTTATACTATCTATGTTATAATAATTTTGGGATTAGTTTTTGTACGATTTATGGTGCTAGAAAATCGAAGGGAAAAATCGATATAAATATGATATTGGATATTACTGCCTAAATCACTTCAAATTTGAATGTTGATTGTGAGTTCAGTACATTTCAAATTAAAATTATGAAAATTAATATTTGGAAAAATCATACGTTCCCCAAATCTACGTAGAAGTTTGCAGAGGTTTTGGTTTTGAAGTAGGAGCGAAAAGCTTTTTAGTAAGGACTAGAAATTCTAGAATAAAATCTTGGTTATGCTCATGAAAAAACTATTTTCCAGTCTTTTCAAATGTTGTTTATTCTAGAAGCTAGAAGATCAAATACTGACAACAATCATTCTGATTGGTGCAAAATACAAAGGTGCAAAATACAAGGAGTCAGTTTGATGACTGCTCATCAAAACCTGTCGAAATTGGAGAGGATAGTCCTGCCGAATGATTCAACGATTTTATATTTTATCCGAAAAGACTTTTGAAGTAAATTGGGTTAGCAAATATGTTGTTGTGATTTATGATCATAAAATATTGATGGACGGTTATTACATTAAAAGTCTTTCCAAATAATATTCGCATAATTTTTCATTATTTAAGATCCATCGTTTTCGCTGGTCAGGTCAGCGTTGCTGAGAAAATCCTCAACTACAAGCGGGCTTAAATTTTGCGTACTAAACACAAAAGAGAACGTCTTTCAATCGATTCTTCTTCTTCGTACGGTAAGAAATGTATTGTTCTAAGTTGCAGTTCGAAGAGATTTTTCGAACAATTAGGCATTATAAATATGTAGTACAACACGCATGACTTGATATCTTGTCAAATGAGTGGTTTATGTAAATTTCACAGGTGAATGATGAAGCCACAACAAGCAAGATTGGCAAAAAAATTGGAGAATAAACCGATCTGGCGTCGTTATATCAGTTATATCAACTTTCCAAAGCTAGGTCAATACATTGGCCTTTCCTTGGGCCTCTGGTTTGCTGGTAGATATAATTTTAGTTCAGCATGGCTAACCCTGGGTCTTCTAGTGTTTGTCTGGTGGGATTTTGAAACTAGGGAAAAGAGACTCAGGCGTAAACGCATTCAGAAATCAGTTAGTGTTACTGGTGTGAAGATGGATAATCTACCTTCTTGGGTGTTTGTTGAAAGCTCAGAACGTGTTGTATGGATGAATAACATGATTCATCATATGTGGCCGTACATTGGTGCCATGGTGAAAAAAATCATAATAGAAAGTGTTGAGCCTATGATGCAAGATTGTCTTCCTTGTAGCCTGACTTTTGAAACTATTTCATTTGGTCAGGTAGCACCAAAAATAACTGGCATCAATTCGTATGCACCAGAGGATTCACCGGATCAGTTCATTCTTGATTTGGACCTGCTCTATGAAGGTGATGCCAAGATCAAACTCTCTGTGAAATCTGTTAGCATGGGTGTGTCAGATATCCAAGTTCGTGGCTTGCTAAGGATCATTATCAAGCCTTTTGTTGGTGAGCCCAATCCAGTTGGTGGTATCACAGTGTTTTTTCTAAATCGTCCCAAAATAAAGTTTGATCTCATTAATTTATTGAATGTGCTGGACATTCCTGGCCTGAAAAGCAAACTGAGAAGTGTTTCTGAAGATGTAATTTGCTCGATCATGGTGTTACCCAATCGCATTGTAGTACCTTTGTCACCTGATTTAATTGCAGATGACAGTGATCTACGTTACCCAATTCCTGAAGGAGTTGTCAGGATTGGTGTCATTGAAGCAAAAGAATTGATCAAAATGGATTCAGCCCTCAAAGGTGGTGCAGCCGATCCATATATAAACATTGAAATTGGAGCACAAGTATTTCGCACTAAAACCTGTAAAAATACACTCAACCCAGTTTGGAATGAAGTCTATGATGCCTTTGTGGATAATGATGAGGGTCAGGAAATCACAATGCAAATGTATGATGAAGAGAAGGCATCCAAAGATGCAAAAATGGGAACACTTGAAATTGATATCACCTCAGTCGCACGCCATGGAAAAAGGGATCTTTGGTTACCATTAGATGGAGTAAAAAGTGGTATAGTTCACTTGAACCTTTCTTGGTATAAGCTCAGTTCTCAAGTAAAGGATCTGAACCAGCAGACCAATCACTATCCACTGCTCTCCTTATGGTAAAAATTAAAGAAGGCAAGAATCTACCAAATCCACTGAAGTCAAAAGATAATCCAGCAGTGTTTTGCAAAGTTACTGTTGAAGATTCAGAAAAGGAAACTCACCATGCAGGACCAAATGCTGAGACCCAAATCATTGCATGGAAACAGGCATTGAGATTCTTGGTTAAGGACCACAAGACTTCTTCCATCAAGATTGAGGTAATTGAAAGTAAAGGTACCAAGATTCTTGGCAATGTTGTTGTCCATTTGACATCAGTTGCTGATGCAAATGAGATGGTCTTGGAGAAGGAATTAAGCCTTAATGAATCAGGAGATAAAGGTAGTCTGGCATGTAAGTTTACCTTGAGGGCTCTGGTCTCAGGTACAAAACAGACAACTGGAGTGAGACGCAAACGTACTGTACGCTACTCTGAGCGTTCTTCTGAATCTGATTCACCTCCTACTGTGCCGAAATTGACGGTAAACGACGAGTTAGATGCGTTAAACAAGTCGGACGACAATCATTCCACAAGCTCATCTCCTCGGGGTAGTATATACGAAATCAGCAGCGGAGGAGGATCACACGAGAATCTTGTCAACTTTGGTCAACTTGAATTATCCCTTAGTTACAGCCATGTTCGAAATTGTTTAGAGGTTGTCGTCCACGCAGCTCACAATCTTCCACCCAAGGAATCCAAGAAAAAGACCAGTCCCTACGTCCGCCTGTACCTGTTACCTGATCGTTCAAAAAAGTCGCGCCGTGTGACCACCCCCAAGGAAGGCACCCTTGACCCGGTTTTTAACGATAAATTTGAGTACATCACCTCGCTGGAAGCACTCCAAGATTGCACTCTGGATGTTGCAGTGAAAAATGACAAATCCAAGTTTACATCTCGTCGTAAGAGAAACTTCATTGGTCAGATTAGAATTCCCTTATCGTCGATTGATCTTTCCAAGGAGCAAAGAGTCACGTATGACTTGGTAAAATGGACACCATGTTGAACTGGCGATATGAAATAAATGCTTGTTGCACAATACTTTATTGACTTTACTTTTATCGCTAGAACATTTTACACCATATGTTGGAAATGAAAGGTTTAAAAATGATTAAAAATATACTTATTTTCGAATCGGTTATTATCAATTGCCACGCCCGTAAAACATGCCCAGTTCTGCTTATACTTCATGATAATTTGAAATATTGCACAATAAAACAGTCTAGGTAAAGCACGCAAAATATTCATGCATTCAGATTGAACATTATTTAGAAATTAGAAAGACAGCTGTATACAAGATATCTGCGGTACCCCAGGGAATGTTTGTGTAAATTTTAACCATAAACGAAACATCATTACGTGACAAAATGAACAAAATAAATCAATGTCATTCTAATTCATACAAAATGCATTTCGTTCATAGATGAATATAAATGTTCTTTCGTTGGTGATTTTATGGTAATGAAAGTATAAAAATAGAAATTTGGAAAACTGAAAACCTTCATTAGCAAAACATATAAATGATGATGAATTGAGCATATTGCTATTTTTGCACTCGTACGACTTAGTGCAAAAAAAAAAAAGTATGACGGTTGACGTTGATTAACAAACGTGAAATAAAAAAAGTTAAAAATCACTAAAAAATTAATCCTAGATTTATCTGTCATAAAGCTCCGTCGTCAAATTGTTTTTCTCGTTCATGAATTTTCTCAAGGATACTTTCCATCAACCAGCTGGAAATGTTGAATAACTGGAGACTAAACGATAGAGGAAAGAAATAATGTGGAGGAACTAGTTATTTAAGGATTGGAGCAGCATTGGTGATTATAACTAATACAGATTTAAACAAAATAATTTGCTGTATAAAGTAAGAAAGTATGTTTTTGTACTAAAAAATACATAAAACTATCAAACACCTCAATAAAAAGAAAAGAAAACCCCTCAATAATTTAAAAGTTCAATCTTACCATATAGAAAGATCTTTAATTAAGATGTTTCCTTTAAGTCACCAGAAAGGATTGCTTTTCTACCATTTAACTGTCTTTCTCGACTACTTGAAATGTCAGCAAGAACATGTGACTTTTCAAAATCAATTTTCGCGTAATTAACATTTCCGTTAGGCGTACATCTATGTACATGTGACTGATCACGAGGGGAATTATTCTTGGAAAATTGAATTGACAAATAAGTCAACTCTTCCTCATTTTTTCCACAGACTTTCTTGGAATTGCATTCTTTTTGGTATTGAGGAAAAACATTTGCATAGGGAGAGCTCTCATCGAGAGATGGCAGCGAGGCCTCGTTTGGCGCCATGTTCACGTAAGCACTCGGAATTTCGTCGGCATTAAAAGGAGCGGTCTTTTCCGGCAAGATACGAAAGCTTGGAGACTTGCTGCCAACACTTTTACTCCTGTTTATGCCTATGTTTATATAATCATTGTCGCTTTCACGTTCGATCTTGGACTGGCTTTTTGTCAACTTACCACGAGAACAATTAGGTTCAACATTGACGTAGTTTTTGATATCATTTGAAGGCAAATTCCTTTCTCCTCGGTCGACATGATCAAATTTCTCTGACGTGAACTCATTAGATGATGTAGACGACTTCTCATAAGGTAATCCAGGCTTTATATTTACGTAGGCATTGGTATTTGCGACCTCCGAAGGGCGTGATGCTGTTACATTGCTGTTACCATCCCCTGGTCGGCTCATTTTTATATAGACACCGGGTGGGGATGCAGGAGGTCTAAGCGGGATATATGCACCAAAATCAGAGCCCGTAAGTCCTGAACTCGTGTGATTTGTACTTGGTGTCAATTCGTCCACCGAGGAGTCGCTACTGACAGGAATTTGTCGTGGATTCATGTTAATATACTGTTTTGCATTATTTTGAAAGAACGCATCATTGTCCTCTCTATCAGAATCCTTATCACTTTCATAAATAAAATCAGTAGATTGTTCACTACCCACACTACGACGCCATGTTCGGTCGCCACTTGAACTGCTGCTGGTGCGTCGCGGTAAAGATGAGTTGTTGTATTGTTCTACGAAATTTAGTCGTACCTTATTGATGTCTTGCTTACACTCAGTTCTGCGTCGTCTGGGCGCATACGTGCTCTTGGAATGTTTAGTATCTAAATCCTGGAAAGAAGAATCGTAATTTCAAGACTTTTCCCTGTCTGTTTTTTTACTACTATTACAAAACGACACATCATCACATGCCTACATGCATTTTATTTTAAGCGAAGACTGAATATTTTAGGTTGTGTTAAGACTGTTCTTGTCCTTCGTTGTTCATTCATCACTACCTACACTGATACACGTTATCTTAGTTTATATATTTTAGGTAGTGTAAAGACTGTTGTTGTTCTCTGTGGTTCATTCATCACTACCTACACTGATACACGTTATCTTAGTTTATATTTTAGGTAGTGTAAAGACTGTTCTCATTCTCTGTTGTTCATTCATCACTACCTACACTGATACACGTTATCGTAGTTTATATTTTAGGTTGTGTAAAGACTGTTGTTGTTCTCTGTGGTTCATTCATCACTATCTACACTGACACACGTTATCTAAATCTATATTAGAGGCAGTGTAAAGACTGCTCTCATTCTCAAACGTTGTCTAAACTGATATTAATTCGTTTGCATGCTTCGTTTTGACGTTTTTAGTTGAGACGTTAATGAGCGGGTTGAAATATATCAGGATATGAACAGTACAAGAAAATTTTGCTTTACAAACGTACTTATCTTAATCAAAAACAGCAAAATACTTTTTCTAACAGCATTCCAAAGGACTCACCACAGTATTTTTGTATCTATTCACAAATCCATCTTCAGATGATGGTGATTTGGAGTTAGGGGCGGGTGGAGTTATTTTTGGATAATGCCGTTCTTCTGAATCTTCGCCATCATCTAATATGATAAATATTCAACTGTTAACAGTCGTTACTAAATGATAAAAAAATTCCCAAGACTTGAAATTGTGTGATACAAACCACTTTTCACGATTTTCCTGTTGCTGTACGTTATTGGTTCTTCAGCGGAACTGGCTTGGTCACTGGAGAACGAGTTCGAATGAGATCTTGTTTCCCCTAAAATACACAAATAAATAGTTTTTTATTTATAGAAAAAGTCAGTAACGATCTAGTCTCTTAATTATATGTAAATACACTCTTTCATACATTTGGATTTATTTCCAATAATTTTATCTATAAACGTGGGTCGTCTTGTTTTTGCACATTCATTGTTGTTGTCGTATGTAGTAAAGTGACTTTTTTTCAAATCATCTTCAATCACTGAATTGGGTCTCGCATTCTTTGGCCTAACTGATCTAGATGAATAAAACAATATCATAAAATTAAACGATGTAGAGCAAAAGTTATCCACAGTACAATTAAAAAAATTTTTTATGGATAATATAGGGTTCGGCATTAATGATATAGAGCAATTTTCATGAATAATGTGGAGCATTTTTGATGCATAACATAGAGTGTTCTAGATGGATAGATAAGATAGAGTGTTCTTCGTGGATAATATGGAGTGTTGTAGAAGAATAACATAGAGTAATAGAGAATCGTACCTGGATAAGCTGTCGTGAATCTTCTGTGCCACCAATGGATCATCAACTTCCATCCATATCTCTCCAGGTCCAAGAGCAGCACAACGACCAAACTCCATAAAAACACAATTATCCAGGCAGCCAAATTTACGTACATGATATAATTTTTCTTCAATAGCAATTTCTTGTGTGACAGGATTAACAAAATAGAGAACATTTTCTTTAAGACCCAAGTTATATGAGCCAGTGACATTTTTCAAACCACCAAGACCTCGTGAAACTACTTTGACTTTCCAAACTATCTCTGAAGTGAATTAAAGTCAAAATACGAGTACTGAATTTATATGTACATCAATGGATTGTAATAAGGAAGAAATAATACATATATATTTATATTTAAAAACAGGAATTGCTATTTATCTACACTCTACAGATGTCCCAATTGCCATTAAAAGAGTCGGGTCTTTAAATCGATCATTATGTAAAATTCCAAAGTAGAAATTAACCTTGGTCAAAAATCAACAAATCAATATTCATAGGGGAAGTGAATAAAAATTGGTTAACTTGGAAATTTTACAACATCATTATGTAGGTGGACATTTTGTTGTTGTTGCTGCTGTGACATGTTTGAATTTTTTTGTTAAATTCTATTACTTTTATAAAATGATTGGAAGACTTTTTTCGGAAAACTTTTTTTAAAACACAAATCATGATTGATTTTGCTTGGTGTATTAATATTTTATAGAGCAGTGCACCCCCAATAAATCTATTCATGGATTGTGACAACAGTGTGTGTGAATTAGTAGACAAAAAACCAATTTTTTTCTAAAAAACACCCATTCATAACAATGTGCATATTGCACACTGTTACATATTAAAAAGTTAAGCTACATTAACACAACTGTACCATAATTCTGTTCTTGCAAATTCTTATATTCCATTTGATGAAGTTTTTGTAAGTCAGAAAACCATTCCTCAAGGATTTTATCAGTGTTGGCAATGAGCCGAAATATTCCATCCTTGGAATAAAGTGTAAGTATGTTGCCATGCTTTTCATCATTCTTCTTTGCAATACCAAGGCACTTTTGTAGTGAAATTTCACGCTTTGGTTGAGTTTCAGCGCTGAATTTCTTGAGACTTTCATAGTACTGCAGTTGTGCATTACCAGTTTCTTTGTTAAAACCCAAGACAAAATAACGTTTTTTTTGGTTCTAAATCATGAAAATTATGCAAACATTCAGAATTGAAAGAGCATTCAATAGAAAAGCAAAAGACCTGTAAGCATGACTTGTAGCTACACATTGTTCAATTGAAAATACTATAGTGTTTTACAGAGAGGAAGTTAGTGTCTGTTTGCAAATGTTAGATTGTTATTGTATTGAATTGAAGATGTAGAGTGGGCAGTCAAGTTTCTAGAACATATCACATAACATTTCATATTAACAAATAAATATCGTATTTATTTTCATGATCTATTTGCCTTTATAAGAACTGTAGATTGTACATGAGCATGACAATACATGATTTCACTTTATATGTAAACTTTTGGCACCCGCATCACATTGAGCTAAAGTATTACGTCAATACAAATTAAAATACTCTTATTTAACAGAAAATTAAAACAAAGAAGTAGCAGTAATAACATTGAGACAGATGTTAAAGAATGTACGAAATACTTGTAATTTAATTTGAACATAAAACATGAAATTTCCTTGTCATATATTAATACAAATCTGTAAACCAAAATCGGAACATAAACACAGTATTATATATACGGTTTATAACAAATATCAATACGATTTGTAAATTAAAGAACTTCTCACACGACCGACACTATTTTGCACAATTGAGATATAATTATTGATCTTATCGATGCGATAACAATCACAAAGGAATTCGCATGAGACGTTCAATCTTACATGCAAGTGAATAAGTTTGTTTTATAAATGGCAATTCGTGAACATCAACATGAATATCCGGCATGTGAGAAAGCCATTATTAACGCTGTTGAAAAGTGAAAAAGGACGCTTAAAAATTAAGCACATAGGAATACAAGAATTTAAAAACAAAGGTTAATTTATTTTCTGGTTTCTAAGTCAGTGGGGGAGTACGCAGTTGATCATTTAGATTGTTATGAATACGTAATCTTTAATCAATCTTAGTAGCATGCTATTTTGAGCACGCACAAGAAGACGTATCCATTTAAACCTTCGTATCGCAGCAAAAAAATCATCACGGAACTCTTCACATATTAAAAAGCGTTTGATAACGACTAAAATTGGCCGAGATAAATGAAACAAAGAGAAAAATTGCACAAATTGCTAAATTTATAAACTTTAATATTATTGCATAGCTTTAGCACTACCACTGACTACATAAACAAAACAAGATGAAAGTTTTATAAAAACAACAATATGATAACGTTCACCTTGACTTTTTTTAACCATCCTTCGCGTACTACAGCAGACAGGTTACTCATTTTAATTCACGCGTATTTGTTTGCCGACGAATTGTCAAATATCAAGTTTGCTGTTAATCATTACGATTGCACCTGGCATTCACAGTTTGGAATTCATTAGAAATTTTCCGTTTCTACCATTTGGTCCTGTTTGTTCATTGAATAACACGCTTACTTCGGTTAAATTTACTCCTTTCTGCTGACATGAAACTATTTCAAAGCAATAAGACGTGATGCCAGGAGAAGCACACATTTCACTCACGTATTGCCAACTTCCACAATTGCCCACGCTTTGCCTGTTTTGGCCTGCACAACCTGTCAATACTTGATTGACGATTTGAGTGGATTTTAGATCATCCGGTGGGAAATTCTCGAGGAGTTTTTTTCAGTTTCCTAGTTTCATTGTTTTCGCACGAACCGAATATCCCATTCAGGCCGAGTGAGCAAGTTATTATGTGAAGCAACCGTAAAATACGGAAAGCATAACATGAAATAATAAATAATTTATAAATAAGAGACAATGCGAGAGGATTGATTATTTACCATTAAGCTTGTGTTTACATTACATTACTACATACTAAATACATTATTGCTTAATACACCTTAATACAATATTTAACAAATGATTTCGTCAGTCATATCGAGAGTTCAGACTACCACCTGACTTATTCATCGATGTTCTACCCTGGAATTTACATTTTTTGTCCATTTCTCCGTATTTCAGCCAGAAGTTATCCCTGAACACTCTAATTCAAATCAAAAACAAATTAATGAATGCCAATAAATAGCAATGAATAAATATCGTTGTATGATGGATACTAAGCGACGACGCCGTTGGGTTTTCCATTCATTTTGTCACCGTTCATCGTGCAATCTGGTCCCTTTAGACTAGTTCTTGTCTCTGGCTTTCCAAACAGCTCAGGGCAAGGTCGTCCCTTGTTGCTGATTTCATGACAAAGTTTCACCAAATCATATGCAATACTCTCTGTAACCACCGAATCTTGCTTGTAGTCGGCATGATTCATTACAAAACCGCGCATCCATTGTGCTGTAGTTAAGTACTCGCCTTTAAAGAAATATGTCGTAAAAATAATGAAAATTACTAATTGATTATTGCAATATTCGTTCGTCTGTGACTTCAATACCTGACGCCTTTTTGGACATGAATTTAAGATAGTGACTGATCGTGCAACGAGTATCAAAATCCACGTCCACAGAATCCAAAAACTTGTTAATTAACGGTATAAGGCCTGAAAATTCGCCATCCTAAAAAAATCCAATCAATGTGAACATAATTTTTCCAAACTAATAACTCTCCTTTATCACACACCTTTCCATTAATGATTTCATCGACGCTCATAAGTTTGTAGCATTTTTTGGGACTTGTTTCATCACATTGGTTGTTATCTTTACCTGAAAATGAAAAAATAACGCTTCATCGAATTAACACGCTTCATCGAATTAACACGTTTCATCCTACATATTTTCTATATCGTCAGTAGCTGTATACTTTATAAGTGTTTCCAATAAGCCAGCCTTGAATGTTGTTCTACTTGTTGGAATCATCAGTGATTTCATAATAAACTTGTAATTTTAAATAATTCACTTAAGTGATCTGAATTTAAAACATTCTTCATGTGGTTCGATCTTCATCAGGAGTGATCTGATGTTGAAACTTGAGTCCTTACATACTCCAGTCTAGTGTTTTCATCAGGAATGATCTGATGTTGAAACTAGAGTCCTTATATATTCCAGTCTTGTGTCTTCATAAGGAGTAAATTGATGTTGAAACATAAGTCCATAGATAGTGGGCTATCAAGTGTATTCAACGGGAGCGATACCTTAGACCTTGTAACACGATATTGTCTCAAAACAAAAATGTCTTGGGGAAACGTACATATTTTCAGCGCAGATCTGAAGTAAAATTTCTCTTTTCTTGCAGCGTCTCGCTTTTGTGCTCGAGCTAAATTCTCGTCAACCTACGAAAGGGCATGCACCATGTTATTTAGTAGCTTTGTCATACAGCACAATAGGAAAAAAGAGTTTTTACACAAATGTGTTCCAGCTTACCTTGGAAAGGGAATGAGAAGATTTAAATTAAATGAAATAATAACTCGAGTAATTAAAACAACGAAAGTAGCGAATGCTGCGTTTTCAAAATCCGTCAATTGCACCTGGAAAAAGGTAGACATAAACAAACACAATAAGTTTCTATCATATCAAATCCTTGCACCATTATCACGCCACCACAATATAAAATGAAAACTATTTTATCTCCGACATTACTTTGCTTTTCTTATGGCAAATTAATGGCATTGCCAAAACAAAAGATGGTTGACATAACGATTATCTAGTTTTTGTATCCCACTACTTGGGTTAAATGCAGGTCAAAAAGTATGAGATAAATAAGTCATAAGATCAGTTGATCTCAGTTTTAATACTCGAAGGACAATTTCAGAACATATGAAATGAAAGCCTTTACCTTTTTCATCAAATTGTAAAAGAAAATATTTTATAAAATGGAATAAAAACGCTACAAAATTAAATATAACAATGAATGACCAACAATACCAAACCTCAGTTGGTCTAAATTCCACTCTCCAACCAATGGGAGAGTTAGCTGGAGGGGGTTTAAACCTCATTGTTTGCCAGTTGGTTGATTGAATGTTCTAGAATAAAAAGAAGGTTCTTATAATGGTTACCATATATAACACACAATACTACCCTTTTTTCAACTGATACGACAGGGTGAGCCATGACCCCCAGCAAAGATATTAATGGTCACGAATGGGATTATTTAACCAAAGGATGGTATCATCGTCAGTGTGAAATATTGCATAATCAAATATGCAAGGGATTTCATTCACTTCAAAATGACTGGATTCCAAAGCCATCATTAGAGAATATATATAATATATTAATCCTAACACGGTTTTAATATGCACATGAAAAAACATGTGACTTGGAAGAGATTTGAACTCGCACCTTCGGGATACTAGTCCGCCGCTGTCCCATTACTAGTCCCACAAACTTACTTCAAAATGATCGGAGTCTTTTTCATCATTCAAGTGAATCTTCTCACTGAATAAAGTCAGGGGATCCCGTATGTATAAATGAGCGAAATGCTTAGCCATTGGTTCGTCCATACCTGATTGAAAAATGGCATCAATTAGACTTACCACATGAGTGGAATAGAAAGAATTTGCAAAAGCAGAGTTCAAACAGTGAAAAAGCTTTGAATAGACCTTCGCCTTCATTCAAAAGTCGTTGAAATATTTCTTCGTCATAAACAAGGTCAATATCGCTGTAAGGTGTTGCTGCCACTGACAAATAGGAATCAATGGAGTCATAACGCGACTTCCTTATACGAAAACGGTCATTCTTCAATGGCTAAAAATCAATCAGCGTTATCAAGTGGAATAAATCAATGAATATTACAAAGTTCATATCTCAAGAACCACGGATCATTGATCTGTGTTACCATGGATCATTGATCCTGTGTTACCATGGATCATTGATCTGTGTTACCATGGATCATTGATCTTGTGTTACCATGGATCATTGACCATGGATCATTGATCTGTGTTACCATGGATCATTGATCTTGTGTTACCATGGATCATTGATCTGTGTTACCATGGATCATTGATCTGTGTTACCATGGATCATTGATCTGTGTTACCATGGATCATTGATCTTGTGTTACCATGGATCATTGATCTGTGTTACCATGGATCATTGATCTTGTGTTACCATGGATCATTGATCTGTGTTACCATGGATCATTGATCTGTGTTACCATGCAAAGAACGTGAATTGAGATATACTCACCACCAGACCTTGCTCTTCCTCGGTTCTATCGTCAACAGCCGCCGATATCACGTTCCAACGACAGTCGACGTCAGCAAGATAGCCACGAAATATTGGAGCAGCCGCTGACAAGGCATGCTGGAAATGAGCCAAATATTACCAGCAGGCAGCAATTTACAATCTACGAGGCTGACTGGACAGCGCTATAAGGCGGATACTGATTTACGCGATCACTCAAAAGCACATGCTCTTTAAGACAGTGGAGAGAAATGTCGATACAAAACAAAAAAGACAATAAATTTAGAAGCTATGAAAATATCGCCATAAAAACTGAACCCAAAAAGTTATTTCATGATGATTTCCATCATCTCGTGAATGGAGTAAAAACACACAGTACTTACAATGATTGGAGTAAGGACAGTAAGTTGGTCGTATAAATGTCGCGCTTCGTCTATATTACAGGCTTGAAATGTCATCTGAAAAAAGGGAAGTGTATTTTGTTAAAGAAAATTGACGGTGTGAATTGAGGCATGTTTACCTGAAGGCAGCAACAGCCCATTCCAAAACCCATAGCATCCAAGTAAATGTGATCAGGCAAAGCTGCAGCAGCACCCTCTCCTTCCACAATGGGAAACTTTTCAATGAATGGCGACGGAGTTCTGACGTCTTTAAAGACTGAAACGAGTGGTTCATCAGGGGCAAGTAATCAGACATTAAAATTTAAGTATTTACAAACTCCTGTTTATCATCTTGACCAGGATAAGTCCTAATATATTCCAGTCTAATGTTTTCATCAGGAGTGATCTGATATTGAAACTTTAGTCTATATATATTCAGTCTAGTGTCTTTATCTACATTGATTTAAAATTCAAACTTTAATTCGAATAACATCTTCATCAGAAAAGATGCGATATGGAAACTTGCTTATTTACACATTCCAGTTTAATGTTTGGTATAATGATAGCTAAAACATAAAAACAATTTGTGTCATGTTTCCTTACTTGGAACATTTATTGCAACCTTTCGTCCACGTCTTTCGCGTATATTTCTTGTCAAAGTACTAATAAAAATTGGACATATGATTGCAATTTACATGATTTCTTTGAGGCAACCAAACACCTAACCTCACCTAAATCTCGGGTGGCGATTGATCGCTTGATCTGGGAAGAATAGGGAGTTAGAAGCACCAGATGTAGGAGTTGGCACCTCACATGGAAAAGTGAACTGCGGACAACCAATTCTATAAATATAAAATGATTTTTGTAAATTTGTTGTTAGATATGCAATAAAAATTCAATGAAAATTATCACCTAGGAAAGCATGTCATGCTCAACAAACATTCATCTTCAGGGTTTAAAAGATTCATCACTTCCTGTCTTCGTAACTTCATGTTGGCTTCGATCATGTTGAAATGTCGCATACAGCCACCGAGAGGCTGACCAGGCGTACCTATACACAATAAATTTAGAATTAACACGCTGTCAAACAATTGAAAGAACCATAAATATTGTTTGAATGCTATTAATTGAGGTTGATTTTCACTCAATGAAAGCACTGTTTACATAAATATGGCAACTTAAATTGAAAAAAAGATTGAAATATTCATGAAAAATACATGTTCTATGCTAGGTTTTCTTCCTTATGTAAGGTCTCTTGTATCTTGAGTTAATTAAAAATTAAGAAATAAATCTTCATTATACGCATTCTTTTAAGATTATTGAAACTATCAGACTGCATGTTGATCTAGTCAAAATTACAACAACCGAAAAAGGTAACATGATACCCACATTCTTGATTGATCATCAGACAAACATTTTTTTAATCTAACCTTCAAGCATGTAACTTGCATACTCTGGCTTCCATGATGTTTCATTTTTCCTATAGTAATGATAAACAGCTTCATGCAACATCAGGCAACATTTGACAGCAATATTCAATAAATGACATTACCCAGGATTATTATGTTCCTCTTCCTGAAGCTTTGGTAATAAGTCCTGGCCCTTTAACAGGAGTTTAGCTTTCTTTTTTGCATGGTCAAATTTCACAACTACATATTCCACCTAAGAAAAATCATTGGCATAATTTTAGCATACAAAACAAATCGTGATGATCCATCTATGGATGATGATGGGCAAGGAGTTTATGATTGAAACACATCAGCAATATTTACAATTCTGTGTAATATAAAAAATGAATTTAACTTAAAATGTTGCGTGAAGTTGTTGAAAAATATGTAAAATATCATCAAGTTGTATTGTGAATAATGTACAATTATCTTCTGTAGTCTTTTAAATGCTTCGACATCAATACCTCATCTCCCCATTTTAGACAATCGTTTTCTCGATGTTGCAGTCTTTTAAAAATGTTCAAGAGTTGTGTTATACCATGAGAACGAATATGATTGGCATATTTCTTTGTTTCTTCCCAACTAAGTGGAGAACCTTCAGTAAGCAGTCCCATTTCGACAAATATTCGTCACTTTATGATAGTTGATGGACGTACAATTGTCGCTGTGAATGGCCACAAGCTATAAACAGGTCAAAAGCAACGCATCTTTCAAGGGTGCGGCCCTTTCAGAAATAATAATGTCATAAAACTAATGTAAGAAAAATTCGAGTTACCTTTAAGAGTGGTACCTAGTACCGACAAGTGACAACAAACGTTGGATACAATTTACCAAAATATAATCCTCTTTTTTAAGGTATCTACACGTGGTTTTATCTGAGGATTTGTAGATAGAGAATGAAAAATATTTACAATGCTATTAGAACACAACTAATTATAACTTGAATTACAATGACTTGAACTGTTTTAGAAACTTTATTCGTTGACATTCCAGGCATTGGTTGCCATAATTATACGCAAGACTAGTCTTTATCGTTAAGCATTTACCCCCCTCAAATAAAATCATGCTATATTCAATTTCATAAGCGATTGCCTTTTTCAGGAGGGGAAAGCCTCTCATAGGAGCGCCTTGGATAAGATGACACAGCAAAAAAAATAACTACAACTTTTTCCAACTGAAAGAACGATATATCTGAACATTTTATGGTCTTCCAAAAAGTTTATAACACCAAACATTCAAAGAAACTTGACATTTGTACATTTTTTCTCTTTAGCACATCTCAATTGGAGCGAAACAAATATGCCATGAATATCCGTTCAGGATATGATTACAGGATAACAACAAAACTGATGACATAACATAAGAACAAAAAGATATTTCTCTTTACTGTACAAATAAAATTTACTGCATATACATTACTTTAGAGTTAAAACCCTGTTTCTATTTATCTATGGAAGTAGACCCATGTTTAGCAACTTGGTTAATTGTTTCGCAAGTTTTCGTATGGACGGTCTTCGTTCGTCACTACCTGTCTTAAATGACTTCTCTAAAACTGTAAAACATTACAAATATATAAGTTATCATTTCGCATAAATTAACATAGCAAGTCAAGCAATCACACAATATCATGATGCATCACTGAAACTCTGGGAAAATGAGCTTGAAATACAAAAATAACCATAAATAAGATCACTTGATATGCATAAGTTTTCAATTTAATCTCGATACTTACTTTCAACTTGCTCCTCCAAATTGTCGAATTGTTTGTCAATGTTTTTATGATCCTCCTGTATTTCTTCAAGGAGGTTGATAAATGCCAGATCTTCACTACAATACATAGTTTTGTCGAGCTGAGGATCGTTAACTTCTTTAACCTCAAATGTTGCATCTCTTCCGTTCTGTTTGGAATTTTCTACATCATGAGTGGAATTCTCGTCATGACTTGCATCATTATCATCTTCTCGTTTGAAATCATTCCCATCCTCATCAACAATACCATTTATACCATTACTTATCATATTTCTTTGCACTTGACAATGCACTCTTGAGTTATCCATATTGCTCGTGGTTACACCATTTTCCAGGGAAGTAGAATTGTTCAAAGAAAACTTGTCTTCATGGAATTTCTTCTCTGAAAAATCCGTTTCGTTCTTGCAGTTATCTTCCTCAATTCTTAAACTAACATCACCTGTCAAGTATTGTTTATGCTCCCACATTAGCAAGTCTTCGTGACCCGGAGTTCTAAAATCGTGTTCATTTAAAAAATAGTAAGTGCGCATTTAATAGATACGAGTTTTTTAAAACTAGACATGTTTCGACATCTCATGATGCCATCTTCAGTATAAGTGAAATAATAAATAATACAAGATTTATATAAAAGTAATATGATACATAAATTACAACAATAATAAGGAAATAAGATAAATTAATGGGGAGCGCCGAGCGTATTATAAACTAAATATTGTATTGAATTTAAAAACTTGAACATTGAGGTCAGGGTTACTTTTGTTAATGTGGAGTGCCGCTTTGATTTTAAGGGAGAATGAGGTGTCGGCAGTGTCGATGATTTTGAAGCAAGAGGATGAATAGTGCTTCTACGAAATTATGGAAAATAGTAAGTATAACAGTACAAATGAATGTAATGTGGAAACAAAAACCAATATTTCCAAATAATCCAGTTTTTCCAATATACACAGGAAACCTGAAATATCAACTTCGTTCATAGTGAAAAACCTGATCATATCGACATAACATATAAATATACTTTAATTGCATATCCAGTAAAACTGTTTCACTGCATGAAAAAAACTTATTTGTAGCTTAAACAATTTATTTATAACTTGGAAAATAGCCCAATACTTACTTCAAAATATGAATCTTTTTTTTCACTCCTTTAAGCCGAGCGTTGAGAGAATGTAAATCAGAGAGTAAACAGTTTGTAATCTGAGCTTGAACCATTTTCACTTCACTTTGTTTATGTAAAGCAAATGAAGGTAAAATCCCCGTTTTGAACCAGTCATAGTTGTTCTACAGGTAAAATAAAAATCACAGCACATAGATAACGGAGATTATAGCATTTTAGTAGTATCAGAAAACGGCAGACACTTTTAATGAAGTTACAAGTTCAATATACAATACAAATTGGAGAGGACTTTTTAATTATTTTTCGAACCTTATATCGAGCGTTCTTTCGTAATCCTAGAAGAAAACAAACCGATTTTAACAGTTCTTTTTACTGAAGCAACGACAGATTTGTGTCGTACAATAAGGTTATATAATATCAAACTCATGCTTCAGATGTACTGTAGGTACACTTATCATAATATACGAAACAAGTGAATATGAAAGGAAACAGAAGTATATTATGACACACACCTGGAGGATTTTTACAAACGTAACACAAATATTTCGTTGGAACTTGTTCTTCACCGACGTTTACACATTCACTGTGCTGCCAAGTAAAACATTGTTCACACTGAAACATAGAAAATATACGTTTACACGTTCACTGTGCTGCCAAGTAAAACATTGTTCACACTGAAAGTAGGAATGAAAACCTGCGAGGTTGAATTTAAGCTCTCCCAATCCTCAACTCCCCCCGTCCTCCCAACTTTATCCACACGTTTTATGAAACGATAATATAATAAAATAACCATTTATGATGATGTCACGCATGGAATAACCTATCAAAACGCACCTGAATCATTAGTCCAGAATCTTCCAGGGCTCCACATAGACACCTCACAACATCCTCTTCTTCGTCTTTCGGATCAGAAATGTCCATCTCCATTTCGTCGTCAATATCACGTTCCACTTCGACATGTATATCTGCAAAATACGTACATAAAAGGAATTTACAAAGACGAAAAAAAAAATGATAAAAAGCATTGCTCAACAATGTATAAAATACCTAAAGCAACAGGAGACTGGTCTTTCATAGATAAATCACCAACTGAGCCAACAGAAATATCTGATGTAGACTGCCGCTTCGTTCGTTTCTTCTGTTGACAACTGTCAACGATGTCTTCTTCGCTCCACGAAGCTAAAAATAAATACAATTATTCCTATGAATAAAACAGAATGACAATTTAATGTTGATTCATTCTTATAAAAAAAAACAACCATTGACTACAAGCTATTTGTACCTGATGACCGCTTCCGTCTATTCTCCGCTGCAGAAGTATGATAATACTTGACGTGGGACTCTAGTAAAGACGCTTTGCGGAAAGATTTATCGCATTCAGGATATTCACATTTAAACTTGTTATGATCCAGTTCTATACGCAGTTCTTTGGGAGCAAATACTGCAATGATATGATAATAATTTTCCAAAAGCGCAAAAAAATCAATAAAAATAATCTCCCAGTGTGCAAGTCATCGTCGTTTTATTTAAAAACAAAACCTATATTTTTGGCAGTGTAAAGACTATCCAATTGTCTGTTGCTGATCCATGATCACCTAAACTAAGACACCTTATCTTCGTCTATATATATAAGATAGTGTAAAGACTGTTCTCATTCTCTGTTCATTCATCACTACGCACACTGACACACGTTATCTTAGTTTATGTTTTAGGTAGTGTTAAGACTTTTCTCGTTCTCTGTTGTTCATTCATCACTACCTATACTGACACACGTTATCTTAGTTTATATTTTGGATAGTGTAAAGACTGTTCTCGTTCTCTGTTGTTCATTCATCACTACCTATACTGACACACGTTATCTTAGTTTATATTTTAGATAGTGTAAAGACTGTTCTCGTTCTCTGTTGTTCATTCATCACAACCTACACTGACACACGTTATTTTAGTTTATATTTTAGATAGTGTTAAGACTTTTCTCGTTCTCTGTTGTTAATTCATCACTACCTACACTGACACACGTTATCTTAGTTTATATTTGAGGTAGTGTAAAGACTGTTCTCGTTCTATGTTGTTCATTCATCACAACCCACACATACAGACATCGTATATATGTTAAGTTTATGTAATGTAAAGGCATTCTCCTGGATGGATAATAAGTAATAAAATGTACAAAAAAAAACCACAAAATGTACCATTACAAAACTAAAAACCTTACACAAATCGAGAATAAACTGTGTACGTACCATGGGGTTTCTTTGATGTCTAAAAATCACCCAGAAAATGAAAGAATTTCAAAAAACACGTGAGGAAAAAGATATTTAAAGAACCAAAGACTGACCTTTCCGGGATAACCATCAGGGGGTAGTGGAGTTCTGAGAAAAACACCTTCCGAAGGACTTGTCACAGGAGTCTTTGAATCAAGTGTCTTTGATTCCGTGGGAGTTTTATCTTTGGTTGGGTGGCTTGAGGTAGTTGAAGGAGATACCAAACTACTAAGTGGTACATCATCGGGGTCTACTCTTACATTGAATGGCGCTTTAGATGGAATGTGCTGTGGTTTTCTTTTAGTGAGATGAGCGGAAAGATGGGTGGTAAGGTTGACGTCCATTGAGGAGGATGAGGAGGATATAGTCTTGTTGTATGGAGTTAGGAGAGTGTCAGGTCTGTTCAACACCTCTCTTTTTCTAAGAAAATACAAAATCAATGAATACATACAAAATCTCAAATGAGTTATTAGTTAAAAAATAAAACCATAATCGAAGCTGATCATTTTAAAACGCACCTTGTCACTCTGTTTACTTCACCGATGCATTTTACTTGTCTAGCACCAGTTTCCTCCTCACTTTTGTTGGATACATTATGAGCACGTGTGATCATTTGGTTGTCATAAGAGTTCATTGACTTGGACGTGACATCACGTGGCGATAAATTCCTACGGTCAGCGGTTTGTGTGTAAACAACCGATCCAGGAAGAGCACGTTGATCGACTGGCATCAGACGTACCAATGGAGAACCCTGTTGCCCGCACTCATGAAGTACAGGTGGAGGATATGCATGACAATTACCTAAGTAAAAATCAATGACTCGTCATTGCGGGGAATGTCTGTCACGCGCTGTCACTTATAGTCACTGATCTCGCATGAGCTATATGTATAATCTCTAAGGTCTTGTATTAAGTATAGTCTCTATATTTATATATTATGTGTAGTCTCTACATTTATATATTATGTATAGTCTCTATATTTATATATTAAGTAAAGTCTCCACAGTCTTATATTAAGTATAATTTCTACATTCAAACAATGTACTATCATTACTATGCGACAATATTTGAACGACGAACAACATAAATATTTGAACGACAAACAACACCATAAATCAAACATTGTTTACAAACAAGTGAGTAAAAAACGAAACACTTACATTGAGAAGAAGAATTTGACGAGGTAATGACTGGAAAAGAAGGTTGGGAGCCTGGACCATAAACGACGTATGTCTCACATGGCACCCCCCCTAGTTGATATTGACACGAGTTACCTGGTGGATAGCCGCTTCCAGGTGGATAGGTGTAACATGGACTTGTACATTGAGTGGGAGGGCCGTAACTTATGATTGCAGGCGCAGGATAACGTTCCATGTATTGAGGGGATATACGATGAGCAGGTGCTGACATATGGGAGTAAGTTGGAGGGTTAGGAGATACCGGTTGATAGTTTTGTGGAGACGCATGCGCAGATCTGTTGTTTATCTCCTCTGATTTGAGATGATCTAGTTTCTTTTTTATAACTTCATGTTTGGCTGTGATCTGCGTCTGTCTCTGGTTGGATAATTTTACAGTAATTTGATCCAATCGCTGTTTCTTTGCCTTGAATGCATCTTTGTGAGGTGATTTGTCTTTAATTGAATTTCCTCCTTTTGCCTTGTCAGCAATAGTCACATCACTACTATCAGCGACACTGCCGTCAGAAATGAACAGTTTTCTTTGCGATTTGAAGTCATTGGATTTCTTCTCCTCGATATCCGTTTTATCATCACGCTTCAAATTAGTATTATTGCTCTCAGAAGACCCCAATAATTCATCAACATTCGTTATTTTACTGTTATTGCTCTCAGAACACCCCAATAATCCATCACTTTCAATTTTGCTAACATGCTTCAAAACTTTTGACAACTTGGATTTACCCAAATCCTCATTATCATTACTTCTATGTTCAACTTTACTTGGACTTGTATTTTTATTGTCAATTATCATCTTCTTTTCGTCAACTACAAGCTTTTCTTTGTATTTATACCGCGTTGAACGTTTATTAACTTTTTTCACGTTAACAGTGACCTCTGACGGGAGTTGACATTTTGAGAGAACTTCTTCTGCCGCAGTGCAAGAAGCCCTGGGGCTCACCGAACTCTTATCCTGGATATCACAAGGTTCTTGTACATTCAACAAACCGAGCACTCCAGATGATTGTAAGATCTTCATGTCTTCATCAGCGACAATGACTTGATGAATATCTGTTTTTGAATCGACCTATAAAACCGTTAAAACGCAAACGGGTTGACTTGTAAATGCAACAACATTATAGACAATGACAGTTATAAATGTGATGAAAATGTAACAAATTATAATCACGTCAAATCAAATTAAAATCAAAATTAACTCACGTCACTTAAATCACGTGAACATTGTAAAGTAATTATAACTAAGGAAACGAACAACAACAATGTACAGTAAATGGTTTGAACCCGGGAGTATCGTTACATGTTTGTAAATGTTGATCGTCCAGGTTGGTATAGTCCTGAGAAGGACTGTTTTTGTTGTTGTTGACTGACGTTTCGACAACCTTAGCGGTAGTCATCTTCAGAGTCAAATGAGGAGTAAACGTCAGGTTAGCCGTATTTGTTATCTGGTTCTTACGTCATTGTATTGTGTGTACAGGAAATGTTTATTGTCATTGTGAATTAGTGTGAAGTGAAATATTTTTATTTGTGATGTGTGATTTAGGTGTGATGTTTTTAGTTGTAACGTGTGGGTGTCAATTGTGTATTGTCATTGTGAATTAGTGTGAAGTGTAATGTTTTTAGTTGATCGTTTGTTTGTATTGTGAATAAGTCGTTTGTAAGGTGCCGGTAATTGCTGTGATCTGTTCAGGGGGATTTGTTCCAAGCTGGTATACCAACTTAAAGTTGACTCATTTGACTCTGAAGATGACTACCACTAAGGTTGTCGAAACGTTAGTCAACAACAACAAAAACAGTCCTTCTCAGGACTATACCAACCTGGACGATCAACATTTACAAACATGTAACGATACTCCCAGGTTCAAACCATTTACTTTAATGTACAGTAAATAGTTTGAACCAGTAAATAGTAAATGGTTTGTGTCAGATTTTTCAAACTGACACCCACCCACCCCTTTACACTGTCCCCACCTTCTCCCCCTTCGCATTGACACCATCCCCTCTCCCTTCACACTTACCCCACTGCTTCTCCTTCATAAAAATTGCTTGAATGATATAAAGCTTGCAAAAGTAAAAACACACCTCTACACTGAGTGGTGACATTACATTTGAAATTGATTTTCTTGTTGAAGATTGGTCCGATTTGGTATCTTTGGCTGATGAGTGCTGGTGCTTTGAAGAGTCCTCCATTTTATCTGCATCGCTGCTCAATAAAATATCATCTATCTTGGTGATTGCTTCACTTGTTTTTTGGGAACCGGATTCAATGGGTTTCATACTGAAAAATGTTAGTATTTTGATTTTACTTAATAAATGAGTTAATGAAACAAAAATATAATTAATAAATAGAAATACCAAACAATGCAACATAAACATGTGTTAAAAACCTTTTAGTCTTGGTGTTTTTTATTTCATGAGATTTTTCAACACCAGCAACATCACAAGGCTTTGTAGGAGAAGAGGCCAACTTTGTTTCATGATTTTCTTCAGTTGGTTTCTGAGAATCAATATTTTCTATGATTTTTGCAGACTCCTCTGAAGGCTCACTGGTTGTTGGTGACACCATTGGTGACACTATTGGAGTGTCCAATCCGCTTCGCCGACGAGCTCGTTTTGCTCGATCCTCTGCTAGCTTAATCTTATGCAAGGGAAGATGGGGAACTGAAGGGGGCTTCTTCACCTATAATAAAAAAAAAATATTAGACCCAGAAACTAATTCTTCAGTCTGATTTGCTCATACTTTGTTTTTTTTCAAAACAACAAATTAAATGAACTTGCTTCATTGCACACACATACATATCCATCCCACAAACATTAGCCCCCCAACCGAAAAAATAAGTAGCCCTTTCAGCACACATACCTACTCCTTAACACACACATACCTACATACCTCCTTTTGCACATACTAATTCCTTTCAGTACACACACCTTGGAAGCTCTCTCTTTATCTCGTATTTTACCACGATGTATCAATTTCTGAAACCCATCATCATATTCAACCTCATAAAACTCTAAAATGATCAAAGTAAATAGTTTGAACAAGGGAATATTTTAAAATACTTGTATTGTAGACTGTCCATGTTAATGCAATCCTAGTGTTGACTGATGTCTCAACAATATTAACACCAACAGTCTTTAACGACAATCTACATATACAAACATCCAAAACATATCATTGTAGGCAACTACAAATACTTTGTACTTTAGGTCAGATGTGTGTACAAGCACATGCAACAAAATCAATTATATTTTGTTAACAAGAGATAAAAAACGAACAATATTCTCAACCAAAACCATGTTAGGCTCTTATACAAGCTAAATACTATTTAAGCTCACCTTTTGAGATGACGCTGACAATTTTAGCAGGATAGAATGTGCCATCAGACCATTTTGCAGAAACAGCATCACCTTGCTTCCATTCCTGCTTAAATGTCGGGACAATGGACCAAACATAATCAATTAGCAACTAGATCTAAAGCTCAAGAAGTCATAATGTGTTACATACGTAATCACAAAATAAATAACTTTCTTATGCTTAAAGGGATTACTTTGATAAATGAATGAAACTTTTTAATATAACCTATATAAGATTGTGAGCATCATTTGTCATTAACTAAACTTAAAAGAACATAGTTGATCTCCATTTGTGGCACAATTTGGTATAATTATAGAACAGCCAGCCAATGCCAATGAATGATCACCACACTTATCTAGCTACATGGATATCCCATGGTTATTTATGTATAGGGCAGGGTATTCCGTAATTACTTTCAAACTATTGTTTCTAAACTATGTCTTGTCCTATACCTTGTGCAGGTTTAGGACAAGAGTAAATACCTTTAACTCTTTCCCTTTCATCTTAGGTTTCATCTTTTCCTTTGGCAAAGGTCGAATTTTCTTGCTATCAAAGGACACCCATTCATCATATCGTGAGTTCCATCCTTCAAAGTGGATTAAGATTTTCCTCTTCTTGAGGTCAACTTTGGCAATTTTCGACACATACCTATAGAAGAATGGTTGGAAATAGATAAACCATTTCATCATTGTGAATTTATTTCCTGAGCATTGCTGTACGTCGCAAAATACGTAAATGCTTTAAGATTAACGACGGAAAGCTATGTTAACCTTGTGCATTTACATACATTACAACGTAGAAACTGTACTGCGTATCAGCGTATACGACAATATTTTTCCTAACACATAATAAAATTTGTTGTGAATGTCAATAGTTAAACGAGGATACATGACATAATTTCATTTCAAAATAACTCTTACCACTGAGACATGTAGTCCATAGCTTCAATTCTATTTCCAACAACAAATTCCAGCTTGTTTGGAGAGTTACCTTTGCTAGATGTGGGACTTGTAGTCGTAATACTTTTACCCGACATATTCGTGGATGAAAACACTACCAATTCTGACACGCAATACAATTATGACTTTAAAGCAACCGTAAAAAAAATTCCCATCATTTCAACAACAACCATGGCAGTAAAAATGGGAAAAATCAACAATTTTTTTCACCACGCGTGTTTATTGTACATCAAGTCAATAACATCAGTGCTAACCGCGCAAAGGAGGCCTGAGCACAAGTCTTGCAAAGTGGTATAATAAGCGCGTGTGATTAAACGAAAACGAAACGTTGGACCAATCAGAGCGAGCCAGCTCAAACAATATCACGCTCGACTTTATAAAACATTCGTGGTACATGCTGAAATAGAAATATTATTTGAAGTTTGTTTTTTCACCATGATTTTTTGTATAAATTGTAAGTCTGACGTTGCATAAGAATAAAAATTGTTTTTTTACTGATACAGCTGCAGGAAAAGATCTTTTCACGAGCAATTTAATTTTTTCAGGTGTAGTTTTGACAGTCTTGTGCAATTTGGTCCTTACTGAGGCCCTGTATGGCTCTAATGGCGATGTGGTCGAGTTGACCGCAGGAAATTTTGATGGAAAAGTTATACAAAGTGATAACATCTGGCTTGTAGAGTTCTATGCACCTTGGTAAGTAAACGTCTTTTGATGAAAAGTTAGTAAGGGGCGAGTTTTTCAAAATTGTTGCAACTCAAATTTAGAAATCTTACCTGATAGTTTTAAATGCCCTGTGTCAATAATTTTATACCTTTGAGAAATCAAGACATGATGATTTGGTGGCATTTTTTTACAACAAAAGTTTCATAAATTTTATTTGCATGTTGTTGGAATCAGGGGCACGCATACAAAAAACTTTGGGGTGGGGGTGGGTCTAACTGACTTTATACATATATATATATATATATATTTCACAAAAGCTATGGGGTCTCACACACCTAACATCAAGTTATTTGTATTATATTTCAGGTGTGGACATTGTCAGTCTTTGGCTCCAGAATGGAAAAAAGCTGCCACAGCTCTTAAGGTGCTGCCTGTTAAGTAATATGTTTTAAAAAAATGTTTTGTGTTATATAAATATATTTTTGTATCAACAGGGAATAATTCAAGTTGGTGCAGTTGATATGGATGTTCATAGCTCAGTTGGTGGGCCTTACAACGTTCGCGGTTTTCCTACCATCAAAGTAGGTGTCTAGGTTGCATGTATTATGTTTTGAAAATTCCTTTGCTGAATATAACTTGAAAAATTTTTTCCACACTTAACAAATAAAAACCTTATTTACTTACAGATATTTGGAGCGAACAAAAGATCGCCAATGGACTATAATGGTAATTGCTTTTATGTTTTATTTTATTAGCTAGATATAATGTGGATGTATGACATAATGGCAAAAAATGTTGGTTCTACTAGAAATACATTTTTTCAATAAATTAACCTCAATCGTTGCTCATTACCAGGACCTCGGACAGCTCAAGGTCTTATAAAGGCAGCCTTGGAAGCTGCACAAAGTGCAGTAAATCAGAGATTAAGTGGAGGTGGTCAATCCAGTCGTGGGGGAAAGGTAAATGAGTCCTTACCAATAGTGCAATATACTTCTTCAAACATAACTATCTTATCTTTATACAGAGTGGAGGAAGTGGCAACACAAAAGATGTTATTGAACTCACAGATAGCAACTTTGATGAACAGGTTCTTCAAAGTAGCGATATGTGGCTTGTTGAGTTTTATGCTCCATGGTATGTAGCATTCATTAAGTAACTTATAAATTTACCACAAAAATAAATGTACATATTCTGCCACAAAACAGGTGTGGCCATTGCCAGCGTTTAGAACCGGAATGGAAGAAGGCAGCCACAGAACTCAAAGGGAAAGTAAAATTAGGAGCTTTGGATGCCACTGTCCATCAACAAATGGCACAGCGATATGGTATTCAAGGTTTTCCAACCATAAAATACTTTGCACCAGGAAGTGATGCTGTAGACTACCAGGGTGGACGAAGTGCATCAGATATTGTACAGTTTGGCTTGTCAAAGGTTGCTGAAAATGTTCCACCACCAGAAGTAGTTCAATTAACAGAAACTAAGGTGCTAACTGATAATTGCAATGAGAAGCCCCTTTGTGTGGTTTCAATACTGCCTGATATCTTGGACACTGGTGCTGCAGGCAGGAATGCCTACCTTAATATCCTCAAAGAAATAGGAGAAAAATACAAAAGCAAACTGTGGGGTTGGGTATGGAGTGAAGCTGGCAAACATTCCAAGCTTGAAGAGGCATTGGGTATGGGTGGTTTTGGTTATCCTACGATGGCTGCAGTAAATGTTCGCAAAATGAAGTTTTCCATCTTGAAAGGCTCCTTTGACAAAACTGGTATTGACGAGTTTCTTCGACGTCTTGCTGTTGGACGTGGATCTACTGAGCCAATCAGAGGGGCAGCTCTACCAGAGCTTGAAGCAGTAGAACCATGGGATGGAAAAGATGGACAGTTGCCCCAGGAAGAAGATATAGACTTGAGTGATTTTGATATGGATGCTGAAGAGAAAACTGAACTTTAAATTACATGAAGAGATGTATAATTGTTGTGATAATTGATGTGTAAAGGTTCAGTGCGTTATGCAACTGTATAGCTGATGTAGTAGCTTTAACAAAACAAATTATTACGTTTAAATAAACTGCCTTTACAACACTTATATTGTTCTTACCAATGCCCATTATGAATGTAGGTTGAAATAGTCATTCAACAATAACATCAAAAGAAAAGTACGAACTTTTGTCATGGACTTGTGTCACCCTCACAAACTGACTTATATTGCCATTGATTTAATCTAAATCCATACAGACACGAAGCACAAAATTTCATTACCTGTTAAAAATTCTATTTTACTTAATTGTTGAAGAATTCGCTATTTTGATGTGATTTACTGTTAGCCATTAGCTTTTAAAAAATATGAACTCACTTCCTTGATCGTTAATTATGACAAAAAAAAATTCAAATTTAATCATTTCAATTGTAGCTGATCTATTTCGTATGTCCTCCTGCCTATTTATGATTTCATTTATGATTTTATGTGTCGAAAGTTTAACAGGTGAGGAGACGCTATATTTCTGTTTAGTTCACAATTAAACCACGGTTGAATTGATGATTTATATACATAGAGCGCAAGAATTTACAATGTTTCATTTTGAGTAAAAGTATGAACGAAACCTTTCATTACAAGTCATCGTCGTTAATATGTTGAGCGAATACCTCATTTTTCACGGAGAGAATTTTCTTAGATTTTACCTAAACAAAATTTAAGGACATGAGCGTCAGGAAGAGTGAGGTAAAGATAAGATAACGTGTGTCAGTGTAGGTAGTCATGAATGAACAATAGAGAACGAGAACAGTCTTTACACTATCTAAAATATAAACTAAGATAACGTGTGTCAGTGTAGGTAGTCATGAATGAACAACAGAGAACAAGAACAGTCTTTACACTACCTAAAATATAAACTAAGATAACGTGTGTCAGTGTAGGTAGTCATGAATGAACAATAGAGAACGAGAACAGTCTTTACACTGTCTAAAATATAAACCAAGATAACGTGCGTCAGTGTAGGTAGTCATGAATGAACAACAGAGAACAAGAACAGTCTTTACACTACCTAAAATATAAACTAAGATAACGTGTGTCAGTGTAGGTAGTCATGAATGAACAATAGAGAACGAGAACAGTCTTTACACTATCTAAAATATAACTCAGTTGGCACCAGCAAGTTTAGTAAATGAAAGACAGAAAATACTAGTAGAGTTTACACCTTCTTAGATCTTCGATTCGTCGACGGTAATTCTTCATTTTTGTCCTCGTCATTTCCATCCACGGATGTCTTAAAATACAAATCTATTGAAGAATTTATTTTGGGTAATTTCCATAGTGGACAGAGTATACCTCATCAGATTTTGTTTCTTCTTCGTTTCTTTCTTTCAAAGTGTCCTTTTTGTGTGCACTGGATGTTTTTTCTTTGGCCAAAGAAACTTGCGTCGTACTTTTTGATGTTTCGTTCTTGTTAGAATAAAGAACACAATTCACTTCTTTATTGAATCTCATTACAAGCATAAGAAAGATAATTTATTGCAAGCACAACATACTTCATTTTTTGCTCGATTCTTGATCAACTCATCCACCATTCCTTGTAAACATAAACTTATCAACATTGCCTGAAGAATATATAAGTAATCATGAACCAAAAAATTCTAAGCGTATTATTCCAGTCCTCCCTTCCCTCAACACACAAGCTATGGATAAGAGCAAGAATATTTACCACAATGTTCTATAATAAATATAATTATATAATAGTTTGCATATCTCCATACAATACATATCATCTCAAGGACAGTCCTTTTACCTGATCGCTTACGATTGTAATCCATTGTAATTTTGATTTGCTAAACAGATATTCAAAACAGATTTTTGTTATAATATCGTCATTCTTGCTTTCTCGCTACAAAAGAAGATAAAATACGATTTTTAAAACAAAACAAAAAAGAATGCATTGCATATAACTATGGCTTGGTTTTTGTGATCATCATGGAAATAGGGAGTATTACAACACGCATTTTGCAGTTATTGCATGACAAGAAAAGTAAAATATAAACTTGAGGGAAAAATTACGATAAGATTAAAAACATTCCAGTGTTCCCTTTAACTTACCGAAGAAATGACGCGCCAACATCGTATTCTGGTAACCTTGAAATTGCCCTCTTTTCCTTTAGTATTCTGGGGGGAAAATTTAAATCACATAACACAGCAAAAATAATGAAATATTCCATACCATGATAGGGAATAATCCCATACCATATTAGCGAAGTAGTTCGACAATATTCTTTGTGTTAAACTGCTCAACTCATTACTCAATTGCTATCCCTATTTTCCAAATTTATCTTTGCCATCATACCTGACTTCCAATAATTCTAAAATTCAACTCATAACCACCAGTATTGATGAGGACACGTGTTTCACTCTCTGGAAAATCCATCAAACACGGTTTGAACTGAACATAGCCGTAAAATTTCTGTTTTCTTGCTAGTTGTAAGTACTATGAAGAAATGAAAACTTGATTACATTTTTCTCAAGACCAAAAATTAGACAAGTATCTCTAAATAAAAAAGGTTGATAGATTGAGAGAAGTAACTAGTAGGTTCACGATAATCAGTACCTTTTTTCGCTCGTTTTTTATTTTAAGAGTGTTCAACTGTTCCATCGTCTCTGGAGAAGTTATGACCCAGTCTCTCTCAACATCACACACGGCCTGGTCATGCGAGAAATAAAGGAGTGCATTTAACACAAAACATTTGGCTAATGCATGATAAAATCCACACAGGTTAAGAAATTCAGATTGTCCACATTTATATTTAAAACTTTGTGAACGAACAAGGTCAGATTACCTTTCATAAATATTTGACAAGTATTTTCAAGATTAACAGAAAAATCCAGAATTACGATAAATCAACCTTCCAAGTAAATTATCCTCAAGGATTTACAGATAAATCCAGCACTGCAAAAACTCAACCTTTCAATTTAAACTCTGTATCGCACAAAGCGAAGTAACAGTCGTCAAAATAGAAACATTGTAAAAACATCTGTAAACACAATGCTAGAAAAATGACAACTTTTTATGTAACTTTATTTTCTGTTTTCAAAATAAACTTTGACTGATGTATAAAAGATCATAATGTAAACTTTACATTCTGTTTTCAAAATAAATTTTGACTGATGTATAAAAGATCATAATGTATTAAAGCTGACATAAATTCGAGCATACCTGAACAAATAAGAGATTTAATGCTATCTTATCCTCGTACAATTCGTCTTCTATACTTGAATCCCAGAAACTACACAAGAGATTACGAGAATTTTTCAGTCAAAATTGCATTTACGAACAAGAAATTGAAAAAGCCTGGTGGACTTGTATGAATATATTGGATCATATCGTAAGTTTCGTCCAATAATTCTCTCTTCTAGACCTATTTGATTCAATATTTGTCTCTCTAAACAATCCTATACATCCATTTGGTTCAATATTTGTCCCTAACAATCCTATATGATTTGCCTCATTTCATTTGGTTCAGTGATAATCCCTTTTAAACAAAGTTGTAGTACACTAGGCCTACTAAAAAAGTCATTTGTGTAAAATAACTTCCTCGTTTCAACAGTACAAACACGTATGTGTCCAGCAACTGCAAGAAAAATCAATTTGCTACAGAAATGAAGAAAGTCATTCCAAAAATCCAAATTTACTAAAGCAGAAGTAAAATTGCAAGAAAGAAACGTCTGAATATTCCTTCCCTCGTCAATTCAATAGAGAAGAAGATAGTAGATATTCGGTTTGTACAGTTTTTCAAAACAATTTATGATTCTCACTTTTTTCTGACGATCAATCGATGAGATTGCTTTTGAGGTAAAAGTACAAGTGAAGGAGACTCAAATCCTTGTAATTTACGCACAACTAAAACACACAAAAAAATTACAAATGAAGTAAATGCACGAAATTGCCTAAAATTCCTCTTATAAAGAGTATATATACAAGCTAAAAAAGGACCAAAGACCTTTTAAAGTAATTTGCCATCAAATGACATTTATGTTATCAAAAAGATCTTTTGTTCAGTATTATGTAGTCAAATAGTAGTAACAGCGCAACATGCTGTAATAAAAACACTAGTAGCCTATGCCCTAGTAATGACCGTACCTACTAAGCTTTCTTCATCTTCCATTTCAACAAGAAATAGTGAAAAATACTGGGCCATGTTTTCCGGTAATTTGATATGGGACATTGCCAACTACATATGAATGAAGGATAAGTTAAATTATGGACTTAAAGAGATCAGTCATTGTTTTCATATTACCTCCATTACATGATCTGTTGAAGCTGTATTCTTCACTTTGACCTGGAACTTTTTGCCATTCAATAAATATACATCCAACTCAACATCTTTTTCTTCAACTTCACATGTTTCCTAAGGAATGAAAGGACATGATGTAACTCCAATGGAAAAGCTAATGCCCCCCCCCCAATTTTACAATGAGCACTTGACAATTTCCTCCCTCCTTTAACAATCCTCTAATGTCCTTAATGCTTGAACTACTTGGCCAAGCTAATGTTCATCTAGATAACCACATCATTATTAACTATCCTCTAATGTCCTAAATGTATGCACTACTTGGCCAAGCTAATGTTCATCTAGATAACCACATCAACATTAACTATCCTCTAATGTCCTAAATGTATGCACTACTTGGCCAAGCTAATGCTCATCTAGATAACCACATCATCATTAACTATCCTCTAATGTCCTTAATGCTTGCACTACTTGGCCAAGCTAATGTTCATCTAGATAACCACATCATCATTAACTATCCTCTAATATCCTTAATGTATGCACTACTTGGCCAAGCTAATGTTCATCTAGATAACCACATCATCATTAACTATCCTCTAATATCCTAAATGTATGCACTACTTGGCCAAGCTAATGTTCATCTAGATAACCACATCATCATTAACTATCCTCTAATATCCTAAATGTATGCACTACTTGGCCAAGCTAATGTTCATCTAGATAACCACATCATCATTAACTATCCTCTAATATCCTAAATGTATGCACTACTTGGCCAAACTAATGTTCATCTAGAAAACCACATCATCATTAACTATCCTCTAATGTCCTAAATGTATGCACTACTTGGCCAAGCTAATGTTCATCTAGATAACCACATCATCATTAACTATCCTCTAATGTCCTAAATGTATGCACTACTTGGCCAAGCTAATGTTCATCTAGATAACCACATCATCATTAACTATCCTCTAATGTCCTAAATGTATGCACTACTTAGCCAAGCTAATGTTCACTAACATCACTACATCACCAGAAGACTTTGAGATATACAATAATACAAGTATGCAAATGCAATAAAATAAACAAGTGAAGAAAACTGACTTTTTGGGCGTTTAGAAGAAATTTGATAAAGGTTTTGCTGTTGATAAGCATGGGATCTTGACTGATAGCCTGTAAATATTTCTCAAGCAAGTCTCTTCTTTCCTGCAATTGTGCGTGATTCAATGAGAGAATTTTTTTGGGTGGGAAACTATCTGGGACATGATCACCAAACTCTTTCTTTAACTATAGAATAGAATCAAAGACTATAAAAAATGTTTATAAAGACATGTTTATAATAATGCTTGATTTTTTTAGGTGACTGTAGAGGTAAAATTTCTTGCAGCGCTCTTATTGCACTATGTATATATACATGCTATATATACTTCAATACAGGCTATTCCTATTGCCCTGTGCATATATGTAAAGAAACTAATTACTTGTTTTTCCCACATAGAAATTTAGTGATATAATTGATGACTACGATATATTTATTTTAATCATTTGGTCAATATCAGAGACAAAGCATACTTTATATTGGGCAAAGTCATCAAACACCACAGTTGGGTGCAAGAAATTAAAAAAATAACAAAATGGTGGCAAAACCATAAGCGGGGGGAGGGGGGTGGGGGGGTGGGGCATAGATAAAGAAACAAGTTTTGAGATTAGAGTGCACTATAGCATACCTGTTCATGTAGTACACGAAGGTTTCTGTATCGAATGGAACTATGAAATCCGCCATTTATTGATATGCCATAACTCTGAACATAAACATACACATCACTTAGAGACATAGACACATTGTTGATGTATATCAAATACAACATTTATATACACTTAGTACACATTAGACAAATCATTGCTTTTAGGACTGTATATTTTTGTATGAATAAAATATATTTCCATAAGATTTATATGGCATCATAGATAGGTTGAACTTTGAACATCAATTGTCATTTGTCAATAATCTTAATTACCTTGTCACTTTTTCACAAACACAATACAGATTACAGATAGATGTCACATTTTATAAAATATGGATTTGATGACAATGTAAACTTTGTTGTAACAAGACGGATTTAACAATGAGTCATGCAATAAATAATAAAACAAGACTCATTATAAAGTAAATGGTTTGAAAAATAATTGGCAAAAATAATTATATAACAGAAATCAATAGTCTCCTTAAAATTTAAACCAGTTTTCTCACCACATAGCTACCATTCTCGTCCGATCTCTGTTCAATGTCAAGGATGGCGAAATGCATAGTAGACTGTCATAAAAGTTCGATAAGTTTTCAAAATTTCAAAGGTAACGATCGTAAAATAAAAATGTCCTCAAGTCTTATCATATTACACAATTCAGAATTCCTCGATGCAATTACTTCATGTTACGTACATAATAATGACACAATTAAACATCATTGCATACGAAGTACAATTTTAATACTTTATTTCCGCCATCGTTTACTATCACAGTTTAGTACATTGCGACTCTTTAGGACACCATTCTGCGTTAAATCCACCGACATATCATTTATCTAAAACAATAAATTTAGCATTTGAAAACATTGTATGTGGTTCACCAATGACACACAAGACTGTTCTCGTTCTCTGTTGTTCATTCATCACTACCTACACTGACACGCGTTATCTTGGTTTATATTTTAGGTAGTGTAAAGACTGCTCTCGTTCTATGTTGTTCATTCATCACTACCTCTACCTACACTGATCCACGTTACCTTGGTTTATATTTTAGGTAGTGTAAAGACTGCTCTCGTTCTTTGTTGTTCATTCATCACTACTTACACTGACACACGTTATCTTACTTTATATTTTAGATAGTGTAAAGATTATTGTAGGTCTGCCTTGCAGTTTAACGATACTAATATTTCACGAAATCTACAAATAACGAAGGGCATCTCACCACCAACGCTTTTATGCATCCTGTAAAGTCCCTGAGATCCTTAGAATTTTCATATGCCATCGGTTGTATCATAGCAAGGTCTGGTATCCCACCTATGAACACCTCATCAGCGATATTAAGTTGATAGGCATTGCCAAGACTTGTGCATGACGTTTTATTGCCATTCAAATCTAAACTTGCTGACTTTCGTTTTCTGGTGACAAAAATGTCGTTCTCTTTAAAATAAGATATTTCATTAGGACTTATGCATTTTCCAATACCAGTTCCAAGATCGTATATCAAATAAACATTCCTAAACAATAAAGGATTTTCAAGTTTAATGATCAGTTCCAGATTCTTTTATGATCTATAACTCGTTGATTCGTTAAAACCACAGAAAAATCTGATTACACATTTACTGCAAAGCTCTTTCACTTTCAATTGGTTTTTTTTTAGACATCTTTTAATCAAGGATCATCTTGTACTGAACCAATTCTAATCATATATTTTCAGAATGTGAAATTAATTAATACAACTCAAATACCTGTCGTGAATGATGATGGACAAAAAATCCTTTGATGATGGCGTTAAATAACGACTAACGTAAAACAAAATACCATTGGGCGCTGAAGTGGAAAATACCATTTTGATGGAAGTAAGACCATCATTGTTGAGAGAGGAAAACTTTGATAGTGAAAAGCTTTGATAGGAGTATTCTCCAAAATATGGCGTTGATACGTTAATATCTAAACGTTATATAATAAAAATATTAGTCCATCCAACTTCAATAGAGACTGCCTTTAACAGAAAGAGTGTTATTGCAAGCTTGCTTATTTACTCGTGCTTAGTAACCTTTCACGTGCTCTCACACTGCCAAGAAAACACATTTCTAAAGAAATGTATGATGACAATTGACTGAAATTAACATAGCAGGAACAAAAAAGCATGCAGGCTGGCTACTACAAGAGATATTAATTTCAACTCACTGTCTTGACAAAGCTTTCCCCCTTTCCCAGAAGGACAGTCACATGTGAAGCCAGTATCCCGTATGCGACACTCAGATCGTCCCTGGCAAGGATTATATTCTCGACATGGTACCGAAGTATCATTGCACAACATTCCGGACCATTCCGGAGCACACCGACAAACGTACGACGCGCCAAGAGATTCGCACGTACCATTGTTCATACATGCACCGATAACACATGCGTCAAGTTTTTGTTCCTGGATATTTAATCCCGTAATCACTGGCAGAGATAATGAGGTATTAGTTGAATGTTTCAATGAAAGTGAACGCCAAGAATTTGATAACCCAGTGCGTATCTTTGAATCCTTTATTGAACCTCGAAAACCATCAGTGAACAGTACCTATCAAGAACAAAGACAATAAATGGTCATAACCAAACGTCGTTTATATATACCCATAAGAGCAAGGTGTTTCAGAAATTATGGAACATTGGAAAACAGTGATTTTGTTGATGAGGTCCTTGCCCAATGAAAAAAGTTCTAGAGAGCACTTCATTATAGAAAACCGTAATAATCTTGGGTGGATTATGTTCATACATTTGTTTGAAAAATATTCAATGGCTGTCAAACAGCAACAAAACAGTTTGTAAAATATAAAAAAACAGGTTGAACCTTTGACTGTTTATTCTATAATTTTTGTACTCATAAAAAAATATTTGACGATAAATTCATTGTCCTACCTCGCTGTTGAGCATTGAAAACTCAGGTATTCCACCTAAGTAAAGATTTCCAAACACATTAAGTCCCACTAAAGGAGGAGGAGAGTGTGCTTCTTTGACATCTTTATCCACGTACAGATAACCATGTCTTCCTTTCCTCCCTGCCAAAATGGTGAACCATTCTTTATTGAAGGTGAGAGGCTCACTGGAAATGTTCACTGCACCTGATCCAAGATTGTATTGGAGCACTACACGATTCTCATAAACGCCTAAGGCTAGATAGTCGCTGTCGCTACCAACCGACAGGTGATCGTGCAGACCAACATAAAACAGCAAGCCAATCCTCCTTGATTGTGTGTGGTTGGAAAACTTTATCTCCATACGGAGATCCAGTAAAAGATTAGCAGCACGTGGGGTGAGATATTGTAAATATGAAGAATGATTCTTCACTACGCTAAATGTTGGTATATTGACATCAATGTCTGAAAAAAGAATTGTTATGTTAAGTAAGATGTTCCCATACTCTTTCTTCATTTTCAACATTGACACACGTTATTTTAGTTCATACTTACTTTGATTGCATGTCAAACCACCTCGACCAAACGGACACAAACATTCGACTCCAGACTTACTCGTGTTCAGACATTTTCCACCATTACAGACATTTACAACACATGAATATTTCTCCTCGCAAATTTTACCAGAATATGGAAAAGAACATCGACAAATAAAATCTGAAATATCTTCATTTTTCTGAAGACAAATACCTCCATTTCGACAAGGCATTGCATGACAAGCAGGTACGTCACACTCTGATATATTTTCCCATTTCACGGCACCTATAAAGAACTTCTACTTAGAATATGAAAATATTTATTGATTAAAAGCTCAGTTCGACGTTTATAAAGGCAAGGAAGTAATAATGTCTTTGATTCATTTAAATATATTTTTTGCGAAGATTATGTCTAGCGATACCTAGATACTATAGCTACTCAACCAGGAAGACAGTTTCCTATGCAGCACTAAGCAGCTTACTTTTTAAGTATTTCCGTATTTGACTAATGACTTATTGCGATGTGTCATGGCCAACCTATTTGCGAGCAAGATCATAATCATTGTAGGTTTTGTATTAAATAAATTTGCCTGAACTTTTACTCCATGAACAGTATTTTGTACATCAAAAAAATCCAACAAAATGACATAAAAACAAAATACAACACGACATTCATCATAAATTGTAAATTCAATGTCGATCGTACCCGAAAGCTCAAACATTCGGTCATTGAATTCTAGTTCACGAATGCAGCCGACAAAAGGTTTTACTTCTCTCATACTGGGATAATTTTTCGTGTAAATCGTAGGAACAATACCACCAATGTATAAGGGATGGCGAAGATCAGGGGAACGTAGAAGACGACTTGACGTGTTACGACGTTCAACGCCACCTTTCACGAATAGAAAGATCGTTCCAGCGCGAGTGTCGTAACTAGAAATAATTATGAAAATAGCCTAGTATGAATTTCTGATGTTGTCTGTTGTTGAAGACGGTTTTCGTTCTCAACATCATTCATCACTACCTACACTGACACACGTTATCTTAGTTTATATTTTGAGTAGTGTAAAGACTGTTCTAAATCTTTTGTTCATTCATCCCTCCTCACACTGACACACGTTATCTTGGTTTAAATTTTGAGTAGTGTAAAGACTGTTCTAAATCTTTTGTTCATTCATCCCTCCTCACACTGACACACGTTATCTTGGTTTAAATTTTGAGTAGTGTAAAGACTGTTCTAAATCTTTTGTTCATTCATCACTACCTACACTGACACACGTTATCTTGGTTTATATTTTGAGTAGTGTAAAGACTGTTCTAAATCTGTTGTTCATTCATTACTACCTACACTGACACACGTTATCTTAGTTTATATTTTGAGTAGTGTAAAGACTGTTCTTGTTCTCTGTTGTTCATTCATCACTACCTATACTGACACACGTTATCTTGGTTTATATTTTGAGTAGTGTAAAGACTGTTCTTGTTCTCTGTTGTTCATTCATCACTACCTGCACTGACACACGTTATCTTAGTTTATATTTAAGTCAGTGTAAAGACTGTTCTCATTCTCTGTTGTTCATTCATCACTACATGCACTGACATACGTTATCTTGGTTTATATTTTGAGGAACAGTTGCATGAGCCAGGATAGCATTTATTCAATTGTTTCATACATATTACTTACCCAAAACTAGCAGAAGTTGTATTGCCATTTGCAACTATTTCAGGACTAGTCACAGAAATCACTTTATCGCCAGCGTTCAAAGAGAATCGCAAATTCCCTTTGACAACCTCTAGTTTAATAAAATCTCGATAAACAGGATGACCAGAAAAGAGAATGGTACCGTCAATAAGCGTTCGAAAAGATATGACGAAAACATTAACCATAGAACCGAAAGCAATAGGTTTGTATTCGATAAAGGAGTTACCATTGAAATATGGGAAATGAAGATGTGTGTCTGTAAAAAAAAGAAAAATAAGGTAATCAACGTTGTTCAACAAGAAGGTTGACATTTTCTGCGTTTTTTTTTCAATTGCAAAATTAGTCAAACTTGTGGAGTTCTCTCACATTCGCCGGAGTAAAAATCGAAAGAAAGAGGTCTGTTGCTTATAAATCTGTACAAGAATCAATGCTCAATTGACTAGATTACATCTTAAGATAAAAATAATCATACCTAAGGTGCAAACAGGACCAACTGTTGGATGACGACAATCACAGTAAAAAGAAAGACCAGATGTTGAGCTTTTTCGATTGCGACATACACCATGTTTACCACATGGCCTGTGTTCACATGTTTGGTTTTCAATAGGTACAACAGAAGCTGATGGTATAACTGTTGTGGTAGTTGCTCTACTGTATAATTTTGTTGAATCTTCAATTGACATACTCGGATTGATGGCAAAGGTTGTTGTGATTGAACCACTGGGTGTGGTTGAAATGGAAACACTAGGTATGGTTGAAATGGAACCACTAGGTATGCTTGAAATGGAACCAATAGGTATGGTTGAAATGGAAACACTAGGTGTGGTTGAAATGGAAACACTAGATATGGTTGAAATGGAACCACTTGGTATGGTTGAAATGGAAACACTAGGTGTGGTTGAAATGGAAACACTAGGTGTGGTTGAAATGGAACCACTAGGTATGGTTGAAATGGAACCACTAGGTATGGTTGAAATGGAAACACTAGGTGTGGTTGAAATGGAAACACTAGGTATGGTTGAAATGGAACCACTAGGTATGGTTGAAATGGAACCACTAGGTATGGTTGAAATGGAAACACTAGGTATGGTTGAAATGGAACCACTAGGTATGGTTGAAATGGAACCACTAGGTATGGTTGAAATGGAAACACTAGGTGTGGTTGAAATGGAAACACTAGGTATGGTTGAAATGGAACCACTAGGTATGGTTGAAATGGAACCACTAGATATGGTTGAAATGGAAACACTAGGTATGGTTGAAATGGAAACACTAGGTATGGTTGAAATGGAACCACTAGGTATGGTTGAAATGGAACCACTAGGTATGGTTGAAATGGAACCACTAGGTATGGTTGAAATGGAACCACTAGGTATGGTTGAAATGGAAACACTAGGTATGGTTGGCATCAAACTAGATGAAGTTGAATTCAATGTACAATTACGGCCATAAAATCCTTGGGCACAACGACACAGATATGATTCTTTACCCACGCCAATACGACGACATTCGCCATTGTTCTTGCATGGTTGAATGAAATCACAAAGATTTGAAACATGTTCACAATGTTTGCCATAATAATCACCCAAACAAAAACACACATATGAATTAACACGATCATCACAAAATCCACCATTTAGACATACTCCTTGATTTTCTGGTAGTGCACATTCATCAATGTCAACATCACATTGAGGGCCAGTAAACCCAGGCTCGCAGGCGCACTTAAACAATTCACTATGTCCTGCAACAACATCAGTGCAATTACCACGATAACATGGTTCTGTGAAACACGCATCTAATTCTTCACAGAACTTTCCATTATAACCAGCACAACATTCGCAATGCATATTATTTCCAAAAAAGGTCTCTGTAATACACTTTCCTCTTCCAGAACATACTTTCCCATTAATTGTATTGGTACAGTTCGTGGCATTGACAACATTCATGTGAAGACGAACGCCCAAATGGCAGGAAAGATACGGTTTCTTTTTTCCTTTGCTGATGAAGAATTTATGGCCAACACTATCAACATATCTATCAGGTAGCTTCACAGTTGATGTTAATGTACCCACTGATTGTGTAGCATTTTGACAGAAGATAAAGTTCCTTTGACTGACATTGTAGATAGTGAATGGTTTCAAAAAATCATTTTGTTTGTATTTTGCAGTAAAATACACATTTGATCGTATATTCACCACCAATGGATAAAAGCGACCAACGAACAATCCATTTTTAACATCGTCTCCGCTATTCTTTTTTCCATAACAATCGAAGTAGTTGAAGCATTCTTTGTTTGAATGTAACTTCCAAACAACTGTAACATTATCTTCAACGCAGCGCTTCGACAATGGACAATCACTATTACACACTGACAAGGACGTATCTTGTCCAGAAACTGAATAATATATTCCACAAGCACTCAACAATACAATCCATATAAAGAGTTCCATCTTTTCAACTCAAGTTATAAACACACCAACAGTTAAGTTACTTTCATGTAAAAATATGAATTTTCAGTCCATATTATGACGAGGCCATATTAGTCAAATTACTCGATTTGAACATAATTATGATGAGAAAACATGATGAAAACAGCGACTGTACAGCACAAGCAAATGAAATTATTGTGCAGTTTGAATTGTAGCTAATATCGCCGTTTAAGACAGCAAAACCGGGGAAAAAGTAAAATGAAATTAACAAATCACTCACCTTTCTATCCGATGACAAAAAAATTCAGTAAAAACTAGTTAAACTACACCATTTCCTTCCATAGAAAATCAAAATTTTGTAAAAAAATGTGCTGGTGATGCGCATGGTTACTATGGTTTCAAAAACAGGCTTGTATCAAATTACTGGAATAATGACCATAATCAATCAATATTGGCAATGTTTAAAAAAGATTAAGCAAAACTGTGGTCAGGGATAGAGAAATGGAAATTATAAATATCTTAAAAAATTTTAAGATTTCATTCTTTAAGCGCGTTTACTATACTTTCAGAAAATGATATTTCGTGTTGTGTTTAGGATGAAAATTAAAAAAACCCTGCTCATATATCGTTAAAATCATCCGCGAGTGTGTCCTTCCAACTCCAAAGCTTCACAGAGCCAGTTTCAGTTATATCAACTAATCATTACTGACCTTGTCACAGCCAAGCCAAGGACTTTCATCTTTTTCCACTTTTATTTTGTTTCCTTTTCAAATTCTTTTCTCGACCTTTCTTCTGCTTTTCCAAAATTTTTTGTTTCAGTTTTCGTTGTTTCAATATCTGTTCCTTGTTTTTCAACTCGCTCGTTCTGCGTGTAGGTTTTCTCATTCCCTTACCTGGAGAATGAAATGTATCGTTTCCCGTCAATTTCACTGGAATGATTATTTTAATATATTCATATTCAACTATAGCCGTTACACTAAAATGTTTACACTAAATAGCGTGAATATTTTATGTTTTTCATACAACTTACCTATGAGACATAAAACGTCCCCAAGGCAATCTAGGATGGTGTGCATAATAAACATACCTTTTTAAACATCTTGTTTGGTTTTCTATGATCCTCATCATCATCACATTCTCTTTGTTTAACCTTATTTTTCTCAAGCCAATCTTTATACCTGAATACAATTCGTTAAAGAGACCTTGCAGACTGTCAATGTTACAGCAACAGAATGTTGAACAATTGTATACTACTTATGCAGTGTTACAACAGGAGCAAACTTATTTTTAATTAAAATTTTTTTACTGGATAGTTAATGCAATTATGAAATTTTTCTTTCCAAAGATCCTCAAAAGATTACTTCTAATAATTCAATACTCCTTATAGCAAGTAAGGAGTGTTGTTTAGGAGATCTTTAAACGTTGCTTTTTCACATAGTATTTTAAAAATATAACTGCCTTGTATATTGGTTTGTACAAATAAAGTAAAGGATACAATGTAGTTTTATAAGTAGCTGGTATCCATCTTCCACTTTCTGTTTTTATCTTTTTCTTCATTTTTTCTTCATTTCCAACAAATTTCTTTCGTTTCCTATCCCTGGCAGTACAATAATGAACGCAAGTAGCTGGGAATTGGATCGAGGAGTTAAAATGTAGTAAATATGTCAAACAGACCATTTCTTTAAGTTCCTTTGTTGCATAAAATTCTTTCCTTCGTCATCGTCCAAATCTAATACGGCATTTTCTGCTTGAGTTTGAAACGAACTGATCCCCAAACTATAAAACAACAACAAAAAATGTTAATTTATTTAAAGAACTTAAATTCATATTTTATGACTGCTATATGTAGACTTCGGGAACAAATAATTGACGCTGGGTACCAGGCCTTTCAAAAACACTGAAATTATCATACCCCTTTTCTGAAAAATGATCGGGTGCTTGATGTGGAATGTAATTGTTGATGTCACGAAACTTTGCGTCTTTCGCGAAACCAAATTTCTTCTTTTTCTTCTTACCAGGATCAACGACTGTTGTGAACACATTCTGTCAGATAAATGACGTTTTAATGCACGTATAAGCTGAACAAAATGCTCACGGAGAGTATTAGAAATGTTTTATAGCATTTATACAATTCATCATATGTCATAAATATAAAATCTTTTGCCTTTATGTCGTCCAATGTTGTCTCATCCACGTCAATTGAGTTCTCATCACCATTTTCATAATCCTCCAACTTCTTTGTCGTTCTTTCTTTACTTTTTTCAATCACCGTTCCGTGTTTGAGTCGCTTATTTTTCATCACGTTTTGAGCGCAACTTTTGGACGTCGACCCGATTTCAAATATTGTCTGTATATGAAAAATGAAATGGTTGAATATGAAGAATGAAATGGGAAACATGATGGAGGATGAGATGGATGAAGAGAATAAGAAATGAAGTGCGTGAAATGAATGAAGAACAAATTGAGTTAAGAGAATAAAATGGTTTGTGCAATTGACAATGAGAAAGAACGGTCATTTCATTTAATGATAAACATACATGTCTTGCTTTGTAACTTCTGATTCCATTAAGATAATCAGTTTGTGCTGCCGTTTCATTTCCTCCTATGTTGTAAAATATTTTGAAAAAACAAGAAATGGATGGGGAATGGAGGTAAGGTAAGTTATAGTTGAAACAACTGAAAAGAGTTAAATAGAAAATGACATGAGATGTCATAAGAAAAAAAGCTAAAAGTTGAATTATAAAATGTATAATCTACGTCATAACAAAGAAATGACTGGAGTTTTAAGGATATTATAAAACCTGGTTTACCTAGCAAAGGATGCAAATACAATGTATTTTTGCTCATTTCTTTCGCTCGTTTTACAGATTCTGACGATGGCGCTGGTCGTGATTTTACATATTGTTTATATGCCTTGCTACATGTTTCTTGCTCAGATTGCTATAAAATGGACAATTTATACTCTTCACCGTCCAGTACAACAAAACAAATGAAATTGTTAGACATCAAACAATCTTAATTTGGGATTAAAATCTCGTTTCTGCGTTCTCATGAATGCTTTGCAAAAGGTCCGCCTGTTCGTCAATCGTTGTTTGGGGAACAGTGCCAAAGACATAGTCTTTGTCGTCTGAAACATAAAGCTCGTTGTATAAATGCAGGATAAGGACAATAACGATTAACACAGGATAAAACAGTAAGGATCATTGCAGGATAATGACAATAACGATTAACGCAGGATAAAGACAGTAAGAATCATTGCAGGATAATGACAATAACGATTAACGCAGGATAAAGACAGTAAGGATCATTGCAGGATAATGACAATAACGATTAACACAGGATAAAGACAGTAAGGATCATTGCAGGATAATGACAATAACGATTAACACAGGATAAAGACAGTAAGGATCATTGCAGGATAATGACAATAACGATTAACACAGGATAAAGACAGTAAGGATCATTGCAGGATAAGGACAATAACGATTAACGCAGGATAAAGACAGAATCATTGCAGGATAAGGACAATAACGATTAACGCAGGATAAAGACAGTAAGGATCATTGCAGGATAATGACAATAACGATTAACACAGGATAAAGACAGTAAGGATCATTGCAGGATAATGACAATAACGATTAACGCAGGATAAAGACAGTAAGGATCATTGCAGGATAATGACAATAACGATTAACACAGGATAAAGACAGTAAGGACATTGCAGGATAATGACAATAACGATTAACGCAGGATAAAGACAGTAAGGATCATTGCAGGATAAGGACAATAACGATTAACGCAGGATAAAGACAGTATCATTGCAGGATAATGACAATAACGATTAACACAGGATAAAGACAGTAAGGATCATTGCAGGATAATGACAATAACGATTAACGCAGGATAAAGACAGTAAGGATCATTGCAGGATAATGACAATAACGATTAACGCAGGATAAAGACAGTAAGGATCATTGCAGGATAAGGACAATAACGATTAACGCAGGATAAAGACAGTAAGGATAATTACAAGTTAAATAACAATTTTCTGAAACAAAAGTTAGAAACGAAAAAAAGTTTTGGTTCTTACCTTGATCTCTATAAATGTTCTTCGCAGTTTTTAAAGGTCTACCCAAGAAAAGACATAAATCCAACATGTAAGCAACCTACAGTTCAAATACATGGTTTTAGAAACATGCGACGCATGTCGCATTTGAGTAAGTAAGGGACACAATACCTCGTCGGAGGAAAGAAGGAATAGGCACAACCAATTCTACCAGCTCGCGCAACACGACCTATAGTGTTAAAAAAGAATTCAAGTTTCTATAGACAACATGTACACAAACGCAATTTATAGCAATTTGACAGATAGAACGATGAGCTAGCGAAACTTACCAACTCTATGAACAAATAGCTTCGATTTTGCAGGAAAATTATAGTTGATAACGTTGTCAAGCATTGGTATATCTATACCTCGTGCCTAAAATAATACGAGAAATAAATAGATAATAACAGAAATGTAACTTTTGTGTAGGTGTTTGTACACTTTATATGAAATTATTTCACATACAGCAACATCCGTTGCTATGAGAACCATAACCTTCTTCTTTCGAAATTTTGCAACGTTAATTTTTCTAGCTGAACAAAAAAACTTCATGTTGTTAACACATGCAGAAGTAGCTAATGGGTGTAAAACAGTATATATATATATATGTCATGAAAAAGATGATTTACCTGTTTGATCTAGAGAACTGTAAATGTATGAACATGGAATGTGGGCTAATGTCAGAACCTTGAAAAGAAAATTATATAAACTATATAAAGATATACATTACTGTAGATAGAGGTTAGCAAACTGTCATCTTAAAATTGAAGACTGTAAAAATGTCTCAATAAATAAATTAAGTGAATATGTTAGGTTTGATAATCAAAGAATACGTGCATTACAAACTTAAAACGAAAGCATGAAGCTCTCCAAAAGCGATCACAAAAATTCTAATCAAAGATGGCAAGTTCAATAACTAAGTTTCTTACTGTTTTCAAATACTCTACATGATGTTTAGTCGCTGCAAAAATCATTGTTTGTTCTGTTGCTTTGATGATTGACTGTAGTAGATGGAGCAATACAGCTACATTAAGCAAGAAATTAAACATTAGCAGCTGTACCAAAACTTATTCACTGCAGAAAATTTATGATATTTACCATTCTTGTCATCAGCTCTGACAGACAAGAACACAAGCTACATAAAACAAAAGGATCTAATTGTCATTTTTAAGAGATTGTCAATGAGCAATTCTCTGTTAAGCATGAGAAAATTCTAAAACAAAAAAATGTTGATGACAGAGTGTTAACAACAATAGTAAATTGAAGAGCAATGTCAGTAAATAAACTAGCCTTGAGTTGATCGCTAAGCTTGGTATCCACATCAAGTCTTAACAAGACTGGGTCGCTTAGCCCTACAACATAATCAAATAAAGAGTTATGTAAGAGAAGATATCAATAAAGACCATGCAAATATAAATGCTAAAGAACATTCTTAGTTCTTACCAGCTTTGGTGAATTCCAGCAATGATTTTGGAAGTGTTGCTGAGAACAAAAGAGTCTGTCTGTGGAAAAAGATTATCAAAACTTTACATATTACATCCACAACAAAACTTTAAAGATTCAAAACTAATTCCAAAATCAGAAATGCTGGTCATTCAAGCAAAAGATAGTTCAAGGTTGTTATTTCACACCTTGTTACTTGTAATAAAGTTACTACCTCATGTCAGGTAAACGACTAATAATCTCATGAAGCTGTTCAGCAAACCCCATTTCAAACAATCTGTAGTAAGTAAAACGAAGTAAGTTCAAACTGTTCAACAAAATTTCAATTCAAGCAAGCATAAATATGAAGACTCCCAATATGAGTTACCTATTACAATGCAGTGTGTGAATTAAAGGTGTGCAATGTGCAATTTGCACATCGTTTTAGCTAAAATGAAAACAATTGCACATCACTTTTTCAAATAATGTGCAAAAATTAGTGGTTTTGACGAAAAACACTTTCGTAAATCATATGAATTTGTTCATGTTTAAAAATATTAATTTAGCAATTAGTTCTATATAATAATTAACGTAATATTGATTTGACTATGCCTCTAAAGAAACACTTTTGTCAAAAAAATTGCACATCGCTTTTTCTGAACTAATTCGCACACTGTTACAATGTGAATGTTGAAAAGAGATTAACATGCACAAGAACTGGAAAAGTTTCTGATCAAGATCTTTAGCAAATCATTTAAGCTAATGCAAAATTGTTCTTAAATCACCTGTCTGCCTCATCAAATACAACATATTCCACTGAAGAAAGCTTCAAATCCATTTCCATAAGAACATGAAGAAATCTGCCAGGTGTTGCAATAATGCTAAAAAACATTCAATTCGTAAAAAGGTGTAAGGAAAATCTATAATAAAAACATAATTTCAAACAGCTTACATATCAGGATTCTCGTGCAGTGCAGAAAACTGATCATCCATTTTATCTCCTCCCAAAATAACTGTAGATTTTAAGTCAGTGAACCTGCCAAGCTAGACAATAGATGCCCAAAATTATTTTCATTGATGCAATGGTTACTATAGATTTAAAAGAATTAAAAAATATATTATTACTTATTTGACATTAGAAAAATAAATTTATCATGACATCATACTTCTTTAGTAAACTTTAGTGTTTGCAAAGCCAATTCTCGTGTTGGAGATAAGATTATAGCTCGAGCACCAGTCTGTAAAAAAGTAAAAATTAGTACTTAAATGACAATCAACAAGAAAAAAGTTTTTACCTTAGCACAGTGTCCATGAAGCTTTTCAAACATAGGAACCAAAAATGCTGCAGTCTTACCAGATCCAGTCCTTGCCATCGCAACCACATCCTTTCCATCAAGCACCAAGGGAATAGCCTAAAGCCCACAAGAACATTTAATTGAGAATTTTCTTATTGGGATATTATTCAGAAGAAGCATACCTTTCTTTGAATTGGTGTGGGAACCTTATAACCTTTCTTCATGATTCCCTTGTAAATTAAATAACTGAGGCCTGAGTATGTAAAAGAATAAAAACATTATTTTATAATGAAAACGAGTTGGTGAGGTTTAATTTCATAACCTTTAAGGCTTTAACATTTTAACATACCCATGACTTGAAACCCTCCAGATTTCTTCTTTTTTCTGTTCTGAGTTTTAATCATTTTCTTCACTGTTTCCTCCAAATTCTGATCCATTTCGTCGGTGAAACTTTGTTCTTCTTCTTCCATAACAACCAACGAATTCATTCAAAACCATTCAAAACACATTCCGAAATCCAAAATACCAAATTGTATATAGCACATGTGGTGCACATTAACCGTGCTTAATACCCATGGTAGTACATGAAGTGACCTGTATATACCATTTGTGTATACAAGAATCCCGCCATATTAGATTATTAATACACAATGAAGTCCCCTCTAATCAACAGTAATTTAAAAGTGAGTCACAGTCATGGTCACAGTCATTAGTCGCAGTTCAAAAATCCCCTTCGGGAATATTTGCAACCATTTGGCGTCACAGGGGAATAGAATAAAACGAAGAATTTTCATTGGATGAAAAAGTAAAATTTTCGCGCCAAATTGGTCATACCTTTCCAAATATGGACTTTCCCAGACAATATTCTGTCCCTTGCGACATGGTACGAGCCTTGGAGACGATACCCTGTAGAACAAATCATCAGTCAACTTCGAAGCTAGACTAGGAAAGTTTTTGAAAAGAACCAAATTCATAAAGAAGATAAATGGACGTGGTGAGAACTCCACCACATTCGGCAAACCCAATCACTCATTTTGGAGAAGAATGTTTACTATGGGCACCGAAAAAACCAAAAGCACATTGCAAGCGTCTACTTCGAAACTGTGGGAAAAAATCATCCGGATCCTCGAGAAGTCTAAACTTCTCCATGATTTCTGTTAAAGATGATAACAACAACGTAAGCCTGTTAGATAGTTCCGATAGAAGACAAACAAGAGAGAATAACCGGATAGTTTTGCCCAACGAAACTCCTCTTTCCGTGTGGGAAACAGACTCTCCTGTGCGTGAAACTCGGCTTGCATTTCAAAACTCGATAGCAAGAAGAATTGACTTCGGTGCACAAGGTCTCAACACGCCAGAAACGTTGTACAAAGCTTTGTGTGCAACTCCTGCGGTGTTTTCACCTGATTCAAGCCCTGTGACAAGAGATATTTTGTCGACGTTCAGTAGTTCTGAAAGTAAAAGGCCTCACTCAATTGAAAAACAAAACAATGGAAAAAAATCTGGAGCAGAAACACCTAAAGACTTTTCTCCACACAAAAGAAGAAAATGGACAAAACTCGTTCGTTGAATACAAAAGAAAAACATGGCTGTAAAACAGTTGTTTCATGGAGGCTCGTAAGTAGGACCGCAGCCTTACCTTGTTCCAAACAAACTTTAAAAAAAAATAAAAATATAAACAAAAACGTCAAAAAGAATTCAAGAATATTCTTCGTTAATGCCATATGTATCTTGGAAGATCAAAATATGTTCAATCATGCGATTTGTCAATGTTTTCAAGGATTTACTAACATTATTTGTGTTCTGCCGGGCAGAACTGGCGGTTTGTTAAAATTCAAAAGTCTTATAAATCTCGTTGAATAGACATTGTTTGTATTATAGAAAATGGAATGAAGTTGATTATTGTACACATGTATTAAAGGATAAAATATTCTATGTACACAAGTAATTATTCCTTAAAATATTGTTATATATAAACGTACAAATGTTATTTAATTCAATATCTGCCATGTAAAATCTTTGAGAGAGAAATGTTAATAAAACAGTTCGTTGTAAAACAGCATTCATCCTCAGTGTTTTATATAAAAATTAAGGTGAACTAGTACTAGTACTTTCTGGAAATATACTCAGTTTTTATTCACAAATATTATGTAAGACACATAAGAATACCTCCTGTTGTCTTTGTTGAAAATGAAATCACTTCATATTCCAATGAACACTACGGTAAGCTTTGAATTTCTGTACTGAGACAGTATGAAGTGGAATAAAAACTACGAAACAAGCATTCCATTCCTAATAGAATTGAGAATGTTTTATACGTGGCTAAATATAAGTTATTTTCTTCATGCCATAAATTGGAAAAGTGTCTGGTATCCATCACAGAAAGAAACCAAATGTACTATTGCAAACAATCAAAACCCTTCTCTTTCATATGTACCTGGTATCTCAAAATTTATTATTGGAATGTTCTGACACGTTATACGTTTTTAAAACAATCATTACACTAGCAACCCTAAGGCAAAAAACATTTGGTAAAAAAACACTTGAAATTGCTTTGAAAAAATAGATGTCTTTAAAAAGAACTGGTTAAAAATCTGGTGACTGCTAATCTAGGAAATCTAATTAGCGTTACAAATAAAATAATAAAATCATAAATATGAGTAGACTTTAAAAAACATTAGAGCATAGACAGACGTATATTGAATGCACTTGTTACTTAACTGGCGGAATTATCTGCAAAGGCTTGTATCGACTGGATAATACAAGAAACCCATCTACAAAAAAATATAGAAATAAGGAAAACTGACAATAAAAAGATAGGAGTGCCCACAAGAAAACAAACCCACCGCCATAAATTTCAATATTGTCTTCCTTTAAATTTAGGTAGGGCAATATTGAATGCGTGGGCTCAATGGTTTAGGGTCAGCAGTCAATAAACATCAAAGCCCAACCACAGGTACAATATTGCCCCACAGTTCATATAAAAACAACTACCTTTGCTTATCATAGTCGTTATCTGCTATAAAAGCGAATGTTCGCATGCTAGAATGAGGAGGAATACATTGAAAACCATTTCGTCGATCAAATTCTTGGTTGATGGTATATTTATGTAGCTTAGCAACTCCAAGAGCCGTGCTGTCGGCCATTTCCCGATAGTAGTATAAACAACCGTTTTTGAGAACACAATAGCGACGTTTCCAGGAACGTGTAGATCTCCCACCTTGTTTCGTGAGGTGACCATGGCAGTCAGGGTTTTTTATCGAAAGCGCAGGAATGGCAACATTGTGAATGATCTCTTGGTGAATGAAAAAATTCATCTACAAACACAAAACATCCTTACATGCAATATTCACGTGTTTACGTGTACGTGTTCATGTGAAAAACTGTAGATATCACGTGTTGTTAGAAAACCTACTTCGCCGTCTTTACAATCTGCAGCCTTTCGAAGCGCCTCTACCCATCTACAAATAAACTTCATCGTCAAGAATATGACTTACGAACTTGAGGGGAAAATTGAAAAGGTTTTTTTTCTGTAGTAATATACGGTCGTGTCTTGAACAAAACGTCATGCACCTCTTCCATAATGAAAAATAAACAAACATGCCCACCTTAGCATGTCTGTAGATGTGTTAGCGGAAAAGAAGTAAGTTCTTCCTCCACCTTTACTGATTTTAATACAATTCTTTCTGTGACACTCGGCGCTATTATGTATTATATAGTTGACGAGTACAATAATTCCACAAAGTGATTTTTCCTAAAGAAAAAGTGCTTTCCTTACGTTTTCGATTGACGTGACAAATCGAAACATTTTATCAACGTTTGGGAAAGAAAATATACCTCTTGTCTTTTATAATAGTACAGGCAACGATCATTTCTCAAAACACACCTAAGAATATACATAAAGCAGTGGTGTAGAAGTGGGGGGCGCTTGGGGAGGAGCCCCCCTTCTACTTTTGAAATTGGTAATTTTAAAAGGGCACTATTAACAAAAACGTCGAGAGAGCCCCCCCTCTGATAAATTTAGTTCTACAGCACTGATACAAAGTGATGTTTAGTTAACCATTGGAGTATAGTTATATGTTTGTAGATGTAGAATGTTCAGGTTAGTAAAATCCTAAGTAGGACTGTTGTTGTTGATATTGACTGACGTTAAGACAACCTTACCAACGTTTTCGCCAGTTTTTAGGCAAAATACCAGTTCCACCCAACTTCTCCATAAAACCTGAACATATCACAGCATCTAAAAAAATCAAAACTCAATACTACAACTTGATATACGTAACGAATAATACGATGTTCCTTCTACTCTTCTGAAAGAAGTTTGAAAATTTGGTCCCTTTTTGTGGATCATATTTCGCTGGGAGACAGACGTTATCTCAGTTTAAATTTTAGGTAACATAAAAACTGTTGTTGTTTTCTGTTGTTCATTCATCACTACCTACACTGACACACGTTATCTAAGTTTCTATTTAAGGTAGTTTAAAGACTGCTGTTGTTCTCTGTAGTTCATTCATTACTACCTACACTGACACACGTTATCTAAGTTTCTATTTAAGGTAGTTTAAAGACTGTTGTTGTTCTCTGTAGTTCATTCATTACTACCTACACTGACACACGTTATCTAAGTTTCTATTTAAGGTAGTTTAAAGACTGCTGTTGTTCTCTGTAGTTCATTCATTACTACCTACACTGACACACGTTATCTAAGTTTCTATTTAAGGTAGTTTAAAGACTGTTGTTGTTCTCTGTAGTTCATTCATCACTACCTACACGGACACACGTTATCTAAGTTTCTATTTAAGGTAGTTTAAAGACTGTTGTTGTTCTCTGTAGTTCATTCATCACTACCTACACTGACACACGTTATCTTAGTTTATATTTAAGTTAGTTTAAAGACTGTTGTTGTTCTCTGTAGTTCATTCATCACTACCTATACTGACACACGTTATCTTAGTTTATATTTTCGTTAGTGTAAAGACTGTTCTCATTCTCTGTTGTTCATTCATCACTACCTATACTGACACACGTTATCTTAGTTTATATTTTAGGTAGTTTAAAGACTGTTGTTGTTCTCTGTAGTTCATTCATCACTACCTACACTGACACACGTTATCTTAGTTTATATTTAAGTTAGTTTAAAGACTGTTGTTGTTCTCTGTAGTTCATTCATTACTACCTACACTGACACACGTTATCTTAGTTTATATTTTAGTTAGTGTAAAGACTGTTCTCATTCTCTGTTGTTCATTCATCACTACCTATACTGACACACGTTATCTTAGTTTATATTTTCGTTAGTGTAAAGACTGTTCTCATTCTCTGTTGTTCATTCATCACTACCTATACTGACACACGTTATCTTAGTTTATATTTTAGGTAGTTTAAAGACTGTTGTTGTTCTCTGTAGTTCATTCATCACTACCTACACTGACACACGTTATCTTAGTTTATATTTTAGATAATTTAAAGACTGTTCTCATTTTCTGTTGTTCATTCATCACTACCTACACTGACACACGTTATCTTAGTTTATATTTTAGGTAGTTTAAAGACTGTTGTTGTTCTCTGTAGTTCATTCATCACTACCTACATTGACACACGTTATCTAAGTTTCTATTTAAGGTAGTTTAAAGACTGTTGTTGTTCTCTGTTGTTCACTCATCACTACCTACACTGACACACGTTATCTAAGTTTCTATTTAAGGTAGTTTAAAGACTGTTGTTGTTCTCTGTTGTTCATTCATTACTACCTACACTGACACAGGTTATCTAAGTTTCTGTTCAAGATAGTTTAAAGACTGTTCTCATTCTATATAATTCATTCATCACAACTAAAAATATGTTAAAGAGAATCTACAATACAACAACTTTTTTAAATGTTAATTGACAAATACATAAGGCAACTAAAGATATTTATCAACAAAAAGTCACATACCTTTACTATCCTTGACAGGTTTACTATTGCAAGGCTGTTTTTTACAATCAATAGAGTTGTGTGATTCAGATTTAGTATGACTGTTATCATCAATTTGGGGTACTAAAGATTCTTGAGTGCACAATTCATCATTATCATGCTCCTTCTCAAGAAATATACCAAATCCGCCAAATGTTTTTCTTGAATCATATATTGCTCCATCATCATCATCAGTATCCTCAAATACTGTGTTCAGTACATCCCAACTCATGGGCCTCTGAGACTCTGCATTGGAGTCCTCATTTGTATCCCCAGAAAGAGAACTCTCACTTGAGTACTGTGAATCTGTCATGCTTGATGTATAAGTTACTTCAGCAAAATCATTGCCCAAGTTCTTTGTCTGAAGTTGAATGGGAGAAGAAACATTATCGTCTTGTGTGGTCAAAATCAAATTTGGCAATGAGTTTTGCTTTTTATTCTTTTCTTCTGAGGTTTCATGAGAGAGTGGTGAAGCACCAGAATGATTATTCTCATCCCTTTCAGGAGAAACTTTGATTACGTCCGAGGTCATATCACTTTCATTTGATTCAACAATCGTGTCTTGGGTCACATTATCAGATTCATTACCTGCCAACAGATCATCACTTGAATGTGATAGTCTCTTCGTGAGTTCTTTTAGTTCATCACAAACCTTACTTGTCATGCGAATACCTTCCTCGATACTATTGATTTGTTCAATGTTTTCTTTCTGTGTAATCATATCTTTGCCTTTAGTTTCAACGTCTGTTTCTTGATTACGATCAGTTCTATTGTTGGTACCAATATCAATTGTTGAGCTTGGCATTATGTTTTTATGATTTGCATTTGCCAAGCCAGTATCATCATTCTGTATTGCAAACTCAGAAGGCATGATATCACTCTTTGAAGTCTCCTCATTCTGACTGTGCACAAAATTTTTTTCCTCGTCATGAGACGAGACATTATCAGTCGTTTGCATTTTTTCAGGTAGCTCCGGTGGTTGCTGTATACCACTATCTTGGTTAACTTGAGAGATGTGAACATCGACCAATTTTGAGTCTTCTTCAACATAATTTTCCTTGTTAGATAAACTAGATTCATTTTTCATGTCTGCAAACCCAAGATCTTCATTGGACTTGTCAATAATTTTACTAAAATCAACTTCACTTTTTTCTTTCAAATCAGAGTCAACATTTGATTCTGTAGGTATATCCTTGTCACATCCACTGTCTGTCTCACTTTCCAGATTTTGGTTGGTTTTAGCTATAAGTTCTCCATCAACTGTCTCATTGTTTATATCATGATTGTTTTCATCATGAGAATGAAGCTTTGGATCATTTACAATTTCCATGAAACTGTCAAAGATTTCATCTGAAGTGGAATTAATATCTTCATCTTGCCAATCCACATTATGGTCATGGGCAGACATTCCTTAAATATGACAATGCAAATTATAAGATGAAGAATTGCTGGCAATTGCAAGTACACCACTCAAAATCACAACCAAAAAAGGACAAAAAATCTTGAAATCATTACATGCATCGATACATTCACAAATACACCCTTCACATTTTTTTTCCAAATTTTTAAAACTTCCAAAAAAGTTCCGTGAGATAATATCTCATGAACATTTCTAACACACATGTGAAATTTTCACAAAACGACCCTATTTCGTCAAACGAAAAAGTTTAAAAATCAATGCAATTTTGCGATATTAATGTTGCATAAATGAGCATACTTGAAGTATGTTGAAATTATTAACTCTAATATTTTGTTTACAATATATTGTTGTCAAAGTGCAGTGAAACACGATCGACTAGAAAGTTCAAAAAATTGTACAAAGTTCCAATCAATAGTGATCAATTTGTAAATCAGTAAATGTAACTCACAAGTTTTGATCAAACCAGGAAATGTTGAAATTGTCGTCAAAATTACCGCAAACAAATTTTAAAATTTACCGTTAATAATTAGATCTATAAGACATGATTCAAATTACAGCGAAAAAGAAGCTAAGTCCGATATTGATAAGTACTTTGCAAAGTTCATCGCGGCGTGGATCATAGAAATTTGATATTTTACTGAGTATTAAGATGGCGATTTGTTTTGAATAACTTTTTGAAGCGTTCACATAATCATGAGTTCATTTACACTTACTTACTTGAAACGTTAAAGAAATGTTTCTTGATCTCCAGAACAGCTAGTTCAGAAAGACTTTCGCTAAATAAATTTAAAAACTAAAAAGACAAAAACCGTCACACGTATGAAGACCGGCTTCCGTACTTTGTAATTTGATCTGGAAAATTACCAATGAACATGACAGTTGACTGTAAAATATGGTAATTATCTGTTATGGATTGGATAGGTGATGACGCTACTGTACATAGTACTGTACAGAAAAAAAAAGTGCCATAACGATTTGCAAGTTTAAAGCATTAGAACTTAAGTATCTAAGAACAACAATCTGACGGTTTTTTCTCATCCGTGCATTTTATAAGGATAAGAAGTCAACAAAAATTATCGAGCAAGAAACAAAATTCTTATTGATAATATGCGCAATTCCAACCATCTACATAAAGCAATAAGTTCAAAGAGCTCTAATCAGGATTAAACTGCTTTTCAAAAATCTGTCTTATTAAAAATAAATTTCTTACAGCAAGTTCACGACAAGCTGTGCTAGGATCGTCTTTAGCTACATCGTCCAACCAGTTTTGACATTCAACCAGCTCGTTTTGTAACTCAGTAAAGAGAAAGTATCCAGAAGCACTAACTAGCGTCATTGCTAAAGAAAACAGAAGTCCTTGTCTAACACAAGCATCGTTATGAAATCGCAAAACCCAAACAAATTCCAGCAATGCACGCGCCATTTTTGCAGTAATAAGTGTTCCCCTAGCACAATACATGACGTTTCCTAAAGATGATGCTAAGCAACCAAGTACCATAGAGTCCTTTCCAAGAAGATCAAAAGTATTAACAGCACTATCGAAACCTTTCAACAACGGAAAAAAGAAATATCCACCAAGATTTCCGAAACGATTTGACGAAGATTTTGGGGTAGGAATAGAGGATTTTTTACTGAATCTTCTGGTCTTCTTTTCAATCCGTTCTTCGACAATACATTTCCAAGGTTGACCTGGATTTTCTTTAACTGAGCCTTGATTTGATAAGAACATCGGATTATCTTTCTCATTTTCTTCAGATTTTGACAAATGTACAGCAGCAGCCGTTAGTACGTCCAAAATATCAATTCTCTGCCGTAAGCAATAGTTTTGCTCGTAGAACTCTTTTGTTAAGTATTCAGCCACTTTAACAGGATATGCAACTGTGATGTTGACCATAGCGGAAAATCGAAGTTCGTTATAATCTGGTAACGAGTATTTATCATCAAGATGCAAGAGAATGGTAACAAGTTGTACGCATTGATGCTTAAGATTATAATGATCTTTTTTAACTACTTTCTTCAAGACGCATAATGATGCTATGTGTCGTTTAGGATCATCATGAGAAAGCAAGCCATCAATACATTGTGATATATATTTAGGTGGACGTATTCCTTCAATAAGTTCATTATCTTCCTCACTCATTTCATACGGTTGTAAATCATCTGAGTCGTCATTATATTCTTCATCTACAACCTCGGATGCATCTATATTTTCTTTATCATTACCAGGGATGCACTTCTCCAATTTCTTCTCAGAATCATTTTGACTGACAATTTTTAAAAGACTTTGATCATCCATAGTTAAAAAGTTTTGGCGGTCGTAATGAGGGCCAAATTTAGGAGAGGATGCGAGTCTTTTTAATCTCATTATATCCTCATTGTCCTCTATTTCAAAATTCAACTTAGTTCCATCTGGTGTTAGGCATGGCATCACACTCTGAGCAGTAAACATGCCCAGCTGACGAATCTTTGAATCTGAACTTTCCAAGTGAGTTTGGACACCAGATAACATGATGTGGATTAGTTCATTTTTATGCTGGGAAATTTCTGTCTTGTTTAGTTGAACACTAGCTAAAATTACAGCTTCTGTTACATAAAAATGACGCTCATATGACATATGTTTAAGAGTATTTGAATCACTCCAATTGGTTAGCAATGCATTGTGGATTTCAATAAGCAATGCCCTTCGAGTATCTCCAGATAGGTAACCGATTATGTTCTCAAGAATGTTTTGATCTTTATAAGATCTCAAAAACAGGAATTTGTGAGTCAAAAGATGCTTTATGATGGCATTTTCAAGTACACTATCCTTCAATATCTTGCAAAAAAATGGGTAAAATATTATTTTCTTTAATAAGCATTCAATAACTGCCTCAAGCGATGTTTCTGGAACATTCACAATTAGTGCTGAACAGATGTTTGACCACAATGGGCTAGTGTAACACCATGTTTTCAACTGAGGTAGAAGAACCTCAAACAAAGGCATGGCATAACCACGACTTGCAATTTTACCAATGAGTTTGGAAAGAAAAAGTGTGGTGTACTTTGTACATTTTAAATTAATTTCATAAATACTGCTTAAGACTTTTAAAATTTGTTTACCAAGCATTACATAGTAGGCCATTGGATGAAACTTAGCATTTAATACCAGTTTCATCCAATTAGCTAATTTATCTGGTAACGAGCTTATCACTGTAATTAGTTGATCTGATAGTATGGATGAATTCTCAGGATAACAATGAGAAAGGAACATCTCATAGAGTTTGTTCTCAGATACAAAATTATCAAGAATCAAAACGACAATGTGTAGCTTTTCAGTGTGCTTTAACGAGGTTAATGAAGATACTAAGGCTAGCAAAGAAGATTCACTGGGTCCAAGCAGGAATAATTTGAATATAGTCTTCCTAAACTGGTCATCTTTTAAAAATACAGGATCACATTTACTGATTAAATGTTCACAAAAATTACCGTAGTGTTGACCTTTGAATTCCTGACGAAATTCGGGCGTATAGTGAATACCAGAAAGAATAAAATCTTCCATTTCTTCGTCATCTTGAAGAGTGTCAAACCGTACATCTTTGTCTAGCAATTTCAAAAACGCTTGGACAACTTTAATGAGCTCCTGTGGTGTTTTCGATGTTAGTACTATTTTCTTTGCGTGATGAACTATTGCTCTAACTTCGCTCGAAATACTCATCGATAAACGGTGCAGTTTTTATAGCAAAAAAAGGCTACAGGTGAGTTTCTAGGTGATCGTCCACTTGATGGATAATAAAGGCTTACGTTTGATTGTAGAGGACATACAAGAGCCACACATGATTGAACCGCGAACAACTCCAGAAAATCCCCAATGTAACTAATTACTTCAATCAGTTACCCATTGGTCTATTATATGGTCATCCAGTTTATGGTGTTATTCCCGAATTTTCCATCAATAAACCGTATGCGTATGCTGGAAAATCTGAAAACATATAATGCTTGGTTCGAAGCATTACAAGGACAGTAAAAAACTTATTTACATTTTCCATAGAACATTATCATTGGGTGTTGGTCGGTCTTCACCAGCGAATCGTGGTGCTGATAGACAAACTCTTGTGATTCTTGGCACAGGCTGGGGTGGTTATAGCTTACTTCAGAAAATCGACAAAACACTTTACAATGTGATTGTTATCAGCCCACGAAATCACTTTCTGTTTACACCATTGCTTGCCAGCACAACTGTGGGTACTTTAGAATTTAGGAGCATAATTGAACCAGTTCGCAATACCAGATTTCGTGACGATCATCACTTCCAGTTGTCTAATGCTCTTTCCTTGAACACAGACAGACATATTGTTGAATGTGAAAGCACCTTAAATGGGAAATGTTATAATGTGCATTATGATAAACTTGTAATTGCTGTTGGTGCTTGCAGCAACACTTTTAATGTGCCAGGTGTGGAGAAATATGCATTCTTTTTAAAAGAAATTGCTCATGCTAGGGCAATTCGAAATCAAATTTTAACCAACTTTGAACTCTCAGTTCATCCAAATATCACTCATGATGAGGAAGAATGTTTGTTGCATTTTATTATTTGTGGTGGTGGTCCCACTGGGGTGGAATTTGGAGCAGAACTTTATGATTTCATGCGAGAAGATGTTTCTTGGATCTACTCACAAGAAAGGGACAAAGTTAGAGTGACGTTGGTGGAACCAAATGAAATACTACCATCATTTGATAAGAAACTGAGAGCTTTTGCTGAAAAGAAAATACAGCAACGTGCCAGGTTTGATTTGATACAAAGTGGTGTTGTCAAAGTTGATGAAAAATCAGTCACTCTGCAAGATGGTACAGTCTTACCTTGTGGAATGGTAGTATGGTCCACTGGTCTTGCTCCAAGTTCATTTATTGGTAGGGCAAAAGAATTGGTTTCATAATAAATAAAATTAAATGTTACTGATTCTTTTATACTTGAATAGGAAAGTTTGTCATGTATTTAAGAAATGTCTTGTTTTCTAAAGGTTGAAAAATTTTAATCTCCATGCGTTGTTTTAGAAAACCTTGATCTTCCAAAGTCAAGACAGCAGCAATTGCTTGTAGATTCCTTTTTGAAAGTGAAAGGTGTCAAAGAAAACAACGTGTATGCTATAGGAGACTGTGCTTGTGTTGAGACAAATCCTTTCGCCAGCACTGCTCAAGTTGCTGAACGGCAAGGAAGATATGTTGCACTGCAGTTGGCTAATGAAATCCTACAAAAGCATGTACAGAAGCCATTTACTTGGAGAAGTCTTGGTATGCTTGCATATGTTGGTGAATACCAAGCTTTGGCAGATTTCAAAACCTCAAAATTACAAGGTTTCTTGACATGGATTTTATGGAGGTCGGCATATTTGACCAAGCTTGGTAGTTATAGATTAAGGCTACAGGTACCTTTTGATTGGATGAGAGCTTTCGTATTTGGACGGGATACTTCCAAGTTTTAAACAGCAGTGATGGAGTTTGGTAGTCTTTTATATGTAATAGGCCCTATTACTCCTTAGTAAAGTTATAATATGACAGCAAGTAGAAATCACGTAATTAATAAGGCTATTGAAGATTTTTTCCACATCATTGTTTATTCTTACATATATATGGACATAAAATGATCAACTGACTACTGTACAACATTTGATCACATGATAATACAGAAGCTTTTTGACTCTCTGCTCTTTGCATTGTGAAACATGTACTTCGTCATTTCTGCGTAAATCTAAAGATTGCCATCCTTATACATGTTTACAAGTGATTACTACTTTCTACTAATTACAAAACTTGCTTTGCAGTAAGTTGATTTCGCTACTTTTTTGTCCATTCCAGTTTTTTTTTGTATGAATAAGTACTTAAATTGCTTTTCTTTGTAATTTTAGACTTTATTATTTCTTCCACTTTTGCTCTTCCTTGTCTCGAACTTTACCATAGATTTAGAGTTAACTGTTAACTCCGCTTCTCGCCGCGATGAAAAAATAAAAACAAGAAACAGAAAACCAATTTGAAATTGCTAGATTTTTTATTGACATTTAAATTGACATTTAAATTGACATTAACATTAAATAATTACATTTATATTTTATCATTTATTTGTGTTTTTCGGTGAGGGTAAAAGTAGGAGAATAGGGTCGTACGATAGCGAACAAACAATACAGTTTTGCAGTTTAGCAACTGTTAAGAAGATTAGTATTGACAACACGTTACAAACACAGTCTAGGACTTCACATGTACAATAGACGTTTAAACAAAATAGATTATAATTACTGCATTTAACGTGACCAATTTATGTAGATTTGCAACAACACGATGTAATAATATATTCTCTCGTCCGAGGACTTTGAAGGGATTTAACGATAGTGAAGTATGTATCAACGATTTCCATATGATTAAATTTTAAAATTGGTTTCCAACAGTCATCTCCATGTACATCCTTGAAATCACTGATTAACAAGCATAGGTTGGCTGCTAGCCATTCCTGAAGTGAGACTTGGTTCACAATTTTGTACATTTTGCACGTAGAATTGGGTATGTTGACACGTGGACATTGCAAGAGGCAACGTTCCGACGGATGGAGGTGGTGACACTGGTTGGATGTAGGTTTGCGGGGGGAAACCTGGAGCACTTAGGATCACCTGGCCGGCTGGTAGATAGTTCTGATCATACAGTGTACCCCCGTAATACACGGTCTGACTACCAAGATACGGAGGATAGTCGAAGAAAACTTGTGCCTGCGCGGGAGGGCTCATTGGACCGGTAATGGGACTCATGGGTGTTGGTGGCGAATTGGGTGAAGTCATAACGTACGTTTGTTGGCCATTTGCAAACATCATACTAGTGGGAATCACAAAAGGTGGGGGCGACATTCTACATTATTTCAAAGAACAATGTCATGTATCCTATTGATTTAACTGTGATGTTTTGGTGATTTGACGTAAATTGTACGAGTATTTGGACACATTAATTATATTTCTAATATAAAAAAACTACAATGAAATATGTGCAATTGATATTTCTTCAACAACTCTTCATGCACGTTCATTGATACTTTTATTTTATATTTGCAAGACAGAAAAAAAGGACTGTTCATCTACGCATGCTCAAAGTCTGCATATTGAAATAGGATAAGGTTGATCATGAAATAAAGTGCTCTTCAACACATGAACTGATAGGATTTTATTAAGCAAAGCTTGCCTTTATTGACAATGTTTTAGCCTATAATTCCACCCAGATTATGAACAATTGGCTTGAATTGCCAAACAGACTTTATTAGTAAATATTTGCCTTGAATATTTCCGTTAGATAACAGTGCGTTTATTAAATTTTGTCAAATTAGTTTACAAACAAAACGCAAAGACAAAAAGTGTAGAAGTGAAGATGAACATGTACCAAAAGGGAGAATCGAATGAACAGAAATACAACTAAAATATGAATTATAATTTTATAGCGTAAATTGACTTACCCGTACGATTTTCCTAATGTCCCGTTCGAGAATATTTTTCCAGTGCCTAAATATAAAATTCACATAAGTCAGTTGGCTGCATCGTCAGTTCCATGTGATTAGTTCATTAGAAGCACAATGTTCAACTTCCTTTTCTCAGTGTATGCTTTGTATCGATAATTGATATTTAATCCAATCCTACAGGTGCAACGTGGAATGCAAACTTTTTAATATATGTATGAGGTAAAAAATTCTCTTACTATTCTTTTAAAATCTTTTCATTAAAAAACTTAACTCATACAAATATTGCTCTTAAGAACAGTTCACCTTCTTTGGTTTTCTTTTTCGCCCCAAGATACGCCAATTGCACATTTGCTCTTCGACCATCAATGAGTGGTTTTTTATTTTCACATGCTCGCTGGGCGCCATGTTCATCTTTCATTGTCACCTTAAAATTTGCAATTTCAAAACCATAACTTCATATTCAAATGAATTGAACGCTCCCATAAACATATGTTTGTAAAAATATAAATATTAGCACTTACAAAGCCGTAACCTTTTGAAGCATTGTCATTTTTAGAGCGAATAACCACCGCTTCTTCAATGAGCCCAAACTGAGCGAAATATGTTCGTAGCGTTTCGTCGTTCGTTCCATAAGGAATATTACCAACGAAAAGTTTTGTATATGTCGTATCCTTTTTCGGACAAGCTTTACTCATTATACAAGGAGAAATTGTAGTGGAGCAACTCGTTTGTGAAACCTATACAGACGAGCAGTCCGAATACTCGTGTTTTTCCTCTTTCTTTGAGAATGAAGCAGTTCCGTGGAATGACCTTTCCAGGTGTTTTCAGATTCGAGCGCGTTCAACGGTATTTCTACACATTACGTTCCAGACTTAAAGCACTGCGAATAGGAAAGAGGTTTAACAGTGTAATGTCAGAAAACAAACTTTTAAAGTCTCCAGTTTAAAGAGGGTAAATCTCTAGGCCAATAGCAAGATAATCCACACTGCTCCCATGGGAACACTGGATAAATGAAGAATAGTGTAAATACCGAAACGCAATTGTCCCATAATTGCAAAGAAAAAGCAATGATTGGACGACAAGTGTCGCAAAACAAGAGACCATTCACATCAGCTGTTATACACGATTGTTCCCCTATAAAAATGCAAATTTTTGCATGATTTTTCGTATAATAACTGTCTGAGACTTATGCAAACGATTTATCTAAAGTTTGAACTTTAAACTATGGCTCGTCCTTGATGGGACATTAGCTATAATCACAAAACAGAACAATTTATAGGATTCAACCGCAACCATTAGAAAATAATGTTTCTGTGGGACTGAATATAGGCGTATGGAAATAAATGCGTCTAAAAATATTGGATTAACGATTGGGATTAATTTTCGACAGATTTTAGTTGTGTCTAAAATTTAAGAATTACGTGAATTTAGGCTGAAACTCTGCTACAAAATTATAGCCAGGTGGAATAATTGCTAACAAGTGACAATGTAAGTTCAATTCAAACTACAAGAGATTATTTATTAAAAAGATCGAATCCGATAAAAAGCTCACAGCATTCAGAACATCTCGAACCAATCATGACACTGCAACAACACTTGCACATACACGTTTGGACGTATTTTTTTGAAAAAAAGTAATTGTAAAGATGCCGGTTGTTTTTTTCTGAACCACAGGATCACATTTCATTGATTTGAAGTATTGAAATAAAAATGACAACTCAATTGCAAGATTTAGTTGGGCGTTTAGAAATGGTGGCAACTCGACTAGAAAATTTAGTAGGAACCACCAACAGTAACAAGCAGAAAGAATTATCAATGACATTGAATAATTCAATAAAAGTATGGAAAAAATCGGAGAATTCAGAGAAGAAACGCCATATGTTTGACATAAGCAAATCTCGAACAGGTACCAATCCCTTCACGTTTTGACGTCATCTCGTAAAATGTATATTTCATAAGGCGATTAGAAGCTGCCTTGATCTTTCATCTATTGTTTAACTGACAACTCCTGGATTGGAATTTTTCCGATACTTTCTTACGGAACATTTTATTTTATGGCAGGTGTATCAGTCACAAGTTTCGACGAGGTACAAGAAAAATATACGTTCTTTTTTTCTTGTTGAAATGTCTCACCAAGTGGTCGCGACTTCCTTACTATATGCAGAATGTGTACATATACGTATAAAACACTCGTTCCTTCTTTGACCAAATCTTTTGAAAATATTGTTTATGTCATTCCTAGATCTATAACGACAAAGTTACTGCCTATTTGGATCTGTCGGTTCAAATTGGCGGCGATGTAGCAACACAGGTGTGTGGTGATTCAGTATTATTACACTTTCCTTCTTCCTGTTTTGGTAAATGTGTATTTTGGGTTTCAGTTATTTTACAACTTTGCTATAAATCGTTACAATCGTTATCAAAATTCAAGCCAAACAATAGGAGTTGTTGCAAGAATAGAGCAAATGGCTACTGTCACTTATTAATCTTAAAGCCCACAGTATGATGTGTTTATATTGTACGCCCTCTTTGTTGACGTCATGGTTTATATTTTTACATTTCAGGCTCAACTCGTAAAGAAAGCGTTTGCAACTCTGAGAGAGTTACTTTGTACTGCAGAAAGCAGTGCCAAACCATCAGATGTACGTTGATATCTTTGTTTGCTCATGGTAGATTGATTGGTATCTTAGAAATTATACTTGATAAAGTCAAATTGATATTAATCAATTTGATGTTTTATTTTCAATAGGCCAATATGCCAGGAGTACTAAAACCACTTGCAGATTGCATTCAAGCAGTTTCAGTAAGTCAAAATGGATGATCAGATTATTTGAGTTGAAAATTACGCATTCAATCCTTTTGCCCTGATCCTAAAGCATTATTTTCATAGAATTTTCGTGACCAAAACAGAAAAAGCTCATTATTTAATCATATATCAACTGTAAGTGAAGCTATTGGTGCTCTTGGTTGGGTTAGCATGGTAAGTGGTGTTCAAATACTCAAACCATGTAAATTCAAGCACCTGTTGATGTGAAACTTATGAAGAATTACCTTTAAAGTCTCCAAAACCAGGGCCTTTTGCCAAAGACATGGCTGATGCTGGGCAGTTTTATGGTAACCGTGTCCTAAAAGAATACAAGGAAAAGTATGCCATCTTTAATCTTAAAAACTTTGCAATACAATCACCAACAATTGTTATAATATTTATCACACACTTACTGTAGGGATGAAGTTCATGTACAATGGGTGAAAAGTTATCAAGGAATTTGGACAGCAATGATTGACTATATTAAAAAACACCATACAACTGGCTTAACATGGAATGCTAAAGTAATTATTTATACCAACCTTCATACCAATGTTATTGGTATCTGTCTAAATTGTTTATGATTTTTCTAGGGTAGTGCACCTCGTGCACCGGGAGGTGCCCCACCTCCTCCACCACCAGTTCAAGCCCCTGCTTCTGTGACATCCAGTGGTGGTAGTAGTAATGGCAACAGCCGAGCTGCCTTGCTTGATGCGTTAAACCAAGGTTCTAATGTAACAGCAGGTAAAAGTGTATGTTAATACTGTATATCAAAGAAATTATGACGTAGTTTAGAAATCTTTTTTTTGTTTGTTTTAGGCCTTAAGAAAGTTACCAATGACATGAAGACACACAAGAATCCAACATTACGAGGGAGTAGCAAAGTGCCCGGAAATACTGGTGCTGTCAAGACTGGTAAATCTACTGTTTTTGCTCCTAAGCCTTTTCAAGCCACCAAATTGGGAACATCCGTTACTCGACCAGTCAGCATTAAGAAACCGCCCAAGAAGGAGTTACAAGGGGGGAAGAAATGGATTGTGGTATGATTAAATATGTAACCTCACAAACTTATGATTAACAGAGATTTTAATCTATGACCTTGCCCTCAAAGTTTTGTGACCCAAGTAGTTCTAGATATATGATATAACTTATTGAATTTTCACAGGAAAACTATGAAAGTAATCGCAATATTGTAATTGAAGATACAAACATTAAGCAAACTGTTTATATCTATAATTGCAAAGATTCCACTATTATCATCAAGGGAAAAGTCAACTCTGTCACTCTGGGTAAGCTTGTTAGTGAAAGATTCCAATCTTGTGTATCTTTTTAAAATCTTCAACTCTTTCTCCGTAGATTCATGCAAGAAATCTGCTGTTGTGGTTGATGATTTGATAGCTGCCCTGGAATTTGTCAATTGTCAAAGTGTACAAGCACAGGTAATATCAAAATTTTTGTGTAATAAATTTACTTAACTGAAGTAAGTTACAATGCGGCTGAAGTTCCAATCAACATCAGGTCACTCCTGATGAAGAAGATAATGTTAAATTGTTCCTGGTAACCTTGTACATCTTAATTTGACGTTTTTAAGATTAATGGTGATATTCCACTTGTATCTATTGATAAAACGGACGGTATTCAAGTTTACCTGAGTGCAAAGTGTAAAGAGGCTGAAATAGTTACAGCTAAATCATCTGAAATGAACATCCTCCTTCCAAATGCTGATGGAGATTTTGTAAGTGGAGAATGTTGTTATGATACAAAATGAAAAATACAAAGTGTTTATCACTTATAATAATTGTGGATCCTTTCATCCATGTGAATGCTTTTGGCAATAAAAACCCTTTGATTGTTTAAAATTTATTTGTTTTACAATTTTAGAGTGAATATGCATTACCAGAACAGTATAAGTCACAATGGAATGGTAAAGGTTTTACAACGGTCCCAACTGAATCTACATAACTAGATATGAATTGCTTGCAATTGAAATGAACAGAATTGACAATTAATTCTTATTGCATATTTTATTCTTGTCAAATTAATCTTCATTAAAATTTTTGATATTTTTTGTATGTATCTTTTGGTATATTTGATATTTAAAGCCAGACTAAAGCATGAATTGCTTCTAATTTGCATGCCTCTATCACGTCTTAGGATGATTTTAAATCACAAACTACTTTATAATTAAAAATAGACCAGCACCTGCAAACATCAGTATAAGCTAAATATGAATTTATTATTGATAAATTAATTAATTTATTCTAAAACATAATTATAAATTTTTATCAAACTACTTTATACAAATATTTCGGAAAATCACAAAGTCACCCTACAGCCTTTGTAAAAATGTCAAAGGCTACACTTAACAATAAATCTTTGCCGACATGAAAAAGAATAGGAACAAAAATTTCATTTTTAACTTGCCGTCTTAGTTCTTGAAAACGAGTTGGTGGTAACTACAAAGGAAAATAGACAGAATAAAGTTTTGATGGCACTTAACAGTTTTAACATATTAATAAATATATAATAGTCATCTATTATTCTAAAAGAATGAAGTAAAATCAATAAAAATATGGAATATTTAAAATTTAAAAAATCTTTGATTTCTTACATAAACGACTCAAGATTTCTAATCGTGTTACGAATCTTTGAAATGGGTAATTTTAACAGGGCACTATTGAAAAAAACGTCAAGAAAGCCCCCCATCTGATAAATTTAGTTCTGCAGCACTGCGTACGATGTACAGTTAGTCAAAAATTACAACAGCTTATTCGTGAATATATCTGCATTTGAATACTCCTTCTTAGCAAATGAATTGTTAATCAGAGTTATAACGTAATTACCTTGAGATTCATAACCAATAAAAATGATTTAAAAGTATTCTAAATAATTGAGCTGCGATGATTAATTTTGACCCACACTCTTTCACCACAGTAGTTAATAAGTAAGGATCTCAATAAGTTTGGATGAAAAGATCAAATTTTTTTAAAGTTAGGCAAGCTTAAGTTTTACTATAATGTGAAATCAACTCGACCCTTCACCTTTATTGGGAGAGGCATCTCCTCAATTAGCTCATCTGACGAAGGAAGAAATCTACGCATCCGATGAATCGATTCTTGTCTCCTCACTTCGTTAGCTGTAGAATAAAGAAAAAAAAGATAGGCTCCGGAGCAAATGAACATAACACTACTGTTGGCAAACTGTCGGTGGTAAATTTCTTTCCTTTAACAAAATCACAAATTTTCGAGTATTTAAGCTATTTTGCCATACAACCAATCTCAAACTAAGTAAAATTTGGTATCCACTAGCCCGTTTACAGTACAAGCGTCTCTCTTTAAACTGAGATTTTCTCTCAATTATTTTACTACGGGTATATTCCAGATAGAACAGACATATAATAAAATAACGGTCCAAAAACAGGAAGGTGTTAAGCCACTTTCCACGAGTGACTAATTAATTAATTTAAGATCATCCATTTACCTCTCAAGACTTGTTCCATTTTCTCATTTTGCTCCTCTATCTCACTCTTGCTCAACCAATATCGTTCAATGACGTCAAACTCGCGCCTATCTTTAGGGGCTGTAAAATCCTCAAAATTCCGCGCGTTGAAATCCACGTGATTCTTAAAAACAAATTCTTTCGTGATATTAGGCAGAGAGGAATGAATCCTTGACACGTGGGAATTTGATGGATGATGAAGTTCTATCATAGATCCCCAGGGCTTACAGGGGGTATTTTCCACCACGCCATCCGGGATACCATCTAAAATGACGTCAGTCCTCGATCGGTTGATTAGAAACAAGCTATCGTTCATGAAAGTGGGTCTATTCTCAATAATACGTTTCTTCCAAGGAAGCTGCTTTACCTTCCGTCTACGTATTCTAACGCAATGTTGACACTTGATTTTTGAAGGTGGTGGACTCGGATGAAAACGTTTAGCTAGCCAATCACTGACTGGCTCGTCTCTGTAATACGTCGGTCTTTGAAAAAACACATACTCACGTTGACAACGCTGTAATAACGGTTGCTGAGGATCTGAGGATGTTATCGATCCATGAACAGGATACTTGTATAGTGAATAGACAACTGTCGAGTCAGATTTCTCACTTTTCTGAGAAATGATAGGTTCAGATGGATCAATTTCTTGATCAATTTCTTCGGTGAGATTTTCTACTTCGGCTAACTGATCGTATACGAAAGTCGCTTGATCGCCAATATCAGTAATGTCGCTGCACACGGAGGTTATAGAGGAGGCGCTTGAACTTCTTTTGAATGAGGACACTGACTTATAACTGTCGCTGTCCGAACTGGATGTATAAGGAGGTCCAGCCAATGCAAAACTGGAACGAGTAGGCAAAGCAATACTGGAGCAGCTTATAGAATTATACAACAAAGACATGCCTGCCAAAAAAAGCAAATAAAAGTTTTAAAAAGCAAGCAAAAAAGAAACGTTGTACATATAAGAACTACAGCTACATGGACTTATTGAACAGCATCATTTGTTCATAAAGATAATTAACTTTTCTTCAAATGGGAAAACTTTACCTTTCGAATTGTCAGAAATATGCAAAGATGGCATACTTCTAGAAAGTCTTGTCAAACTATCTTCACAGTTGTATGTAATTTTGTCATTCGCCATTCTCCTGATTCCAGAAGAAAGGCAAGTATCAGAACACTGTCCAAGTGATAAATTCTGAGATTGTGATGAGTCGTGGTCTTGTTTCATATTAAGCTCATCGTTTGAGCAATGTTCTATTTCAATCGTCGAAGACATAAGAGGTCTTTCAATTCTGCTCCACGCATCAAAAGATTCCTATGAAAGATTACAAGATCTTAAAGTTCTCAATATATATTATTTATACCTAAACAAACATTTTGTATTTTACTTGGTACAAAGACTGTTTTGAATGTCTAGTCGTCTCTGCTCACACTGTAAAGTTTAATCATCGCTCATCACCACTTTCACTGATGTTGTTTTAAGATATAGAGTAAAGACTGTTCTCATTTTCTGTTGTTCATTCATCACTGCCTTCACTGACACACGTTATGTTAGTTTATATTTTAGATAGTGTTAAGGCTGTTCTCATTCTCTGTTGTTCATTCATCACTACCAACACTGACACATGTTATCATAGTTTATATTTTAGATAGTGTAAAGACTGTTCTCATTCTCTGTTGTTCATTCATCACTACCAACACTGACACACGTTATCATAGTTTATATTTTAGATAGTGTAAAGACTGTTCTCATTCTCTGTTGTTCATTCATCACTACCTACACTGAAACACGTTATCTTAGTTTATATTTTAGATAGTGTAAAGACTGTTCTCGTTCTCTGTTGTTCATTCATCACTACCTACACTGACACACGTTATCATAGTTTATATTTTAGATAGTGTAAAGACTGTTCTCATTCTCTACTTGTTCATCATACCTACACTGACACACGTTATCATAGTTTATATTTTAGATAGTGTAAAGACTGTTCTCATTCTCTGTTGTTCATTCATCACTGCCTACACTGACACACGTTATCTTAGTTTATATTTTAGATAGTGTAAAGACTGTTCTCATTCTCTACTGTTCATTCATCACTACCTACACTGACACACGTTATCATAGTTTATATTTTAGATAGTGTAAAGACTGTTCTCGTTCTCTACTGTTCATTCATCACTACCTACACTGACACACGTTATCTTAGTTTATATTTTAGGTAGTGTAAAGACTGTTCTCATTCTCTGTTGTTCATTCATCACTACCTACACGACACACGTTATCTTAGTTTATATTTTGGAAAGTGTAAAGACTGCTTTCGCTCTCTGTTGTTCATTCATCACTACTTAGAACAACACACGTTATCTTAGTTTATATTCTTATTTTTCTATACAAGCAGTCTTACATTATATACTTACACTTATGCTGTGCGTTGATATTGATCCTGGAAAGATGAAGCGAATAGAAGGACTGCAATCAGAGAGAGAGAAACTCGATTCTAAGTCTTCCAATGTGTCTAGATGCCTTTCAATGAGCTGAACGGAAAATAACCTAAATAAATAAGTCACGAAAAGAAAACACTCAAAAAACATCTTATCTCATATGCCTTTCAGGATAATCTAAAATCTGAGTGCAAATACGATACCTTGGTCGAATAAAAGTACTGTAAACGTAGTAAGAACCAAATAAAACCCTCGCAATGTCATAAAACACCCAAAGCATTTGGATAATCAGTAAAGACTTGAGATATTTTATCGTGTTCCAGTAAAATTGACAAGCATATTCTAGGAATTTACTGAGCATTTTCACTAAAAATATACAAAAAACATTTCAAAGCAGAGTCACAACCAACATGCCTTAATTCTACACCCTCACCTAGAAAAATTCTGAGGTTGTAGAAATCCTCCACAAGCACTATGTAGGTTTTCACTGGGGAAAAAAGAAAAACTGCATGGAAAAATTGTCTTGTAAAAATGATTGGATTTTTTCCTTACCCATATAAAGAATCGGATCGTCAGTAAACACACAAGAGATGTTTCTTGGCCCAACTGTAAAGGAAAATAATTGCAAAGCTTATCACCCAATTTCACAAATAAGCAAAAAAAAAACATTGCTCACCTCTTAAAAAACAATCTTTACTAATCTCAGTTTTCTCTGCCTCAGACAAAACAGGACCATTTACAATAGGGTTTATAATCAATAGCACAAACAAAATGGCCATAAAAAGCCGAAAGACAACGGAATTCATCATTTTTATCAATTCGCACATCGCCGTTTTCGAAAAATGTACACGTTCGGAAATGCAAGCCGCAATAATGGAATTAACTGTTGCTATGCAACGATTGTTAACAAACAATCTCGGACGTCACAAATTGCATTTACGGAATTGTTCGACAACTTCCTTATATGGAGAATAAACACTGCAAGCCCAGAATACTAAAATCCGTGATCAAGATTATGATACAGAAGAAAATGCTCGCGTTTCTATTATAAGAACAATTACTTAAAATTTTAAGTTTGAAACAGTATCAAAATTTTAATTCTTTCGGTTTGCATATTCTACTAAACCTACAGCAACAAAACAAAACGTCTTTCGTTTTTCTGATATTATCAAAGAAAATTTACTTGTCAAACATACACACTCACAACAAGAGATGAAATCTTCATAGTCCTCTTGTGCCAATTACCTCAATATTTTGTGCGTCAAAGGCACCAACTCTCTAAGATTGTTATTTTTCTCACACGTCAATTTCCTAAATATAGTGAAAAAACAGCAATATAAGAAGAGTTTTGGTTGGTTTGTTAAACTTGAGTTTATGAAACCCCTTCAAAAATACCTGAACAGCTTAATTCTTTCAACATTTTCTTCAAACTCTTTTGCTTTATCTATTGCTAGACGGATAATCTATGAGAAAAACGTGTAATACGTGTGTGTTTTTTAAATATACTCCATTCCTTGTGCACTAGATCTAGAAAAAGCAGAGCTGCTACATGTTACAACGTAAGAAAACCAACATTAACTAAATGTATAGATAATATATATTTCTGTAACCTTCAAACTAGGTCTTTTCATAGATTCAATGTAAGTCTTCATGAAAGAGTTAAAGAAAGCCTTGACTAAACTAAATTATTCAAAGATCACGTGATACCAAGGACTTCGTAACTAACCTCTTCAGGAATACAAGCCAGCCGTGCAGCATTAAAACCGTAACTCTTTGGGCAAGCTCCACGGACGAATTTGTAGAGAAAAGTAATGGTTTCTTGACTTGGATCTCCGGTATCATCATCGTTTTCAACCATACATGCCTAAAAGAGAAAAGTCCTCAAAGGTATTCATACCTGAATATATAAACATAACGTATTGTTCGTACCATATGACCAAGATGTACGAATGGATCGTTACTAAAATCCTCCACCAATGAGTGGTAATGGGTTGAAAAGAGGGTACGGCATTGGATTTCATGAGACAAGTTGTGGATAACTGCTGATGCAATTGCTGTCCCATCATACGTAGCGGTGCCACGTCCTAAAAATGAAAAAATCTAAAATCAAATTTATTTCCCATTTTTAAATGATCGTCGTTGAACATGAAATAACTGTACATACTGCAATATTAAGAGAGAAATTTATCGTGTAAAAGCACCAAAGTTTATTTGAAAACTTTTTTGAATTATACAGGTGTACTAAAAAGGCGATGGCTTTACAAAAAAACCATGTTGAAAAATCGTACTGACGAGTTAAAGCTGCAAATTGTAATTTGTCTATAATCTTCAAAAACGTATAGTAAAAAGCGTGTAAGCCTTAAATACATCCAGGTAGGTCACAGAAGTCAGTAATGAAGACATATGATACATCCAGGCAGGTCACAGAAGTCAGTAATGAAGACATATGATACAAACCTAATTCATCAAGAAGCACCAAAGAATGTTTCGTTGCATGATGTAATATACACGATGTTTCACTAAGTTCCACGAAAAACGTGCTCTCACCTACGTAACAAGTAAATCACTCAATTTGTGATCATTCTTGAGTTTCCTTTTGTTTAACGTTTAGAAAACAAGGATTGTTTACGATTGACCGTAAACGTTTGAATTTAAAAAGTTCTTTTTTGAAAATTATGTTTATTGGAGCAGACTCTCAATAACGCACACAGCTGTATAGCAAAGCATCTTACAAGATATAAGAAATAAGCGCTTAGAAGATATTCTGATTTGATGGTAATTGATTAGAGGGCTAGAGAAAAAGTTAAGGTACAAAATATACAAATCTTGATAAATCATACAGCAATACCTGAAAGAATTCGGTCATGCGCACCAAGTCTAGTAAACACACGATCCACAGGTGTAAGGCGACACTTCATTGCAGGAACATAACAACCCTAAAGAAAATCCAAATTTTTATTTATCACATTTTAAACTTAAGACAGTAAGTAATTCCTCAATCAAATTTAACAACAAAACAGAACAACGTTGCATCGATGAAAATCTTACCAGTTGAGCAAGTATCACAATAAGGCCAACTTGTCTCATCAGCGTGGACTTCCCGCCCATATTTGGTCCAGTTACAACTACACATGTACTGCAGTCAGTTGTGTTACCCATAGGATCCGGGCATCCAATAACTGTATCATTAGGAATGAAGTCACCGCCACTAAAGGTTCTACCCACGCATGGATGTCTGCCGTCACGAATCTCTATAAATGGCTAAAAGTACGAAACCGTGTCAAACTTGTATGTTGTTACAAACCATAAAAAATGTAAGATACAGTGATGTGGTAATTAACTAAAATTTACCCTCACCTTATCATCGTTCTCGATAAATACAACTTCCGGTCGGCACATCAATCCTTCGGTTTGTGTACTACAAAGACAGATATGTGATAATTGACAGTTGATAACAGTCAACGTCTTTTACAAAGACAGAGATAGGCTACCTCATCTTTGAATAACCGCTCATACAATAAACAACAGCTCAATGATTTACTGAATATTATATAAAAAGAGATAAAGATATGAGAGAACTTACCTATACATCATTAAACTTATTAAGCAGTCAAGTACGGCAAGACATTGAACAGCTTTTTCCCAAACGTTGTACCTAGAAAATACTTCATGATAATTGAATATTCTTTTTAGCAAATGTGCCTGTGTGGGCACATTTTAAGAAAGAACAAGTTAGAACAGATAGACTTGATCAAGGGCAAACACGTAGATAACTGAGCCGTTGTATATAGAGTTGGTCTAAATTGAATTTGATCCAATAGTATAAGCTCCTACTAACGTATAGTATCCATACGAAGAGCGATTTAAATTTACATTAACACCTGACATCCACCTATGTCCCATGACCCTACCTGGTGTCGAACTGATAGAACACTTTTCTCATGGTGTCTTTTAGACAAGCGTCCCTTCTCTCCTCCGCTTCAGTTAGAATTTCGTTCAATCGCACAATTTCCGGAGACCAGTAACGTTTGAAACCCTTTTTGGATGATTGTAGTTCATATTCCTGAGGAGTTTTTTTAGCCAAAGCATTTTCTGGAATCTCCATTTGATATCTGTTCTTTCCTGTTCCCCAAAAACATATCTATAAAAAGACGTAATCAAAAATTGAAAAAGTGCAAATTCGCCTTTTCGCAAAAAAATTCTAGTTATCGTTTGATTTCGTCACTGACACCACTAAACACAGGATATTAGCCAATCAAACGCTACAAATTTACTCCAATATTTTATAATATTTTAATAATATTATAATATTATAATATTATAATATTTTACAATTTACTCCAATATATTGTATATTGAAATATTCAAAAGCATTTTAATTGGTGAAATATTCTTTAGTTAAACTGTAGGAAGACGACTTTCCATCATGTTAAAATGAAATACATCACAGTCACCTTGCATCCAAGACGTCTCTTTTGTTGATCCAAATAATCATTCAATTTTTGCTTGGTCTCCTTCATGTCTGCAATGGCTTTGTCATAATCTTCATCTACACCTGCATAAATAATAAATTGTGCTCGAAATCATTTAAATGTTTTCAAGTTAATCTACAATGTTACACAAACCGTCAGGAGAGTTCACGTGACTTAGTGCACGTCATATAATTTCATGTGAGTTAAATCTAACCTGGTTTGGGGAGGATAACCCCCTCGTCTTTTGCCTTTGTGTGATCAAACGCTTTCTATGGACAAAGTAAGCAAAATAAATGATTACAATACAACATTACAGGTGAAGGTTTGCCACAATTAAATCGAAAATAAATTAAACCCAACCAGAACAAAATAACATTATAGCTACACAACAAAAAGAACACTACTTTCATTCAAGGTAAACACATGGAAGTTTTAAATGAAACTGCTTACGTACATTGAAGAAAAGCAACTCGTCCTTATAATCAGGAAAGATTCCCCCATTTCCTGAAGAATCTATACCAACAGTCATTTTCAGAAGTTTCGATCTGAAATTGTTAATTTAGCAATATTTGGTCAGTGTCACCATTATTTACTAAATAATACAACACGAAACCCTGAAACTAAGACATACTTTAAACTTTTCAAGTCATCCTCAAACAAGACACAGAGTTTTGTTGCGTTTTCAAAACCTTGCAAAGTCAATAAAAAGTCGCCGATTTTCTTTTTACTACAAAAACAAGATTTCAGAATAAATGGCAGAAATTGTTTCACATCTCCTACAGTGTCTTCAGAAAAAAATCTTAACTGAACTATAACTTTATCTATACTGAAGTGGTTTAGTTGTTGGTTACAACCATTTAAAAAGAAACTTCGATGTAAACCACATTACCTGTAAGTGATTTCGTTATAAAAGATGGCCCTACTATCAGGATGATCTTTACTCCGACCGATTGAACCCATACTATGAATTCTGATGAAAAAACAAATAATTCAAACTTTAGACGCCTTTCTATTGCATCATTCACAACACTAATATTAAAGAAAATTGGGAAACGTCTGTATTTTCTATTAAGCAGTGTAAAAAAGCTCGAAGAACTAATGATAAAGACTGCCATGATTTGGAATTATTGTCAAACACTTGCTTACTTCCGTAACAAACGTTCAAGATCTGGAAGAGTACGCAACATTTCCCGGGCTTCAGCTACAAGTGTTTGTCTTGCCATGAGGTCATCTATAGCGTCCAATCTTTAAGTAAATAAAAGTCTCAAGTACAGATAAGGATAGCTAGTGTGCATGGATAGTGAATTGTTTATTGTACAATTGAGCAATGCAAACCTGTCAGATATCGATTTGGGATTGCATAAAGGGGAACAAAGCCATTGTTTGATAAGTCGTTTTCCTAAAGAAAATATTAACGTGTTTTTAAACTCTTTACTATGCTGAAATTTAAATTGAAATTTTCTTTACAGAATTTAGGCATTACAAAATTTTTTCACTAGCAGTCCAACACAAACAGTTGACTCAGTAAATCTTACACAACATAGCGAGAAAGTCTTGGACAATTCATCCATGGAAATGGGCAGGTTATTGTAAATGGAGCTAATTTAATTGTAAAATGCACAATATTTTTTTTAGAAAGTTAGCAATATTTAAAACAAAAGGCAACCATGAATTCATATTTTATGTTAACATAATCTATGGTTTCTCTGTTATTAATGAAATACATAACACTCACCAAAGGGAGTACAACAATGGTCCACGTGTTCTAACAACGTCCCCTCGAGTGTTGTATGCACGGCACTTGGTATGACGTCAAGATTGGTCAGCGTTATACCATCTAACAACTGGAAGACATTAAACATTGACCACAGGACAACGTACGACGAAAGTGAATTTTAAGAATTATGATGGGACTTGCTGAAAAACTTAAAATCTTCTTCGATCACAAGTATGTTTTGCCAAAAATCTCGCTTTCTTAACCATTCTAATACATTGTAAAAGCCAGCATTTACATCATAAACGTAGAAGACAAGTAAGTACCATATGCTTTCGTCCTTTCATAAAAGATGAACTTTTTCTGTGGTCGATTGTCTCGTCCAACGGTTGATAGAACTACACAACAAAAAGAAAAGTTCAAAAATATGAACGCAAAAATGGAGTGATAGTGGACAAACGCTATCTACATGTTCTTTGAATTTAAAAGAAAACGCAATATTGAAATAAACTATACCTCGAATTTTTTCATTGAAATGAGTTCGTTTTCAATTAAACATTTCTTTAGATACCAAATACAAGCACCGAAAGCGGAGAAAGCCAATTCATAATCTTCACACACCGTTAGACAAGCATTATCTGAAACATAATTCATACAGGCAAGTTAAGCAATATATTATGGTAAGATGCAAGTATATTTTCAAATAAAATAGTATATGCATTTCTTAATTTTTTAGCAGCTTTTTATATCAAGCTAAACATTAATACAAATACCATAATTATCATTATTATCATAAATATTAATAACTTTTCCTGCAGTACGAGAAAATACTATAGATTCTTTTCTGGAATCTGTTTGGCTTTACTGACTGCATTAAAATTACATCCGCACCATCAACGGATATCGTAATTACTCAAAACAAAAATGTCAAGAAACCCAATGAACCAAATAATTTCCTTAATGCCTCTCTTCTTAAACAAAATAGTTGTCATCAAAAGTGACATTTGCCTTTCTTACCACCTAAGGTCATATTCTTTAATGCTTCTGGCCATTTCTGCAAAAGAAGCAAATCTTAAATATCAAGTTCCATTTATGAAGGAGCGTTTCTTCATAGAAACTTTGTAAAACATGCTGATATATTGATAGATGTAGATTGTCCATGATATAAAAAAGTCCAGAGAAGGACTGCTGCTGTTTATGTTGAATGACGTTTCTACAACCTTAGGAGTAGAAAATCTTCAGAGTCAAGAAAATTGAAGTGAAGATCACTCAAGACAATATTAACCTGGACGATCCAAATCTAAATACATGTAACGTTCGTTCCTGGTTCAAACCACTTATTGTAAAACATGCTGATGACGTGCAACATTAAAACTGCGTACAAATGTAATAAATAAATGTAGATATAGCAAAAAATTACAATCATATGACAGCAATCTTTGTGTTGCCTATATACCTGTTGCCCATCTTCCCAGAAATACTCATTTTCTTGTAAGAATCCGATTGTTTTTGCTGCTTCCCAAAACTCAGTAACTAAATAAAAATTTTACTCATCATTCATGGTGAACATACACCAACTTAAAGTTATTTATCATATGGATAAAAAAACATAATATTTCTTTATCAATACACACCGGGCGAAAGTTGTTCTTTTATTGTCGAAACTAATTCATGTTGAAGAAGAGATTGAGTTTTTTTCGTGATACAGCCACGTTCGAACAAAATCTATGTTAAAAACGGTACCAGAACAGAAGAACATATTTCCACATACATATAATGTTAAACATCCAGATTTCTATTACCTGTGCGGGAACATTACTTGCTATTAGTGTTCGAAGACGCGAGCATTGCCTATCATCAGAAAATTGTCCAATCTAGAAAGTATGTGTGAAAACGAGGCTCGTTGAAAAAATAAAGTTGAAAAGAGTTATATGGTTTCTGTTTGTAAATAGATTTATTACTCTTTCGGACGAAACTTACGTGAAACTTTCCAATGGAAGTATCAATGAAACAAACGCCATAAATACTTTTCCCTCCACAACTCTCGTCGAAACCCTGTAAACAAAGCACAAAAACTGCCAAAGCACGACAACGCAGATTGAGAATGACAGCTGGGTAACCTTGGTACTGTATGTGTTAGTATATTTACTAAGCGAATTTCGTCAATAGTGAAGGCAAAAAAATGAGTCCAACAGCATCATAGACTATCAAAATGTATTCACTCTCCCAATGTTTTAAAATTAAAACCAGTTGCAAATGTATTCTATTTGCACAAAAATTTGCAAAAGAAATTGCTAAAACTCATTTCCAATGAAGCTGCCTGACATTATTGCGCAGTAAAAGGTTTAGGTCCTTCATCACTTTATTGTGTATGTAGCTACAACGTAAAAATGTTTAAAGCCACGAGTGATAATGATCTCTAAAATCCCACTTACAGATTCCTTAATTGCCAGCAAATGTGCCGCTGCATCATCCGTTATGTCACCTTCATTGAATCGAAACATTTTAGTTGCTGTGAAAAAGACACGATCAGGATTTGAATAATGACTACAGATAACCAACGACTTTTTAACTTAAACAAACGAAACTACAAAAATAATTCTTCCAAAAAAAAAACCTTTTGACGTAATTGCACAAAGTTCTCTACGAACAACTTTCTCGCCCTTTGCTAAAAAGATGCGAATTTTAAATGAATGATGAAATTCCTTAGGTGATATTATTCGTGAAAAAGTTTGTGATAAAAAAGATATTACTTCGTTTACTCATCATTTGAGGTGTTTCTGTTTGCTCAATACGTGCAACCCTAAAATAGATAATATATTTAAACAGGCATAGACGTGTTACGTCTCCGGAAATGAAAAATACGTTTTTCATCAATTAATAGTTGAAATAATTTGGTAACTGCTGTAAAATATGAACTTGGATGGTCGTGTCCAACCATTTCTTGCTTCACAAGAGCAAATTAACCAAGAGGAGAACAGGTTTTATTCACGCAATGTTAGTTAAGAAAAACCAATCTACTGGATAGCAACACTTTATAGTTGCTTCGTCTTACTTGTAGCCTTTCTGTACTAATATATCTGAATAACGACCATAAGAAATTTCTGGAAATCCAGCATGGGCAAACTTTCCCTGAAAGAATAACAAAAGTTAAAATAAAATACTGCAAAAACAAATGAATTGTTATCTGTTACACAATTTGCAAAAAAGAGGGCTTGGTCATTACCTTTATGAAGATAGGCCAGTTTTGACTTTTATGTTTGTAGGCCCTAGTCCTTACCTTCATGTAGGTAGACCCTAGTCTAAACATTTATTTAGGTCGGCCCTATTCTTTACTTTTATGTACGTAGGCCATAGTCTTAACCTCTATGTAGGTAGGCAATATTCTTAACCTTTATGTAGGTAGGCCCTAGGCTTTACCAACATGTAATGATGTAAGGTAGGCTCTGGTCTATACCTTCATGTAAGATTTTTATGTTAATTAATATAAACTAGATCCAGGTCTTGTAAAAATATTGTAGCTAGACTTAGTTAGATACCTTCATATAAGTGAGGCCAAGTTCTTTCACAGCAGTAACAGCATCCATATGATACAACTCATAAAACTTTCCTACCTGTAACATGTAAAAACAAATATCTTTATAAATATTTATAAGTAAAGTCTTGAGAAGGCATTTTGACAAAATACAACTTTAAAGAAAAGCACAGTATCAAAATTTTCCATCTTAATCTTCCACCATTGTCTTAATCCCTGGAAGAAAGAATTATTTTAGCGATTAAGTTCTTTTTTTTCTGTGGCTCATTGATCACAAGTAAGAAAAGCATAATATTTATACTGAATAATTTTTTAAGATATTTACTGGTGTCACATCTTTAGAATTGAGATATGACGAAGGCACCTTAAATATAAAAGCAATAAATCAAATGATTTTAAATAAAACACTTCACTTCACACAAAATAGTCTCTTTCTTACATGCAATGTTCTTGAATCATATTCGGGATCATTGGAATTCCTTCCCTCTTTGTCTCTAAAATGAAACAAAAGATTACCAATATGATTTTGCAAGTTCACCAAAGGGGCACGCAATTTATTCAATAACCTAGATGTATTGTATAAAACAGAAGCAATAGATTTCTAACAATAACTAAGCAACCTTAACTCAACAATTTAAATGAATTTGATGTATTGTGGTGAAATTAGACTTAAGAAACCAACTTGTGATTTAAAAACCCCAAAACAAACAGTAATGTAAAATGCAAACCTGATCTTTTCTTCAGTAAGCCACTCTAGAGACTCATGAGCATAGACAATTGACAAATTGCCACTACTTTTGTCTGATGATGGGGAAGATGTTGCTTGAAACTTTGACAGGGTTGTTGCAGCTTTCCCTACACTGTTTTCAATCTTACTTGACAATGTTGGAGAGAGGATACTCTTGGGAGTTCTTGGGGTATCTTGGGGTGACTGTGTGGGGGACTTTTTTACACTTTTTTTCCTCTTTTTCTTGGATGAAACCTATATTATAAACATACATACACAAACCATACATAGTTAAATGAAAAAAGAAATACTACTGACAAAACTTATAAAGTCTTCCTACTTTTGGACTTTCCTCTTCACTCAAAGCTTCATCACTATCAACTTCATCAACACCACTACTGCATGATTCATCTGTGCTTGCATCATTTGGAGGTTGATATTCATCCCCTTAAACAAACATAACTTCACATATTAAAATGATTTGGTAAAAGCAGTTTTGCTTTGCATAATAAAGACATTCATCAATCATACCAGATTCTTCATCTTCTTCATCTGATTGCAGTTGAGATTTTTGCTTTTTACGAGATGGCTTCAGAAAAGAGGATGTAGCTTTACGCTTTTTTCTGCATCTGTTGAACTATATTTAGCAAAATCAAACACAATTAAAATTTCCATTTTTGTAGACTTTATTGTATGATTTTATCTTTGCATGTTATTAACATTCATTTACATGTATCTACGTGTGTAATATTGTTACATTAACAGAAAAATTCAATTCAATGGCACATGACACCACTTCCAACTTCATCTGTTATGTTAAGTTTAAGTACATGAGATGATAACTTAGGCCTTCCCAAACGCAAAGAAATTGAGTGTGCTGCAGTATCATCTACGATAAAATTTTGATAATTGATTTTTTATGTCTTGCTTTCATTTGCTCCAGCATTCGACATTTTCATTGCACGTTTAAATGTATAAAATTTAAATACAACAGCAAACATTCTTTATATTGGATACCCAACTTTCCATGTAAAGGCTCAAGTGTTGTACGTTCGCCCTCACTGTCCCATAAAATTACAAGGCGATAAAAACAAAGTTTCATGAAAGAAAAACTCACTTTCTTGCCTGTAACTTCATCATCGTCACTTTCTCCGTCCGATATCATTCGTTTACCATTTATATTTTTTCTCAAGGCAGTTCCATTATTGCTTGAAAGAATCTCTTCTTGGTCATTTTCAATAATTTCAACGGCTGTATTTCCCCTTTCTTTCCGTATTTTGGACTCACAAATCTTGGTTTTGCTTTTGGAGGTTCACCTTCAACTTTTTCTTTGTTGTTTGCCGGAATTGGAGAAGAATTGGGAGGTATTTTTGGTGGGATTTTCTTAAAGAAATGTAATAAAGTAGCCATTTTCTATCCGCGGTCAAGTAGCGCGGGATTTCGCGCGAAAATTTAAAGCATCCAAATTCCGGTAAAAAAAGAAACGACATAGGAGCGTAATCCCAGGTCCGGTAATAATTTATCGCGCAAAAAAGAACAAAAAAAAAGTAGAACTAGACTAGATACGCAGCGCGTACAAATATAAGAATGACCATAAAACGAAGATAAACCATGAGATGAACACAGTTTAAATTATATTATACATTCAATGCATAAAAGCATAATTTTCTTTTATAATTTCCTTTAGTTCAAATGCACACATGCGTAGACACATTTCCCATTAACAGGGGCCGCGGAGAGGTTTGAAAAGTGAGGCGGGCAAAAGAAGGTCGCAGAATCGGATTGTTGTTAGCAAAGTTGCTTTTAACAGTTTTATCAGGAATCGTTCAATATACAAAATTTGTTCGATTTCCTTTGTAAAGTTTATTATAGTGCGTTCAGACTGAGTATCCTGGAACGGTGCTCAGGCACGGGCATCAATATGAACACAACATTTTAATGGTGCCCGTGTATAAGTGCCCAGAGGTCTGGGCACCAGTAAAAGAGGTAGTACGCAAATACGGTGCTCGGGAAAGGGCATCAATGTGAACGACGACACCTGAGTAACGTGTACAGAGAGGCACGTATTTAACGCATGGTTTCAAAACTTGTTTACAAAGAAAAACATGAAATTATAAATAGACAAAGCTAGTGGGTACTACGTAGTGTGAAGGGCCTGCAGATTTATGACCGAACCAGGGTATCGTACTCCGGCAATCAGTCTGAACGTGCTATAATTGACCAATCTAACGTCAACTAAAAAATGAAAGTGGAAGATAAGGGAGACATGAAATACTGTCAAAAATCCATACTTATCCAATGTAAGTATTTGTTACAGCGGATTTTTAAACTTTTTACACTTTGAAAAGCAAGAGATTAGGAAAAGTGGAATTGCCCCTTCCCTGCCCCTGATCAATGAATGGTAAAACCTAGTTCTGTAAGCTTTGCTTGAAAATTCATCTTAGAATTATATTAATCCTAGTTCTGTAAGTTTTGCTTGAAAATTCATCCAAAGCACCATAGAAGGGTGCTTTACCTAATTCTCTCATCCCCTTGACTTTCTTCACAATTGCCCATGTTGGTATAGACGGACATAAGGTGGGAAAGATATCTTTAAAACTTCACGAATTATATGTCAATAATGACATAGACTTGATGATTTCCTTCTTCATCAAAAACTTGCATGTTGGAATAAGTTATTGCCTTAACTTCAGTTCCCTGCAAAAAACCAACACTTAAGCCTCTTACTTGTCAAAATATTAACACTTGTATCCTTGTAAAGCTACACATTTGAAAAGAATATGTTGAAATATTTCTCTTTTATTTCAACTGCAACAATACTTGCTCAAAGCTATAAACAACCGCTGCCTTGAAAATTATCACCCCTTCCTCACATTGCAAACAACCCTTGCTGCAGACATATTAGTTTTTGGAGGATAACTGAGCCTCTAACCTGTGGATGCTTATCCAGATCAAATGTTTCCCCTCTCCTAAAATATAACAATGAAATTCTGCAGACACAGGTGATAATGTCAAAACAATGACAATAAGGAGTATGAAGATTTTTGAATCATTCATCACTTTCTAAAATACTTACACAACAGCTTCAATTCTGAAAGCCTCTTTGTCAAACTCAATAATTTCAATTTGCTTTAAAAAATATACGCAAACAGCCATTATAACTGAGGTTAACATTACAACTATATAAAAGATACATGTATAAATTAAGGAAAATAAAATATTAAATCATTATGTACTTTTCCAATGAAAAAAGGCTCAGCACAAAACAGAAAGAGCAGCTCATCAAGGAAATGAAAAAGCAACGACAAAATATCATCCCCTTAAAAAGGAAATTTAAATAATTACAACATAATTTATAATAAGAATTTGCTTTCAATTTTTCCATTCTTCACATGATGGCAAGTTATTAGCAAGAAAAACCTCTTTCTCATCTTGAATAAGCACATAGTCAATGTTAAAGGCAATCAATACATATCACTAAATGCAAATAAAGATATTATTTTAAAATTTATCTAGAATAACCTTGAGCAGAAATAGTTTCACTCCGCAAAACTTCCACGTTTTCTAATTCTGTCATATATCCATACATTGCTATCCCAACCTGACAAAAAAAAAACATAAACATGTTTTATAAAGCATTATCTACAGACAGAATGAATGAATGAATGAATGAAAAAAATGAATGAAAATCTTTATTTTGACAAGCTGGCCTTGTCAACTGGGGTTGATTTCCACAAGGGGCATGCTTTTGTTCAAAAACAATTACAAAATTTACTAAGAAATAAATTATCTACAGAAGAGAAGTTTAAATATAGACATTAGACACACTCACATGGTACCAATTCTTATTTTAATACAATATAGAAAACTTGTTTGTACATGTAGATCGTCCAGGTTATTATAGTCCTGAGAAGGACTGAAGAAGAAGAACAACAACAGTCCTTCTCAGGACTATACCAACATGGACGATCACATCTACAAACATGTAACCATACTCCTGGGTTCAAACCATTTACTTTATAGAAACTTGCCTGTTCAAAAGCCTCTATTAGGTCATCTCCCCCTAAATGTTGAATTAAGTAAAGGAAATTTCCTGTAAAAATAGATTCTTGGTGACAATTTTTTTTGAGAATGCAAGTCTATCTTTTCGTCCATAAACCATTTATGTTTTTAAAAACTTCAGAGGATACAGGCATGTAACCTAAGAAAAATGCAAACTTTTAAATTTCTCTGCATGTGACTTGTTAAAATAGTACACATCATATCTGTTTATGCTTTTGCCTACTACACATTACAGATGATAGAAATGATTATGATTATATTAACAATAAACACTCTCAACTTTTTTTCAAAAATACTCACTGCACGTCAGCTGTGTGATCTAAATCTAAAATAAGAGAAAATTTAATCAGATGAAAAAAAATTAGCACAATAAATAGACCTAACAACGTACACTCGTATTTTACCGATACATCAGCCATATTGAAAATTTGTAAAAAAATTCAATTTGTTTTTACGCTTCCCCCGTCTTGAAATAAAGCAAAACTTCTTTACCGGAGAAACATGATGGCGCGTAATGCACCAAGCACGTTCAACCAAAGCACAAATGCTGTTGTGAAATTACAGGTACTTACTCTGATATTTTAACTTTTCACGTATAATAAAGATACAATAAAGTTGTCTTACTTCCAGGCGGCTGTTCGTGGTATTATAGTAAGAAAGAGATTTGAGAAATTGAAGCAAGAATATAAGTTAATACTTCAAAGCTTTGAAGGAGATAATGTGCAACTACTATGGAAAAACCATTCAAGACTTAGCTTGCCAATATTGCAATGTACATTCAAAAAAAAAGGGGAACAAACCAAAGACATTTCAACAGTGAAACACGCAACAAGTCATTCAACACCAGTTAGAAAAGAAAACAAAACTCAGTCATGTCCTTCTGAAATTGTCAATAAGAATTGCCACAATTTTATTCTCAATGATAATGAAATTGAGAACAAATACAGATGCTTCTCTTTGGATGAAGTTGAAGTCTTTGGCAAAGACAAGTTCAATGTTCCTGTAGAGAGAAATATGACAACAGTACATGTTCAACCAATGAAATGCAGTTCAAAGATCACATTTGTGTCATTAGAAGGTAATATACTTACAGAAATACTTATAATTATGAGACCACCTTTCCTTGACAACTACCCTTGATTTTAATAAAAATGCTTAGTTCATTAGACGCATTTAGTTATAAGTATATTTCAGTAATTACTTATGTTATGCTTTACATCTGTCCTACACATGTCGAGTCAAATGGCCATAGATGATTATAGATAAATAAAGTGTAATTTTCTCAACAACTATTATTTCACACATATACCATGAATATTTTCTATAAATGCATTTACATTTTATTTCAGATAGCACTGTATACCCACATGACAAAATTTCATTGCTGGAACTAAGAAAAGATTTATCAATGGAACTTCTATGGATAAATCAGGCAATTGAAAGCAGAATAAGTGTAAGGATAATACATCAAGGGTAGAATACACTTTTCAACTGCTATGCATACCAGTTTCAACTGACAACATGTGAATTCTTTTATTTAGTATTTAGAAATGAAGAAAAAGTTGGCAGATAATGAAGTGAAATGATAGGATGATAGATTCAAGATCAGTAAATAGATATATTTTCTATTAATGAATTATATATAAAATCACATTTTTCTAATGGAGGTTATACTGAAGTAATCACCACTAAATACAACAATTATCACCAAACTTAAGTTTTATTTCTTCTTTATTATGTCTTCATACATTAACACATATCTTTTCTAAGAAATAGCATAGGTAATATGTTCATAAATTTTGCACCAAGAATAACAAAAAGGATTACTTTTGCTTAAGTAAACATATATGAAATGATATCTTTTGGTGAGTTTAAAAGCCTTTTGTGGCACTAAAAAAATTAAATAAAAACTGGGTTTAGGATAATTTATCACAAATATGTCATTCTATTCTCTCGACAAATCTTATTTTACAGTAACTCTGAACAAAACTATACTTGCACACTATTCTTTATTAAACAAACCACTTAAACTGCTTTAAATTCACACATATTAACTCACCAAAGAGCAAATGCTGTTACTAATCCAAAAAGAGAGATGCAGTTACTTGCACCAGATGTAGGTTTTGGGGTGGCCGCTGGGGTGGTGATATTTTCTAGGTATAAAACAAAGTTGATGGCTATATAAAGTATTAGAAGTTAGGCAGTCATATTTATATCAAGAATTCACTTTTTAACAGGAAAATATCATGCCATTGTTTTGAATGGGTTACTTGTGAAGGTTAAACATTTATTAGGTTGTAAAAAGAAAAATTCGCAAAAGATACTTACGTGAAGCCACTGAAGAGGGAGGTTGTGTTACATTGCTTGTGGGTGTTGTTATATTGTTTGAAGCTGATACGGGTTTAACTGGTGTATAAGCAAGGAAAACCAAGCATATAAGACCTAGATAATGATAAAGGTTTATTTTGACAACAACCAAGTTTAAAAATTACAAACTTGCTTAGTTGGTTCTCAAATGCCCTGAATAATTGTACTCATAATTTGTAACTTTAAATTCAAATGAATAAATTTTCATGCATTAAACTGTATACCCAGTGCTCATGAATATATATATGTAAATGTCAAAATCATATAGCTGTAGTCTATGTGCCTTTGACCTTTATGAAGGTACAAATATGGAAACACTTACACAGAGCAACTAGTGAGGTATTCATCTAAAAAAAGAAAAAAACGTGAGATTTAAGGAAGAGGTTTAGATACCGTTTCAAATCCTTGGGCCAAACATGCCAAAATTTACACACATTCAAGGCATTGAAATTGATAATTCTCATTTTAATCCATCACATCGAAAACATGTCAAAGCAATGGACATTTTCACGGTTTCGGACGCCATTTTGACGCGTAGACAAGAATTGTTAGGCGAGGTTACTAAGCGTAATAGAAATTACTATTAAATCTCCACACTGAAGGTCTGTTGTTATGCAATATTGGAAAATAACACAAGTTTTTGATTTCCCGGTTAAGAAGGAGTAACATTTTGCTCATGCACGCTCCGCGTCGGCAGTTCCATCCAAGGATCCAATTACACGCAGCAAGTAGCCCTGCCTTCGGAGTTGAATACTTGGATATAATGAGGGGATAAAGTTTGCCGCTTTACATTACTGAGAGAGGCTCTTTATTCGGCTCTTTGTGTTGAAAATTTGAGCATTTACGCGTTTAACCGACCGTTAAACAAAGAAAGCATGGGAACAGCCATGGATGATTAATTTTAAAGTGACTCGTATAATCCTTATATTACATGTTAACATAGCAAGCTAGAATGTAACTATTTCAAAACACATAATGAGATCGTGGACACAAGTCCATGATCTATTTGGCTGCAACTATATACATTTTACACAAAAATTCCTTCGTTGCCAACACCTTATTTGTTAAGTGCAAAGTTCATAAGATCACATGTTCGTGCCTCTTGATCACAGTGTTATTTGAACCCAGCTTGCAATAAAAAATTCACAAGCCTCCACACAGCGTTGTGGTTTGCGCACAATGAAAAAAATCTGGATTGCAAATCACGATTTCAATTAAATAAAAACGAGAAAATTTCAATACTACATAAAACCAACTACTGTAATAAATTTTCAAGTGTTTTCCCAATTCAAATCTTTAGTAGTATGAATGAAACGCTAAAGATTTCGGGCATGCAAAAGTTAAATTTAACAGAGCTTAATTTGTGTTTAATGTATGGCGGGCTTCGAAGCAGAAATACTATCTTTTATTTGTGCTTGGCAGAAATTATAAACGATTAAGCTAACACTGAAGTGATAAAGTCGCTGAAAAACCATATCACCAAAGAACACAAATGCTTAGGCCATCACTTCGATATTCAGCTTCAACATTAAAATCAACTAAAATATAGAGCGTTGTCAACCCACTTATTACCGATTTCGTTATCCAGCTAAGGTTTTTAAACTTCAAGGGTGAAAGAAATACAATGACAATGAACTCAATCCTTTCACAAAAATCGAACAATGAAACAATACTAGTGCGCTAAAAGATAAAAATATGAATTACAAGACAACACCCTTTCATCAAAACTCTTGTTAATGGTTTGATTTTCTGCTAGAACAAACAAGGCAAGCAAGAATAAGTTCGACTTATAAAAGGAACGCGCGGCTCCAGGAACGCAATAAACAAGACAAATATGAGAAAGGGTATTCGTTAATCATCAAACTCTACATCGAAGTTGAAACACACTCGACATGGGACATTTTGACCGGCAAGCAACAGTTTACGTCCCGTTGAACGCAGATAAAAAACATCGCAATCTGAAAAGGTTAAATTTCACAACAAAAACTTTGAAAATAGAGACAACACTAAAAAATACCACAATCTTACCTCGAAGGTCGATAATATAACACACAGAAATACAACAGCTGATATAAATGCTAACAAGCGCAATGTGAACGATAAATGAGAAAGTCAGTTACGTTTAGCAATTTCATGTTAATCCCCGCCCTGTCACATGACTTACGTAAAATCCCATTGGTCTAGAAAACAAATACCTCCTCAAGACAATTAAATAATTTAGCCTCTCCACAGTACCCTGCGCGCGGACCCTAAAATGTCTAACAATATTAATAAGTATACAACTAAGTAAGATTGAGAAAATTGAAAAACTATTTTGATGACAATACAACTATGACTGTATTTGGTTAGGCAGTCTAGTATTACAGGGAACGTTCTTCATGAAGAAATGATATCATTAAGGAACTTTCACACGCCTGTGCCATGTTTCGATGGCACAGGAAATCAAGAATGCTGCAAAATGCAATGAATTATTCATCGTCTTTGTCGTTTTGCTGCACAACAACACATGATGAACACATGTCCTTTTCAGTAATGTAGTATTAAACTGGATTGACCACAATGGTCAATGGCCCTTTATTTTTCAAAATCGCTTACAGTAAAAAAAATTCGAGTTTCCAACAGGAGAATTCCAGTTTTGTGTGCAGTTTCAATGGTTTCAATTACTTGTAATTTGAACCAGCGAAATGGGTTGGCTCCATTTGTTGAATTCTTTAAATTGTTGATTTGAAAAGGACATAATACACAGCACGGGCAAAACGTTACAACAGACGTTACGTAAGAACGTTAAAATTCAATTTGAGTTTCAAAAATCAAGCCCATACAAAACCTCACACACATCATACGAATACATACATAATACATTCATACAAATCCTAAACAAACTGGATAAGTATAAGTCATACTGTATGACAGCCTCTGGCGACAGCTTGGCGCCGAATTATTTAAATTCCTGTACATCATGATATGAGCACAGATAACTCCATAGATAGGGCGTCCTCTACATCTTCACAGCTGACTGAACACACGAACATAACTTCGCAGCACATACAAAATCTTCACATGTAATACAACACACATAACATTATGGACTATCCCATATCTTTAATTATCACACAAAATCAAACCAAGACTTTAGTCTTTATGTATATTGTATTACATGTGAAGATGTTATGTACATTCTTGCATAATATTTCAAATAATTATGTCGAATATTGTAATAGTTTTAACCTTTTCTATTAAGTATCAACATATTTTGCAAACACAGCCGTACTCAGCTGAAGATGTTGCTAAGGAAGAAAGATTAACGGCCGAGTCCTCAATAGACCTTTATGTCCTTTCCATTCTTTCGCCGTTGTCCTGATGAAATCCCATATTCTCATTACTTTGAAAACCAATACTGTGGCATTTTTCAATATCACTCGTGTGATCAACATGACTATACTGATTATTCTCATGTTCAATATCAACGTCATTAACGTCATCGTGTTCAACGTCATTAATGTCATCATTCTCATGTTCAATATCAACGTCATTGTGTTCGTCATCAGTTGAGTCATCACAACATTTACCAACGACATTTCTGTTACGTGGTAGCCTTTCAGGAAAAGTAAGGATTTTTGCTTGCCATCTTAAGCTATTGTTATTTTCAAGAACATTACCATGATTTTCAACGCCATCAGACAAAGCAAATGTTGTATTTTTAGGTGAGATTTTTGGGGAAAGTACTGCATCTGAAGTGTTAACTAAAAATCCACTTAATCTTGCTGTATGTGCATTGTGCTTAGTTGAATTGTGAAAAGTGGCAAATCTCCGTCGTTCGTCTTCATCTTGTTGCTTTTTCCTATAAAAAAAACACATTGAAAATAGATTGAAAAACCAATCAAATTTGATAAACATGTCATTCTTATGCAGTTATGCCAACTTATTAAACGCTGGTGAGTTGGAAAGGTTGCTCCTCTTTTTACTTGAACAGACCAGCAAACTCATATTTCTATCCTACAGGCAAAAAAACATTTTCCCAAATCAACTATTTTCTAATGAAAACTTTTAAATTTCCATTTTATTTGACTGCATTTAACAAGAAGTTCAATAAGTCTATAATGAATGCAATATGAACATTTAAAACAGACCTCAATCGATAAAGTATCCAACAAACCACAGAAACCAGAAAAAGCAATAGAAACGCCACGGGAATCATTATTTTGTTTAACTGATTGTCCAATGGTGTTGTGTGATATTCAGCACTTGCGTTGCCTAAAATATGGAGTAGCAAAATAAAAATATTTATCAACATAGTTACTAATAAAAGTTTTTGCTAACGTTGAAAAGCGTCAAATCAATGAATAAGAAATGATCAATTAGTTAAATAAAGAAATTCATGTCGTTTTAATTGTGGAACAATAATATTATGAATACAGAACTGAGGAGAATAACGAAGATTAAAAATTCTAAAACATGCTGGGTTTAATAGGACAATATAAAGAAAAAATGTTGATTGTCCACGTCATTGGTATTGATATTGGAGTTGATGTTTCTATATTCTATAAGCTTTAGTCATCTAACACCAACAATCAACCTAAGGATTGCACTCAAAGCAAAAGCATCTTTTCAATGAGATAAGCGTAATTTAACTCATTAAACCTACCATTTGGTGGCAAGGTAGCATCCACAATCCTCAAGAAATGTGAGATTGCAAAAACACCGAAAGCAAATGCTGGACTCATAGCTGAATTGGCAACAAAATTAGTTTTACATTACTGAAAGTTTAGTCACAAACTTATTTGAGAAACAATGTTAAAATGCATCAAAAGTCTCTGCGGTCGAACATCACATAAACATATATAGATGTTGCTTTTGGCCAAATGTACTCGTAGTAGTTGCTTAGGAAACAGTTATTTCATATTAAAATTCTCATTAACGCACATGAATTTTTCATTTGCTAAGCAATAAATCATAATAAAAGTTTTTCGTTTTGCAGAGTCGAATAAGACACCTGGAAAGAAAGCTTGCGTGGAATTTTGGCGACTATGATTGATTGTGCATTCCCAAATCGTTATCAATTCAACCAAGTATGCCAAACGATTTGTGAAAATAACTTTAATATGTTATCACGAAAAGATCTCCATTGAACCACTGACAAGAAGTTTTTCTAGCAAATGACGTTTCTAACCTGTGTACCTCGCATACAGGTTTTAAAACGCCAGTCACTAATTATTATTAACAGAGTTTATTTGATTACACTTGTCATGGTGTGACAATTACATTAAAGGTATATGTACTTCAATGCGATGAATTTATCCCTAAGATCAATGTAAAACGCGCTTTCCATTCAAGTAGTTATATAAACAAATTCGTTTCTACCAATAAATTAATAAAATATATTTCCCCAACCGTTTCATTTTTCCTTACTCTTAAATGTCACATGAGATAAGAGTATATAACGGTTCATCTGTCCTTTTAAGTACTTCATATTTCAAAGAACTGAGACCATCTGTATTTTTAAATTCTTCCCACTTTCGTAGAGTATCATACCTGAACACAATATAAAGGGAACTTATTAGTAAAGTGTCAAAAAAACTGATCAAATTTGCACAACGGTTGATGAAAGATATTTATGGTGATTTGTGAAGATTATCATGTAATTGGTCAGGTAAAACGATCTCATTTACCTTTCGGGAAACTCCTCTGAAATTGAATGAGTATGAAACATCATGGTATAAATACCATTTATTGCTGAAGGACTAGTTATTTTATGTCCTAACGAACGCAATCTAAAAGAAACCAAAGACATCGTTATGAAATGCGAAACCTTTCGAAAGAAGACACACGCTGATACACATAAAGGAAAGAATTAAACAAAAATATCTCTGCCAAAATGCTTTCATTTTTACATCCACCAATTCTTTATCTTACAAAGAGAGTTGAAGGATACAAATATAATATAAATATACGTCACTGTACTGAAGCATGCATTCTTTTTCCATAAGATTTCACTGGACATAACTTACTCTTATCCTTCTTGACATTTCTTTATTTAACATAATCTTGATCATACTAATGGTTTGTTTTTGCATTGAGTCTGTTCATCCCACATCACATTATTGTGAATCTAACTTCATTCAATTGTAAATCAACCCCATTCATTTCACCTTACTCCCAAATGCTCATCTTTTACCATGTCACACAAACTACAAACACTGACAAAACCACCTCATCCTGCTCCCCCAACTCATATATAACACACACCATAACATTTTACATCATTTCACATCATCAAACTGTGCATCACTGATATTTTCACCTGTTAAACATATCATCATCTTCACCTCCCCAACCCCAATATCTGTTTGGATAGCCATTGACTGCAAAGAAATGCTCATCATTCACAGCGGAAACACCACCAAAGATACCTTCGTATGGAATCCTGTAAACCAAAAAAAAAAAATTAAAGTAAAGGAAGGAGACAAATGGTCTTAAACGAGTAGATCACTCATACAGCACCTACAATACATTCATAATTTCAAAACTCAAGTTATTTCAGCAAAATACAAGATGACACATATATAAATGGCAATACCCAAAGTCCATAGTATCCACGGCAACTGACATGTGTCTGGGTGATGTCGGACAAAAGTATTCATTGCCATTGCTCAATGGCAGCAGGTCAACATCATGAAATATGAAACAGTTAAAATTATCAACTTTTTTTGCTTCCATGAAACCAACATTAAACAATTTTGCACGATTGAATAGTTTTCCATTCGCCTGAATAAAGTAGAGAAATCAGGTGATCTGTGAAAGTTCATAAGAATCATTACAGGTGCAACATTGTTGAAGAGTACAGTGATAAATCCTGTGATTTAAATATTTTTGCAGATTGATTGTACAATTTTGTGTAGTCCTAAGAAGGAATGTTGTGATGATACTAGAGAAGGCTCAGGTATCTACTTACTAAATAACAGATTATTTGGTAAATACAAGGATTTTAATGGATAATTTGCCAAATATAACACTTTATAAATTTTTGATACATATATTCAACGGTCCTGATATCTGACATCAATTTATGTTTATAAGAAAAATCACAAGTGAAAGTTATGGAGAGTACTTACCTGTTCTATGATAAATATTCTATAGTGAAATTCTTGCTTCTTCAAGAATGGATGCATATAACGCAAAAATATCCCAAGATGCCGACTTCTGTCACGATATGGAATAATAATCGCCACCTATAATTCAACAAACTTAATTTTATACCAGCCCAGACAAAAACCTTTCTCAACAAGAGTTATTTTTTATAAAAAATGTGCGTATGGCATTGCACTTCAGTAAAAAATACAAAGTAAAAAAAACACATCACAAACCTTTTTATCTGCTTGACATGTGCAATTCCTGGGATGATACCAACCACCTTTTTTAACAAATGTTAGGTTTCTCGCCAATTCTTCCATATTTACCAGAGAAAAATCCATGTCAAACAAACCACCTTAACATGAAATTAATAGTTTAAATGAGATCAATTATATGATACCCAAGCACATAGATGCAAACAGCTAATATGCATACACTAAATTTGACAAGTCAGTTAGACAGTCATTAAACAGTGCAATCATGATTTGAAATTTGCTCACCTAACTTTTTTCATAAAAGGCAAGAATCTATTTATGCATATATAGGAGCGTATCCATATATGGCCTGCACATACCTGGAATGGATTTCTAGCAGGCTTTTAAACTTTAACCTAACTGAGCAGTTGTCTAGCTATATGCTTTAGACATAACAGAGAAAATGATTTCATTATTCTCATGGAATGAACAAAGAACTGCGATCGTGTCAATTAAGACTTTAACACCTAAGCTGAGATATATTCTTCTGTTTACATATTTCATCATTAAATCAATGCTAATTAATACCTATTGATCGTAGTTTTAATTCGTAGTAATTTCTTTGCCGTACGTACACGTACAATAGAAAGCAAAAACACGGCCAAGGAAAACCATAAGTGAAAAGATTCCAGATTCGTTGTATCCGCCACATGCTCTATTGTTTTCATAATTTCTTCGAATCAAAGTTTTGGAATGAACGACTATAGTCCATCCGCCACGACTCCGCGTGAGGCAAATATGAAGGCATATGAAGGCATGCGAATCTTGTGAGAAACAAAAGAAATATTCCAAGCAAGATAAATTTAACGATAGCAAGATTATTCCTTATAGTGTGAGAAAAATGATGCAAAAGTAACAATTCGTGACTAAGTTTGAAACAAGACCAGGAAAATGACCATGAATTACAACGCGAAAAAATCACAAGGAACAAATGAATCAAAGAATACGATAATAATCAGATTTACATATTTATAGTATTGATTGCATTTATGATATGCAGTTTAGCAAAAATTGCTATATTACATAAGTTATCTTTACACTGAAAATATTAAAATTTGCATTTATAGCATTTAGTAACAGAAACAATGACGTCATTTGACGTGACCACACTGTTCCGTCGGCAATATTAGTTTCTTTGAAAGTCCAGAAAGCCATTCAAAAATTGGAAGGAGAAAAGTCTCTCGCGTATATTTCATGAGATATAGACTTGAACTGTGCCACCAAAATGCAAAAAAAGCTATCAGAATGGCAGTCAAAATTAAACGCTTCCTAAAAAAATTTCAAACATCATTAAATTTGAACAGTTACATAAATCGCATATTAAATACAGTCCAATGAATGTTTCCGTCTATACTTTGCATTGAATAAAACAATTTTTCTAAATAGGAATAAATTCTCTCACACTCTTTTTTATTGTCGCAAAAAAAGATTATGATTATTAAATATATAGGAAGATAATCAACTCATAAAGCTAACGAACTAACATATCTCTCGGTACATTCAGTTACACAAGCTCAACGAAACAAACTTCAATCTAGAACAGCGTAGGTTTAATGTCATTGCTAATAAATTATAGTATAATCTTCAACAATAAAGCACTGACCTTGTCTTAGTCAGTGATGAAACACTGCCAAAAATTGAAGTAGAAATACTAAATAAAAACGTGATGACGTAGAGAACGACATTAAGAAATTTGGTAAGGACTGCTTTCGCTCGAGTATTCTGCTCAAAGTACCCATCGACATTCACACCTTGCTGCTGTTGATGGATGTTCTCTATTTTTAACATCTAAAAAAACATCTTTCAAATGTAGACAAAATTTATGGGGAACGAGTCGATATAGAAATTATTATCGTGTGATTTGATGTGAATACCGGAGGTTTTCAATATAAATACTAGAGCCCAACAAATAATTTTGAACATAGTCATAAACAATTTAGTTTTATGAAATTTATTAACATAGTGACGTAAGGAACTTCCTTATTAGTCTGAAGATATCTTGAGTCAAGACGAAACGTCACTGGAGGTTTTGTAAATATTGTCTAATGATATCATCAATGTTAAACTGCTAGCAACGAACAAAGTGCTAGAGTATCAGGAGGAGTAGAGAGGAACAATATGCTAGAGTATCAAAAGGAGTAAAGAGAGGAACAATGTGCTAAAGTATCAGAAGGAATAGAGAAGAACATTATGCTAGAGTATCAGAAGGAGTAGAGAGGAACAAAGTGCTAGAGTATCAGGAGGAGTAGAGAGGAGCAATATGCTAGAGTATCAAAAGGAGTAAAGAGGAACAATGTGCTAAAGTATCGGGAGGAATAGAGAGGAGCATTACGCTAGATTATCAGGAGGAGTAAACAGGAACAAAGCGTCATACCCGAGCCTCGTATGTGTCAAATAATTCATCTATTTCAGCGACTCTTTCCATAAGACGATAATCTACTGTAGCAATACTTTCATCGTTTCGCTGAAGCTCATCACGTAATTGTCCAATCTATGAAATAAACTCAATATGAATCACTAATGCTTATACCCGCAACACTCTCTTATCAAATCAAATCGTTCTCACTTCACGTTGATGTAATTCAGAGAAGTCATTCCAATGACCAAGTAGTGTGTTGAACTGGATCTCAAGTTCCTGTAAATATGATTACTGGTGTTAAAGATAATCTCTTATGGAAGATATCTTGTCGGTTTATAAATACCTGCATTTTGTATCGTTCTTCCTGTAGAGATGTTGCGATAGCGTTGATGTTAACCTAAACGAGTAGAATCGTCAAGAAATGTTGCATGTATTTCATATACTTATACACATAAAATGTAAGTACTATACCACAGCTTTATCGACGGTTTCTTTAAGAGAAGCATGAGAATCCATTACATCCTTCAGCTTAGCCTCGAAAATATTGTCAACGCTTGATTCACTGTAGCCCGGACTCGATGGCGCAACACTGAAAAACGTGAATAAAGCAATGAAAAGACTTGACATTAAATGGAAAATAGAGTGCACGAAAGGAGTAAAGTCAAACATCCTAACCACTCAACTAATATACTGTCAGCTTCTTAGAAAGAACAAAAAAAGAGATTTTTACTGAACGTAAGCAAAAATAAAAATACAAAAGCAAACAAAACCTATAACCTATTTATTTTTACTAATCTTTTCCTTCATAGTTAAGTAAAGTGTCACAACAAGGAGGAAACCATTACCTTATCTGGGTGGAAAATATGCTGGTATTATCTTCTTCCGAGACTAAATGTTTTGGACTAAACAACAGAACGACAACAGTATTTCTAGAGCTCATAAATTATAAATACATCAGAAATTATGGAGATCAAAGAATAATCAATGCAGATTCCTCTTGACCAGGGATAACTATTGTAGAAACGACAAAACTAAGGTTCCGAGCACAGTGTAATGTATAAAACAACCGTCTTTTTGACTAGCAATTTATTTCAACCTTAAACATTGTTTATATATTTGAAGATACGTTATAAACTAAATTAATAATCGAAATAACAAAGATTCTCGGAAATCCCCACAGGAAAGTTTAAAATATGATACGTGATGTACGACTAATGTGAATTGTCGCTACCTCATCACAATAATAAAAAATTTCTTTAAAACTTTACTTTAAAACCTCGACTGAATTACCTCAATGTAAACATGAGATTGAACATCTATACCTACCTTGGAGTTTGATTTTTTCGTACGTCATATCCTGAGGTATCCACACCATTCCTATCGAGATCCTGACATTCCGAATCACTTTCTTAAATGCATTTAAATATAACTGTGAGCAAAATGCAAACTTCTTTTTTAAATCCACGGAAATTATCACAATTGTATTTATTTAAGATAGCCACGTGAATAAAGTTTTCTCTCCCCCCCCCCCTCCCCCTTTAGATGTTTATCAGGTGGTCAACAGCCAGTCTATACTGTAAAGCTTTGTAAAGCTTTATGATAAATCACAGTAAACTGTAAATGCAATTTTACGTTTTTGTTTGAATATCGTTTAAGAATTATGAAAAATCTTACTTGATGTGGTTGCAACATCTGTTATATTTTCGTTACTTTTGTAGAGTTTTGATACAGCCCTAAGACATAAGTCACGGCTTTCACGCATTCCGTACATTGTCTTATTCGTTGCATTTGATATAAAATAAGAGATGACATACATATAAGCCCTACCCGGAGATTCCCTTTACGCCATCACGAACACCTCTGAAAGAGAATGAAAAGAATATTAAAAGTATGGCTTATAACAGTATCAATATTTGATATATTTCATTTTCATGAGACGAGGACAATCTGTAATAAATCATTTTACTTTATATCTTTCTATATCCTTGTATTGTAATCAAAATGGTAAAAACGAAACCATTAGATGAACACTTGAATTGATCTCCTTGTCCTTCACGACATTATAAATAAGACACAAATCTAATTTAATATCTTATTCTTAAACGTCAAAGAATACGAAAATGAAAACGAAACAGTCCCATGAAGCTTTCTTTATCGCATTTTGAAAAGCTTGCATTCAACAACGAACAGCTTTTCAAATAGACAATAACTAATAAACAATCAAAACATTCTTAAAAATTACAATGGAGTTAGGTATTATATCATCAATTCAACATAGAAATTGTACGAGACACTACAGATACAAAACACTAGCTTTCTCATCAAAATTATGAATATGTGATGAACAAGAGGACTTTCTGCCATGAAATTTTTCAGTAACTTTATACTTCATTAAAAGGCAACTTACAACCAAAACTTCGAGTTATCCCTTTGTGATGGCATTGAACAAATACGTTTCTGCAACCGAGGTCGGTCTGCCTTCGTTCTACGTTCGCTAGAACTTTGCCGAGCACTCGCATACGCAGGGGGAGCGCTTAGTTGTTTAGACAACATGTCTAAAGATCACTTCCCATAATTTACTTTAAAATAATTCAAGCCAATGCAAACGTATTTATTCGTTCAAAGCTCAAAACAAGTTTCAACACTATGAACATGCGTCGTAAATTATTTAAGACCCATCGAGTTCATGTGTATGTAAAAATGCAAATGATGAAAGAATGAAGATATCAATGTTCAATAGCCAATCCCATATCAATAAGAGACATAAAAAATACATGAAACAGATGTTGTTTTTGGAGAGAAAATTCACGAGTGTCTAAGATGATGTCAGACAACAAAACTTTATGAAAGTAAAATGAAATATCTTTTAGAAAGAAACGTTGATCCACAAGCAAGAATACTTAATGTAATCTTTTAAATGAATTATTGATGCAAAGTAGAAGAGCTTACCCTGAAATTTCTTTAACACTTGTCTTCACCCCTCTAAAAACGAAAATTAAATTGAATTTTTCTAATTAAATTTTAAATTAATTTTTTCTCACTTCGCTGCATGACAAAACGTCTTTCACAAATTATTTCTTATTGATAAAACACGTAGCAACGGAAGAAAATCTAAACAAGCCTAGTATTTGTTTCTTTTACTTGATTGTCACAACATATTCTAAAATATTTTTCTTAAAGATGCAGAAAGAAACATTTCTTGAAACATAAATATTGAACTAAAATAAAGCAATACCTAAGCATTTCTTTAGCACTGTGATTTTTCGTTCGTTGTTCACGGCTATCTAAATCCTATAACAAAATAAGAAAAGTATTTGCGTTGTTTTGACTTTATTTATTTTTCACTTCTTCATACACGTAATACTTTTCAATAGCTGGTGCACATGTGTCACTAATCTCTAATAATTTACATCAATATCAAAAACATTATCAATTTAATATTTCAACCTGTAGAACTATGGGTATGGCAAATGATGATAAAAATTATATTTTTAGTGTCTTGAATTTTTATTTCATGTAAATTTTGACATGGCTGGTATGAACAACACACTTTAAAGATTCACAAGCAAAAATTCTAATTTGCATTTTTCTTTGTGTCTAAACGCCGGCTCTAGGCGTCAGCAGTGGTAATTTTGATCAACCATTTTTATTTGAGGTGTTTTAATCGTTTTTGCCCAAACTGAACACAAAAATACCAATGGAAAGATCTTATGCCGACGTAAACGAAAGTGAAAGAATTTCTCAAATTCATTGAATACTGAACAAGTTACAGGCTGTTACAGATGGATTTACTTTTTAATGCAAGGTGTATGTTGGCGTACAAATATTTTATTAAAAATATGAACTTACTTGAATAGCTCTCGGGAAGAAAAAAGACTGGGAACAAGGTTATCTTTTCTCCTTTGTTTTGTGCAGTGTATTGTTCATGCAAGATAAATACATATTTAGACAAACTATACCTTCAAATTCTTCGAATATTTCTCTAATTTCTTCTGAAAGTGAGCTATGTCGGCGTTGGATTTAAGGTTTTGTTTTTCAAAAGCCTTCTTAGTCAATTCCACATTTGCAGACTCCAAGTAGACTTCCACATTCTCTAAAATTCAAATAACAAAGAAATTATGTTTACATTTATAAAATAAAGGAGCAATTCACAATCGAGCAACTAAATACAGCACCAAGTTTAAAACTTTCTATGTCGGTTTTTCAACAATTACGTAGTATCATTGTACGTTCATTCATCGTTAAAGAAAATATATCAGCTGTTTGTGCTCTTTTAGCGCTACTTCATACAAAATTTCCAAGCGCATATCTCCGTACAGCAGGAACGTCAGACTGACAGTTTGGATACGTAACTCGTGTTATGTAAATAAACTGATGTTCACTCACTTTAATAAACATATACAGAAATGTATATGCTAATGAACTGAAATTTACAAATGATAGCACAATCAAACTTGCAGGCTGACTACGTCATTGGTTTGAAAATTGGTGTTTCTCATAACGAAGTATTTATCTATTTCATAAATCGGTGAAATTTGAAGACTGGGTTAGCCAATAGTTTGAACAATGTTGTTCTTTAGATGGAAATATTCATAGCTTGAAACTTACCATCCTTAGTGTTTTGAAGTTTCATAATTTTCCTTTGGGTTTTTGCTATTTTTTGTCTCAACTTTTCACGCTCTTCAACTAAACGCTGAAAGAAGGAAATCACAGATGAAAAACTGTTTTCTCCACACTACAGTGAAACCAGATAAAAACCTGCGTATTGTCTACACCATCGACAACATCCAAATGATCAACAGCCTAAAGTGTAGCATTAAAGTCAAGCATTAATTTATATTATGTAGATTTTTCTCAAACAATACTGGTCAATGTTTGCCCTGACTAAAATTTAAACTGAATGGATATCATTACCAATTCTTCAGCACTTTCTTCTGATGTATGAGATAAATGTGAACTATGTAGTTTTCCATCAGTATCCCCAAGCAATGCAACATGGGGAAATGACAAATTTTCTTTTCCATTTGATGAGTTTTTATTACGACTGAGAATGTTGTCAAAAGAATGACTTCGATTCCTTTGAATTGCTCTAATTACAGAAACAAAAAATAACAAAAGTATTTTCCCTGTTAATGAAACATGGAATGCAATTAAGAAGTTAAACTTTAGTAATGATTACACTTGTAGACTTATGTACTAAAATAAATATCCTTAAACACATACACAACTACACACAATTTTTTAAATTTGTCAAAAACTCAAGTTTCAACATATAAATCAAGTATATGAAAACTCAAAAACACTAGATCATTTTTGATGAAGACAAGAGGACTGAAATTTTCAAATGTCCTTATGCACACACTAAACTGGAGTATATTTTGACTGATGCTTGAACATCAGAGATTTCGTGATCAACAAATCTACCATCTGGAAGAAAATAAAGACTTAAATTTTAAGGCAATGGAAAAACACATACGAGTCAGTTTTTGTTCCAGAAGCATCCGCTGACATTTTCTTTAATCGATTTCCACTTTTCCATTCATCCATTTCCTGTAAAAAAACCCAAGAATACAACTACATAAATAATCGAGATCAAGTACGACAAACTTAACAATTTCATCCACTTTTCATGCTATTGAAGAATAAATGCTCCAAAAAAATTTCTGATTCAAGATAACTTTGTCAATGAAGGATGTGATAAATGACCAACAGAGAATAAGAACATAGTTGCAATTGATGAACCTTATATAAATACTAAAGCCCAGTATATAATGCGCAAATCAGCCATAAATATGTATACATATATGTTTATTACAAATGAGCAACAGAGAATAAGAACATAGTTGCAATTGATGAACCTTCTATAAATACTAAAGCCCAGTATATAATGCGTAAATCAGCCATAAATATGTATACATATATGTTTATTACAAATGAGCAACAGAGAATAAGAACATAGTTGCAATTGATGAACCTTCTATAAATACTAAAGCCCAGTATATGTGTAAATCAGCCATAAATATGTATACATATATGTTTATTACAAATGAGCAACAGAGAATAAGAACATAGTTGCAATTGATGAACCTTCTATAAATACTAAAGCCCAGTATATAATGTGCAAATCAGCCATAAATATGTATACATATATGTTTATTACAAATGAGCTACTAACAATTTGTAATAAATTTTTTTTTCTCTATGGCTGTTTTATGCATTATATGCTGGGCATTGATATTTATATTTCATTTAGAATAAAAACAGCCTTTGCACTTTCTAAAATATAAACTAAGATAATGTGTGCCTATGTAGATAGTGATGAATGAACAACAGAAAATGAGAACAGTCTTCCCACTTTCTATAATATAACTTAAGATAATGTAGTGCTGATCAGCGTAGAACGAACAACAGAAAACAAGAATTAGAAAAAAATGATGCTTCTATAACAACTCACTTGATCGGTATGGTGTCCTTTTCGTTTCCAAGGCACTAATAATATTTTCCTAATTCCTGAAATACATAATGGCATTCAAAAGTACACTTAATGCATATACCCTATAATGGTGGTACCCAGATTGATATAGAGGAATTGGGCCACAATATCAACAAATCTTCCTCAACTAATAAAACATATACGTCACACAATGGAAGTAATCATTACTAAAAATGATAATAAAATAGAAGAGTTCTAAATACCTATTGACTTTCTACTTGGTTGTGGAGAGGGAGAAGGAGATTTATTCCAGTCAGATGATGCAATGGATGTAAAACTACCATAGCTTTTGCTGTCTTCCGCTTGTGTGATATCAAGACCTGAAGAAACACATATTTGTTGTCAATCTTTGGTGAATAACACTCATAACAAGAACTGGGATTCACAGGAATGCAAAAAGCGAGAGAAAACTAACATACATGTAGCGAGCTATACAGATGATAGGGTATATATATTAGTCAAACATTTTTGGTCATGTTTATATGATACATCTCTTGGCGTCTTTGAAAAACTAAGCTCTGTTGGTATATGGCATTTAAAATTACTATCAAGATACTTTTAAAATGAAACAGAATAAAAGTGCTGACTTGCAAAATTATCAAACACTTGTTATAAAATATCTCCATCTGATACTTTTGATGAAAGTTTAAATCTGCAAATAATTTCAGGCAAACATAGACCACATGTATCATTATGAAATATAAATAATATGAACTTCTATACTTGACATTTTATAACAAGTCTATATTTTGATGAAGAATAACACCACAATACAAGAAATAGCAAACTAAATTCAACTCTTCAGTTCTGATAAAACAAACAAACAAGAGTATTATACATACAGATAATAGTGTTAAGTGAAAAACATCAGGCCAATATAAAGACAATCTTTGTTTCTGCAGTGAATTTTCACATACATGGAACAAGTCCAACACGGAAATGGTATTATAATTCAATATTGCATTATTATAGAACAATGAAATTTGAGCATATTCTAATCAGATTGTTTACATTGAAAAAATAATTTGCTGACATCTATCAATTCGTCAATGTGAGCATTGCCTTGACAAACTGCGAGTTCTCTCTAGTTTAGACACGCTATTTACTTCTTTTAGTACAATATTTTGACATCAAATCAATTCGACAAAACAATAAACTCCAATCAAATCGAGCACAATAAATCATTAAAAACTTACGCTTTTAATGCAAACCCAATTGTAAATAAATCTACTAACCGTCCTTTTTCATTCTTTTTAATGAAGACATTAAATGACGACAAGAAGGAAAATTGTCACTTGCAATTTTAATCGTCTCGTTAAAAAGCTTTCAAGGCACATGTGACATTATCCAGAAATAAAATTCGTCCATCGACTTAGAACAATCACTCATCCTCTGTTAATTTAAACAATTCATGATACATGTAGAATACTATATTTTACAAAATGTCCAAAAGACGTTTCTCATGTGTGTGAACTTTCTAATCTTCGTGAATCATGTATCTTCCAAAATGGTTTGTACTACAAATCCGAGAAAGATTGGGTACGACAATTAATGTGCATAAACAAAGGTATCGTATGACGTATAACGATTCTGTCAGCGATTCCTTGTCTATTTTTTTCAATGTGCAATAAGAAAATACGAAGCGACTCGTGTGGAGTTTTTTCTACATGTTTCGACTACTTTTCAATCCACAGTTTACATTTTTCCTACCTTTATGTCTATATTTTTGTCACGTCGAATTGTATCACATCACAGGGTGCTCTCTGATCAGATATGTATTACCAATGATGCTGGCTAACTGATATATATATATATATATACATATCATCAGGCCAAAAAATCATCATATTGTACATATATTTATATATCATTAATACCAATACAAAACATAGAATTTTATGAAGGAGAAATGAGCCAGCCCCACTCCACCTTCAGTACGTACTGTATACACAGCAAAATTCTGAGATGTTAGACCTGTGAATTTAGAAATGTTCTTTTATCTTCAAGATGAATGGCTTTTTAGCAAAATAATTACTCATGAAAAAATTACCAGAAAATGTAAGCACAAAAGGGTGTATTCTATGGTATTTTAATCTTTGACACACAAACTATTTTCTCCAATGACAGACTCCTATAGCCACAGTTTGACATGTTTACTTCCCATAAGGCCATGGGAAGTAAGCATAACTACTTATAGATCCACAAAATCTCCTAGATTATTCTGAATGTGAAGATATGATTCTTTACACGTCCATAAAAAAAAACTACGACAGTATAGCAGTCAGATTTAAAAACAAACAAACCACTTGCTTGTATTTCTATAACATAGACATGGTAAAAAATTTTGCTTTCAATACTATCATACAACTGTGTTTTGAAGATTTCTCACCACACATTTTTGACTTTTTTTCAATGTTTATTTATTGTCGTTTCGTCCCTGGACAGAAAGGCCCTGCAAAACGGTAATGGTCATCCCAATGTTTTACCATATCTGCCTTTATCTGGATTGTCTACCTTTTATCACAAGTATAATGACAAAATTTTAAAAGAGCTACGACAAACTACAAAAATGAAACAACGGATTAACTACAAGTACATGTTATGTATTGAGAAATTTGCGTCAAGAAAAACTTCACACATATTATGGTAAAATATTGTTTTAACTATTTTCATTTTTCTTGATTAATATTGTTAACAGCAGATGTCATCAACATTTGGCTCGTGCTAAACTTTCGTAAGTGGAAGATATATTCTATCAATATATATACAGTCTAGATGTATTTTATCAACATATAATATTACACAACAAAACTTCATTGTATTCAGCCTTATTGACCCTTGGATATTCTACAGAACGGCATTTCGTGATTAAACATATTTTCCTTAATGTTGGTTTGGTGATACATCTTTCAGCGTCAACAACAGGAGAAAACAAAAAGACTTGTGCAGAAATTGAAAATAATTATTTTACAGTAAAATTTCTGTCAAAAAACCCTACTGAACGTCGACCTTGTGCAAACTTGAAATAGCAAAAATATATTTTCATCATAAAAACATATTTCGTAAATGGTTTGAGCCAGTGAGTATAGTTACATGTTTGTGGATGTAGATCGTCCAGGTTTGTATAGTCCTGAGAAGGAATGTTGTTGTTGATGTTGACTGACGTTTCAACAACCTTAGCGGTAGTCATCTTCAAAGTAAACATCAACACCAACAGTTCTTCTCAGGACTCTACCAACCTTGACGATCTACATCCCCGAACATGTAAAAACATATTTCCGCCAGAAACACTATTTTTCTTATACGAGCATGCATTAGATTCTAAATATCTGCATGCATTAGAGTCGAAATTTTCACTCGTTTATTTCTCAAAATCGTCATTTTTCACTGGGTTACGACAATTAAGAGCGATTCGAATCTATTATTTATAAATAAATTCAGGCTGATAATATTGTCCATAAACTTGATTTGTCGTTGGATAGTTATATTGTTGAGAACCAGGAACAGATGGCTTGTGAGGAGCATTCAGCTGCACCTGTGGAACATACTGACCTGGATTCGAGTATGTTGCATTCTAAAATTTAGACGAGAAGACTTCAGAAAGAAGTCGCATACATCACGCGGAGAAATAATCCCAGACGAACAATTTCAAAAAACTCCTAAATAGTGATCTGAAGTTGAATTTGAGGTTATTGAGTATACACTTGTCTGGGGTATGCATTAGGAGCATTGGCTCAAGTTTCAATTGTTTTTGCAAAAAGTAAACACAAATAAATATAAATAGTACTACTAAATAAGGAGCAGGCTATAGGTAGGTACGCCAGGGTTAGGAGTGATCTAAAGCTTAATATCGAGTTCTTATATAATTCAATCTTATGTTATGAAAAAATTAGGACTAAATAAAAATACGCCTTACTTCTCGAGTAACATAAACGTTTTACATTGAAATTCCACTATCAGAGTCAATAGACGAATCCATTTCAACTCACCATGCCATCTGCTACAATCTGTGTAAGTCCGGGATGTGAAGGTCCGGGGCTATAGCTCGCTGATGGGTGCCCAGTCATGTAAGATTTAAGCAAGGCGGGATTGTTCACGACTTGTTGTGTATAATGATTATTTTGTGGTATTGAAGCAACATTGGAAAACGACTGACGCACAGGAAGAGGTTCATTCGACATGCTAAATAACAACAGGTTTATCTTATTGCAACTCTCATTCTCTGTTGTTTATTCTTGAATGAAGACAATGACAACACTTAAAAAATCCTCCGGTAGTTGAATCGCTTACTTTTGATATTTGCTCATGGCCTGCAGGAAACTATCATTTAAATCCGTTAAATCATCGTGTTTTTTTTGTATCACTTGAATTTTATCAGCGATAAGTGGGGCCATCTTTCTACATGTTTCTACAAATAATGACGCAAATAGTGAGTAACTTAAAGAAAGTATAACAGATAAAAAATGCATCAAAAAAGAATTGATGACACACGCAAAGTCCCATTCCATAAATTTCTTAGCTGTTCAAAATCAAACAACTGTATGAAACAATAGAATCTGAAAGTGTTTATTTCTGGAGTAGAAAATTGAGTGTAATGAAAGTAAATAAACGGTTATTATGACTTCAAAACCAACCTTCCAATTCTATTAATGTATCCTCGTCATCGTCCTCTTCTTCAACATTAGCGTTCTTCAACATCACTAAGCATTGCTCTATTTTCTCCTAAGGCAAAAAATAAACTCGTTTTAACAAACAATTCAACCGATTAAAACCATTAATCCTGTCGAAAAAACTGAAATTGCAGGGAGTATACAAAGTTTGCGAATTTCACGAGACACTTCGTACCAAACACAAGAAAAATTGCTAATTAAGACTCAAACAAGGTTTACATGCAAATTTCAAAAAATGTAAATGTTGACTGACCATTTTACTTACTTCATTAATTGCAACTGGTTGGGTAATCGATGCAGATGCTATATAAATATCAACAATCGTAAAAAGACTCATTAAAATGTTTTGAAAAAAAGATATATTAATAAGTTATTGATGGAGTTTTGTTAAATATATAGACAGATAACCTACCATCAAATCTTTTGACTGAATCTTTTTCAGCAGAAAAGCTAACTTTTCGCTTATTTTTCATCTTTTTCTTAACTGAAATACAAACACCATGAGCTTTGTTATATAACAAGAATAACGCTTCAAAAAGTATGTACCTTGCTTTGGATCTGGTGTCATGTTAGTTGTGACGAAATTTGCTGGGAACAATCCAGATCTTCCATTGACTTCGCCTTTCCACCAGTTTGCATCACTACAAAATAAAACAGTAAAACAATGTAATGGCATTCATTCATTAAGTTTGAACAGCTTTTTGAAAGGTGAGTTCTCACAAATAACATACATGGTAATTCTTTATTAAACAAAAACTTGAGATATAGTCTTTACAGTCTGAAGCTGCACAATCTATGATGATCTCTATAGTCTGAAGCTAAACTATCAATGATTATCTTTACGGTCTGAAGCTGCACAATGTATGATGATCACTATAGTCCGAAGCTAAACTATTTATGATGGTCTTTACGGTCTGAAGCTGCACAATCTATGATGATCTCTATAGTCCGAAGCTAAACTATTTATGATGGTCTTTACAGTCTGAAGCAGCACAATCCATGATGATCTTTATAGTGTGAAGCTAAACAATCCATGATGATCTTTACAGTCTGAAGCTGTAATCTATGACTATCTTGCAAGTTTACATTAAACGTTTACCTGTTATCTGTGACTATAATAACATCGCCACTTTTGAAGCTTACTTCGTTATCCTCTTCTGCATTAAATTCATACAATGCTCGCACTTTTTGCACAGGCTGAAATAAATGACATGAGCAACTTTTGTTTCCGTAAACATTCTCTATAGTCAAGTCGAACAAACCATTGAATTAGTCGATTGAGAAGCAGCTTGAACTGATGGATATAAACTTGGAGTTTTTGACTGAAATAAAAATTTAAAGCTCACAATCTGGTCATACTGGAGTTATAGACATTATTATACTGGAGTTATAGACATTGCTATACTGGAGTTATAGACATTGTTATACTGGAGTTATAGACATTGTTATACTGGAGTTATAGACATTATCATACTGGAGTTATAGACATTGTTATACTGGAGTTATAGACATTGTTATACTGGAGTTATAGACATTGTTATACTGGAGTTATAGACATTATCATACTGGAGTTATAGACATTGTTATACTGGAGTTATAGACATTTTTATACTGGAGTTATAGACATTATCATACTGGAGTTATAGACATTGTTATACTGGAGTTATAGACATTTTATACTGGAGTTATAGACATTATCATACTGGAGTTATAGACATTGCTATACTGGAGTTATAGACATTACTATACTGGAGTTATAGACATTGTTATACGGAGTTATAGACATTGTTATACTGGAGTTATAGACATTGTTATACTGGAGTTATAGACATTGTTATACTGGAGTTATAGACATTGTTATACTGGAGTTATAGACATTGTCATACTGGAGTTATAGACATTGTTATACTGGAGTTATAGACATTGTTATACTGGAGTTATAGACATTGTCATACTGGAGTTATAGACATTGTTATACTGGAGTTATAGACATTGTTATACTGGAGTTACAGACATTGTTATACTGGAGTTATAGACATTATCATACTGGAGTTATAGACATTGTCATACTGGAGTTATAGACATTGTTATACTGGAGTTATAGACATTGTTATACTGGAGTTATAGACATTGACATACTGGAGTTATAGACATTGTCATACTGGAGTTATAGACATTGTTATACTGGAGTTATAGACATTATCATACTGGAGTTATAGACATTGTTATACTGGAGTTATAGACATTATCAAATACAATACAATAATTCATACGTAAAATATTCATTACTACAGAAGCATCAACAACTTTGGGAAGTAAAACTTAAATACAACACAATTGACACTTCATAAAAAGTACATATTTTATATTCTAAGTGTCAATTGCTATCTATAATAGTATTTTGCCATCAAAAAATTCAAAGTATGTAGAACAAAATTTACCTGACTTGAGTTGGCTTCATTCAAAGACATTTGAATGGCTGAAACAATAAACATGAAAAACAAATGATACTTAGAATCAACTTAAATAAAAAACACTAAAAAATTTTGTGGAAGCTAAGGATGTTAAAAACATAAATAAAAATAATTTTTAAACCCACCACCATTCAAACAATTCATGGATAAAAAATGAAAGTTTAAATGTTGCCACCAGCTCTAACCCAAACCTTAATAATCCTAAAACTAATCCCAGCTCTAAACCTAAAGATAACTCACTACACCAAGTTAAAGATGACGTAGAAATAAAGACACGTACCTAAAGCTAAGTCATGCTCTTCTGCTGATGTGGCAGTTTCCTTTGCTGGCAGGGATGATAAAGTAATGTTGGCAGCTAGATTTTGAGGAAATTCCTCTTTCTCTCTTTTCAATTCTTCATATAATGTTGGAATCAAACTATAAAAATAATCGATCCATGCAGAAGTGTAAAACAATTTTGATGCAAACAATTTTAATTATCTTTTGACAAAGCAAAATACCTTAACTGTGGGTCATTCTTGAACATTTTTACCCATTCCTTAATCATGCCTTTCAATTTCAATGCTGCCAATCGGTGGATCTAAAAAAACATCAACATTTACTATTATGGATAAATTATGATAAATATGATTTGGCAAAGTACATAATTAGAAATATAATTGCTCTAGTTGCATAAAAAATACATTTGCAGCTCCAATTACAACAAAACATGACAACTCTAGTTGCATAAAAAATACATTTGCAGCTCCAATTACAAGAAAACATGACAATTATGGATAAATTATGATAAATTTGATTTGGCAAAGAACATAATTAGAAATATAATTGCTCTAGTTGCATAAAAAATACATTTGCAGCTCCAATTACAACAAAACATGACAATTGTTTGCAAGCAAATAAAAACATTTGAAACAATCAAGGTTTGATTATTTTGAGTAAGATGTGCTGATTATAAGTTCATTGTCGATTACAATACAGTTTATTTAATCTACAAATGATAGTCTTCTACTTGATGAATCAACATAGTTGAATGTGCAGAGAAAATAAATTCAAAATAAACACAAATTCTACCTTTCTCAGGAGATTTCTCACTTCGCCAACAAAGTCTCTTGAACATACTTCAATATAAAACTGTTTTCCACAGTTGTTGACACAAGCATCAAGAAGCTATGAAACGAGAATTAAAGGTTTGAAAATGGCTACAATTCATTGAATGAATGCCAGGATGATAAACCACAAGCTCTCATTTTCACCTTTACATGTATTATATAAATTATACCATGAATACATCAACATAATGCAATAAGTAAAACCCTGAAATAATAATTTTTTCCCAATACTAAATGCAGTTTTTAAAATATTTTTATACTCTAAAAGCAATTGAAATGGTGGTCAAATTCATAACAATGACCATAAGAAGAAAATTCAAAATAATTGCTTCAATTTCAAATGGTTATAGAACCAACAGCTAACCGTAAGTGCTTGTAAAGACACTTTTGGATTATGATTGTCAACTCTTTTCAAAATGGAATTCAAACCATCTTTAGGCCTAGAGAATACAAACATAAGACAGGGCCATTAATCTTCGTCATCATGACACAGGAAATATAATTTCGTCATTTTGACATAAGACAGTTTTTACTTCACATAAATTCACAAAACAAGATTTTCACGCACACATATAAAAAGACACACACATTAATTTTTTTCCCCGGTAGAAGTTTTAAAGAAAGAATTTAGACATAAAATTGAAAATGTATTTGAGAGTAAACGTAATGTATTTGAGATTATATTAAAATGAAGATGTTTTTATTTTTACCCAGAGGAAGAACGTGAGACTCTGTCGCATACATTCATTATTTCTCCCCAATTCTCAGTAACATTCCTTTCCGAAGTTGCTTTTTCTACGAACAAGACAATTAGTAACACAGACGATAAAAAAAGGTAAGAAATATGAATCAGGTTACAAATATATGAACACAATATTGTATCAGGTATTAAACAACTCACCGACAATTTCGTCTAACGGCGAACTCTTTGAATAGAAAGGCATAGTATATAAACAAGAAAGTTTCTTCTTTCTCTTTCTCTACGCTCTATTTTTTCTTCAACAAGCCGCAAAATGTAAATGTCCTAGTATTATTCAAAAAGTAAAGCACAATTACATAAACACACACTGCTCATCACTAATTTACAATTTACATGCGCACTCATAGTTTCGAAAGAGCCCGCTGTACCATCTGAGCACGCGTTCTATGATGTCATACTAATCAATGATAGGAAATACAATTGTGTTGTCACCACTTGTCTTGGCACTTGGCACCACAAACACCGGTTCTGGCTAAAGGGTCTTGCCTGGAAAACAGATGAGCAGAACTGTTTAAATTTTTGCCAGAAACATGACTTAGTGGGATGCCTATGAAAAATAATTTAACGTCTACAGTATAGACGTTGTAATTACAATTTTTATCTCATATCAATAAAATCAAATTCAACGGAGCAAAAAAGAGAGCGTATTTATTATTGTTAAAACAATTACGGTAGTTTATACGGAAAATAATTTAAAACAAATGTACACTTTGGAAACTTCTACATTTTGGTGATGTAAAAAGAACAATTTCAGTCGTTTAAAAGAAATCGTTATCATCACCAGGAGCGTCAAGATCACGATATTGCAAGATTGGTCGAGAGTCATGCCTTGGTCCTCCACCAAAACTCCCCCTGTGTAAAATAAAAAGGCTGAGATGACGAGGAAATGAATACAATGGGATAATCATGGATATTATGGAACAAACAGATGAGAAAACGTGGTATGGAGAGTGAAAAGTTGATGGAGGAGTAGTGGGAATACATTTTGTCGTAATTTACAAAATAACTGGATATGGTTGTTGAAACGCATCTACGATTTTGACACATCCGTAAAACATTTTCGACGTTCGAATTTTCACTTACGAAATTATAATTTTCATAAAACTCGAAACTGACAGAAAATAGTTGATTCGTGAAAATCCTACCAAGTGAAAATCAAAAATACCTTCGTGGTCTTTGAAATCCTCCACGATTGTAATTATTAAAGTTATTACCATAATTATTATAGCCACCTCGATTACCTTAAAGAAAAAAAGTAAATGATAAGTACAGCAAATAATGAACATCAATAGCAAAGTAAATGATCAATAAAATCAAATACCATAGTGCATGTTTCCACCGCGACCCCAACCCCCTTGGTTGTTGTGCATACCAAGTTGTTGAGGAGTGTGATAACCTTGCTGCACGTGAGTGTTGACTGAAGAAGATTTTACTTCACCTTCACATGGTCGCTTTGGATCGTAGACAAAATTATTGAAGAAGTTAACCTAAGAAGATGCAACATGTGCCAATGAACGATAGGAAGATTGATGTCTCTGAACATTTGTAACACAAACACAAATGTAATAGTGTTCATGAGTTGCAGAGCAGATGTTTTTGTAGCACAGAATTTATTAAAAATCAAGTTTAAGGCGTGGGAAAAACCACAACTTGAGCCGACTGTGCAATGCATGACGGTAGTTACTTTATCTGAACCTAACTGAAGTGGATCAATATGTTTGTTATAAGGGAACACATGTGATACCTTTCTGGTGTCTTTCAATGAGCGAACGACTGTTTACTTACCTCTGTTTTGACATCGTCGACCTTTTCACCATGTTTATTAAAGATATGTTTACGAACAAACTCGGGTCCACGAAACTTCTTTCCACTTAGGGGACACAACCATTTATCTTGACCTATCTCCTGTGTGTTTGCTTCAACAAACTTCTCCACTTCCATGAACAGTAGTTAAAAAAAAACATCGCGTTGGATTTACTATATTGAAGTCGTGCAAATTATAAGCAAGATTTTATTTTCTTTGGACAATCCTCTCTCTTCCCTCTGCCTTTATAATATCAAACTAATCCCACTCACTCAAACTACCTACAATCCCTTAAATTACCTACCATCCCTTAAATTACCTACAATCCCTTAAACTACCTACAATCCCTCAAACTATTTACACTCCGACTAATCAAAGCCCATTTTCATCAGTACTACCCAAATAGCGACTTCTCCCTTCATGTTGTATACAAAGGATATTTTTCCTGATCTTTCTTCCCCAACAGTAGAGCTTCGGAATCTGGCATCTTTTCTTTCTTTTGCAAGTGCAGTTCGAGTTTCTGGTGCAGATTTTTGTGCCAATCGGTGACTGAAATGCAGATTATAGAACTGTTCTCGTTTTCTGTCGTTCAATCACTACCTACACTTAGTTAATATTTTAAATGATCTAAACTGTTATCGCTCATGTTATTGTTGCTAAGTCATCACACACACATACACACATATAATAAAATGAAAGATTTTCACATAATACCTTCTTCATAGTTAACTTTATCAGGCAAGGGACTTCGAATGTGAATAATGCCACACCTATTTGGCATATCATCCTCATACAGATACTCAGCTCCACTGTAGTAATCCATAGAATGCACAATCCTCAGGTACAACACGAGTCTATCAAGGAGCTTCACCAGGCTCTCGTCAATCTCAGGTGGAGGATGTTGTGAGCCTTCAAGACCGGGAACTTTCTCACCCTCTGATGTTTCATACACAACTGTTTCATCCTGCTTGCCAGCAGTAATACTTTCAGAGATAGCAGCCACTTTCTCAGAGATTTTTGAAGGTAGCGACTCCAGAACAGGATTGCTATGAGGCATGTTGATTTTAGTAACAACTTTAGACAATTTTTTCTCACTTTCTTCCGTATTCTCTTCTTTTTTTTCTTGAGGCACTTCGCCTGAAACCTATGAAAACAAAAAAAAGCTTTCAAAACCACGACAGAGCCTACCTGAGTGCAAGAAGACCAGGCAAAATTCTCTGTGTTCACATAGTTCCAGAAAAGATCAATGTCTTTTGATCCAATATTACTACAAAATGATCTCAGCTAAAAGAACTACATTCATGCAAGGCAGCTTGCTCTATCATTTTCAAACTGTTTTTTTCCTAGAAATCAAGCAATAACCTTACCTCTTCAGTTTTCGTTGTTTCAGGTTTATCCTCGCCTTTTTCATCCGTTTTCTCAACCTCCATTTCTTTGATTTCTTCTTTCTCCTCCTGTTTCCATACCTCGTATTTCTCATCAAGGGCTAAAATCAACCTCGTTGCCATGGTAATATCACTTTCAACCCAGCCCTTTAGGACAGCAGATCCAGAAACAGTTCGCACCCGTTTTGCTAGCTCTCTGTTCACCAACGCATGAAGTTCAACGTCTTTTACCTAAAACACATAACACAAAGAACATATGAATACACTTTGTGTGGCAATTTGTATTTAGCTTAACAAGCGCATTTCATAACGATATGAAGATCATACACATTCATTAACACGGATTAGGTTAAAGGTTTGGATTAAAATGACTAACCTTAATATTATTCAAGGACCAGCATATATCTTTGATGTTCACATTGGGTTTAAACGTGATCCAGCCGCGACGAAAGAATCTTTAGAAACGACAGAAAGTACAAACAGAGTATTTAAACTCTTTGCTGATGTTAAGAATTTCCCAATTATATTTATAAACTGAAATCGTTTATACAAAAATAATACAAACAAATCATGGCCATCATTGATGTATTCTGAATTCATCAATTTGGAATTGCAACCGTTACGATATAGCATCATAGGTGGATTTATTTGGAGTAAGATTATAATGCTCATCACGTGATTTTAGCATTCATCACCCAAGCGATGTTATTTCTAACTGTGTATGCAAGACGATTGAGAAACCACAGAATTCATTTGGTTGTTATTTGTATTACTACGTAGTCAATGCGAATAGACCTGTTGCACATTTTTAATGTCATGGGGCTATATTACAATTCTAATATTCAGGCAAATCATTGTACATTTAAAATAAACAAATAAAATTGAGTTAACTTCCTCAATTCGCTTAAAAAAAGAGATACGAAGCAATCATTGCAAAGCACAAATCAATATTCCTTACTTCTTATCTGGCGCAGGATCAGACAAGACAACTCTCATGTAGCCATCATATCGGGCACAAGCCTGGCAAAGAAAATGAACAAATATTTAATAAAGTATATGATAGAGTGAAGAAAGTCATTATCTCTGCGTTCCTTTACTCCTTCTCCTCTCTTCAATTCAATACTTTTTTCCTCACTCTCTTTACTGTTACATCATACACCATCTCTTTAACTATACACCTTATCCTCTCTCCAACTCCAGTGTGTCGCTTTCCGCACCTTCGCATCATACACACTTTCTCTAACTAAACCCTTCTATCCTAATTTCATTGTCCTTGAATTCTGCTACAAAAGTAAAACTTTACCGAATCGATGTCATTATGGAAAATCTTGGGTGATACATTTCGTACAAACAGAGACACGGTCAAATGAAGAGCACGTGGTGTGGTAATTTCATGTTCTTCTTTAGATTCGCCGTTATCACTTTCACCATCACCATCCTGTTCATCTTTTTTTTCCTCGTTTCCCTCACATGTTTCTCTATTGTAAAGATAAATATCCAAGGTTCACACAGTTGTCTAAAATTTCCACCACTTGCTTCTTATAACATAGCAAAATAGAAATTCTTTTGTGAAGCCAGAATTCATTTCCTTACGTCTTATCAACTTTTTCTTCAAGATGAGAAGCCTTCGTTTCTTCCATGCAATTTTCCTTGATAATAAAGAAACACACACGCATAATAAAACTTTTTTCGAAACTCAAAAAAAACTTATTTAAGAATTTGAATGGTATGTGAATCGTCATGAAACAGTAAAACAAAACAAACGTTAGAACTAGACAACCCATGTAAAGAAATTTCAAACCAAGAAGGCCGCAGCGAAGATATATATGTTCTACATGTCTTTAGAAGCATGGCAAGCCTCTAGATATAGTCCCGCTATGATAATTTCATGATACTATCATTACGTAATGTATTTCTTTTTTTATTTAGAAATCTTTAGTGAAATAAGCATAGAAGTATTTGCATACCAGGCCTAAATACACGGGCCAGCTACGTGATCGCACACTGTCTATAAAATATCACGTTTCAAAATTAATACCTCAGATTTTAAATTTCCCTCTTCATTCCGCGTTTCATCATTTGTTGCTGCAACAGAATTCTCTTCTGTCTTATCTGCAACCTCCTCTGTACTCACTTCAGCAGTAGATGGTTTCTCAGTTCCTTCAGGGACTTTTTCGACATTGTCTAGATTGTTGGAATCCTTGTTTGTTCCAACGGGATCTGTCTCCGTATCTGATTCGCTTTCGCTTTCTTCGTTTTCATCATCATCAAAATTATCTCTGTTTCGGCGTTTTCTTTTACGAGTCTATAAACGAGAAAGATTTTACACTAAGTAGTAATGATATAATGGCAGTATCACTTCTTGCAAACATTAAATAACTTTGCAAACTCTCCTGCTTAGAGTTGTCTATTTTCATTGTATTGGGAAGTTATTTTTTACATGGAGTCCATGAGTGAGAAGGGAAAAGATGGCGGTATACATTACAGATTGACAAAGAAGATTATATTTTAGAAAACCTTGCCCTCTTCTGGTTGTACATCATCATTCTTGGTCGCATCTGCCTTGATCAAATCATCTGTATTTTCCTGGCGTACCTCCCCGTCTGTGGTAGGCGCCACAGTGTCAGGTAAAGGCGTAGATGAAGAAGAAGGGGGGGTGGTAGTTGGTTTTTGAGAGACCACAGTCTGACCGTCCTTCACAGCAATCTGTTTTTCTTTGGCACTTTTTTCTTTAAGCCTTGCTTCTTCTCGTTCTTTGTAGTTCTCATCCAACACTTGAAGGTCAAAGTCTGTTCCTCCTTCAAACTTTATGACAGCTAAACAAAATCAAAAATTTCATTTCGAATGACTACAAAAACTGCCATGATTACAAAAACAACGATTGTCGACTATGACAACTCAATTATTGGCCTGACAACCAATGTTGACTAAAAGCCAACAGCAAATGAAACAGTGGTTAGCAGGAATATCAATGTGAGAGTAAAACATTTTTTACTTGTTTCGTATTTCACCAAACAAAAATAAAAAAGGGTCTAAGGAGACCTGCGTCAAGAAGTTTTGTGATTTCCTCTCCTTGTTCAGCAGTCAATGTATAACGATCAACCCAACCCAACTGAAGAAGATCAACAAATACTGAGGCACGTTTGCGAACACTACTGTTAACTTTCTTCTTATAGAGATCAGCTTCAACTGGATGGTATTTATTACGAAACCTAAAAAAATCAATTCAAGTGTGAGAGCTTTGGAAGATAAACGAGTTTCTTCTACAAAGGTGTCGTATATAAAGGTGTAAACACGACATATAGCATAATATAATGACTACACAAGTTTCTCTCGTTACTCTGTTTGGTCACGTGATACCAAGGGAGTTTCTTTCGTTACTCTGTTTGGTCACGTGATACCAAGGGAGTTTCTCGTTACTCTGTTTGGTCACGTGTTACCAAGGGAGTTTCTCTCGTTACTCTGTTTGGTCACGTGATACCAAGAGAGTTTCTCTTGTTCTGTTTGGTCACGTGATACAAAAGGCGTTTCTCTCGTTACCCTGTTTGGTCACGTGAGTTAGTTGAGATCAATACAGTATACTGGTGTGACCAAAAAATACAATATACATTGCACAGTGTTTACTAACTATATCATACTGGTGTGACTTACTGATTATGACCAAAACACACTATTAACTTGTCTTCTCCAGGAAAAATTTGCATCGATCATGCGTTAACAATTGACTATGTCGGACTTATCACTGCCAGACAATGACCGAATTTATATAGTAACTTTTAAATAATTTCAATAAACATTGCCTTTGGTTGTATGGCAATTTGATGTAGAACGCTTTTCTATTGAATATAAAATATTAGGGATTTTCCCCTCATGCACGGTGATGATATAAGGAAAGAACATGAAGCAGCAATCTTGATGGCGACAAAACCAATCTGGGAAAGCTAAAATACGACAGCAATAAGAGTAAAGATAATAAATACTCATGTATTGTGGCACAACAATGAACTTAAATGGTGAATGCATGAGTATTGTGGTACAACAATGAACTAAAATGGTGAATGCATGAGTATTGTGATACAACAATGAACTAAAATGGTGAATGCATGAGTATTGTGGTACAACAATGAACTAAAATGGTGAATGCATGAGTAATGTGGTACAACAATGAACTTAAATGGTGAATGCATGAGTATTGTGATACAACAATGAACTAAAATGGTGAATGCATGAGTATTGTGGTACAACAATGAACTAAAATGGTGAATGCATGAGCATTGTGGCACAACAATGAACTAAAATGGTGAATGCATGAGTACTGTGGTACAACAATGAACTTAAATGGTGAATGCATGAGTATTGTGGTACAACAATGAAGAGGAACATGAACACAAAACAACTCCATTTTCCAGCTAAATTCATAAACTCTTTTTAAAGCATGAATGTGATGGAAGTGAATAAACATATATGAAAATGCTGAAACCATTAAATTCAAAGTTGTTTACAATACTCTATTTTCTGAGCTCAAATGTCAAAAGCCAGTGTTACAAAATGAAACACCCAATGCTCAGAAAAAAAACCTCATATACATACCATTCCTCATCTTTGTGATTGGTAAAAAATTCTGCAATCTGTGTTTTACGAAAATCTAACTTATACTCTTGATATTTACGGACAGCTTCCATCTCTTCAATGTCATCAGATTGTGAGTTGAGAAAATGTTTAAATGTCATCATGACAGGACCTGTGTTGGCTTCTGCCTGTCTGAAAACATACAAAATTAAAATAATTCAGATTATATCAAACAAAAAATTTCACATCATTAGTCATTGATGTGTGGAAATACTTAATAAATAAACCCATAAGAAATTAATGCGATTTCTAAATTCACTAAAAAATTTAGTAATGATTAATCACAAGCCAGTCAGAACATGGATTTCTCATGGCTCCATCCAATATATTGTGGTTTTAGTGTACTTTGGATGCACCTCATTTATGTTTAAGTTTATATGTGACACACATTTATTGCAATTTTGTCATCATTGCTTAACTCAGATTTAGTTCAAATGAGAACACAAGTATAGGCAATGCAATAAAAGAACCCCAGCATACTATACTTCTACAGACTTATCAAAGCACTGAAAATATGTATGGACCTAAAACAATTTATCCTAAGAGATCATAGTTAATCATTTATGAAAAACATTTAAGACAATACTGAATCTTGGGGACAAATATGCAACAAAGCACGTAGAAAATAATTTTTCACACATAAGAAATAGCATACTGTTGGTTGTTAAATGAGGGTTGCTGGTTATCCATAGGTGTTCCCCAATGTCCACCACCTGACTGGCTATATCCACCAAAATCACCACCTTGCTGTTGATTATATCCCTGATTATCCCTAAAAGAAGACAAATGAATGCCAATTACATGGAAGATATACTGTATGCTCTTGCTTTCAATTTTGCGATGACATTGACCTCTTTCAAATTAAACTGACCAAATTAAATCATATTAAATCACATTCAACACCTACCAATCTCGTCGTTGTCGTTTCATTGGGGGTCCACCCCCTTCATGATGTCTTCCCCCACCACCACCACCATAGTTATCCCTATTCCTTCTCGGATTATTGTCCCACTGCTGTTGTCTTCCTCGACGATTATCTTGCCACGAGTCATCTCGTCTATTGCTAACACCACCGGACCTGCTATTGTCTCGTCTGCCATCGTTTCTTTCTTGATAATCGCTTCTTTCACGACGAAATTTGTCCCTACCGCGTTGACGGCGTTCGTGTTCGTCATCACTATCCTGTCTATCCATTGTGCGGTTTTTAGCAATGAAATAAACGATTTCTTTGCAAAATTTTACTGCAGAACATCCAGTGTGGAAGTGTGGAAGAAAAAACTTCGAACTTTCTCTTAATCCCACAATCCCTTACGATTCCAGTTAACCATGCCGTGCTTCCACCCATCATATTTCATATTCCATCACATAAGTTTGGATCATATGGTTTGAGTAATTTCAAATATTTTCGTCATAAACTCTCTTTATTTTATTCAATACCCAATAGGAATACGCACACTTACTTCATATTCAATACTCAATATTCTAGCCCTACATTAAATTGTTCCAATAACTGATCTAGTTGAAAAATTCACTTATGCTTCCATACAGTAAAATTTCAATTTTAATACAACAAGAGAGTGGAAAAAAACCAGACATGGCTTTGACGAGTAGGGTAGTACAATAGCACCTAATTTGCTCTTGAAAAATACTAAAATAGTAGTCAATATTGATAAAAGTGAGAATGCTACGCATTGTTCCTTGGTCGAGCCGCGACGAATGGCTAACTACATACAATGATCTCTACAATTTTGAGAACATTGATCAACAAATTGAAGGATTGAATCGTGTAGAAGCTTGGAAAAGTCGGAGTGGAAGCAAACTACCTTTGGCTGTCGAATCGACAGCTAGTCTTATTGCAGCTGGAGTTGAGGATGTCAGGTCTGTTGTTAATGCAAATGTCATTCGTCATACCATGGCAATGGCTCTAGTGCGGTTTGTTAGTGGGATTGTCGATATGGAGCAAAAGCATGCTTATGCAAGGTCTATGCAGTCAATAGCTGATGATATCGGACTTCCTGATTGGTTGGTTGACTTAAGGCATGAAGCAATCCATGCAAGTTTGCCTTCTATGCAGGTGGTAAGGGCCGGATGTAGGTTTGCCTTGGAGTGGCTAAAAGAGCATTACTGGGATTCACAGATAAAAGAATTTGCAGATAGGGATAAAGCATTGACCCTTTTGCTTCAAGATTATGCAAAATGCTTTGATGATGCGAAGAAAAAGAAAAACTTTGGAATAAAATCCAAAATGAAAATAATCATTCATGAAATTCAAGACCTTGTGAGCAAATTTAACATGTGGTAAGAAAATGTGGTAAAAGTAAACATTTCAGCTTACTAAATGAATGTAAACTTTTTGCCAGGCATTTTTTGTTCAGGGGAGAGAAATGTCCACAAGATTCAACATGTGAACAATTAATTGCATGCTTGACCATGTGACTACTTTTTACATCTATTTCATCAATTAAATTTATATATTTTTCAGGCAAAGATTTGTTGACCTATCATTTGGGGAAAAATGGTTGCTTCTACCCTCATATGACATCTTAAGAGAGAGATTTCCTTTAAAAACCATTTGAATTGCCAAAAGAAACAGCAACGTTCTTGTCTCCACTTTTCAAAAGCTTGCAATTGGCAAACAGTCATTTTATAACAATGCTTGTTAGGTTTTTTAAAACAAATGGGAACATGTGAAGAAAGTTCCAAAAGTGATGAAAAACTTTGTTTGTACACCAGCATTATAATTTTCATTCTTAAACAATGTAATGGTAAAAATAATCTTTTCATAAACAAAAGATATTTCATCAGTCTATTAGAAACATGTTTGAAAAATCCTTCAAAACATACAAAGGATATTTTACCATTGATCATAGAAAACTTAAAAATAGAAAAGGAAACGAAGGAGAAACTTTTCAAGTTGGCAGACCTCCATGTAACTATGACAACCAGAAAAATATGTATGAAATGATGGAAGACAAAGATTATGATGTTTTGAACAAATGCTATCCAGAGATAATGAATAAAATACAAGCAAATGTGATTAATTTGAAAGATAGTGGATCTCATTGGAAAACATGTTCATCAAATTTCACGCACAACTACACCTTTGGGACATTCATTGGTGTTGAGTCAGGTAGAAGTGATGAAAACGAGAAAATTAGGAAATATAATGAAACACAAGTTAATGAAGTTTTGGAGAATGAATTACACATGGAGAAGACAATATTGTTCTCACCTGATAATGAAAACAATGATCTGGACACAGAAAATCACGGAGAAAGCGACTTTATGTGTCTGGACATTGTAAATGGTAAAGATTTGACTTCAGAGATGATTGAAGATATCAGTAAAAACATCTGGATACTTTGATATCAAAATTTTCAAAATGCAAATTAGTGTTTATGGCACAAGTTACTATCTACTTATTATCTACAGTTATGCATATACGTACATATATAAAATACCTGTTATTGAAGACAGTAAAATAAGATCAAAGATATATTACAGCTTCGTCTTCGTTTTCCGTAGTTTCTAGTTCTGGAAAAAAAAGATTAAATGAGAGATGGCTGGTCATTCATCACTACCTACACTGACACATGTGATGTTAGTTTATATTTTAGGTAGTGTAAAGACTGTTCTTGTTCTCTGTTGTTCATTCATCACAACCTACATTGACACACGTTATCTTAGTTTATATTTTAGATAGTGTAAAGACTGTTCTCATTCTCTGTTGTTCATTCATCACCACCTACACTGACATACGTTGTCTAAGTTTATATTTTTAAAAGTGTGAAGACTGCTCTCGTTCTCTGTTGTTCATTCATCACTACCTACACTTACACACGTTATGTTATGCAGGGTAAAGGCTTTATCACTATATATATCATCAACCACTTGCAATCTTACCAATGTTATTAGCAAGAGCCCACACTTCAGGATCTTGCGTGATATTTGTATTTAAAGGTGGTTGAAATAACGCTATCGATTGGTTAGAATTGACCACATCAACCACGTTCAACGCGTTCACTGTCTGCCTCTCTTCAATTACTCCATTTGTCTGCGTGATTTCGTTCGAAGTACTGTAAACTTCAGATTGATTGGATAAAGAGTTACCATATGCTCCACTGAAATAAGAAGCTCTCGTAATTTTGAACGTTTCTTCCTCAAATGATAGAGCTTCGTCATCCTCAACACCGGAAGAACTGTCTGTTTCTATGTGAATAAAATCAATAAATCATCATGTGAAATCATCATGTATCAAAATGAGAGATGTCATTCTAGTAAAATCAGCTCTTATTGATCCAGAGTCACCACAGGAAGAAACCTAACTATTCACATGATTTACAGATAAAATTTTAATTTTTACAACTGATCCATTAAAAACCATCTCTCTTTTTGTTTACTAGTGTTATTTCAGAAATCTATACGAAAGCAACTTTATTTTTACTGGCTCTCTCTATCAGTTGCACATTGCTCTACACAAAGATCAGTGAAGATCATCTTTTATGGATTCAGTGTGCAAACTCTTATTAAGAAGCTACAACAGTAAACTAACTACGTAAATAACTTCATTATTAACAAACAGTTTCACACAAAAAATCAATTTTTAAACATGAGTTAACTACAAGAGAAAACTTGCGAATTCAGTGCTTACCAGTAGCGCTGGTTTGTAATTCATTATCTATTTCCAAAGCTTTGTTCTTGGCATTTTCTGCGAGAGAAATCAACCCAGAATCCAAAGCAGCGAAATGAATATCCTACAAAAACAATACTCTATAAGTTCGTTACTGCTGAATGTTGCTTCGAGACATGTTTAATGCTGTGTATGAAAATGTCAATTGTGAACATCCGTAAATGAATATAATTAAATTACAGGCTATCGGTTGAACGAAATCAAAATCATCGGCTATCGGATAATTATCTCGGAAATTACCGCCAATCGGATATTTATGATCAAAATTATCCGATATCCGATAATTATAATCAAGAGTGCTAATAGAAATGACCTCACGGTTGTTTTCTGTTTCTTTCCCAGGCCCCCAATGATATCAAAATGTAATTATGAATAATTCAAACAAACCATAAACAAGTCAACTGCTCCAATATCTACAGCAAGCATGAAGGCTTTCTGAAATCTTTTATATCTACAAGAAAGGATTACATAGTTCATATAATGAACATTCTACTGTGTTTAGGAATATCGTTAAAATCCTCTACCGTAATAAGTGATAAAAAAATTTTCGCGACCATCTGCTCAACGGATCACGATACTGAAGAACAATGACGTCATTTATTGGTCTTGAAGGAGCGTAGAAACATCCTAACGTTTCCTCTAGCAAGCCTGCGTTGAAATGAAAAATGAATGTTGATCATTTCTAATTCATACTGGGCAGCATTATTATTTGTATACGTTCGTTTTGGAGATCAAGTTGATTCATTGTTTTTGATTCTTTGTTACCATTAAAAAAAATCATCACACCTTCTCTTTCTCCAGTGAGAGGAAATTTTAATAAATAATTCATGACGGCAGACAGGCAAACGAAACAGTTATTCCCATCAGCATTCCAGTTTATACTGTTCACAAAATTTACAGCCTCCTCTGCCTGATTGTGCTTGATATATTCTTCAATCATTTCTTGCGGACCAAGACGACCGCGTCTCGCGGAGCCTAAGTCGAGTTTCAAGTTACACAACAAACTTCTAAATTAAGAAGAATCTGGTCTTAGCGTAATTCTGATTGACAAGGAAATTTGGAATAAAACTTCTTACTTGTCTTGAAAAACCATAAAAAGATTATCGCAGCACGCTATTTCGGTCTCAGTCTCCACGGGAGAATCCGAGGACCATGCCACGTGACATAAATTAACATCTCTGAAAAAGAAGCTAAACTAAGAGAACAAATAAAATTTAACGCCATTTTCCTAAAACCTCCATCTTCTCCTAGGGCCACCAGAATAATTCAGTGAGAATCTCCTCATAAAAAAATAATAGCGACAGACGCAGTAAATCTTTCACTTACACGAAAATGTCGCCAATGTGTAGGATTTCAGATCCCCCAGGATCTTCTCGCGCAAGCTGAAGAAAGATTGGGGCCAATGCCATATCAAACACCTTCATTGAAAGAAAACCAATCAAACGTTGGCTATTCAAACAATAGTTCTGTTTATTGTCGTGCAGATTTTACAAATCGAGGAGTATCTATGATTAGAATACGGATCCAAACCGCTTTATACAGCAATGTGTAAACAGCAGCGAGATTTTCGAAAGTATTTAGTAAGTGTTTTACTCACCGCTTTATACAGCAATGTGTAAACAGCAGCGAGATTTTCGAAAGTCTCACCGCTTTATACAGCAATGTGTAAACAGCAGCGAGATTTTCGAAAGTATTTAGTAAGTGTTTTACTCACCGCTTTATACAGCAATGTGTAAACAGCAGCGAGATTTTCCTCACCGCTTTATACAGCAATGTGTAAACAGCAGCGAGTATTTACTCACCGCTTTATACAGCAATGTGTAAACAGCAGCGCGATTTTCGAAAGTATTTAGTAAGTGTTTTACTCACTTGAATGTCACCGTTTTGACTTAGGATGAAAACAACAGTGCCAGAAGGATGCCATGATAAGGTACGAGGAACCTACAGAAGTAATTTATGAGCTGATTTAAAATGAATAACAAAAAAGTAAACATGAACAAAGACAAAGGAGAAAAATTTTGGAAGATTCATTTAAAACGTACAAAAGTTATTTTAGTCGTTTGCGTGAGCAGCCTGTGGCAATCGTACATGATCTAAAATGAAACAAAAACAAGACGTTGCGAAGAAAATTCAATACTTTTTTATCAAACAGCATCATAAACCAATGATTCATCCAAATGTTTCACAACTAAAACTGTGTCACGCGCGTTGCCAATTTTTTCCAATGAGAAACCTTCGTCACTACAACTATTTGAAAAGTTCACAGGTGCTCAAATATAGTTATTCGACAGTTGAATTTCATAAAGGACTAGGTTAAACTTTAGTTTTTTTCAATTATTTATACGTTTAAAAGTATGAACTATCAAGTAACAAAACATTTACCAAATTTTTATCTTTACATCCAAGGAGCAATTTATCTTCAGAATGGTTCCATGAAACACATGAAACGGGGGCTAAACACAACAAAACCTTACTTGACAATCTATTTCGCGAATAAAAAGTTTACTAAACTTTACCTTTTAGAGGAATAGAAATCGCGTTTAATTTCCTCACCTAAAATATTTGAGGAATATCACATCAGGAAAAAGAAAGAAAGAAGATATAGATAAGTCTATATGTGATATAGATAAGTCTATATGTGATCATTGACAAGCTAGCTACGTACGTATACATACAGCATTTCTGTGAAACTTGTAAACACAACTGTCAATGCTGTGATCGTTGTCGTTTTTTGGCGTTGATTCAATCGTAAGAATATGATGAGGATTTTGAACGCTGGATATAAAGTAGAAAAAACAGTTTTCACCTTTGAAAATCGCATTAATAAAAAAGACAACGTGAGTCCGTGTACCTGAATGATGTGTAAATAGGATCACAATCTGTCCGTAGATAAGCAAGTACATCAAACTTGCCTCTAAAATAAATCAGGAATACAAATATTATTTTATCAGTGAATTATATCTGTAGGTTCTCATTAAGTCATCGTGACTGATGGTAACAAATTTGTGGATGAAGATCGTCCAGGTTAGTAGAGTCCTGAGAAGGACTGTTGTTGTTGATGTAGACTGACGTTTCGACAACCTTAACGGTAGTCATCTTCAGAGTGAAGTCTTAGTAATTGATGGTACTTTTTATTGTGTACGGTGTGTACCAATATGTCCCAGCGCAGTTGTATATTTTTGATTGCGATCAGTCACATTTGTTTCAATCATTCAAAATACCCTTTTACGTCAATCACAATCAAGTTGGCTCTTGCCCGATCACCAGCTACAGGAGACCAAGGCCATGCTTCCTCACTTGCTAATGACCACGATACAGAAACCTAAATGAATTGAAAAAGCACAACGTCTTTTGAGCAATGGCTTCCTGTTATTCACACATTAACGTGTGGGACAAATTTAGAACAAGAAACCCTGACTATACTGGGCATTGAGAACCATCTTTCAGCCCTATGTCCACGTCACGAGTGTTATTTACGTACCATGTCACGAGTGTTATTTACGTACCATGTCACGAGTGTTATTTACGTACCATGTCAAGAGTGGTATTTACGTACCATGTCACGAGTGGTATTTACGTACCATGTCACGAGTGTTATTTACGTACCATGTCACGAGTGTTATTTACGTACCATGTCACGAGTGGTATTTACGTACCATGTCACGAGTGGTATTTACGTACCATGTCACGAGAGGAATTCAAACTCAAATATCGATGAAGACGTCGACCTGCTTGCCCAGGTAGATCAATCCATGTGATTTTAGGATCCAGTGCAGCAAGTTTCTCAAGTCGCCTGTAATCTCCTGGTAACTTGCGAGCAAAGTTTATACAAGCGATTTTAAGCTTGTCGTAAAAAGACAACACCATAAAGTCATCAGACCACAGACCTTAAAGATAAAAGTTATGAAAATAAGATGAAACACTCAACAAACAAGGAAACTTATTTCCTTTGATTGACAAAAATTTAGCAAATGATGCAAGTAATTGATAGAACATAGAAATAGTACCAGCATTTATACGGTCACTTATTCTTCCGCATAATGACTTATCAATGAATATTTTTTCAACATCACCAAAGTTCTTAGCAACAAAGAATGATATCATTGTACAATTGCTCATTAGAACCTGAAATCAAACAAGTAATCATAAGATATTTGGCTAATTATACAGTATCTTATAATAATAAAAAACTTATGAATAGTTTATTGAACAAAAAAATTTAGGTTGAATAATTTTCAGCTTAAAAATGCTGATTCATCAAAAGTTTAACTAACTTGCAGAAATTGAGCACTGTTCCATTTTACATTGACAACTTCATACGATTCAATTAGCTCCTGCAAAATGATCAAGAACTGTTGAATTAATATTATGTATACTATAACTGCCTCATAATTTGATTTAAAACCTTAATTTCTATGATACTATCTTTAAGTCTTTCCGGCCTCTTGTTTTTAACAATCCAAGTAACATCACGACCTGTATAAAGTAAAAGTGAACAAAGCTAAGTAGGAACTTTACATGAGAGAAAAAGTATTGACAAGAAAACTCTTTTCAAGCAGTAGAACTGAAGAACGTACTTTCATCCCATCTTTGTCGACCAAACATATAGATATCATCCTTCAAAACTAAAATTACCATGGAACATACAATACAACATAAGTTCACAGCTCTAGATCAATTTGTATACTGTTTAAGACTCCCCTCCAAAGGACTACTGATATTTTTTTAAAAAAGACTATTATTGTCAATTTTTGATACCATGGTAGCTTATCTACCACCACAACCAAACAGACCAAAAATTTATACAGTTCTAGCAATCAATGCTCACCTGATGTCTTATCATGATACACATGGACCCCAATATCATCTATAATATAATTAATTAAAATTAAATTAATCAATATCTTGCTCATCATTATAGTAAACTTTTAAAACTTCTAAAAAAGCACAATTATAACGTGAAATCTTAGTTACATTACCATAATTTTTATCATCTTTTTTGAACATCCAAGCATGTAAATGTGCCCATAACGTAGCCATAAAATTTCTTTAAAACACTAGTTTCTTTTGGGACATAAAATGTCAACCACATACGAGATAATGGTCATGACTGGCAAACAAACAATAAATAATCGCATTTCGATTAAGCTTTTGCAGAGATGTAAGAGTTACACTACCTTTTCGCAAAGACAGCAATGGATTATTGATAAAAGAAAGAAAAATTATAAGTAAAATAATTGCTTAGATACAGCCAAAATAATACAATAGTGAATCTACGGAAAAATTAATACCCCTCCCCCCTGAATTTAATTACCATCATACTGCCATCCTCGGTTTCTCACTTTAGTAGTTGTTCCATTTTTTTACTCAACTATTAGTAATCATTTGAAAACATGTCAGTTTGTGAAGAAAAGGTAGAAAGTGAGGCTAATTTCAAACGTCAATTGAGGCATTGCCTTGAAACGTTGAAAAATGCCTCTTCAGACAACGAAAAATTTGCTGGATTATTGGTGTTTACTCATCTGATAAAGACAAATGCTGATGTTAATGTGGATGAAAACGAACTTATGCAGTCCATTGATATGCATTTTTTGGTTCGTCTTCTGAACAGCACCAACGTTCCTCAAGGATGTCCAGAGTTTGTGTACAAGTCATTGGCTCTTAATATCCTGAGTAGTTTCTCACAATATAATGTCCTATCTCATTCTGCACTGCTATCAAACTTAGGAAGAATTCTAGATGTATTTACGAAAAACCAGGCTGACAACCACCAGATGTTAAAAGATGCTATTTCCATAATTTTGATATTTTCCAGAAATGTTGAAGGCTCCAAGAATTTGCTTAAATCAAAATGTATCCCCATCATTTGCAAAAGAATCATGGAAAGCCCTGAAACAGAAAATCTTTTTGAAATTATCAAGGGAGTTCTTCTTCATTGCCCTCAATTGTCATGGGATGAAAACCAAACTGAATTCTTGGAATATCTGACATTTCTATCAACAGAGTTCTCAATGAATCAGAACTTGTTAAAGTTTGAATCATGCAAGAAGATTCTTGTATTACTGTCAAGTCTTGATGCAATACAAGAAGAAACTGCTGCAAGATATGTTGATTCATTTTCTTTCAAATCAAAGACAGAAATAAGGGATGGAATTAGTGATATTCTTAAGTCAAGATGTAAAGTCAAATTCAAGTATATTGCAGTGCAACTGGCAAGAGTTATGGTGGAATTATTTGGTTTGGAATGGACCATACCATATGTCAATGAAAGTCTTTTAGTAAATCTGACAGATGCCAAGTTTCTGCTTGTAGTGTTGGCCATCACTAGCACAGAGATTCATATAATCTTTGAAAACAACCAATTGAATTCTGAACCTGATTTTGTGATTTCATGTTATATAATTATTGAGAAGATGATTGAATTTCTAATTAGCGATAACAAACAAAGCTGGTCATTTAGTGATGAAGTTATCAGGTCTATTCATTCAATGCTAACTTCTGTATTTGACTATCTCATTCAATTTCTCATTGGCCTGGATTCTCAAAACCCTGAGGACAACACTCCCCAGACACCCATTCTCATGGCAACAATAAGAGTGCTATGCATGTGGCTATCAGAGGAAACAAGCACTCTTGGTGAGAGGATAGCTGAAGTTCTACCAATCTTGATAAAGTGGGCAAAGTATGACCAAGTTTACTCAAGTAAGCTATTACTAAGTATCCCTCATTTTTATTCTGCACATTATTGAAGTCAGCACTATTTAATGATATATTTATCTATTTACAGGCAAGGACAACTTACAGGAGACAGAAAAGTTATCAAATGAAATTCTTTTGTATCTTCTTCCTCCATTATGTCATTTTTCCGCCGAAGAGAACTTTTCCGTGATTTTGATTAATGAAGATTGTCCACTTTTGCTGGGGAAACTGTTCATAAACCTTTGGCAAAAAAACAACTGGAAAAAGAAAAATATCCAAACCACTTGATCACGCTTTGTAACATCTTCATGAATTGGTCAGTTTTGGAAGTGGAAATGGTCAAACAAGGCAAAATATTTGGAGAAATATTAATGTGTATTCAAACTGCACTTCCACAGTTAATCAACTTAGTTTCTATTGAGTTAACAGCACATTTCATCCTACTTGGTTTGTTTCTGTTTAGACATCGACATACACTTTCCAAGTTATCTGATACAGAAAAGCATTTTATCACAAGTTGTATAAATGGTCTAAAATGTTTCAAGCACAAGCAACATCCAATGATATAAATGCTCATGCATTATGGAAGACCATTTCGGAACTTTGGTTTTTGTCCATCCAAAATATTCTTGCCTGTGCCAAGACAATTGAACCAGTGAAAACATTGATAATCATTTCGCTCTGGCCCAAAGACATTGAAGTATGGTTGGATAGTTGTGATGCAAACAATAGTGATGTATTTAAAGAATTAAGGTCTGCATTGTTACCAATAGCTCAGTTAAAGTAAGAAGTCATTGATATTAACATGAACAAGATAAAAGTAATGGAAAAAATGTTTGTGTTGATATATGCTGGATGTGTAAATGAGTTATAAATAACAATGTTCATTAAATGACGAATCCTTAAACAAAGTGAACAGTTTAATAAATAATAGTCTAAGATTCATTCATCATCGTTATATCCAATGTTTTTCTTCCTGGTGAAAAAACCAGTATTTTTCACCACAATCTTTTCCCATGAGGAGTAAACTGAAGAAGCCATTTCTTTTTAACTAATATTGTGAATGACATTCGTAATGAATGGACAACAGTATTTGGTATAATGGTCCTACAAATAAAGACAACGTTCTCTGTCAATACTGCAATACTGTTCTCGTTCTCTTTTGTTCATTCATCCCTACCTACACTGACACATGTTATCTTAGTTTATATTTTAGTGTAACCACTTTCTCCTTCTCTGTTGTTCATTCATCCCTACCTACACTGACACACGTTATCTTAGTTTATATTTTAGATAGTGTTAAGACTGTTCTCGTTCTCTGTTATTCATTCATCCCTACTTACACTGACACACGTTATCTTAGTTTATATTTTAGGTAGTGTAAGACTGTTCTCGTTCTCTGTTATTCATTCATCACTACCTACACTGACACACGTTATCTTAGTTTATATTTTAAATAGTGTAAAGACTGTTCTCTTCTCTGTTATTCATTCATCCCTAAACTGACACATGTTATCTTAGTTTATATTTTAGGTAGTGAAAAGACTGTTCTCATTCTCTGTTGTTCATTCATCACTACCTACACTGACACACGTTATCTTAGTTTATATTTTAGTTAGTGTAACGACTTTCTCGTTCTCTGTTGTTCATTCATCACTACCTACACTGACACATGTTATCTTAGTTTATATTTTAGGTAGTGTAAAGACTGTTCTCATTCTCTGTTGTTCATTCATCACTACCTACACTGACACACGTTATCTTAGTTTATATTTTAGTTAGTGTAACGACTTTCTCGTTCTCTGTTGTTCATTCATCACTACCTACACTGACACACGTTATCTTAGTTTATATTTTAGGTAGTGTAAAGACTGTTCTCATTCTCTGTTATTCATTCATCACAACCTACACTGACACACGTTATCTTAGTTTATATTTTAAATAGTGTAAAGACTGTTCTCTTTCTCTGTAGTTCATTCATCACTGCCTAAACTGACACATGTTATCTTACTTTACATTTTAGGTACTGAAAAGACTGTTCTCATTCTCTGTTGTTCATTCATCACAACCTACACTGACACACGTTGTCTTAGTTTATATTTTAGTTAGTGTAACGACTTTCTCGTTCTCTGTTGTTCATTCATCACTACCTACACTGACACACGTTATCTTACTTTACATTTTAGGTACTGAAAAGACTGTTCTCATTCTCTGTTGTTCATTCATCACAACCTACACTGACACACGTTGTCTTAGTTTATATTTTAGGTAGTGTAAAGACTGTTCTCATTCTCTGTGGTTCATTCATCACTACCTACACTGACACATGTTATCTTACTTTACATTTTAGGTACTGAAAAGACTGTTCTCATTCTCTGTTGTTCATTCATCACAACCTACACTGACACACGTTGTCTTAGTTTATATTTTAGTTAGTGTAACGACTTTCTCGTTCTCTGTTGTTCATTCATCACTACCTACATTGACACACGTTATCTTAGTTTATATTTTAGACAGTGTAAAGACTGTTCTTATTCTCTGTTGTTCATTCATCACTACCTACACTGACATACGTTATCTTAGTTTACATTTTAGGTAGTGAAAAGAAAGTTGCCGTTCTCTCCTCGTTCATCACTACCTATACAGAGGTTATCTTATTTAGAAGGAAAAAATAAGCTCACCTGTTTCTGAATTATCTTTTCATATTTTCACGTTGTTTCAGCCAGCCTTTCCAAGTTCTATTTTTTCTTTGAGTACTTTTGAGGAATGATAGATAAATGAATCAACAAGACCAGCAACTACATCAGAAAAAGCAAAAAAAATTGCTCCATAAATATCTTTGATATTATTACAAGTCACAAATATATGTCAGATAGCCTTAGCCAGCAGCTAGCTTGGGAAAAAAATTCTGCCATTGTGTTGGAAGCTATGGTATTTCCTACCGGTAAAGACTCCACCGATAATCGCACAAACTCCAGTAAGAAAATGCATAAACGATCTAAAACAAAAAAGTAGAAGGCTCAACATTAACAATTGGCAATTACTCACAAAAATTTGCAAAAAACTCAACTAAATGCAACCAAATGCAACAACTTTTTCAGTTGCTCTTTGCATGACACAGCTTTGACTAATCGTATTATCATTTGTACACAATTGAGCCTATAACTGTCAAAGATGCTGACCACATGAATACAGTTTACAACGACGATTGTAACTCGACCTTCTTTTTTCGGTATATTGAACCATCATTGGTGAAAACTCGTACAACACAAAAACCCCTGAAATTACAAGACAAAATACGTATATGATCCAACATTCGTATATATAGCACAAGTTTATATGAACATTTAAGTAAAGCAATATATTGCACTGTTTTAAAACGCTATGACACGATGTACATGTCAAAAGGCAACAAGGCAATAATATAGCTTTGTTACATAAAGTATTCATAATAGAATGCTCTATAGGCAGAGCGATAGGAGTCTGAAGAATAAATTTTAAAATTTGCCTGGTAACATTGCACAAAATGACGTCACAATTCCCAAAATAATGACGTCCGCCGTTTGCACGCAACACATCACTAAATTTAAATTATACCTGGAACTCCATTAGCTCCAGAAACCGGTTTGATGATTCGACGATGTTTTGTGACGCTGAACTGGTTTGTGTGTACAACCTATACAATTGTAAACAGAAAATCATACAACATATGGCCTTAGATATTTTCTCAAAACTTTCCATTGTTTTCTTAGGTAGGGTTAGTGTTCCTTGTCTACTAACGGAAAGCGTGATACTGTGTCAAATATGGTTTTTAACGCTGATTGTCGAATGATAAAAATATTTCAAAAAAAATCTATCAAGAAATCTTTCCAAAAACGATTGATGATTTATGATTCAAATACTTCACATTATCGTAAAATTTCAAATCAAAGTTTGTTCAAATCAAAGTACAATAATTTTCACTCCAGTGACGATAACTTTATGAAATCCAGGGAATGTTTATCTGTAATTTTAACAAACGCCTGAAATTCATTCATATCTTACCTGACCACTCAATTTTCTATACACAGTGGGAACAATCTTCACGAAATATTGGTACATAATACCAACTACAAATATAATAAAAATACATGAGAATACATATAAGATCAAGTCAAGCTCGACGGCAGTGAGAGTTTTCAGGTGGACGAATTTATTATTATGCTTAGGTTATTAACTTTGAAAAGTTATCTAACTTGTTGTATGTAAACTGAATGAATAAGTGTATATGTAGAACTCAACAAGGAGACGTATGGCTATGGATATGCAAGGAGACGTATGGTTATGGATGTGCAAGGAGACGTATGGTTATGGATGTGCAAGGAGACGTATGGCTATGGATGTGCAAGGAGACGTATGGCTATGGATGTGCAAGGAGACGTATGGTTATGGATGTGCAAGGAGACGTATGGCTATGGATGTGCAGGAGACGTATGGCTATGGATGTGCAAGGAGACGTATGGTTATGGATGTGCAAGGAGACGTATGGCTATGGATGTGCAAGGAGACGTATGGCTATGGATGTGCAAGGAGACGTATGGTTATGGATGTGCAAGGAGACGTATGGCTATGGATGTGCAAGGAGACGTATGGCTATGGATGTGCAAGGAGATATGGTTATGGATGTGCAAGGAGACGTATGGTTATGGATGTGCAAGGAGACGTATGGCTATGGATGTGCAAGGAGACGTATGGCTATGGATGTGCAAGGAGACGTATGGTTATGGATGTGCAAGGAGACGTATGGTTATGGATGTGCAAGGAGACGTATGGCTATGGATGTGCAAGGAGACGTATGGCTATGGATGTGCAAGGAGATGTATGGCTATGGATGTGCAAGGAGACGTATGGCTATGGATGTGCAAGGAGACGTATGGCTATGGATGTGAGAATATCTGATGAACCGCAAACCTCTGCATCTAGCCCTGGCCTTACAAAGTTCGTAAGTCCTTTTTCAAGTGCTTCTACATAACAGTGCTTGTTTATGGAGCGGAGCTAATACATTAATACTGGACTATATTACACAGCAATGTGTGAACATTACACTATTAAATGTATAGTTTAAATATTAAGCACTAAATATTTAGGTACGCTTATATGCGGCTGGGATTTTCTGTGGAATGTGTTGAGTGTCCCAATCGCAGTGGATTTATTCAGGGGGGAGGGCACATACACGGAAGAGAGGCTTATAGGCAGATGTTTAAGGCATGGATAGTATCCATATATTAACAACGGATTTCTGTAAATGTACCTTGATCTGATAAAACCAAATTATCGTCCAAAGGATTATTAATACCAGGATATTTTTCACCAAATGATAAATGCTTTATATGATGAGTTAGATTGAACTGCAGAAAAAAAACAAAAATGCCCATGACCGTGTATCTTCGCGGTTGTGTTTTAATGAACAACTAAGGTTTCTCTCCGTGTGCTAATGTTATGAAGGCTGGAACAAAAAATCAGGAAGAGGAGAGATTCATAGCTTAACACTGAGTTCGTCATCTCGTAAATCTTAATTAAAGCAAATGCAGGCTACCTGCTGACCAGCAAACGGCTGAAGATCATGCACTAAAAACAAAGAAAATATCTTTAGTGTATGTATACAATTACGTTGCTAGGTAACTTCAACGGTAAAGTCCGTTGCTAGGTAACTTCAAATGGTAAAGTCCTTTCACAACAAGATTTTTTACGAACATGGTAATTCGTCAAACAGTGAAACTTTACTTTACATAATAATTTATATCGAAGATTTAAATAAATCAGTATCCATTGCAGGGTGTTTAAGTGTTGAATGTTAAAAACGATGATTTAAATTTTATTCATGTTTAGTTGAGAATGCACTTACTATTGATCGAGATTATATTGGATTTTTTAAGCTTTAACATTGTGACTAAAAAATTAACATAGAATTACCATTGATAACGTGTAAGTTATTGACCTTTGATGGGTTTTTTTATTTAAAGTTTATTTCTAAATTAGATCACGTACTTTTAAAACTTCATGTTAGAAAAAACTTTTTAGAAAGGCTTTTCTGGTGGACAACACCATGTTAGTAGAAATTAGTTTCAGCTTTGTTTATCATTAGTTAAAATTACAGCTTGTGTTCTGTCGGCCCCTCCCCGCTGTCTTGACAACCCCATGTGTACACTGGTGTACACACTGAGATACAATAAAGCACATCAAGTCAGAATACATAATTAATTCACACTCTCTCTTTATCAATACCGTGGACATGTTGATGCTGAAAGCTTTTTCCGGGAGCAAAGTGGAAGTTCCCAGCAACCTACAAAAAATAGATACGCGATTACGTACATGTGGGTATCGTGGCCTTTGAAAGTTCTGGCCATAAGTAGATTTATAACACAATAGTTTAAATAATATCATAATATCAAAAACAAAAAATGTGTTTTATGCTCTCTGTTTAATGAAATGACGCAGTAATTGTCCAACTCTTTATGCATTCACCAAACGCCCTTACATCGTCGCAATTTCGTCGAATGCTCTAAACGGCATTCTTCGTCATCGTTCGTACATTCTTCGTCATCGTTCGTACATTCGACTACCACCGAAGTTTACAACTGACAGACTGACACTTTTTCAGTGTAAACACGTTAAAGTATAGAAAAAGATTTTACATTTTCTTTAGGCAAAACATAATTATCCATTAACCTTTGTCACTTCTAGATAACCATGCACTTCACAACCTTCGTTCTTTTGTGATTCAAATTTTTCTTTCCAACCTTCACGAGTGCACTAGTAATAAAAGGGCAACTAATAGAACAAAACACGTTGGGGAGGGTATCCGCATGGTCTATTAGTAAAGACAAAGAGTTGTAAAATGATAAAAATGAATAAATATGTAGCAATACTCTACGTTGCTCGACCTAAATGGAAAAATCCTATACTGTGTTTTGTACATGATTGAGCGATCTTAGTTGATTATTTTAGTTAAACAATCTGAACACAACAGACAAAAACATTCCCATCATACATACTATTAATGTTATGGATACAAGATATAAATAAGCAGTAAGCTGATACCTGAGCAATAGCGTCGGTATTTTTTAACGCCCATCCTTTTTTGCGATATGCATTTTGTACTTCAGCGCAAGTGTTACAACACCTACAGAAGAGTGATATAAATGAGGACACAGGAAGATGGGATAACTGGGGATAACTGGGGATGACACAAACATCGTACTGCACTGTCGTCCTATGCAAAACTCACGGCTGTTCTATAGTTTCTGCTCCGTAACAGCTTTCACATCTGTCTTTCTCAAGCTAAAATAATAAATAAAGCTATTTTGGAACAGAATTCGCCAAAAAGCAAGCGTTGTTTTATGCATGACACCATGAAACCTCAAATTGTTTTTTCGTTTCATCACTTTTGTCTCCCAAACCTGAAAGTAATGGACGCTTATAGTTGTTTATAATAACTGTTTTTAGTTTATATTAATGATTTTCTCAAGTGCTTAAAAAATACAGATTGTGATATGTTTGCCCATGATACTGAAGTAGGTTCTGCAGATACAGATTTAAATTCAATAGCGGAAAATTTAAGCATTGATTTGGCCAATACTTCCTATTGGATGGCAGCCAATAAATTAAGTTTGAATAAGAGCAAAACTCAGTAAATGATAATTGGTTCTAATCGGAAATTAAAGATATTTAACTCTATTTTCCTTATATACAAATGAAAACACTCCAAATTAAGCGAGTTACTACTTTTAAATTACTGGGTGTAAGCTGGATGAAACTCTGTCTTGACATTCTCAAGTAGAACTTACTGCTAAAGAAGTAAATCGGGCTTTTTATGTTTTATAACGATTACGAGAATTAGCAGACTTGAAGACTCTACTTATTGCCTAAACAACTTTGGTCCATCCATACTTTGATTATTGTTCACAAACTTGAGGCTGCTTGAGAACTGGCCTACAAAAATAAGTTACAACGTTTTCAACAGTTATAAGACCTTCTTTTTCACCGTCGTGTTCGTCAATCGCTCTTCCGTTAGCGTCCATGCGTTTCTTGAAAATATTGTGATCAACATCAATCTTGTAAAAAAGCAGTAAACATTTTATTGATAACATAAAGTAATGTAGTCAGCATTTGTAATTATGTTGTGTTGCATGAGCAATAGTCAATTGCCTTAGCAGAATAATATTTTTAATCTCAATATACACCTACATGACACGAGCGACCATATTTTGGTTTTTATAGACTCTGATTGATTTCAACAAATTAGTTGAATGCTTCAAAATTTGCACAAAACGAGCATTTCCAGAGATGTAACAGCTCAAACAAAGATTTTGGGGAAAAGCAACAAACACCGAGGGACTGGACCCCAGAAAACGTGATTCTTTGTTTGACATTTTTAAGAGTGATTATACCAAACAAACTTTAAGAGAAATTTTGGGATAAAATGAACCTGTTGTTCACCAGAAACATCCATTGCATCCACACTTAAATCTAAAAAAATAAGAATAGAACAGGTGGTGCTGAATTTTACAAGTGAAATAATGAGAAACTATTGAAATTTTGCTAAATGATAACGCTGATGTAATTAGTGTACTTAGTCATCACAGGTTCTGTATCTCACGGCTGACAACAACATAAGATTGACTTACAAACACAGGAAGCTTAGGAAAATAAACAGCCATATTGATTTGAGTCTTCTGATTGCGAGCAGTATCAACAAATAGCTCTGGTGTGACCTGATTGTGATTAATTCACATGGAAAATATGGAGGTGATAAAGATGAAAAAACGATTAAAATATTTCAGCAACAAAATAATAGCAACTACCATCATTTATGAGTCAAAATCAACAGGAATAGTTATGTTTATTAGTAGTTACTTACATCAACAGATAAGTAATAGCTTAGCTCCGACATGAATAGCAAAATCATCAAAAGACCACTGATTACTGTAACTGAAATAAACAATAATAAAGTTGATGAAGATATTTATGAAACAAAGTGAAGCAATTCATGAAATATTGATATATTCAATCCATTATAAGACAAATAAAGTGAAAACTTTCATGCCATTATATTTTACAGAAACACAACGATTTCCAAAGACTTCAAATCAATATTATCTTCATCATAATAAATTTATGGGCTATTGTGTGCGTTGAACAACAATTGACACGTTTACAGAATCACAATGAAATTTCTATAAGCAACAATTAATTGCAGTCAATAGAAATACCAAATAATATCAGCTCTTTCAAACATTATAAATACTAACGTGCTAAATTTAAACACAAATATCCTAACATCGATCATCTACAAACGTTATCAACCTACCAGCTCCGCCACCAAGCGTCTTTATCCGAAAATCTTCCAGTGTTTTAGGGTAAGCATCAAATCGTTTGATTGTATTTAAAATATCGTTTGTCTGCATAATGTTTAGTTTATAATATTTATTGCATTACCTACTTAAACTGAAAACTATTACCAACATAAAACATGTCATTGTTGTGTTCTGCTACATCCAAATCCGCCATTGTGGTAAACTGAGATCAATTGAACTTGGCAGGTGAAAGTTCGATAATGGGGGGGGGGACTTCATTCATCACTAGGTCACAGACTAGGTTGGCTTTTTTAGTTAAATTTTAGGTAGTGTAAAGACTGTTTTCGTTCTCTGTTATTCATTCATCAATATCAACAATGAAACAAATAATTACTGTTGTAAACACAATAACATTATACAAAAGAAAACACGTTTCATTACAGATTTATTATATATAGCTTTTACTTTTACACTCCGACCCACATTAACAAAATTCTACTAGACGATGAGCATGCAATGAGCGATGATTTGCCAAGAAATGACAAAACTCCAAGAGATTGAGCTGAAAAGAGTGCATGGCTAGGCAGCAAACATAGTTCTTTACAAGTCTCAGGAATGTTCTTCAAGTCTTCTAACACAAACAAATTAACTGTGTAGTTCTTTGAAACAACAGCCAGTGTCACTGGAAAAATAGAGAGGAAAGACTTTCATCACTACCTACACTGACACGTGTTATCTTAGTTTATATTTTAGGTAGTGTAAAGACAGTTCTTGTTCTCTGTTGTTCATTCATTACTACCTATACTGACCACACGTTATCTTAGTTTATATTTTAGGTAGTGTAAAGACAGTTTTTGTTCTCTGTTGTTCATTCATCACTACCTATACTGACCACACATTATCTTAGTTTATATTTTAGGTAGTGTAAAAACTGTTCTCATTCTCTGTTGTTCATTCATCACTACCTACACTGACACATGTTATCTTAGTTTATATTTTAGATAGTGTAAAGACTGTTCTCATTCTCTGTTGTTCATTTATCACTACCTAAACTGACACACGTTATCTTAGTTTATATTTTAGATAGTGTAAAGACTGTTCTCATTCTCTGTTGTTCATTCATCACTACCTAAACTGACACACGTTATCTTAGTTTATATTTTAGATAGTGTAAAGACTGTTCTCATTCTCTGTTGTTCATTCATCACTACCTACACTGACACACGTTATCTTAGTTTATATTTTAGATAGTGTAAAGACTGTTCTCATTCTCTGTTGTTCATTCATCACTACCTACACTGACACACGTTATCTTAGTTTATATTTTAGATAGTGTAAAGACTGTTCTCATTCTCTGTTGTTCATTCATCACTACCTACACTGACACACGTTATCTTAGTTTATATTTTAGATAGTGTAAAGACTGTTCTCATTCTCTGTTGTTCATTCATCACTACCTACACTGACACGTTATCTTAGTTTATATTTTAGATAGTGTAAAGACTGTTCTCATTCTCTGTTGTTCATTCATCACTACCTACACTGACACACGTTATCTTAGTTTATATTTTAGATAGTGTAAAGACTGTTCTTGTTCTCTGTTGTTCATTCATCACTACCTACATTGACACACGTTATCTTAGTTTATATTTTAGATAGTGTAAAGACTGTTCTTGTTCTCTGTTGTTCATTCATCACTACCTACACTGACACACGTTATCTTAGTTTATATTTTAGATAGTGTAAAGACTATTGTTCATTTGTCGATACCTTTTGAGCTCTTATCCTCGATGTTTTCCACAGCAAAAGATCCATGACCACTGTACGAGACGGGTAATTTGAGATTGATGATTCTTGACGATAAGAATAGATATAAATTTCCTGCAGTATTACCAAAAATACAAGCATCTTTGTTGATTCTTTGAAAGTCTTGAAAACAAACATTCAAATTATTCACAAGAATATTAACACCTTCCACGCTATTCAAAAACTTATGCAAATAGAATATAAGACTTCACAAAAAATGACGTCATAATGGTGGTTACCAGATGATTTAACAGTTCTTTTCCATGCAAGTGAACTAAACTGTTTTTAAAGGCTGATGACGTTCAATATGAAATGTATGATACATAGCAATTATCATTACAGGTAAAAATTTTCCATAAGTGAAAGTATCCATACAAACACCCTCATGTCCCAATAAAACACTCCTTCCAGTCCCCTCAAAATACCATATACTTGTCTCCAAAAATTATCAAGCTGTTATAAAATGGTTCATAATAATGTTTATGCCTTACCATGGCAAGTAAAAAGACTAGAGCTAGCATCGAAAGACTGAACAGAGTAAAACGTATCTTCAAATTTCAATGTTTCACCTCTTTCATCTAGTTATAGAAAGATATGATGTAGTATTGCTTCAAGAATAACAGTCAATACAAGTGAAAATTTGACAAACAATCAAATTGTTCAACAGACATGGGTTCAAAATCCTATAGTTAGGTATCTCATGAGTACATTACAATCAAGCTTAGGACAATAACTACATAATACATACTAACACCTGTACTGATTCAGTCCATGTTCACACTCTCACCAACCACCAGGTATGGTAAATGATCTATATTCCAGAAGACAAAAACTTTCATGAACAAAGAAGGGACATGCCAATACTACATCAATTGATAGTTATTTGAAAAGACATACTGAACACTCAATTTCATATGTTTTTCTCATATGGTTGTAGCAGAATTAAGTCAATGGCAGACATGGATGAATCAACTTGGACAATAAACTCACAAGAAATACAATTATGTTTCCACCTGTGAAATGATCATTATTTGTTACTAATTAATAATGAAATAAGACCTAGAAAATATAATTATGTTCCAGAAATGATCATTATTTGTTACTAATTAATAATGACATAAGACCTAGAAAATACAATTATGTTCCACCTGTTAAATGATCATTATTTATTACTAATTAATAATGAAATAAGACCTGAAAATACAATTATAGTTACCTTAAAATGATCATTATTTGTTACTAATTAATAATGAAATAAGACCTAGAAAATACAATTATGTTCCACCTTAAGCGAAATGATCATTATTTGTTACTAATTGATAATGAAATAAGACCTAGAAAATACAATTATGTTCCACCTTAAGCGAAATGATCATTATTTGTTACTAATTAATAATGAAATAAGACCTAGAAAATATAATTATGTTGTACCTTCAAACACTTCCAAATATAAATTGAACGAACTCCAAGTGCAGCAGCCAATACATTCCCAAGTGCATCAGCTCTTATACTATATGGATTTGAAATATCTGGGGCACTCCACAAAGCCCTAAATAAAATACAATTATCAACATTTTAAACAAAGTAACTCTTCATGACAAATAAAATGTAAATGTGCCACAGATTTTACTACATACTTTGTGATAGCACACAAAAACTTATTATGCTAAACTGACAAAATCCATGAGTGTGGATTTTAAAAGATGGCACTTTTACTTTGATTTTCCGTCATTCATACAAGATCCCAATGCATCCATAACTGCGATATCTTGCTGGATAAAAACTCCATTGTTAGTAAATTCCCAAGCTCGAAACTCATATGTAAACTTTCCTTTAGTGGACAAATTAATTGCAATCACTATCAAACTGGACTCTGGAGCCATGATAAACACAATGCTTGTTATATCTTCAAATGTTAAAGGGCTTGCATCTTTCTAAAAATATAAACCAAAATACAAAGTTATAATTGAGCAAGCAAGCTTGTCTAAAAACTGATATAAAAACTCAATAACTAAAAAATTATATGACATCACATTACACCATTATCACCACTGTTACCTGGCATGTTGCTCAACTAAACCCGGTTATCGTATGAGTTATGCTATTGATAACAATTTCACACATATTTGCAGGCTATTTAATCCTTATTTCGTTGATATTCAATAAAAATGATATCTTTTTTATTGGTAAGGTGAATAATTTTATCTATTTATATATGATTGTATGATTTATACTATTAATTACCTACCGACAGACTGTGAACTTCAAATTTCTTGTCAAGATACTCAAATGCAACAACACTACCGTGACTATTTCTTGTGTTTACTCGTTTTACAACTTGGCGCGTTTTTAGAGAATGATACCACATTTTCTCGAAATAATTTGCTTCGCGTTCTTCGAAAGTTGTTGATATGTGTCATCTGTCTGTCGTCTGTGGTTTAAATTCAAAGTAGAATTTCGAAAAATAGGTACGCAAAGCGTACGTATGGGAAAACCAAAATTGACATCCTCTTAAATGCACACATGGCGATAAAATAAAATAGATCCGATGAACACAGTCTAAATAATATTACATATATTTGATAACATCACATTAAAGTTTTAAGAAAAATAAACAGATTCTAACAACGTATTTATTGTGAAAGGCAAAGCATATTCCTCCATAAGTTTAACTGTCACCGTCACAGTTACATTAAAACAGCAGTGTGACACAATGACAAAGCAACAGGAATATGACGTGTCGAGTTGCCCATGAACAAATGGATTGTGATAGGATAGCATATTTGATAAAACAGTGCATCTCAATCTTCAACAGTGAAGGTTTTACAAGCTTGGAGGAGACAAAGTCAAGCGTTCGGGAAAGCTGGTGCCTAATGATATTTTTAAATGTCAGTAAAAAATTTCTTGAAAATAGATTATTTTTGTTGAATTCGGCAATTCCATTCACGCCCAAAACATGATGTCTCAAAGAAGGATTGTAAGTACTTGTCATGAAGGAAAATGTAGAGTGCTAGACTCTCTCATTAATAAAGACATTTCTCAAGCAGACTTTGCATTTTCCATCTTATCATTAATAATATTATGCCATAGTACAGTCATCAAAGTGGAGTTAGATCTGCAAGATTTATATAACTGTTGGCGCCGTCCTTTATAAACAAATCCTCATCTTTTCTGTATTCAGATGGAATCTTTTTATCATCACCAGTTACTGAAGTACTGATGTGATTTGCAGGAAATATAATGCCCAAACAATTCGTTCCAAAGTACGTTTTTGTTCATCAAGTGAGAGCAGTTTTGTGCGGCTGAGGTGACCGTTTTGATTATGACCGTACATGATTTGATCCTTGATTTACATGGCCTATTCTAAATTTTAAGTCCATGTTATACTGTTGCTATATGTAAAGCTGATGAACAAATAAAAATAATGAGTAAAATGTAGGTCCATTTCTGTGTGCAGCATTGTGATAAGTAGCTTTCACAGCGTTTCTATTGTGGAGAAAATACAATTGACTGACGGACCGCAACAAAAAATTTAATGGAGTGACCTTACTCTTTGTTCCAAATACTGTGACTTAAGGGCTGTTTTCATGATCCCGGGTAATATTAACACACACAATTGGGCAAAGTAAGATAAAGACCGTTTTTGTTCTCTGTTGTACTTAGTCATCACAGGTTCTGTATCTCACGGCTGACAACAACATAAGATTGACTTACAAACACAAGGAAGCTTAGGAAAATAAACAGCCATATTGATTCGAGTCTTCTGATAGTGTAAAGACTGTTCTCATTCTCTGTTGTTCATTTATCACTACCTAAACTGACACACATTATCTTAGTTTATATTTTAGGTAGTGTAAAGACTATTCTTGATCTCTGTTGTTCATTTATCACTACCTACACTGACACACGTTATCTTACCCATAGTGTAAAGACAGTTTTTGTTCTCTGTTGTTCATTCATCACTACCTATACTGACCACACATTATCTTAGTTTATATTTTAGGTAGTGTAAAGACAGTTTTTGTTCTCTGTTGTTCATTCATCACTACCTATACTGACCACACATTATCTTAGTTTATATTTTAGGTAGTGTAAAGACAGTTTTTGTTCTCTGTTGTTCATTCATCACAACCTAAACTGACACACGTTATCTTAGTTTATATTTTAGGTAGTGTAAAGACTATTCTCATTCTCTGTTGTTCATTCATCACTACCTACATTGACACACGTTATCTTAGTTTATATTTTAGATAGTGTAAAGACTATTCTCATTCTCTGTTGTTCATTCATCACTACCTACATTGACACACGTTATCTTAGTTTATATTTTAGGTAGTGTAAAGACTGTTCTCATTCTCTGTTGTTCATTTATCACTACCTAAACTGACACACGTTATCTTAGTTTATATTTTAGATAGTGTAAAGACTATTGTTCATTTGTCGATACCTTTTGAGCTCTTATCCTCGATGTTTTCCACAGCAAAAGATCCATGACCACTGTACGAGACGGGTAATTTGAGATTGATGATTCTTGACGATAAGAATAGATATAAATTTCCTGCAGTATTACCAAAAATACAAGCATCTTTGTTGATTCTTTGAAAGTCTTGAAAACAAACATTCAAATTATTCACAAGTATATTAACACCTTCCACGCTATTGAAAAACTTATGCAAATAGAATATAAGACTTCACAAAAAATGACGTCATAATGGTGGATACCAGATGATTTAACAGTTTTTTTCCATGCAAGTGAACTAAACTGTTTTTAAAGGCTGATGACGTTCAATATGAAATGTATGATACATAGCAATTATCATTACAGGTTTAAAATTTTCCATAAGTGAATCCATACAAACACCCTCAGGTCCCAATTAAACACTCCTTCCAGTCCCCTCAAAATACCATATACTAGTCTCCAAAAATTATCAAGCTGTTATAAAATGGTTCATAATAATGTTTATGCCTTACCATGGCAAGTAAAAAGACTAGAGCTAGCATCGAAAGACTGAACAGAGTAAAACGTATCTTCAAATTTCAATGTTTCACCTCGTTCATCTAGTTATAGAAAGATATGATGTAGTATTGCTTCAAGAATAACAGTCAAAACAAGTGAAAATTTGACAAACAATCAAATTGTTCAACAGACATGGGTTCAAAATCCTATAGTTCGGTATCTCACATGAGAATGCACATTACAATCAAACTTAGGACACTAACTACATAATACATACTAACACCTGTACGGTCTGTTTCAGTCCATGTTCGTATACCACCACACTCACCAACCACCAGGTATGGTAAATTATCTATATTCCAGAAGACAAAAACTGTCATGAACAAAGAAGGGACATGCCAATACTACATCAATTGATAGTTATTTGAAAAGACATACTGAACACTCAATTTCATATGTTTTTCTCATTTCCCCTACCTTTCGATGGTTGTAGCAGAATTAAGTCAATGGCAGACATGGATGAATCAACTTGGACAATAAACTCACAAGAAATACAATTATGTTCCACCTTAAGTGAAATGATCATTATTTGTTACTAATTAATGATGAAATAAGACCTAGAAAATACAATTATGTTCCACCTTAAGCGAAATGATCATTATTTGTTACTAATTAATAATGAAATAAGACCTAGAAAATATAATTATGTTGTACCTTCAAACACTTCCAAATATAAATTGAACGAACTCCAAGTGCAGCAGCCAATACATTCCCAAGTGCATCAGCTCTTATACTATATGGATTTGAAATATCTGGGGCACTCCACAAAGCCCTAAATAAAATACAATTATCGACATTTTAAACAAAGTAACTCTTCATGACAAATAAAATGTAAATGTGCCACAGATTTTACTACATACTTTGTGATAGCACACAAAAACTTATTATGCTAAACTGACAAAATCCATGAGTGTGGATTTTAAAAGATGGCACTTTTACTTTGATTTTCCGTCATTCATACAAGATCCCAATGCATCCATAACTGCGATATCTTGCTGGATAAAAACTCCATTGTTAGTAAATTCCCAAGCTCGAAACTCATATGTAAACTTTCCTTTAGTGGACAAATTAATTGCAATCACTATCAAACTGGACTCTGGAGCCATGATAAACACAATGCTTGTTATATCTTCAAATGTTAAAGGGCTTGCATCTTTCTAAAAATATAAACCAAAATACAAAGTTATAATTGAGCAAGCAAGCTTGTCTAAAAACTGATATAAAAACTCAATAACTGAAAAAATATATGACATCACATTACATCATTATCACCACTGTTACCTGGCATGTTGCTAAACTAAACCCGGTTATCGCATGAGTTATGCTATTGATAACAATTTCACACATATTTGCAGGCTGTTTAATCCTTATTTCATTGATATTCAATAAAAAATGATATACTTTTTATTGGTAAGGTGAATAATTTCATCTATTTATATATGATTGTATGATTTATATAATTAATTACCAACCGACAGACTGTGAACTTCAAATTTCTTGTCAAGATACTCGAATGCAACAACACTACCGTGACTATTTCTTGTGTTTACTCGTTTTACAACTTGGCGCGTTTTTAGAGAATGATACCACATTTTCTCGAAATAATTTGCTTCGCGTTCTTCGAAAGTTGTTGATATGTGTCATCTGTCTGTCGTCTGTGGTTTAAATTCAAAGTAGAATTTCGAAAATAGGTACGCAAAGCGTACGTATGGGAAAACCAAAATTGACATCCTCTTAAATGCACACATGGCGATAAAATAAAATAGATCCGATGAACACAGTCTAAATAATATTACATATATTTGATAACATCACATTAAAGTTTTAAGAAAAAAACAGATTCTAACAACGTATTTATTGTGAAAGGCAAAGCATATTCCTCCATAAGTTTAACTGTCACCGTCACAGTTACATCAAAACAGCAGTGTGACACAATGACAAAGCAACAGGAATATGACGTGTCGAGTTGCCCATGAACAAATGGATTGTGATAGGATAGCATATTTGATAAAACAGTGCATCTCAATCTTCAACAGTGAAGGTTTTACAAGCTTGGAGGAGACAAAGTCAAGCGTTCGGGAAAGCTGGTGCCTAATGATATTTTTAAATGTCAGTAAAAAATTTCTTGAAAATAGATTATTTTTGTTAAATTCGGCAATTCCATTCACGCCCAAAACATGATGTCTCAAAGAAGGATTGTAAGTACTTGTCATGAAGGAAAATGTAGAGTGCTAGACTCTCTCATTAATAAAGACATTTCTCAAGCAGACTTTGCATTTTCCATCTTATCATTAATAATATTATGCCATAGTACAGTCATCAAAGTGGAGTTAGATCTGCAAGATTTATATAACTGTTGGCGCCGTCCTTTAAAAACAAATCCTCATCTTTTCTGTATTCAGATGGAATCTTTTTATCATCACCAGTTACTGAAGTACTGATGTGATTTGCGAGAAATATAATGCCCAAACAATTCGTTCCAAAGTACGTTTTTGTTCATCAAGTGAGAGCAGTTTTGTGCGGCTGAGGTGACCGTTTTGATTATGACCGTACATGATTTGATCCTTGATTTACATGGCCTATTCTAAATTTTAAGTCCATGTTATACTGTTGCTATATGTAAAGCTGATGAACAAATAAAAATAATGAGTAAAATGTAGGTCCATTTCTGTGTGCAGCATTGTGATAAGTAGCTTTCACAGCGTTTCTATTGTGGAGAAAATACAATTGACTGACGGACCGCAACAAAAAATTTAATGGAGTGACCTTACTCTTTGTTCCAAATACTGTGACTTAAGGGCTGTTTTCATGATCCCGGGTAATACTAACACACACAATTTTGAGGGATTGAAAGGGGCCAAAACTTCAAAGTTAAGAATTACAACTGTTTATTAAGCGCCACAAGTCATTCCTGTTGTAATTGTCAAATTAGGCCAAATTTCTTTTTGTAAATTTTAATGTTTTTTGTAGTTATCAAACGAGAATATTGTGAAATTGCTCGAGAAGATTTATCTGATGAAGATTATTGAGTCGTTTCCATTTGCCAAAACTTTCACTTTGCCTTGACTGAGCACAAGATTTATAATACGAAATTGCTAAATAAATCGCTTACTTGTTATGGATTGCAATTTCAAGTACTCGCAAAAACGTGTGGTGGACTCGTCACAATATTATACAACAAGGAGTACTTAGAATAGAATATGAAACGGAATTTTTCGAAACGTATAAAAGATTGTCTGGTTCGAGCTTGGTTTTTTTTTGCAAAAGAAATTTTCACTATTTTCGATAGATGAAGTTAAGCATCAGATTTGAAGTAGCATTAAGTCGAAGAGAACTTGTAGTGCCAAGTGGTTAGGTTAGCCGCATTGTTGATGTTATTACATAGAAAATGTGTAATTTTAATAACGCGGTCCCGCACTCCGCCTTTTCACTATGTTATGTAATTGTACACACCGGAAACTATCATTCCACTAATCACCACGAAGAAATTTGAGGGATTTAACAATTTAAGCATACTTAATGTTAAGTAAAGTACATACGAGGATTATCTGAACAAAAAACCTTATGAAATTATAAAAAAGCAATAGCAATGGGCAACTATCGAGGCGAGACTGTCTCTTATTGACATTTGACATATTGCTAACTCACACTCACGTTTTTTGCACGTGCTGGCATAATACTCCTACATATGACGTACAGGGACATACCCTTTTAATTATTTAAATCCCACAAGAATGTTCTGTTTTACATGCAAGCACGGTGTAAGCTAGCAGCGTGTATCAGGTTGTGCTAATGCATTGCTTTTGCTTACAGACTGATCATTTTCAAATAACCAATAAATAAAGAAACGCTCTAAACGCTGGCTGCAATTGTCGTCATCACAGTTTTTTTCATTATTTACAAGAATTTTTAAGTTCAAGACGATACACTTTTTCAAAAGTTGTTGTCGTGCTTTAGAGGTAAAGTTTATTTTAAAATCCAGTCATATAAATTGCGTTTTTGATGAATGTTTGTACTCTATTTAACTTTTTTCTCTTTTAGAATTAAAATCACCGACTTAGTCAAAATGAATCCATCAAACACTTCCATTTATACGGTCGTAATCATAGGTAAGTGACGTAATGCAATAAATACTACATACAATGTAGCTCAAAAAAATATGAAAATAAACAAATATACTCAAAATGTTAACCACAGTTTCATGGGTTGCTTCGTCCACTATTATCATCGTAATATTAATTCTGCATTAAACTATTTGCGCGAAGTTATTCGAAAATTTTGAGAAGAGACATTTTTGTTATTATATCCCAGTGGGGGGCAATGTCAGAATGCTTTCTGAACACGCAGGTGTCTTGGTAAAAATGTACATTTTGACATTAGTGTATGTATTTCTCACGAATTGCATCTTTAAGATGTTATTTAATTTTGATATTTGATTTCAAAAGCTTCTTTTTTCCAAAAGTATTTCGCTAATGCATCAATCAATTGCAATAATTTTCACAAGTATATTGGTCACTCAACTTTCACTTTTGCTAGTTAATAATGCTCGTTAGCATTGTGTAGAATATTGGCTCATTTTGCTATATGTCAAACTGTCATTATTCAACTAAGTGGCTTCTCTAGTTTTCTAAAACATTACCATTACCCTGTGTATCAATTAGCTAAGTAAGTTTTAAGCAAATAATATTTGAATATTAACAGCCTGTCCTTTCTGCATACTAATACATTATTGTAGCATTTCCTTATCATTCACTTTATTAAAAGTTTATTTTATGCAGTGATATATACTGAAAAATTGTAAACAGTGCATCCTACTGTTGGCCAGTGAGAAATAGAGGAATAGAGAAAAAACATCGAAATAGAGGAGAATTATTATATACATTACCCAAATATATTTCAGGAAATGGTCCATCAGGAATATCACTTTCTCATCTTTTATCTGGAAACTTGCCTTACTATAAGGGACAAAATATAGGAAGCAATCATTCTACTTCCACTTTGCTACATGAGAAGTGTCAGGAAAGCAGTGAATTTTCTATTGTAGAACAGGTGAGCAAATTCTCTCAGTAACATTATTAATTTGCTTATCTTTAACTTTAACTGGTGCTTATGATAATAACCTCTTTGTTATGTAGGATCTTCAATATTTGAGTGAAGGGTTAGAAGGACGTTCTCAAAATCCTGTAGCATTATTATTTGATCACCTCAACCAACCACAGGCGGATATTGGAATGCATGAAGAATCTTTGCTGACTTGGCGCCTGTGCAGCGATAAGCATGTAGATCATCTTGTTATTGGTCAAGGACTTCCTGGTGGAAGTTGGCATTCTATGGAAGGTTCCCAGCTCACTGTCAGCCTTAACAACTGGCTTGACTTACCTGGTTGGTCATTTCAGGAATGGCTTGTTGAACATCGCAAAGAGATAAAGCAAACATCATCATGCTGTCCCTTAGCTACAAAAGGTGTTGTTGGTGAAGGAAATATGTATGATCGTGCTTCTACTGAACATATTGCCAAATACTATGAACGCTATGTCACGCATCAAAATTTAGAAAAGAACTTTGTAGACAATGTGAAAATCAAGTCGATAAAACAAAAGAATGGAATATGGGAAGTTAGTGGTTACAATAAAGTGAAGAGTAAGTTTGCTTGCAAGAAACCTTTTTGTGTTTATGCTCAAAATGTTGTACTTGCCAGTGGATTGTCCAAACCAAAAAAACTTGGGATCAACGGTGAGGGATTGCCCTTTGTGCACCATAAGGTTAGAAAGGTTTTCCAAATCACCAAGTCAAAGGGTAAACTTCAAAATAAGTTCAAGAACCCTGTATTGATTGTGGGAGATGGTCTAAGTGCTGCGGATGCTGTACTTGAACTTGTTGCCAATGATGTGCCAGTAATTCATGTGCTCAAGCATGACTTAAATGATGAAGAGCTGGTGCTTAACAAAATGCCAACGCAGGTCTATCATGATTATGCCAAAGTTAAAGATATGATGACAAAGCCAGTGCTTGCAGCTGATGGCAGTTGTCTCTATCATGCATATTTTAAAACAATATTGACTTCCATCAGTAAACATGGAGAATGTAAGCTTAAAACGCCAGATGAAAAAACCATGACCATCTTTGCTTCTGCAGTTTTTATATTGATTGGCTCTAAACCTGATTTATCATTCTTACAAAATACACCCCCACTTGGAATTGACCCTTCAAAAGATGTTGACTGCCGTCACAATCCCATGAACATAAACCCTTACACATATGAATGTAGGAAAGTGAAGAACTTGTTTGCCCTGGGACCGCTGGTCGGTGATAACTTTGTTCGGTTTGGAATCGGAGGATCATTGGGCATTGCTAGTCATTTGTTTAAGTTAATGAAATGATGAACAGAATGTGGGTATATAAAAATAGTTAATTTCCCTTTGTTAATATACCTTAGCTTTCTAAGTTGATGAAAAATACCAGTTTGTTTATTTATGTTAATATTTATGGTCAACCTCTGATGAATAAAGAATTTCTGGAAATTTTCACTTGTTTATTTTTATTTTTTAATGGAGGTGTTTTCAAATCTCTGATTTTTTATTGAGAAAATCAACAGAAAACAAGGCATTAACCATAAGAACAGAACTGTAATTTAGAATCTTAGAAATAGAGTAAACACATTCATCTGTTTGGTTCATGAAAAACAACTTCAATATAATCTTTTAAAACTTTGCTAAGATATTTATAAAACATGATTATAGCATTAATGCCTAAAAGCTGTTTATCTTACAAAAGTTGTCCAAACTTTAAGCAGTCTACATTTGACAGGTCTTAGGATGACTCTGAGGTCAATGGAGTAGTTTTCAGGGAGGAATTTAAGAGGAATTACCACGTTGTTATCATGTGTAACATAAAATATGACATATGGAGATGTTTACATCACTAACTTAAATACAAGACAAGTGGACTAAAGTCAAACGACACGTCTAACGTGTAATCTTTCTTGAGACATGTATGACAACATATGACGTTGACAACATATGACGTTGACACAAAACAATTTGCGGCATGTATGACGTACATAGGACGACTGAGTACTCAATACTCACATTAAAAATGCACATGTCTGTGAGAAAACTATAACTTTCAGGGGAACCAGATATCCTCTTTATCCCTCCTATAACCATAACTTATCCCAGTGAGCATAGCAGCATGGACACGTGTTTGTCTAAGATATGATCCATTCATCGCCTTATCGTCGCCAGTTTCTGTCACGATTACGTTCTTGATCATCGTAACGTCGTCGATCGTCCTCCCATCGCCGAGGATCACCACGATACCCACGATTATCACGAGATCTGTAATCGCGATGATAATCCTGCTCAGAATCCCATCTATCACGCATGTCTCTGTTATATCCTCTATGTGAACCCCCTCGTCTGTGATCATCATCTTCATCTCGCCTTGAAGCGTTCAAAGAAAACCTAGATGAGTAAAATTTTGCCTCCTCGCCTCGTCTATTCGGGTACTCACCCTCCTTTGTACTCAAATCTCTACTAAAATTGTAAGCCTCTCTTGTTTCTACATTGGAACCGCGTACTTCTGGTCTGTTTACTCGAGGATCTCCTTTAAACTGCTGAATCACTCCAGTATTTTCTGATTTCAGCAACGCTTGCACTTTTTCCTCCAGTTCTTTTGGTATGGAGGGTTGGGGGGGAGTCGTTACATGTTTCGTTTGGGCACTATCTTTGCCTGCAGCCTTAAGCAATGCACCAATAGCTAGAGCATTTTGTAAGATATTCTGATTCAGGTTTTCAGTGACCTGAACTCCATGAATAACATTTGCTTGTTCAGTAACATACACTCCTTCTACGCTTGTGTTCATAGCTGTAGCTTCGGTACGACTAGACATTGCAGTAGTCTTTTCTGGGCTAGGTGCTTCATCCAAGGAAATATCAATAGTGTCCATATCTTCGGGATCATACGGCATGTCTTCGCTGTCTGCCGTCTCTGGATCGTATGGCTCTTCTTCTTTACTTAAAGGAGCACTTGATGGTCCCTGAGTTCCAATTGTTGGAACAGATGTATCCAAAACACTTGAAACAACATTTGGACTTGCAGCAATTTTAGTACGATGAGAATCAAGTTGAGAGCTGACGGATGTTTGACCAATGACTGCTGGGAAACCTAGGTTAACTCCAGCTTTTGCCAGCACACCCGCTTGTTTGGGTTTGTTATCTGGTACACTTACCGCATCTTTTTGAACGCCAAGCACCGAAGCCAAATTGCCTAGTTGAACCGGAGACATAATATTTAACGAAGGAGGGACACTTGGAGGCAACGACGGTACCTTTTGGGATGCTTGGATTTTACTCCCAGACGTACCCATTGACCCAGTAGTAACCTTGGACATACTGACGTTAACCGTTGGAGCTAATTCCTTTTCTAGAAGTTCAGATTGTTTCTGTAACTCCCGCAATCGCTTCTCTTGTTCTTGAATCTTCAAAAGCGCTGAGATCATGGGCGGCATTGTGGGATTCTTGCCAGCACCACTCGAAGTCTTGCCGGCCTTTCCCGACTTCGTGGATTTTCCCTGTTTATTTCCGTGAGTGTGGTGATAATGAAAGACGATATCTTCGATTTCATCGACAGGTGAATCACTTGGCTTTTTATTTGTTTTAACGGTCACATCACCCGCAGTGCTTCGTTTTGATGGTGGTTCTATGCTTTCACTTTTAGTAGAAGATCGATCGGAAGCTGAACGTGATCGCTTGACTGGAACATTTTTGTTCATCACAAGTAAACCCAGTAGCATATGGGGCCGTGGTTCGGGCATACCTGTTAATAACCAAAAAACGCAAGAACTTTATGATACAGGAAGTAAAATTAAAGTTATTATCTAGCTCTTAGGCTATAACACTACAACAGGAGATTAAGAAAAAATTTTGTCTAGAAAAGTTTGTTCAACATAAATTTCCTCGTGCAATCACTAGATGTGTAAGAACACAAATCAACCGATTTTCTTACCAGGTCCATTAAAAGGCAACAATAATGTTGGTACAGGCTCATGTGAAGCCAGCGGTACAAGATACATATCTTTGACAGCACTGTGACAATTACCCACCACTCCACAACGTTTGCGGCTGTGAAAATACGAATACAGCGAAACATAACTGATCTTTTCCTCATCCGGACTGGCAACAAAGCGAATGACGCAAAGCTCCTGAAATGGACAAAAAAAAAACGTAGAAACATTAATTCGAAACAAAATGTCCAACTTTTCTATTTTCATGTGTCTGTGATAAAGTAGATGGTTTGAACATAGGAGTAAAAAAACATGGACTGTACTATAACCTTTCTCAGGACTGTACTATAACCAGGACGATCTACTTCTACAAACATGTGTCTGCGAAAGTTAGAAATTTTCTGTAGTGTTTGCTCAATGGTAAAAATAGTTAACAATGATACAAGTTAACACATACCACTATACAGGTCAACTTTGACCACAGCAAACTTTGTCAACTTACCCGTGAGGATGACGAACGACATTGCTTCACATAGTCCCACACTTGTTTATACGCGATCCGACCTGCAACCTGAAGCATGTCGGGTAAAACCTGGTCGAGATTATCTAATGAACCGGAGACGAGAAACGCGTTTGAACCAAATTTTGCAACACTTGGCATTGTAACGGAACCTTTCCAAATACTCGTTTCAATTTTTGGCTTTTGCGAAACATCAGTTGATACAGAAGGAGTGGTATGGATCACTGGAGATCTATGGCAAAACAAAGCAAATAGGGGTGGAGTGCACTTCTAAGTTTTTCATTTTTATCACTTCACGCTATGTCCAAAACACAAGGCTGCGTGAATGAAACAATACAATAAGAGACAATGGAATTTATTTTACATTAATATGTATGGTTTCAGTTGGGAAAATCTTTTGTGTACGTAAATACTTACAAGGGTTCATTGTATGAACTAAGCTCTTCATTTCGTGGAGGGGAAGGAACAGAGCTTTCAGCAGCTGCTTGTATCCTGAAGTAATACAAAGTAAGCATAATTTACGAAGTTAAACTTTTTTACAGAACTTAGGTAGAAAAAATTCTTCGAGGAATAAAAGACGAAAGACCGGATAAAGCCTTTTACTGTAAAAATGTGGACGTTTTTCTTCAGTAACAATGTCCATGAAAAAAGTTGGAAGACAGAAGAAGTGATTAGTATTAACAAGCTTAGTTTTGATTAAGTGTTTTATTCGGAGAGTATAACCCTGAAAATGTAGATAATCGAGGAAGGACCTTTAAACAGAATCAATGAATCGAACTTAAGAATGTGATAAACGTGTTCAGGAAATTTCTGCAGAAAAGATGCAAGTGCAAAACTTCGATTACTCACGGAGCATTGGTCCTTGTTGGTGATGTGGCAACAATTTCCCCAGGAGGAGCCATTTTTCCCGTGCATATTTTACAGTTAAGATCAAACAAATGAGATCGGTGCTCTTCAGTCGTGTCAAGCAAAGGAAGTTCTACTTTTTCTTCAACTTTTTCTTTTGGCTTCTTTTCTTCAATATCTTTGATATCTGTTGACTAAAGAAAACAAGCAAGATGTTGAATTTCTAACAATGAAATCTGCCAAAAACATCCCCGTCAGGTATAACTGTTCCTATACAACAAACACAAAACAAATAAGAACATTACCTAACATATAAACTAAGATAACGCGTGTTAGTGTAGGTAGGTAGTGATGAATGAACGAAAGAGAACGGTAAGTCTTTAACACATAATGCAGCTATTATCTGGGTTAGCGTGTTGGTAGCGATAAATGAAATAGAACAAAGAAATATTTATACATCAAATATTTTATTTTCCTGCGAGTAATAATTTAAAAACTCAGACAAAAAAAATGTCTGCAAGACAACACACGTACCACTAAAGTACTCAGATCCTCGTCACCATCAATATCAACTTCCCCTTTGTGAGTTTTCTTCAGTAGTCGTGATTTGTTCGTGTTTTCCCCCTCAAATTCCTTTTTGATCATGTCTATCATCTGTGGCGAAAAGTTTTCTTGTAATAATTTTCACATTCTTTGCTCGGATATATAACAGTTATTATCAGAACAGGAAAGTTTAACACAAGCCTGATGTAGTAAAATAACACATACTTTTATATGGAACTACCGTCGCCTGTCGACAGTGGTACAATTAACAGTGACCAGTGGATTTATTAGTTCTAGGTAGTGATGCACCGATATACAATTTTAACAATAATACAATGCCCTTATCGATAGTTTTGTGTCAAGAAATTTTTCCATTGCTTACCTGTATTACTTGACAAAAATTAATATTACTTGACAAAAATTAATTTATTTTTCAAATTGAGTCAAACAAATAAATTGTTTGTAATTGTAATTTGTAAAGACAAACTAGTAGAAAAAGCTATTTTGTAAAAATATGAAAACACAACTCAACTTGCAATGTAATATTTACTCATCCGTAACAGAGGCCAGAAAAATACCGATACCGATAATTGTATTAGCCGATATTCCGATATCGATGCATCACTAGTTTCAAGTGTGTCAAAATACATACAATGCCAGCGGTTTTTCGATAATGAAGCTTTAACAAAGTGAGGATGGTCTTTCAGGTAAATTGCATGAAAAAATATAGTTAGGAAATTTCTATGATAGACTCCAACAAATTTTGAAATTCTGCTCTCTTTCAAAGTATTCTTTCACTAATCTATTGAGCTATACTGAACCGAAATGGTTTCATACAAACCTTCTTCAAAAAGAAAATGACCTTTTTCTCGCAATAAATCATCATCATTGTGCAATGAATCAAATAAAATCACGTGACTCAATCACATGATTAAATCATATTGAATCAATCAGTAAGATTGACAATATTGATACATAACGTCTCATATGTTAAGGAAACGTTACAATTACCGATCTTAGTAGAAAGAAAATTGCTGAAAAGAAAACTTTTTGTGCATAAAGATTACATAATTCTCCCATAGAAAGAGGACATAGAAAAAATCGGAAAGAAGAAAAGTGGAAAATGAAGAGAGAGAAAAAAACGAGAAAAGTGACGTATACAATTCATTACAATAATGCATTACATGTTTTGTTTCTTGTTCCCGCCATTGAGCAAGCTCCTTCGTAGCCAGTTCATCGGATGTCATTGAAATCAATTTTTCTGACGGAATGTCGCCATTCAATACTCGCTTGTACAGAACCTATAAATAAAGATGATCTTCAGTTAACTAGAATTATTTGCTTTAAATTCTCCTAATTTTCACAACAAAATCTGCACATTGTACTTCATTTAATATTTGCCAACTCATTTCCATGAAGGTATAAAAATGATCGAAAGAGGGTACTAAACTGAAATTTTGTTTAAACTAAAATTTAAACAAAAAAAAAAACAAACAAGAAATGAATGAAAATGTAAGCTTTCTATTTTCGGGAAACTTTCAAGTTTACGATGGAGAGAAATGGGAAGATGTACAACAGGGAAGAGCAGAGAGAGAAGGAGAAAAGTGTTTTCAGGAAAATTTTTCATACTTTGTTTCGGGGGTCCTTGAGATTGAACATGAGCGTGCGATATTTCGCCTTATATCGATGACTCGTATCTTTGAACGCTTTGAACATATCTTCTTCGATTTTGCGAACTAATTTTACGATTTCTTCGCCTGAAATATTGATGTCGCTTGACTCCTTTTTCCTGGAATATATTGGAAATAGTTACTTAAAAAAATCAACTCTGCACCGCATTAAATATTCCTTTCCTATCTGTGAATTCATTATTAAGAAATGATTAAAAAATTTTCATTTTCCCCATCGGTGTTTGGCCTTGCATTATATCAAAACCATTTTTTATCAAAATATATATATATATCATTCGCAGATTATGAACTTTGATCCTCGGGTTATTCTTACATGCAAAAAGTTCAGTTCCTACAAACAAAACGAAGAACTAGATATGACAATTCAACAAGACTCTCGTACGCCAATAATTAATGCAAGTGAAATGTTACTTCGCAAATCGTCACTACCTTGTTGCTTAGTGTAAGGTATATTACGTGTAAATAAACATTAATCTTACCTTTCCAATAAAATATCCTTCATCATTCGTCTAACATTGCTACGTACAGTGTCTTCCTCACTTTTCTTGCCCACTTCTTTCTTCTGTTTTGATTCTGATAAAAAAAATGGTTTTGATATAATGAAATAGTCGTAAAAAAATTATAAATGAATTCACATAACAAATATACTAAATGTCGTCCTATTATGTTCATTTCATAAACCTGAAGCTTTGCTGTTTGATGAAGACGAAGGGTGGTTTGTAGGACTGTTTCCTGAAATGCAGTATTGATATCTAAGTATTTAACACAGACTACAGGTGTAGTTTCTTTCTTCCTATAGCTCCTTACTAAAACTAACGTAAAGATTTTGTTGAAGATAGTTCATAAACGGAAAGAGTTACTCATTATGAAGTAGTACAGAAGATATAATGAACTAGAAATGAACCTTACTAATAAAGTTAACTACAGTTTAAACATTGTTTTAAAGATATTCGATTTACTGGAAACACTAATATAAGCAGTTATTTCGATGTATTTTTCAATTGTTCTCCATACATACCCGAAAAAAGAACTTGAAATGAAGGATTCTTCAAAATCCACTCAGCCAGCTTTGTAACGACAGGTGCAGTCATTCCAGCAACGAGACGTCCCGAAGATTTCTCAATCATAGATACACGATTTCCTTCTGATGTGTAAAGCTTCTTCCCAGAACCCTACAGAAGCACATGAAAAGGATAAGTTAAGTAAAGCTACGAAATTTCATCAGAAAATTTTCGTTCAATTAACATATTTCAAATCACGCTTTCCAAGTGATAAGCAAAAGAAATATAATTCTTGAAATGGCTAAGAAACGATGGCCAATGATAAGTGTGAAAAGTACCATAGCCTAGGAACAACAACTGGTATGAAAAGTACTGTAGAAGAACGATGGGAATATTCATGTTATCGATAAAACTACAGGTTAAATTATGAAGAAACCGATGTCATGTTTAACTTTCACCATAGATTGATCAAAACATGTAGCTACTAAAATTTTCTCATCATTTAGAAGCAAAAATTTGTTTGAATCTATCTTCAATGGGTAAACACTCACGCTTGAAGAGAAGATTTTCATTGCTTGTGCAGCATGTCTACAAAAAGAAATCAAGAACATTCCTCATCCCGATCTGTACACTTTCTAGAAATTTGTTCTATAGTCGTTTCTACAAATCATCAAGCAATTAAACAAGAACAAACAAGAACGATGTTTAACTTAAGTATTGAAGCACTCTACTAAACTGCAACCCCATACCTTTCAATACATCCACGACTACAATACACAGCACCTTCGAACGCGTTTCGTGAACAACCATCTATGATGCATTTCCTAGAAACTTGAGCGGTTACGTGTGAGACTGGGGTCGGCGTCGTTCGCACTTTCTTCGGGATTTTAAACCCGGGCGGTTCTTTGGCTTTTTTGATCTTAACTTCATCCGATTGCGTGGGAGTCTGAGACTGAACGTTAAGTTTCACACTAGAGTCTGCGTCAGCAACGACGCTCTATAATAACGAAGAGTAGTTAAAAAATTCACTAAAGATAAGTAAACAAAGTTTTGACAATTTCCTTGAATCATTTATCCAAGGCTGTATAGTATAGCAGACCATGGGACCATTGGTATGGCAACATAGTATTTTGAGGAGGGAAAGAACTTTACCAGGGGGGGGGTTGTGGCTCTCAACCTCCAACTCTGGCTATGTTATTGTGATTGATACAAATGATTTCATTTGTATTGGATAAGTGAAAATTCCCACGAGGCATTTTCTTGCACAAAATATTTTTATCTGTCTGGTGGTTCTCCCAGAAAATAGAATATTTCATGCAGCCCAGCATTTATTTTGCACACCAAGGAATTTGAAGTTTAATTACAAGCTATGTTGCTAAAAACTTGGTTGTTTCATTAATGTTTTTTTTGCTGACTTGTACAAGACAGGGAAGTCATCAACAAAAAGTAAAATTATAGAAAACAAACATGCATGTTTATGAAGACAAAATTTTGTCACAGATTGCACAGCATTCTGCACAATCCCAATTGTATAACATGCTTTTGAATTCATAATATATATAATCACATAAATATACATACAGTTGTAGAATTCTTCTGTTTTTCCCGTGCTTTCTTATGTGTCTCTTCCGTAGTGATGTCATTTTTATTCTTCACAATAGATTTTGCCAATTCTTTTGCCTTTTTCATCATTTCTTGTTCTTTTGCTTTTTTCTCTGAAAAAAATACACAAAAAAATTATGTTTCACTCCATATATGAAAATAGTTTAACAATTTAGTTAGAGTTTAAAGTAAATAGTTTAAACTTGGGAGTATCTTTTCCTGTTTGTAGATATACGTAGATATACTCTTTGTTAATTATACTTGAAAAAAAAGTTGTTGATGTTTAAAACATTTTGAGAATATTTAACATTTAATATATTTTAATTACACATATGTTCAATGTAGAGAATGTGTTTTGTATGTTTTCACTGGCTCCAGTTTTAAGTGAATTAAAAAATATTAGAATATATTTTTTTAAAAATTTACCAGCGAGCAGAATCCTAGACTTTCATGCAATCTGATTTGCTGTAGCAGAAGGCAGGATTTTACAATTTGACCATGGTCAGAAATCCAACAACTGAATACTTGAGCAAAGAGTCGCTTTGTTTTGCTTCGTTTTTTTAAAAATATTATCGTCAATTTTTGTTTGTAATAATCTATTTTAAGTGGATTTTGAGTTTTCAAAAGCAAAATGAATAGCAAAGTTTTGATTGTTTACTTTGTTAAATGTAACTGCACAATCTAATAAGATTATTGCCTTTAGCAAAAAAATAAATATGGTATTTACTGTTTAGGTTATACATATATACACTTACCAATGCATTTATTACAAACATATTCTTGTCCCAGTTCTTCCATTTGTCTTCCTTGTTCCATTGTTATACCAACACATTTACCATGAAACCATTCTTCACAACCATCACAACAAATCATGAATCTGAAAATAAAACATATTTATTATTTTGCACACTCTAACAGTGTGCGAAATAATGGTGTGCAATGTGCAATTTGCACATCGTTTTAGCTAAAATGAAAACAATTGCACATCACTTTTTCAAAACGATGTGCAAAAATAAGCGGTTTTAACGAAAAACACTGTCGTAAATCATATGAATTTGTTCACATTTAAAAATATTAATTTAGCGCTATATAATAATTAATGTAATATCGATTTGATTATGCCTCTAAAGAAACAATTTTGTCAAAAAAATTGCACATTGTTTTTTCTGAACTAATTCGCACACTGCACTCTAACATCTTCATAAAATATGAAGTTTAGTTCTTTATGTCTGCAGCCACGAGACCTCATTAGAAGCATACAACTCAAGCTTTAAACACTTCGATCCAACGGTAGAATAAACTCAGTCATAGAAATAAACTCAAAAGAGTGGAAATTTTTGAACAAATTCTAAATGTTTAAATCAAATTTCCTTACTTGTTTCCATGTGGTTTTCGACAAATGCACCAAGGTCTATCAGGATCATCTTCAGGACTATAGTCTGAGTCATATTCATGAATTTCAGATCCTTCGTCATCGTTGCCAGATGAAATTTCTTCGTCGGTAAATAATTCTTCCTTGAGTTTCTTGTCTTTGTTATCTGTTTCACTACTTTTACTTTTTTTTAATCTGCTTTGCTTTTTATTACTTTCCTTGCTTTTTGCACTTTGTACAGGTTGCCTCTCTTCATGTTCAAATGGCTGTTTTGGTTTAAGGTTTCCAGTGATGCTCCTTGTGACTCTATGAGATCTGTTTTGCCCATTAGATGAGATTGTCATTGTAGAATCTTTGTCTGAACTCATGTTTGCTTTTGTAACTTTTTCATCTCCTAAACTACTGCAAACACAAACATAAATTTGTAATAAAAGGCAGTAAATTTCAGTTAGTAAATTACACCAAATTATTGCTAGCAATTCAAAGTAACTATCAGCTATGAAAACAAACAGTAAAAAAAACAAGACATAAGAGTGAGTTTTTAGGAGAGACTAATACAATATAAGATCACTGTTAAATATTTATGTGACATTTGCTTGTGAGCATTTATGAATGTGATCATTTGGAAAAACATACTAACAGAAAATAGATAAGGCAAAGTATGTCAGCATGAAAATATCATTCAATTCAAAATTTACCACAAAGTTTTAATGAAATCGTATTTTACAATTACATGATACTAAACAAAACTTAGTCTAGTGTTGTCAAGTGCTAACTAGAAAGAATTTTCTATGATTCATTATTGAAAAGAATGAATGATGAAAGGTGAATTCAACTGCTATTTGGCAAAGATTTCATCATGTATGTAACCTTTGAAAACTTTTAAAGATCATATTAGCAAATAATAAAAAGTAAACATGCTTCCTGATGCATTTATTAATCAATGAATTACTGAAAACTTTGAATGCTTGAAATGACGGTGGCAAGAAATTTTTTAAAAAGCTTTGTGCTCTTGAACTCACGTACTTTAACAAATTGATTGGTACAAAAAATAACTTGCCAATAAATTTCTTATTTAATTCACATAAATGCTCTTCAAAAAGTACTGTCAAATTACGAAAAAGTAGTCAATTCAAACATCCCAATGCACATTTAACTGGAAAAGCAATTTCCGGGGGTATTGTCTAAAATTCGTTTGACCGCGTGGAACACCGTAAATTGTGAAGGCAAACATGGAATTAATATTTACCTTTGATCCAAATTTTTTGCACTAGGTTTCTCGTCTCTTGTAACGCTCTTTTCTAGCACTTTTTTACTTTCTTCTTGCCCACGCTGACGCGTCCTATTTCGCAAGGCAGTACGAGTTCTTGGAGGAAAAATTGTGTCTCTGTTCTGAGCACGTTTATTTGTCGACAATTTTGAAGCTATTTTCGCTAATGATTCCTCATCATCTTGTCCAAAACGACTATAATTTTTGGCACCATCTTTCGTAGCATCATCTAAGTGATCGAAGTCTTTAATTTCTTGGTCAAAAAGCTCTAGATCGCCCTTTAAATCAGTCAAGTGTTTGGTGTCATGCGAAAGAGCCACCCGGTCGTTCCCCTCCCCCGTAAAAATGTTCTCTTCAGCAGTCAGTCTTTCACGCAAATGATCTGCCATTTGTTGCTCAGAAAATATGGGGCTAATGGATGGCGAGATATCGCCCAAATCAACGTGGTGATCGTCAGAATTCAATCCACAAAGTGACCAAACGCTGTTGTTAGAATTTGAAGCAAAATCCGAAGCGATAATGCTCGGGTCTTCCAAACTAACAACGCGTACCTTCTCCTTAACTTTGTCAGAGCTATCGTTGCTGTTTTCCATGTCAAATGAATCCATAAGATCACTTGTATCGTAGAATAAAGATGAACGGCAGTAAAGCACAAAAGAGACACCAAAATTATGATTTTACGAGAAAAACATTGCAATATTTTTCAAATAATAATCAAATGCAAAGAACATTGTGACGAAACATATGCAAATTTACTCAAGCAAACGATAAGATATAATCAGTATGATACCACGTGACAAGAAGACTATACACCGCTGACGTCAGCATGTGATCTTATATAGTTATATGACTTTTCTATTTCTTTGTAAAACAATGTAGAACAATACTAAATGTTGATTAACATTTAACAACGCTCAACAATGCTATGTAATCTTGGACAATGTTTTATATTCGAAAATATTGAAGAATGTCTGGCAATGTTGAACGTTGGACAATCCAACAATGTTCAATAGCCTGCAAAACAATGACGAACTCTGCACATTTGAGATCTGATGGCGAAAACATACTTCTTCTGGATTTTAACAAATTTACAGAGCAAAGTCCTCAAGATAGATTGTAAAAACTTAGTAGCATCCTGACCACTGACGTAGCCACGTACGATACATTCAGAGAATGAGGACTCACATGTTTCATGTTTCATCTTGTGAAGTGGTATGCCAAACGTTAGACATCAACTATTCGCAGTCGTTTCTCACCTATCACCGTTTTCCGGGAAAAAAATTCTTTCATTTTCTAATTTGCGCGAGCGATAAAACATTTTCACGTTAACTCTGAGCTGTACAATTTTCAAATTTCCTCTAATTCTATCTCGTTCTGTTCGCCATGGTTAGGAGATGACAAATAATCGAATTGTCAGCAAGATGTAAAAAACATTATTTGTCACAAAAATAAATTCAATGTGCATAGAAATTGGAAATTCACTACCATTTTAGCAGGAAAGAAGTTTTTGGAATGTTATGTGTCGAGGAATTTGATATTTTGCTATGTCGTGGGGATTAGAACAGGAAATGCTTTGCTCCAATTCAAATACCGAATATTTTTGCTATTAAAATTATATTCCTCAAAAGTTGACCGCGTTGAATAAAGTTGGGAGAGCGTGAAGTAAGACAATACACAGCAAAATGTTTAACAAAGGAAATTACCGACACGCATTATCAAGATGCCTGCATTTTGCTAATATTTTTAAGCTTATTATTAATAATAGCGAAATTTGGGAAGATGCGTCAATATCTTTTCAGACAATGCATACAGCTCACATTTGCCTGAAACGACCAAAAAAAAATAAAAACATTTTTTTTGAAATGACGCTTTGCTTGCCACATATCTATTAATTTGAATGAAATATAAGAGCATGACCATCCCAAGAAAAACGCATTGAATTTACGGCTGGGTTACCGTGTTGCTATTACAAATATTTACTGAAAAACGCAATATTTGTAATAGAAAAAATGATGTGCTTAATATGAATAGATTTTGCTGTACAATAAAGCCATGGTCAATAAATATAAGTATTTCAAACAACATCGGAAAGTATTACTAAATCATATAAACTTCTGTACAACCTACATATCATGTAGAATAAAGAAGTTAATTATTCGAGTTATATCAAAATCTATGTATACAAAAACCGAAACAAACGAACCACAATACTTTGACATGTCGTTAACAACGAAACACAATACGTAGGGAAAATCAAATCGGTATTAATTGTCAAGTTCTTGAAGCAAGTAAATGAACGCAAGCAAGCATCCGTTGCAAGCATTGTCACTTTAGAAAATTCGGACTTTTGAATAACTGATATTAAAGAATGAACTATGAAGAATATAATATACCACTTTGGTAAGGTCGAAGCAGAATGTCTTTATATAAAATATTTGTTAAGTTAACTTTATATGAGGCCAGAATGCCAAATGATCGATTTTCTCCGGTTTGTTTTCCATATAAAATATTCTTCTCTAAAACATGTTCACAACGCAACCGAACTGGATAAATTTATATGAAAGCTTCTTTGTCAGACGCATGCTTCTTCTTATAATCTTCTATGTCAGACTCTTCGAGCAAATAGCTACCTTCGTCCTTCTTCTTAAGTCGATACATCAAAAATGCTATCAAAAGTAAAGCCAGTACAGCACAACCAACTACACCACAAATAGCTTCAATTGTGAGCGTAAATCCAGCTGCTTCTTTGCGACCTTTCTTGCTACCTTTCAACGCCAGTAAGAATTTTGTCGTTGGATATACTGTAGTTTTACTGGTAGTAGATTTCTTTTTAGCTACTTCAACATCATTGTCAGTATCTTTATTCTTATCATCAGTATTTTTTGTCGTGTAATTCTTATCACTTGTTGGCATTTTCTTCGTATCCGCCTGTGGCCTTGAAGTAGAAGTGGCGATCTTTTGAGTGCTTTTCATTCCGTCTGAATCTGTTCTCGGCGTGCGCTGTTCTGTTGACATCCTCTCCATTGTGTTAGTGGTCGAAGTTTCAACGGTAGATTGTTCAGTGGTCGTCTCTTCCAAGGAATTTTGGGTCGTCGTTTGGCTCTCTTTGTCAGTAGTCGCAGCTATAATCAACGTATCAGTAGTTGTCAACTCTGTTATGTAAATATCAGATGCTGTAGAAGAAGGTTCGTTTGTAGCATACACAGTAGATGCAGTTGAACCAGATCCACTGAAATCGACTTCGTCGTCTGATGGCGTCGTGCTCGCTTCCTTTGTAGTTAATACTGTTGTTATGTCATCGGTTGTTGTCTGGAGTACAGTTGTTGATTTCACAGTCGTTTGTGTTTTACTACTATCATCACCACTACTGCCAAAGTCCTCATCGTCCGAACCAGAACCGTTATCGTTAGTAGAATCTGTCAAAGGTTGCGTTGAATTCGTCGTACTTGAACCAGCGTCGTCACCACTACCAGAGGCAACATATGATTCGGCACGTATAGCAATAGTCAAAACGCATAACAAAGCAAGCGCAATAACACCCCTCATAATTCCAGTACAAAATGATATATTTTCAAGTTTTACTTGTGTTTGTTTCAATCTTCAAGAATAATCTCGAATCAGAAGCTCTATCAATTCACTTATTTACCGAACCAACTCATATTTCTGCATTTTTTAATAGTTTCATTCTGTGAGCATTACTGTGTGTGCCAATCAGCTGCGTTTTATTTTTTCGATAACCAATCAAAATAGCGGAGATATATGATCGTGATATCATATCCGTTTGACCCTTCCCATGGACATTCTTGAGAATGTTAATTTGGGAAACTGTCGTAACATTTCAGTTTTAGATTATTTCGAAACAGGAAAAAAATTCTTTTTTACAAAAAGTGTTACAGGAAATTATAACGTTATTTTTGTAAAATTACGCTTATATGGCCGTGAGCTCAGTTGTTGCATTAAATCGTACAACATCGATTTTTCACTTGGGTATTATTAGTTTATTACAGCAAGTAAATATGTTTAATAATCATTTTAGGAGGTGTTAAATGAAGGGACGACATGATGTGTGTCTTTACATGCATAAAGTGTACATTTGTTTGATGGATAGTTTTGTTGCTGTTTTTCTAGTAAATTTCTTGTTTCAGACCCAAAATCAAACAAGAAACGACAAAGGTGCACAGTTTTCAACGCAAAAGAAATGACTTATTAATTGCTGTGATTGGTCAGTTTTTGTTATCCAATGGAAGCATTTGTCGTTGGTGGTCAGCACCATAAGCTCGTATTACAGAAAATTCGACCATTATGAAATCAACGAGACCAACTAAGTTTATAAATACTAAATGATATCACTTTAAGATTTCACAATGTACTTTCATTTTGTGAAGAAATTGCATCATTTAGGTGAAACCAAATCAATTGCTAATACTTTAGCTGTAGCTCCACTAATAAAATAGGTTCAATGACACTCAACTTAGACAGAAAAAACTAATTTTGAATAAAGTACAAAATCACAAAAATGTATTGCATTTTAACTTACTAGAGGTAAAAACAGTTTGTCTTACAAATTTTGTCATTCAATCGACCTTGACGTCAATGAATGCCAGTCTTAATGCAGGCTGAAACGATGGGGAGTATTGAATTGAATGACAAATTGGAAGGTATGCTTCAAGCTCTATATATTAATTACTAGTCACGGAAAAAGATAATGAAACTTGGCTAAAACAATGGCAGAAAGCGGAAAATACCGCCAAGGGTTAAAGAAAAAGTTTATGTTTTCAGTTAGACTTCTTCTAAATAGGAAAAAATGACTGTATCAATTGTTCTTAAATCTAGAAGGACTGAAGGAGAGTGATGCTAAGCACTATAAGTAAGCGACACAAACAATTCATACAAAGAAATTACTTTCAGCAGTCAGGGGGATAATTTGCTTTCTCCACAATTTCACCAAAAGCATTTGATGTAGAAGAAATCAAGCTGTCCTATAATTTGCTAACATTGATTTCTCTCTTCGTTTCAACCATTTTAAACATAAAAAAGAATTTCTTGGTTATGTACAATTGATTTAACATAATTGCGTATTCATTGACTTTAATGAATTTAACATCTTATCGAGAAAAAACTGTGCAAGTTCCACAGGAAATTTAAAAGTAACATTGAAGAAATGATTGGTGATAAGCTTGAGGACAAAGCAGAACAATGGTAGACAGTGAGCAACTTTAATTGTTTTGGTGAGAATCAGATAGCAAGCAAGACCAAATGCGCCCCAGAAAATAAAAATAGACGAGACAAGAGCCATTTTCAAATGGAGACGTGCTTAGAAATGGCATGAGGTCACCATACATGGGCATATCACGCTGGCTAAAATTTCTTAAATATAATAACATCACGTGATCCCTTTCAGTAATAAAGAACCCACACCACATGAAGTTCATATTTAATTAATGTCATTTTAATGATAACAGACGGACAAACAAACCTTTATAGTGAGGTGTCTGGCAACCTTACTGACAATATCTAATTATTACGACGAAGACTTGATGGGACTTTATGGGATAAAAATAACCTACTTGGTTAATTGATACATGTGGATTTACTCTATACAATTTCTTAAGATGATTTGACTCAAACAGGTTAAGTTCTCACCTGTTAAAGTCGAAATAGGAATGAAACATCCAACCATTTCGACAAATTTCTATTCTATCTCATTTTATTGGTCTAAACACCGGACGTTCTTTCTGCTTGCAGCATAATTTCACTAAGAGCTTTCGCTAATCTCGACTTGTTAACAGATGACGTAAACTTTTCACCATCCCAAGATTCCGTCATAAAGGCATTTCGAATGGATTCGTTGCCTTGCGTTTTCTCCAAAGCATCAAGAACTAAACCAGTCAATTCGTCACCAGGAAACTTTTCAACTACAATATTGAACCGAATGCAGATTAGATAATGCGTAAATATTTTGCATTAAAAAGTTCTAGTCTTAACAAGTTCTCTTCATATTCAGTAAATATGCTGACTATATGTAAGTTGTAGTTTCATTGTAGGACTATTCTCGTCCTCTATTGTTCATTCATCACTACCTAAACTGACACATGTTATCTTAGTCAACATTTTAGGAAGTATAAAACTGTTTTCGTTCTCTGTTGTTTATTCATCACTAACGAGTTGTCTAGGTTTGCATTGTAGGTAGTGTAAAGATATTTGTCAGTCGTTCAGTAACAATTGATTCCTAAATACAATAACTTACGAATGGGATTTGGTTGGACCGGTTTCATCATTAGGCAATAAGCAATGATATCTCGAAGAGATTTTAAAGCCTTTAAAGTGAACGCTGAATTATCTTGTAAGGAAAGTTCAGAGCTCTCTTCGTTTTCATTCGGTTTCTGTTTCATGAGAAAGTTTCTACATGTAAGACAAAAAAACACGCTCAATATGGATAGTCTTTTCACTCTCAGATCAATTAAAGAATAAAACAAGTCCTTCTATAACCAAAAAGACATCTTCAAACTTCCAGAAGAAATATGATAAATAATCGTAATTCATGACATCCATAATCAACGGAAGCAAAGTAGTCAACTGGGCGCAGCCTAAATGTATTAATTAAAAGAGTATTTCTCAAAGTTTTGAGGAAAAAACCCTTCTTCATGAGATTTAATTGTTGTAGCTATATGGATGACAACGAAATCTTCAAACGAGTTCATCGCTCGAATTCCTTGCTTTTAGCAATCAGACTGTGGCTCGCCTTATTGTTGTACATATTATATCACGCAATATTTTGTCATCTAACCTTGTACAAAGAACAAAAATACGTCACACACCGTGATGCATAAAATGGGCGAAACAAACGGGAAGTTAATGGTGCGTCATTTACAGATATGTTCGTCATGATGTCATTATGTTGGCTCAGCTTGGTTTCCTGCAAGTCAATATCTGAGAAAGATCGAGTTGTGTTTTTTCACTGACTATAATTGCCAACTATAGACATCGACTGTTGCGGAAAGACGGACAGATTCTCCGTTGACGAATCTTGTGAGTGCATTTGATGACGCATAAAAAGGAATTGTGAGAAGTCAAACACTAAATGAGAACAGGATTCTCTTTCTTTTTCAACAGAAGATCAGTTTTCCTCTTTCTGTCATGCAACAGGGGAACATGTTTTCCCCTTATCAACTTTCGCTGTGTCAATGAAAAACAGGTTTCTTTTTGCTTCTCAATACGTGTCTCTTTTTGTCAACAGGAGAACAGGTTTGTGTCTGCTTGTTAACAGAAGAACAGATTCCTTTCTGCTCATCAACAGAAGAACAGGTTTCTTTCTGCTCGTCAACAGGGGAACAGGTTTCTTTCTGCTCGTCAACAGGCGAACAAGTTTCTTTCTGCTTGTCAACAGGAGAACAGATTTCTTTCTTCTTGTCAACAGAAGAGCAGGTTTCTTTCTGCTCCTCAACAGAAGAACAGGTTTCTTTCTGCTTCTCAACAGGAGAACAGATTTCTTTATTCTTGTCAACAGGAGAACAGATTTCTTTCTTCTTGTCAACAGAAGAGCAGGTTTCTTTCTGCTCCTCAACAGAAGAACAGGTTTCTTTCTGCTTCTCAACAGGAGAACAGATTTCTTTATTCTTGTCAACAGAAGAACAGGTTTCTTTCTGCTCCTCAACAGAAGAACAGCTTTCTTTCTGCTCCTCAACAGGAGAGCCAGTTTCTTTCTTTTTGTCCAAAGGAGAACAGATTTTTGTCTTTGTGTAAACAGGAGAAAGGTCTCCTTTTTTTGTCAATAGGAGAATACGTTTCTTTCTTTTTGTCAACAGGGGAACAAGTTTCTCCCTGTTATTCAACAGACCAACGGATTACATTCTGTTTGTCAACAGAACAACTGGTTTCCTTCTGCAGTTTTGTAAGATTATTAATCTAGCTCGCGGTTCTGATTATTGAAAGATTGAGCGCCAAAATGTAACCTTTTAAATAGACTTAAATTGCCAACTACTGCGCAACAAATACAAGTTTAGAGAAAGGAAATATGTTGCGAACCGTGAACAGATGAAATGAAGAGAAAGTTAGAAGACATAGCTTTATCTTTGACGTAAACAATTATAATAAAACAATTATCATACTCACTCATTTGTGGCAAAATTAACTGCTTTTCTTTTCATTAATGTAGGATTCTTTGAATGTTCGATAGGCTTTAACCGAATTTGTCTAATAGCAAGTCTCATATTTGTTAACTCAACCGCATGACCATCCATGGCATCTTTAAAAGCTTCCTAAAAATACATATGATCTCTGAATAATCCCAGTTTGGTGAAGGCGAGGGGGTAAATCCTGAGAGGGGAAGGGTAACATACCCCCCCCCCGTTTTCAAAAATAAAATCATATTAGGAAAATCACAACAGTAAAACCCTGAAATATCATGTCTCCACCCCTTTCAAAAGAGATTCGCGCCCTTGGATGAAGGGGATTGAAACGAATAAACAATCCAGGCTTAAGAAAAATTCGGTAAATTTTAGTCTTGTATACTATTCTTCCTGAAGAGAAACAGTATATTAATGAAACGTTGCCACAGGAAGAAATAAAACAAATGTTTCTAGAGCTTTTTCACTTTTAAACCGTCTTCTCCGAGCGTTCCATGAGCACAATAAGTTATTCAACTAGACTAAAATAATATTATTAACGATCAGGCACCTCGTCAGCTATAATCTTTGGAGTAAATAAAACTGTATCTGGAATATTGTCGTTCAGAATCCAGGAATGATCCAGAAATTGATCAATGTTCATCCTGCGATTCGGCTCAACACACAACAATCTGATAAGATACGTGAAAATGCAATAAGATACGTGAAGATATGTACGTAGAAGTGAAGAAAATCAAAGGATGACGGATATTAATAAGACAAAATTTGACGACTTACTTGTTAATACAATCTTTGGCCAGATCAGAGACTTTTGCCCATTCTTTATCAGGAAAATCATATTCCCCAGAAGCAATTTTTCGTTTCATCGCATGTGACATTTGTTTACTAGGAACATCTGAGTAAAACGGGGGATAACCGCACAACATTACGTAAATAATCACCCCCAGCGACCATAGATCACAAGCCTGTAAAAAATACCCAACGAAATTCAACAGTGGCAATAGTAAGAAATTCGCTCAAGACGAATGAGAGCGCAATCCATTGATGAAGAAATCTTTCTATTACCTTATCGTATGTGTATGGCTTCTTTAAGTAAGGATATTTACCGCTTTTTTGTGCACGCAAGTACTTTTGAGCTTCAAGTACCTACGAGAAAAAGATTTCTAACAAATTCTCTAACTACATTTATGACTGCTAGAGTAATTTTATTGTTCTGCTACATGGTGCAAATTTTCGTGGAATATGTCGCACAATTTTTTGCACCACAAGTTGTTGCACTAAAAACAGTTGCAACGCTGGTTGTGCAACATATAATCATTTTAAATTGCACAAAGTCATCTACATTTTATTTTCTACAATAATCAAGTCAGTTTTCTTACCTGTATATGTCTTAAATAACCATAGTTGATGACAATTATCTAAATAGCTAAAAGGCTAGAAAATTGCTCGTTTCTTAGAAATACTGTGTGTTTTTTCTTGCATTAATGTTGGTACTTTCAAATTCTTATCTGCATTCATGCATACCCTGTAGCATATTGAAAAACTTAATTTAAATCCAAACTAAACTGTTGCTCTTTTTTAAAACATTTAACAAAACGTGACGAGTGAACTTGACATAAACATAAGAAATGTCATGATATGAGTTTAGAAAATAATTTGATGACGCACCTGAGGGGAAGCATAATATGGAGTAAATTGAGGTGTAACAAGATCACCTCGGTCCACTTTTGCAAAACCAAAATCGGAAATCTTCACGTGAATAGCATCCGTTTTTTCCTTCAGTAATAAGTTTTCCGGTTTTAAATCTCTGTGAGCCACATTGAAGGAATGAATGTGTTGAAGACCAATACCTATCTAAATAAGCAATTAAACTATATTGGATGGAAATTTTTGCAAGTGAAGCAGTAAACTACATCCTTAAGCAGGACAAACTATTGAAAACAACCAATATCAATGATGTAATGGCTTGAATGAACTTTGCAAATAATACTAATTATTTCTTGTGAGAGTTGTGGGATGGTTCAATTTTAATTTTACCCACTTTCACAGTAAAACTGCACAACTGATCATAAGAACTTTATGTACAAGAGCCAGAACATGAAGTTAAAATGACCTTGGTAAAATATTTCTTTTATGTAATAATTACCATTCAAAGTTAAATTCACAAATTCTTTTGAAATGTTACCACATGATAAAACCAAACTACCTGTTTGGCAACCTCTCTTGCTTCTTTCTCTGTAAAGTATACATGGTTTCTGATCTTCTCAAATAGTTCGCCACCTTCCATGTATTCCATTATCAAAAATATTCTTGCTCTACAATTCAACAATAAACACAAAGTCAAGGGTACCACAAGGATGTGAAAAATTTCATTCAATTAATTGCTGCATACATCGGTCTTGTTTCCCCTGGTAATGCCATTGTGTTAGCATAAGCATCCACAACATTAACAACATTACGATGTCCACTACACATAAAATGGACTTTGGCCTGAAACAAAGAAATCATATCATACAAATCTGACAACTATACCCTTTGCCTCAATAAATCCTCCTCCAATACACCTACACAATATGTTAGTACAAGTCATGCAACTTGTACCATTGATATTCACACAAAAGATAGGCAAATTAAAATTATTAAAAATTTTTTCTGTTTGAATTCTATACCACTTTGAATTCTATACATTTTAATTAGGAACAAACATTAAAAAGTGTTTTTGATGTTTAAAATGCAAGTGCAATGCAACCTTTTCAGAAATAAATGAAATTACCTCTTGCCTTGATCTTGAAGAATCAGTGAGACACTTCATGGCAAATTTGACACCAGTTTCCTTGTTAGTGCATAATCTGCAACAAAATATATTTAATAGTAAAATTTTCTCACCTCTTGATGTCAGTATTCACTAGAATCCACCTGATACATATGTAATCATGGCTAATCTTGCAAATGAGCAATGAAATTGCACATGTACTCCTAATTACATACGCATACCTTACTGGTCCACTAATTCCTGAACCAAGCTTTTTGTTCCAATGAATACTATACTCCAATTCTATAGGTCTTTCCTGGAAAGTAATGTAGTAATGCACATCAAATTGAAGGTCATCTGAACTCAACAGATTAAAACTATACGACAGAGCATAAAATGTCAGCTTGTTCAAAAATAGTATGTTATTCAAATTAAAATATAAACAGAAATGTGTGCGTAAAGTAGCAAAATTGACGGTTAAAACAGCCAATATAATAAACGACTCGTAATCGTAATACACAAACCTTTATAGAAATATTTTGCATGTCCTCAATTTTTGTAGCCATTTGATTTTAAAGTTTTATTTTAATATTGAATAGCAACGAACGGTCAAAAACGAATGAGCAAAAAGTGAAGCCATATGTTACTACTTTCTTCAATCTGGAAATGATTTCATTTATTATTTTTATGTTCCATTTATAGCGATAAACGATATTCGTTATGGCGACAATAATTGCCTTGCGCCTGCGAGCCATTTGGTCCTTCGTTAAAAACTAAAAACCAGTGCCAAAAACAAAATAAAACAAAATAAAACAAATTCCGAAAACGGACATCTCGTTTTCTTGATATTCAAGATAATACAAGAGTTTTAAAACGAAAGATGGTGTAATATCTCGTCTTTATTCGACATCTTTTGTTTTGAAACTCTTGTATTATCTTGAATATCAAGAAAACGAGATGTCCGTTTTCGGAATTTCTTTATTTTGTTTTACTTAAAACAAAATAAGGGTGGCGTAAACATGGGCATAAACAGCGACAATAAAAGGGTACCTGTCAGCATTGTACACCCATCCTTCCTTTGTACGTGCCTCCGTTTAGTCATGGAATTTTGCACCAACTACGGGTTTATACTCTTTGTACTTGAAGTATTCCCCGTCCCACACAATATAATAGCAAATCTGAACAAAAGTGTATAATAGAAAAAAATTAAGCGCCAATAACACAAACCAAACAAACGTCAAACTCTATTTTTTTCTTCATAAAAACCAATTGTAATAATTTGTATTGATTTCATGAATAAAATGTATGTATCCACTCCATATAAGATGTATCCACTCACATCACTTCTACGTTTGTAGGTACTTGTTAATCATCAAGTTCAAAACAAATATAAAAGAATTTTATAAGCCCAATGAAATTAATTTTTTTAATCTATTTGATCGGTTTATTTGCTTGAAATGAAAGCAGAAAACATTTTTAATGTCTAAAATCTTGAATTCAGAGAAAGATTTTGGAAAGATCTCACTGAGCTGGGTCAAAATCTGGAATAAATTATTTCATATTTCAGCCAATCAGGGCAGAGATCAAAAAAATGTAACCAATACAATGCTAGAGACTCATCGAAATCAGCCAATGAAATCGCACCCGTAAATGATCACGTCAATCACTTTTGACACTGTAGATGCAGTAGCCAGTAGATGCCTCAAGACTCGAAAGTGAAAGGTAGATTAGTTAAAATTTTTATTATTTATTTAAAAAGTACTTCAAATGTCGATAAATTCGATGGAAAAGAGCCTTGTTTGATGTATAGTTACGTATTGTTAGACATGCAAGCATTTTTGTTGGTTTTTTAAGTTGTTTTTGTGCCATTTGGCGTTTAACTGCGTGTCTTCGCCGGTGTGTTTTCTTCGCAAGAGGACCTTTGTCAGTATAAAAACGACAAGGTTGTATGTTCCAAAATCTTTCTTTCAATTTTACACAAGTGTGTGGCCTAAGGCTACCATTTGGAATGTTCCGAGGCTAAATTTTGTTGAATAGGTTTGCTTTTAACATGTATATATGTATCGATATATTTTCAGCGATAAACTTGCTCGACCGACATATTTCTCGTTTGAATGCAAAAATATGAACAAATTCTGTGTAAAAGGTTACGGTATGGCGAAATGAGAGATAAGCAGGGTATTTCTTATGCTTTGGGATGATTTTTGTCGGTAAAAAGTGCTCTTTTAAACAAAACTTTTGAAGATATTTGGAAAATATATGTTGGTTATGTTGGACTTTGTGCTTTCGGTTGAATTGGCGCCTTTTTTGTTCCGCGTGAAAACTAAGAGCACTGGGCACAAATTGTGCAAAACTAACCAGCTTGATTATAAAAAAATTTTTATAGAAAAAAAAACTTTTAGTGGAGTGGGGTACAAGCAGTAATTTTCACCTTGCATGTAAATAAATTCAAAGGTGTAAGCCTTGAAAAGTGCTGACGGTTAATCAAACACCAGTGGAAAATAGTAATGTTAATTTCTCTACTTGAGTTCAATTTAATGAAAGTTATCATTGAAAAGTTATTGACTATTTTAGAACATTTTGCAAATAAACATGTTTAAATTATTTAAGGAAAAGAAAGATGCCAATTTTCTCTTGAAATTAATAACGTTAAATTAAAATTGATAGGATACTCAAATGAAATGGACAATCAGACTGAGAGTGATTTAGGGATTTACTTGTGCACACATTCAAAAATGTTCTCAAGCAATGAGCTACTTTAAACACAAAATGCATATTATATGTTTTGGATAAGAATGATTGGACAAAAGAAGTCAAAACTATTGTGAATGATCTATTATTTGTTCAATGGCGTTTAAAATAATAAAGAAGACTATATGAGTTCTATACATTTCAAAAGAAATATTCATTGAAAAAATCTATTTGTGAAACAAATATATGTTTCGTGCATGTTGTAGCTGCATTCTTATACACTGTCAGCTTGAAGTTTTCACACTTTTGTCATTTTGAATTAAATAAGGCAAAACGAATGTTGTGAACAATCTGTCTGAAATTGACGTTCAATGGCATATGCAAAGAAATCTGTTTATAAGATTTCCTTCTTTTCAACTTTATATAATATCGTAAATGGTTTGAACCCGGGAGTATCGTTACATGTTTGTAAATGTAGATCGTCCAGGTTGGTATAGTCCTGAGAAGGACTGTTTTTGTTGTTGTTGACTGACGTTTCGACAACCTTAGCAGTAGTCATCTTCAGAGTCAAATGAGGAGTAAACATCAGGTTAGCCGTATTTGTTATCTGGTTCTTACGTCATTGTATTGTGTGTAATCTGTAATCTTTTATATAATAACAAGAGAAACATCCATTGGAAAAATCTATTCATGAAACAAAGTAAATGTAGTGTGCATATTGTACTTATCCATACTGACAGCTTGAAGTCTTTGTTTGTCTCCTATTTTGATTAAATAAGTACGTAAAAACGACCATTGTGAACGATCTATCTAAAATCGACGTTTAATGGCATATAACGAAGTCTATACGACTTTTTTATTTTGAAATCTATATAAAATATCAAAACAAACTTCACTGGAAGAAATCCCTAGAATACAAAAGAAAGTAAATGTTTTGTACATTTTAAAACAAATGCTGCTGGGTTTAGGGTAAGGTATTTCAGACAATAAGTCAAACTGATTCTTGAGATCAATCGATGTTCAAGACCAAATAAAAAAGCCTTGAAATTTATAACATGTCAAATGAAACACGTCATGAAGAAAAATATTCACGAAAGATAAATGTCATACTTGTCCATACATCAGCAACTTGAAGTCTTCATTTGCCAACCACTCCCTTATTAATTTGATAAGTAATTAAAAAGTGTTGTTGTAAATATCTTTATGGAACAAGGTACGTTGAAGAACTAGTATAAAAGGCCACAGAAGAATTAACATTATTTGGAAGAGGTCACTTCAAAAAACACAAGTTCACTATTGGACAAGGAAAAGAGACTTACAGAATGCAAAGCATTTAATCACTTGAGTAGAACGAACGAGAGTGTAGAAAAACTTAGAGTTTGTGAGATTTAGAAGACTTTGATGAACACATGACAGCAAAGCATTTTCTTTTGTTTGAAATGCACACAAGGTCAGCACTTTCGTGGTTTAAAGTGTTCATCGATTCTGGCACGTGCAGCATCTTCCGTTTTTGAGGCACTTCATCGATTCTTGCAGGTGCAGCGTCTTTTATTTTCGAGGCACTTCATCGATTCCTGCAAAGGTAGCATCTTCCATTTTCGAGACACTTCATCGATTCCTGCAAGGGTAGCATCTTTCGTTTTTGCGGCACTTCATCGATTCTTTTAACCACTGCGTCTTCCAGTGTTGAGGGTACTTCACCGATTCTTGCAAGGGCAGCGTCTTCTGTTGTATAGGACGGTGACCGATTCTTGAGAAGTCAGAAATTTATCATTGCTTGAGTACTTCAGAGTGTCATGAATGCGTAGAGGTGTCAAATAGATCAATTTAGAATAGATAGAAAAATACGAATAAAGAATAAAGAAAAAGAGGAATTCAAAGACAAATTTGACAGCTGTCTATTGAATAAAAAAATAAGATGTGATGGTTCAAAGCAAAAGATGATCAAGCAACCTTGTAAAGAAAAAATAAGATGAAATGGCTTAAGCCAAAAATGAGAAGGCTATCTAGTGAAAAAAATTATGATGAAATGTTTCATGAGGAAATGATGGATTTCTTGTAAAGAAAAATAAGATAGAATGATGCAAACAAATATTTCAAGAACTCTATGACACTCTATATGTAAACACTGTATTTGTAAATACATTGCCTGACACTGTAGCACATACATAACTTTTGAAGACTTCTTGTGGTTGGTGTAATCTAAGTTATAAATTACCTAGGCATCGTCAAAAGTTTTATGTTCCATTGTTTTTAATGTGATTTTCGACCAAGTGTGCATAAGTAGATCTCTAGAAATTTTGCAGCTGGTACAAGATGAAGGATGTATATCAGGTATGATGACAATTAGATGATGACGGATGCACAGACATTGACACTAAAACTTACTTGATATTGTGCTACCTAAATTTCAGCAAAAAGCAATACAATTGTCACGAGTTATGGTGCTTTGTCCATCTATGGTTTGTTATGTTGCTGCATGATGGAAATAATAAAGATAACTATGGTGATGACATGGTGTAGTTTCGGTGAGCAATAAACACATCGTGGAAACAAATCATCCACGTGTGTACAACTCAACATAACGTGTATTTTGGTAAGTGGTTATTGTTGGTTAGCAAACAACTGCACGGTCGTTTCAGGTGGATGGATGTAATGTTTTAAAAATTCTTGATTTAAGAGTTATCCTTTAAATACTGAAAAACCTGGACCACTGCTTAACGTCTAAGAGAAGCAGTTGATTTCTTATGACGTCGAGTCAAATGAAGATGACTACCGCTAAGGTTGTCGAAACGTCAGTCAACAACAACAAAAACAGTCCTTCTCAGGACTATACCAAACTGGACGATCTACATTTACAAACATGTAAGTATGTATAAGCTTTAGTTATCAACCGATCTTTACAGTTTTATTTTTGGCTACATTACGAGCAGACAATAATGTCGTAAATGGGAATTTACCAGGAATAAAGTAATTTATTACGATTAGCCAAAAATAATTTATCGTTCAAATAGTTTGGAGACTGAAATTTTATTTGTCGGTAAAGTTTTGTCTAGCGAGGACTTAAGTTTTCATAAAATTTATAATATTATTGGAGATTATAAGCTCTCGGTTTATCTTTGTGTCACGTTCTTGTCAATATAACGGTATCCTTTTTGTAAATTTTCAAGAGCTTCGTGTTATTTTGAGCCTCTTATTTTTGTTTCGTAGCGAAGAAAAAATACAATGGTGGCACATAATGATTCATATAGAACATCATGTTTGTCGTGAATTAAATGATAGTTGTCGTTGATTACAATCATGGTCATCGTAGATTAACTCACGGCTATCGTGGATTTACATCATAGTTATCATGGATTATGTCAATCAGTTAACGAAGATTACGTTAATCTACGAATGAAAACTAAAGACGCCGTTTAAGGTTTGTGGTATTCTAGTTTAAATCCTGGTGATCTGCAAACTAACAGGAAAATGATATAACATTGGCTGAGTTATATAACAAAGTTAGTTGTTATGTTGATTCCTTTTAGTGGTTTTTTTCAGTTTTGTGCATCTGATATTCGGCCATTTTAAGTTTTTTGATCACCAGGATACACGATCCTAAGTTCAAAGAAATAAGCATGGGTTTCTTTGAGTTTTCGACGTGTGATGTTATATAATATTCATAATTTGCTAAACTAAACATTAAAAATCTAAAAATGTATGATTTGAAGCGCGACATTTGCAACTAAACTACGTGTGTATGCTCATGCAACGAGAAAATTCCGGTTCAAAATATGGCGAAATTCGAATTACAGAGACCGTAAAATAGCAAGAAATTCACGGCATGCAAGCTCCGTAGCGCAATTAATATAAAATTATAAATGCCTGAAATGTTCGTGTTTGATGATGCTTCATCAACAATTTTCACGTTTTATTCGAATTGTTTATATTTTGAACCATGCAAATCTTGAAATGTCCATTACACCTTGGAAAATGAGAAAAAGACAAGTCAACATGTTTAAAAATATTTTTGAAATAAATGAGTGATTTGCATCATCAAGAGGAATATGCAACAAAAACTATCTTATTTGTCTAATGAACAGCGAAACAGAATAGGTGCATGAAACCCGGCATTGCTTTTGCTAAATAGCTGTCAAAATCAATGTTATGACAGTGGCATGTCCAAGTTAAATAACTTGCTGTTTATCTTGAAGAAAAATAAGTCAGAGCAGGAAGATAGTTTAATTATTCACGATGTATTGGGTTTGCTTGTCAAGTCTAACATCTTCATCTATTTTATACATGGAAGATGAGTTGATAGCGAGACGAACTAATCCTGTGCATTTAGTGTAGTTACAGGTAGGAATAATCGTAAATGGTGCCATGATGGTACCTAGGTGGTCGAGTGTTGGACACAAGGATTGGTTGGCACGCCGTTTGGTAAAGTATAAGGGCCCAGGGTGGCGGTTCCCAATCTATTAGGTTGCCTTTCGGCCGGGTACTAACGTTGCTTTGCAGGTGTCTCAACGTTCAAAGGTTTGTTTTAATCATTTTTGTGTAGGATAGTTCTTAGGTAGATTTTCAAAACTTAAATAGGTTATTTGATGCCACTGATCAACAGGGTTAGCTAAGGATGCCCACAGACATAAAAAATATGGAAATATGGCGTAGCGGACTAAATATGGAGAACTGGAGGTTTCGTTTTTTTTTGCAAGGATGCATATTGCCTAAGTCACCTCTTTCAACAACCTTGTAAAGATAAAGGCAGTCTAATAAATTTTGTAAACATAATTAAGGCCTTTAAAATGTAAACATCCTTTTTTGTAAAGATAACTAGTAAAAATATACAAGGTGATTCCAAGCAATATGCATCCACCAACTGGCTTTTTAAGCTTGTTTGATCTCTGAGGGTTTTCCTCCGGCGATACGCCGGTTTCCCTCATCTTTAGAGAATCAATCTAAAGAATAACAAAAAAGGGTAGCCATGCCTGGAACCTGCAGTAAGGATTGTATGGTTATTGGGTTGGATTCCCGATCCACAGGAAGAAACTAGAGTAGAGATTCTTAGATTTTCTGTTCGTATTCAATTTAAAAATTGTTATTTCTGGAATCAAGTGCATCGTGATAACCAAAAACAAATGCCGCGTTTTCAATGATTTTGACACAAACCGAAGTATTTCCTGTTATAACCAATAACAATACTGCTCGAATTGATGCCAGCAACGTTTGCAATTCTACTTTTTTGAATAAACTCTCGCGCGAGACTGAAAAATAAAATATGAATGTACCGAATTAAAACAGCTAGCTCAAAAAACATACGTGTTTCCCACAGTTAATTTCCAATTCGATCACACGGCCATTTGCATCTTTATTTTTGGATGTGGCTTATAATTGACTAACTGCAAATCATCAAACGTAAAATCATCAATGTCGACAATTTTTCGTTTTATTTTCAACTTTGGGAATGGTCTCGGCTTTCTTTTTATCTGGAAATGAAAATATAGAGTGCATCAAAAGGTAGAGCATTGATGAGAATGGAGTAATAATTTTGTGAGAATTATGATCTAAAATTAGCTATTTAAGTAGAGAACAAAGAAGGGTGGTAAAAATTACCATCAACAATAACCAACGTGAGACAATAGGCCCAGTACTAAAAGGAATAATTTCCATGATGAATGACGACAACGGGATGCTCAGTATTTTTGAAAAGAAATGCAAAAACAGGAATAGTTTTCGGCCTAAAAACTCAGTACTGCAGTTAATATTATGCTTTTCGTTTATTGTCACCAGTAACAATGTCAATTTTTTTATTTGTATCTGTTCTAATGTTCTAATTGAAAAATCTCTTCCAAATATGAAGTAATAAAAAATGACAGTCACCTGTTCTTCAAGAGCAGCAATATGATTGGAATAAACATGTGCATCTCCAATCGTGTGAACAAAATCTCCCGGCTAAAACGTTTTTTAGTGTGAGTATGGACATCGATGGTAAAGTACACTGCTGACAGTACAAAATTTTTCAATAGTAAACGTACCTTCAAATCACAAACATGAGCAATCATATAAGTCAAAAATGCGTAACTTGCGATGTTGAAAGGAATACCAAGTCCCTGAGCAATAAAATAACATACAAAAGAAGTTCATTTGGTGTTATTTATTGTTAAAAGATGGAAAGCAAAAAACCCATAACTTTTCCACACTATGTTAAATAAACATGAGATGTGTCAGTTTTGGTAGTGATGAATGAACAACAGAGAATGAGAACAGTTTTACTCTGGTATCTAACAAATGGTGGTGGGGGAGAGGTAAAGTCAGTTACTGAAACATGAAGTACAAACCATATCACCAGATCGTTGATACAACTGGGCAGAAAGTTCACCATCACATACATAAAATTGAACCAATGAATGGCAAGGAGGAAGTGCCATTTTGGGAAGATCTGATAAACAAAAATTGAGGTTTTAGTATCAAAAGAACTTTTTCAATTCAAAAATAGTTTACTGTCTTACCAACAGGATTCCAAGCAGACATTATAATGCGTCTAGAACAAGGATTTGTTTTATTGTATGAATGACATTCTTTAGCTGGTCAACACCTTCTTGAGAATAGTCTGTGTGCATTGTTTTATACTCAGCACCAAAATGACGCCATTGAAATCCATACACAGGACCAAGATCACCAACATCTCTTTCAAATAGACCTTAACAAAAGGATCAAAAATTTCAAACTCTAGGTTTTCAACTATTCTGGTACATCATCACATTGTATACATTACAGTGCAGTTAAGCATCACAGTCACTCTTGTTTAAGACAATAAATAGCACAAGATGAAGACGTAGGTCTCAACTCTTGATTTTATATACTGAGTTAAGAACAAAACAGAAGTTGCAACATCATGTGACTTCTAATGAAGGCACTATACTGAAACACAAGTATGGTGTCTATAGGAAGACAACTGTTAACATCAAATCACTTTTGAAAAATGATTATTTTAACTTTCACTAAAAACAACAAGCACACTTTTATTAACACTGAACACTAATAGTGAATTGCTTGAACTTGTAAAATATCACGAGATGTTTGCATTGAGGGCCTCCTTATCTCAAAATTTTCCTTTTCTCTAAACTAAAATCATCACTTAATGCCCAGAGTAGTTCCGCCCCTCTCAATCTTTTTTGGTTTGATCGCTCCCCTCACCCTAGCAACACTCCACATCACACTTGGTGCCATGGGCCATGTTTGTAGGTGTTAATTGTACTGGTTTGTGCAGTTAAGAGAAGTACTACCGACACTGACTGACAATTCAGTATCCTCAGAAATCATCTTCATCGAAAAGTGACACTTGCATTCTAAATTGGGAAACTCACCTCTGCTATCTAAGAACTCACGAGAGCCATTGGCATCCCAAATGTGAACATTTTTTTTGGCCAGTTCATTTCCATTAGTGCTTCCACGTATAAACCATAATAATTCCTCAGCCACACCACGCCAGAAGACACGTTTTGTGGTCAACAAAGGAAAAGTGCCATCTCTAAGGCTGAAACGCATCTGAGCACCAAATATAGACACTGTACCTGTACCTAATAAGGCAGATGGTTCTTCTTAAACAAGCCTTTGTATAAATTATACATATATATTCATTACCTGTTCTGTCTTCCTTTCTTTTACCATGCTTTAAGATCTTTCGAATGAGATTTAGGTATTGGAATTCGTCGTGATCCTCAACAGAATCAGAACCCAGCATATTCCCTAAATAATTGTTTTAATCGAACTCGTTTCTTAAGCAGCGATTAAAGTTTTGCTCTCTATATCTCTATAGTTTACAACACAAAAGGTTATTTCAAATGCTTTTAGCGATGATGGGTTTTAACAAATCAAATTTAAACCGGTAAAACACTGTTTGTACTTTATTGTAGGTCGTAGGTATAATAAAGTTCGCGCCTTCGAGTTGATGTAAATTAAAAATGGCGCGCTAGTCATGTTTACAGCTATGTGATTGGTTCAAACCATTGAGTTCTATAATAACTGGAGGGGAAACGTCAACAAAATTAGTATAAATTATTAGCGCGCGGCCGCGTGGTCAAAAACATGGCGGATTTTGGTGGTCAAAGTCAGCGGATAGAGCTCAATGGTTCAAACGAACACAGTTCTACCTAAAGAGGAAGTGGGGTCATGAACTTGAGTTTGCTGTCGTTAAATTGTGAGTTGACGTTAGCATACTAGCTGGTGTTTTATTCTAAACTCTACCAATTCTACTGAGACCTTTTTAGTGGAAAAACGTTTACAAAAAATATTTTGAACTATGTGATGTGCATCACAACACTATTTAACAGTTAGCACAACCATGGGATGAAGCAATTGCTAAGGAGAACTACATTAATAGACATATTTAGCATAATAAACAATAGTTATTGTATGTGCCACGTAATATGTTGGCATTGTGTGATGTGTTAAGAATCAAGTTTGAACTAAAACATCAACAGTACAAAGAGACGAAAATTCTTAGCTGGACTACCTGTTTCCCCTGGTTTTCTTTTTCTTGATGCAATTTAAAACCGAGTGAGAGGGTTCTGATATACATCACCACTGAAAAAACTTGAGAATTTTAACAAGCCCCCTTCCTCTACACTCCTAGTTCTTCTTTGACATGCATGAAAGTCGTTTTGTCGCCTGATTTCATTGGCTGGTTTTGATGAGCTACTACATTCTAATTGGCAAAATATAATATTTCAAAATAGTAAACAGTGATGTCAGTTCCAATAAAAATGTATGTGAAATACTTTCATCAATATTTTTTCCCTAAGCTAGTAAATACATTATATCTGATGAGGTAAACAACGAAACTTTCTGTTATCTGCAAAAGACGCTCTCTTCAATGACAAACCTAATTGATCAACCAATTAATTGGTTAGTAAATCGATTGATCGGCCAATAATGAAATGAGATCAAACAATAAACAGATTATTTGAATATTGATCAATCGCATTAAAAAATGTAAATTTATTCAAAATTATGGGCTATCAGATAATTATAATCGATCTTTGTGTCTACTTTCTTGCCAAGCTGCAATGCTACATGTCCACTTAATGTGTACCTTTATGTCAACTTTTGTGTCTACCTTTTTTTCTACCTTCATGTCTACCTTTATGTCTACCTTTCAGTCTACTTTTACGTCTACCTTTGTGTCTACCTTTACGTCTACCTTTATGTCTACCTTTCTGTCTATCTTTATGTCTACCTTTAGGCCTACCTTTATGTCTACCTTCATGTCTACCTTTATGTCTACCTTTATGTCTACCTTTATGTCTATCTTTATGTCTACCTTCCTGTCTACCTTTCTGTCTATCTTTATGTCTATCTTTATGTCTACCTTTATGTCTACCTTCATGTCTACCTTCATGTCTGCATTCATGTCTACCTTTATGTCAACTTTTGTAAGTTTCGTGTTGTCTACCTTTATATCTATCTTTATATCTACCTTTATCTACCTTTATGTCTATCTTTGTGTCTATATTTGTGTCTACCTTTTCGTCTAACTTTATAAATGTTTACCTTTGACTCTAACTTTTTGTCTACCTTTATGCCCACCTTTTTTATATGCATTTATGCCTATCTTTTTTCTATCTTTATGTTTACCTTATGTCCATATTTATGACTAGTTTTATGTCAACCATTTTGCATACACAGGGGAAGGCTTTAGGAATTAGGTAATAAGGCAAACCAGTAAAAAATAAGTTTGTAGGAATTCAAACTAGAGTTCTGAGATTTAAACTAAAGTTATGAGTTATGTTTATTAATATAAGGAATAGAATTGAGAGGCTAAATTGTGTAAGAGAAGTTATCTATTGTAATGAAGATGGTTGTAAAGCGCACCCAGTTCCTGTGATAAAGCGGCACTACAAATACGCAAAATAAATTACTTTATATGCAAGCCATTTTTTTTAGCCATAGTTATGATCATCTTGATGTTATGTTGGTGGTTTCCATTGAACTATTTACTAATTTTGTCCCACAATACGTTTGCAGCTATCTGAATTTGCGCAAACATTCCTTCTTCACGAGAAACGTCTTTAGTGTTAAAATTTGCGCCAGCAATGATCTGAAAAATATAACAAAATATCATTCACAAATTAGCTACAGCAAAACATTTTCTCTGGGAAAAATATAAAAATTCCTGAAGGAATGCCATGCTTTTACTTTCTTCGCAACTAAATTATCTCCTCTGTACACTCCTGGTCACTTCAGATATTGTATTTTTCAAGAAAAAATAGTTAAACACAGGGATTTTCTAAGAACAAAACATCAACCCAAACTAAAACACAAATGACCCAATTCTATCATTTAAAAATAGTTGCAAGTGTGAACTAAACGCACAAAATCATGACACAAACAACTTACTTCATTAATGTTTCCTCTGTTGATATCCTCTCGCATGGAGAGCAAGGCCATCGCATGCTCACTAGTAAAATTCTTGAATTCGCTGGCTACACTCTAAAATGGATTAATCGAAGCATCTTTTACCCAAAGCAAAATGAACAGAATTATGGTTGCTAGATTGTCTTGTTGGAAAGAATATCGTAAACACTTACTTGAATCTCAAGCGACAAGATTTCAACGTCCTTCAATTTGATAATATCGGATAACATTGGAATGACAGAACATTTTTCAGTTATCTATAATATTTATAAGAAAATAAATACAAAAGTTTATAAGATAAAAACGATGCTGATAAGGACGATTTGAAAATGCCCCCAAATGTTTTAAACTTTGGATCTCCAGCAATGACAAACTGTTTTTCAAGCCAGCTATTATTACTGTTATTGATTCATTGTTGCAACACTAAAGAAGCAATAACAAAATCTTCTTTTTAAACCTTCTGAAATTATCTGCATATTTTTGGTTTATTGTTTATTATCTATTATTGGTTTTATGGTTTCTACAGAAGGATACCCGAACAAACTATCTTTGAAAGTTTGAAAAGCTCTATCAATTCCTAATGATTATTCCAAGATGTATAAAAATTACATTTCAGTACAATATAATAAAATTTGATAACTACTATATAAAGCTTTAGCTCGAAGTTATAGAAACCTTTTCTGGGTCTACTTGAAGCTTGTTGAACGTTTCTGTGATTTTCTTTGCTTCTCTTTTGATCTGTTCCGCACCCTTTATTCTTTCATTGTAATCTTTAAATCTCATTCTCCTATGTCAGAACATATTGCAACATTAAAAAAGAGTACCATAAGAATGATGTTTTTCTATGATAATCATTATGATCTCATTATTGCCATTATTGCATAATCAATACCATCAGCACAGCAAAACTGCGAGGAGTATCAAAGATATCTTTACTAATCATACGTAACAAAGTAATTGTCTACCATCAAAACTTTCATTTTTTGCATTTGAACGCACCTCTCAGTCATAGCACGGACATATTCAAGTACAACTCGGTCCAAGCACGATAAAAGAAGATATTCATGCTGTCTACAAACGAAAAAGTACCAAACTTAAAACAACTTTACAGAGTCTCGATCAATCACAACCAGGTTCACTTACTTTGGCATGATGTGAGTAAAATCACTATTATAATCTTCGATCGTAGCAAGAATCGTCTCAACGTGGACAGCAACCGTGTACCTTTTATAGGAAAACCAATTATATTTTTAAACCTTCATAACTTTTTATTGTATAACGATGTTTTCATTTATTGATTAATTTTTGAAACTTTGTCGGAAGAAGAAGGTAGACGATATGTCTTAACACCAACAACACTGTTTGTATTACAGTATTTAATAAATTTTGGGAACAATATTCAAATTTTACACAGAGAAATTTAAAGGCAAAAGGTAATATTTCGACAATATTGTATATGTATTACAGAATTGAAAACATTTTATGAATCATAATAGTACGCCCTTATAGAAAAATAAAAAACTGGTATTATCATAACTTACTTTCAAAATAAAAACATCACAAAATACTCAAAATAAACTAAACATATTGTACCAGTGCTCTCGTGTCATTATCTTCTTGAAATGATCTTCAGTGTCCATAAACACTTCCTCCAATAAGAAATCAGAGCTACGTAGAGTAAAAAAGACGTTAACAAATGTCTGTAAACAACAAAAGTAAAACATTTGCAAGCGATGATGGTCAGGCAATTGAGGCTCCGACTTCAAATTAATAATTGTGAAGAAATAAATAAACATTTGTCGATAATAATAAAAATGATCATGACTAAATCAATAATAAGAAAGAAAAACTTCAATACGTAATAACAATTTAATTATTCTCACCATTTCTTTGCCAATTCGTTAAAACAGTCAAAAAGTCTTTTGAAACTTTCTTGTTCTTCGTCCTCAAAATTTCCTGGTTTTAGTTCCCCACTCATTCGATCCTAAATAGATAAAAACGTCGCAATATAAAGATTACAAAAAACTGAAAGATTCTAAAATGACAAAAAATAAAAAAAATATATATGAAAAGGTCCGTTACAATTAAAACAAATATTTAAGTCATCCACATAAAGTAATTCAGGCATACAAACTATTTATTCCACGAAAAAAAATATTTCTAGAAATCACAAACAGAATTTCCACTTACTTTTAATTGTATTGTAAATTCTGCACACTTGAGACAATTGTTAGCGATAGCAACCTAGATAAATATGCGTAAAAGTCAATCCTCAAGCATTTGCAGCCCTTAGGTGAATGAAAATTTGCTCCTTTATCAGAGAATAACCATATAATGGCAATATTTCGTTACAACCCTCCGTTCTCAGATTGTTCAATGTACAAATTATAATACAGCATACACTCATCAAAGATCACACATGTCTCAACGCTAACATGTACGAAATTATAGTTTAATTAACTTACCACAAACTGAACATAATATAATGGTTCGTTCCTGTCTAGAAGATGTTTTTTCTGATATGAATACACGGCCTCTATACCAAATGCAGCACATGAACAATGCTTTATTAAGGAGGACATAAAAAGAACTTTATGTAATAACGTACCTTCGTATTTTCTTTGAAACTCTTGCATTGCTTCGATACATGTTTCTAAAATCTAAAATATAAATTGTACAAATGAAACTTTTTCCTTGACGAAATTTCGACCTATAAATTTCACACGAGAAAAACAACAGGTTTTAGATTATTTGAAAATATAAACTAAGATAACGTGTGTCAGTGTAGGTAGTGATAAATGAACAACAGAGAATGAGAACAGTCTTTACACAACCTAAAATATAAACTAAGATAACGTGTGTCAGTGTAGGTAGTGATGAATAAACAACAGAGAATGAGAACAGTCTTTACACAACCTAAAATATAAACTAAGATAACGTGTGTCAGTGTAGGTAGTGATGAATGAACAACAGAAAACAAGAACAGTCTTTACACTACCTAAAATATATAAACTAAGATAACGTGTGTCAGTGTAGGTAGTGATGAATGAACAACAGAGAACAACAACAGTCTTTACACTACCTTAAATAGAAACTTAGATAACGTGTGTCAGTGTAGGTAGTGATGAATGAACAACAGAGAACAACAACAGTCTTTACACTACCTTAAATAGAAACTTAGATAACGTGTGTCAGTGTAGGTAGTGATGAATGAACTACAGAGAACGAGAACAATCTTAATACGTCACAATCCAAATATATAAACGATGATAACGAAAAAGGAAATGAAAAAAACAGTGAATAACAAATATACAATGTAAAATTTCATTCCCTACCTTGATTTGACACTCTTCGCCAGCTAACGCACCAACTTTAATCTTAAAAGAAGATATATAAACCAAAATGATCGAGTTGAACAACAAAATAATTTTACGTATACATAAATGATGATAAATAAGAAATCCTTACGATAGTACATAACTAGTGTCTTCGAGAGAAGTTGCATTAAAATATCTTACGTTTTGATCAACCATTTGAAAGAGAAAAACCGGAAGTGGCGTAATAAAATAGCCTTCACCATCGCTGTCTGGTAACGACGACTCGTGCCAGTCTTTCATATCAGTTTGCGCTAAGCGTTCCATCCACTCATTAATGTTGCTTGATGTTGTCTTAAAATATCTGTAATAAAGATTAACTTTTCATGATGTAATTGTTCAACCTAGAGCACACTCACAGCACAAGTATCTAGTATATATAGATTTTCATCTCAAAGATCATACAAACACTCACGTTTCTCTGAGTTTTATGAGAATTTCTGGTTTAAGAAGTGGATATAAGGTACGTGCATCAATCTGGAGCTCAGGATGCATCATCAGACTTGGACCACTAAATTTTAACAAATAAAATACACTTTTGATCTTTTTGTGAGAGCAATATAAATCACTCGAAAACAAAACACATGCAGAACATTACACGGTAGAATAACAAAGCTTATTGGTAATTTATTAGAGTATTTACATCTCGGGCGCAGCTTAAATCCACACATATCGGGAAAAAGAAAAAAAGGCTAAAATGATATAGCATGAAACTATAGCATTTGTTGAAAACTTAACGAAAATCTTACTTAGCAAAGGACCTTTTTATAATTCGCCTTTTCACAAACATACACATATGCAGTTCAACCATCCGTCAAAAATGATTATTATTGTATTTAGTTAACAAAAAGTCCGTCTTATTTGTACACTTTCCATTTCCTAAAAGCAAGACGCTTCAATACGTCTTTCAAAGCAAAACAACCCGCGAACTCTGCAGTTCACTTTTGTTAAACCTTCTGTGCAAACCAATCCTTACTCGTATTCTTTGAGCCATGTCAAGATACTAATGCATTCGTCAGACTTGAGTTCACGATCTTCCATGTTCAGTCTATCTTCCATAGTCGCTGGCTCATCATTCGTTGTAACTATAGTTTCCAGCTATATCGCAATTATTGAAACATGCGTTACAAAAACCTAAATCTGCACGAAGAAAAAATATACAAAACTGAAAAATTCTCACTCGCCATTTTTGAAAGCTCCCTGTGGTACATTTGCACGTATTTGTCGAAAATATTATAATATGGCGGAAAACAAGGTTGACAGGACGTCTAGTTTGATAAAGGATAAAACTGGATCATTAAAAAAGACCGTTATTTCATCTGTATGAAAATTTAGAAAGACGAAATAATCCAATAACATATACCTTTATTACACGTAAATCTTCGACCATTATTTGTCTAGTTCTTTCTAAATGTTTCACCAACCACATTTTATCTTTGGCACGCTCATCCAGCTTAATATCAAGACTTACAAACCTGTGTACAATCAAAAAATATAAGACTTCATCAACAAGCTAAATTTACCCAACCAAATCAATCCTAATCTAACCAGAATTTGCAAAGATGTAATCTAGCAAAGTACAAACCAACCTGTACGCCACAGTCTCCTTCAGAGTTATCTCTAATTTGCCTCTTAGTTTTTTTGGGCGTCCGGGAGGTAGGAACCCAGTTCTCACACGTCTTTCCTCAGCACGTTTATCTGCCCTATAATGAAAGTGTGATGTATGTCATATGTTGGCAAGATGAACAATCATTTATATAATCATTCATATAACAACGCTAGTGAAAGAGAGATAAGGCAAACATTGCATAGTACAAAGATGGATTGCATAGTACAAAGATGGTTTTCGTTGGTCATAGGAATGAGAATGGCGTAGAAACAATCAACGAAAGTGATTTAAATCCACGAAATACAATGTTATTTCTTGCGCTTTTAGAACGTATAATAGCACACAACTAAACACAATTCAACTTAATCTTGTAACCATCGTTAGTCTAGCCAAATAGCTAAAATTCACTTCATAGTAAAAACGGCGAACCTTTCCTCGCGTTCAACAATTCTCAGGACGGACACAAGTTTTGCTGGATCAACTCTTACAGTGCTGAGTATTCTTTGGAGAATCACTAACAATTGCTTCCATAAATTATCCTGTGAAACAATCAACATTGAAAAAATTCGTCAATAAGTCTATAATTGAGAGAAAGAAAGAGCAATAGTATAAAGTCTGAAGATTGAAGCACATAGCTATTGCATGTATGTCGGGCATTTCTTAACTGTAAGATACAAAGTATGGTAAACCTACCGAACATATTTTAATCCCTGAAAAATATCCCTCGACAAGCTACAGTAAAACAATATTAAAAAATCTTTTAAACAACGTTAATTTCAAAATGAAATCTAAAAGCCCACCCTCCTAAAACTAGTCTCCACATGAGCCCTGAACGCTACCTTCCAGAGAAGTTCTAAATCCCTTAAAAAAAGTCCAAAAGCATTCCTACAAAATATCTCTAAAATTACGCAATAAAAACATTCTGAAACACTTTCGAAGAACTTAGGAAACCTTTGAGAAAGCTTTAAAGACTAACGTAAATAACACCATTGATGTATACAAAAAGGAAACAGGACTTCCATGCAGCCAAAGAATCTTCATGACAACTAAAATGGCTATTAATGATAGCATGCAAGAAAATTAACTCTTACATTTGCCTCTTTCTTCGTTGCTCCTTTGGTTTTTCCATTCTATAAACTTCTAATAGTACTTCATCACGCGTTGCTTCGAGTTCTGACAATCTTAAGGAAAAAAAGATTGAAAGCAAATTACAATTATACTTCTGAAAACCTTTCTCTGAACTGAATTTTTCTAAGTACTTTTGATGAGCCTCCAGTAGTTTTCCGTTTTGAATGTATTCCTCAGTCAGAATAACATTTGTTGGAACTTCAAATATCTGATTCAAATGTCGGCAAGCTTTGTCTGCTTCGTGATGCTTGACATGACATTGTTTGATTTCATCCAACTCCTCACCAAGGTTGGTGCACGATCGAAAAATTTCGTCAACCTCGTTCATACTATGAATAATGGATTGGTTTTTATTACAGGAGAATGTAATGGCCAAGTAGAAGCAGGGATAAGAAAATAATAGTGGGATAACAGGTAGTAATGGGATAACACGTGGATAAAAAAATGGTGGTGGGAAACATGGATAAGAAAATGGTGGTGGGATAACATGTGGTGGTGGGATATATGGATAAGAAAATGGTGTTGGGATAGTCTTACAAATGTTGGGCAACAGCAACTGGATGAACTTCACTGCTCAACTCTCTTGTAAAAACATGCTAAAATAACATACTTACTTTTTTTATTTGCTTTACATCCTGAAGAGCACTAAAAGAACATGTTAAGATTTTAAAACAATGAAAAAGCTCTGTGGTATTAGACAACATTGGATTGTGGTTTCATGGATATATCACAAGTTTGTTGTTCCTACAACATCCATTAACTTCCTATAAAGTTCTTACACATGAAATTTAATTTATATATGCATAAGTTGTTTATTGAAATTGCTCTTGCAATAGAAAAAGCAGCATTCTATTGCATAAATTCAACAAATCAACTTTATTATAGAAAGACTGGTATACATATGGCACAAACTTACATTTGAAGCTGATGCAAACCAGATCGAACATCATCCAATTGCGATTGCACAGCATTTTTTAGACGTGCCTCCACAGAAGCCTGAACAGATAAAAATTTTTCAACAACTCATTCAATGCATAAAAGCACATAAACAAAAAACTTCCCAATGATTCAGTCTAACCTTATTTCTCATCATTCGACGTCGGTATTGTTCTACTTTATCCAATTGTTCTGGATGCTGAAATTAAGTAGCTTGAAACTTGAATAAATTTGATTAAAAATTTGTGTTGTCCAGACTGTTTAGATCAACAATTCATTGTGTAATGAAACAACAGTAAGCAACACAAAAATCCAAATACAAGGATTATAACATTTTTGCAGTTGTCGATAGTACAAGTTAGAAGAATCCTGTGATGAACTGTTGATGTTGACAGAGACAACCTTAGCAGAAGTGATCTTCTATGTCAAGTGAAGACTTGACTCCAAAGAGGACTACCCTAAGACTTTTGAAAAATCAGCCAAAATCAAACATCAACAATCCTTCTCAGGACTCTATTGACATGGACGATACTTCCGAGTTGAAACAATTCACTTTACAAGGATCATATCAAGAATCTCGTTATCTCAGGAGTAAAGACTATAATAAACTTATAGCAACGATTTTCGAAAACACGGTTACCCACATCTAATAATTACTTTCGATTAAAATGTGCTATGAACATGATCTGATATTCACTCAATAAATAATGAAATGAATGAGAAGGATTCTGGACGAAAATCTAACTATTATATTTCACAAACCTGTAAATAACCACCGACTGTTTTGATCGCATTGTGCAAGGCTTCGGCCTTCGCTTTATTGAGATCAGCATCTTTACACACAGAGCTGTTCATGGCATAAGAAAAATTAACTTGTTTTCGTATTAAACTGATATTTCAAAATAGTTTGGTGTTGGTCACCTATGACATACGGTAATAAATCATTACATACCGCCCTCTAATAAACGCCCCCCAGCGGAGCTACAGGGATTACATACCGTCTAGTGTGTACCATTTATTTTTCAAGAATAAACGGCGAAGAGCGCTAAAATTACCCTCAAAACACTGGTTCAAGTTCACTCTTAAAAATATTATGAAAATGTTCTTGCTTTCACAGTAGGCAAAAATATCTTCACCCTGCTTTGAGAAAAGTTCTTTTTCGCTCCTACTTCAGGGAGTGCTAAAAATAGCTATCTTGAAAGAAAATAATTTAGAGGGGAGGAGGGCACATATTCATATATGCTTGCTATTTTCCAGTGATTTCAAAAGAACTTGATATGGCAGAACATAAATATATAAATATGTTTGCAACACCAATGCAGATCAGTGCTTGATAAATGACTCCCTAAATTAGGTAAAACTGGGAAAAGTGAAAAATACTTTGGCAAATGATATTTTTCAAGTCCCCCAAACAAAATTATCCAGAATACAGTCATAAAGTCAAAAAAACAAGCTAGAGTACCACTTTATGCAACATGATTTAATTATGACATATTCTTAGAATGTTCAAGCTTTCATTTCTTGCTTTTCTTTGCATTACAGTGGTGGTCAGCAAACCTTGTGATGCCATGATTTCACCAATTTCATCTTTGTGGGAAAAAGTTAAAGTTTTTAGCATTTTGCATTTACAGTTTAAAAGTGTGCACAGACTTGCCTGGCTTATTTTCCTTTGAAACAAGTAGATAGAAAACACCGTTCTTCGAGAGGATTTCTGACACTCTTGGAAACAGCTTTTCCATGACCTATACATGAAATTTTATTATTTAATTAATTGAGTACCAGCATACTCAGTTAATTATTATAAGTTATATTTTCAAGCACCCAACAATACAACAACAACACACAAAGAATACACATGGTCAAATTTACCTCTCTACCATTTTCCCCACCAGCCCATGCTGCAGAAATACCATCTGAGATACCTGTGACAAATTGATATGAGATATTGTTAAAACTATGCAGAATTTAGTCGGTATGCTAACAAAGCAATTTAGTATGCTCATCAACCTAATGTCTGATAGTAGTTGGTACTTAAATAACTTGTAGTAAATTACTAAATAGAAAAAGGTACTTTAAATAAAATAAAGAGTCCAGAGGATTATCTAAAACATGGCATATACCTCTTCTGAGGGAGTAACAACATATGGAGGATTAAACAAAATAATGTCTACTTTTTGGTGAGAACGAAAATTCAATCCATCAACCTATAGAGAAGCATGGATATATTCCATTGACATCAAAATCAAATAAAACAAAATGTAATATTTCCAAATGACTCCAGGTAAATGCTAACCATATTTGTGTTAACAATACTAATGTTCACCCCATTTCTGAGGGCAGTTTCTTGAGTACAACAACAAGCATTGAAATTAACATCTGTTGCTCTATAACAACCAAATATAAAATCAGTTTTAAGAAGATTATGTTTGTGTATGATCACAGAAAACTGGAGAGTTGCCAGTGTGGTAACAAATGTAAAATAGTAATTACAGGTAGTATATTAGTCAGAGGTTAAATCCATAGCCAGAATGCAATAGACCCACTATATTAATGGCGAGGTTCATACTCAACGGAACATTGGATCAAATATCTATACTAACATATAGTGTAAATTTTTCCAAGTATTGACGCGATAAAAGTTATAATTACACCACTTCCACAGCCTATCTCCAAGCATACTGTAGGTCTAAAATGAAAAATTAACGTGTTAATGGCTGGTACAGCAGTTTTGTAAAATTGTAATACTGTATCCAAACTTACTTCAACGATTTAATGAATTCAAAATCCTTTTCCAAAGCATCCAGCATCAAGAAACTATCCTCACTAGGTTCATATACGTCTTTGTAATTAAAACATGTTGGTAGTTCGGAGTTGAAAACATGAATCATAATAAAACACAAAAGCATTCAATTGTAACTCTAGATTGTTTCACACCAAATCTGAAAAATATCTACTATTTTCATATCAGTTCTTTAATATATACAATAAAATTTGTATGTATCTAAATAATATTATGTTTTTGCATAATTAATCTTTATTTTAACATACAGCCGTTGATGGGCAGGGAGAAACATATATATTTGGATACAATCTTGCATATTATCCCTCGAGATCTTCGTTATCGACAGATTCCAAATAATGCTCGTAAGCTGTTTGTAGATATCTGTGATCGTGTTCAGAGTAAGAACCTCGGTTTACACGACCATCAATTTCCTGCTCTTCATCAAGCATTTCGCGGACATTTTCTTCAATACCACCTTAAGAAATTAAAATAAATACGCATTTATCCATTTATTGGTACGATGTGAATGTAATAATGAAATTTAAAAAAAAAATAATGAAAGAAACTTTACCAACAACTTCAGCAAAACTATACGTGTGAACGTCCACAGGTTGTGTAAGCCAAGTGTGTCGTTGTAGATCCTGTATGACAGCACGATACTTGGGATCTGGATGCAACATCCAACAGATTAGGAGCATGAGATCTGCAAGATTATACTAAAATTGGAGGAATGTATTGAATAAAGCATTTACTATAGGCTTAAACATAATGAAATAATTAATCTGCGGTTGTTTGAACAATTTGCTTAAATATGATTGATTTTCAACAAAATGAAACAATAAGCCTGATAACCTTGAGAAACAGTAAAAGGAGGACGAAGTTCCGATCTAATAGTTTCTTCAACATCATAGAAAGGATTTTCACCAAATATCAATGTGTACAATGTCACCCCCATTGACCAGATTTCCAATTCTGGCCCTCGATACCTGTAAAATAAACTTGAAGCTTTCGAAACATGAAAACCTCATTTGAACTAAATATTAAATTTGGTCAACCTATTTCCAAGGAGAACTTCAGGTGAGCAATATTCCATAGTACCACAGAACGTAGAAAACAACTTGTCATCTTCCATCATTGCAGCAGAACCGAAGTCAATTAACTTGACCGTAAACGTTTCATCCAAAATTACATTCTCATCCTTGGAAAAAGTGCGACTTACAATGTAAGAAATTATTTAATACACGAATTATATTTCTCAAATTACAGAATTTATTAATTTGAAGTAACACCCGGGTTCAAACCATTTACTTTATAAATGAGCACCTCGATGTGCAGTTTTGAAAATATGAGCAAGCCAAATCTAGAATTCTCGTATTTTTCATTTTTTTTTATCAAATTTGAGGTTACTTTGCATAATTCAATACCCTGAGTACAATGTCTTCATCTGAAGTGATTTTATGTTCAAACTTCAGTCCAAATATACTCCAGTCTAGTGTCTTTATCAGAGACGATCTGATGTCAAAACTTTAGTCAAAACATACTTAGTGTCTTCCATAGAAGTGAGCTACCTAGCTCATATTAAAATTGAAGTTAATGTAAATTCCGTAATTTCTCACCAATAAGAGTAGTTTTGTGATGAAACCTTTATACATACCACACATGCATACCTTAACATCGCGATGGACAATATTCTTGGAATGAAGATATGCAACGGCGTCAACGACCTAAATTCAACAGAATAAAGTATTTAAAGACAACACAGTCATTGATGTGATACATGAAAAAATTTAATGACGACAAACCTGTCGAAACAAATAACTTGCCAATGCCTCGTCCATGTTTGGTTGTCGATCAATAAATTCAAACATGTCCATCCCACCACCATGTTTTTCCATTACGAGTTGAAAGAAATCTTCGTTTTCGAAGGCATCTATCAGCTACAATAAATTTAATGCAGTAAAGGTTAACTCTTGTAGCTACACTGAATACAGGACATTCCTCTAAATCGATTTTATAATACTAGTTCAACTTTCCTGTTACAACTAAAGCAGATCAAAACGAGCTACACGATCATGATTAACGATATAACAACAACACCAAAACGATAACACAACCCCAATAAGCCTACCTGAATAATGTTTGGATGTCGAAGTTTTGTCAACAGCGATATTTCAAAGGGAACGGTGCCAAGAACAGGATCGTCTTTCCAAGAACCTTTTAAAACTTTGTCTTTATGAATAAACTTAACCACCACCTACCATGTAAGTCAATAAAAATCGATCTTATTCTTGAAAAAAATTTTCCTCGGAAAATGCCAGTTTTCCATAAAAAAATAAAGTCGCTCCTGTAAACCCCCAATTATGAAACGAGAGAGACGAGATTGAACATTTTTGTACATGTAACTACCTCTAGATTGTCTGATTTTCTTCTTGCAAGTTTCACAAAGCCAAAAGCGCCTTTACCAATAGAATCCATTGTAATATACCTTTCGTTATATCTACCTCTGCCAGGCGAGTTTTCATCTTTCAAACTCAGTTCATTCATTGATTGACCGAGCTATAAACAAGAATTTACTGAGCTAAACACGTTCACTACAGATTCTTGATCAACAAGTTTGACAAAGTATTTCAAGACAAAATGTTTTTCTTAAAAATATTTTCCTGAACATTTCTCAAATGAACAATATTCTTTATTAACAACGTTCAACTGAATCTGCAACACAAATTTAAGCAAACCTCCTTTATTCCATTCACAGACGAGAGAAAAAGACTGCTATGACTTGAACCAAATGTATGATTTCCCTGTACGCATTTCACATCATCATCCTCGGTATCTTTGGATATCCAAATACAAAATAACACCTGGCCATCTTTAAGTTCAACTCTTTTGATCTAAAAGAGAGTAAGATTAATTCAAGAATCGTCAGTAAGGAAACTTAATTTAGGTGATTTTTTGTTCTGCAGTAAAATTGAATGTTCTTTTCTGGATCTCTAGGACAAAAAACAGTTAACAGAAAAGAAAGTTAAATTAGGTAAGGTTTTTCCTTCGCTGAACACAAAAGATCATTTATATATTATTATCTAACGGTTAAAAAAGGTCATTGGATTATCTATATGTTAGATACAAGATGTAAAATAGCGCACTACAGTGGTATAACTGATATCAATTTATAATATAAAATTCAATCACCTGAAACAAAAGGCCGAGAGAAGATCCATCCTTATGAAGAGCTCTTCCGACAAACATACCCTCGCATATTGGCTGAGTTGGAGACTGGACAGAAGGACTGTCACCAGCACTGGACATATTGGGAGTGGAAGTGAGAAGATCGCGAGGTCCGGATTTCTGAACAGGGATAGAACGCTGACCAGAAGTGCCGATGCTTCCGCTGTCAGGAGATGAGACAGGACGAACATCATTCTGATCTAATGTAATTGAAAAGAATTTTTAAGGCGACTCTTGTATTATACAAGCATCTCGTTATATCTATTTTAGAGATCAGTCTTAGTCGCAAGTAATTAAATTGATGTTAGACATATCCCAACGAGCAAAGAATAATAAGACTAATTGTTTAGGATACTTAAATGTCAGGGTTACACATTTACGTATATAAGTGAAATATTTTTTAGATTCAAAATGTATAAGCGCAACTAAAAACTTGAATCATCAAAAATTATTATCTTTGCACGATGGAAAATTTGAAGTCAATTTGAAGTACAAAATATGACAAATACACCATGAGCTAAGTAAAACGTATTTTGATTAATTCATATGAAACATTTTTTGTCTGGTACATTGACAAATCCTCAACATCATTCGACAAAGATGTGAAATACTTCATGTATCCCTGCGATCTTCACAAGAGAACTTTACCTTTCCCTCGCATTACTAGCATATCTCTGAATAAATCTTCTGCCGTGTATACACCTGAATCGTTTTCTCGTGTAGGAGACGAAACAGTTAGCAGCTCTTGAGGTAATTCATCATATTTTTCCAAAGGTAAGTCATGTGATCCCGCTGACAGCAATGAATCTTTGCTCTGTCCTTCATTTTTCTTCTCACACAACGGTGTCTTCACTTCATCAATATTATTCTGCGACGGGTTTCGTTCATTTGTCATGTCTAAAATTGAATTCGATCGGTCAATATCATGATGTGCGCGGTTATGCTTTGCGTTTTGCATACTAGGTGTTTTTTATTCAAAGCATTCTGCGAATAATCCAAGAAGAGGATTTTCATTTTAAGATGGGAAAGATGGGTGAGAGGAAAGTAAAGAAAAAGTTCAAAAATAAAAAACGCAAAACTAACCTTCTGAAAGACCCTCCTCTTCATGTTTAACTTTATCATACTCGCAATCTTGGGAATGTACCTCATTCCCATTTCCCTCAGCACCATCATCATCGTTTATTAAACTACTTTGACTGATACTACTTGGCGAACTATCTCCCAACGTGGCACGTGTACTATCTACTTCTGATAATTGTAAACCAACTCCAGTGACAAATAGATTACCAAGATCACCTAAGAAACAATGCTATAATTTACTCAAAACAATAAGCGCCGTGTCATGTGCAATGAAAAAGTTGCTGCAAACTTACGAGAAGTGAACTTGTAGAGATTTTTCACAGGTGAAAGATGCGTTTGGTCATGTTCAATTTCATTTTTTTCGCGCTGTTGAATGATGTTTTCTTAACGAAAAACAGCATTCAAGAAATTGGCTAAAATGTATTAAATAATAAAGATAAACTCACCACAACTCTTTGCACTAGCGGCGGGAGAGTCAATTTCCCTTGAGTAAATGACCGCGCTGCGTTTTGAAGTTAATACTCGTCCACTTTCACCACGTGACAAACGAGAAGTTATCTCGACATCGTCATCTTCATCTATTGGCGGGAATGGCATACTGCTGTCGTCAATTAGATCCATATGATCGTAGAAAGCTGGTACGAGCTCGGTGATTGGCTGAGGAAACAACATACAATGCTTCTTTGCATAGAAAAAAAATTTGTCACACAGCGAGCACATTCAATTACCTTCCCCACCAAATCCTCGTCAGTATAACCAAACAACATAAAAGTGAAGTTTTTATTACAACTGTAAATATCACCATTTGGAAGAACACTGATTAAACCGCTGATATTTGAAAACACCCAGACGATGGCAGAAAATGTAGACGATCTGCACTCGTCTTCTTTCACGGAGATGCTCAAAGGAAACGCGAAACCATCTTTTGTATGACCCGTTGCTTGCTGTTTTTCGATACTCTAAAAAAATATTTATGCAAAAAAAATCATGTAAGGCTGAATTTAATTTGGACTTGAATCGTTGATAGGGAAGGGAATAATAAAAGAAATAAAATGATTTACTGGTGGACAGGGAGGGGGCAAAAGTGGATGAAACAGGATTTACTAGTGGAGAGGATGGACAAACTCTGAATAAGACAGAGATACACTTCAATATTTACAAAAGAAATAATGTTTCTATTTTTTTCAAGAGCATAGTTCACATTGAACAATTTATGTTTTTACCATGTCGATTGGTGTTCCAACGTGTGGCAAAATAAACGAGGGAATGAGTTGTTTAACATTCATATGATTAAGTTCTTGTGACGACGAGTATCCATGCAGATATGCAAACTGCTCATCACATCCCAGGATTGAACCCTGAAGGAAAAACAAAAAAAAAGTATTCTCGCACAGAAATCTGCTTGATTCTCTGCTTCGTAAAATAAAATAGCATTATGAGCAAAGTATTCTAATGCACTAACTTCACTATCAAAAGTCATGTGAGCAGTTTGTCGTTCAACTGCCTCTAGGACAGCAATGCATCTTGGTTCCTCGTCCCAGATCACTTTCTTCATCCACAAAGAAACAGGAAAAACAACTCCGTTGCTGTCAACGGCTTCAAACTTAACAATGAAATGTAAGAACTCTTAGCAAGGAAACGAAAAAAATAGGTACAATTGAAGTACAATTAATAGCTGCAAGGGAAGTTCTTTTCCTCAATCGATAAAGTTATACTGGATATAGTTAATATGGTGACGTGAGCTAAAAATACTGAAGGTAGTGAAAGTATAGCAAAGGTGGTCTAAGTAAAGCACAGGTGGTATAAGTATAGCAAAGGTGGTATAAGTATAGCAAAGGTGGTCTAAGTTTAGCAAAGGTGGTCTAAGTATAGCAAAGGTGGTCTAAGTATAGCAAAGGTGGTCTAAGTATAGCAAAGGTGGTCTAAGTATAGCAAAGGTGGTATAAGTATAGCAAAGGTGGTATAAGTATAGCTAATGTTGTCTAAAGAGGACTAAGTATGTCTAACATTGTTTAAGTATAGCTTAGTATAGCTAGGATTGCGTAGGAAGGTATTACGTGTGTTCCTTTTTAACAACATATTGAAACACTTCAGGAAGGATCAGATACAGTAAATACCGCCACATACCACTTTACCGCTGACCATAACGACTGCACCACTGTCTTCGATATGCTGCTCGACCAAGGCTTCCTGCCGTGCTTCGTCACTTTTCGTAAACATCTTAGACATCTTCATTCCAATAAGATCATCGTGAGAGTAGGCAAACATTTCACATGCAACATCATTGGCTACTAATATCTCTGATGTCTTAGCGTTGAACGTTACGATTGCCTTGTTCTACAACGTAAATAAACAGCACGACAACATACCTACAATGAAATATTTTGTCGTAACTGTGTTTTGTAATTTGCAAAACTATCCACATTTACAATTAGTTGTTTTTCTTTGTGTACTACCGTGTACTGCCGTGTAGTGCCGTGTACTACCGTGTACTAATTTACCACCAACTGTGTTATGTTTTATAATGCAGATTGTATAAAGACTGTTTTATCTCTCTGTCTGATAGTTATCTTCTTAACTGATCTTCATTAACAACTTTAAATGACACACGCTCATCATAGTTTGTATTTTAGATAGTGTAAAGACTTGTTCTCATTTGTTCATTCATCACTACCTACACTGACACACGTTATCTTAGTTTATATTTTAGGTTGTGTAAAGACTGTTCTCGTTCTCTGTTGTTCATTCATCACTACCTACATTGACACACGTTATCGTAGTTTATATTTTAGATAGTGTAAAGACTGTTCTTGTTCTCTGTTTTTCATTCATCACTACCTACACTGACACACGTTATCTTAGTTTATATTTTAGGTTGTGTAAAGACTGTTCTCATTCTCTGTTGTTCATTCATCACTACCTACATTGACACACGTTATCTTAGTTTATATTTTAGGTAGTGTAAAGACTGTTCTTGTTCTCTGTTGTTCATTCATCACTACCTACACTGACACACGTTATCTTAGTTTATATTTTAGGTAGTGTAAAGACTGTTCTTGTTCTCTGTTGTTCATTCATCGCTAACTACACTGACATGTCCTATTTTAGTTTATGTTTTAGAATCTTAGTTTATATATTCTAGGTAGTGCAAAGACTGTATCTTCATTCCAGGTAGAGTCAAGTTAATAGACTTACAGGATTTCGAATGATAATTTTTCCTGTTGTTGATGCCATAGTTGTACCTCCAACATAGTTAAAAAATTGCCAAGATGAGCTCATTGACCCTTGAACATTATCAAACTCAGGAACACTGCTGCAAAAGCTGCCTTTCTGTGGTGACGTAGCAAAACAAAAGCTGTGGAGTGCATTACCTATATAAAATGAATCATGCAATGAAAAAATGATCACAAAAAGAAATGTATAGATTTTTTTAATGAAAATGGCTATAAATCAATAAGATATAGACTTATGCATAGTTTTTTTGCAAGGTAAAGATGCTACTTTTTAGATAAACCCTCAACAACATATCAAACACTTTTTCCATCAATCACATGTCCCTGCAGTCTCCACAAAATCCTTTCTCAGGTCAATTTAATGAATATAAATAAAGAAAGTTTTTACCTGTCCACTGTTCATCTACAACACGTTCTTTCAACTCCTCCTTTGTTCTTGCGCTTTTTCCATTTATCCCACTCCAGATCTCAGGTAGACTTTGGTTTGTTGGGATTTTTTGATCGGACATTGAATGACTCAAATGTGAACTTAAAAATAAACTCTTCTTAGATGTTCTTATTCTGTCCAAAGGTGACGAAGGCATATGACCAAAGATGGAACCACTGGAATTCAACAGGCTTGGGCATCGTGTAGGCATTGTCTTATTTAGAATCTACCTCGCATAATAAAAAATAATTTAACATTGTAAATTATTTTAAAATTATATTCATATCATTTCCAACAAATACAAGGTCAAACATTAGATTGATTATTATATGGGATTTTAACATTACGTTAACTCTTAATGACAACACAATATAGTGCAGTGAACAAGAAAAAAATTGCCATAAATAAAAACTGTAAATAATTTAACCGTCATCATAACAATGTGATGTTAATCTTTGCAAAAAATGACCACAAATACAATTCAGGAGAATCACAAATACTTTTTTTGACAATTGACAATTCAGAACCATAACATTTTAAAGGTGAAAACATTTAAGCGTTTTACTAATTGAAATATCCCAGTAAATTAGGAGTTGGGAGTCGTTTGCAAAGACTTTGTACTGATTGTATGAGAAAAACTTGCGAGCCAGCTGGCCTGCAGAGTCATTCGCAATTTGGCATGAAGTAATTTTTGCTTATCACCTTGGTTCTTTAAAGGGAAATTGTCCTTTCACAATACAAAAACATTAAAAATAAGTATGAACAAAATTAAAATATACATCAATGCAAATCATTTTCTTCTGACTGATCGCCATTACCTTTCGTTTGAAGTCTTTCTGGAGAGTGAAAAACTTTTGGCGAAACTTTTATTGTGACAAGACAATATTCTCAGTATTTTTCTTACCTGTCGTGAATTAATATTGCTAATAAATTCAGACGAAAACTTGTCAAAGGATGTAGATTTTTGATATAAAGGTACACTTTTAGCTCTGGGTGGCAAAGGTAATTTCTCCGGTTCAATTTCAGACGCCATGATTTTGTTTAAAATGCAGCGCGCATCCATTGGCAACGTCGTATTTGACCTTCGGATGCGAACGATACAGGTTCGGTACATTGTCGTAAATATTGTTCGATTTCAGAATGATTATAAACAGTGCTAAGTCAGCATTTTATTTTTCAATAATGTCCACGTGTGGTGTGATGCTTGGCATTTTGGACGAAGAAATTCCTTTGGTGGACGATGATCGAGTTGGTTGGATGACTAATAAAATTGGTGGAAGTCCTGTAAGTACGATTTTGATCTTTTTATGTCTTTTGCCATCATTCCTTAAAATTTAACAGATTTGAGATTGGATGTTTTAATACCATATGAAGAATCCCATGATTCTCTTATGATGGCTTTGGAATAAATATTTTAATTTTTTTGTACTTTAATAATGTAATATGTAATTACTGCTATGCAGTAAAACACAGAAAACCATACCGTTGTATAAGTATGTTGGTTTATACAGGCAATTGTTGATGAGCAACTGTCTACGTAATTTTTTTAAATCAATTGTTATAACTTGTCAAATTCATCGCAAACACAACAAATTACTTAGTAGCAATATTTTACAATAATAGAATTGGATGAATGAAACTCCTCATATCTACCCACAATGTGATATTTGTGGTAAGGATCTTCCTCTCGTCATCCAAATCTACTGCCCATTACTAAACTCACAATATCACCGAGTGTTGTATGTTTTTGGTTGTACCAATATTCCATGTTGGAACAAAAATGAAAGGTAATGGCTGGATAATGCTCATCTTTAAAACAAGGTTTAAAGGTTTTCTCTTAAATTTATTTACTTTTTGTATGGAAATAATAATTCTACTAGCAAAACATTGATGTTAGCAGTTACTTCTTGTAAAATCTAGTAAACAGATTTCTCAAAACATTTTTTTCAAAGCTTGTTTCACAATTTTTTCAGTTGGAAAGTGTTGAGAGGTGAAGTTGTGAGTGAACGAAAAAACATTAAGGTAATAAAGTAAATATTATGATTTTCTGCCAAGTCCACGTTAGACATTGATCACATGTTACATGTAAATTGCATTAGAACGAAGAAATTGTTAGTTCTCAAGAGTCAAAGACAAACAGTTGGTGTGATGACAGTGATGATTGGGGAGAGTAGGTAGCATTGTGTGGTAATTAATGTACAAAATACTAGTTTCAATCATCTATTGTAGCTTTTCTTGTTCACTAAAGAAATTCTTCTGGTATTTTAGACATGAAGAAATTGATGTCAATATGACGACTGAAATTACCGATCTTGAAAATCAAACTAGGAATCTTGAGTTAACATCAAAAGAACAAAATAATATATCATCTTTTTCTCAAACCTATCCAAACAAAACAACACCGAAAGTGTATTTCAAACCATATTTTGTGACAGTACTGAATGAATATGATTTGAATTCTCACACCAGCAAAATGACTCTATCAGAGAAACATTTGCTGGATGAATATAGGAAACGCGAGGGACTAAAAGATTTTACTGAGATTGAAAATAATTTTGTTGGGGCTAAATGGCAGGGGAGAAATATGAAACCAGTTGTGCAAAACCTGAAGATAAAATCTTCCAGAAGTTCAAGAAAAAACTAACTTTGTGTCCAGAACAGTGTATTAGGTAAATCTCTTCAACTAGTTCTCCTATTTCCAATGTTTTGACAGTCCACCTTTTCATAAAAAATTGTGTTGAAACTTGTCTAATCTTTTAAAAAGTTTTTAAGTTCATCACATTTCGACTAGTGGTATTCAAACACGAATGGTGGTTTGGTTTGATTTTGAAAATTGAATTTCTTATTTACAGGTATAAATGGGATGGAAAACCACTCCCCATGACATCACAGTCAATTGGAACTATCCCAGCATGCAGTACATGCGGGAGGAGAGTATTCGAACTACAGTTAATGCCAGCACTAGTATCTCACCTGAAGATTGAGAAGGACAATAGTGCGATTTATTTGAATAATGAAGATCTAAATGAGCACAATTGTACTGCAAATGAGCAGGACATCTTTTCATGGCAAAGAAATGTGAACTCAGCTTCTATAGAATTTGGGATGGTCTTCGTTTACACCTGCTCAAAATCTTGTTGGGAAGAAGGCAGGAGTTATCAACAGGAATACATTTTAGTCCAATCATATCCTGACCAATATCTTTTTAGAGATTTACAATAAATTCAAACGGTCATTTTAATGTTTTGTCACTATTTCTTATTTTTACCTTTCCCAGTTCCCTTAGCACGTGATTTACTGGTTGATGCAGTGTTCGTCTTACTTTGCCCCTTCTTTACCACAGATTTTGCATTCTTTTTAACTTTGAAAGTCTCGGCAATATCTTGATCACTTTCATCACTACTTACATCCATTTCTTCACCAACGCCAATCTCATCAGTTTCTAAGTTAGCGTTAGTGTTTTTTTTCGATTTCTTCTTCGCACCAACATTTGATGAATAAGGCGTAAGATGAGATCCTTTGTTATAAATCCTGGTAAACGCCGCTTTTACCTATAGAAATTTTAAAGCATTCACTGTCATGTACTGCAGATGTGATTTATTTCATGATTAAACACTTTCCTCTCGTAACATCGTATCGGCATGACAAAAAAAAGAAAATTCGAAGAAGTTTATCACCTTTGATTCAATCGCATTTTGAGGCTTTTGCATTCCATCAAACAGTCCGACTTCCATGATATTTTCCCAATCTTCTTTCAAAAAATTATAATCGTCCATAATCTGAATGACTTCGGCAACTTTAGAAGGTGCATTATCGCTGTTCTATGTAGAATGTAAAAAAGAACACAGTAAAGAGAATCATAAAGATAAATAATCGGAAGTGTTGATCAAATAATTGACCAAACCGTAGTTGTAAAAGAAAATGATTGACTTTATATTTCAAGTAACAAACAAGGTTCATTGGAGGCAAGCTTAAAATGCCAACTAGGGATCTAAGGATAGTATAAAGTTTCACCATTAATTTAAGAAATTATATGCAATTTTATATTTTGCACGACAATATGATATTTTCAATAATGCGTTTGCTATGTGTTTCAACGAAACGCGCCTGGCAATTTTGCATGAAAAATCCACATCCCAATGTTCAAAATCTGTTTTACTCTAAAAGATTTTTAGCGATATTATTTATTGCAGCCAGACATTTAAATACAAGAAGATAACCTTAGATCATGAATTAATAGAATTCAACTTACAGCATTGATTAATGGTCTGCTAAGGGCGTTTCTTAAATGAGGGATATAGTCCAAATTTAGTTCATTTTTGCTGCAGAAAATGCTGTAAAATAGGAGAAAAAAATATATAATAAGTTCATCGAAAAGTATCATTGCATCAATGTAAATCAACTTATCTAAACTAATGTGATAATGCGACATACAAAACTTGCCAAAAAAATGGAAAAAAACCCTGCAAAATCCTCCCTTTTCTGCTATTTTAAATGTAAATATACTTAATAATATGCAGCTGTACCACACTTGCTACGGTCGATCAGTCCCCAATGATTGAAACTCTGATTGATACCAAAATTCACTCAATATAAACTGTTTAAAATCTCACAGAATTTTCCATCCATGTTCATCACAAAACCATAGTATTATACCTCAATTGCGCGTGGCTAACTAGTTCCTGTAAAATTCTTGAGTTTTTAGAAGTTGTTGAATTCTTTCCAAGCCAGGAAGGAAACTCGATCCGGTGACCTATTCTTCCACGCATTACAGATCCTGGCAGGACGCAGGAGAAAAAAGCCTAAAGTAATTAGAAACTAGATCAATATAACGAGCAGTCTTTACACTATCTAAAATATAAACTAAGATAACGTGTGTCAGTGTAGGTAGTGATGAATGAACAAAAAGAACGAAAACAGTCTTTACACTACCTAAAATATAAACTAAGATAACGTTTGTCAGTGTAGGTAGTGTTGAATGAACAACAGATAACGAACAGTCTTTACACAACGTAAAATGTATGTACACTTAAATAACTTATGCCAGTGTATAGGTAATGATGAACGAAAAAGAATGAGAACAATCTTACAATGCATTAAATTAACACGAAATTTAATTGTGGATGTAATTTGCTTTTCACCCAACGATATGTTTTCGAGCAAACAAAAAACAAATGAACCCATCAGGTTTTTTCAACCAATCTTATAATGTTAAAAATAATTAGTTGTATAAATTTCATGTATACCTGTAAGGGCAACAAGTTCCAGCTATTATTGCCACGAATACATTTTTCAACAAGATCAGAATGACAATATGACTCTGCAGCATCACTTACACACTTTAGTATTTCTTTCATATCACCCCTAGAAATAAAAAGAAAAATGTGTTGTTGGATTTCTTTTGAACAATACTAAGATATTTTCACCGTCCTAAATATGAGATAACAGCATTACAATATTTTCACCATGCTCAATTTGAGACACCAACATTACAATATTTTTACCATGCTCAACACGAGATACCAACATTAATTTATTTTCACCATGCTCAACACGAGATACCAACATTAATTTATTTTCACCATGCTCAACACGAGATACCAACATTAAGATATTTTCACCATGCTCAACACGAGATACCAACATTAAGATATTTTCACCATGCTCAATTTGAGATATCAACATTAAGATATTTTCACCATGCTCAACACGAGATACCAACATTAAGATATTTTCACCATGCTCAATTTGAGATACCAACATTAAGATATTTACACCATGCTCAACACGAGATACCAACATTACAATATTTTTACCATGCTCAATTAGAGATACCAACATTACAATATTTTCACCATGCTCAATTAGAGATACCAACATTACAATATTTTTACCATGCTCAATTAGAGATACCAACATTACAATATTTTCACCATGCTCAATTTGAGATACCAACATTAAGATATTTTCACCATGCTCAATTTGAGATACCAACATTAAGATATTTTCACCATGCTCAATTTGAGATACCAACTTACTTTGCCTTATATGGAGAAGCTTGTAAATAGTTTTCTTGTGAGAAGAGCGGTATTAATGAATAATTGTTAAAGAACAGAGAAAATTGATCTTGGATTTTCATTTTAGAACTTTCCTCTGCACTAAAGATCTTTCTTGTTACATCAAATGGACCAATTTTCACATCTTTTTGAGCTCTACCAGCCTCGGTTTTCGTCTCATCGTAGGACAGAGACTTTTGCCTAGCTGTCCACATGGAAAGATTGTATAAGACCTGAAAAAAGACTGGCACTAGACAAAACGTAGGCATACATCAGTCAGTCACTCCTGATAAATACATAACACTGAACTACATAAGAGTTCCAGGGTCAAGACTACATCACTGAAATCATTCGTGGTCTAGTTAATGGTCTTGAGTAATTTTAGGATAGAGTATATGGAGACTCGTGCACTCGTTTCAAACATCAGATCACTTCTGACAACGTAAAGCTGTAGTATATTATTCTTAATAAAGATTAAAACCTGTCTAATATCTTGATTTGCTCCAATAACGATATTTTCCATGGCTGAAACAGAAATTTTCACACCTTCTTTACAAGCAATGCTCATCATCGCAGCCTATGACATACAATAAAGCAAAAGTTATCTAGAGAAATGTAGTTAGTTAAGTATATCATTACTATTTTAAGTAAAAAAGGGATTAAAAGATCCATTTTACAAACCTTGATCTGTTCAACTCTGGGTTTCTGAAAGCGCAAATCGAAGCAATAATTTGCAAGGCTTCTGACTTTCTGACTGTTTCGATCATTACACATGCAGATGATGGGGATCTTTGTTGACTTAATAAGATTAATGAGCTCTTGCATCCCACCACGATCCTCGTTGCCAGCCATACCGTCAACTTCGTCCATAACGAGGGCATGATTTGTATTTAAGGATTTTTTTCCTTTGAAAATAATAAAATTTTCATAGTACGTACCAATTTATGGAGTGTCAATGAAAAATATTTGATTGACACTCAAGTTTGAGATGATTCTGAAGCTTGGATCTCTATAAACTCCGGGGACTAGGACGTCACATCACTCCGGGAACTAGGACGTCACATAACTCCGGGCACTAGGACGTCACATATCTCCGGGGACTAGGACGTCACATAACTCCGAGGACTAGGACGTCACATGATATTGAAAGTCATGTTCTTGTATACTCAGTAAATTGTCTTTAGGAGACGTGATATAACGTTGAAATTTGAACACGTTTAAAAGTGAATCACCTGGTATTGAATCTAAAGCTCTTAAACAACTAAATGAAATGTAAACTTGAATGTTGCATACTGTAAAGAAGCTCAAGCTAGCAAGGCCTCACCTGAGACACTGAAATACGAATCGACAGTAGTGTTATCGAGAAGTTCAGATACGTGTTGTTCTAGAGTCTTTTTACTTCTTGAATCACTAGCATTAAACTCCACAAATGAGAATCCAGCTTCCTATGTTATAAAAATTCAACAATAATACCCATCTTTATTCAACCTATTGAGGGAACATGGTAATTAACATACTTGACAAACTAAATGGGCACTTGTTGTCTTGCCAACACCAGGAGGACCAGAGAGTAAAGCAGCTTTAAATATTGAGCCATCTTCTTTCCGACAAAATAACCTATTAAAGTATTAAAAAATTTCTTCATGAAGTACTGTTGTGAAATACTTGATTGTTTCGGATTGAACCACAACAGGAAAACTACGATTTACTAACTTAACCAAATCCGTTTTAACTGTTTTGAAATTTATCCATAATGCCCAGGTTCTTTGTGAAATCATCCTCACATATGTGCAATATAAAGATTATATTTTATTAATAAAAACAAAGTTTTTAGTACCTCCTTTAGGCTTTCCAGATATTTGATTTTTATGCCAATTCCTCAACCAACGGAGCAACTTGTTCACATTACTTCGCTCTCCTTGCTGACCGATAATGTTCCTAAGTGTCCTGGGTTTGTACTTATCTACCCACAGCAGACTCTCGCCTGATCTATCTGACAAATATTTGATAGCCATATTATTGGATTGAAAATAGGTTTTAGTTTGTTTTAAACAGTTTCGTCTAATGAGCGGGAAGAAATATTCCTCACTCAGGTTTGAAAATAGGTTTGTTGCCCTGTTTACTATACATATTGTATTTTAGCTCAAATTCTATAGTTTCGGTTTCTAAGCTTAAACAGTCGTTAAATCAAGTTTAAATTGTTATGAAGTTCCTCGAGATGACAAATTCAATGATTTCAAATCAAATTCAAACATTAAGTAAAGAAGAAAGCAGCAAAAGAGGGGTAACCAATTTCTGCTACGATTTTAATGAACTTCAGTGGTTAAATATAATAAAAAATTTCAAAAATACCTCCAGCTATTGGTGATGAAACAGGTGTCTGAGTTGCTGGTGCTGAGCAAGCAGAAGAAATAATGGACGACTGACTATTCCCTGCTTGACTCGACAAACCAGTTGATTTATCAGTAACAGATCTCTGACTGTCTGTGTCATCGCTGAATTGAGAAGAACTGTGGTTTTGAACAATCTAAAGATAAACAAGGAAAATATGAAACCACAAAACCCATGTGTTTTACTTGGAGAATTTTTACGTGACAAACAACTTCGTTGGCAGGCGCAAAATTTGCCGCAAGAATGTTTCGAACTAGCACATTTAGAAAATTGTGAAGATACGTCAGTGTGGAGAAGATGAAAGGAAAGGTGAGAAGAATTTATGATGGCCATACTGGACGCGATCAAGAGATATAAATATATTATCATTGGATAACAGTATTTTCTTGCATTCATAAAGATGGATTGAAAGAATCATAAAAAATTAAGCAATTTAACATACCTCGTCTTTCTTGCATTTTGTTTCTTCAGCTGCATTTGAAGATCGAATCATCTCAAACAATTCATCTTCACTGATTTGTTTTGTTCCTAATTGTTTGGACTCAAACAAAAAAGAAGAATGTCATGCTTCTAGATCATACAAAGATAAAGTAATAATAGACAGACTCGTCGCGTTGTTCCCCACTTATTCATAATATACTGTTTTACTGGTTTTTTTTTTGGATTGTATTCTTTAACATCAATAACTTATACAGCCTACAGATTTAATCTTTTTATGTAAATTTCTCAATTGCTACCATTATTTATTTCTTAACAAATTGTGTTATTTGAATCGGTTACTCTACTGATTAAGACGCAACGGAAAACCTACACTCAATTAACTTTGTTTGAGCAGGATAACTAACTTTGAACAGGATAGATCTATCAGTTAACGAAAGAATAGTCACCCATACTTTATATTTACAATAAAATACAAACCTTTTCTAATTTTGACATTCCGGGATCTCTTCCTACAATGATGTAGTTTGTCTTCTTGCTTACAGCTTGAGTAACTTTGCCACCATGACGTTTGACTAACTCAACTGCATCATCTCTTTCAATGCTCTCAAGAACTCCAGTTATAACAAATACTTTTCCTAACAAACAGGTTTCACTACCCTAACAAAAAACAAAAGGAACAATGGTGGACTGCGTCATTGAATGACCATAGAGAAAGAGAACATATTGTCTGATGTGTCAGACAATATATAAAATGAATTACATATTATATTAATTACAGACATAAAATATCTTCCAAAAACTAAACAAATCCCCATACCCTGGGAATTTCCTTAGATCCCAGGGCACGTGGTCCCTCGCGTGACATGAAATTACGATATCCAGATTGCTTTCTCTCTAACGAAGAAGGGGTCGAATCCTTATATTGTCCTCCATCGGATCCTTCCAATGAAACCTTTTGGGCAGCTTTGGGTGTTTCGGGAGTTACAGGATTCATACTTTTCTTAGACTTTGAGCTTTTCGATTGAGGTGTTGAGTGAGATGGCTCAGTTTTCTTTTGAGGTGAGATGTTCTTTCCTGTATACAAAGACTTCGACTTTGTAGGAGTTGTATTCGCAGGTTTAGCTGACTTCATATCATCTTTGATTGACTTGGCAGCCGTGTTATTGTTGGTTTGAGAATTTTCAGTAACAGATGTTATTTGTTTTACTAACATTTTACTATCTGAAGCTTCGGTTTTAATCTTAGACATCTTTTTTGATTCTTCTAAAGTCTTTGCATTTTGTTTAGATTTTTGTGTTTTCTTAGAGGCCTTTGTTGACGATTCTTTGCATTTAAAATCTTGGATGTTACTTTTGACCTTTAAAGCTTTATCTGTTGTCTCATAATTGCTTTTTCCACCTAAATAAGGAAAGAAATCAAGTTTAGCAACACATTAAGAATTATTAGTCGCAACAAACCATAAATATGTGTGTGTTTTAAATTTTATACCAGTAGAAATATGGGACAAAATAAACTGTTGATTCAGTTCAAAAAATGTTGAAGCACTAAAAAACCCCAATACTGACCTTTTTGGATGGCTTTTCCGCTATATTTTCACATTCAATCTCTTTTTCACTCAATGTAATATCATCACTTCTACTACATCTTGTCATGGTCTTCAATTCAGAATCGTCATTTACATGCTGAAAATATGCAATCAAACAATAGAACAGAAGATGATAAAGACTTGTTGACGATATGAAATAAAGTGCTCCCTATATAGCCATAAGATTCTCTCTCCCCTTGTACTAGATCAATTAGAATCTAGTAATAACATAAGCCTTCACAGCCTACCCCCTAGAACAACGCCCTTAGCAAAGGCCTTATTCAAATCCAACCACAGCACGATAAAATCTTTGAAACACAGGTACCTCTTTTCGCTTCTTTGCCATTTTCAGGGCTTTCTCCACAGGTTTTGAGCCAAAATAGTCAGATGCAGTTACAACCATTTTTTTTGAAGATCCCTTGATTGTCCTATGATAAACAGTAATTAATGCATTACTGACAACAGAAGTGAACGTGAATCCTTATTATATCTGAACCTAGAGTCTTCATCTGGTTATCAGATGTTAAAAGTTAATTTCTCATAATCTCCAATCTAATATCTTCAACAAGAGAAAGTGATGTCAAAATGTTTTATTCTTCAGTCAGAAGTCTTTGAACATAAGAAGTTATTTGATGTTGAAACTTGAGTCATCTCCATTCTACACTAAATGTTCCAGTCCAATGTCATCATTAGAAAAAATGTAATGTAATTGTTAACAATTAAATCCTCAAATACTTTAGTCTAGTATCTTCAATAATGGTAGCCTGATAATTAAGTTTGTGCCTTTCTATTCCTCACTCATTTCACTTCAACAGAAGTAATGTAATTGAAAATTAGATCATAAAAGAATTTCATAGGAGTGATGTGATTCATACTTTACTGGGGTTTTCTTTGTTTTTCCTTCTCATGTTTATTCTTTACTTCCTTTTGGAGTCTTGGGGGTAATACATCTTCTTCATCTAATAAAAGCCAAAACAAGTTATAAATCAGTAGAGATACTGCATGAACATACAACATTTTACATCATTCAACCTAACCTGAACTGATGACATTAGACTTCTTTCGTTTCTTGGCCTTTTTCACAGATCCTCCTGTTTTTTGCCTATTGTTTTAAGTATCATCTTCAATAAAAATGGTCAAACTAAGCAAACAACAGAAATATAATTGAAGACCTGATTTTTGTGGGCAGTGGGTCCTCCTCATCTGAATTATCGTAAAAGAAAAATGGATAAAATGATAAATGCTATAAACTTGTTTTTATTGTTATTTCAATAACATGAAGTATCTGAAATTTATATGAATGCCAATTCATACACCTGAACTGAATGATATGGGTGGTTTACAAATTTAATTTATAAATAAATTTTAATACTACCCTTACACTATAATGGGTATACAAGCCAAAATTTTTTCAAGGGGCAGTTTTAATGTTAAATGACCCAATTTAACCAGCTTTCCAGCAATTTGTGTTATAAGCATGTTTTTTGAATTTCAGTAAAATTTTGATGTAGAAATATGTCTGTACAGCTTTATTCTCTGCAACATAATTGTCCAATGTCCACATATTCTCAGGTTAATTTGACTAGTTAAGCATAATAGAAACTCTTTTTCTATCAAGGCATGTTCATATAAAGAAGCCCTTGATAAATGTTCAAAAAATAACAAACCAGACTCAGCAATGGTCTTTTTCGTCTTCTTTTTTCCTTTTGTATTGCTCTTTTTTGAGAGATTCTCTTCTGAATCTGTGGACTGAAAGAAATATATTGGTTTAAAACTTCATTATAACAGCATTAGCCTAAACAATGATGAGCAATAAGGTTCATGCAGCAACAACAGGGGATGCATCAATGTATCAAACTCATGCTATGGTAATAGAGAATATATCAACGTCTCACTGGATGATGCAGGGATAGCAGGGGACACTACAAGGGTAAAAAGGATGTAGCTCCATCTTAAAGGTTTGTGCAAAGAAATGAAGGAATCAATAAGTTGTATTGGGGTTGCATTAATGTTTAAGTAAATTTTGATGATTTAAGTGATCAATTCATAATAGTTAACTATACAAATAATTGAATAAAGGCCAATTTTCCTGTGGTTCCTGAAGAGTTTCAGAGACACAATATCTTGGATTTGCAGCATACCTCAGATATTTTTCGCTTAGTACCACTTTTCGATAGTTTTTTTGAGCGAGACTTGCCATCTCCATGCTCGCCATTGGGCTTTTTTAAAGTTCCCGCGTGAGACTTGTCTGAATCATTATTTGTTTTAACACTAAAGAATTGTCTTATATCCTACAAAAGCAAAGCAGTTAACTAGTCATACTACAATAAACAAATCTAAATCGCTTTCTTCCCTACCATTCCTATATTTGCTGAGGTTAACGAGCACAAACGACGACAAATTTATTGAGTTTGGTCGCAGTTTACCGCCATATTGATCTACTGACTTCAATGCGCGAAACGGCGTTCACTGTTCATCGCAAAATGCTGAAAAAATAGGTACTCGTCGCGTGTACAGAGAATAAAAAAGTCCGTATAGACATAGACCATTGGTAAAGAGTAACCCTTCCATTGAATAAAGTGCTACATCCAAGCTCATTTTCGTTATAACAAAATATATTAGTTAATATTCTCAATAAATAAATAATAATACATACATAATCTTACATAATTTATATAAATACTAATGATATTTAAAAGTTACATACTATTTATTGTCGCAAGTCTCATGTTCTGTTACCTGGTTGATTTATAACTGGACTGTTTAAAGTTGGATGCAGTTTTTGACGCCACAGACGGTTTACTAGTTTGCCAAAAGCTTTTCTGAATGGTAAAACCATCGACTGACAACGAGAATGTTTTCGCTGGAATCTTAGAGAACTCTTTACAACCACTGTTGTATCTTAAACAAAAATTTTATTTGTTTTTATCTGATGATAATGTTGACGATTTTCTTGGGTCAGTAAGAACAGCACTCAGAATTTATTAATTTCAACTGTACATTAGAGAAGTAATATGTCTAAATAACAGGAAGATCACATATCCAAGCTATCTTGACTGGGATTATCACGTTTGAATCGCGCTCACCATGATAGCTATCATTTAAAAGGAAAAAATTCTTCAAAACCATAACAAATAAAAACATTACTTACTTATACAAATATTCGATCATTTTCTCACTGACAGAACGCGGTCCGATGCCATAAACTTTCAGAACCTACATTATTTAAAAATAAAATTTCCATCAAAACATACAACACGTACCAAGAGAGGTACATTCTTCTGCGACTACTGTGTAGGTAACAATATGTCTATCGTAGAAAAGTGAAATCTTAAGATAGTTTCATAATCCATTTGAAAATGTTCAGCTTCTTCAAAGCGTCAATCTACAATACCTGACCACTTTCAACGTCGAGTGAGAAGAGGGAACGAAACTTTAAACCATCTTTGAACAATATCAAAAAATGCTGTGCGCTTGACTCTGTCATTGCCTATATAATAGTACATCATCAATGTATCATCATTGTTTTTCCAAACAGTTATATTTTCTACAATCGATAGAAATAACAGTTATATTTTCTACAATCGATAGAAATTTTCGCTTAAATAGCTATAACTGCTTCACTTGCTAACACAATGCTTCAATACACTTCAGGTTATAGGCGCACATTCTAAACATTATGATCATGTCATTTTAGTAAATTGAGTAGGACTCGGTGAATTAAATGATGAAATACATTCCAAAATGGATCATATAAAGAAAAGACGTATTCGCTTTGAAGAAATTCTATTGTGTAAAATCTCACCTGTAAACATTTCTCTTTTGTATCTTTGTTCACCGTTCCAGGAAGACAGACATGAGATATAGCGTTGATAATCAATTTACGATTTGTTTTTCCACTTGGTTTCACGTACGACTGAACGCCTATAAAATATAGAACGTATTATTTGAGGAGTTTATTAAGTATAAACATTGCATCACGTGACAAATACATATATTGACTCATAAACAAACGTTAATTGCCATAAGCTGTACCTGTAAAACCCGAAAACGCAGAAGATGTACTTGAGGTTGAGAGCTCTTGTTTATTTATTCCACTTTCAACACTAGTTGTCCTTATCATTGGCTTATAATATTGACTATAACCACCGTTATACCCAGGTGTATCCATTTCATTTTGGTTATATCCACTCACTAATTGATCAATTCCCTGAACCTTCCTCGTGTAACCCTTATTACCACCTGCAGTTCTATGTACATTTGTCAGATTTTCCTTTCGTCTCATCTCATATTTTTGTCTCTCATGTTTTGCGTGTTCAGCTTGTTCTCTCTTCTCCTGCAGTTTAGCTTGACGACTTTGTTCCTCGAGTTCGCGTCGCTCCTGAATCTCCTTCATCTTTTCCTCTTTTCTAAAGAAAAGGAATACATCAAACTCAATCAGACATGACTACCACAATCGCAAGAGTAACTACAAAAATGAACTTAAGCTGGAGCAGAGAAGTTTTTATTCCGCAAAGCGTTTATCCTAATTGTGGTGAAGCATGGGACATTGTGTTGATCTTGTTTCGTACCTTCGCTTCTTTTCCAATAATGCTTCCCTTCGCAGTTTGTCTTCCTCCATTTTCAGTTGCCTGTTTCGTAGAAATTTTTCTTTTTTTCTAAGCTGTTCAGGAGTAAATCCCTTGAAAACAAAACAAAGCTGATTCTCAAAAATATATTCCAACACAAAGTTCCTAAACACAATACACTAATTTTATTTATGCTCTATTGTTCTTCCAAGTAAATTGTAATGACTTATTGTCACGACAGAAGGAAACAACTGATTCAGCGTAGGAAAGCTGAACAACTTTTTTCCAAACTATAAGGATAGTTAAACAAATATTTCACGTACATTACTACTGCTAATCGTGTTTTCCTCTCCAATAAACAAAGTCATTCCTTTCTTTAATTGATCTGAATCACATTCACCAGACGACAATAAAACGTTCTCGTTTTCTAAATCCGGACTTGAAGCTAAATCTCCTGTATCACTTTGTGGGGAAGGTATAATCTCTTGACTTGCTTTAGCCTTGTCGTTAGAATCATTTATACTCTCAATTTCCCTCAAAACATCAGAATTTTGAGGATCTGCCAAGTTGAAATTGCTCGTATTCTCCTTTTCAACATGAAAGTCTGGTTGCACAATCGTGAGATAAGGCTCATCAATACCAGCAGTTTTGGCATGCCAGCATTTGCGTGGAGGAGAAATTGCTTGCTTATCACTACTAGAATCAAATGTACCATGTAGTTTTTCTTCTTTCTCAGAAATTTGTTTTTTCTTGCTTGCTATTGGCATTGATATCCTACTTCTATAGTTTAAAACTGGACTATTAATTGTTTTTCGTTCACATTTTACATCTCCAGTTGCGTTGGAATGCGGAGAAGATTCCTTTAGATCGGGTTGTTGTCGAGATAACCGAAATTGGACGATTTCTTCCGGCAACTTTTGATGTCCCATTTCATTATCAACACTAGACGAAAGATCACGTTGATTCCACAAGGTTTCACCATCATTCAATAAATTATTATTATATGTATTTGATAATGCTTTTCTCTCGTCGGTTTGACTCTTCATTTGTTTTGAACTTTCAATTTTAAATTCATACGACCTGTCCTGTAGTTTATCCATTGATGGAGGCAACTCATCGTTAACTGATAGTAACTTTGACGAACTTTGCTTACTTGATAAGCTTTTCTACAATGGACAAGGTGCTGCATCAAAAGAAATGCTTAAGCAAACTTTATTCACATTAAACAGTTCTATAATTAAAAAATTTTTTTTGTCGACTTCCAAATACCCGGTCCCCCCCAGATACAATGACCCCAAACTCACCTCGTTTCCATCTTTCGTTCTCTCCCTATTCTTCCCAACAGCGAGCCAGAAGACATTCTGACCAACTTTTTTTCTCTCCTCCTCTAGTTGCTCCATCGTCCGCTGTTTCTGAGCCACAATATCGCGTTGCTTCTCAGCCAATCGCAAGCGAAGTAAGTTCAACTCACGTGACACTGCATCAGTTTTTTGTACAGCGTCTCGCTCTGTAAATTAAACATTGAACGTTAATTGTTATAAACCTTTCATAACCAAAACATATAGCTAACGATAACAACTATGGTTGTAGCCCAAGCCAGATATTTTAAAGTAAGGGGAAAGGTAAAACATAAAAACAGAAATGATGTTGCAATAATCGTTTTTGAAACGACGGGTTCTGCTACGCTAATCAACAATTTGATTAAAACATTTTAGAAAAATAATGACCCCCTTCAATTAGTGGCGGTTCCAAAGTTAGAAAAAATAGATTACTACAGCCCATCAATTAGTAAGACTAAATAACAAATGACATTACGGTATTCAAATTGGTTAAGTTGTAATTTTGGATTTGTTACGTTGTACTGAGTGGATTTTTTATGGTCCAGATATAAATATCTGATGGATAACACAGAGATGAATAAGAACATTTCTAACGTACACAAACCTAATACATTATCAATTTTTTACAAATTATGTGTATGTTACAACTGAAAATGATACATACACCTATAAATATTTTCTTATTCATATGGGCTGGGCAATGTTAAAGCCAGCCTCAACTTTTACTACCCCATTATTTGCAGAGTAGCTAGTATTAAAAAACGGGCTAGACTCCTAACGGGGCCAGATTCCTTACTGAGGCTAGATTCCTTACTGAGGCTAGATTCCTTACTGAGGCTAGATTCCTTACTGAGACTAGATTCTTTACTGAGACTAGATTACTTACTGAGGCTAGATTCCTTACTGAGGCTACATTCCTTACTGAGGTTAGAATCCTAGCGGGGCTAGATTCCTTACCGAGGCTAGATTCCTTACTGAAAGTAGATTCCTTGCTGAGGCTAGATTCCTTAATCAGGATTCCTTAATGAGGCAGGATTCCTTACTAGGGTAGGGCATCATAAAAAACCGGAATTGGAAGAAAACTATTATAATAAAATCTTAAAGTCGGATATCCATAATTATTCAGCAGCTGTGAGCTATAAATTAAAGATGACTTACATTGATTAAAATAAATTTTGTTTCATTTTTTCTGTAATAAATCAACGTTTATCAATTAAGAAAATTCATTAATTCTTTATTAACAACATTTATCGAGGATTAAGTTTAAAAATATTACATTGATGTCTAAAGTGATTGTATGTCGTGATATTAGAAAGTCATTATCAACTTAAAATAAATCATGAAGTTCGTGTAATTTTTAGTTCATTAAAATTATTAGAATTTCTTTTCAACAATCCTAAACTCAAATCAGAAAAGTTATCCAGCAGCTCTCACTGCAGCCTGCCCAAAAACGTAAAATTTTCTGCTGCTACGCTGATATTTTAAGGCTTCACGTGTAACTTCTACATCTTTTGCTTTAAATAGGCAAAAATTTTACAGTGCGAGAATTTTAAGATTAAAATAGCTTTAGAAGGGAACGCAAATCGTTATAATTAGACTGACGTAAGGGTTGGTATGATAATAACCCAGTTTACATTTGTTATTTTATCGCGTGTCTTTACAGAGTAATGTAAAAACGATCGATTCGATCTTGTCTGAGAGCAAGAAACAGAAAGAATGCTATTTTCTTTTACTCCAACACACATTAAACGCTATAAAAAATAAAGCCCTTACGAAATTCCTTTTTCTCACGAACTTCGTTGCATGTGATATGTTCATCATCTTCTGCTGTCATCACAATTGTAACTTCCTGACTCTCCCTTCCATCTTCGTTAACCTCTCTGACAATTTCAATAAGTTCTTGATTTATCGACTTTTCTTCTGCCATTACTTTATCTTTATTATCCAACGCAATCCCCTCTAAATACGATCCAGGATTACGGGACAGTGAACAATATCCTTCATCTTCAGCTTTCGTTTTTGACGACTCATTTTGCGATCTACTATCACTTTTCGTGAATAGCGTATTTTTCTCCATTGCAGTGTCCCATTTCATGTTGAAAAAATCACTACTCTTTGCAAAGAATTCCCCTTTTGTGGTTAAATAATCAGTTTTAGTGCAAGGCAGCTCTATTTCCATGTTCAACGTACCATCAAGTCTTTCGTGGTCAACATCATTGCTTTCAAGTTTGTCTTCAGTCGTACTTTTGCTTCCAATAATTGTCGGTTTGTGAACTTCAGCAGCCAACTTTGACAGCAAACTATCTAAATCATAGACGACTTTCCTCGGTGTACATTCATCTTTCGTGGATGTTTTAAATGTTTTATTAAAAGATGTTAAATGCATTTCATCTACCATAATCTGTCCTGTCTGTGAAATACACACATCATCTTTACCAACATTCTCTAAATTCACGTAACAATTTTGCATTGAAGAACCAAGCACACCTCCAGGTGGAGCACAAGAATTTTCCAAGGACGTTTGCCGAGTTTGCTCATCATTAGGAACTTCAAAATTCACCACATTCTCTAAAACATCGGCTTCGGTGGATGACCCATTTTCTTTGTTTGGCGAAGTATAGTATTCAATTACAAAAGAATCAGAAACGAAATTAGTTTCTGACTTTGTCTTGCAAGCGAAAGTTCTCTTCGGTTTCGGTGGTGCTTTCTTCTTTGCTTTAGGCTTTCTGACATTTGACAAATTTTCTTTTTTACTTCCTGAATCAGTGAATCGCTCTTCACGATCATCAACCTTCGATTTGTTAGCAATTTTCCGCAGTGTTACCGAAATGGGAACACCTTCATCTGAAGCAGTTTCAAGAGTGTTTGAGACGTCTTGGAGATTGTATGTCCTTCGTTTCTCATCGGTTCGATGAGATGAGTCATCTTTACAGGAACCTAGTGTAAGGACGACGTTTTTGTAGTGTAAAAAAAGTATTAACATTATCTTTATTTGATATACGTACATTAACAAGTAGCACATTTGGGTTTAGTAAGAATAGGTTACTATTTGTCAAGAAAAATGTATATTTAAAAAAATCTCACCTGATAATCGCTTAAGAGCATCCATCATGGGAACACCTTCTTCTTGTGCTTTCTCCAAACATTCAGCAACACTATCTAAAGTGTATGTGTTCCTTTTAGATGCGTCTAATTTACCACATCTCATGTTTTGTGTTCCATCAACGCCTTTCCCACCAAGCAGATGCGTAAAACTTTGCAGTTTTGCAGATGGCTTATAAACAGGCTTCTTCTTCACAAGTTTAAATGGTTTCTCAACAAAATGCGAGTTGACACATTTACTTTGAACAAAACCATCAGCGTCAAATGCAAGTTTTTCAGAAGTACTAGCACTAGAAGCTACAGACTTTAATATCTTCTCATCAAACTTCTTTACATTTAATGTTTCATTTAATTTCTCCATGTCATTAATGGCACCACTTGAGTCATTAATGGCACCACTTGAGTCATTGTCCAGATTACCCAAAACTTCTGTCATGGATAGCCCTTGACTTGTTGCAATGTCAAGAGATTGTGCAACATCATCCAAACTATATGTTTTGCGATTGGATGATTTGGATTGGTTTGATGTGGACTGCAAGTCATTGTTTAGTTTCTTACTGACAGCAATGCATTGTTCCACTGATAGACCAAGTCTATTGGTGAGATAGTTTCGAATGCCTGGTGAAATATCATTAAGGCTACCTGTTCTGGAAATCTCATCGGAGTGGGGAGTGGTCACAAATAAATCTGGACTTGAGCTTGAGGTGAACTGTGTCTGAACTTTAGAGTCAGACATAGATCTCAATTGAAACTTAGATGTTGATGCAGACAAAAAGCTTTGGGATTGAAATTTAGACAATGCCATTTCAGATGCTGATGGTTCTCTACAATGTTCAGAGGATACTGCCAACTTCAAAGGTGATTCAGTGGGCCATGCAGAATGCATTGGAGAGATGGAATCTTTGTTTTTTAAAGTCATGTTTTTCTGTTGATGGTCATCATCACTATCAGGATTCATGTAAAGATCATGAGATTTTTTGTGCTTTGAACAAATGACCTCAGTAACATGACTCTGAGATCTGTTTTGTTTAAACACCTCATCAATATGATTGTCAAGCAAATTGGCATTATGACAGAGTGAACTGTTTGTAATAGGATCCTTAGCTGCAATAACAATTTTTTTTTCAGCAGCCATAGGTAATTTCTCTTTGTCATTAAAATTATCATTGTTATTCACCAACAGTGAGCCATCTGGCAAGATAAAGTTAGACTCCAAAATGTCATAAGTTTTACGTTTATTGCTCCGCGAAAATATCTCAGAGCATTCGTTCACCAACTTTCCCGAAGAGCATTGTTTATCGATCAAATCAGAAACATGAGTCAAATCGTAAGTGCCCCGTTTTGATTCCAAACTAACATCATAAACACAGATGTTTTTATCTGTTGAGCTGTTAATGTCAGTCAAATCATAGGTATGGCGCTTTATTTTCTCATTAACTTCTTTCGATTCGTCATTTAAGGTTGCTGATGAGTTTTCGAGAATAGAGTTCTTTCGACTTGAATCTAATGCAATAGAGACAGTATTCATATCATATGTCAGTCTTTTATTTCCCTCGTTCAAAGTCGAGTCATTTTCCATGCTTAAATTCAACAATATTTGCTCAACAGAACAGTCGTTATCGTAGTCGTCATCCATTTTTGTTGATATGCTTTCTAAATCATAAGTTTTTCGTTTCAAATTTCTATCATCAACGTCAGCTTTGTTTCCTGGGTGGGTTGAAAGGTGTTCATCTTTGATTGCCGAAACGTTTGTTAAATCTGCTACATCATCATCTTGATCGTAAGGTCCGCATTTTATTAAAACGCTTCCACAAGTATTTTCCGATGTTTTTTTATCAACACCAAAATGTTTTGATTCATTTACCGATGACAGAGCAGCTAATAGAGCCTTTGCAGACGCCATAATATCATCGAGCGATTGAGATACTTTCTCCAGTGAATAAGTCCTTCTATTGTTTAACTTCACATGCTCATTGGGTCGCACTTCATTATTTACATTCAACTCGTGAACTTTGTGCGATATTGCCTTGACATTTGGATATTGCTCGAGAGAACCAGATTTAATCTTGTTTTGATTCGCTTTGCTATGTTCTATGCCAGTATTTGTAACGTTAGTAACGCGTAATATTCTCAAATTTGAGCCGGCGATTTTTGGCTCGTCTGTCTTTTGTTTACTAACGTTGCTGGATGGATTGCAAGATGAAACACTTTCTTGCTGCTTGTCGATCTTTGAAGCCTTTTTCTCCAAACTTTGTCGCTTTCTGAAGGAAAACATTTCGTCACAGCATTTATGTAACCGGTATTGAACAAAAGGACTTCATTTGGCGAAATTCCCCACTTCCGAATGTAATTAAAAGCCGTTTAAAAAATTTCTCGTTCAATATTGTCAGCAATATATTTAGCTGCACTCAAAACGGACACATTTATAATATATACATTATAAAGACATCACATAACGAATCCACAGTTTGCAGTATGTGTAAAGTTTTTGGAAAACGTCATACCATAAGTACTAGGCAGTACTAGTAATGCATTTGAAAACCTCTCTTACAATAATGACAAGTCTTTCAGCAAAGGAACTCGCTCGAATTTCCTTCAGGAAATGTGAAATGTTTCATTGGCATTTTCACAAACTCGACGTATATTTGCCCAAAACGCTGTCTTTCATCTTTCATCTGCAAATTTAATCTTGATTGTAGCAAGTGTGAGATTTGCTTTATTCGTGTTTGGATTTATTGGTAAATATTTGTTTTAACTAAGATAAATATTTTCAATTTCAACACGTCGGTTAAGCACTAAAATCATTCGCACGCAATTCCGTATGAAACATCGTCCAGTCTAAATATTCGATGTCATGTTTGTTCTAAGGAATTTATATTCCTATTTAACTTTACCCAGGTACAATAATTCGAATGGTGGAATGCTTATTCGCGCGCATATAACGTAAACAGCTCGTTCTCCTTTTAGCAGGTACCTGACTAATGTACTCCAAATCAAAAAAAAATTCAAAATTTCACCGTAGTTATTTTGCATTGCCGTGAACTCTCAGCAAGAAATATGCACAAAATATGATGGAAATGCAAAATATCAGATTTCTAAATCATGCATAATATTATAACATCATAAATTTTTAATGACTTCACAAGTCATAATTATGTTTTTAGATATGAAGTCTATCAACCTACTTGCATCGCGTTTGCACTCACATACTATTAAATAGTTGGTTTTTCTCATAAATAAAATCGATTTTACCAGCGCATTTGTTTTATATACGCACGTCTACTTAAGCTTAATATTTTCACAGAACATGAATATTGTTTAAAAAAAACACGAATAAATTTGCTATTTGCAATAACATTTGAAAGAAAAGCCAGAAACGAAAGTAATTAAAAACAGCTGTTACTATGGCAAACAACGTCGTACGATTTCCCAAGGAAGAAAAAATCGCAAACTTTTATTGCGATATCGCCAATAATGTTAGGAAACACAAAAAACCGTTACTAATGTTACAAAGAACAAGACTTATTTTAAGATGAGCAAAACCCAGTTCACCTTCCTTTCCGATCACTGGTTCACCACAAAATAATAAAATATCCACAAGATAATCTCTGTTGATTTTTTAAGTAAGTGCTAATAGCTATTCGTGATTGATTCCCCAATCACAGCCGATGCAGAATACAAAGTCATTACCCCCCTGATTCGAACGAGATTCTGACAAAAACCTAAGATGGAATTTGTCTCCTGCAACAGTTGATTGGCAAACACTGGAAATAACCTTCTGTAATTATTCTAGAAATTATGTCCTTACCTTTCTCATTAGAGCTCGTATTATCATCTACTTGAGACACCATTTCTCCCCAGTTCGTCTTTTTTGAGACACTGGCTGCTTGCGTTTGATTTCCTCCAGCACCAGAGCCGAGAGATTTCTTCGCAAGGCTAGACCATGATAAGGATGGTACATTAGAACTGCTGTTTTTTAATAATTCACCTCTTCTATTTACGTCTCCGACATCATCATTAGGGTTTTTACGCTTTGTGAAAGTCGGATAACGGGGATTGTTCATTTTTTTGGACAAATATTCTCCTACCATGTCCTTACGCTGGTCTAAAGAACAGCGGGCATCATTTTTAAAATGTTCTCGGCTGATATCTGGGAGAGATGAATGATCAAATGACATTGTATTTCTACGGATATCCGGTCCAACATCCTCGTTGGCATGACTAGCCAATTCTTCATTTGTGAGAAACTGCAAAGCAGCAAAATTTGTCGACTCAAGTTCATCGTTACTAAAGATAGTCTTAATAGATAATTTACTCGATGTTTCCCCGGCTTTTGATCCAGGAGACCCCGGCTTTTGATCCAATATATTGCTGCGGGACATTAACTCACGATCTACAATAGGTATACCAGCAGCACATGCCGATTCAGGAGTGTGATGGACATCAGTGAGTATGTAACTACCGCGGGGGATAAAGTCGTTTCTCGAATGGTCATGTTCAGGTTTTCGAGGGGTAAAAGCCTGGGGTGGAGAAAGGTCAAAGACACTTTTCTGGGTCAAGTCTTTTTGCGCCTCATGCGTTAAAGACATAGAGTTGTTTAGGGAATTTCCAGGCGATACTTCTGGTTCGGTATTTTCTGATATCGGTGACAGCATATCAACAGGAGGATCGTTTTCAGAAAAGTTCTTCAAATTAAGATTAAGAGAATTGAGATGATCACCAGGAGTAATGTTCTGCGTAGAATTAACTAACGGCTGTGACTGAGGTCTTTCGTGTAGTTCTTCAGATAAACAATATTGTTCATTTGTTTGTTCAACACGTTCACCACTTGGCATGGATTGGTCTGAAAAACGGAAAAACTGTTCAAGTATATGGAGAACTAGAGCTAGAAAATGCTTTGTGCGTGGTATCTGCCCAACAATAGCTGTATTAGAAATCTTTAAATGAATACTGACAACCCATGTTTAAAAGCATAATAATATACCCTTTTACCTAAAAGCAGATGAGCATTTTTATTTTACAAAACTTTCGAAAAATTGCAATGTGTTTATATCACTCGTATATTCTCCAATACTAAGGGTCACGGAGGATTTTACTCACCTAATGACCTTCCATCTTCAAGACTACGGCCACACAAACTTTTCTTCATACGTCTTGACAACAAAGCCTCGTGACCACCCCCCGGCTCCACGCTACGAGGCAATTTCTTCCGCAACTTTACAATCACACCATGTACTTCCACGCTATCTTCAGTGGACGTTGAACAATTTAACGACGTAATTCGTGATGATGTAACATGTGATGACGTCGGAGATGTTTGCGACAAGTTTGCTGGTACGTCTGATGATGACGACATTTGATCAGCTACCCGAATCTCTTGTAATAATGAATTTTCATTGAAATTTTGAGAGTTTGCATCATTTCTCCCATGTAAGCTATCTATGGGCATTTTGTCACACTCCTTGACACCCCTATTAACGTAAAACTCGCCATTAAAGTCTCATCGTTGATAGCAATTATTGCTACTTACTGTGCACTAGAAATTGGGCAAACAATTTATCCTGTGACTGCACTTTGATTTGGAAAATTTAACACAAACTCCCACTGGATACTTTCTCAACAACTTATGCCTATAGTTATGGCAGCAAATTTGATTGAAATGTCGACTTTAAATAAAGTGACGGTAAGTAATTAACTTTACAAATACCTCAAAATAGGGGCGCTGCGACTTCTGTTACCACTGATATCATCAGAAGTACCGTTAAACCCGTCACGAACTTCACCATTTACAATGATATTCGCTTTATCTGAGCACGAAGTCTTGCTTCTCCTCATCGCAACATCATTTTTAGATTGCTCATGGTCTCCCTCACATTTTGAATACATTTCAGCGAGCAAGGCGACGATATTAATCTTCGTGTAGCAAGATGAATACAAAATATCCTCAACTTTTAATGCCAGCACAGATGTGCAAAAATATTGACTGCAGAGACTGAAGAAAAGGTCCAAATTATGTACGGCATCTTCGGTACAGAGTTCAGACGAACAGCGAACGTCTGTTGAAGAGTGTTAATAACAAAACAAAAGCTCTATTTTCGCTATCTATTTTTTGAACGAACACATAAGAATATGTACTCCTCAAAAAAATAAAAAAACCAGAAAAATAGACTTACTTTCAATGTTGACAACATTTGGTTCGTAAAACAATAACACACCAAGCAATGCCCTGCCATCCCATAATCCTTCCAGTAAATCGTAAATTTCTGGAAACACCATTGACTTCACGTTCTCTTCAGGTCGCAGGCCCACTTTCTTCATCCTCTCTCGACCACCTAATAGTTTATCATCAACCATAGTTTTATCTTGATTTTTGGTGAGTCTAGCATTAACAGCTGCGTTAGTCTTGTTTACCCACAGTAAAAGAGCATCATCAAGGTCAAAGGGCAGTTCTCTGGAGGCACTGAATGAAGAATATCGTCTGCAAAAGATTGAAATATTTACAAAAAAATTGTGAAGATAAATTGATTGACTTACCACAAGCACAGATTTTGGTAATCAATAATAGAGCATTTGTCATGTTGAAGTGTTTTTGATGTTTGAACAACATACTGACACTGAATGAAAGGAATGCAGTGGTTGTGTAGTCAGCCAAATTAATTGCTTATGCTGTGTAAATTTTGTGTGTTTGCTCACCGTGAAACAATAGACTTCTAAAGAAACAATTAATGATAATGATTTGATATTTACAAGGCAAAACTAAAAAATACTGACTGGCTTTGCTACTGTGGTAATGTGTTGAATTGCAATGCAGTTAGACCTCATTAAGCTCAATTAATTAGTGATATCCGCCATTGAAGGCAAATACGTATAAAAACTCTCATTACCTGACAGCTTGCACTACACCTTGAATCGTGACAACCTGCGAAGAATAGGCATTCATCAATGCATCCATGAGGGCAATATGTGCAGCCTGTTGAGCAAAAGTAGAGATCTTGGTAAAATATAACAATAGCTGCATGCCAACATTTAGTTAAAGTCACTTACCTGATTAAAGGGATTATTTTGCTCCAGAGCTGCCTCAGTGACTGCAATGTCCATACTGTCAACAACATATACACCATTTCTGGAAAGTGTCTGTATAACTGACCAATGACCTACTAGTGCCACCTTTCCTGGAAATATTCTTGCACAAACAGTACAGTAAACCTCACCCTTACAGAGAAACTCAACAATTTCAGGATGAACAAGAAATCCGTTCTTCTAGAAAATAAAAATGAAAGAATGATTTTCTATGACCTTAGAATTGTTAATATTCAGACACCCCCTTTCAAAGATGAAATATTCAAAACATCAAGCCCAGCTTTAAGTCAATTCTTAAGTTTCTTATATATTTAACTACTGATTCAAGTCCTACATTAATTAAATCAAATTTAACTACAAATTTAACTAATTGTAAGTACCTATACCTTGTCAAACCTTTGAACAGGAGTGGTAACTTGAGATGGCACATCTTCTAATCCTTCACATTCAGTTGCATGGAAAACCAACCAGAATAATGATGCACAGAATTTAGCCTAGGTTAGAATCAATATATAGTCACAATGTCCCACAAACAGCTGCACTCAGTCAAAGATGATCAAAGATATGGATATTTCGGGATTAAGAACATTACAAATCACATTGCAACAAATCACTATGTCACAAATTGCATTTTAAAATTATTAATCAAGAGGTTTAAGCAATGTTTGAAAAAGCACATTACTATTTAATACTTGAATGGTCTTATGATACACATTTAATGTGCAAATGACTACTTAAAAATTCCTAAACATTAAGATTTGTTAAATAATTTATATGTTTTTCCAGCAATAATTTATTTATTCGCCATAGCCAGCAATTTCTATAGAACAGACAATTTGTTAAATGATAGGAAATGAGTAAAAAGACCAATTGTAAACTGAACCCAGCTCTCAAACACAGTTATTGTACTGGTAGTATCAAGAGAAAACAATGGCAAATTTTTGCAAGCCACGGAAATCATCATTTACTACACATTAAAATGTCAAATAAAATTACTTTGTCACATCCTTTTCCGTTTGTCTGTCACACTCACGTTCAACTATTGTATTGTCACATTGACGTCCGTTATTTTTTGGCATTGTACACAATTTCACTGACAAAACTAACACTTAAGAAGACGCAATTTCCTCAGGAAAATACAAGAGAATAAGACTTTATTTCTACACGAAATGAACAAAAATTAAATATACTATATTTAGAGCGTTCAATTCAATTGAGGGTAAGTACAAATTTAACTAAACTCCTTACCTCAAAAGGATCGTACTCTTTCGGAGGTATTAATTCTAACATGTCATCGTTTGATAAAACATCCAAACCGCTATCCCCATCCATGATATCAGTTTAACAAAACAAAACAGTGCATGTGTTCTCCAAAAATATATTTTGCACCGAGCATTTTTCCGGTTTATTCAGCACGACAACAAAATTAAAGTGTCCAAATGAAAGTTAACTTAATTAAAAAACGACGAGAAATCAATTCTAGCGGTTCACAACATGTTTTTACCTAAAATATCTTTACAAAGAACAGCTATTCTTGTCGTTTCTGGTGGATCCTTTGAATTTGAGTCCCGCTAAGTTTAAACCACATACTGCTCATGCGCATTAAAACTCCAAAGCTTCATCAGATTCGCGTTATTTTCACGTTGCTGTCATAGAAACGGCTGATATGTGAATATTACATAACAAAAGTTTTTGTTGGTTATAATTATAATTCAATGTCCTTTTAAAATGCCTTTTAATTAAATACGAAAAAATATAGCCGATGTATTAGTTGAGGAACTATTTCTCGCGTATTTACAAACACGAAATGACCAGTGATGACGCCTGGAAAGACGCTATACCCAACAACCTTAATTTTTTGTTTAATTGACTTTTTCTAATTCCATAGTTATATTTTTGAGAATTTTACTGGGGGAGAAAACCTTAATACCAAGAACATAGGCATTATAAATTATTAACCGCACTACCGCACGTGTCAAGCAACAGCAATCACATGACCAGCGTCATATAACTAAACCATTACGTCATTATTGTTATGGCCCTTCGAGAACAAAACAAACCGGTCATTGTCGAAAAAGGCTGCCGTTTAATTATTGAAAGTCGATCAAGATATCTCTACGAGGAATGATAGTGAGAGGAATTCACTAGGTATGGACATACCACAGATATTTGTTCGACAAGAGGAGTTTTATAACGATTTATCAAGCCCAGAGCCGTCACAAGTTGAAGAAGGGCCCTCCAGTTCAATGGACTATGATTACCTAAGGTTACCAACAGGACGTAGACGTCTAAAGCGAGATAGTATGTCTAGTGTGGACAGTAATTCCTCAGAAAAGCTCTCGGTTGATGAAGAGCATACGGAACAAAACAAACCAAGCGAAACCCCCAAGAAAGCGGGGAAAAAGCGCGGTCGAAAACCAACACAAATGAACTTAGAAGCGAAACTCGAACGAAGTCGACAATCTGCCCGCGAATGTCGAGCGCGAAAAAAATTAAGATATCAAAGTCTAGAAGATACAATAGCCGAAAAAGAGGCCAACGTTTATGCTTTACGAAAGGAAGTGAACAAGGTTGGTAAATAGGCGGGAAAATTACGTATTCAGACAAGGATTTACACCATTTATTCAAGGGTCCTTTTTGTTGGCGTATCTATTAAAGTTTTAAAGTCCACAAACGTTGAACAAGAATTTTCTTATTCCTCCTTGTTTGCGAGGAGATTTTTCGCTTTCGTGACTTTGGTCAATTCAGGCATCGGAAACCGACAAAACAGCTTTGAGAATAGGAAATAACTTTAAATACCTTAGTTACAATTGTCATACAAAAGAAAAATGTAAATATGCTCTGCGAGAGAGATGTTTGCTCAGTGAATCGAAAAATTGTTGCAAAGTATGAAGTTGCAATTTTTATATTCGAGAAATATTTTTGATACACATACACGTATCTCTTCAAAATTCAAGAGGCAATGTTCAAAGGTCTTTGTACAAATATGCAGTTGTTTCTCAAGTTTTTTGTTGACTAATCGTGCACTTCCAATCATATGTATCCATTGTGTTGAACATTAGATATATCTCCTAAAATTAATTGGAAATTTTGGTTGATGAAAGGCCAATATGTGAGTTGATCATTGTTCTTTTTATTTCTAGTACATTGGTTGGGCCAAAGCAATCGACAACGGAACTCTGCCAGACGATTTGGCACATTTCCTTGACAAAGCCAAAACTAATGTGAAATCAAATGTCTAAATTGGCAAGCTATGTTGTCCCACATGATACCTCATTTTGAAACATAGCATTGTTATGCACTATGGTTACCCCTCCACCACCCATCCAACCACAAAAGGTACAGACTAATTTGCACACACCTAAGATGAGATATTGATCCCCCAAGCAGACAAACTATAGATTAATATTACAGATTGTTACTTTTGTCCCACATGTAACCATCAAACAACCATTCACAAAGTGCCTATGTCTATCTTGTAATAGCAATATTTCCATGCGAATCAAGTAAATTAAATTCCCCATTGAGTTACTCAATTACAAGAATATTAATATGGAAATGTTAAGGAATCTTATGTAAATGAAATAAGCATTGTGTAAAAAACCATGAATCATGGTATAAGACCAAATAAACACATCAAATTGAATAATGAGTCTTATGTATTGTTTGGTTTTGCATGTACCTGGGTCATAATTGATGTTAACTTGGAAAGCTAATTGAGCTAGATTCAGACACAAGGTTTTCCTTATCTTATTTACTCAATAAAGTGTGTGCCAAAAGGGAAAATAGTATGTTTGATTTTTGGCTTTTGTAAAAAATTCTCGCCTTATTTCAAGTTACTCTGTTAGTTATTTTTTCCCAATGTAATGGGGCCATATGATCTACTTTCCTCCTACGTAATGAATCAATTACACCTACATTACCATTTACAATAATGATCAGAAAAGATGATATTTTTTGATGGTGCAAAAAACCCAATTATGATTTTTTGATTTTATAGGCACTTTAATTGATCTCTTACATCTATAAATTGCCAAAATGTTGCATTCGTTGGTTACATTCTCATGTGACATCACATTTCGCGCAAAATAAATTTGCAGGCTCAGGTTACGAAAATAAAAATAGTAATTTGCATTCAATGCAATATATAGTTATTTGAGGTTGCAAGTAAAGACACGGTAGACAAATGTCAAAGAAAATAAAACGCTAATTATTTGTTGACAAAATATACAATATTGCACCCAGTGCAGTTCACCCGCGTGCGCAGAATCAACGCCAACGTCATTAGATAGGACTTTTAAATCACTGAGGATTCTGATAATTTTAATTACTCACTTATTATCAACACAAATAATCACACATACGTAGGTACATTTTCAGTAGCTAAGCATAATTCATCATCACACCAATTTTCTTGTTTTAATTTAAAAATACAGAGAAGGAAATTCTGATTCTGCGCACTTTGCGTAACGCTCTCTGTCCACGTGTTATGGACACTGGTTGTAGGTAGATCAGTAGATTAACTAAGTAACAGATCACAACGATTTGCCGGCTGCTTTTTAGTGCATTTAAAACGCCAATGAACAATCTTGTATAGCGCCTGCTTGTAGTCATGTTTGTAAAAAGTGAAGAGAAAAGGGTTGACGGCAGCATTGCCGACGAATGCAAACACGGATATTTCAAAAATAAAATGGGGAACAAACTCCAACTTATCGATAGCACTCATGACATTGATAAATATCACAGGAAACCAAGAAATGATAAAAACAAGAATGATAATCGCAAATAATTTGGCAGCCCGAACATCATTAAGCAACTTTCCCGAGTATCTTTTGAATCTTGAGTTGTTGTTTGAACTCTTGAGTCTGGGGCGTTTCATTGACAATTGCAGATTACTCGTGTTTGTAGAAGCTTCAAAGTCGAATTGCTGGCTCTCGTTCGGTTTGATTGTTTTCGTTTGTTGTTCTGTAAGGTCTGGACATTCGACTTGAAAAGAGGACATATTTGTGTCACAGGTATATCTCTCAAGACACACGCTCGACGACAATTCCGGTAAATTTACGTTTCGTGTCATGCGCATTTGTCGCTTTATTGCTTTGAAGATGCCGAAGTACACTTTGGCTATGATACAAGATGCAAGAAACAAGATGAGAACCATAAATATAATGTAATACCGATCTATGGTTGAAATAGTCTTTGGACTTTGCGCACTCCACGATGCAGGAAGAAACACGAGCAAAAGTGGTGAAAACCATATAAAAAATAAAATCCAAGCTGTTCGCCATGATGTGAAAACAGCATGATAAGTCAACGGATAAAGGATAGCGTGGTAACGATCGTAGGTAACTCCACACATGTTGAAGAGTGATGTAAATAAAAGGAATGTAACAATATACAGACTATACGCATGTCCAATGGGAGTAATCAGGTACACAGGAATGAACAGTAGGCTGACAAACATGTCAGAGATAGCCAATGAGATTACAAACACGTTTGTCGTGTTGCGCAGTTTTTTGTTGGCGACAAAAAGCGCACATACTGTGGTATTTTCGAAAAAACTAATGACTCCAATTACAGTGAGACCGATGACTGTGGTCAAGGGATGAAAACTCATACTCTCACTCGTGTTAGATGGTTTTGAATCAATAAAAGATACATTGGCCATTTTTTATCTAAAAATATATAATAACTCGAGCTAACTAAAAATTACATTTACAAATGCTCCTACTGGTGAAAAAAGAACACCAGTCAAATTCTACTTGTTTTGTTTGTATACCTCATTGAGATAAATAGCAAGCAGATAACGAGTTTCGGGTACAAATTATTAAGCTTTACTGGTTCAAAGAATTTATATAGCAGATGCTTGTCATCGTTGCAAAATAGCTGTTAGCTTGCGTGGGACGAAGCTTTTCTAACAAGACGTTTCGCTCGAACGTTTAAACAAAGTTTTAGGTACATTACCTTAGCTAAAATTTAAAAAACGGAATTCGAATAAAAATAATACGTACAATTATAGTGTCGTTACGTTTTAATCGTAATCCATTGATCAATTTATCTGACAGGGTTAATTTGGTAAACTTTATTTTTATCGAAGACGTGATTTCTTGATTCATTGATTTTATTTTTTTTTTGAAAGCATGTTAGCGCCAATCTCAAAAATACAATTGTTTTCTTCATGAAAGTAGCGCGCGTAAATTAAAGAAAGAAATGAAAAAATCGAGGATTAGGAACATGATCTTCGCTTGGCTAGTTGACTTTTTGTAGGCAAATACTCGTTTGCATATCTTTGGCTTTGTTGGAAAGAATTAAAACAACTTACTTCACCGAATCCACAAGGTTAAAGCTTTTTCGTCAAGCTATCCCTTTCGATGTTCTTTGTTCGCAGTGAATAACATTTGAAGAGCTCCTTGATGATTAAACGATTTTCTTTATGTTATGCATATTTATAAGCCACAATGCACCTGCCAACATCAAAGATACACATAGCAGCGTTTTGCTCGCCTTTAAATGTTGACGAATGACTTAAATCTAAAAACTTCTGTACAGTATCACTACATAGTAAAAAGCATATCTTGGCTTACCAATTTTTCTACTAAACAGAATAATTGCACAGCTATTAATGAGATTGCCATACTTGAAGGAGAATAAATTATATCGCTGTCCAATATCAACCAAACCAGGTGAGAAGAAAACCGAATATATTATGAAAGAATAATCATCATTTAGATCAGGAATATCTTACCAGCCAAATTTACACACGATTATAGATTTAAACCTAAATTGGTTAAAATAGTTCAGATTGTATTTTTACGAACGCTTTTTCAAGTCCAGTACTATGGTAGTATACTACTATCAACGAAACCTTTTGGATTGACATTGGAGATGCGTTAAAAGTAGGCGAATCATTGTAGGGCAGTATAATGAGATTTAGTGAAAAACTGTTGCAATAAAACTATATTTTCTCAAGACAAAAATGACATGAATTGGTGACTTTACTTAATATCAAAAATAATTAAATGCTTGCATGTCAGTTGTTAACTTTAATTATACCATGAATGACGTAATTTAGTGTGGCCAAATAACTTGGGGCAGCGCTGGCAGGCATAAATATTGTTTTGTTTTGTCAATAAAAATAGGTACGCATGACGTACTAGCGAGAACGGAGGATTTACAATTATGTGAAATAAAAAACGTGTTCTGGAAGGAAGGTAACAAATCAGTAAACATTCAAAAATTCTTTGAAAATATTTTTCACGACTTAGGTGAACAAATCAATTTGCAGAAGATTAACTAACAGGTAAAACTGAGAGTGAATATGTTATTAAATTTGCGCAAGACAAATTGGATTTTTAAAAATAACTGCGTTATAACGTGCAGGTGAAAATTGGTAAAAGAATTCACCTTACACCAAATATAAACGACACGAAATTTTCATTCCCGTTGCGCATGTGCATAGATATTTCACTTCAGCTGAAATTTGGCTTAATTCTATACAAATAATAAATGAAATGAGCAAAAACAAATTTTACAAGATGCAAGTTGAAAATGAAGGCTGAAAAAAACAATTCTGGGCAAAAAAAAAGCACGAGAATAAATGTGCACTCACATATTAATAATGTAATAACAAATTACATTCGTCATAAAGTAATTATAAATTCCATTTCCGTCTGATGATGTGACACTAGGCCCAAATTCTTACACCATGTGCCTGTGCATTGTAAAAGTTTTCGTTCGGTCATTTTTAAGACACTAAACTCGTTATTTATAATATGGAACAAAACTTGCTCATTACTTTTCGTTGAGATTTTCGTGAATTTGACATCAATAATTTATTGATGATATGCGTAATGTCCTTCCTAGGGATCGCATTACCTGTTAAAAACGGTCGCTTTATTTTTTCATGTTTATCCATGTTCGATAATATTTCATTGCGTTCTATGTCAGTTAAGCTACTTTCATCTTGCTGTACACTTTTTCCACTTTTACTATACACCTCGTTTTCGCACACCCATCCTCGGGCATCAGATCGTACATCAACGGCAATCCCCGATTCCGACATAATACAATTCTTGGCAACAAAAGGATCGCCGGGGCCAAGGATGACTATTCCTGATTTTCCATTTCCACATACGTCATTTTCAGTCATGTTCCCAGAACCTTGAACAACCACGCCGTTTCCAAGGTTACCACTTATACAGTTATCGTACAAGAATGATAAAGTGCTAAGCTCTAGCAAAATACCAGTGCCTCCGTTGTCAACAACGCGGTTGCTATGAATAGAAGATTCAACAGGCCTCTCGATGCTGATGCCATTGCCATGGTTACCTTGCAAGGTATTTCCCCGAATAATGATTCTTCCAGTCCCCGCAAAAGATACACCACAGCCTTGGTTGTCCCTGATTTTGTTGTTGTCAACAATCGCGCTGTTCTTTTCCTGACGTGGAACTGATTCCACAGCAAAATACAAAAATTACATACTCTACAGGGTGTATCGAAAAAAACTGAAGAGATAGGAAAACGTCGCTTGAGTTATCAGCGTGTGAGATCTGCAAAAACCTTTGATGGAATGAGTAGTTTGACCTCCAATGGATCATCTGACAGTAAAATTTTCGCAAGTAATAACCATTTGCAGAGTGAGAATTGCGTTACCGAGAAGCACTTTTAAAATAGCTTGCGCACAAAAATGGCAAAGGTAAAAAGCAATTGGAACACATGACGCAATATGAAGGCTAAGCGTTCGCGTACGCCTCAACCAAATTATCTAAAACTTTGTTAGCTTGAACAACATGTGCCATATTTTAACTCTATAAGTTCCAATGGCGTTTTAGCGGCATTATTTTCGTGCGCAAGCTATTTCAACAGAGCTTCTCGACAACACAATGTTCATTAAAAAAATTGCTATTTTTTGTAACAATTTTACGGTCAGATAAACCATTAGAAGTCTAACTACCTATTTCCACCAAAGTTTCAGCAAATCTTGCGTGCTGATGACTTTAGCGACGTTTTCCAAACTGTTCAATTTTTGTTGTTTTTTTCTACACCCTGTACATCATATTACATGACCAAACATTATATTTCTGCAAAATTTAGACAGTTTTTCGAAATGAAAGTCACATATATCCCGTGTTTGACCGCCAATAAACTTAAACTCATAAACAAAAATTTTGCCATGTATTAAAGTACGCCCATCATGGGGTACAGATGGCAAAAAATATTATGGAACCTTCATTACCGCAAAATCTTTTTGAGCTAATGTACACTTTTCAAATGCTTGAATATGTTTACAAGACATATTTTCAGTATATACAGTGTAGTTTTTATCAATTCGGAATTTTTGACACTTGCTATAATCGTAAATATTCCGCCTAAATATATCACATACACATGTACAAATTATTTTAATTTAAAAGATTTTGACGAAGTGTGAAATGTGTCATGTTCTTGTCGGGTAAAATTATCAATTGTTATTAACGAATTTAAAATTTAGCCAAAAAATTAGATGAATACTAAATACTAAAGAACTTTCAGAACCTTTTTTCTCTCATTTGTTAAGACAAGGAAGATTCACCCAAAAATAATTATATAATTATTGGAGACAGTCAAGCACACCGATATTGTTCAGCATAGCACGCTTACTTTAAGAAAAAGAGTATTATCGAAAATAAAACAAATCACACTTACGTAGAAATTCAACTGACAATGAATCGGATTCTTCAAAGAATGATGCAGATGACGGTTCATCATCGTAAATGTGGACTGGATGTATCGCCGCCTCCTGAATAAAGTATAAAAGGTTAGTTCAATGTCTCGAACTGTTTTATTTTAATGTTTAATTGATGGAAGAAAAACCATTATTGAATATAATTTATAACTGTAATTCGTGTATAATATAATTTAATGTTGGATACTTTTGTATGATAGTGATAGCACACAGATAATTTTTAAAATTATAATCCAAATCAATTATCAATCTGGCAAAAAACGAACAAAATCAATAATTTCAGGGGCAATTATGCTTGTGTTTATATCAAATTCATTTCGTTTTGCTTGAATTTTCAATATGCATCAGTTTGTGTTTTGAGATTTTTCGAAAACTCGACACGAATAAAAATATGAAGAATGCACACTTAAGTAAAAAAAATTATCTCGTAAGATGGAGTAACGACGATTGCCATTGTACCTGTTCTTGATCTTGTGATTCAAAATGTGCACTCAGAGTTTGATTCTCACGACGATCATCAGCCGTACAAACGAAAGCGACGCCATGGTCAGAGCATTCACTTATGTCGTTTCCAAATATAACTGGACGAGACGTCGACAGAACCCACACTCCACAGCCACGATTTTCTGAAAACATAAAAACAAAGGAAGACAATTTAAAGATTTAATCTGTCAAACGGGACGTCAGCTTAGTATATAGTAGAACACACATTTCAAAAATGGATATGTAAGAAATAGGTTAAGTTTAAACAAAATCTATAATTGAAACATTTACGAATACACGACTTACTGCGGATGACATTTTCAAAAATAAGACCACAACCACGTTCACCAATGACCACACCATCACCATGACCACTGTGAATGGTATTGTTCATTATAACAGGATGTCCACCATTACGTATATCAACACCACCCCACTCCATTCCACAAATATCGTTGAAATACACGTGCCCAAACCCCTCTTCTGTCACTGCTATCCCAGCGGCCTGACCTGCCCATATACGATTACACCTGTCGTGGGTGGTGTTAGTGATTAAATCACTACTTCTATTTTTCAATTATAAATTAAAATTTCGACAAATTAAACATTCGCAAAATTCATTAACACCAGCGAAAACACAACTCCCGCTAATGATATCATTGAAAATTTTTCATTGACAAAAGACAAAACGTTGAGTATAGAAAAGATCTTGATAATTCAATGCATGATTAAGAAGATGTTGTCTCTAACTCATCCTTAAAACTTCAACCTTTAAAGTCAGTTATTAGGAGCTAAGAGAAATTTCAAGTAACTGGTCATTTTCTCCAGTTATTTTTTTATAAAATTTGGGTGCCTCAAAACAGATATAATTTGTACTTTGAAAATGAGTGATCCATGATGCCAGTATTGAGCATAATTGCGGACTTATTTAAAATGATATATCTATAGGGATGACAAACGTAACGCTATATACTTCCAAGGTTCAGATTTAAATAAATGATATGCTTATGTCGTTGCCTCCCTTTTCCATAGGAACATAATTTTATGCACTGTGATTGGTTAGCTTTATAGCAGAAAATCACTGCATGAGAAAATCACTTTGTATTAGGTTGTTTCCAGTTTTAAAAAGTTGACAGTGAAAATCTGTGCTATTTATAATTTCTCTGATGGTCATGTGAGTATTTCACTATGACATTTCAAAATAAAAAATAACCTTTTCCCTTACCTTACTATTGGATTTCCACGATAGAGTATATAAACACCTGCTTCACAATTATCATAAATATCGTTATCCACTATTAGCCCACGACCACCATCCAGGACCACAACTCCGGACCTTTTACCATTAAAGATTTGATTATGTGTAATCAATGGATCAGACCGATTGCGTATGTCAAGACCAGCTTCGGCATTTTGATAAATCAAGTTCCCAGCAACTAAGCCACCTGAACAATCACGAAAGAACACTCCAGAAGTGCTACAGTCATGTATTGAGTTTGCTAGGAGTGTCACCCTAGAACTAGTCATGCAGCGGATACCATAAACAACATTTGCAATTTTACATGACTCTATCCATGCAGCCCCTGTCGTCGCACATGAATTGCACCACGTTTGGAGTGGAATCTACATTCGCGAATAATGCATCCTGCTGAGTTCCTAAGTGCTGCCAGAGTATCCGTTTTCAACGTTAGTTTGCTTCGCTTGCCTAAAGATACACTCATTTCATGAGGTATAACATACTTCTTGTAACCAGAAAGACTGAGTTTCTCTTTTAAATCATTCACAAGCAGATGAATATCAGTTGTCTCTTCAACATCTTTAGGAGCTTTAGAAGTTCTTTCAAGATTTTTTCGTACAATATGATTGTATAGTTCTTTGACATTTAGTTTCTTTTCAGAATAGGTGGCAATCCAGTCGGCAAAATTCAATCCCATGGAATAAAACTTTCCCAAAGACTGTGTGCCTTCAATCAAGATGGCTGAATGGTCACCATTTTGAAATTCGCAATGCTCTATCTTGCACATGGATGTAGTTCGTATCTGAATAGATGAGTTGTTAAATGAGCAATATGTTATATTCACGCTTGCTGAGGATGCCACTTGAACATAACCATGTTCAACAATCGAATTTTCTAAATACAAACATCCACTTGTAACCTACAAATAAAAAATGGCAAAGAACTTAGCAAAATGGCTTGCAGAGTATCTCTTAGAAAAAAGCTTGATCATTCTGCATATAAACAACAAGTTAACAAAATAATTCTAAATGATAACTAAATGCAACAAAACTTGATGCACTAAAAAGCTGATTATGCAGCAGATGGCAACATTGAAAGGCGTATATTTAAAATACTCAAAGATTTAGAAAAGAAAACAACAAAAATTAATACAATGTCTACATGATGCTGCTTTTATTGTCAATTCACACATGCATAAAAAAGAGACATTTTTTACATTCACGCTGATGCACACAATCATGACACAAATTCATAATGATGACAACCAAAGTTGTCACAAAGTTGGGAAAATATCTGTCGATAAAATTCTTCAAGCATCTGTCTGAGTGACTAAGGGGCAACTTGCATCTTCAATGATAGAGGTTCGCAGCCGAGATTAATTAAATAGGATGTTTTCATACAAGAGAATGAGGAGATAAAAGGTGATTTAAAAGATACAACTTCAGCCCGTTCGAAGGTGAATGTACAATAATGTAAAAAGATTGCCATTGTTCAAGATTATGTAAATATTTAAAATACTATAGACTACTAGTGTATTCTACGACAAACCTTCAAGACAGAAGGCGGTGGATTCTGAGGTCTGTATGAAGATGGGCGAATCAAGACGTTCGATAATCTCACTGTTGGACATTGTATTTCAACAGCATTTAGGCGAATTTTCTCTTCCTTTCCCCTTCCGATAATCTCCAACGGATGCTGAATGAGTAATGGCGATGTTTCCTCGCGTACATCTTCCTCGACATAAATTGAGTCGTAGGCCGAGGATACTGCTATTGCATTCCTTAATCTCCGAAATGGACGGTCTGCGCCGACATAGAACTGCTTCTGCGTTCTTTTCTTGATAAAATGCCACACACCGAAGACGCATTTTGCTTGGGGGTCCGTTTTAATCCAGTTTTTCGAAGCCAGGTATCTCTCCTTGTACGCTTTCTGCCATGAAAAAGGTTCTTCTTTCAGTCTGTTTGGCCAATTTGGATGTTTCCAAGGATTATTGTATAAATAGAGCTCTTTCCAACGGGTGTTATCCAAACTACGTACCAATTCTGCCCAAGCTCTCGACACTTGACAACAGTGACAAAGGTCTACAATGCTCAGATGTGACAAAATTACACGCCATAATTCTAAGGGCAAAATTTTAGTCTTATCCTGCATTTAGTCACATTAAGCGTTCCCTCTAAAAATTAAACTTTTTTGCGAAAGCCGTGGGAAAACTTTCTTTGGGAAAAAAATTTATTTCCCGTCTCCAGATTCGGGACGACTTACCACATTTGTGCCTCACAATTGATTATTTGAAAAACACACTAGATATTGGTTGTTCTCTATCCTGATTGGTTCGTGAAACATGTTATTGAAAACTAATACATTTATGTTGGAAAATGTAAATTAGAATACAAAAAACATATTGCATTCTGCTAGTTGGAAAATTCAAGTTTGTTAGCTTTTAGCTCTAGCCAACTATTTATACACGATCAAAAAAAAAATCAATGTATTTTACAGTTTTTACTGAACATTCATCACTTTTTTCAACGAACTTGCTATGCCCAGATCGCTGGCCCAGATTATGCCCCCCACAGCCTAAATACAACTACGCATGCGTATGAAACGTGTACTTCCTGTAATATTTTAAAAAGAACACATTTGGAAGTTGGACGGGCTGTTCGATGGTTCACTTTGCAGTACTTTATTACTGACGGAATTTTCGCTTTCTAATTAAAAAAAGATATGCCTGCTCCTAGAAAGAAGAGCAAGAAAGTGCCAATACTAAGTCATGAGTTTATTGTTACTAATCATGGCGATATAGTGTCGTGTATTTGTATGATATTTATGGTCGGGTTATTATTCAAGGTAGCTTAATTACTTTTTATTTGTAAATTGTTACAAATTTCAGTCTATCGAATAGTTTTCTGATCTTTTCTCTTTCCAGACAACGCAGAAGGTAGCGGGAGTTTTTATTGCACCACAATACAACATAAGCAAATTAAAGAACGGTAAATTTTTCCTTTACATTCATGTTATAATATTGCTGTCGAAATGAAACGAACCTTAATTACCAAATGCATAATTAAAGACAGTTTAAAAATTGGTAAAGCAAATACACAAAAAGTTTTCCAATCACTGGCATGGCCAAGCCTGAACATTTTTGTCCTCCATGTAAATTTCAATACAATACAATTGTATTCATTTCTTCAGAAATCTATTGTTTTACAGTGCGTGAAAGCTGAAAAATTTTCACAACTAGCCCAAAGAAATGGATTGGCTGTGTCACAGTTTTCAGTTTTTTAACGTGATAAAATGAAACACATTTGAATATGATTAAGGGGAGGGAGTGAGGGCAAGAAGGGACAATCATTGAGCCTTTTCAATGCCATTGTATGACATTTGATATTTTCCATATCATCATGTAGATTCTGACCAAGCAAAATCAGAAGAAACAGTTTATACCAATGGAAGGAAGGATATTTGTACAGTTTTCTTTTATTCCCTTGCATGGATAGTTATTCATGCTATTATCCAGGAGTATATATTAGACGTGAGTGAAATGCAGCTTGAAAACTTATGGCTTATTCATGAATAATTCATTCTTTTGAATTTAATTATTTTGAATGAGAGACCCTTGTAATCTGAATAGCTGCAAAAGTTCTTGGCAAATGAATGTTGACCTTTATATATAATTATAATTACTTGAATTATTTACTAATTTTGCTTAGAAAATCAATCGTAAATTTCACTTATCAAAGACCAAAATCAGCCGATTCAATAATCTTGGAGGCCACCTACCATTTTATTTTGCCTCAGCAGTTTGGGGTGCAGATCTCATTTTGAAGGTAAATGAAAGTGTAGCTTAGTATTGTTTTCATAAGTACTAGAGTTAAAAATAAAGTTTTTGATTAAAAAATATTGCTTTAAATTTGGCTGACTTAACTATGAACAATCACCTGTTCATTTTAGGAAAACCTTCTTCCCAGGCTATCCAATTTGTGGGAAGGTTATCCACATACCGAAATGTCATTTATGATCAAGTTTTACTTTATTTTGCAAATTTCATATTGGATACATTGCTTTCCTGAACTGTATTTTCTAAAGGCAAAGAGGGTATGAAAATGTGATTGTTTAATGAATTTTTTTGTCAGTGGTGATGTAATGCATATTCCTTGCATTTAGGAAGAACTGTTGCCGCGAATATTTGTGTATTTGCAGTATCTTTTTATTCTTGTACCAGCTTATATTTGCAAGTAAGGCAAACTGATACATTTATTTTGATAGAATTGCATCTTTTTTAAGAATATATTTATAAGTAAATTTTTTCAATAATTTTCCTAGCTTTACAAAGCTTTCATTGGTGTGTTTTGTGATTCACTATTTTGTTGAGTTTCTGTTCAATGCAATTAAAATTCTTGGCTACATGGGAAAAACAGAAACTTCCAAAAATTTGTAAGTGTTTTTTAGCAAAAGCAATTGATTCATCATTTTACTTCTGAAATATTGTACTAATGGAAAAATTCTTCCTTTGTAGATTGGTGTTTATATGGGCCTTGTTATATGCAATTGCTAGGATTGCAATTATTATTTTGTCTATTGTTACATTGTGGTATGTGAACAAAGTAGTGTTAAAGTTTTATAAAGAGATTGTATTATCTATTCATTAATCAGATGCTGAATGTCTTTTCAGGATTGGGTTGCCCAAACAACTAAGCTCTGAAAACTATCAGATGGTTCCAAATTTCAACAAGAAACCATGGAGGTTTGTCTTTATGCTTAAAATTTATTGCTATCATGTGATTTACTTTTTGAAACGAGAAAGGCATGGTTTTGTAGGGAAATTGTGCCATTAGTTGGTACAGGAACATGTTGTATCCTCTTAGTACAGGTGAAGTTCCAACTGATTTAATTGGTGTATTTTCAGAATAACATTCCTTGCTGGGCTCATTTTGATGCAAGCTTGGTTGGCATGGGTATTCATTGCCAGGCAAGTTAGTTATTGGAGCGATGTTTTGCAAATCAAACGGCAGAAGTCCAAAAAAAAGGATGTGAAGAAGAAAGCCAAGGAACAAAAGTCAAAGGGAGAAAGTGAACTAAATCATGAAACAAAAAAAGTACTGGTTAATGGCAAAGAAAAACATGCTTAAAATATATGTAATTCAATTTTTGTTTTTATTGTCTCAGAATTTAAGTGACCTTTTCAAATTGTGATAGCCAATTGCTGTTATTGTTATACCATCTCATGGTATATGGATATTATGGACAAACCAAAGTGGGCCGAATGGTTGCCATGAACACTTGATGATTAATAAAAACTTTGCATAAGAAGCAAAATATATTCAGTACATCGTTAAAAATGTCTTGTTTTATTGGTGAAATAGCATGCTACAGGCTGTACCACAGATTTGGTTCTCAAATCTTAGTGGTTTAGTATTAAATTGAACTATTTTTCAAGTAACTTACTAGATGCCAGTCATGTAAATCTGCATTTTTAAACAAAAGTTTTCCAATTCAATTTAAATAGAAGAAAGATATAATTTTTAGATTCTAAATTTAATTTGATTCTTCCAATGTTGGAAAGGATTCTTTTCCTCCAAATAAATTCAATTCAATTCAAAAGTCACTTGCGGTGCAGTTTTAATCCCTAAACCAAAACCACACCAATTTGTTTCACAAATTTTTTTCTAAAGCAGAGGTAAACTGTAGACATGTTGGTCAGGATTTACATCTGATATTTTTATTTATATTTTACAAAATGACAAATAAAATACAAAGATACATTTTTGAAACAAATCGAAAAAATAGGTACGCAATGCTTACAAGCTGGTGGCCAGGAAAGTGGCTTGGAACCATTCGGGGACAGGATGCGCCCAGCTTAGATAGCGTTATCCATTACATAATACATTTGTCAAACTTGTAAGAAAGGTTAGGTTTACTTGATGGTAATGAAAATTTGTATTTCTAGAACCAATATTATATTTCATTCAAATTCATTGATTGTTCATTTCAAATCGTAGATTTTTCCGTTTTAAGAAACTTTTCAAGCGTTCAAAAATATTGCTGTCAAGTGGATAGAGCTATTCGGCCTTCGTGCATCTGGTCCCTGGCAAATATAGTTGTACTTATGCTATGTTTTGCCTAACTTTATGGGAGATGCTTCTTGATATACAGTACACTAATGAACGACGTCAATCGACAAACGGCACTGTATCAAAACAACCGTTATAGTAAAACACCCTAAAAACACTCTACAGCCAGCCAACCTCCAAGAACGAATCAATAGTTTACATTAATTTAAAATGCGTATGAATGTTTGATTCAAATACTTGCTTCTCATTTCAATGCAGTCCTAAACTCAACTCCAGCACACTTTATATGAAATTTGCAGATTATTACTTAAATTGCTTGAGTTATTTTACAAAAATTGCTAAGATTATCAAGTGTGCACTTTGAATTTTGTGCAAAAGTATTTCAAAATAGGTGGCAGAAGTCTATTTTGGAATACGTCGAGTTTCTGCGGAATTACCTTTCTAAATTAGAGAGCGAGGGAACTCTCTAATTTAGTTAGAATATTGCAAATACTCATTTATGTGCAAAGTTTAGTCTTAGCGTGCTTACTTGTGATTTCGTTTCTAGATATTTATACTTGACCATCTGCAAACACTGATCGACAAAAGTCAAAGGTTTTGTCTTTAAAACACCGCTTCTTTTAAATTATAGCTCTTAGCCGAGTAAAAATAATTTGTTACACTTACCGTAAGAAACGGTCACCATGAAAGGCTTGGCTGTGACCACGGTAGGCTTGACTGTGACCACGATACACTTGGCTGTGACCACGCTAGGCTTGGCTGTGACAACGGTAGGCTTGGCTGTGACCACGGTAGGCTTGGCTGTGACCATGAAAGGCTTGGCTGTGACCACGGTAGGCTTGGCTGTGACCACGGTAGGCTTGGCTGTGACCACGGTAGGCTTGGCTGTGACCACGGTAGGCTTGGCTGTGACCACGGTAGGCTTGGCTGTGACAAAGGTAGGCTTGGCTGTGACCACGGTAGGCTTGGCTGTGACCACGGTAGGCTTGGCTGTGACCACGGTAGGCTTGGCTGTGACCATGGTAGGCTAGGTCGCCCTAACAGAAACACAAGCAACAAAATTGTTCGATTAGATGGACAAAAACACACTTACAACCCTGACTTCCTTCTTCCTTTATTTTCTCGTCCTCCGCATCTGAAAAATACTGAACAACAAGTTAGTGGTATGACAAAACAAATTAAAGTAAAAGTAAAGAGAGAAACAGACACATACCGCAGGCACAATCCGCATCTGCTGCCGTGTGTAACTGTAGAAATAATTGTAAAATACGATCATGAGAAACTGTTGAAGTTCGAATATTTAGTAAAACCAGTGTTTGCAGAAAATCTTGTTAAAATTTCTGTCGAAACTCGTACTTTACGAAGATTAGCAGAAGACAGCTGCGAATATTTACAGAGAAGGCATACATCGATGTTGACATGAAATTGCTATCAGATATTTCAAAAAACTTTCTCAAAAAATGTTTGTGTTCACTCTGTTTTAACTGCATTAAAGACACACAGTTATAACATCCCTCAATGTTATAACAGTGTTAACGTTGAAAACTTGTTTGACTGATACGGCAATCACTTCAAGTTCAAATAGACCAAATATAATTTAATGATTTTGCAATACTCTGCCAGCATATTGCAATTTCTTTTGGTAAGTGTAATGAATAAACTGTAAATTAAATCCCATTTTAATGTTACTTGCAATATCCTAACATTTGAACGTTCACAAGAAGCACCTCCATATTAACATGTCAACAAGCATGTTAACTGATTTGTGCAAACTTCTATAACTCAAATGGTATGGAAGAGCTCGTCAGTTAGCATGCAGCCAACACATCCCTTAAATCCAAATCTTCCAATTATTGCTAGCATCGATCGCAGGATGTACAAATAGACTTCGGAATATAAAATGAAAGCATTATTTTATAGAGGTATAACTGTCAGCTGGTCAGTCCGGGAGAATTGACATCGAGGGCGAGGAAAAATGTCTTGTGTCAAAGGGTAATCTATTTCTTCCTTCAGCAACATCTTGACAAGGACTTTATAGTCTAAAAATATAAAATAGAGTCGGAGATATCATCGTATCAACGAGCAAATATGTCCGTTAAAACATGAACTGTCTGTATTTCCTAGAGATATTCTTCATGGCACTTAAGTTTAATATGGCAAATTGATCAAACATTTTAGTATGAATGTTAAACGTCATAGTTTTTGCTGAGTTTATCCGTTCTTACCTTAGGAGTTGTTCTGTTGTGTAATATCACCCACTTCGCTAATCTCTGCCATCTTTCCTCTTTATCTTCTGCGACTCTCAACCATTCAAAATAACTTTTTCTCAATTATTTTGTTCAACACTAAATTTCTGAACTGGTAGTTGTAATCGAAAGCATTACCCGAAGTATGGCTTTAATGCCTGTAGAGCACTTTTCATACAACGCTAAAGTTAGACCAGCTATGTTACGATAGAGTATTAAACAAAGAAATTTAGCGAACTTCTCTTCTCTTCAACCAAATGAAAATTCATGAAATAATTTCATCTATATATGCTATAGAGTATAGCCTATCTCTTCAAAATACGCGGACTGTCTGGGTCCGCATCATTTGCGCTGACTTCATTACATAGAGCTTTCAAACTTTTCATCAACACAGCGAAAATCTTGACTTCCATAGCTAGATATCTTTGCTCGACAAATATCAATCAGAAAACAGCGTACAGGCAAGTTGTTCGAAATTTTTTTATCCCTTTCCACCCAGATGATCAGAGTATTTGATTGGTTCAAAGTGCAATGACAAACAATACACTACAAAAATGATGAATATAAAAAGCGAGAGATATTGTTTCATTAACCAAATTGGAAAACACACATTCATGTAAGTGGTGTGCGACCCTTCCCCTGGGAGAGAGAGAACAATGGAAATTTTGCAATTAGGAAAATGCTTTGTCAAAATCATCCAACATGACGTTATTTGCCCACCAAGAATTAGTAGGTAGATACTTCCGGAAATTTTTTTACAATCAAATCATAATGCAAATTCAAATTTTTTCTATTATTTATATAAATACACCATCTAGTTAGTTTTAAAAAAAAATTTTCGGCCGACGACGTGGGACAACGAGTGGGAAGATGAACCACGAGACCATGTGACAACTTTGTCTGTTTGTTGCGCATGCGCAACGGATATACTCACCAAAAACCATTGCAAAAAAGAGTAAAGTTTTATTGTGGTTTTATTTACCCAACTATCATTGCCAAATCAACTAAGAACATTTTGTAAAATGACATCAACTGGAACTGCTTTGTTTGGTTCAAACATTGGCAACACATCAAAAAATTTAGTCGAATTTCGTGCAGGAAAAATGAAGTTGAACGGCACAACAGTAACTGCTGACAAACGAAAGGGTTTGGTGTATATCTATCAAGGTGATGATTCACTTATGCATTTTTGCTGGAAAGATCGGACGACAGGCACAGTGGAAGATGTACGTATAAACACGCAGAAATTAGAAAGATTTTCCTAACTTCCTTTACTGTTCATTTTCTGATTTGTTTTATGATGCTATAGTATTCGTTTATACATCGTGTTTGGTTAGGATTTGATCATTTTTCCCGACGACGTGGAATATAAACCCGTGAAGCAATGCAAGACAGGCCGAGTCTTTATTTTGAAATTCAAAATTTCTTCACGTAAATTATTTTTTTGGATGCAAGAGCCCAAATCCAACAAAGATGAAGAGCTGATGAAAAAGGTCAATGATTTTTTGAATAATCCACCAGCACCAGGATCTTCAGGTGGAGGACTTCGGCATTTAGGCGATCAACTGATTGGTAAGTCTTAACCTAATCATAATTTCAGAGGGCTAAGTGCCATTTTTCAAAGATAATCTGTATAGGTATGCTTTATTCATGTTCAAGTTTTCCACGAAAGTTTTCTTGTTACCTACTTGTCATATGTGACATTTTCTATAGGTGATGCTAGTCTTCAAGGTTTAATTGGCAATTTGGATCAACAACAACTGCTTCAGTTGCTCGGAAGTGGTCAAGGCATGAGTGGTCTTAGTAGTCTTGCTGGCCTTGCGTCCCGTGGATCTAGTGCTAGTAGTACAACCGCCACTGCTAGTAAACCAAGTGATAGTGAGCCACCAGCTACAGGCAGCTCAAAGTAAGTTCTGCCATTCAGAAATAAGTCAAATGCTAAATAATGAGGAGTTTCAATGTTTAGGCTCATTTTTTATAAAAATACATGAGTAGTGACAGTGCAATGAAGTGTGCATTTCATAAATTATCAACAATGATATTAAGGCCAGAACCAGAGAAGAAACCAGCTAAAAAGGAAGCAAGCTCAAAAGCTGATGACAAGAAAGAGGCATCCACTGGATCAGCCCAAACTCCGGCTGTTCAATTGAGCGATCTACAAAATATTCTATCCAACATGGCTGGTAGTAGTCTTAATCTTATATTCTTGTTTGCCCAATGTTTTTGTTCTTCTTTCAATAATGTATGTTCATATTTTTAGTTCCAAAAGTCCAACAAACCGCAGATGGTATGCTTTCTTCACCAATGCACATTGTCATTTTCATATGCTGATCACAAGCCACCACACTATTTACGACCTATGCATTTCACTTTAGCAGTGGATCTGAATTATGTTATAACACCTGAAAACCTTGCACCAATGCTGAGTAATCCAGAGTTTCGGAGAAGGTTAATTCCATTTCTGCCAGCAGGAGAAGATCTTCCACAAGAAGAATCACAACTTCTTGAAACATTAAAGTCACCTCATTTTCAGCAGGTATGTGAGAAAACAATAGTGGAAATGAACAGATTGTCCTGCTTGCAGTAAAAACAACTGTTATCATTTGGAACTCTGATGTACAGTACACTAAACCTAAATAGACCACAGTTGCTATAATGAAAAACATTTAAATAAGGTCAATTGTGTACAGTTTTTTATCTGCCTACTTAAATTGAGATATTGCAAGTTTGTTTCATTACATATCATACAGAAATGTTTTAGTGAACATTGACATTGTTAAGTTCTTTTATTTACTTCCAGAGTTTGCATGCATTTAGTGCAGCCCTGCAATCTGGGCAGCTGGGACCAATAATGAGTCAGTTTCAATTGCCTCAGAATGCTATAGAAGCATTCAATAGAGGAGGTAACACTTTTGATGAAATTTATTGAACAAAGTCAAGTAATGTAATCATAACCATGACTACCATTTTTCATTCATTTAGATGTTCAAGCAGTTGCACAAGCTCTTCAAGAAAACTCAAAAGTTGAAGAAAATAAAGAACCCGAGAAGGATGATGATGACGACGATATGGGCTTGGATTAAACATGTTGTCCATAATAGATACTGTAGTGAAATTATTTGTTTAATTACTCTTGACAGACATAGACTTTAGTCACCTGAAATCTTATAAAACATATTAAGTTCATGGGTTTGTTTTAATGAAAGTTTAATATATTTTTTCACCCTTCGCATCATATACTTTTTCACTGAACTATCACAATGTGTTGTCAACATGAATAAATGCCCAACAAACTGTGCAAGAGTACTAAAAGATTAGGTTAATAAACTTAGCACAATCAATTTGTGTCGCTTTTCCTAAAAAACCTGTCTGTACTTTGTTAAATAAAAATACCAATCAGTTATAGTATGTATAAATTTCATTACAATTAAAAAGCATTCTACAATGAATTCACATGAGCACAAATAATGCACAAACATTCTTGTCATTATTTGTCAGAGGTAAGTAGTTTCAAATATTTACATATGTGCCAAATACTTACAATATTTAAAAGCAACTTTCCTGCCACAGCCATTGTAATTGATTGACAAAACCAACACTTCCGTTTTAATGATGTACAACATGACTTAAGTTGTCTTGCTAACTAAGCGATTATTTGTAGAAAGCTTTTACTTGATCTTGTTAGATAAAATAAATGTTAATGTAATAATGTGTAATTTCTGTAAGCTGTTTGCTTATAAAAAAAAACTTGAAGGAATACATCATATTTCTGTCATGTTAAGCAATTGAATGCTTATGCATGCTGCATGTGAAAAAAGCAAAGATTTAAAGCACCTGATTGCAAAACAATTCAAACAATGACAAAGTAGAAATGACAAAAATTGCTTATGTGCATTTTCAGTGTACAATTGGAGAGATCATATTGTCTTCACTTAGTTGACATTCTCAATATAAAACATATACTGGGCATAGTAGAAAAATACTGCAACACATACCAGACATTTCAACCTCGTGTAGTGGACTCGACTGACGGTCCATTAGTAGAAATAGGTTGAGGTTGAGTTAAAGAAAGTAATGCATTAGCTGCAGAATTTTCAAAAGCATTGTCCAAAGTCGAACCAAAACCATGACACAACAATGGAGGTACAGTACTGAGAGTCACAACTGCTCTGTGCTGCTCAACATTCTCCTATAAATAAAATAAAAAACTGTTAAGAATCTTTAAGCCTCACAAAATTTCCTCACTTTGTGTGCTTATCAGCATAAAATTTAAGAAGTAGAGATGGTAAAAACAAAACTGACAATACATTTCTTATTCCACATAAAACTACTGGCAGTAATACATTTTGATCATTTTTATATCCAAGAAAAAATGCAATGTGCTGGTGATATACAATCATATAATATAATAACTATGCAATAAACCTGTGTAATGTCCTGGTATTGAGTCTGGAATCCTCTAGCTTTAGCAAGTTGCTGCAGTTTTTGCATTGATGAAATGCTTTCATTTTGCAAAATTTCATCTGAAATTGGCTTCACAACAGGAGCTCCGGGAGCACGATTTAACACAGTCCCAGGAGGTGATGTGGTCTAGATTTCAAAATGGTAAAGATTTCATTCATATTAGAAAAGATATTACATGTGTGAGTATAAGGAATTTGGAAAACTTACTTCACCATTCGGGAAAGGTTTAGAAGTTTGCACAACAGTTGTACTAAGCTTGTTGCCCTCTGTCATCTCAGGTAATATGGGCAACAGACCAGGTGGAAGTGAGCGACGCTCTCCAGGCTTATTATCACTATTTTTCTCTAGCCCACTTTTCTGAAATATAATTCATGAAGACAATACAGTAATGTTGCAACAAAATATCGGAAGTACAGCCTGATAATGGTCATTAGAAACATATACCTGACTGTTTTCAACAGAGTCATTAACTTCCACAAACTTGACTGGTCTTATTCCTAATAATTGCAACATTGCCTCAGCTGCATTCTTTTTTGCCTCCTTCTTATTGGCACCAGACCCATGGGCAACATGAGAATCCAATTTAATTTGCATGGTAAATTCCCTAGTGTTTGTACATCCCTCTTCAACAAGAGCATACTCAGGTAGCTCCTCCTTACGACGCTGCCGAAGTTGACCCAAAAGACTGATTGCATTCAAACTTGGATTGATGTCCTTTGGAGACTTTTTTGCATATCCTTCATGCTTATACAGCCTGCTGTAAGCATGGTGTTTTATAAGAGGAGGTAATTTTTTTAGTTCTTCCAAGACTTTAGAAGATGCCAATAGCTTGGAGACCTTCTTGCTTGAGCCTTCACCAGAGGCAGAAAACTGACCAACAGTTACTGTGGTAACAAAAGTGCGGCCATGTGGGGGCCCTGTAGATGAAACCACTTGATAATCAATCTGCAATCTTCGTTTTGCAGCAATTTCGTAAACTTCACTAATTGGCGATTTCATCAGGTGTTTTGACAGCCCCACACCATCAGTCTTGCTCATCTGAAGGAATCAAAAATAAATTTGGTACAAGCAGAAAAAATCAAGCAATTTTGAACCTATGAGCCTGTTCCTTTACATTATTTTCCTAAGTACATACATTATTATTAGGAATAATATCTCACCATGGAGTCAAGAGTTTCAGATTCACCAGTGTTTGCTAGTTCACTTTTTACATCAAATTCAGTTGATGTTTTCTCCACCAATTGTTTACGAAGTTCAGGTAAGGCCTTCAGAACTGCTTCCTGCTTGGCATCTTTTTTCCGGTTTCCCACTCCAATATATTCCTTATCATCAATTTTCAGTATCATTGTTTTCATAAATGGAGAATAAGGATAACGGCTATTACTGACAGTATTATCTGAATACTGGTATGCTCCATAAACATTGCTTGCAATGGGAGTATGACCAATGTGTTGGTTTATTTGAGCAGGAAGATCCTGATACCTCAAAACTTTCCCCAACTTCATTACTATATTATTCAATTCGATTGATGGCTGGTCAATGACTTCTTTTGCTTTTCGCTTTTCTTTCTTTAGACCGGAGGTTTCAAGACCACTTTGTGCTGCATTGTGTTTTGCAGCTCTTATGGTCGAAGCAATCCCTTCATAGATGCCAACATTGGGTAAGGTTAACTGGACTTTAAAAGTTCTATTATGCGGTGGTCCAGACTCTTCAATAACCTTGTATTCAGGAGAGATACAATTTGATTTGCACAATTCGTTCATCAAGCTTATCGGCGTTTTATTACAACTCATCCTTAAAAGGAATTTGACGTTATTCGATGTTTTATGACAACAAGGGAGACTTTGAATACACAAACAAATGTGAAATGCACTCTGAGAAACACGTACACAATACCTTTCAAAGGTTTGTAATCTTCAAAAACTGGACGGAGACCCCACACTTTTTTTAATTCTTTTCTCAAAAGTGGACAAAAATTTTGTCAACATGAGGTCTGCTCAAGTTTTATGAGACCAGTCCGAAAGCAGCGAAGTCACTGTGAAGAAGGTTGGAATTGTGGTAAATATTGAATGCGCATGCCCATGTTTAAGTTCTTCAGCACTGCAGGGCCTGGGAAGTATACATTAGATAGTTAGACCATGAGTTACACCCATAGTAAGAACCTTCCTCAAGTGTATCAATTTAGTTCAAATTTGTGCACATTGCATGTTACCTTCACATTTGACACCATGGTTTATTTATTTTTGTGCTGTATTTTAATTATATACACAATTATAAATAGAGATAAGTTGTTTTGTATCAAAGTCATTGAAAACGCTACGTTTGTTCTGGATTGTCATGATGCACTCAAAAGCACAAATAAAAATCTTTAAATTGAACACGAGCAGAAAATCTAAGAATCTACACTCTTGTTTTTTCAAGTGAACCGGGAATCCAACCCAATATGCATCCTTGCAAAAAAAACTCCTGTTCTCCATTTTTAGTCCGTTACGCCAATTTTTTGGCCTATGGGCATCATTAGATAATCCTGTTGATCAATGGCATCAAATAATCGATTTAAATTCTTGAATAACTACCAACAAACTATCCTGCACATACCTTCAAACGATAAGACACCTGCAAAGCATGGTAAGTACCCAGGCCGAAACGGAATCTAATACATTGGAACTGGTTGCTTTTGTTTCACTGTTGGAAAATTCATTATCAAGTATTTCTTCCTTTTCAATCCACGAATTATAATATCTGTCATAAATATGAGGGCATTCTTTATGCACAAAATATGTAGATACAGAATTATAGTGAAAAATAAAAACATGTTTAACATTGTCACGGATATTACAATGAGTGGCGTAACAAAGTGCTGATGAGTTTGATAAGCATTTGTCAAAACAAGCGTAAGAAGACAAAGAGCATACCAAAATATATGATTGAAAATTTGCTAAGCGCATATACAAGCACCAATTTCAGAGCTCGCTCCGTCACAAATTAAATGAGTACTCCACAAACTCTCCAAGTTCATGGTGATGGCAAAGGCCAACTTTATGTACTAGTACCGATTATGGAGTAATTAGCTCGCTCAGTCACAAACGCTGCTCTGATTGGCTGAAATATGAAATAATTTATTCCACATTTTGATCCCAGCTAGTGAGATGGTACTCTGTGCTTTTTTCGCTTGTCTTCATTTGAAATAAAGATAGTCAAAAAGAAAAAAGTTATGTTTTCATTACAAGCAAATAAACTAGTTACAGATTAAGTACAGGCAATTATTTCTTTTATTGGGCTCATAAGAGTTCCCATACATTTGTTTTGAACACAATGATGAACAGGTAACATGACACTTTGCTACAAGTTCATGTATCTGGATGTATCTCACACGCATTAACTTTCTGGTTATTACCAATAGTGAGTATCCCACCATTTTATTATTTTTTTATATTCACTTATCGGAAACAATAGATTTCTAAAGAAATGATTCATGATAATGTATCGAAAAAAACAACATAGCAGAATAAAAATTTGCTGATTGCTGAATGGTCATGTCACTAAAAATAGGTATAATATTTTTGGCAACACATAAAAAGACACATTTGAAAATAAAATACAATGACGTAAGTTCAAAATAAAATATAAATAACACGGATATATTACGATCCTCTCCCCCCCCCTTAAAATTTAACAAATTTGTTACTTAATCATAAACCCACTTCAAAAATATTGGAAGGAACCGCCAAGTGCGAATTTGGTTATGATAAAAAATCTTGTTTTTATATAAGATATAATAAAATAAGTAAACTTCGTAGAAAAAGATGTGGAAATCAACTTTGGCATATTTTCATTTATAAAAATGAGAAGGACATATGGAAAATTGATTAAAACATTTCAAAGTGAAGTTGAATTAATCGTATTTTCCTCACTATGGTTGTCTTTATCTTGCAAGTCGAGCGTACTTTCACGACATTCCATTACATCAGTAGGAGACTTGTACACTAACCAAGCAAGCCCAAAAAAAAACAGCGACAAAGTTTTACATAGCATGGTCGCTCCTAAGAACACATTTCTAGAAAAAGACCAGGACAGGAATGATTTTCAAGCAAAACTGATACGCATCCTCCATAATTTTCTTCAGACAACTTTTTCATGCAGGTTCTCATGCACCTTGACTACTTCCTACACAATAAATTTTGTGGAAACTGGCCTCACAAGCTATTATTGTATGTAAAGACATTGCTGAAACTGACACATGTTATCTTATCTTAGTTTATATTTTAGAAGTGTAAAGACTACTTTTTATTCATCGCTACCTACACACGTTATCTTAGTTTATATTTTAGGAAGTATAAAGACTGTTTTTGTTCTCTATTGTTCATTCATCATTACCTACACTGACACACGTTATCTTAGTTTATATTTTAGGTAATGGTAATGTAAAGACTGTTCTTGTTCTCTGCTGTTCATCCATCATTATCTACACTGACACACATTATCTTAGTTTGTATTTTAGGGGACGTAAAGACTTTTCTTGTTCTCTGCTGTTCATTCATCACTATCTACACTGACACAAGTTATCTTAGTTTGTATTTTAGGGAACGTAAAGACTGTTCTTGTACTCTACTGTTCATTCTACACTACTAATCATACATACCCTAATCCATCATTTTTGTACTCTAGACAGTTTCTGTCGACATGTTCATCACAAGGATCGCTTTCGGATAAGATACAGACGGAATCTAGCAAGACTCCATACACTATCGGTGCAGGAATGAATGCCAATATTCTTGAAATAATTTGCTGAACACCAAGAGCAAATGATCCTTGACTCTCAGGTACACATCTAGATCAAAGAGAATATCCAATACAATATTTCTTGTTTAGTTTGTGAAGAACTCAGTTTACTTTAACGGGAAAATATCAACATCTAAATTTTCTCCCTAGATTTTTATATATTAATCCTCTTCTACCAACTTAGGTTTACTACAAATGACCATAACATATAAATACACGGTCCGGTAATACAAACAAAGCATGCGTTTTACATATTGGTGAACATTTTACTTTGTTGAAACACCAACATGGCGGTTCTCACGTCTTATGACGACGTCAAAAGAAAAAGCTTGCAATGAATAATTATATTATCAGGCCAAAGTTCTGAGCTGTTTCTTCATTTATAGATTTAGAAATGCATTAAAGAGAAGTTGTATATTTGGTATTGACAATTGATTGATCATCCGAAAAATTACTCAACAAACATCGGTCATTGGCATACCTCAGCGTCACAGTGATAGCAGGAATATTATTACAGAATGTCAGGCAAAGAAGAAGAAAAAATATGATGAGAAAATATGGTAACGATTCACACGATTGATCACAACTTCCTTTATACGCCATAGAAACGTTAGAAGGCAAACAGCTGCAATTGGTGTAAACCTGTATGTAACAATAAAGTTCAGTTTTACATGTAACATTTTAGTTTTAAAGTACCATATCTTGGTATCACTTATGGCTTACCGTTACAGTTACGTAAAAATATCCATATGCTTTCTTACACAGATACATTAGTTAATGCAACTATAAAAATACATTAGCAAAATACCTTATGTCAAATTAAGAAAATAATCTTACTTTTACTCCATCAGTTTCTATTTCGACAGAACATCCTGCGTGACAAGGCGAAAAGTATGTAACTGAATGTTGCTTATTACATACGGGAACATAGTCGTATTGCTTACAGTTGCAATGAAATTGAGAACTGCATCTATCTATAGTGTCGTCATGAGTTCTACAAAATAAAAAATGACGATAATAATTGTGACGATGAAAAAGAAAACGTTTGTTGTCGTGTCCAAGGGGAGAGATCAATTTGTTCAAGTACATGCTCACCATGGTTGACAGAATTAGTACCTGGCAAAGCTGGTCATATAGGATTAGCACTTAGTAATAACGGGTCATAAAGGATTAACACCCAGCATTAACGGGTCATGTAAGGATTAACACCTAGCATTAACGGGTCGTATAGAATGTACTTATGAATGATGGGTCATATAGTATTATTACCTAGGAATGATGGCTCATACTTATTTCAGGTTATGATGCATTACTTAAATTCAACATCACTCACTACATCAGTTCATACTTGATAACAACCTTTGGCAGTGTTAGCTATGTAAGGACAAGGTTTCCACAGAAAATCCATCGTATTCATTCTATACGTAATTAGATGATAAACACAAACAAACCTGTTGTTGTACGACGTTGTTACACCAGCAAAATTCATGTTCGGACAGTGATTTAGAAATATTAAGATGGGAAAAATAGCCAAAAACGCAATGATTGTACAAGCTTTGGCACACTGCCCACAATTCCACTTAAATCTTCGAATAAGATAACCTCCAATCAGCATTCCAAGAATTCCACCAGGGATGATGACGAGGCCTGAGAAAACGCTGGCATTGCTCGAACTTAGGCCAAACTGAGATTCCAAAAACTTCGGGAAAAACGTGGCCGTTCCGGAGATAGCAAAGCCTTCGGCACTACCGGCTATCGTTGTGAAGAGAAATACTTTGTTTTGAAAAAGAGATTTAAGAGCTGGTAAGAATTCTTTAATGTTGTGAGGCTTTCGTTCATCCGGAACACAACCTTTCATGCGACTTTTTTCCTCTTGAAGCATCTTCGCACGCTTTGTCCGGCGTGGAAAGCCGAGCAAAGCGATGCTTACGACTAAGGCACATACACCAGCTACGACATAACCAAGATACCATGCGCCTATCCAACTATTGTCATCTGGTGTCACGTTTACGCCATCTGGCTGAAAGAAATAAAAATATACAGAAACTATTTTAAATTCCTCTGGCAGAAGTTTTGTTTTTACGGGAATGCCTCAGAAATATTGCACATGGGAGCTACCATTCAATGACAACTTACAAAGGAAAATAGCTAATATATCTGTCATAAGCACTGCTTTGCCAAAATGTGTATAGAAAAAAGGATCTATGTCAGAGTTTATGGCTCAGAATTTTTTCTAAAATATTTAAACATGACTTTTGACGTATATCAAACATAAAAATATTAATGTATTTGTTATAGCACAAAAGAAATTTATAATAAAAATTTTCAGTTACGTATTTTCCTAATGCCTACCTCTAATGTTTTGCAAATGCAAGTTTTACTCATGTAAACATTCAATATAAGCTTACCAACGAAAGATCTATATAAATGGACAGAAAATATCCACCGAGTAAAAATCCAACGCCGGGGCCTAAAGTAGCGATGGCATAAAAAATTCCCAAATAAACACCGGAGTTTTTCCGAGTTACATTTTCGTCAATGTAAGCGCAGCCAAGGTTGTATACAGGAGACGCACCAGCACCAATGAGTAGTTGACCAATCACAAACACGAATATATGATACCAACGTGAATTACGACATTCTTCGGAATTGAGCGTCGTTGCATTTTGAAAAGTCTGGTTGTCAAAGCAAAGGTGTTTATTTTGACCTACGATCGGTTTGTAATAACCCACAGTTACGTGCGGGAATGCAAACATTAAACAACCTATACCAAGTATGATCGAACCACACCCTAGCCATTTTGGCTTATGTGAATGACCAGCGTAACTGACAAGTAGAGTTGCAACCGTACTGCCGATATCATAGCAAGAGAAAATACCACCAACTTCGCTGCTCTTTAAAAAATATCGTTTTTCAATAGAGGAAATAACAACACCGCCTAAACCAGTGACGATGAAACCTTGAATGCCGACTAGGATCGAACAAAACACCAAAATCGAACGCGACGATAAAAGCGCTTGTAGGCAATTTGGTCTGAAACCTAGCCATCCGTATCTTGATTCTTCTAGCCCGTCGACGCTTTCATCATTGTCATTTTGCTGTTGCGCCAATACAGACATCTTTACGATGGACTCGTTAAATTGTTTTCAACATGCTGCGAGCTGTTATTTTCACACAGACATGTACTTACAATCGTTATTTCTTTCAATTGCAGAGTAACTTGAGACCTTACTTGAGCTAGATAAAATAAGACACCTCATTTATTATATTGTTAAGTCAAGAGTTGATAATTCGAACACAATTTTCGACATGTATGCAAATTATGTTCTTTCTAAATCATAATATACAGGTATTTATTTGGTTTCCAAGGGAAATTATCCACATAACAGGTTCCAGTCATGTGTGCCGAAGATAAACAACACCCTTGATTAAGATTTAAGACATATTGTAACATCTACGCCAATTTCGGGATAGCTAATACACCTTTTTAGCAATCATTAACTATTTATTGAGAGCAGATATTGAAAGACAGGATGTTAAATCTTTGTGTTGGCGTTAAAGGCAACTACAGTTTAAGGTGTCTCAAAAACTTGTTGATTGAAATTTGTACGGGTTTTAGGGTTATCTTCGGAGTCAAAGCTTATTAAGCTGATAGATTTAGTCTATTTGATTGTGTTTCTGACGTTGAACAATTTCATCGCCTTTTAATACAAAGAATATTCAACCTGCTACGATAGCAATCCGGTAGTGTCAACGGGGCACTAGAGGCACCATGTGGAAGCAGAAGAACAACGTTTTAAATACCTCTTAACATTTATTGTTTATTTGAATGATAGACTGCTGGTGTGATACAAAAGATTATTTTATCACAAGAGGACGTATTGCACTATTTTGATGCTTTGTAAAGATACGTTTCTAAGCAAATATGATACTAATTACCGCATAACGCGCTGAAAGCAATGGTCGAAACTCAACACTTCACGAATGACCGCAAGTGTCTAGCATATAGTTCATCTGTGACAGCATGCCTAATTGAAGCCCATATTTACCCATGATATTGAGCTTCTATAAATCGGTGCCAGCTGGTGCCAACATCTTTAATATGAGTTTAGTTTTGGACATCGAATCAATACTGATCTCTTGATCAACTGGCAAGTTCGAGTGCACGAGTTTTTGGTTTTTATTCGGTTTTCTTCAATCGACAGTCCACGTGGTCAAATCGTCATGTAACAAATGGCAACTAAACTTCGAAGCAATACGAGTGATCAGAAATAACATGGATGAAATTTGTATACAAATATGATTTCGTAGTGTAGCAAAATTTAATACTCTCTTCAAATACTTAATAAGCATTTTAAATATCCAATCCATCCAATGCACTCGGCTTACGGTGTTAAGAAAAACGCGACGTGTCAAAATGTTTTGTAAGAGTACTTTTAAATGTATTCGTAGCTAATTTATATTATTAATTACATAGTATTTCACAAAAATATCTCTCCATTAATCTCGGATGAATTAACTCATCGTTGGGAATATGTTTAAGAATGACAAACTTCAAGAAATTGTGCCATTTCTAACAGTAATGGCCATCTAGCAGCACTGCAGCAGTGTATAGAAAAAATAACCTAACACAGTCCTTCCACATGTTTAATAAAGCGAGCGAACCTATGTTTGTAGAAAGCAGGCAACTTTACACCGTAGCATCTCTAATATTACACAGAGTATCTCTAATAAAAATAAATAGAATTTTTATATTATTCTCAGCTTTATTCCCAGTGATTCAGGGAGCATTTATGGCGAAACTCCTGTCCTTTCTCGTGTATCCATTTATTGGCAACTAGATGTTGAATAAAGAAAGAACAAAGGTGAAAATGTACATTGAAAGCAACTAGATGGTGAATAAGGAAAGAACAAAGGTGAAAATGTACATTGAAAGCAACTAGATGGTGAATAAAGAAAGAACAAAGGTGGAAATGTACATTGAAAGCAACTAGATGTTGAATAAAGAAAGAACAAAGGTGAAAATGTGCATTGAAAGCAACTAGATGGTGAATAAAGAAAGAGCAAAGGTGAAAATGTACATTGAAAGCAACCAGAAGGTGAATAAAGAAAGAACAAAGGTGAAAATGTACATTGAAAGCAACTAGATGTTGAATAAAGAAAAAGGACATTGAAGACGACGACATTGCTTCCAAAACCGTGCCACTTGATCGCCAGGGAACTAAGATGCGCGTGGGGATACTACAGGATATTTGTGAGTAAAAATAACAAAAATACCCCATTTAGTTCCAACAAATACTGGACAAGCAGCGTGTCTTGTCTGTAGATTCCCTTTTCCATTCTTGTGTAAGTTAAACCAAAATACTCCGTCGCCCTAACAAAAAGTTCAATGATATATTTACAATAGAGATTTGCTCCTGATCAGATTTAGGATCATCTCAGAGTTTACTAAAGTACTCAATGTAGCTAATGCAGTATTTTACTCGTCCCAATGTTTCATTTCAATCAAAAATACAGTCAGCGTGGAAGTGACGATTTAAAATACTTTACGGATAAAATTTTGTCGGTTGTTTATTTACCAAGGTTATCATAAGTTACAAAATGGAAGATATACAAACTGATAAAATTTGTTCATAAAACAAAGTTATCAAAGCAATGAGTTACCTTTCTTGGCTGAACCAAGGCTCCAACGTTTATAAACGCAGTTCCACCCCCTAATTCAACGTCGCTCATCTTAAAAGAATCACATAGTTTTAGTAAAAAATAAAAATAAAATCATTAAAAGTACAACCCCTGAAGAAGTTAGATAATTTGGTCTTTTTGGCGGGTTTTTACATTGGACACGAGGAGACTGGGTACCATCATTTGACTTACGTAGAATGACTTACGTAGAACAGGAGTGTAGCAATTCTATTCCCAGTCCCAAGACTTGGGAACTTCTCCTCATCATCCTACAAATACAAAAGCCTTGTTGCTAGACGAGATGACGTACATCCTCGTCTCTAAACTTACATAGAACAATAAAGTGGCAATTCTATTTCCAGTGCCCAAGTCTGAGAATTTATCTTCATGTCCCTAGCAATGGTTTAATTAATTCGATTAGAGTTGAAGATTAGAGTGGTTACTGTAATTTATATTTTCAATAGCTGAATTTAGTAGAAAATTATAATGAATAACAATGTTCCTATTGCCACTAGATGATATTAAAAGTAACGTTTATAGCAAAAAACATAAGGTATGATTTAAATTGCATTAGTATTAAGGAATCGACAAAGAAAGTTTGTAAAATAAAGTTTAAAAAAAACATCAATTGACAAATTCATTCAAGAATGAATCCAAAAGGATTTTGTTGGATGTCCGTCTTTTAGTTAGGATTAAATTTCAATGGATACTTTGTGGCTATCACCGTAGCTGTTTTAGATTTTATTTGTTTCATTTTGTTACTTTTAAACCACGATTGGACTTGCTTTGTATATGAATATTTCTTAGCAAAGGCTAGTAGCACGTAACACCACACAATGATTTTAATACACATAAAAAATCGCACCTGCGCATGATCATAATGGGGCTCATAATGACCACCCATTCCATAAGTGTTGACCTAAAAAATTAAAGTAACACTGTTTTTGTCATGTTCTGTTACAGATAATCTTAAAGGATATTACACAGAAACATTCGACATTAGTAATTACAGTAAACCACATACTTATATTCTATGTACATAGGATCGCATGCAATTTTCTATGATTACACTATACCACAAACTTCTATTTAAATGAGAACAAAGACTTGTCAACGATCTATTAACTAATGTAAAATTAAAGATGGGAATGTACAACCTGAAGTTCTTCAGCAGTGCTAAATGTCAATCCAGTTAAATGCTCGCTTCTTCGGCTGATACGTGCAACAACGGGATTTTCCGAGTCCTTTAACCAACCACTAACAGCCGAAAGATAAAACAATCAGTTAAGTACTCAGATGATTATGACAGCAGAGAAAGAAATGTTCATTAGCAATATAAAATAGCCGTTGCATTTATAAGAAACGAAACATTTACTCTGGCACTATTTATCATAGTCCATTATAATGCGGCCATGAAAAGTTAGACTACAAGACGAAAAAAATAAAAAAGAAAAATTGTTTGTTTAACAATTGATACGTAGAATCTCAGTTCTCGATATTTGCGTTACAAACAAGAAAGGTTGTGTCTGAGTCGACAAGTAAAAGTTTCAAAATATTTGAGATATTCCTCTCAAATTCTTATCGTAGAAAAAACGAGTGCAAATATAAAATGTTAAAGACTATTAAAGACTTCAGCAATGTTTCTCCACCAATAGAATGTTTTTGGTCAATTATAATCCTATATTCAGCAACTGTGTTATTTAAAATCTTGCTGAGAGTTTTTTACACAGCTGGACCTGAAAAATGGATCATTGTGTATGGATGTACAACAACAGACCTTTTACTGATTCTATAGTCTGCAGGCTCCAGATTTCCAGTCTCAGGATGCTGAATTACAGCTCGCTTCAGCTAACAAAGAAAAAATTATAACTACAGTTGGTTCAAAGAGGTCAGAACTAACTTGTTGAAGCGATTTTTCAAAGTTTGATAAGTGTTAAATTAGGATATTATTAGAATACACACATTTTCCGGATATAGAGAGTCTAGTAAAAAGGGCAGATCAATGCTCATTTCACGGGAGGGGTGCTAGAGGATTTAGGGGGTGCGTACACCCCCCTCAGAAAATCAGCCCCAACTAATGCAAAAGATAAGAAGTTTGTTATAAATTACTTCAAGGCAAACAAGGTGCAGGACTGTAAATCCACCTAAAATTCGACCGAATCCATGAACATCAATTCAAACAGCAATCAAGCGTTATACCATGCATTAAAATAGTTGAGTAATTGATTTTTTACATTTTAAGCTTTCATGTTACACAAACCTTTCACTTATTCTATACAAGGCCGCTTCTAAAACTCCCGTTTGACCGTCGCGAATTTTGGCCCTTTTTAACTGTTTAGATAATAAGATTATGATATGTTATCTCAACAACTGGAGTTGAGTTGGTCCTTTCATACAATTCCGTAAAGGAAAGGAATAAAATTAAGGAACAGAAAGTTCGCTATACACTATACATATTCGTTAACATCAATTAAATTAGAGTAACTTTTCAATTAAATTAGAGAATTAAGTATTCAATTAGAAAAGTTAGAGATTCTTAAAATGACCGAGTTTATTAATGAATTTTACTTATGCAAAAAGGTAAAGAATTTAAACTTGAGTAATCTTCACGAGATGAAACCTCAATCATCACTCCTAGTTTTGTGTAAGGTACAATAACCGTAACAGATTGAAATAATAATAATTTACGTTTAAAATTCAAATCGTATCATTTTAATTTATCTTTAAGTAGTTACGGGAGGCCGTCTTTCGCTAATGGTTTTCCAATTGTTTCAATTTCATACTACATCACGCACAAACATTTATTCATGCATGTAGGTGAAGAAAATAAGATTAATCGTAAACGTTTATTATATACAACATTTATACTCACCTTTGGTCTTCCTAATCTTTTGATCACTTCAATCTCAAAATCCGTAAGTACATTTCTAAAATACAACACTTCAGGGGCGACGTGTAGTCTTTCAACACCAATTCCTCGCAAATGAAGCCACGGTTTGTCTTTGTAAAACCAACATTTCAACTGTTGTTGTTGAGAAACTGTCTAAAATATACAAAGATAAATAAAAAGATAAGATTGAACCTTCACTCAAGACTCAAGAGTGATGTTGTAATGTTAACAAAGGTGGAGCCTCTTTTCTTAAACAAATATTTCTAGCATTCAACTTACAAAGTTAAACAATGTTTCAGGATCAGAACGACACAATTTGGAGTAGAGTCGAAATGCCTTGGATTGCCTCCAACTTTTCTCCTTTGAAGTTTCTTCATCAACATCAATGTTACTTTCATCTCCTTCATCATACAACAATGTATCATCAGAACGCAGAACTCCTTTTTCACCAGTTAGCTGACCTCTGGACTTGAGCTCATCAGCATAATACCTAAGATTTTTTTGTGCACGTTCATAACTAGGATCTAGAATGTACACACCAAACACATTTCAAATGCTATAGAGCAGAGGGTGTTCAGTAATTAACTAAATAAACAAAGCACCCACAAACAGGGAATAAAATAGAAAAATCTATTCTCATCAAACAGGAAGGGTGCATATTTTGTAAGGGTGATGGTGGTAGTGTGAAAATCATAGCATTGCCTGGGGGCACAGCCTGTTGCAGAAAGTTGAAAATAAGTAGCACTCCTTCTCAGTGTCAACACAATTCTAACCTTAAATAATATTATAGTAATATAGTACTTTCAAAACTTTAGATGATGGTAAATATTTTAGAGGTACACCTCCTTTGCTCATAGGGAATTCCCCCCCCACAAGATTAAAACTAACATTACACTTGCTAAATAAGTATGGATTGTGTACTAAATATGCTCTTACCATAGGTTAATAAGGTTAATGTTAAGTTATATGCTTTTCTCAGGTGTCCAAGCTAAAGAATAAAAACCAAAGGTTTGAATTAATTAACGATAATTAGGACAAAACTATTTTAAGACTTTTCAACTTAATTTGTAGTATTTCTACCTTGTATTCTACATATGATAAATAGTCCAAAATTTCTGCCATATTATCTTTATTAGTATGTAAGCCTTCCTTCCAAAGGGTGACAGCAGTTTCCAGCCATTTCTGCGACTCTTCATACTTTTCAGACTCATATGCTGTCTTTCCAATTTCAAAAGCATCATTAGTCATCATTGGGAAGCCTCGAGTCTCAGAGGGTATGTTGTCTTTCGCAAGATCAAGAGATTTGACTTTAAAGATCTCCTGAACTCGAAATATGGCATCAATTGCTCCTTCAAAGTCAGACTCGTCAGGAAACAAATTACGATGTTTGTTTAACACATCCTCTAAAACTAATAGCAAAAATTGTAGATTTCAACCTGCTCCCAAAATATTAAATAAAGTTAACAGCTTCATTTATCTAAAAAACTTTGAACTTAATGTGTACTTTGCCATGAACAACCTATGATTACTTAAAATGGTTAAAAGAAAACATCAATCCTGCAAGCTCATGCTAAGTTCAGTCATAATACAACAAGATTTCAAACGACACATAGGTAATAAAAAAACATACTTTCTGAAGAGGGATTTTTTGACAATTCTTCTATCGCAGGCCATTCCTTAACAAATCTTTTGATTAGCAGATATGAATTGGAAGGATGACCTAAATGCCTCTCCACATTTTCTTGAGGAATAGCAGAATGAATCTGATCTAGTTTCTCAGTAAATCTTTTGATCACTTCTAGTCTATCTTGTTCCGCCTGAAGATACCCTTTGAGGCTGTCCAGCATCTCTTTTTCACGGTACACCAGATTTTCCATTTCGATGAGGGCAGTAAAAACCTCACTTCGGACGCAAACCAAGAAATACCAAAACAAGGAAAGCCTCAGCCAGCTGAAAAGCCAAGCCATTTTGCCTAAAAGAGGCTAAAAAAGTGAAGTATACGTTGTCAATCTAAACAAAGCCTCTATTATGTTTTATTTTATGCAAGTGTCGTCTACTTGTCAACTTCCTGGTTAACTTGCCTAAGCGTATGGAGAATTCATATGTTGATCAAAAAATATTAACTTGGCAAGCTGTGATTGGTTAAAATTCGAAGCAAAATATTCTTGCGCCAAATATTCGAACTTTCACAACAGTAATTCATAACGTGAAACAGTTTCGTTATGTTTTATGAAAACGATAATGGAACGCAAAAAATATGTAAATAAAAGCGCTTGATCACTAACCCAAAACTAAATAAATGTGGAAAAATATCCCTTCATTGATTTTTTGATTTTTTCGAATTACTTATTACTAATTGCTAATTATTCACAAAATATATTATTCTTTTACTAATTTCGTAAATTAATAAGAACTACGAAGTAGCAACTAATAGCTATCCAGAATAAATGATAATACAATTCGGAATATCTTTTGTTCGGAAAGTGTATCAATAAGAAATTATCATTACTTGACCTGTACAACAATACAGAATCGATGAAGCTGCTATGAGTAAAATTTAAGTTTATTTTCTCGGTGTAATGAAAGATTAGTTGTGAGATTATTCCCAGCATATCAAAATGTAGTAAAACCTGTTTAAACCTAGCACTGAGTGATATAAGATTTTGATGAAATACAATTTTGTTTTACTTCACAATGTATAGTGTCTGTAACAGTGACACAGCTGCACGTAAAACAGAGATAACACAACAGACCGCAATAGATTACGTAAACAATTGAATTTTGCCTTTAGAATCGGCGTAATTGTAAACAATAAAAAAATATAGTTTGAAAATGGTAAAATCCTTCCTTTTCATATCTTGTTTTTGACAAAAAAAAAAACAATAAGAAAATAACACTCAAAAATTTTTCATATTTTCCATAACATTATGTGAACGGATAAAATCCGACCTATTCAATATTCTTTGTTTGAATGAAGCAGGTGTCAAAGCCAAGTAACCCACATGCAAATCGCCTATCTGATGTACAGTCATTGTATACGCATGCCTGTCCATAGGAAATTTATGCTTTGCACTCAGACTCTGAATATAGGGGGCGAATTACACATGCATAATTTACACATGATGCTTATATGTATGACAAAATTCGAACAGGTGTTCACACAAAACATTAAAGTATATGAAAGAAATCAAACGCAGACTATCTTGCACAAAAACATCCATAAATCAGTCGCATCGCTTCATGCAAAAACCTCAAAAGAAATAATACTATTTATTCGAATATTTCAGAAACAACTACAGAGGAGAGGAAAATATTTTGGTGTACATCAAAAGGAACAGGCTCTTATCCAAATGGCCTCAAAATCGTCAACAGATATTGGACAGTCCAAACAGTGGTCCTGTGCAGAGAAAATGAAATGTTCAAATTTTTCCAACGAATCGTCTTTGAACGGAAAGAAACATTCCAAAGAAAGGTGCTTCATTTCACTGGAACGTTCAAAACGACAAAAAAAGTCCAATGGGCAGCATTTCGATGAAAAACGCATTTCAAAATTTGGTGAGCCTAGCTCTCACAAGAGAACCTACATTGATGTTGAAGAATTGGAATTCGATGAAGAAAAAACGAACAAAAAACACTTTAAGGAAAAGAAGCATTCTGATGAATTGCAATTAGCGGCACCAGAGAGACATAAAAATGGACGACGTAAAAAAATGAAAACAAGACAATGCGAAGCAAAAAGGGAGAACTTGATACGACAAAATAGCCGCTCTAGGCGCTTGGTTGCAAACGCTAGAGAACGTTCAAGAATCCATATTTTAAGTGACGCATTTGAGAATCTCAGACGTGCTGTACCTAGCTATTCCCAAGACCAAAAACTTTCAAAGCTTGCCATCCTTAAGTTAGCCACATATTATATTTCAGCGCTTGCAAATCTTGCGGAGAGCGACACTTCTGCGAGGTCGTTAAAACAGTTTGCTGACTGTGTCGAGCATTGTACGATGGCTTTGCAAACAGAAGGAAGAACACGACGCAAACAGTTTGAATAAATGATAATTATATTATGTAGTAGTTAATGCAAAAAAACTGTACATAAACAAGTATTGTGGCGATTGTAAAAGAACGAATATGCAAAATACAACACGAAGGGATGAGTCTCTTTTCTTCTTTGCTTATATAATTCAACATGAAAGCGCGTGTTGGTCGATTGGTTTTAGTAGCCATAAGTGTGCACAGTCGAGCAGTGCGCACATCGAGCGCAGAAATTACTTTCACAAAAAATCTTTCATTTGCGCATTGATCGAATGTGGTTTTGATGATGACGAGAACAGCATTGGCACTTAAAATGGCCATAATACCTCGTTTGACTGTATAACAAAACCAAACTCTACAAATACAATAAACTTATTCATGATACAATATCGAAAAAGTTCGTGTTCAGAGAAATTCTGTCTCCTAGCACCATAGGCTTTTCGATGAGTATCTGGCGAATTGAAGTCTCAGAGCATGCATTTTTCTGATTGGACTCAAAACTTCATCAGAAGAATAGAGTTTTAAAAATCTGCTACCGGTGCAACTTGATCATATTTATACACAAGAGAGATGCTTTAAAATTTAATTAATGCTGTATGTAATTTTTCATGATCGTCAGTATTCTATCCAAAGCACAGCTGCTTCTGGCCTGAAAACAGATAAATCCCAGTAACTTTCACGACGATATGTTTTTGACCGCCCGAACCTCGAGTAAGTTGACGAGGAAACGAACAATAGTAGAATAATTTGAATATGAACAAAGACCGCGAGTTAAGATATTTCTTTGTTTTTCATGTTCAAATACATTTGATGAGTTTTAACATATTCACAGCGCTTTACATAAATAACACATTTTTAATGAATGATATTTTCGTGATGTGTTTTACCACCTGTCATTTGTCATTGCATAAAGGCCGAAGACGTAAACTTGAACAATACAGAAGAGATGAAGACAAACGTGATAAAGACAAGATGGAGTTGACATGAAAATGAAATGATGGGAGGTTAATGTTTGTTTTGCCATGTTAGTATTGAAAGCATTAACGAAAAGTCGAAGAAAGATTGTTGATGATATGAACGTGAATTTATATGAAGTGAAGGAAAGATGGACATATTTATCATGGGATAATCTTAAACAAGACCAAGTGCTTTATAGACATCATATAGAGAAGCTGAAGAATTGGTAATAAATATTATGTAGGAGGAGAAAAGAATATGTCGGATGGTAGACATCACAGAAAAGACAACAGGAAAATAAAGTAATAAGATGACAGTAAAATAAGGGAAGAGAATACCAACATGAAAGACTAAAATGATTTTAAACTATTTAATGTATGAGATATATGGGAATTAATGAATTACATCTTATAAGAAACGAAGGAAAAATTGAATTGTTGATATAGCATAAAATATTAGAAAAAATCCTCAAGTTTCTGTACACATTCAAGGGAGGTTGCCTCAAAAATACTTTCAAACTTGACAAATAATAGATTGGTCACACATGCATGGCGGCGGAGTGGTCAGATAATAGAAACCATTTCCGCTGCATATCAAACGAAGACTTCCTTTCTTGGTATCCACGAACTAATAATTATCTAAGACGAACTACAAGTATCGATAAATATTGCAATACATTGTAGATGTTGATCGTCAAGTTAGTAGAGTCTTGGTCGAGAAGGACTGTTTGTGTTGATGTTGGAATGACATTTCGACAACCTTAGCGGTAGTCATCTTCAAAGTCCAAATATTGCAATAGTGAGAGGCAATACGACCGTAACTTCATTTCTCTTTGTAATTAATTAACTAAGATTTTCTTTTAGTGACTAACAGATCCAGTTACTTCAGCAACAAACATGCGCAAAACTAGCTTTATTTTATTAATTATATACTATGATCGCTTTTGATTCTGTCAATTCTAGTCGGTTGTCGTAGAGATTGACTGCTAAGGAAAACAACATCAACTTCACTTTTGATGAACAGAAGACTTTGATTCGATCATAAAAGTTCATAGTTAATGAGCCAGTGCTCCCACCCACCCAGTAGCATGCTCTAATCCACTGTCCCGTGGTATTTAATAGCACGTGTTTCCGGAGAGCGCGTGCTCAGTTGATTATTAAACAAAGAAAAAGTTATATCAAAGCGACAGTACGAAGAACGGAACTTAAACAAAGCACTAAAGAGTCGCCATTATTGAATGATTTATCTTTTTTTAGAAAAAAGTACAAACCCACTGCATTTAAATATAGACGAAGTTGACTGTTTTTCATTTTCCGAATTGAACTCTTTATGATTATGACAAATCAAAGAATAAAACTATAAACTTAAGCTTTCACTCTAGAATTTATAGTAATACTTCACAGAACTTGACTAGATCATCAGGATGGGCAATTTACATGTGCATGAGCAAAGTTAAAGGTCAACTTCGTATTTTCCAGTAAACTTTTAAACTTCCTAGTGCAAACGTGATGAAAGATGACTTAGATAAGTTAATTAAGTATATTTCTTACTGAGCTTGGACAAAAAGTTCCCAAACAATCGAGATAATTTGGAGAAATATAGTTTAGGTTTCCTCCTCATAGAATATCCATGATGAAAGGTCAGAGATTGTATTAACAAAACATGGTAAATGGTAATTTTGAATGTTAGTTCTCAACAAACCGTTAAACTTCCTGGTCGAAAGATATTGGCATCATAACTAATTTAGTCAATCAACACCATATTACAAAATGAAAGCACATGTTTATTTTTTTAGAAGACTACATCAAATAACTTTTAAATTGAACATTTATAATACACGCAAATTCATATTAGAAGGAAATTATTCAACGTTATCCGTTGATTGTCATCATCGTCCAAAATGTCATTCTTATCATTTCTTGTAACTCCTAAAACTTCCTATACTTTAGAAGAACAATGACAAATGGTTATGGTGTTAAAAACACCATCATAACCATTGAAACTGTAACCAATGATAGTTGTTTGTTTGGTAGCATGGCTGCTTGAGCATGTTATGTTACCTTGAAAGTCAATTAAGCCGTCATTGATTTTAATGACATAAGTAGACTTTGGCACGTGTATGCAATTCCAACTAAACTGCACAGTGAATGGGCGGTAAGAAGTTATTGTATAAAACTGACATAGAGCTATTGTTAACGGAGCGCATCTCATAGGCTAGCAAGCATATCGCACTTACGGTATAGTACACCGGAACAAAGACAGCAAGCTTATTTGTCTTCACATTTGTTGAGTGTTCAGCATCACGCACAAGGCCTTTTCACGATCAACACACAAAGTCACAAACACGTTCCCTGCATCGCAACGTGAACAACCATGGCAAGTACGATGACAATGAATGAATGTCATACACAAACATGTGACGAAGATCGTGCAAATGAAAAGCAAAACATCAATAACGACACACAGTTAGAGGACAAACCGCAATTCCGTAAATGGGTCGTGTTCGATAAATCGCGACGTTTGAAAGCAAGCGCGCGCGAGAGAAAAAGGCGCCATGTTTTGAATAACGCACTGGAAAGCTTACGCAAGAAAGTGCCGTGTTTCGACCAGCAAAATCCCCAAAAACTTTCTAAAATAGAAGTGCTTCGTCAGGCTATAGACTATATTTCAGATCTGAGTGAATGTTTAAAGAAGGCCAACTCTAGTGGTTTTGCCTTAACTTCTTTTCACAATCCTTTGATGTTGGAGCAAGGAAGCTGTATGGAGTATCAACCAACAACATATTCTGCTATAAACTCAATAATTTATCACAATGCTAGAGCGTATGGCTTCGACAACGAACAACCTTCGAGTCCGACTATTGAAGAATGTTTATCCCCCGATATCAACACAACGTACGCTTACTATGAGACGGGACCAAGTGAGGTTAGATTATGTGTGTAAATTATTGTTAGAAATAGTCATCAACATACCCAAATTATAGTACTGCATTTCATTATTCTGGGAACTATTCTTATGAAAATTAGAAAGATCGAAAATACTGATCATTAATTTATCTAATGTAATGTAGTATGCTTTAGTATTCCTACATAGACAAAAGTTATGGAAAAATAGACATTTCCCAGGGATTTTGAATTCAAATAATTCTGACCAAGATGCATTTAATATAAACATAACGTAATAACTACGTTCTAAAATTAAACTCCAAAAATTTTAATCGACTTAAAGAAATCAAACATCCTCGATTATTTTACTTGAACACAAGTATTGAAAACTATACGGTTACCTAATCTAACACTAGATACTTTAAAATATCGTCAAAGACAAATGGAAATTGTAATAATAGGCTATTTTACCATTCACACTAAGCAGTAAGGGGGTATATAATACTTTATAATATTTAAAACGGATAATATAATAATAAAATATATCACAGCAAAGTTGATGATAAAGTTTAAAGGCCACCAGGATGTTGAAAACTCTGACTAAGTCTTCAATTTATAGGATCTGGATTATGGTATCAACGATGCAGAATTGGATATTTATCTTCAAGGTTTTACTCAGTAAAACTGCAGTCCCATCGACCACTAAAGAACTTAAAAATTTCGAGACATCCTCAAAGGAAAAATTAATGGAGAAGAAAAAAGGAATCATACTATTCGCTGACACACAACCGGCAAAAAATATCAGTATGAAAACTTCAAAGCAGTATCATTTTTTACCATTAAGATATATAACTATAAGCAAATATAAATAAATATATTCTAATAATTTTGAAGGATTGTATATAGAACTTTCTTATACCATATAAAAAGTGTGGGAGCTCTCTAACTTCCTAATACTTTAGTGATAAGTGTGTGTTGACAAATGTCATTTGAGCAGACAAGAATGTGGTCGACATGCTTCAACCGACATCACGAACAGAACAGATGTGGCTTTAACTCTGATAATTTGTACATTCACAACACCATTTACAATGTATAATAAACTTAACCCATTTTCATATTAACACTACGTACAATATAAAAGTTTACTAAATAAAGTTCTTTGTTTTGGTAGTACTTGTTTTGTCGCGTGGTTTTTGTCCCCGTGGGGAAAGGTGAACAACAAACATGTGAAAATGAAATTCGTCGTGTATTTAAAAAGATTTCTCAGGAACGAGAAACAATTGTAAATTATTTCGTTTTTTCCTGAGGCCATAATGATGGCACGACACGTGTGATAGATAAAAATATCGCTCAAAGTATTAAGTATATATGCGATAAATCATGCCGTATACTACGCTTCGAAGTGAAGCTATTAAAATTAGAATGGTAATTTAACTTATAAAGAAGTTTGAATTTAATATTGTCTCATTTAAGTTCTATTAGAATGCATTTGCTCGTGAAACGCAACGATTTCAACTTGTGTTATTTGCTTTACATACAGGCTCCATCAGCTTAGTTACGTCACGCTTGGGGATTTTCAAGAGAAATTTAAAATCACAGCTAACGTTTCTGGCAAGTTCTTTTTTATCGCAATTCTATGAATGTAATATGTAACAATTGCACGATGTTGCAATTGTCGGTTGATAAAGTACAATGATTATTTCCAAAATGAGAAACTATTTCACGGTGACGCGGTATTCATTTTATCGACGCAGACATCGTATCAATATTGAAATAAGATAAAAAGACAGAGGAACGCGTGCCCATATCGATAATTACATCAATGGCACGCGCAACAGGAAAGTCATCCATATTAACACAACCACAAAAATTTTATCAGTTTTAAATCGAGATTAAGCAAAAATTGTAAATTTGTTAAAGAACTATTCGGTGTGTTGATTTTCTTTCACTCTGAATCATTCTTATTTCCATTATATCAAAACATTCTTTTTACTTAACAATTTTTATTCAATACTCATGGTACTCGTCGACTTGAAACTCTCATAATCGACATAAAATTCCACTCAAATCAATAGTTACATAACTTAAAGTAATTTTCGCAATGTTTACCAAGGGATCTAACGCGTTGATTCTTTCAAAATGATCAAAAAAGAAAAGCCGTTCATGCGTCAAATAAAGACAGTTCAATATGTTATTAATAGCTAACAAAAGAACTGTCTAAATTGTAAATTAAAGTTTCTAATGTCATTTTAAACAAACGTTAATTGGGTGTGATGGAGAGTTAGTCAATTAAACAAATCAGTTGAAAGAACCCACTCAATATATAAAAAAGACATAAAATAAGCATTATTTTTACATGTACACACACTAACTATCTCGTTGACTAGGATCGTGTACGTCGTCGTATGTAATTTTATTAGTATCAGCGCATCAAATACCGTTTCACTGATTCAGATGAGGCAACACGCATAATTTTTCCCCATAACAGGTCTGCTCTTCACATCATAAAGTCTTTAGAAAGGCAGTACATGAGTTTTTAAATTTTTTCAACTTACGTTTTTAATCTCGTTTGAGAACATAAATAAATGAATCGTGCCATCACAAAAATCTTTCAATACAACGATACACTGAAAGAGAAAAGGGAAAATCCATTCTTCAACAGTCACTCCTACATAATTCATTATAAATTCTCTTTTAACTATTATTCGTATATTCATACAATAGTTACGTTAATTCCATATTTATTGTAAAGAGTTTCAAAAGACAATATTTAATGACGTAGTTACAAGAAAAAACATCAACTGAACTTTTTTGACATTTTTGATACACAACCGCGCAAGAGTGAAAACGATAGGAGAAAACACTGTATATCATGAAAGTATTTGTACTTTAAATATTTAGAAAAGCCTAAATAGATTAGTAGACAGAGAAAAAATCTTTCAAATACATAACTAATGCGTTTTCAATGACTTTTGATGAATTAAAACACGAGTGAAGAACAATTTTATATTGAATAAGCACGCTTGAAATATCACATTGTTTGCGTTTGATGAACACATTTGGTTATGATTAATGTTGAGATAAAATCGTTGACAACATAACTATGGTATCAGAAGTCAAGAAAACAATACAAAACACGCGTCTCATTCTATGATCAATGTTATCTTTTCTTTCAGTGTAGTACATAAGTAGCTTCCGTTGCCATGTGAATTGTTTATCGTAAAAAGTCAAAGGCGCGTCGGTTATAATTATCTTTGATCTATCTTCCGTGACGAAACCCATTCCATAAGACAATTTATCTTACTTAACCAAGATATTTATACGACCCACAAGAAAATAAAGTGATAAGCTCCAAAATAAGCTCTGAACTATAACAGTATGGGTACTTTACTAAATCATGAAAATTTCCCGTCAAATTTACTGAATGGCGTTACTGTTCACATCATCATCTTCCCATATAAATGATCCTGTGAGGAAAATTTCTCCACAGTAAATCAGAACCACTAAATTCTAAAGAAATCCACAGTGGACCTCTCTAACATCAAAACACGAAGTATGGTGATACAACGACATTCCATCATAAAAAGTTAACAAAAAATGAGCAAGTTTAACAAAGATATCATCAAACGCTATCTAAATATTATAACCTCGGCAACTTGGCATGTTTTAACAAAACAAAGAGAATAAAGAGGCATCCAAACAATCTCAAAAGTGACGAGAATATTTGATAGAATACGTTGTAATAACCATATGTTGATGGTTAACTTTCAAAACAATCACTACGAACGAGATAGTACGTCATTAAGTCTAATAATGCACAAATTTATTGGAAAACGCGCTGAAATCGATAGCACAAATACATTTTCTGGTATACTAAATAGGTTTCCTTTTCTATCTTATTAATCACCAACCAACACATACCCAGAACTGAAAGGATCACAAGGTCCCAGCCTGTGGTACATGAAACTCTGGGTTATCAAACAACAACTGTCTTGGTGGAGGCAAGGATTCGATGTTCGATCTTCGATGTAGTTAAAGACTCAATCACTTCTGCTACAACTGCAAGTATATCATTTCACATTTTGATTCACGTTATTAAAGCTGCTTTAGTTACAGTCGCTGTTATCACCACTACCACTACCATTACCACTACCATACTATTACCACAATCACCCTACCATTCCATTACCATTCCTTCCCTACTTCCATTACCATTACCTTACCATTACCACTACCACCACTACCATTACCACTACCACCACCACTACAATTACCACTGGATCAAAAGGATACTTGTTCAAAATTGAAAACATCCCCGTCCCAATTGCCATTGGGATGCCCATAATGATGCATTCACTAACACCTGGTTAAAATAAAGAAATACGTTCATACTCTGCTTCACACACCTAAAATTCATTAGGGCATTCTGCACAACGCAAGTCAACACCAAAAAAGAAACGTCAATAAGCCCAATCACCATCTACACATACCGTCTATGGAGTCTTTGCGAGCGTGAAAAGAGGCATCAAACAAGTGGTCAGCAGTCTTTTCAAACTAAACAAAATAAATGGTAATGTCGATTGTCGGTTCACAATGGTCTGAGACGTACGATCATGAAGGGCTCCTCGAAGGGCACAACGAAGAAAATTAATTATTTCAGTAAAACGTATAAAGACTTAAGAAATAAGGTATACTCAACACGCACCTAAATTCTCTACAGTAAAAGAGAATTGAATGCTAAAAAAAAACAATGCTTTGGAATTTTTTTTTCATACCGAGGCCAACATTAGCACGCTTTCCTTCATTTTAGCCAAACCAAATCTTGTTATACCAAGTATCTCTCCCTGTTTAGGCAAAGTAAAAATGTCAAATTTAAAGCACATGGTCAGAATGATCTAAGATGAAAAGTCAAATCCATCATCAAAAGCATTATACCAACCTTAAAAGACATTAAATCAGCTAACAACATCACATGTCTTGCATCGATACTCATACCGTGATTCGTCATTGTGTACACAATTTCGTTAATAATAGTCAATCTATAAAAATAATTTTGAATATTTGTTAAATGAAAAACAGAGGGTATCCATTCCGACATTTGAATTCCAATTTCTCACGATGAGCATAAAACCAAATTTCAACCTATGCTAACCCTTCTGTAAAAACTGCAGTTGTGCATAAAACAATTAAGACTCCTCAAATTACTCAAGACCCTGAACAATTTTAAAGAATTTCTACTACTTCATTAAAACTTTTAAACGTTTTTTAAGTACGTTAGATGATCGAAATCCACACTCTCCTTACCTAGCAGCTTCGATACCAAGAACTCGCTCTACTTCAATAGTATTATTTGAAGTAGTGGATGTGCCTTTCACTCCTAAAATGCATTTCAATCTTTATGGAAAAATAGACTTAACACTTTGTACTCATTTGATTCTTACCAACTGTTGCCATGACACCACGCAAGTCATTTCCTTCGACTAAGAGTTTATACCTGTCGTTCCCAGACTTCGAGTGTTCTTCATCAATATGAATAATAGCGCGAGATACACCTTTCATTCCCTGAAGAAAAAATGTGATGTATGAGACTATTTTCAAAGACAAAACCTCCTTAGTCTTTTCCCTTATTGTACACAGACATTTTGCCTCCATAATAACTTTTGTACATTGATAAAAAATTTTGTAGCTCGATACCAATGTTAGTACCTTGATAACAATGTTAGTACCTTGATTACAACATTTGGAAGCGCCTTCTTTAGAGTTTGCATGACAAAATGTAACGAACTTTTGTTATTTTCTTGAGGATACACACACAATATCGACGCATTTAAGATATGTATATCCTGCAAAATAATAAATGCAACAAACCTTGAAGGATAAATGAATGAGCAACTGACATAATTATGTTCAGACTTGCAACCGCTGTCATATTTTTGCTGGCAAAATTATCGTTGAAAATTTTTGAAAGTGAATTAGCAGAACAAGAGAGATCTGAGCGTGTGAGTGTGAGTATTTATCTGTGTCTATTTGATCATGAGCTTGCCTGTCGTTTTATTTTTAGTTTTCGTTCGGTAGAGATTGAAAACGCAATCGTTTCAGCATTGACCTCAAGCTGCAAAAGACAAACGAAAAGTTCAACTTCATGGTATACGCTCACGAACTCAAATCTATCGACATACCTTCAACAATCGAATGCGTTTAAGAGCCAACTTTATGAGCAAAAGACAACTATCTGGAGCGAAAACTTCTTCGATATATTCAGTGACCTAAAAGAATTGCAATAATTTAATGAAACCTCAACGATATTGTTCATAATATTTGTTCATATTCACCGTTGTTCATTTATCACTAACTACATAGGTAGTTTATATTTTACATAGTGCAAAGACTTGTTCTTCGTTCTCTGTTGTTCATTCATCACTACCTACACTGACACATGTTATCTTAGTTTAGATTTTCCATAGTGTAAGGACTTTTTTCGTTCTCTGTTGTTCATTCATCATTATCTACGCTGACACATGTTATCTTAGTTTAGATTTTCCATAGTGTAAAGACTTTTTTCGTTCTCTGTTGTTCATTCATCACTATCTACGCTGACACACGTTATCTTAGTTTATATTAAAGATAATGTAAAGACCGTTCTCATTCTTTGTAGATTCATTCATCACTACTTACACTGACAAAAGTTATCTTAATTTATATTATAGGTAGTGTAAAGACTATTCTTATTCTAAGATGATACTCTTAGTAGTATTATTTCTGTTCTGATGGTTTTCGTTCCACAATTCTAACCTCCCCCAAAGTAGTCAATTCCAGTCTTCCTTTAACAACACGAGCGGCATCAGGATCGGAATTGTCGACAAGACCAGCTGATATAATGGGAGTGCTGATGCTTCGTGATGCGTTAATAATTTCCTTAATACGAGGCACACCAAGAGTGATATATAACAAAGAGTTAAAGAGATAGTAAAAACAGATTGTCGAGATGAGATGCATCATTTATATATCATCCAATTGCAATACTTGATGTAAGAAATAATAGTGCAAACCCATAATTAACACAACTATAATCTTATTTGTGCTATCACATGCGATGTAACCTATGATGTACATCAAAGGATACTCATGGACGCAACACCAGCAAAATGAAAAGTTTTGAGGGTCATCTGTGTACCAGGCTCTCCTATACTCTGCGCACACAGGGCACCCACGGCTGTTCCTGGTTCTATCTTCGCTTTCATGAATTTCTCATGACAAATATCAAAAAATTTTTGAAGTTGTAAAGCAGTACAACGAGACACCCATTCGACAGCTAAAATACATGATGGAGAATTCTTAACTAGGCAGTGAATAAAGATGGTACATCGACAGCTAAAATACATCATAAAGAATTCTTTACTAGGTAGCGAATAAAGATGTTGTATACCTAAACCCAAGTTCTTTTGTCTTTCATTTAGACTCATCCTGAAATATGATAAAAAATTCTACATATTGGGATAGCGGTAATAACTTAGATACTTGATGTAACAAGTAATCAATAACTAGCAATAACTAGTATACTTGATGTAAACAAGTAGTCACTAATCATTTACTTTTCTTTCACAAATTGAACCCCGAATTGACGATGAAGACGAGCCACGTTATCACTAAGTTTGTCAGTGAATTTCCTATGAAACAGCACGGTAGACATTTAACCATAATAATTTTAACATAATATGTATCGTGTTTAAATGCAAGTCGTCAAATATACCTCAAACTATTCTTGAATTCATCACTACAAACGTTGAATTTCTCCTCGTTAAGAATGAACGAAGTGTTTTCTTGAATCTCTTCAGAAGACAGGACACAGGAATGGTGATCGGGAAGAAATGACTAAAGAATTGTGGAAAGTTATTGTTACAAATCATCACATAATAGTTTCAATTTCATGAACAAAATCTCCATTTTTTGTAGCAACCTGTACATGAGCCAATATGCGGTCAAAATCCACGGGTTTATCTTTGCCCTCCATAGAGGCGGGGTCAAGACTATCCCCACCGTACACAAACTGAACTATATCACCGACAGAGTTTCTGACCGTCATATCATACTGGATGGACAAATCCTCCAATGACTATACAAAAGCATGAAGATCAGTCAAGTTAGATTTTTGGGAGGTAAGTTAGTCATGTTCAAACCTTTACAAGTCGTCGTTGCATGTAGCCCGTCTCAGCTGTTTTCACTGCAGTATCAACCAGACCTAGATGCAAAATTTATAATCAGTTTTCTCCAGCTCCAAATATATCAAGCATAAACAAAAAGGGAAAGTTGATGGAAAATGGTATACCGATAAACTTGCTTTCGAAAATAATTCAGTAAGTACGTAGTAAGACGAAGAAATACGCAAGTGTCAAAAATTATTGTTGTTTGAAGTTGCTTTGATCTCGCGTGTCCCATGTGATCTAATATGTGTCTATGTGATCCCATGTGTGCCCATGTGTAAATGGTCACATGATCATTGATATTAACAACTCGCTCAGGATGAATTAAAAATGTACCTTCTCTACCAGCCATAGTGTGAAAGAAAAATTCAGTTGGTGTAAGACCTGAGAAAAAACTGTTCTTTACAAATCCTTTTGCCCCAGGAAACTTGGCTGTATAGAGAGATTTAATAAAGATTAATTACATTACCAAAACTTAAGTATGACATTAAACGAAGGAAGATAAATCAAACATGCCAAATTTTCGAAAGTGAGGTAGCGATCGATTCTCAAAACCATTCGGTGTTCGTTTTCCTGAGAGAGCTTGTTGACCCACACAAGCAATCATTTGAGAAATGTTAATGAAGGATCCTGAAATAGAGATACAACAATGGATAAATGGGTTCTAGTTTTTATCAACAGAGCAGAGATATTCACGCATTGACCTGTATAGATGGACTTAATCAGTCCGACATTCAGCGATGGTAACATATCTCCTTACAATCCACTTTAATGATTATCTTTTCAAATTTTCATGCAGGAGTAAACCTTAACTAAGCTATCTTTGTCAATTCAAAATGTAATTTAAAATTTTTGATCAACCAATTAGAATAACATTCTTTAAAGTGTTAACTACAAGAATTCATAAGATATAAAATAGGTTCCGTTCTCCTAAAAATCATTTCAATCTGTTCAATAATTGTTCAATATTATAACAATGGCCATCTCTTTTTCCAAGTCTATAACAAAACTAATAAACAGATCGAGCTAAACGGCTCAATATTTGAGGTAATGTACCTTTTGATCCACAAACAGCCATTGTGAGAGGGCTATTTGACTTATGCAGTTCCCGTAAACATGCTTTACCGGCGTGATCACGTATGACAGAAAGTTCACGTAAAATAACAGCCTAAAAAATCACGTATGACAGAAAGTTCACGTAAAATAACAGCCTAAAAAATCACGTATGACAGAAAGTTCACGTAAAATAACAGCCTAAAAATCACGTATGACAGAAAGTTCACGTAAAATAACAGCCTAAAAATCACGTATGACAGAAAGTTCACGTAAAATAACAGCCTAAAAAATCACGTATGACAGAAAGTTCACGTAAAATAACAGCCTAAAAATCACGTATGACAGAAAGTTCACGTAAAATAACAGCCTAAAAATCACGTATGACAGAAAGTTCACGTAAAATAACAGCCTAGAAAATCACGTATGACAGAAAGTTCACGTAAAATAACAGCCTAAAAATCACGTATGACAGAAAGTTCACGTAAAATAACAGCCTAAAAATCACGTATGACAGAAAGTTCACGTAAAATAACAGCCTAAAAAATCACGTATGACAGAAAGTTCACGTAAAATAACAGCCTAAAAAATCACATATAACAGAAAGTTCACGTAAAATAACAGCCTAAAAAATCACGTATGACAGAAAGTTCACGTAAAATAACAGCCTAAAAAATCACATATGACAGAAAGTTCACGTAAAATAACAGCCTAAAATATAATTATTGTAAAGTAAAGCTGCATACGTAAATGTGTAGAAAAGGGCGTTAATTCCTTTCTTATAAAATCAAAACATCCATTAGTCGAAGGATTTTTTTTACCAAATCTAAACATTCATACCTCTAGGGTTTCTTCTTCGGAGCAGCCTGGTTGTGTTTGCAATCTTCCCTCCTTAAAATCCTCAATGAACTCGTCACATTTGCTGTAGCCATGATTCAACAAATCATCCTTAGCTTTGAGCAAACCTTGACCAGGTGTTACATCACCAATTCCGATGGAAAAACCACGATTTGCTGCAGTAAAAGGACAAATAAATATATTACCAAGATAAACAGTGAATAAAACGTTTAGGCTTGTCCCGTAAAAAAATATTAAAAAAAAAACAGCTCACACAAGAAAAATGGACAAACACGAGCAACTTTCCACATCGCATCAGCGGCGAACTAAAGACAAAAAAATATCAATTGAAACATTTATCAACATTCTAAATGACTTTGGGAAATTCTAGATCGAACAGAAAACCTTCCATCAAATGTTTATAATCATGGCTATAAATATAAATAGCAATTAGAAAAGCTCAAATACCTGCTGGCCAAAGTCACGAAGTAAGATATAAAAGACATTGTTCTTCGAGCCAGAACCCAATACAGCCTTATCCAATGCTCCACACATCAGTTCACTGTTGTGAATTACAACAACTAAAACAAAAACATAGAATAATAATACAATAAGAAATCTCCAGTATATAGTACGTAGTAATCTCACTGTCTCACATGAATCGTTTTTACAAAGATCTTCTCGGGAACTGTACTGTTTTCCTTTTACTCTCAAGTTCATTTTCACGCTAGCCTCACGATGAGACTTCAGTAAAACACTGAATACTTGTTTACCGGTCCACAGTTTTACAGGCTGTTTTATGAGGAAAGAGAAAGAAATGTCAAAATTAGTGCTCGTGAGAGGTGAATGAATTTTTTTATTGTTATCGCTTTATGTTATCATTAATACTATTACAAAATTTTACCTTAAAAATTGCAGGCGGAGGAAGATTTATTTTCATACTGCTATCTTTACCCGCCAACATGGCAGCACATAATTGGGTCATGTGACCACGATCCATAAAGACTTCTTTTTGAGTGAGAAGGTATGCTCCTGGATTACGGGGAGAGAATAATAAATGGTCTGAGAAATGTGAACTAAATGAAAATCTTTCTAATGACAAACCTGTAATGAAATCCTGTATTGCAGCTATCAATGGTTCGCCGTTACGAGGTGTGACAAGATTTGATTTTACCTAAAGATTGATCAATGAAATCTTGACTAGAAACAATCATACAACGTTATTGCACAAAGTGAACAATTAAAACTCTTTTTACATGATTACAGCACTTGAGAATTTCACGATGCAACAATTGCTATGGCAAACAAAGGATTTCACTGAGAGGAAAAGTATTTAATTATAATATAATTACTGGAATGTCTAATCATCAATAGCTGAGCGTTGAACAAAGTAACCACGGGTAAATACAATAAACATCTAGTCAATGTAACATAATAATACAAACCACAATTTGCCTTATAATATAAAGTACACCAAAAGAAGTACTTCATGCATGAGGAATCGTAAGTCAAATATAAGTCATCTATTTTGAATTTCTTTTCTTTTTATATGAGCACCCATACTTATGATAAAGAAAGGCCATTTCAACTTACTCCCATCAAAGTAAGAGCCTCTGCTTTTGCCTCTTCAGTCTGTGGTAGATGTAAATTCATTTCATCACCATCAAAATCAGCATTGTACGGTGTACAAACACATTCGTTGAAACGAAATGTACGATGAGGTTTTACTACCGCCTTAATAAAACAAAATCAAACGACAATTTTGGATGAAAAATCCATGATCAAATTTGTCAAGACGACACTGTCGTTTCTAGCAACAGAGGATATTTACTGGTAGATCTTTTAAAATAATAATTAAGAAATTAGATCATATCTTATACATTACAAATTGACAATATCTTACAAAATGACTCATAATGCTCAATTTATGAAGCGAGGGCTGCCTGTTGAAGAGAACGATATCCCCATCAATCATATGGCGTTCAACTATGTCCCCATACTAAAGAATAAACAAGTGAAATTGATAATCATTCTGTTGATCTTCCCTAGCAGAACTTTCTTCATACCCGAAGGTCCTTGGCAATCATGCTTCTATTTCCATACTTGAGAAACCTGAAAGGTCAAGAAAAAAACTCAATTTTAACTTTAAAACCACATCGGGGCAGAGAGAGAAAATAATTTAAAATGACAAACACGACGCTTTGATGACGTAAGAAAAGGGTTGAGGTGGTTGTTGAGAGGATTACTCATGATTGTAGGATCACTCAAAAGCTGACCCTTTCTATAGTAAAGTTTCATACGTACCTTAGTTGATTCTTTAGTATACTAAACTAAACTTACTTCTTAATTTTCGTATTGCTTTGTATAACAAAATTTGCGCCAGGATGATTCTTTGCGCCGTTTTCAACAAGTTTTCGCATAAAATCAATGTTCGCTTTTGTCACCTGTAAAAAAAAACAAAAACAAAACGTGAATCCGTTAAAACTAACCAAATTAACGATCTTTGCTGACTTTTATAGCCTCGTGTATTCGGTATGGTGGCTAAATCATTTTACGTAGTATTTACGATACTGTCTTCATAAGAAAATGTAAAAAATGTTTATGAATGAAAATTCTAAACGTATACGAATTCTTAGATCATACTTCAACTTAAAGACTTTGTTCCTTTTACTGAAAATGAAAGTTAACACTAGTGTTCATGGATGAAAGTTGTTTGTTTACCTTTTCAGGGTAAGTTAAGATTTTCGCAACATGAATAGGAACAGCGACCTTGAATGGGTTAAATAAAGAGGTCAGAAAATAATATTGACAATAAAGCAATTTTTAGGGGAGCAAATTGAACAAAGAGAGATTTTCCACAAAAAGAAAAGATCCAAATGCTACAAACTTGCAAATATAATTTAATTATTAATTGACCTACAGCATTAATTGGTCACAAATTGTGTTCTTGTCGTCTAGTTCATCGTTCATTAAGATCGTCAACCAAATCGTAAAACGGAAAGACATCTATGTTCTCAAAATAACGTCATTTGAGCGAAAACGAACTTACTTGATCAATGCGTAAATTCGGATCCGGAGATATGACGGTTCGTCCAGAAAAATCAACACGTTTTCCAGACAGATTACCACGAAAACGACCTTGTTTGCCTTTCAATCTTTGAACGAATCCTCTCGTTGCTTTCTTCGGCTAAAACATCATAGTTGATCGTTGTGACAAAGCACTAATTTCTACGTAGGGATGTAAGTATATGCAGTTAAACAGAAATACCTGCATACTCAAAGGGATACCGGTGGTCTCGCTGTTGATATGAAGGGTACATTGAAGCTGAAGAAAATCCCAGTCTTCCTTAAGACAATAAAACACTCAATTCAGATTATATAGAAACTTTGTACATCACAGGAAGCTCGTGTCTTGACCGACGCAAAAAAAATTACAAAAAGCTATTTAATTGACTCTGCATGTGTCAACTTACGACGATCATCTGAATTTTAGCGCCACTGGAGCGATGTTTACGTATGACGTCATTAAGGAAGATAATCTCTGTTAATTTCATAGTGATGTCATCTTCGTTACTGTTATGAAAATATTTTATAAAGTATTTTCAAGACGGAGTTTGTGTTTATCCAAGGAGAATAGAGATCAGTGCTAACCTGCCTGACTTAAGTTCACTGATGACTGACGGTCTGATGCAAACGGGGGGAACTACTACTCTTGTTAATATGAGATTCTCTGGTCGAGAAACATTAGGACGCATTCCAATCAGTGGACAATCCTTTAAAAAGTCATAAAAAACTTCATTTAATATAAAGTTGTTTTATCGTGTAATATAGCAGCTGATCTTTTTCTGTTTTGTACATTCATCACTGCCAACACTGATATACACGTTATCTTAGTTTATATTTTAGTTAGTGCAAAGACTGTTCTTGTTCTCTGTTGTTCATTCATCACTACCTACACTGATACACGTTATCTTAGTTTATATTTTAGATAGTGTAAAGACTGTTCTCATTCTCTGTTGTTCATTCATCACTACCTACACTGACACACGTTATCTTAGTTTATATTTTAGACAGTGTAAAGACAGTTCTCATTTTCTGTTGTTCATTCATCACTACCTACACTGACACATGTTATCGTAGTTTATATTTTAGATAGTGTAAAGACAGTTCTCATTCTCTGTTGTTCATTCATCACTACCTACACTGACACACGTTATCTTAGTTAATATTTTAGATAGTGTAAAGACTGTTCTCATTCTCTGTTGTTCATTCATCACTACCTATACTGACACACGTTATCTTAGTTTATATTTTAGATAGTGTAAAGACTGTTCTCATTCTCTGTTGTTCATTCTTCGCTACCTATACTGACACACGTTATCTTAGTGTATATTTTAGATAGTGTAAAGACTGTTCTCATTCTCTGTTGTTCATTCATCACTACCTATACTGACACACGTTATCTTAGTTTATATTTTAGATAGTGTAAAGACTGTTCTCATTCTCTGTTGTTCATTCATCACTACCTACACTGACACACGTTACCTTAGTTTATATTTTAGATAGTGTAAAGACTGTTCTCATTCTCTGTTGTTCATTCATCACTACCTATACCGACACACGTTATCTTAGTTTATATTTTAGATAGTGTAAAGACTGTTCTCATTCTCTGTTGTTCATTCATCACTACCTATACTGACACACGTTATCTTAGTGTATATTTTAGATAGTGTAAAGACTGTTCTCATTTTTTGTTGTTCATTCATCACTATCAACACTGACACACGTTATCTTAGTTTATATTTTAGATAGTGTAAAGACTGTTCTCATTCTCTGTTGTTCATTCATCACTACCAACACTGACACACGTTATCTTAGTTTATATTTTAGATAGTGTAAAGACTGTTCTCATTCTCTGTTGTTCATTCATCACTACCAACACTGACACACGTTATCTTGGTTTATATTTTAGATAGTGTAAAGACTGTTCTCATTCTCTGTTGTTCATTCATCACTACCAACACTGACACACGTTATCTTAGTTTATATTTTAGATAGTGTAAAGACTGTTCTCATTCTCTGTTGTTCATTCATCACTACCAACATTGACACACGTTATCTTAGTTTATATTGTACATAGTGTAAAGACTGTTCTCATTTTCTGTTGTTCATTCATCACTACCAACATTGACACACGTTATCTTAGTTTATATTTCAGATAGTGTAAAGACTGTTCTCATTCTCTGTTGTTCATTCATCACTACCAACACTGACACACGTTATCTTAGTTTATATTTTAGATAGTGTAAAGACTGTTCTCATTCTCTGTTGTTCATTCATCACTACCTACACTGACACACATTATCTTAGTTTATATTTCAGGTAGATAGTGTAAAGATTTTTCTTTTCCTAGTCCTTTTTGAAATTGTCATACCTCATCAAGTATATCTTTAAAAAGTGTTAGAACTCTTAGTGGATTCAATATTTCCTAAACAAGAAAACAAATACTTTATTTAACTAATTGTCTTGTCATAACCATTAGGTCATTTCCATAACCCCTACCTGAGCTTTATTAACTAAAGATTCCAGTTCTTTGTTGTGCTGAACGGCTGTAAGAAAACCTGCTCGAAACTCAGATATTGCAGGAGGTAAAAGTTTTTTTGTCGTTTTATATTTCTCATGAACTATTTTCATCATGCCCACTTTCTTGACATTTCCTTAAACAAAAATACTGGTTGACAACAATATTTCAAAACCTACAAACACTAGTGAAACATAACTGTATTTATTTCACACAAAGTGCATGGTGAGGGGAAACTCGACTAGGGGGGGGGACAAGCACAAATTTTCTGATATGTCAAAAATATTGGATACCCTATCCCTATTTGCTCACCAAATAAAATTATGGAAACGTTGCCTAATAGCTTGGCAATAAAAAGCATTTGCCACTTTGTTGAAAATCAAACACTTTTGCCTGACACAAAATCAAGTAGTGTATTTCACCATGTGACTATGTGAGTGATGCTACTTAAGTGCTGTCAGTGATAGTCAGGGGTAATATTAGCTGATGATTATTAGTCAAGCAAATGAGCACTTAAAATCAAACAAGTATAATAAAACTACCATTCAACTCTTCACAATAGGGACAATTGGCTGTCTTTCGACATTTTGTATTGATCTTTTTTAATATTCCTTTCCGTGCAAGGTTACTAAGTGCAGGACGTCGCAATGCCTCTAAATACAACTTTCTCTCGCTTGACATGAGCAATACACGACTACAACGCTAAATTATAGAAAAAATATAACTGTAACATGTGAAAAAATCTTGGAAGATTGAACCTATAAATATTTGCAAATTAAAATATAACAAAATTATCCATCTTGTATCAGGGTTGGAACTAGAGAATAAAGTTTTGACTCTAGATACATTAATTTTATGGTTTTCTAAATTTTACAAATATGAGCAAATTATAAGCCGTACCTTACATATACATTGTAATATTGCAATGGTTGCTTTGAAATAGCCAACATGAAATACAGGCAGTTCCAGGTCAACATAACCATAATGTCCAACACATTCTGCAAGTTGTTTACCACATGTGGTACATCTTCGATCTTTGTTACTAACACCCTTAAAAATGATAAAACATACTGACTACATGTGTCTGTGCTAGTACTGAAAAGAAGAGGTGAAAAAAAGATAGGTGTGTCAAAGGTTGATTCATGGATACCATTTGATAAATCAGGCATAGATAGTAAAGTGCATAAGACTATGGTCAACATTACTAACATAGAGTAAATAAATTGAATTTATAAGTACCAGTTGTGGATCAAGAACTCCATAAGGTGCTGGTTTCCTAACATTCTCAGGTGTATACAAGTTTTTAGTGACGCATTGGATGTGAGCAATTTGCTGCATATTTGATGGTGAGAAAACCCCAAACTCCAAATGGCTTCTAAAATGAAAATTCAGTTTGAAAATATTCCAGTTAATTAATTGTTCGAAGCACGATGTACATATAGAACGAATATTTCACTCGTTTCCAAGATTATTCAGCTATTCTTTTCCTCGTTTTCATGCATTGTTCAAACTTCAAAGGTATTTTTTCCACGAGGAAAATAGTCAAGAAAAAAGTAAAAGCAGCTTTGGTTTAGTTCGTATTTCATAACTACATACACGCAAGACTTACATTCGCTTTGCGACGTCTGTCTCTCTGAATTGTTCCTTTACCATGTTTATAACAAAAATCTGGTAAGTTTAAGTAACTTCTTCTATTTCTTTGCACGTTTGCAATGTACCTAAAACTTGTATTATAGCATTTATATGTCTATAAGGTGCATCCATTTTACAAAACAGAACCCTGTATATCCATAGTCATACATATGTAATCTGGATCGTCATAAATCGATTAATCTCATCCAGTGATCTCATTCGTCATAAATCCATAAATCTCATCCAGTGATCTCTTTCCGTCGTACATATCATGTTGTTATGGCTACGTCAACATGGCGCGCAAGCTTACGTTGTTGTTGCCGTCGGCATTGTTCTTTTTCGTTTCGCAGGTGAGACTTTTTGAAATTGAATTCAAAACGATACAAAACTGTAAAGATGAGAATAAATTCTACCAAATATCCAATCTACAATGCGGAGACTGCCAAGACACTTCAGGAAATAAACTTAATAAAATAGTCTCAAAAGACGGTTTATTTTGTTCCTGTAACAATGGTTATAAAATTTCAGAGTATTTTGGTGGTCCCACAATAGATTGCAGAGCTTGCCCTGCAGGTCAAGCTTCATCAAAAGATAAATGGTTTTGTCTTTCTTGTCAAACGCCAATCACAGCGAACAAGGTTTGTGACGAATGCCCATCAAACACAAAAGCAATTGAGCGTAATTTAAACGGTTCTACACTTGCAAAACGACGATGCATATCTTGTGTTAATGATTTAGTGATTGATCCTAGCTCAAGTAAACCTGTTTGCAAGGTTTGCCCTTCGTGTGGCGTTCCTATAAAGTCGGTAAACAGTAGACTATTTACAATTGTGATTGACAATGATTTAACAATTGAAAGTGATTTTCTTAGAAGAAATTTCGCCATTGCTAAAACACTTTGTAAAGATAAACGCAACTTCACTGCATGTCAGCTACTAGGCAACCTTTGTGTCATGTTAGATTATCGTGAAGATTCAGATAACCCATGTGTTGAGTATCTTAAGTTAGTAAATAACCCCCCTGGAAACCAAGCTCATGTTAGAGGTAGGAGGGGGGAGGTGAATACAAATTGGCCTGTTTACATGCCATGGTTGTACTACAAAAACAGTCTGCAGAATACAGTTAACGAGCTTAACAGAAAAGACATTAATATCAAGTTTAAAAGTAGACAATTACTGCCGTTATTTTTGGCTGTGTATGCAGCCAATGGTTCCTTTGTTGGCCTCAAAAGTGATGTGACCAAGACGCTACAGTTGTGTCATGATAGAGAAACAAAATTGCAGGTTGCCGACAAGTTTGGAACAATCTATGAAAACAAGTGTCAACTTAAAGTCAGTCAGCTCTGGCAACAACAAGAAATGCATTTCTTTGATCTTTACTTCAAGTCCACATCAACAAGTCTCTATGCAGTGCCTTTGGTTTTGGAGAACTACCAAAACAATAATGATGACACATTCAAATCTTGGAAACTTTTGCGTCGGTTTTTTCTTGTGGACAACCAAAGCAGGCGACCAGTTAGCACAAGTAGTTCCACCAAGATGGTACTACGTGTGGCTCAAACAGTTCAAATCTACATACGACTTCGTGATGGTCAAGGGCATATATACCCTCCTTATATAAAATTGAGGTATATTGACATCAAGGTGAATGATGATGTACTAAAACAGGACCCAAAGGTTGACGTTGCTTTCAAGATAAAATATGAAATGGATACATCATCTATTTCTCAAGATATAAAGGTATGATGAGCATTTGATTACATTGCAAACTGGACCATCAGTTTGAGCAGTTTTTGACTGAACCTTACTTTAGTATAAAATGTGATGCTATCATTGTGGATGACGTGAAGGGGCAATTAAGCTCACAAATTTACGTGTTCTTCACTGTGGTGTAATGTAAGATCATCTTTAAAGCATGATGTATTATACCTACTATTGCATAAAAAATTAATTGTCAGCGAAAACATCTTAAGATTACAACATTTACTTTCTAGATTGTGATAGGTGTCTTATCAGGCATTGCCATTATGTACGGTTTGCTTATGGTCTACAGTTGGAGACGACGTGAAGGCATTCAAGTTGTTGAAATATTTTCTCTCCTTCATTTTATTACATTTTCATTCGGTGTTTTGGCAACCGTGTACTTTTGGATTTTATTTGCATTTGCTAATTTATGGTTGATATTCTTCAAGGGGCAGCATGTAGTGTATCGACTTCTTCCAACTTCTGGCCAGGAACAGATTTTTCGCGATCTTCTCATTATTGCTTTTGTGTTTAAATTTATCAATCTTGTCCAAATGATTGCAGCCCAAATCAGAATGGATATTTTCTTCATTGACTGGGAACGACCACCCCCTATAGCACGTGCTACAAACCAAGGTGTTGATGCTAAGTCACCGGTCAGTGTCTGGCGTACCCTCTTCATTGGGAACGAATGGAACGAACTACAGACCTTACGTAAGATTAGTCCAGAATTTCAACTAGGTCTGGTTGTATTCTTTCTCAAGGTCGTTGGATTTGAACACCTTACGACCACAGATCCGGTTAGAAGGTATTCTGTGGATTGTAAAACGGATTACGTCGGCGAAGAAAGCCATCTTCTTCGTTTCGCTATCACTAGTATTCTTTTCATGTCTATCGCTTTTTTACAATGGCTTTTTTTCTCCTTCATATACGAGCGCTTTTTTGGAGATCCGTTTGGAGATTTCGTCGATCTTTGCTCAATGGCAAATGTTAGCGTGATGGTGTTTGAGAATAAGGTAGGTTTACAAAGGACGGTATTTAAACTAATAAAAATATCAAATGTATGAAAAGTTGCTAGTGTTAGTTGTGAGGAATGGACAACAGAGAAAAAAAAACAATCTTTACATCACCTAAAATATAAACTAAGATAACGTGTGTCAGTGTAGGTAGTGATGAATGAACAGAGAATGAGAACAGTCTTTACACTATCTAAAATATAAACTAAGGTAACCTGTGTCAATGTAGGTAGTGATGAATGAACAACAGAGAACGAAAACAGTCTTTACACTATCTAAAATATAAACTAAGGTAACCTGTGTCAATGTAGGTAGTGATGAATGAACAACAGAGAACGAAAACAGTCTTTACACTATCTAAAATATAAACTAAGATAACGTGTGTCAATGTATGTAGTGATTAATGGACAACAGAAAATGAAAATAGTCTTTACACTACCTAAAATAAAAACCAAAACAAGATCAATGAGTTTGGTGATTAGGAACAGACAGCGAGGACAATCTATGTTATTCACTAATTGTAACTGTTAAATATGATTTTCAAGTTGTACGGTCACTATATACACGGACGGTCTGTTCATGGTCGCTCTGACACGGATATGCTTGACATGCACGAGCAATTCAAACGAGAAGAAGCTGATCTTTGCGGCAAACGTGGTTTGGAGCCAAACTCTGATAGACAAACGTTCCAGATGATGGTCACAAAAAGATTCCGAGCGTCATACGATCGTTTCTACGATCCTATTCGAATGCAGACACAAAATATCGAGAGAAGAAACGCACCACAACTGCAAGGTAAGTATGTCAACTTACGATATACGCATGCTGTCTCGGCAGTTATAGAAAGGCAACTTCCACCCAAAGATTAACAGGAACTTTTTTTGTTATGAGACGCACTAACACTGAAAAGATCGCGTACATAAGGTTTCAGTTGACAAGTTGACGTCAAATATGAACATTTTATGTTTCAGGTCATTCCGCTGGTGTGAATCTAAGTATGGCAGTGCAACAGACTATCGAGGCGTACAGTTCTGTAAATAAATTCCTTTCAGCATTTATTGATCATTCATTACGTGAACACGACTATTTCGTCAAGAATAAACTACTCTTTGAAAAAATTCTCAATGTTGAATTGGGTGAAATTATTGAAGAGAAAACCGTTTTGTACAACGACGACTCTCGCTCTTTTACAAATGTGTTTTTCTTTGGCCACGAGTGGATTCTCTTGTTATGGGATGTATTATTCTTTGCTATCGTCGACTATATTGCATTAAACTTTGTTTTAGCTGGAATTTTGACGTACTTTCAAAGCCGTGTCTTAAAATCAATACGCATGGTAATGGGAAAGAAAAATCTCGCGAGGAAGACACTAATTGATGAACGCTTTTTGATTTGAAGCAACAGGCCTAGAGGTGATACTTAGATTTGTAAACACCATGGAGTATTTATAGAAAAAATAACTTAACGACAACAATATTTATAAAAATAGCAAGTCATTGGAATAAATGGTCAAATCATTTTATCGCTTAGACTGGTCTATGCCACGTTAGACGTGTTCTCAATAAACCACCCAATTTCTCACATTCTAATATTCAGGCTCACCTACGATGCGCTATAGGAGGAATGGGTTCTGGTAAGCGCATTTTTCTTATAACAGGTGACGTGTTACCGACTACATCAGAGACGGAGATCGTTTGTCTTTGAGTCAGTGGTCCAATTGGTTGAAGATCTAGAACATCAGTCCGTGATATATGGTGACCAGCAGTTAACTAGAAGATATAATAAGCTTCAAATAGTTTATATGGTCGTTGTTTAGGCTTTTCTCAGTAAAATATGAAAAGATTTGTAATTACGCACCAAGTCTGGACCTTTTCGTACCACTTGTCCCTCACGAACAACAACTCCCGCTGAAATATCCATTGAATCAGCCTAATATGATTAAAACAGCAATGAGAAAATTTAATGTACAAGAATCCGTCAATCATTTAGTTAGCATGTGCCTAGTCTTCCAGACTGATCTAGAGGCCTCTGGGCCGTTCGAGGAACTTAAATCATACAAAACGGATTTGTATTGATTTTAATTCTTCATTAAAAGGCAATATACAAAGTAACATGTACTTGTAGTTACCAACAAATAAAAAGTGTTTGTCAAACAACCAAGAGATCTATTGATCTTAAAAATAAAAACAAGCAAACTGTATCTTAATAAAGAAAAGCACTCATTAAACTCTCACCAATGGAGGTGGTAATGGTTTTATAATTTCGCCATCATCCACGAAAGCCTCCAATGAAGTTGTAACCGTGTTCGTTGATACAAGAAACTGCTTGTGATCCGACAACTTTTTTACACGTGCTTCATTTGAATTCTTTTGCATGTTTGAAATGGTTGATATTAAAGGATTTCTAGTGGTAGTTTTTCGAGAATGTATCATATCATGTTGTGGTTCGACGATCTCAAAACTTGGCCGTATTCTTAAAACAAAGATAATTCATCTTGAAATCCTTGAAATGACAACCGAATTTCGGTTCACACACACCTACGTGTGGGAAGTTTATCCACACTTATCCTCATCATGGCCACAGTGTTCCCACTTTCATCGAACGTCACTTCTTCCTGCAGTCGAGGTGATCGATTTTGAGCAGTCTATAAAGTAAAAACACTACAATATTTTCGCTTTCATTTCATTACAGGCAGGGGGGGGCGGATAAACTTTTTCTAAGTTACGTCTTTCTTTAAAGTAGCTGAAATTGTTCTTATTTACCTGACCAACACATTTTTCGACAATTTTTGCTGCCTCTGAATGATGTACATCAACAATGTTATCTTGCGAAGGTATTCTTTTTGGCTTGATCTTTTTCATATTTTTGTCTTTGTTTGTCCTTTTTTGACATTTGATGGGATATTTACTTGGATATTTACGTCTACCTGCAGATTCAACCTGCAATTTCCCACACAGACAACTAAGATATTGTTTTCTGTAAATTTCAAACTATAAATATCAAAGCATGGAAAATTACTCTTGATGTTGGAGGTGGAGAAGGAGTGATGTTCTTTGAACTATTCAAACTTTTGTCTTCATTTCCTTCCAAATTATCAGACATTCCTTGTATACTTTCAGATTGGTAATCTGCTTCTGATTCACCATCACTTGGGAAAATAAAAGATGGACAAGGTTTGCAACATAAATTTACATAGTAATGAAAAATTGCAATCATTTTAAATTGTCTGAGTTTGTCAGCGTACCTTTGAGATTTCTCAATGGCAACTGTTTCGTGAGAGTTGTGTTTGAAACGCATTGATTCACTTTGTGCTGACAAAGGTCTGGAAATGCAACTATGAATTGGAACCAGACCCTCAGCCCAGGAATCTGTATCACATGATACTGGCTCTTGGAAAAAAGAAATAGGGTGGCAAAAGCTAATAAACAAAAACAAAAAATAGTTTCCTTGTATTTACCATCGTCTTCCAGCCAGGTGTCATCACAAGATGGTGAGACTTCACCTGGGTCATGCTTAAGAAATCTTGCCTGTATAAAAAGAAAAAAGAACTTGTTGAATCAGCATCTGCACCAAAATACTGGGACGAGATTGTTCAAACATTTTCATACCTCAATAATTTGGAGTAAGAGGTTTTTTGCTGCATCAACAGAGTAAGGACGAAGTTGACTTTCAATATATTTTTCATAAATTACTTGGACGGTATTGTGTAAGATTTCATCAATGAGATCGAGTACGTAGTCAACAGTATTTTCTTGGTCTATCAATGCATTCCTATAGCATATATTATCAAAAATATCGACACACAAAAATTAAATGTAAATTTTATCTACAGTCCAAGTAGTAGTTTCTTACCATTGATTTTCATTAAATTTTCCAGGAATTATATCATTGCTAGTGGCCACAGGTGGCGGTAGAGATGGAGGCTTTTTCTCGTTCCTTGACTTGCTCATGGTTCAACGCATTACGTATAGACTTATAGATTTTCTGTCAGTATTAGAGTTCGCTTTTACTATCTTACAAACTTCTGCAGCTCACTTTGATTGCGATAAGAGACCTTACTCATGATTGAATGAGTATTCTAAGAGAAAAGAGCTAAAACAGCAAGTTTTTACTCTGTGTATTGTCATTTTCTTCCCAATTCCACATGACGTTGTTGCCATGGTTTTTTAATTGTCTGTAACATTAATCCTACCCAGCATGCACCTGCCCACGAGTACATTTTTGTACACTGTACATTTTTTCTTTTTTTTATTGCCTTTATTCAATTATTACTGAAATGAACTGAAGGCAATTGTGCTGGAATATCAGCTGAAGATGTAAGAGTTCAAATGAGACAAATTCATGCAAAATGACAAGTGTTTCGGACAATTATATTGAAACAATTTCCTTGGAAAATTTCCGTCTACATTCAAAATTGTAATATTGCTCTTTGCTTTAGTTAATGGTTTCGGTATACACTCTATGAATTATAAAAAGCAAGAATATTGCCCCGACAGAGGAATAAATTCAGTAAACTGGGCCATGTTTGGAGTAAGCTGTGATTGGAGAAAAACGCCAAATTCATAATATTACTGGCCTGCTATTGGTCAATTACAGAAATACTGTATAACAATGACGAATGTAATATCGTTTGAAATTTGGAAATATTTCCTGATAATAACAATGGTTATGGCTAGTTTATATTAGCATATTTTTACTTTAATTATTGTTTATATCCAAAAGAAAAGTTGATATGAGAGAAAAACCCGTACCAACACGGGTTGAGAAAGTGCCACAACAATCTGGTATGGATTCAATCAAAAACGAAACGGATACTGAAAAGGAAAGCTTGAGCAGTGATGAAGGAGATGAGTTGCCATCAATGGTGACAGTTTTGCCAGTAAACTCTGAAAACACAATTCCTTCCAAGTATGAAGGGCCATATTATGTATCTTCATCCTCAGAAAATCGTTCAATTCTTGACATTCCCGGAGAATTTGAGTTTTTGAACAGTGACAATGTCTCGGAAAGCCAAAAACAAGCAGTAAAATTTGGCGTACGGGTTTTTCGTGGTGAGACATTTACCTTTTTCCTCTTATTTTGTATTATGTTTAATGTTGTGATGATGTTGAAAGAAAGCGAATGTTAAGTAAATAAGCTTGATTGTACATCAACTTTTTGTAATTATATGAATTTCAAAAAGATTAAGTACATGACAAATACTACTATTTGCAAACTTTTTCACTAGACTGGCTAAATAAGCAAGGTGTAAATTTTCGATCTTTGGAAGAGATGACCCGAGAAGATATCGCCATAGCCTTAGAGCAGTTTTATTTGACAGCACGAAGGCCAAATGGGACACAATACAAGAAGAATACTTTGAAATCAATCAAACATTCGTTGGATCATTACTTGCGTTCATCTCCATTGAAGAAAGATTTTTCCATCTCTTCAGACTTTGATTTTCGTAAGGTGCGAAGTATGATACGAGTTATTCGAGTGCTTTGACAAAGATTTTAAAACTGAAGGTTTAGTATATGTGTTGTCAAGTTTTTGAGTAATTTGATTGGATGATATATTAACTTGAAAATGGTCTTCAAAATTGCACAGATAGTAATATAAAATCAAGAATAAGATGTTTATCACAACTCGCTCTTGTTCTTTTATCACCATTTTAACGATAATCTTGGTTTTACTTTTTGTTTATTTTAGGTTCAGTGAAGACTTTTCTCGTTTTTTGTTTTTCATTCATAGTCAATGATCATAGTTTATGTTTCATACACTGTAAAATATAAAACATCCGATTGCAAATGTTTCAAAAGATTGGTTGACATTAATGGTAGTAACGATAAAAACAAGAAAAAATGCATTAGGGTTTTAGCTGTATTATTCAGGTTTAAAGAAGAGGTTTTTGTGAACCACACGGACATTATCAACATTCCATCAATTACTTTTAGATATCAAACTTCTCCTAGACATGTATGAACAATTAGCTTACATGCCACTTTTAAGGATCCTTTACTTTTAATTTTAACATTTTTATCGATATATATTGTGAAGATTAACTTGACTTATGTCAATCTACGTCAACAGGTGAACAAGACCTTAGACAGCCTTCCAGAAGACGCCGATCCAAACCGTTTTCCTCAGTTCACGAAAGATATTATACTTAAACTGTACGCAAAGGGTCAGCTTGGCCTAACAACAACGGATGACCCAACTATCCTGATTCAGACCGTGTGGTTTTATGTCGTATCTTATTTTTTTGCAAACATAGATAAGCGCATGCTGCGAGAGCTTAAGGACACGAACCTTGTCTTAGAGAAGGACCACGAAAATCGAGAGTATTACTGGCTCGACTATCAGCCACCAGAACGCGTTCGTGGTGACGTCATCAAGTCCCGAATCTACGCTAGACCAAATTCTTTGTGCTGTCCTGTCGCCATCATCAAAAAGTACATTGAACACCGCAATCCTCGCAATAACGTTCTATTTCAGCATCCAAAGTCGATCAATAGTGTGGTTTGGTATTCCCCTTTGCCTTTGGGTAAAAATAAACACACTGATCTCATGAAGTCGATGTGCATGAATGCGGGCGTAGAGCCGCCTTTGACGGGGCGTTGTATTAAGAGTTATGTGCAACAGTTGCTTCAGGATTGCGATGACAAAGTAAATAAAATGTTCCGGCTTGATGGACCGTCGAATGGTTTCATCAGTAATATACAAGCACCCATTGTACCTCCATTTATTGTTGGGATGCCTAAATTACCCTCAGCAATGGCCAGCCATGAAGCAATTGTTACATCCACAACGTCTGTCACCCCATGTAAAAAAGCTCGTGACGTCACAGCTGCTCCAGGCACAACAAATGGGAGTAAGCATGTCACATCACAATGTGCACAGAGTTTGTTGGAACTAGAAAACAATAAAATAGCTAAATCACTTGGATTGAACACCTCTCTAAACTATACAAGCCATTCCGACGCAATGGGCAGCCAACCCAGTAACTTTGTGTTTCCATATCTGGGGAATTTCCCGTCCATAACAGATTTTGCTAAACCAAAGGACTTATTTAACGGAAATTCCCTGTTCAATTCGTCCTTCTTCACAAACGGTTTTGATCACAGTAATACTGGTAGCAAAAGTTATTTTACACCAAACCACTTTTATTTCAATGGAAGTAAACTGGATCAAAATTCTTCTAACACCAACTTTATGGTGACTAAGCCAACACCCAAAGAAAGAAGGAAAGATGAAGAATCACCCACACATCAAGTGAGATTTATGGAAATATCAACTCAGACAGAGCCACAAGACAAACAATGCCTTGAATCAGCTTATCATAAAGCGGACTTGAAAACTCGAAATAGAATGCGTTATCAGGCTCGTAAGTCTTTGCTCTGTTTCATGGAAGAGCTTAATGAAATTTCTGATGGTCATGGTATGGAGTTATTCCACGAGATTGTTAGAGAAGACACTACTATGTTGAAATCATTCACTCATCTCTCAACAATAAAGTGAACAAACTGATTTATGCACGAAAAGTTGAGGTAATGTCTACAAAAGTGCAAAAATTTTTTCAATGTTTTTGGCGAATTGAATGTTGTTGTTTAAGATGTTTGTTTTGCAGTTTCGATAGTTAATTTATAAATTACTTTAGAATTGCCGTTTATAATGTTAAAGATAATGAAAATTTCTCGTACATTGCAAGGATTTGAGAGCTGGAAATAATGAATAGATGATAGGAATAACATGTTCTTATGTTGGTTAAAATAAATTTTTTATAAACAAGCAAGATTCTCAAAGAATAACACGTTCTGCAATTCTTGTCTTACTCCAATAATTTTTTCTACACCAGATCTTTCCATCTTTGAGACACTTAAAACGATTAATTGTTGTCGCTATAATACATATTATTTTCTTCGTCGTATAGAGATTTTACATCTTTTACAATAAATAGTCAGAGAATGAGGCGAGCGAAACTACACGATTAAAATAATATTCAACGATATATAAGTTAAAGTCTTTTACTTTTAGCTGGAACGTTTACTCAAGCAAATTCACTCCGAATCTTTCTATATTAGTTAATGCACCATGCACTACCATATGAAACGAGATTGGATTGATTTCACATAGTACGCGGAAAGAAAGAGGAGTAAGAACTTTCCTAAAATAAACTTTCAAGAAGTAAAAGTAATAAATTTCCGATAGCATAAATTCTACGTCAAAATAAGGTAAAGAAGAATAAAAGATTTGGTAAGTAAAAGAGTCGACGAGGATCAATATTGCAAGTGCATACGGATTACGTATAAATGCAGCTTCGACAGCATAAAAATGCGATGTTGAAAATTGCGTCGAATGAAACATGTACATCACGTTTTCTTTTGACCCGAAACTGCACTATCTTTCCTAGGTGGCATTCGCTCGTTCACCAAATCTAGATCACGCGCTTCCTTGAATGATTTAATCTTGTGGTTTTTCCATTCCCCGCTCAAAGCTGAAAAAAGACAAAGACATAACAAGGAATGATCATGGGGTCGATTGGTTGTAACGTTAAGAAAAATTTTACAAAAATTATTCATTCATTGTAGACCTTATACCTTAACACAAAGCTAACGCAACAGACTTTCATCGACATACCTTGTTCCAACGAATCCTTTCCACCAGAAAGAACGCCAACGGGAAGATAACCTGATGGCGTAAGTCCTTTCAGTTTTAGTATACTGTCACTCTCCTCCCTGTAAGAACATCAAATCATTACCGGGCGAGATGACTCAAGACTAAATTTAAAGAGCTGTTCAACAGTGATAAAATAACAACAGGTTGCATATCGTAACAGGCGATTGATGTGCCATTTGGTTATTGTTTAAGTAACCAGTAACGATAGGAAGCCACCACACATTTCCTGCGGTGTAGATTCCAGAACACAATTATTCACTTCTTTAGAAATCGATAGTTTTCTTATGCAGTGAATAAAACGAAAAAATTGTACAGCACTACTAAATACAACATGTAAAAATCTTAGAATTCTACCTTAGCACACTGAAAAGTCGTCCCATCTTTCCAATGGCACGAATTTTGTTCTTGATTATTTCCTTTCTTTTGGCGGCTTCTCGCATTTTTTCTTCGTCATCTTCACCGTCGTCTAATTCTTCATCTGTGCAGATGTTCAAAACGTTTACCAACATTTCAGTCACTGTAACAGAAACAGAGCTTTTAACCTTGGGATGCACACATCAAAAGGAAACTCCAGTTGAAATATACTGAAGTGAAAGCTCCAGCCAGACAAATATTATCGCTTTATCCCCATCATTCTGACCTTTCTCTCCAACGAAAGGTAGCGACCACGTAAACACGTCCATGAAGTTGGGAAGCCAATACGGATGTGGTGAACAATTAAATTGACGAATATTCATCACGTTATTTTCATACTTCAATACAGCAGCTTCAGATATAAAGACAAAAAAAAAATGAGTAAATTTCTCGTAATTTTAGCAAATTAAACTACAAGAAGTAATTCATATACTTTCTCACTTTGTATTTGTGAGTGAGAATGATGGTGGACAAGAGAGTAGTACTGGTATTTATCAAATATTACTGATTACACATCATCTTTGAATAAGAGAAGCCAATACTAAATTATTCACCTTTAAAACTTTAAGCGAACTAAGTACCAACCTTTATTATTGTAAACATCTAGGTAATTTGGTGCAGAAAATATTGTTATTAAAGATGGGAAACCAGTGGTCTGACTCTTTCGATACATTCGGTATCTAAAGGATTTCAGTGACCTTTTTAATAAACATTGCGCAAACAGAGAAATATGAAAATCATTCCATGAAATTACTGAGGATAACATATTTCCTCTCCTAAAGGGGGCATTTATTAACCTTTGTAGAAGGTTAAACTAAAGAGGAGGGTAAAAGAGGTTGATATTGAAATAAAATGCATTTTTCAATAAGAGAAGGGGAAGGGCATTAACTAAATGAATGCATCTATTGTCATTTAAAGTAACTGACTTGTGCCCATAAGGTGGAGATGTGTAAATGAGACTAGGGACATATTAGAAGAAATACAGTATTTTTATTAGTAATGATTATGACAACTTACCCAGCATCCTGTGCTTCATGTGCTCGTATCACTGATAGCAAGTTGTTGTTTTGTAAAAATTCACATATTGCATGGTAACTATGTTTGTATAAAAACAAAGTTTACTGAATGAATAAGTAAGAAAAAACAATTCAACTAAATGTGACAAAAAAATAACCAGCTAGTAAGAATAGTTTATAAAAAAGATCACTTACCTATAGAAGTAGGAACAGCCTCGCACACTATTGTGACTGTAGTTCTCATTTGTCTTTTCACTGCCAAAATCTTCCAAAGGATCAGACCAGAGTAGATCACACATTGGACCAAAAGCTGGTGGCTCCTTATAACGATCCAACTACACACAAGAAACAAATATCATTTTAAGCAATGAATCTGCACAACATAGAGCAAAGCTTTTTACAATGCTAGAATGCAAAAAATTGCCAAATTCTAAATTGTTTTGGATGAAACGAAAACATACTTTTCGAATATCATTGACCGTGTGAATCTCTGGTGAAAGTCCACCATGGACACATAGAAACTGTTGATTCATCAAAGCAGCAAGCGGCAAACAGTCAAATGATTCTGTACAAGCATCATAAACGTCTTCACCATATTTTATTTTACCTGAAATTTCAAGAACAAATTCACTGAGCTTCGATGGAATTTGAACAGAACAGAAAAGTTCTAAAAACTAAGGAAAGCAATCACAAAAACTACAAAAATTAATATATCAATTTCATAGTGCACAGAAAAGCTTTGTAGTTCATAGTTTATAAGTTGAAATTAAAACTCTCCAAACACAAACTAAGTTGAATTTGAGCAGGAAACATCTCCAATTTGATTAATCACTATGTTAACATAAGAAGCAATAGATACACACGTTTATCATTGAATTTGATAACTAATGCAAACATTTTCATCAAAAATATATTATATAGATAAGCAAGAAACAGATGGTTCTACATATTGTGGTGAAAATACTCATTAACTCGAGTGTTAATTGAAAACAACATAGAGTTATGGCCTTACTCTCATAATGTAGATAGAGAAGACAATTAAAAGCACATAAAACACAATAATAATGGAAAAAATACATGTCATTTTCTTTTAAGACCAACAGAGAGCATTAACTATACAATTAGAATCATCAGAGAATACAAAGTTATTTCACAATATTAAGCAAGAAATTATACACTAAGCATGCTTGCATACTTCAAATTAATACAAAGAATGACATAATTTACAACAAGTATTTCATTCATTGCTACAGACATAAAGACATCAGCTGTGACACAAGAAATCCGTTCATAAAATTTCAAAACTCCTTTGCCAAACAACCAATATTTATTTGCAAGCTGCTGGAAGATTTATTGTCATTTGTTTCTCATTTGCTAAAGCTTAATTCAGTGTCAAGAAAAATAGATTAAATTCATAGCTTTCATAAATTGATCAAATACTTAAAGTGAAAAATACAATACTGTAAATAATTTATGCTATATGCTGAAATTTTCTTTGTCAAGTATCAAATTTCATCTTGAACCTATCAACTTCAAGACTGACATAAATTCAAATGGATAAAATACGTAACTGAACTGACAATTTAAAGGTGATGTATGAACCCCAAGCCATCCAAAAGAAAACAAGTAACGTTAACACAACATTAAGTACTTGCTACTATTCATGAGGTATTGTCATTATAAATTACTTACATTCTGTTTTAAACGTGAAATATTCCGTCAAATGTCGACATTCATGATTTCCTCTCAGTAAAAACAGTGTATTAGGATATAAAATCTTCAATGTCCATAAGTAGAGTACGCACTGCAAGTTAAAGAGGATAATTCTTTGTTAACGTGGTCATGGACTATACAAGGAAGGACAGCTGAGCTCTGAACTATGCGCTGTATCAATCAAGATTTAAGACGAAAGTTTCCTTAATATTCTGACAATTTGAGAAAAATTCATCGATTCATGAATAAGTCAAAACACTAAAACGTAACGGTTGATCAAGGACGATATGTTAAAGAGTCGTATTCCATTTGTAGGGAATTTGAAAGATAAACAAAGCATACTTCGATTGAAAAATAACCACGGTCAACGTAGTCTCCAAGAAATAAATAACGTGTTGTTGAAGGAGAACCACCAACTTCAAAGAGCTTCATAAGATCGTAAAACTGTCCGTGAATATCGCCACAAACTAAACAAAACCAAACACAGATTAGTTTTTCAATCGTCTATACCAAAAGATTAAAGAGCAAACGACCAGGCTAACTTGAAAGGAAGAGTTTTTTCCTAATAAATTACTGACCTGTTATAGGTGCATCGACCTCCAATACATTCCTTTCTTTACGCAATACTACAGTAGCATCGCGAATGATGCGTAAGGCGACTTCTCCTTCGATCCGTCCTTCTTCAATAAAATGACTCTTTAACACGGCCTGTCTCGGTTTTCCGGTTTCATCAAACACCTCGGACATTGTAAGTTTGTGAGTTGGAGGCATCGGCACATCTGCAAATTTGTAATGCAACACATTCACACACATAAACACAACAGGAATCCATTTTGTAATAATAAACGCAGGGAAGCTGATAGGAAAACTAACTTTTAACGGAACGTTCTTTGCTTGATGCATCTCCATCTTGAGTTGCCATCATAAAACGTGACTTACGCTAATTAAAAAATGTACCCCTGATGGCAAGTCAATGGATAATTCAAGCGGGATGAAATGGATTTTCCTAACCCTCCCTTTCGTTATCGATGTCCATCCTTCGCCACACTGCGGAATGACCACAATCAGTTGAAAAATTAACAAACCGCGCATGCGTTACTGCATAAATTGAATCCGCAACATTCATATGGTAACGAGCTTTGCGACTTGGGCAATGGGCATTTTTTACAGAAACGGGTTGAATAAGGAAATATGTCAGCAGTATTTTCGTAACAAAACGATAAAAATACAAACAAAATATCAATAACATCATCACAGACAAAATGAGTGATATTCATACGTAAGAACATATCAGATAAAGAGATTATACGAGCTGTACAGTAAAAAAATTGAGGAAGTACAAGGAATTAAGTGGCGTCGCATGTATTTTTATAATCAGTTTCACATTATAGCTGATTCACATAATGAAAATCCATAAAAGAGAAGCCAAATACTGCTAAATGAGGAAGACACGATCATCTGACACCATAAGTTGATTAGCTTCCATCATGGAATTTAGTGCAGAGCGAATTTCACCACGAGAAAATTGGGTTGAGTCTTCATTCACGATAGAGTTGACGTCTTCAATCGATAGAGATTGTACGTGGGTAGCAGCAAATCCCTTTTGAAGCAACGTCTTAAAGCTATTCAAGCTATACGGTGGGGAAAGAAGATGTCTTATTTAAAAAACTGACATAAGTTTAAACATGGTTAAAAAGGTCAATAAAAATCTAACCGTTGCTCTGAAAGTGGTTCTTCGGTTCCTACTTCGACTGCCTCTTCCGTCGTTTCATCCATTCTATCCGAAGATTGTCGTTTTTTCTTCATTTCATCAACAACATCTGTAGATACAAATATGTAGATAAAAACTTGTGAAGTAGTAATGAAAATAACAAAAGAGTTATAAACAATATATTACCTGTAGGTTTCCTTAATCCATCATCATCATCTTCAAACTCATAAGGATCTATCTCTTCGCTATCCTTTCTCAAAGGCTTACGTCGACGCTTCGATTCACGCCTACATATATACACACATAGTTGACTAAGGGCTCTTCCACTCATCGCAAAATTCTCTCGCTGCAAGCTTGCGAGTCTATTCGCGCGATCAAAAAATTTTGTTCAATTAATTTAACTATGCTGCAAGTCATGGTAAGCTCGCTGCGAGTAACTCGCAGGCACTGGCAGCGAGCTTGCGAGTACGTTTTGCGATAAGTGAAAAAGAGCCTTAAATGTCCTATTTTTGTTTTCAACTGTTTCACTTCACTGTTGAACACTTTCCATATTTATTGTCTCATGCAGTTTGAAACTCGCCAACAGTAGTATCATTAATCAAAAAAATAACATTACGTGTGAGTTGTTTCTCCTCGAGAACCATTTTTTGGATCAAAATTCACGTCTTCTTCGTCGCTTTCTTCCTCACTGGCTTTGCGTTTTCGTTTGTCTTTTTTGGCAACCTAGAGAAAACAAGTATAATGTAATGAAGACAAATGAAAGCAATAAATTCGCGGCAACTGTGAAAGTTCAAAGCAACAGAATATTTTTACTCAATATTAAGTAAATCTTTTCTTTCAAGAGCAATGGTTAAGCCATTTAGGGGCTCATTTCATGAAGATGTTTGTGTCATTTCATAAAAGTGTCATTTCATTAATGTGTCATTTTTAAAGGTGTTCATTTCATTAGTATATCTTTCATTAAGTTGTTCATTTCATTAAGGTGTCATTTCATTAAGGTGTCATTTCATTAAGGTTTCATTTCATTAAGTTGTTCATTTCATTAAGGTTTCATTTCATTAAGGTGTCATTTCATTAAGGTTTCATTTCATTAAGTTGTTCATTTCATTAAAGTGTCATTTCATTAAGGTTTCATTTCATTGAGGTGTCTTTCAATGAGATGTCTTTCATTAAGGTGTCATTTCATCATTATGCCATCTCAAAACGTCATTTCATCGAATACTTACTTTGTGGAAATAGGCAAACGATACCATGTTGATGGCAGCATCAGCATCAACCTAAAAAAAAGAGAAACAAAAGCAAAAATAGCATAAGCCAAATAACATGACACTCCACTACAAATTACAGACACGCCAAGGAAAAGTGATGGCAATTTAGAACAATGCCCTTAACATTGCTATTTGACTATCTAACATGCTTGTGGAACACCTTAGACGTCCATATGTACCTCATCAATAGTTTTACTTAATCTTGCTTTAGCATGGGCAGTTGATAGTCGAATCATTGTTTCCAATGTACGGGCTGTGACGGGCATTGTCTGCAAATAAATTAAAACCAACTTCATCTAAGAATGATAAATCATCGAGTAGGGATTTTAGGTATTGTTCATACGTACGTTAAGATACTACGGTTCAAAGGTTACAGGTAAGGATAAAAGGGGAACCAACAGGGTATGTATGTACTGCATATTGCAAAGATGTAAATGCTTAAATCAACGTAAAATATAGCGCTAAGCATACATGGACGTACAGATGCAGGGGATCCACATTCAAATTTTGGTTCACTTAAAACTTCAATTTTATGTTCTTATTAGACGTTTTCACCTTTGCCTTTTCATTGCTAATAGTTTCCTGGTCGCGAAGTTCAGAATATTGATTGGCAATTTTATCTGCAGCGGCTTTGGTTAACGCAGGCTAAATGTACGTATAAAATTCCAGAAAATTACAAATGAAAGTGCAAAGTCTAAAAAAACAAACAATTTCTTATCGTACCTTTATAATTTTAGCGACATGAATGTATTTTCGCATGAATTCCAACGAAACTATTTTATCCCTGCTCGAAAAAGGAAAATGAAAAAATTCAGTAGGTATTGAAATATATAAACTGGTTTTCACTCGTATACTGACTTTCTTTCACTGCGATCGCCGTGTAAAAGTTTGTCGTGTTTTTCGTAAACATGAGTTTCTGTATCTCCGTCGACAATATCAGGGTCCTCAGTTGCTAAAGTATCACTAGCAACTCCAAATGGCAAAGCTATCATATGATGTAAGGATAAGTAATATACAAAAGAATATGGATTATAAATGTAAACATATGACACAATATCTCGACATTAACACACCTTCACCGTCTTGTTCCCCCGGTGCTCTGTATCGGTGCATGCGCAAAACATGTTCTGATATTTGACGATCGTTTTCTGGATCCATCTAAACAAAAAAATTCTTGCAATCACAAACATTATTCTAGTTTGTATTTCAGATAAAAACTGTTCTCTCTCCATTTTGTTTATTAAATCCTACCTGATCGAGAACAATAAAAAGCAAATCAAATCGAGACAAAAGTGAATCTTGCATGCCAATGTTATCCATGGGATTCTTAAACTGATCGTACTAATAAAAAAGGAAAAAGAAATCATCAAATGAAACAAACTAAAGTAGAAATCCCAAGGAAATTTTACCCGTCCCCAAACAGGATTAGCAGCAGCAAGAACGGAACATCTTGCATTCAGTTTAGCATGAATACCAGCTTTAGATATCGTCACTCTTCCTTGTTCCATGACTTCATGGATTGCTGTACGATCAATATCGCTCATCTGTATAAGACAAAAAAGTTTTTTATCTCTTCCATTACCTACCTTCACTTTAAAAGCAAATTTGACGAGTGTACCTTGTCAAATTCATCGATGCAGACAATCCCACGGTCTGCAAGGACCATTGCTCCAGCCTCCAATCTTTTATCGCCTGTTTCGGGATCAGTTGTCACGGCTGCTGTAAGGCCAACTCCGGAGGATCCTCGTCCAGTCGTCGGAATCGCTCTGGGAGCCGAATGTAACACATAACGTAGCATTTGAGACTTTGCAGTTGACGGGTCACCAATTAAGAGGATATTGATGTCGCTGAGAGAGATATAAGACACATTATAGTTTTTTATTTCGGTTCTTCATACATTACTGTTTGTCAAATTACACATTATATCAAATTTAATATCATCAACAGTGTATACGCTGTTCTCGTTCTCCGTTTTTCAGTACGTAATCACTATTTTCGGTAGTGTGTAAAGACAATTCTTTTTTCATCAAAATTATGTATCATTCCGAACAGACTTTTGGTATTAGTATGGACTAACGTTTCCAAATCCTTGGACATACGTTCGACATTCATCACTACATTACTAATACTAACAGTCCTTCTAGGACTACACTGACGTCGACAATCTACATCGATAAAATGAAACGATACTCTTAGGTTCAAACCATTCATTTTAGATAAAACACGTAGTGTTACGATTGTTCTTTTTCTTTCTTTATTTCCTCAAAAACCATAAATGCATATAGATATATTATCTTGGAATAGAAATTTTATGAATACCCTCTAAGTCTTGTTCCGTTTTCCAAAATTTTTTCAGTTCCACCAAGAAGAAGACACAACACGGCTTTCTTGATGTATTCATGTCCGTGTATGGAGGGAGCAAGAGAGTTAGCAAGCACGTTGAAAACATCGTTTTTATGTCGGCTTAGCCTTTTGATTTTGGATACGTCTCGAGCTGTGTAGATGGGAGCGACCTCCTTGCTCAAAACCTTAATGTTGTTTGCAATAACAATCGTTCTGAATGAACCAGATGTAAAGCCACCGCGTTTTGAGGGAAGACTACGAAACGTACCAACAACTTGTACGCGATCCCCAGGCTGAAGAAAAATAAACTGATATTGTTGATTTCATACATACATATTGAATCATTCTCAACAAGAGATACTATGTAGATTCAAAGGATTCTTGAACCTTGCAACTGTCCACTAAGTCATTATCGACTATAATGTCCACAGAGCGAGGCAGCTGACCAGCAGGAGCTTTTTCAGGCATTTCCTTTGAGAAAATTTCATTTATTTTTTATCTTTCCATTAACAAGAATCATTGAACAAAAAGATACTTGTATAATTACACATCTACCTGAATTGTGAATGTTTGATGATCTTTAAACTTGCAGAGACCATACTCCGTCTCCAATGGATTTCCATCATCATCCTAAAATGATTGATGTGAAAACATCATCAGTCAACTATTGAGCACTTAATCTAAAAAACATTAAATGAATTAAAAAATTAGAGTAAAGAAACTATTTGTTCTTTCCTTGGTAGGGTAGACTGTGCTGCTTGGAAATGCATTCAAAGATGTCAAATCGGTATAACGCCGTTCTAATGTCTTCTTTGTGCGAGGGCAATAGTGAACACTTCGCACAACTTTTGGCCATACAAGAGAGCCTATTTCAAACATCAAAGGAAGTTGAAATGATGTAAGAAGTGAGACAACTTAAAAGAATGTAACCAAGATGCAACCATACATACATTTTGTTACAATTCCTTCAACACAGATCATATTACCAAGAAATCCTGAGGTCAAAGACCGTGGTGTCACATGTCTAGCACCAAAGCTAAAAATTTTTTGTTGATTTTTTAACAAATACTTATAAAAAACATTTAACTTTTTAACATTATTACACAGAAAGGATAGTAATAACATCAAGTGAAGGCCTGAAGAAGTCTTTATCCTAAAATATTCATAATGAAGACACATATACAAAAAACTTTTCATCACACACACAATATACAAAGTATGTTTATTTTGATGAATAAAACTCCTATTCAATTTTTATGAACATGATAAATCCACTTGCTAATCTATTTAATAGTGTGGAGATGTAACAATTTCGAAATAACGGAGGGCTTGAAAGAAATCTTGGCAGAAAATACAATAAAGAATATTTTATGCACCTTCCTTCAAAGCCCACAAAGAATTCCTCAAATTTCTTGGAGTATGTGGCATCAATTGAACTGACAAATTCTTTAAGTGCATTCTATGAATACAAAATGAAGCATGGAGCCATACTTTCAAATTAAATTTCAAGTAAACCAATGTATGCATTCTCATTAAATAGTTGATTAGTAAGTAAAGAAAGAAAAAGTATTTGTTATAACATCAGCAACAAGAAGTTGATATTCAAAAATTTTTGTAATAAAAACATACTTGAAAAGCAATCAATTCTTCAAACGACTCTGCAAGAAGACTACATAAGAAGTAGCAATGCTAATTAGTATATTCTTGAACTGTGACCAAAGACAGAATGGAGTTTCTTACATATTTTTATCAAGAACTACAAACATTTGAGTCACAATAATCACGGCAGTAAGGTAAATTTTTCTTGGGAAGGGGTTAAATGGTACTTTCTGCCAACTACACTTACTTGCAACAAATGAAGACATAGTCTAGAAAATATTATTGGCCATTGCCCCCCTCGCCCGCACCTATGTCATTTATCCAACTAAATTTCACAACACCATTTGAAGAAGTTCAATTCAGAATTAATAACAGTAACCATTGTATTTTGCATGGTGAAATTGACAGACTAAAAATCAATAGACTAAAACAACCTTTTCGCTCTCTTCTCGTTCTTACGTCGAAGATCATTGATGTTGACAATAACTCGGCATTTTTCTTTCTTAATCATGTCACCTATCTTCCCATGGTAAACGCTCTGATCATCCTGACAATGATATTAGTATCTGATCAGCGCTGGGATTTAATATCGAGACACAGATTGTACGAAAATTGAAAGAAATTTTAACATTTTCATAGAGCTCACATCGTCATCAATGAAGTCAAGGTACTCTCGTTGAATCGTCCTCAAATATTGCTCAGAATCCAATGCCATTTCTTAAAGATCAGCGCAAAAATAATCGTGATTTTCTGTTACCTGTACGTTTACAACAACACTGTCCAACACGTGAACATTTCGCGCCAAAATGACATTCCGCGAAAATCAGTTGTTGCATTCTTAAGTTAAATTTCTAACAGTCAATCGGTTTAAGTTAAACACCATGAATGAAAAATTAATGTATTTGTCTATTTCTCTTGCTTTTTCTCATACAACGTTCAAACTAAGTCGTAGTTAAAAAATTGGACAAAATCAGACAAAATATTATGCGAAATATTATCTGGTATTATTATCGTAGGCCTGCGATAAGCAGTTAAATTTGTGTCAGCAGTTACGAAACCAGCTGTGACTGCAACACCGTACTCCTTACTCACTAAAATTTTATCTTGTCTTATACAATACGACTGACATTCTGGCGTTGCATCTCGTTGCATCAACCCCATCAACCACGACTGCTTTGGTTTCTCAGAAATTTGGTGAGATTGAGATTTTATATTTTTTTGTATTAATTTATAATTTTATCTTGTTTAAGATTTTGTATGCTTTAATGTTCACATTACTTTTCCCTTTTTGTGTTTCCTCTTCTCCTTGAGACTGTCTAACATGTTTTGTATAATTTAAGGAATAATAAAGAAATTGGAACACATGCTTTAATGGAAAGTAGATAATGTCTGAGCTTTCTTCAGAGAAAATATTTGGCATTGTCTTCATAGCATTTTTCTCTGTATTTACGTCATGTGCTGAAGTGAATCTTTTCAACAAAAATGTGAGTAAACAGAGTATAGATGCTGCTGGTGAAGAAAGAGAGGTTGTCAGAACTAAGGGAGATTTGATCTTGGGTGGCCTTTTCACCCTTCATAAAAGAAAGCCAAACGATGAGTGTAGCCATTTGCTATCAAACCCAAAGAACATTATGAGAGTTGAAGCAATGCTTCATGCCATTGATGAGGTAGCACAGACTGTATTGATTTTCCAAGAATATCAATAAGAAATAAGGTACCCGTTATGATGGACATGGTTTGCCAAGTTTATTAGCTTACAGTGAATGAAACATATTGTCCCTTATTATTCAGTAATCCCAATCCTATAAATCATCCTTAAATTACATTATCCTTAAAAAGATCTATTTATCTACAAATCAACTTGTTTCATTTTGTTGTTATATTCTAGATTATGCGCAATTACTCACTATTTAACCTTTCTTTTAGATCAATAATGACTCAACAATCCTTCCTCATGTGAAGCTTGGTGCCGAAATAAGAGATGATTGTTTTTCAGGCACAATAGCTTTGGAAGAAAGTTTGAACTTTGTATTAAATGCCTTTCGTCAATCAGAAAAGATTTGCAAAAATGCCATAAATCGAGCACCTCCAGTTATTGGCGTTATTGGTACTGTAGCAAGCCATACAACAATGGCTGTTGCAAGCATGTTAAGATTGTTTAAGGTACCCCAGATCAGTTATGGTGCAACAAGTCCTGATCTCAGTAATCGTGATGAATATACATACTTCATGAGGACATTACCATCTGATGTATGTCAAGCACAAGCATTATTTGACATAACTGTAAAACTTGGTTGGTCTGCTGTCTTTTTAATAAGCTCTCCACTTATCTATGGTAAAGGTCTTAGGAAAAAATTTTTGAAGCTTGCAAGAGAGCGGCATCTTTGCATTGTGGATGACATGGAGATGAGCACCAAAATCCAATTAAGGGAACAGCAAATTTCAAGTTTTCTTCAAAGGATAAATTTAAGACAGAGCGTCCGTGGAGTGGTTTTACTTACTGAGAGTATTTATACAAAAAAAATACTGGAGAAAGCTCGAGACTTGGCAATATCTCCAGGACGTTTTCGCTGGCTTGGAACTGACACTTGGGGAACTGGGCAGAATCTTCGTGGTATTGAAGAGATTGCTAATGGGGCTATCTCAATCTCTGTACACAACTCTACAGCTCGATCCCTTCAGAAATTCAATGATTATTTCTTGGCATTGAAACCCGCTGTGGAAAACGTCAGAAATCCATGGTTCAAGGAATTTTATCACGAGTATTTCAACTGCAGTAATTTTAGCGCATCCTGCAGTGGAAATGAACTGAATGTTTTCAATGATAACAAGATTCCGCATGTCATTGATGCAGTGTATGCATTTGCTTATAGTTTGGAGGCTATGTTAGGCACAACTAACCAATCACTGGAAGTAAATCGTCAGTTAGAGGAGCTCTCGGCAAAGGGGGTCGATTTTTTGGACTTTTTAATGAATGTTAGTTTTATCGGTAGGAGTGGACTTGTTTCTTTTGATGTCAATGGTGACGGGATACCACGTTATGACATCATGAGTTATAACGATAAAAAATACCAGAAGATTGCGATTTGGAAAAATGGCAATTTCATTTCGATAGACTTATGGTTTGAAAATCTAGCTGGTAATGAAAGGTACACTTCTTACTGTGGTGAAAAATGCAAGTTTGGACAAGGTATTGATTATTAACGTGCTTGTATTATTGGACCTGCATCTACTGAAACTGTTTTAACTCCACAAATCAGATTGAAAGGTTCTTTTTTGTCACTTATATGTTATGCGATTATCCTAATATAATTAGACTTCATTTTTTTTAAGGTCGACTTACAAGCCAAGACGCTCCTCCATGTTGTTGGAGCTGTTACAATTGTGCTTTGAATGAATATGTTAACTCCTCTTCACATTTGTGTCAGTCTTGTGATATTCACCAACGTCTCAACCGAAATAAGACAAGGTGTGTTACGTTGCTTGAGGTTGGACCAACGAAATGGGTTGTCATTCTTTTGACAACATGGGGGAGCATGGGTCTTCTTGCAACATTTTTTGTCGCCTTCACAATCTACAAATTTTATTCCACCCCAGTTATCATGGCATCAGGACGTGAACTCATGCTCGTGTTGCTTGCCGGTATAGCGTTATCCTTTGGTCTTGGATTCGTGTTATTGGGTGAGCCATCCAGACGTAATTGTGTATTTCAAAGATTTGGCTCGGGAGTTTTCTTAGCAATGTGTTATTCTGCCATATTTGTAAAGACCAACAGAGTTGCTCGTATATTTCGTGGAGATACGAGACCTGCTTTCATTTCGCCACGCTCCCAACTACTTATCACATCAATTCTGGTTTCTCTACAACTTGGGATTTGTATGATAGCGTCAGTTTTCGGGACCAGATCGGAAGTGACGGAGTTTTACGAACATGAACATTTTCATAAAATATGTCGAACTTCTGGAAAGGAATACGTTGTATCCATCAGCTATAACGTGTTTCTTTTGCTTCTATGTACCTTCTACGCTTTTTTGACTCGAAAATTACCCGCCAACTTCAACGAAGCAAGACTGGTAGGAATAACAGTGTACACCACATGTGTTCAATGGATATGTTTTTTCCCATTGTTCTATGGTACACTGCCTGTGTACCATACCTCCGTTCTTCTTCTAAATTCATGCATTAATGCGACCGTTTTACTTTTGGGAATGTTTGCACCAAAGGTTTACCTAGTGTGGTTTCAACAAGAAAAAAATACCCGCGAGGGATCAAATCCCCGCGAGAGAGAGACAAATAAGACGTCTTCAGAATTGAACGATTGCTCTCAGTCTGTTCATGGTATGGATAGACTGGTGCAGTCTTAATGACTGAATAAATTATTGTTGGTTTTATCACATAATATAATGTGAAATGATATTAAAAATGTCGATTTAGAAATGTCATAGCTCTTACGCAGTACTATAAATTATTGTAGTTGAAGTTATTTTAGTGGAAAGTATTGTTGTAGAAAAGTTACCTAAGTAGAGTTTGCTTTAAAACTTAAGATGTTTGTGTAATTTAACAACGTAATGTTGAGAAACACAACTGAGATGTAAGACGAGGGAAAACGATTAAATTACCGTAGAAACGTTATGTTTGTCATTAAAAATTCATTATACTCCAATAGCAAGTACATGAAGGAGTATTGACAGTCGGTATTCTTTAATGTGCAATCGGGTGGTGTATATTCAATAGCTGGCTGTTTTAACAATCTCATTGTTCTGATTGGTAAGAAAATGCCATGAACTAATTGCCATTATGTTATTTGCGTGTGTAATGAGATATGTCAAACACACAAAAAATGCTTCCACAAAGTTGTTAGCTTCCTCTATTGTATTTTTTCAATGTGATAGTTTAGCTAACATGTGATATCCTCATCGTACAAGATACTTTATTTCTTGATGTTTATCTTCGTTGAACTTATTCACGAATGTCTCATGGAAAGACAAGGACATTCTATTTACCTTCGATCTTCATCTACGAAACGATGGATTCGATATTGCTGAAGTTGAGAGTTTTTGATAAGAGTATAAGCTAGATGCCAACGGTTGAAAGCTTTCCTTGAAACCCGCGGGTAAGGGTACACTCCTTAAATGATGTAGTTCAAAGATATGTGTAATGTAAGAAGAAAGAGCTGTTATTATTAAAGGGGCTGAATCTTGAAAAAACTTTACACTGAAAATATATGTACTTACTTTTGTTGACGATCACATTTTGTTTATGTACAAGATCCAGCAAAATTTGTGAAAAGACAATCCGTACGGGATTTCTATGTATTGCAATCACATGAAGGTAGCCGACATAAGAAGCATAACCATGATCAACGTTATGGAATCCCTGGATCATAAGATTGCGATCCGTCCGCGAAAGAAAAAATAATCCAAGAAATATGCTTAATATTGTGCGACCCACAACGGCTGGGAAACCAACAATGATTGTGTGGAAGTAAAAGAAGAATATTGAAGTATTGTAAACTTTTCTATAAAAAATACAGAATCTTGTTTGTCCTTTAAATGCACGATGAGTTACTTTTTATACCCTTTACAAACTCGTAAAGTTTCATATAAAATGTTTAACATGTACCTGTTGTCTATGGTGATGACATTGTCGGGATAGCTGAAGTTTCGAAACACAAACTTTACAAGCAATTCGATAAAAAACCAAATCGCGATATAGTAGATGCTACAGGGCCTACAATAAATATAATTATTATAATAGATTGATTTAACCTTCATCACTATCTACACTATACTATGCTTTTCTACTATATATTGTTTATTTAATTCCCTTCAAATCTTTCTTAATGCATGCATCCTTTATTCAATGCTTTATTTAATTACACACTTACAAAAGAACAAAAATCATGTCTTGTCTTGCTCTCTCTATTCTTTCCGGGGTAAATATTTCTTCCCAAAAATGTACCAAAGTTGTGATTGTGCACGAAATTATAATGAATAAAGAACTGACGGTTATGTTTCCTACGATGGTTAAGAAAAACAGATGTTGTGATATACAGAGATGTGATATCATTTTTGAAAGAAAATGTTATCTTTTCTGAAGTTTATAATTTATAAGATATATGTTATTAATTATGAGATCATTTACCCCAGCAAGCAGCTGCAACTTGATTACCACAGAATCGCAAGCTTCTACCCTATAAATTAAAAAGAAATATGTTGGTCTTTCAAAAACCATATCTTCGATTCGACCATGCTCATTTAAAGGTGAAATAAAATTTTACCACGATACGCGAAGGTCGTCCAAGATTTTCAGGAAGGAATGTTTTGTCACCTTTGAACATACGTAAAATGTTTCGTCTGAAATATAAAAAAGGCAACAACTATAAGTTTCGAAATCATTTCAATGGTCTGTTATAGCGTTTTGTACTGTCTCGAGTAAAAATATGAAATCATGACGCTTAAATACATTCTAAATAGGAATAGAATGTGAAATCACCAAATAGATTCTGATCATCGGTAATTCACGATAATCAATGCTCACAAAATGAGATAGAGTTAAAAAGGATGAAACAGCTAATGTTTGTAAATCTCTCATGTACGAGAAAATTTTTTTGCCGATAACATTTGAATTATTGCCAATTGGATAGTTTTTGTTTATTAATGGGTGTATAATCAGATTATTAAATAATCAATAATGCCATTATCACCAATCAGACGAATTATTATCGACTATCCGTTATTATATGTGCTATGAAATTTCACACCCGTACGTTTTTCAAATTTCATTCTCACCGATGACAAAGCATGGAATCAATCAACATTCCACTTGTGAAGAATGCTGCTACACAAACCGATGTGATTGTAGGCGCTATATGAAAGAATCAACGAGAAAAACCAATAAAACCAATATAAGGTATAATTCGACATCATGAACGTCACTCGCGAAAATCATGCGTTTATCTATTGTTGCAAAACTCACTTTTTATTACAACGTCGAAAGGATTTGACTGGAATAATTCCACAGAACAGATTTCACGAACAATGACGACCGAGGTCTATAAGATGAGATAAGAACGATGAAGATTTTTACAGAAAAAGGTTTACTCACTATAGTAAAATTTGTCGTTGCAGCACATATATATAACAACAATACACTCACATAAAAAACGGCGAGAAAGGAAACTAAAAACGTGGAAATCGTCAAACTGGAAAATTTAAAATCTGAATAGAAAAGAAACTCGTGGTTAAAAATCCTCAGACGTAAGTTTGTTCACATATTTGTTGGATCATAAAGGTAAGCACTGTGACAAACCTACAATTTCAAATAATAATTGTAACGTATAACAACAGCTAATCAATATAAGCAGAATGTTGAACTTACTACAGTCGCCATATAGAATTGAGACAATACCATAAATATTTTTACTTTCTATTCGTGATCTAATAACAGATGATAAACGCAAGTGCTAAGCGATGTTTTTTTTACATACTGTGTGTTTGTAGAGTGTTTTGTTTTACGGCAGAGGCACGTTTCAGACTTCACTTAACATGCGAATGTCTGGAGAGAGGGGATGCGATGCTGGAGCAAATGAACTGACTTTTTGTTTTGCAATATCTTTTAGAGCACTTCAATAAAAAATAATTTTGACAAAACCTTTTTCGCGGGTGGAAAATAAAATAAACATAACGTAAAGTTGATTCTTCCACAATTTTGTATTGACTCGTCTAAAACAGAAGTAAGATAATGAAGATAATGGAAGAGCTATAAAAGAATTGAAGTAACATTACTACACCTTCAAATGACTACGAAAAACACGGTGCCATGTGTGATAGCCAACTAAAAACGCAAATCTGGCGAACAGAAATGCATTGAAAACAATAACAGGAAGTTCTAAGACAAACTTGAAATATTCCTGTTCATTCGTCTGTGAAAAAAAAAACTCCATTAATTGAAGTGAACTTTTGATTTGCTAGTGTGCCTTGCAAGTCTTTCTTATATGACTTTCTTTTTACAGGACTTACTAATGATTTGGAGTAAATCCAGCATTGAAATGCACCCACAGCCAAGATAATATATCTATAGAGAAGAATGAAAAAGATTTTTTATATGAGAAAAGAACATGAGGTTGACTTGTTTTAGCTTAAGATTACTACTAAGACAACCAAAAAGGTAAGTTGCTTAGCTTTGATTTCAGAATGATTATTTCCTATTAGTTGTTCGTGTATATTTTTTCAAAATAAATGAAGCATTCGCACATGCATTAAAAAGAAAACGACAGTCGTAAACCAACAGATTTTAACACAACGTGCAAAATCAAAAATCGAAGTGTCATATCTATAAGTTTGATATACATCAAAAATTTTTACCATCAAAAATTTTTACCTGTAAGATACATATAAAAAACCAAGAATGGATGCAATCAAACAATGTTCAGACATCAAACATGCCAAGTATGGATAGTAAACGACGAAATACGTGACCACCGTGATGATAAGATTAAGCAGAGCTAAAAAATCAATTTCATTGAACTGATGAATAAAACAAAATTTTTTTCTTCTTGCACCTATATACATGTTCGTACACCACCTTTAAAAGGCCCCAAATAAAATATGTTTCATAAGACGTGACTTACATTTGTAAAATCATCAAGTGAGTGTACTATTACCTTTATACTAAACTTGTCAACAATGAAATCAACATTGTACACTAAGATAGGCATAGCTAATTGGTTTGGGAAAACAACCGTACTAATTGATAGCAGAAACGGCAAAAGACCTAACGTTAAAATAACATTGTTAATTAGTCTAAGCCAACAGATGACTTGAGCACTAAAACATACCAGAAATATTGTGTAAACGCTCGTCGTCAATTTGAATGAAGTGAAACTTGTGACCAAGTAAAAGACCGCTTATAGTAGACATCATTGTAGCAAAAGCAATCGCTACAGACCATCTGTTTCGAAGTTGGCCATCGAGAATATTTAAGGGTCTAGAAAACAGAGACTTAATTTTACTTTTAGGTTTATATAGTTTGATTGTAAAATACAGCTAGTGTTTAAATTTTTTTGTAGTTCAACTTACGCAACCAATGATAGTCGTGTGTTTGATGATTTTTGTCGTAAAAACGATAAAACCAATGTAATAAAAACCTAAAAGAAAGTGTTTAAGTTGCGTTGTTAATTCTAGTTTATATTTGTTTAAAAATTGGTCATTTTTACGTTTTTATAGCTCCAGACCTAGACAAATGTGGATTTTTCTGTATTGTTTGGAAAATTTTCCAAATTTGTATATGACATCGTATTGACAATATGAATGAAGTACGAACACGAGCTGACAGGAGAAATATTGCTGCAGTTGGTATAACAAATGAGAGAATAAAACAAAAAAAAGTCAATGAGTATAACAGTTAGGAGCAGAAGAAGAATTACAACAAAAGTAATGAGAGAAGATTTATAAAAATAGAAAGAAAAAGAAGAAGGGAGATAGGATAAAAGAAAACGATAGAAAAGGAAAGGATAAAAGAAACAAAGGACTACTTTATCTCATAAGGAATAACGTTTTATTTCATCTGCATTGATAAAAAAAATATTTTGACATTCATACATTGTAATATTTGATCTTGAATGGTGCTGTGGTGCACAAGGTGTATATCAAAAGTCTATCGACTGTCAAAGGTTATATCACAAATTTTTTTATACAAATAACTTAACGAATAACAGTGCGCGTCTTCAGAAATGATTGAAATGTTTTAAAAACACACAAGAAGCACATTTACATTTACTAGCAAATTTAGCGAAGAAAAAAAAAGTTCAAGATTTGAGCAATGATCGAACAATCTAGCAAATTTGTGTTCTGACTTACTGATATTAATGTACATGATATCGCATCGAAAAATCTCAGGAAGTTAAATTCTTCGCATCCTTCCAAGCTGAAAGGCAAATAAAATGGTGCAGCTCCATGAGTCCACATTTCACGATTTGTTTCTACTTTAGAAAGCTTAAGTTTTATCGTGTAAATGTCGTTTTAACAAATTGCCACATGGTAATATTGCATTGAAACATGAGAAATGCAAATAGATAATGCAAGTGCTCAAAACACCGAATCCTTACCTCAATTGTAGAAAGTGGGAAAACTCTCGGCGTTGGTGCATCCTGATGACTCTAGAGTTTATATAGTATATAGATGTAGAAGGAACATTTGTACTGGTTATGTAACTTTACCAAAGATATTTTTGATAAATGTTGATTTGCGTTCACTAAATATTATATTTACGTAAGAAAATGTTGCAATCTCAATATAAGAGAAAGAATTTCAGTAGTTTTTATATCATTACAAGGCAAAAAAAAATTACGCAACATTTTTAAATAATGCACTCAGTCATTTATCTATCTTTTCATTGCCATGAAAATTTCACTAAAATAACATTTCTTGCATGTGTCATTACACGTGGTGCTCCATGACTCCATGTCCGTGAGAGTGCCGTACCTGTATCGAGTAATGATATCTTTAGGGCATTTTACACATCAAGGAAATTCACTGCCACATAATGAAACGTCCGTCACTAGGAGACAATATTGTGAACGCCTAGTCGCAGGCACTTTACCATACCTGATACTGACCTTTATGTTTGTGGTTAGTGACAGCGAACATTCTATACATCTTAAATAGTAGAAATGTAAAGAAGCCGAAAGCATATAAGCATAAAAAGGTATACATTCCATAAAGTTAAAGTTGTATTTCTAGCCTTTTTTGAGTAGTTCAACTGTGTTTCAAATGACACAGAAACCTATGATATTTTAGTAAACATTCAAACTGTATTAAGGCGTTTTTAAAATGTCGAACAAATGTAAAATGTTTGAAATCAAACTGTGCTTTTTCAACACGCCTTGTGAAATAAGTAAATCGAATAGTTTTCTAGACTTGTTTTGTTCAAATCGTTAGAGCTAGTTTATTCATCGTTATGTTATGTAAATTTATTGTCAAAGTAACATGATATATAATTTGCTGTCATTGCGTTGTTTGAATATACTGTTTTTTTTTATGGCATCATTTTTGTGAAATATAGTTGCTATTTATCATGTTCAGAAGTGTTATTCTAGTTGGAGATTAGTGAAAAGTTTGGTATAGGCAAATTTATAAACAAACATTTCAGAATGAATTTGTGCATATCGCACGTCTTAACGATATATCCTCCTGGAGATTTTAAGGCGTGATTAACTCGTGGCGTTATTTTCAGCTTCCATTGACGTACGTCATCAGAGCGTGTTATTATATGCAAACAAAATGCATACTTTGAATAAATTCTTTTGTAAATAAAACATAGATGTTGAAATTACACTTTGCGCTTATAATATCTTCGTAAGTTTTCTGTATAAAGTAGATGTTTATAAACTGTCCAACGTTTTGGTGGAATTTTCGAAAATTACATTTTACACAATTGTTAGATAAGTTGAAGCGCCGTGAATAAGTGTCTGTCGGATAAAAGAAGATGAGAAGACGCGAATCAAATCATAATGGCATTGTTATACAAATTTTACTTATTCTCAGCATAGTCGTTGGTCTGACAATGACTTCTCTTGGAGCTGTATTTCGTGTATACGTATGTCATTGGGTGGCAAAAGTTCTCTTTGCCTGTTGGATAGGAGTTTTTGTAAGTGTCGAAGGTGTTTATTTTCCTTTTATAATAATATTTCAAATATATAGTTTCTGTGTTGCTCGTCATCAACTCCATAAAACAGATTTAGTTTCGTAAATACAAAATATCAAAAAGGGAAAGAGACATTTATCGTTATAAAGTAAATGGTTTGAACCCCGGAGTATCGTTATATGTTTGTAAATGATGATCGTCCAGGTTAATAAAGTCCTGAGAAGGACTGTTTTTGTTGTTGACTGACGTTTCGACAACCTTAGCGGTAGTCATCTTTTGACTCTAACATTTATCGTTATTACCACCTAAACTACGCACGTATGTATGTGTTTCAATTATTAAATTCAAGTTGACAATTTATTGATAGGGAATTATATTATAAATAATTTAGCATGTTATAGTTACTCAAAAATACTGACGTATGTATTTCTATAAAAAAATTAGAAAGAGGTTGTTTTAATTCTATGTGATATGATGTCGTTAAATATGCCAATCGAAATGAAATATTGATGATAAAATATTGAGTAGTATGATAATGTCATTGTAATGTAAGGTAGTTTTCTGACTTTACTATACTTTCTAGTTCCCAGGTTATTTATTTTGTCGTTAGATAAAATTGATACTTTTTACATTTATAATGCTATAATCTTTAAAGTTGAGTACTGTAGTTGTCTTTTTTAAAGTCCAAAATTTTACTTTTCTTTATTTTCAATTTAGGTCGTTGCCACAGCAGCTATTGGTCTGTGTACTCGTATCTCTCAAGAATATGGTCCGCGTTATGGCCCGGTGAGTTGATTTTTTTTCCAAAATACTCTCTGTTTCACTTAATAAGGTTTTTAACAAATTTTCAGTGCTTAAATCATCTTGTATTTGACGTTCATTTCATTGTGAAGCTTTATATTGAGCAATGGTCTTATCATCGTTCTGATCATCGAATTTGTGATTTTATCGTTTGAAATAACAATGATGAATTTGAATTTATTGCTAGAAATACCATTAATTTGGTTTTGTTTTATAGGTCTTATATTTTACGTTTTCTGTCGTCAATTTTATTCTGTGTTTTGTGATGGTCGCCTGCCTTTGTTTCTCGATGAAAGATTTTGACCGCGATAAGTGGTTTAGACCTGGAGCACCATTTCTTGTTGTCGACCCAGATCATTGTGTCGTAGAACGTTATTCATACGAGTATGATATAATTTTCTTTCTATTTATTTCTTGGCACTTTACATCACTTGTCCTTTATTCATCTCTACCTACGTTGACGCACGGTAGATTTTAGAAAGTGTATAGACTGTTCTTGTTGTCTATTGATCATTCATCACTACCCAAACTGACACACGTTATCTTAGTTTATATTTTAAATAGTGTAAAGACTGTTCTCGTTCTCTGTTGTTCTTTCATCACTACCTACACTGACACACGTTATCTTAGTTTATATTTTAGTTAGTGTAAAGACTGTTCTCATTTTCTGTTGTTCATTCATCACTGCCAACACTGACACACGTTATCTTAGTTTATATTTTAGATAGTGTAAAGACTGTTCTCATTGTATGTTGTTCATTCATCACTACCTATACTGACACAGTCACTTTCAGAGTCTGAAGATGACTACCGCTAAGGTTGTCGAAACGTCAGTCAACAACAACAAAAACAGTCCTTCTCAGGACTATACCAACGTGGACGATCGACATTTACAAACATGTAACGATACTCCTGGGTTCAAACCATTTACTTTATTTTAAATAGTGTTATTTATTTTAGAAGCTTCAGTTTTTAGGTAGCGAGTATAAAGACTTTTTTGTTTTCTATCACTCATTTATACTCATACTGAAATAAATTATCGCTTTTAGTTATTACTACACAAAAGTAATTCAGAAACATGGTCGAATGGGCCTGCGATACGGATCAGTTTTGATTGCTATAGGCTGCCTCGAAATGTGCCTCACGTTGTTAAAGTGTCTGTTTATCGGTCAATTGAGAGGCTACTTTGGTGCTACGGATAAGCAACGTCGAGAAATGATGCATCTAGAAGGAAGAAAAGGAAATGCTCAAGCCGTTTAGCTTAGTCATTGACCGGCTTGCATTTTGGCTGTAGATGATTTCTTTCTTGGATTGTGATATTTTACTGTTCTTTTCTATCTTTGTATAATAATGTTCGCAGAATAAATAGATTGATGAAGTTTTTTCTCTGCACGTAAGATATTTAAAACGTGCTCACAAAAAGTTAAACATTTTCATTATCTTGTGGGTGGTCAAAAGTTGCGTTCAATTTGCAAATTGTCGTTATCTCGTCAGTTTGTATTTGTTGAAGTATATATGAACAATCATCTACATGTTTTATTTGAAATTGTATTAATAGCGTACTTAAAACTTATTATGTTAAGAATAAATATAACCACGCATTTTCATTTCTCAAAATTAGTACGATCTTGATGTTTCATGAAACCATTTTTTCGGTCAGCCCTTTCACGAAACCATTTTTTAGATTGCGTTTTATGTTGGAAACGACTGCTGTGTATAGAGTCGTTATCACTATTCGTGTTTATAGCATGTAGCTATTATGTCGTTTGTATTTGAAAATGTCTATTGACAGAAATTCACCAATTGCCAATAATACTTGAAACACTGCTCTGATAGATGGCCCGATCCAAACACTTGACAATGTTGCTCGAGTTGACAAAACCGTAAAAATCACTCACCTTCGGCCTGTGTTTCGTGACATCCCTCGACATCCCTCGTGTCTGGATCAGGTCATCCAAAACGAAAATTGTCTCATCACTAGATCACGAGTGTGCGCCTGAGCAGGCGTCTTGTTTGTATTTGAATCCAATGATTCAAAGGCGACCATGTGTGCGATCGTACCATTGAGTTCTATAAGACCTTATAAGGTCTTATAGAACTCAAAAGCGTACCTATTTTTTAATACATGCTTATTAGTTCTTAGTTCCCTTATGTGCAACCCAGCCAGCCAGTGCGGCCATTAATCAAGGAGAATCATTAGGAAACATTTCGTTTCAAAATGGCGGAGTTAAAAGAGTTGTCAGCGAACTTAATGAATTATAGAGCCCAACTTCAACAGGTTAGAAAGGCAGTATGGTGACAAAAAGTAATAAAAAAATTGCGTTAAATACTGAAATTCTTTTTTATCCCATATTTTATGTAGCAACTGTAGTATGATTAGAAATTATCTTGTCTCTTACTAGCTACACTGAAGCCATTTATGGCTTTCAATATTTTGTTTTTAGTACATTTGTTTGTGTTTTAGGTGGATGCGGCATTAACAACAGAACCTGACAACGAAGAACTATTGAAGCTCAAAACTGATCTTGAGGTACTGCCTAACATCTTAAGCTTCATAAGTTCAAATGAAATCAAATCAAATTTCATGACCTTATGTATATTGCAAAAAGTTGTTAAAGCCATCGAAATTAAAACTTGTTTTTTATAGGAGGTTATTGCTCTGACATCAGACTTGGTGAATCTCAACCAGGTATGTAGCAAAATCCTAATATGCTAGGGTAAATTGTTTGGAAACCATTGTTTTTAGATAGTTTTATCGGTAATCAGAGGTGAAAAAAGAACATCAATAGGCTATGAAACCCATTTGACAAAAGTGAATTTTGATGTTTGATGTTTCTTTTTTACATAAAGACCAAATAGCAGATGTAGCAAATTCCCGAATTCTTTCAGGAACCTAGCTTGTTATCAAGGGCAAGACTCAAGTCTTAGCACTCTTGCATCATTATTAGATGCACAACTCAATGACTTAACTGATGTTTACACATGTTTAGTGGGACAATTTGATTTTTAGAGTTATTTCTGCAGTATTTAATGGAATGCAAAATCTTTCAACTTTTTAACTTCATCATGATCTACAGGAGATCATGATGATTTGTGTTACAAAACTGAATGAAGCCTATTATACTTTCAGGGAACTGGAAATAATCGCAATGATGTGAAAAAGGCAAAAGACACATCTACTGTGTCTCAGGCTATGTCGTTTAAACAAACTACATCTGTTTGGAAGGAAGGAGATGTATGTCAAGCCATATCTAGTGAGGATGGATGGTAAGATGTAAATCTATATCTTTAACTAATGCAGTAAATTGTTTAGTGAAGATCTATGAGCATAAAGCAGCAACATTGCTCTTAGTTGACATGTGTTTCATCATCTCTTGCTCAAGTCTTTTGAGGCATTGAAAAGAGAACTGTAGCTTAGTGTTGATGGCTTTCATTATTTATTATCATTAAATTTTATAATGTTGTTTTGACCTTTTGAACATTGTTTGCTTTCACCTAGTTATTATGATGCAACCATAGACAGGATTTCAGAAGATGGAGCAACTTGCACTGTGACTCTTGAGCCATTTGGAAATACAGAAATTATAAAGGTGTCAGTTTGTATACATAGCATGATACGACTCTTATGTGAAACTGTAACTTCGTGCAATCTTTAGGTTTCATCATTAAAAAAACCAGGCGAGGCAGGAGTTAAGATTGCAGCAGCTGTTGATTATCAAACAAAAGGGGAAGGAAAACAAAACAAAGAGTTGACAAGGTAAAGTTTTTAGTCTTCCTAAAGTCAATTTCTCCCAGTTGACATTAAGGCTAACTTTTCCCATTCCTAAGCCTTGTCAATTCTTTCAAATACATCTTGGTTTCACTTTAGGGGAGAACGCGAGAAACTAAGAGAACTCAAAAAGAAAAAGGCACTTAAGAAGAAACAGAAGCGCAAGGTAAATATGTAGTCCAAAATATTGATGTTTATTTTATGACATTTCTAATGCGTATGTCTTGTTGCTTTTAGGAACTTAATGAAGCCCGTGAAAAAGAGAAAAGCAAATGGTTGGATTTTTTCAATGGACCAAAGGTATAGAAGTTATGCAAGAATTACTATCACTGTAGATATTTTCTCATCATTTGACCACAGTATTGGAATTTGTAGATTGATCGTACATTTCATATTTTTGTAGTCTGGAGGCAAGAAGAAAGGAATTACAAAGAAAAGTATATTTGCTTCACCTGAAACTGTTGAGGGAAAGGTGACCATGATTGTCAACAATATTATTATTCATGATTATAGTTGATGCCTCTTGTTTCAATTTCAAAACTGATGACTCCATCATTATAGGTACGATTTCCTTAATGCCAGTCTTTTTATGACTTTTAACATCTTTGATTATTAAGGTTGGAATAGGCACTTGTGGCATTGGTGGTCAACCTATGACAAGCTTTACACAACCAGATAAACTTGTTTACAGAAGGTGATATGAAGCCAACCAGCTGCAGGCAGTTTTTATTGTCTCAAAATGTAAGTATTAAAGCATAAGATAATGTAATTATATGACACTGACAGCCAATTTTACTTTCCATAATGAAGAGGTATACTGTAGAAAGTAATTTGTCAATTAAAGTTTTTGCTATCAAAAGAATTTCCCAAATTCACTGCTATGAAGTTGGGAATGCAAAATGAACAAGAGTGCAAATACAATTCGTCTGTAAAGAGCGATCAGTTTGATCAATAAACATAGTTTCATCAACTTGCCAATATTTTTAAACATGTTTTTGGCCATGGAACTGGAAGTCAAGGACATAGAAACCTTGGGAAGTCCTACAAACCTAACTCTAATGTAATGATGCATTTATCATAAATGGGTGTTTGATTAAATTTATTAAAAAACGCAGAAATGAGCGGAAACTAGAACATGTTTTTTTAATTTATTGAACTTGCAACTATCTCAATACAATTTAATGAAGGCCAAAGAAAAATAGAATAATGTTGTAAAATTGAAATATTTTCAACATTTATATATAAAGTGTATTCAAGTGGTAATGATTGGTGCATGTTTAGTTGGTTGGTAACATTGAGCTTATGAGTTTAATGCAGTAAAGCTTTTTTATTAAAGAATTGGAAGACTTTAGTGATAGCATGCATGTATTTTTTTCTAATATTAAGTCTCTTTCTTTGAGCGGGGTAAATGACATGCACAACAGTTGGTGGAGTTTTTTTTAGGTTCTTCTTGAATTGGTACATGCACTCCTGACAGTGTGGTCAGTAATGATTCCTCTGTTTGCAGTATCTACGTGAAAAAATACTTTGGTCAGATTTTGTAATTCCATTACTTGTGCATGAAATCATAGACTCACCTTAGATATCAAAACTTTGATGGCCTCATCAATTCCTACATTGTCTTTTGCTGATGTCTCATGGCAGCTGACAAAGCCAAGATCATGACACAACTTTTCAATTTTTCCTTTCTTGATAATACTGCTTTGATCGCACTGTGATATGCAAATACATGTTTTGATTTTTTCCCATCTTTCTTAGCATAAGAAAAGTTTGCCTTCATCTAATTGAAAAGCTATGGACTAACCTTGTTACATAATAAGATTGCGGGAATTGGTTCACCTGTTGGTAGGAGTAATTTACTATCAAGGTCTTCTTTCCACTTTTCAACACCTTCAAATGTTGCTGCTCTTGACACATCAAATACCACAAAGGCACCAACTGCTCCACGATAATACACCTAAAACGTTTTTACAAAAATGTTTTACATGAGTAAATTAACCTTACTTTACAATCAAGGATCATGAATTGCTTTAAATTAAAATGAGTTATCAAGACTGCCATACCCTTGTCATACATGAAAATCTTTCTTGTCCTTCAATCAAAACAACAATAAAATATCAGTTGGCTACACCAGGTTAATTAAGTCCCAAATTAAAAGTATTTACTATTTTGGACAACAGTTTTTAGCTTTAAATACATGGGATAAAAGCTGGCTAGGTAATATTTGTCAGCTGCTCTTGTTCAAAACATGAGCGATGGGAAATTACATTTAACATTGTGGAACTCAATCGGAAATTTGAAATGATAATATTTGTTGGAAGTTGAAATACCAGCAATATCCCAAAGCTGTAATTTTATCCGAAGATTTTCATCCCAGTCCAAGTCCTTTATAGCAAAGTCACTTCCAATCTGCAAGTTCGTTAGGGATGATGCAAAAGTATCAATTACATTTTTATTCATTATTGCGTCAAGGATACAGTCGCTTTGTAGTTTATGAAGAATTTCTGACTGACATATTGTCGTATAAAACTAGTCTTTCCAGTTCCAACGTCCCCAAGAACGAGGATTTTGAAAGTCTTTTCCTTTTTCTGGTGCACTGATAAGTTCTGAAAAATTTGTTCCTCATAGTTCAGTATTCGCGCGTAATTTAATAAAGCTTTAAAAATTTACATAAGTAAATAATATCTTCACCACACGAAGAAATGGAATCCAGTAAATCACTTACCATTTTAAACACTAACTGTTGTGTGACAAAGGACAATTACACATATATTAATAAATACGACTGCGTTGTACGTGTTGTTTGTCAAAATTTGACAAGTTTAAAGTCCGGACATTCGCTTTTCCCCGACTATGAACGAGAACTGTTAACGAAATTTCATTTTATGAACTACGTGCTGATGTCTTGACATCGATTACAATACAAGTCTATATTGTTAGTTATAGATCAGCTGCGCTGCTACGTAAAGACGTGTTTATTTACGATATCAATTATTTTGTCAACAAAGCCATGTGACTTTCTCATGACGAAAGTGAATAGTGACGATAGTTTATGTAACGTAGTATATGGTAATAGTTTACGATATTATAATATAATATTATTTCATCAGTACAGTTACTGATCTTCTGTCAAAACACTTCAAAACTAGTTAAATATGTTTGTAGATGACAAAGGCATACTTTCTGTATTTTGTTTAAAAATTCTTATCACTGATCTCAACAGTTGCTCAGAACTCAAAAAGTATTACATTGGGTATATATGATGGGCAAATGGTGTAAATACATAATTTTATGTAAAGACTAACATTAACCAAATATACCAATCCAGGGACTATGCAAGTGTTATTGAAAACATCAATATTCCACTAAAGTACAGGGTCCGGGTTGATACTTTAAAGTATTTGGTATGGGCACGGACAGTATTACTATCGCCTACCACTATTTACTATTATTATGGAATTATGAATAAGCTGAAAAGTTGAGGGTAAATACAGTGAAAGTAAAATCATGATAAATATATATAATAATATAAATTTCATTTAATATCAAAAATTGTGTTTACATATTGCATAATTGAGAATCCTTATTTAGGGTAAAGTAAAACCACAAATTTGTCAATTAAATGAACATTGAATTGGGTGATATTGGAAGAGACATTTTGTTTGTACTTTACATAAGATTAATAATATTGATTCATTATTACACATGTATGTAGGTTTATAACTGATCTAATAAATCATGAGCAACAGCCAGTGTTTTGTCGTCTTTGTGCGTAGTTTTGAGAGCTTTGCCCTGGCCGTATAACGCCATTACTACTGGGCATATCATCACTCTGTACAAATACATTTGCCCTTTCATTGTCTAGTATCTAAAAAACAAAAACATCACCAGGGGGTTGATTATGAAAATATCAATGAAATAATACTTCTGTATCTTATCTTACACCATCCCACCTTATTCACTAAAAAGGATGCAGCCTCATCAATGCCTATGTTTTCTTTGGCTGATGTTTCAAACCAGCCAGCAAAACCTTTTTCTGCACAGAACTCGTTCATTTGGGCTGTATTACTGAAAAGGCCTTCACTCACTTGGTCACACTACATTAGATTGAAATGTTGGATTACCATGAAGGACAGGTATATTTGAATGCATTAAACACATTTCTTTTTTTTTGTAAATAATTAGTTGTCACTACCTTGTTAGCAAGCAAGACAGCAGGAATTGGAGAACCATTGGGCAAGAAAACTTTGCTATCCAAATCACTTTTCCATTTCTCTACAGCTTCATATGTGGTAGAACGAGTCACATCGAAGACTACAAAAGCACCAACTGCTTCTTTGTAATATACCTATACATACCAAACAACTATTCTGCAAATGTACACTATTACTTTGATTTGTAACATATTGTCACAAACATAGTTTTAAAAGAATAATTTTGGTTAGTGAATGAAATACTCATACCCTAGTCATATTTCCAAATCTTTCTTGACCTACAAAAAATAAAAAGGAATTGGTTTGAAATCTCTGCTACGATTAAATAAAGTACATTCAAATATGCTAATTACCCGCAATGTCCCATAGCTGTAATCTAATTAAGGTATCATCATTCCAGTTTAAAACTTTTAACGCAAAATCCACTCCAATCTTTTCAAAATGTCAGGGAAGATTTAAAAAGTTTATGCAACACTTTTGGTATGATATGGTATTTTTAAATGTAAAATGACATAACATTAACACAAGCAATGACTTGTACATTTTTAAATGCACTTAAGTATACACAATGTGATTGACCATGTTTGACCGCAATTTAAAGGATACGGTCGCCCGATAATGTATTGAAAAGAACTGGTGTACGTAGCGTTTTATAATACTTGTTTTTCCTGTTCCCAAGTCGCCGATCACCAACACTTTGAAAAGGAATTCAGTTTTTTCCTTTGAAGTCTAAAACGATTTAGTACGAACGAATGATCAACATCCCCATGGAAATATGAAACAGATTTGTACACTTAAAAAACTCACCATAATATCGTTAAGTTTTCAACCAAACATATATCTTTACCGATGTAAATTGTAAACTTATCGACCAAAGAAGACTTACTAAACAAAATAATTTCCACACGAGACTCGACCAAAGTTCTACCATATACTAAGGCACGTGACTCCCACAGCTCGCTTCGCTTTCTTTGGGGAAATTAAAGAACTCTTGAAAATTGAAGAATATTTGCATAAAAGCTGTTAACCGGACAACGTACGATACGCTTCACAAATCCAAGTTTGCTGTAGGCTGTCACACGTTCAAGGGGATGTAAAACAGAAACGAAAAAACTTTTTCATCATCATCGCCATGTTCAAGACCACATATGGTTAAATCAAATTATCAATGGTGCAAGACTATGGTGTGCTAATTTGATACTTCTAGCCATTAAAAATGTCTCGTGACAACTGAGCAGCCCAAAACTTGATGTCTGACATGTGAAATACGTAATCCTTGTTTAGCACAATAAAATATGCGAGATCAAATATCAAAATCTTGAAGTATAGAAACATTCAAAACATTGACCTAGCTAGACGTTTTACAATCTAGAAGTAACCAATGTATGGCGCGCCAAGATGGACAATATTACCAAAATCGAAAATATTTACAACGAAACACATTATCGTATGTCGAAAATAATATACTGGCAACTTTTTCAATATTTGTAAAACGAAACGCAAAAATATAAAAGAAAACAAAAATTCGTTTACCATAATTTATATATACACAACGAAATTTATTTTTCAAGTTATGAAAATTATTTTTATAAAACGAAACTCATTTATATAAAACGAAATTGACATTCATAAAACGACATTTTCTTCGAACAAACGACATTTTTTACCGCTTTTTTGCGGCCATTATTTTGTAGCCTGCAAAGAGCCATCCACTACAAAATTTTGAGGATGTCTTCGCGAAGGAACTTACATAACTTGACAAACCTTGTTGCAGCAATCACTCAGCTCTCTGAAAGTGATTGCTCCAACAATTGTGAAAGAACTTTTGAAGGAGATAACGATGCTAACGCTGGCAATATTGAAAGTACGATACGCACTCTGTTGAGTCTGTTCCCTTCTGCAAATGGTCGTTCATCCACAGCCACAACAGTCGGAGGAGCAGCGACTACAGCAGCTAATACTTCAATGCACCACACGTCTCCACTGTTCAACCCAAGTGTAAATTATGGAGGGGGAAAAAAGTCAAAACGCCGTTTTTTCTTTGATGTCAGTGGCAGGGCGCGGTAAAAAATGTCGTTTGTTCGAAGAAAATGTCGCTTTATGAATGTCAATTTCGTTTCATATAAATGAGTTTCGTTTTATAAAAATAATTTTCATAACTTGAAAAATAAATTTCGTTGTGTATATATAAATTATGGTAAACGAATTTTTGTTTTCTTTTATATTTTTGCGTTTCGTTTTACAAATATTGAAAAAGTTGCCAGTATATTATTTTCGACATACGATAATGTGTTTCGTTGTAAATATTTTCGATTTTGGTAATATTGTCCATCTTGGCGCGCCATACCAATGAGTAAAGACTGAAGTCTCACAGTCACAGGACTTCAAATTTTACACATTATAATTTCTTTCTCCTATATTCCCCACCGACTTTTCAATTTCGTATGCAATAATTTTGTCATTTTTTTTATTAAAATGACATTCAAGATGTTAACAACAACCATGTTACTTACATGTATGCATTTATTTTCATTATATTAAATATTACATTGAATTGCAGTCTCAAGACTTTCCTCTCAAACATATTGCAACACCAAGGCTGACTAAAGCCATACCAAAAAATAGGTCTAAAAAAATGCGATTGGTTATATCATATAGGGTTTGCATAGGGCAAAATTGCATGTTTTTGAGTGCATTAAATGCCATGAATTACTGCATGTTTTGGCTACAATTTTACCTTTATTTAAAGCCTTTTCATTCAACCATGTTCCCACCCAAACAGTGAACACAAATGTAAGGGAAGTTGTGATAGGGACAGCCAATGATAATTCTGAAAAACACAATCATAATAACTTGTTGAATTGCATAGGTCACATAATTTACTTGCAAATATGGCTAACCTGCAGAAGACAGTGTTATATAGAATACAACAGACCCCAGCTGATTAATAAAAAATGGTATTATGTACTAAAGATTAAAAATAAAAGAGGCAAGGTGAGTTTTGAGCATTTTGTTTATTTTAGGAACAAAGAAAGTACAACCTTCCAGTTTGTGAAAAGAAACTTTAATTCAGCAAAGAATTGACTGATATAATTTTCTTTTTTAATGGTTTCAATGCCTTTGCCTGCTTGTTTGATGAATGGATTCGTGATGCCCCATAATGCTGCTACCACACACAACCAAAATGCATTTACTAGAAATGGTAAATGGTAAGTTTGCGTGGTCATGGTAGCATTGGTAGGTGTACTTTTTATTTAATGAAAGAAATTTGAAACAAACACAACTCAATCTTGAAATTGAAGTAAACATACCTAATTTTTCAGAAAAATTTAATAACATTGATTGATTTGTGTGATTTGAGGAAATGCAAAATATTTCTTGGTGACTTGTCTATTTGAATTTGACAACTGCAATTACTGCGACATATTTTTCTACAAGCTGTCGCAGCCACTCGGGTGTATGGTAAAAACATTGAGCATGATAAATATTTTCTGCCATGGAATATCGTCTTGTTTTTATTTTTTTGATCTTGTTAGGTTTTAAACAAACTTTTGGTGAGTACCATAGCACGTCTAACGCTTATTTTTGAGTAGTTGTGTCGCAGGTTACTTTTTTGTGTATTTAGTGTAGTTTTTCTGTTGTTTATATTTGTCGTATTGGCCAAATTTAACAGTTACACTTTTCTTATATTTCATTTTACGACTTGGTGAACAAACAAACTATCATATCTCCTTGATATTTAGATATCTTCTTCAAAAACACGTTTTTTAGGGCTTCTAGGGCACAAAAAGTTGAAATATTACGAAGTAGTGGACTCGTCTCAAGTCAGACATGTTATACAAAAGAGGAGCACAGACGGTAGAAAGGATTTGTCTTTATCTCTTCTTGGAAGGTGAGTCCAAAAAAAAACTTTTTTTCGCCAATTTTTATGCTTTCTAGTCCTGTAAATGCTAACACTCTCACTATTTCCTTTAGAACGTTTGAATTGTCTCTCATACCAAGACCAGAATTATTTTCACAGAATTTTGAAGCAGTAACTGTGGGTAGTGATGGTACTGAGAAAGAGTTCAAGGTCAATAAAAATGATTTCTATCATGGATATGTGAAAGGTTAAAAATTGCTCAATTTGTTGCTATTTTTACCTACTTAAGTAAATTTTTTACCACTATCAAAAGTGTCTTTGTAGTTCTTTCTTCAACTTCATCTGTGAGTGAGGCGCTTGTTTTAAATCATTATTGCTATGATTAATTATTAAGGTGCAACCAGTCCTTCTTCTGTGACTATGGAAATTGATGATGATATGATAACAGCGGCCATTGAAATTGAGGAAGATACATATCATTTGGAGGTATGTTTTTTTAAAGTAAGTAATTTTTTTAAACTGCTATCAATGAGAAGTGCATAAATGTCATTGTAGCCTGCTGCTGGTCAGATAGATGGTGATATTGCAAACAAGATGATTGCTTATAGAAATTCAGATGTCATTTGGAATGTGACATTTGCCGGGTAAGATTATTAAAATATTTTGGACTTGTTCAAAATTGTTTATAAAACTTATCTTCAGCAAAAGGGTTCGTAAGTTTTGACATGTTTCAATCATGTGACTTTCTAGAAATCATACCCAAAGACAAAAATACTGTGGAATGATTGATGCTGGCAATAGAACTGAAACAAGTGTGTTTGACTTATAGTATCACTTATGTATTTATTGTTTTTGTAAACTGTACTCCAATGAGTACAAAACATGATTTACATGTTTTAATGCATGTTGTAGCAGGGTCCGAATTATCACTAAAAATTGCTTTGCCACTTTTTTTGCCCCTCCCATTATTTCATTTTCCATTTAGCCCTTCCCCCCTGTTTTTTCATATTTGTAAAATTTGTTATGCATGCTATGGCAATAATTTTAGAATTAAAAGCTGTCACTTCCGTTTTCTTCCAATTCATAAAGCTTAACAGCCATAATATCTACTATGTTTATGGAACATAAGACCTTTCTTGTATAGTACATATTATCTATATGAATGTTATTATTAGGCTTTTGTATTTGCACTAGACAATGGTTTTATAAAAAGCAACTGTTTTCCAGCAAGTCAGACTTTACTTTACAGCTATTATGTTAATAATTATTACCAATACTATTGAGTAGTATTTGTTTTGGATTTGTGCCCTTGGAGTACTTTAAATTGTTGATAAATTTTTATTTTTTTTGATAGATAACAATTACCATGAAATGAGATCTTCTCGAAAACGTCGCTCCTTAAAAATTAAACGTGACTGTAGTTTAGCTCTGGTGGCAGATTATCGGTATTATAAACACATAGGAAGAAACAGCAAAAAGAAGACATTGTATTCAATGGTAATGTAATGCACTTTTCATATGAGTTGTAAAATAGTTTGTACGTAGTCCTCACTTCAATCTTAGGTCGGAGTTATAAATCGTGTTGATCAGATATTCAGAAATACTGACTGGAGCGATGATGACAAAGATCCTTATAAAGATTTTGGTTTTGTTATCAAAAAGGTATGAAGCTAGGACAAATGAAAGTATGTTGTTGGTGATATTTAGTGATTAAGGGCTTTAGCACATTCTCAAATGAAAACTAATTTAAGATCTCAAAGAATTTGCTTGGCTGATTTAGTATTTTATAATCTTTTTCCATGATTATAGATAATTGTTAATGAAGCTCCAACAAAAAACTATAACAGACAATCAAACAGACCATGGATGGTTAAAGAGCTATTATTGGTACATTTTTTGCCTCATTTCTGAGTTATCTAATATAACAAGCTCTTATAGAAGTTATTTTAACTGAAGCAAATTAAATTTATTATCGTTTGTTTTTAATTTTTTGACAGCAATTCAGTCGTGAAGATTGGTCAGACTACTGTTTGGCTCATTTGTTTACGTATCAAGATTTTCGTGATGGTGTTATAGGTCTTGCTTACGTTGCTCATGCGGACCGGAATTCCCGCGGTGGTATTTGCAGTGCAGGTAAGAATCTGGCAGGTGAGAATATGGAAGAACAACTAAGTTGTGGAAGAAATGTCTGTCATCAAGCTCTTGTACATAGAGCATGAACTTACTAGTTAACAGGAAACAGTTGATTACCGTTTTTAAAGTAATGTTATTATTAGCTAATTTGAACAACAGAGAGCATTAACTTATATTAACGTTCAGCATTTGTTGCTATCTTTAAAGTAATATTGTGTTCCTTTGTAGTGGATCGAAATCTCTATCACAACACGGGACTCAGTAGCTCAATAAACTGGGGAAATCAGTTGCTGACATCGGAGTCAGACATTGTCACAGCTCATGGTTTGAATTTAACCTCTTATATTACTCATGTTTTTTATTCATAGTTTAAAGGAAGGGTTATCATATTTAGTTGAAATAATGTTTACAGGAGGAATTAGTTTGGAGGAAAGGTAATTTGTATGAAGTTAGAAAACTTAGACAAAAGTGAGGTATGACAAGGAAGAAGGTTCACGGCAGTAGATGGTGTTGCATGATAAGGAAATTGAATCTTTTATCATGAGATGAAGTGGGTAAGGTTATGATGTGTAGAAATTGTTATATTTACCTTGTGTCTGTATCATTGTAGAATTTGGTCACAACTTTGGCAGTGAACATGATGTTCAAGATGATCCCTTGTGTTCCCCTGAAAGTAATGGAAAATTCATAATGTATCCTGCATCTGTTTCGGGACAGAACACAAACAATAACGTAAGCATTTAATTTCTTATTACTCAGTTGAGAAGTTATCGTAAACTCATGTGAAATTTAACAATCAAGTTGTAGATAAGAAACCAAGCGCTTTTATCTTAAATAGAAATTTTCAATATGCAGTCGCAGGGCTGTCAAAGCCGTTTTGGAATCAAAATCTTCACTTTGCTTTGATGGTATGTCTTAATTTGCAACTAGCGTTGTACCTGACTTTTCATGAAACGAAGCTTTCCTATTTTAAGTCCAAATCGTTTGTCACAGCTTTTATAATGTTTGTTTTTACATCTCTTTGCGCACTATCAATGTTTTTATCATTGTATGTTTTACATGTAAATCTACCTAGTAAGTTTTAGTTCAGTTGCCATTCATCATTATTGACATCTCAATTTTACCCATTAACTTAGACATATCTAATGTTTCTTTTACTATACAGTTCCAAGCTCTGGATCGTTCTGTGGAAATTATCGCGTGGACAGCGGTGAGGAATGTGACCAAGGAGAAGGTGAAAATGATAAGTGTTGCAGAAATTGTAAACTCATTGGAGACGCCAAATGCAGGTAACAGGGGTTCTTAAAGATATTTGGGTTTTCTTTTTATGTGTCAAAACAGTTTTGTTTGTGGATTACCTCATTTTCACGACACAGCGAAAAATTCATTCATATGTAGTTTTTTTGTGGGTAACCTTCCCGATTGCAGATTATTAAAAATTTCAATCTCATCCATTTTTTTCACTATTAACCTTGTTAATTGTTTTTCTCATTTCGACAAATTATTATAAGATTGTACATTTTTTTAGTGACACAAACTCGCTTTGTTGCTCAGATTGTCAATACGCGTCCAACACAACTCAATGTAGGCAAGCCAAGCCTTTAGTTTGTAAGAAAGCTTCATATTGTTCGGGGTTTTCTAAGGATTGTCCAGAAGCTCAATCGGTTGAAGAAGGAACTTCATGCATTGAAAGGTGAATTCATTGCGCGATGATTAAGTAGGTTCTGTGATTATAAGGCAGAAGTAGTAATCTGTTTCGTTTATAAATTATACTTAAACTTAACTAATTTTACATATTTCAATAGTTATGTCATTTGTAAAGTTGTCTTTGTTGTCGCCTTCCACAAATTATCCATTCTTGTTGTTTAAGCTTATATATGCAGAAGGGAATCCTACACTTCCTTCTTTTACAGAGGAAAATGCAGCAAAGATGGTAAGTGTGATCCTTTCTGCAAACGTTTTGGGGGAGAGCCTTGTCTTTGCAGCAATGAAGAAGATGCTTGTTATGTGTGTTGCAAAAAGAAGGATGAACCTTGTGTCGTTTATCGCAACGGCTCATTAGAAAGCCGACTGCCTTTAAGTGATGGACGCTTGTGTTCTGCAGGAGTCTGTAGTGGTGTAAGTCATTAATTCGTATATCTTAAGAAGGGTTAAGTTTTCGTCGTTCCTTGTTAATTCATCACTGCCTACACTGATACACGTTATCTTAGTTTATATATTAGTTTGTGTAAAGACTGTTCTCATTTTCTGTTGTTTATTCATCACTGCTTACACTGACACACGTTATCTTAGTTTATATTTAAGTTTGTGTAAAGACTGTTCTCATTTTCTGTTGTTCATTCATCACTACCTACACTGACACACGTTATCTTAGTTTATATTTTAGGTAGTGTAAAGACAGTTCTCATTCTCTGTAGTTCATTCATCACTACCTACACTGACACACGTTATCTTAGTTTATATTTTAGGTAGTGTAAAGACAGTTCTCATTCTCTGTAGTTCATTCATCACTACCTACACTGACACACGTTATCTTAGTTTATATTTTAGTTTGTGTAAAGACTGTTCTTGTTTTCTGTTGTTCATTCAACTGACACACTGACACACGTTTTTATCTTGTTTTATATTTTTTGTTTAAAGACTGTTTTCCTTCTCGTTCTTTACACTCACGCCTCTGTTTAATGTTTCAGCAAAAATGCAGGAAAACAGCACAAGACATAATCACTCGACTTCAAGATTTCTTGGACACACTCGGAGATCCCAGCAAGTTTGGTGAACTTTTAAAGGACAACATTGTTGGAACTGTTATAATCTTCTCCCTACTTTTGTGGATACCTATAAGCTATGTCGTGCACAGAATTGTAAGTATCGTGAACTTTTGTTTTTCAAACGTTTGAATAACAAAAGTTTAACGTTTAAGTTATTTTCAAGTTTAACGTTTAACTTTAAGTTATTTTCAAGTTTTTTCATGCAAATGTTTGTCCAATGGCTCTGTTTCCTCGATTTTTAGGATAAAAGACGTGATAAGCAAGCTCAGGAATTGGCCAGATGGCAAGATATCGCGGTGAGAAAAACTTTAGTTTGTTGTCATTGTTGTAAGTGATCTGATGTTGAAAAAATACTCCTGCTTAGCGTCTATATCTGGAGTTATCAATTGTTGAAACTTGATTATATGTACATGTATATAAACTCCAGTCTTCTTTTTGTGGATTGATGTGGAGTGATAGAATTTTGAAACTTCCGTTTATACGTATGTACTTGTGTACTCCATTCTAGTGTCTCTATCTGGAGTAATCATATATTGAAACTTAAGTTTATATATATACTCCAGTCTAGTGTCTTTATTTGAAGTGATGGAATGTTGAAACTTGTCTTCCCTATAAAGTCTGTTGTTTCTATGTGGAGTGATCTAATGTCGAAACTCGAGTCTACATATACTCCAGTCTAGTTTCTTTGTATGGAATGATCAAATGTTGAAAGTCGAGTGACTTGATATTACACCATACTGCAGTCTATTGTCTCTCTGTGTTTCTATTAGGAATGATCTGATGTTAAAACTTAAGTGAGTTAGCTCGATTGTATCTACTCCAGTCTAGTGTCTTTCTCACGAGTGACTAACATAATGTTGAAAATTGGAGTGTTGTAAAAAAGTGTGTAACATTTGTGTGTCAGGAGGTGCCATCAGATAGACCTTATGAGAGCGCTCACTCCCTAATTAATAGCGTTTGTCTTTTTTGTAAGTTTGTGATAAATCATGTTTGTGATAAATCATGTTTTCATAGCTCTACACTTTGTAGCCGATAAAAGAAATGATAGTGTTTGATAATCCCAAATGCGATTTTTTTAGAACCACGATTTGATTCGACAACCGAACAAGCGTCGTGATAATTTTGATGTTGTGTTCAAGAAAGACTCCGTACTTATACGTGACAGCCGGAAGGCGAGACCAAGAGGCGCTACCTCCCCCAGACAGTGGGGACCTACTGTGGAGTGAAATCATACTACATTGCTTTAGAAAATGCAAGACGACTAAAAGTATTATAAATAACCTCAAGACGTTTATTTATCCATACACTATTAATGAAAATGTACATTGATGAGAAATTGATATTCATTGCAATCTTAAATTGAAATTTAGGAAAACTCTTATTATCTCTGAGTACTTTAACTACAGTATCGAGTTGACAAACATATTTTCAGTTATTTGTTAGGTGCTGTTTACATGATCCCGGCTAGCTGGGATTCAGTGAGGCGTGAAATGAGTTCGAGGGATTGAGGGGGCCAAAACTTCAAGGTTAAAAATTACAACTGTTTATTAAGCGCTAGAAATCATTCCTGTTGTAATTCTCATCTCAGGCTAAATTTGTTGTTTCAATTCTAAATGTTTTGCCTAGTTCTTAAATCAAAATATTGTGAAATTGCTCGAGAAGATTTATCTGATAATAAGTATTGAATCGTTTCCATTTGCCAAAATCATTTAACGCTTTGCTGAATCCCGGCTACCCGGGCTCATGTAATCAGCCCCTTAGAGGGTTAGGCTGGCCTTGGTGATAATTAGCATTATTAATGGTGTGATATCTGTTCAGGAACATATTACCAATTTAGAGGGAGTATCAAAAAATAGAGTTCCTGATTTTAACTATTAGACAGTTACGTGAAATTCTCAAAAGCAGAAAAGCGTTTATGCCTTGAGCAAAGATGAAATTTATGCGTGTAGCTGACAATACAGGGTGTCATTAAAACATCTCAAGTTGCCGATAACGATTTTATTGTCGGAAATTTGAATTTCTTGCCTTTCTGTTGGTCCTCACGGGTGTATATGATTGCATAACTAAGTAACCAAATGATTAATTAACTCTCTTTTCATATCAAAGTTTTTGCCGTTCATTTTTTCGTCGTGCATGATAATAATATTAGTCTCCTACCATCCCTTTGGAACGAAGAAAAAATCTTTTTTTGTAGGCGATGAATTCAGACGCCTTGGTTTCATGGGGATTCTTGAATTTTACGCACCTTAGTCCCAGGAAATTATGAAGCATAAAATTATTACAATAGGTTAGTTTTTAAAGGTTTTATTTTCAAACTCTTTAAATGAATATTGTCAATTATTTTTACTGTCCTACCTATAAACATTAAAAAATAATTAAATCTTTAATCTATGTTGTTTAAGTTATAAGATATGCCCCAAAAACCACACGGCCCACCTAAAAGTGGGGTGGTCCTAAATGTAATCAGGGGTAGTTTCATTTAGCACGTGTTTAGAAGGCAATAAAAAGTGCGGAAATCGCTCATTTTCATCTCCAGTTTTCACTCGTATGATTATAACGAATTTTTTGCTTATCGTTAGGCAATTTTCGACTAAGATGGCACTACCAAAAGTGTATTTCGACATGTCAGTTGGCGGTAAACCAGCTGGCCGTATTGTGATGGAGGTGTGTTTCTGTGAATCTCATTCATACGACATGCTTGATGCGAAGTGGCAGACCGATCTTACGTAATTGAAAAATGTTTTGTGTTTTTATTTTATGAACTTTTTATCTTTTCTTGTTTTAGTTACGTGCAGATGTGGTACCCAAAACTGCAGGTGTCAATTAACTGGAGCAAAAATAAGATCTAATTTTGAATATGCTTTATTTGTTTGTCACTCGATTTGTAAGCTTAATAGGAGGGGTGTAAAGCTAACAAACCGTTTGATATTGTTTTAAATTCTTCTAGAAAACTTCCGAGCCCTTTGCACTGGAGAAAAAGGTTTTGGATACAAGGGATCAAAGTTCCATCGTGTCATTCCTGGCTTTATGTGTCAGGTTTGTGACAGCTAATGTTAATTTTTAGGAATTTCTTAAAAATTGAACTTTGATTGTTTTTGCTTTCGGTCTTAGGGAGGCGACTTTACTAGAGGGAATGGAACTGGTGGAAAATCCATTTATGGAGAAAAGTTTGCAGATGAGAATTTTACATTGAAGCACACAGGCGCAGGTATGAAATAATATATTGTAATTGTCTCCAAACTAGTGCCAACCTATTCTATTTTTTTTTTGCTTTGTAGGTATTCTCTCAATGGCTAATGCTGGTCCTGGTACAAATGGATCACAGTTCTTTATTTGCACTGTAAAAACTTACTGGTTGGATGGGAAACATGTTGTGTTTGGTTCTGTTGTCGAAGGGACGGATGTAGTGAGTGCAATTGAGAAAGTTGGTAGTCAAGGTGGAAAAACATCTAAAGATGTTGTGATTTCTGATTGTGGACAGCTCTAGATATTTTATCATTACCAATATGCATTTCATTCTAGTTTAGTCCTTGATGTTTTGATAGTTGATGATACCTTGTGGTACATTCTGTAAGATCATGCAATAAGTAGGGAATGAACTTAAGAGTATGAAATAAAAGAATTTTTGTCCAAAGTGAGTTGTTAATGTTTTCTGAAGTTTTCGAATTTTTCCGAAGTTCAAATATGCCATAAAATTGAGAGTGTTATTTTGTAAAACAGATATATATTTGATGCCTTCGATGTTTAACTTGAATTCAAGTACACAAACACATCTAGCTATTCCCAATAATTAATTGCTGCATGTAGTATATGAGGTTATTTATACCGTACATATAGTTAATGTCTGGTTCGTCAAAATTACCTATATCGGTGTGAGCAAAATCAACCATCTTTACAATAACTTTGTGCACACTATGTTTCTTACTTCTCTCAAACAAACTCAGCGGTTCATTACGTGTGCATACGTGTTGATCGAAACTATTAATTTTTTCAGATTTACATTTAATGGACGGCGTAGAAGAGCAAACAAAATGCTCATAATGTTCTTGTCCATTGCAATCATTTTCAAGGTCTTTAACAACTTCATTGTGTGTGCATGTCTGCAGAGTGTCACCTTCATACATTAAAAGAATTGAACTAGAGAAAAGTCGAAATATTCGTTGATCCTGACACCACTTATAGATTTCCTCCAAATGAAGAAGGAATTCCTCAACATGTTCTTTGCCATGATCTCCCATTTGAAAGAATGTGGCAAGACCTACAAAGAATTAGTTCAGTTACCATCAATTATCACATAAATTGATAAATAACTCATGCAATCTTCTACCTGTCAATATTTCATCTTGTGTTTTTAACCTCTTGCCAAATTCCTTATCATAGGATATAAAGTTTTGAGTAGATTTTTGATAAACTTTCATTCCTAGAATTCTAAAACCAAACTTTTCTTGTTCAGGATACTTTTTAACTGCTCTTTCTTGCTTTGCCTTGGTTGCAAAATGATCAGTGACACGTTGGCCAATCTTTATGTCAAGAATGCACGGCCGACGGAGAGTACTTGTGAGGTTCTCGAGGATAATATAGTTATCATGTTTGACAAGGTTAAGGACAAATTATTTGGAAAAATTTGGTACATGCCCTCATTAGATTAGATCATTTCTTACAAGGCACAAGAATAAAAAAGAGAAAACCTGCATTTTTCAGTAGACTATGCAACAACTCAATTTCAACATCATATAAAGAGCTTAGTTAAAACATCTTGCTTAGTGTGCAAAGTATAAATTGATGGTAGGATATCTCCTTGGGATAGTTTAGGCAAGGCAACATGTTCAATGCCATAAAAAGTTGGCACAAATTGTCTAAGCTTTGCAATGGACTCATTGAATTCACAGCCAAAGACTGTTTGATAAAACTCAACTTCCTTCTTTCCTCTTGGTGGAGTTTGGATAGGTTTGAGAATTCTTCCATTGTTGTCTAGGAGCATGCCTTATGTAATGAGAACAAATAGGATCATTAGGATGCATGTATGGTTATCATATTTTCACAACTCCATTTGCTTATGACAACAATTTTAACACGAATCTAACATAAATGTAAGAAAATTAACCATTTCATGTAAAGTTTTAACAAAAAAAATTAGACACAAGATCAAGAAAATAATATATGGAGGATGAAAAAAAGACGTCACAGAAATGATATTTTACCCTGTTTTCCAGTTTCAAACCGATGACCTGCAACTTGGTGGCTATAGACACTGTAGCCATCAGGCATGCCTGTTGAATTGAGTAGCATCTTTTACCAAAAATAAAGTAAGCTTTGTATGATCATTTTGTCAAGTATTCAGAAGCAATTTGATATTCATGTTGTTTACATTGAATCTTACGTGTGTTACACGCGTGTGTCTCACACAAAAAAGCGTGCTAAAATTAATGCAGACAGTATTGTGATTGACATTTGTTAATAATTTTTCGATGGAAAAAGTCGCGATCTTCGATAAAGTGTGTGATGAATTAACCCTAAAATTTCCCTTTATGTAACTCACAGCTTTATATTATCACTGCTTCTCTCCTCTAAATCTTAATACGGTTATGTCAGACAGATAATGAACCAAAGCTGATTCGTGTTAAGTGTATCCCACGCGCGCGTATGCCATTTGTAGAGGCATGAAGGTGAAGGGTGGTTCTCGATCCAAAAAATGTTTTGAATTATTTAAAAATCGTTTCTTGATGACTTTATATTAAGAGCATCATGTGCTTGTAAGTTTGTAACGCCAAAAATATCAGGTCAGCTTTCGTCCTGACTTTTGTTTTCATCACCTACACCGCTCCACCCCTTCCCATCATCCCATATCTGTCAGCTGTCAGGTGACTCTTTGAAATGATTGATTGTTAACAATTGTTAACATAACGCTCCAGGTACTGGTTCACCGAGTGAAGATCAGTAGAGATGATAGAAATAAAGTACAAACTACAAAGAATACAAATTACAAGCATTCAAAAGCTTCTATTTTCCATCTTCCGTGTTCAGTTTTGAGATTTTTCCCTCCAGTTTCCTTTGAAATGTTTAAGAAAAAGAATCGAAAAGGTATTAGCAATGGTTATAGAGTGATATAACTAGCGTGACTGTTTGACCTTTCATAATTTTGAAGTCAGTAGTTATGAAACGACGTACTGACAACATTTTTAAATTTAGTAAAAGCATAACGAGGTCGATATTCAATGTCCATGTTTGTCAATTGAAAGTTTTAGTTAATGAAACAAAGGCGGATACCTCCGTGTGTTCGTTTTGTGGCGAGTTGCCAAACGATGATTATGGTAAATTTTTTACGTCAAAGATGGGATTCTCTGTCCATCAGTATTGCATGGTAAGTTTAACATTCCTGTATACCACAGTGATGCTGAAAATCATAAAGATTTATCTCTCCATACATCTCCATTTGTAGTTCTTTGCTGCAGCTTTGGCGCAAAATGGTCGTGATGAGGAGGGCTTTGAAGGATTTCTTGAAAAAGATGTTTTTAAAGAAATAAAACGTGCAAGCAGGCTTGTAGGTTAACTTTTGTGACAAAATAAGTATATTCAAACTAGTGGTGCGCTAATATGTAAAAAAAAGTTGTTTTTCCCATGTCAATACTTATCAATGATTGGCCCATTAATTAGCAAAACCATTAGTTACTTATTGCAAAACTTCAGATGTATGTGACTTAACATTCAAAAAAACATTTTGTAACTGGCTTGACTTGGGGAGGGGGTGAATATTCATATATTCAGCTTTGCCCACTGATTTCTTTTGTTGGTAATTTTAATTTCAAACGAAACCAGCAATGAAGAGCTGAATTTACTAATATTTACCCCCCTTAATTACCCTAATTAGCATTCTAGTCTTGTCCCTGGCTCTAATTCATACATAGAATTTTTATCTTTTTTATGAACCAATGTGTGATAATTTCTCTAGAGATGTGGTCTGTGTGGCAAAAAAGGAGCTTCCTGTTGCTGTTCTCATCAACATTGCAAGAAGGCCTTTCATTTCACCTGTGGCTTGCAAAAAAAATATCTTTTTCAGTTCTTTGGCAAGTTCAGGTATTGTAAGAGAAAGTTTTGAGCATACTTTATAGTATTACATATCTACATTTACAAACATGTAGCGATACTCCTGGGTTCAAACCATTTACTTTATTACTTTAAAGTATTCTGGGCACAATATAATGACCCGTAGTAAACAGACAAAGACTGGCCTAGAAATGTTTCTTGACCGGCATTTTTCAACCTTGCCATTCATTTTGACTGACCACATTTTTTCATTTTATGTGAAGCATGGCAACATCTTGAAAAACTTCAAATACAAGAATTTGTTGTTGCAAAAGATAATCTCTTCACATTTTTTGGTGCAATTTATGCATGAATTGAATGGTTTGAGAACCTGGGAATATCTTTACATGCATGTCTGTAGTTGTTTGTAGACCACATTAGTTAGTAGTGTAACGAGAAGGACTGTTTATTGAAAAGTTGGTCTTACACCCACACTGACAGTGTTTCTCAAGTCTTCACTGATAAGGATGGTTTGCATCTACTAACATGCAATTTTTCTGTATCATCAACTGGCCAAAAACCAACTATGATCAAACTAAAATGAAGTTTACTGGTCTTCTTTAGCATTGGTATCAATTTAGTATAATCACATTAATGTGTTATTTACAATAGTGTCTATTGTTCTGACCATCGACTTTATCAAAATGCACCATCATTTCCGTGGAAGACTGCTCCTTGTCCCATATGTCTTGAGCATGTACAATGCATCTCATCTCCTGACATTTTAACAACACCCTGTTGTAAGGATGTTTGGTTTCATCGAGCGTGTGTCCAGGTACCTATCAATACTTTCAGTTTATGTTTTTCTATGAAATGAAGCTTTTGAGCATTTTTGTGTTTCATTTTTTCATTTTATGTTTCATGTTTTATCTTTTTATCAAACAATTTTTTGAGTTTTGAAACATTCTTGTTGCGATCCTTGTGTAGTACATTTGTCTCTATTATTCATTCAGAAACAAGCAGAGGTCAGTGGATATTTCTTCAGATGTGCTGTATGCAATAATAAATCAAAGTTTTTGAAAGAAATGCAACGGATGGGAATATTTGTTCGAGACAGGTGAGGAGAGTTGCTACCAAGATCTTTCTTTATTAGAAAGCACTAAAGCAGTGTGCGAATTAGTTCAGAATAAAAGATGTGCAATTTTTTTGACAAAAGTGTTTCTTGAGAAGCATAATCAAATCGATATTACGTTATTTATTATACAGCGCTAATTGCTAAATTAATATTTTTAAACGTGAACCAATTCGTATGATTTACGACAGTCTTTTTCGTTAAAACGGTAGATTTTTGGACATCGTTAGAAAAAGTGATGTGCAATTGTTTTCATTTTATCTAAAACGATGCGCAAATTGCACATTGCACACCGTTAATTCGCACACTGCACTAAAGTGATAATGACGTTTTATGATGTATTTTTAGTACAATGTAAAAGTAATTTCAGATAATAAATAATATTTATGAATGGAAAACACATTCATCCCCAACTATCTTCTATTTTATAGAGATGCTGCTTGGGAAGAAGGTGACAATTTTGCGGAACTTTTGCAAACATACAATCAATGTGACCACACCATTTGTATTTGTCCAAATGGCAGAAAGTATTCCAATGATAGTGGGTAGGGTAATTTTAGTGATGATTAATAATGGCTACATGAAACTTATTACTAGTTAATGTGTTTATATTAAATATATGATATGGATGTATTATAGAAAATGGAAATTAATATTATGCTCAAGTTGTGGGCAATATGGTACGCATGCAGGTTGTAGATCATGGCCAAGTGGCTTGTCCATGGTGTGTCCTACATGTCAATCTGTCTTTGAAAGGCTTCAAAACCAAGTAAAGACACCCACTGTTTCATCAGCTGTTGGATCAAAATCTTTTGAAGCAACCAACACTTCAAGCATTGAATTTTCTGTACATCAAAAGAAAAGAGGTTTGTGTCAATATCTCACGTATTATGGTAGTGTTTGTGAGAGTTGATTACTGTGCAGTAACGTTGATTCACTATCAGTGGCGGGTACTGGGGAGAGTGAGGGGGAACTTGAGCCTACTGATAATTTTGAAAGATTAAAAATCTTGTGTCAAATCCCACAAATCACACCTAAATAACATAACCTGTGATGTTAAATAATGATTATTTGATAGGCTGCTGTACTGTAAACGTACCAGCAGATGCGTTAAACATAGCTCCCTAGAAATCTCATGCCTTGAGGAAGAGCCCCCCCCCCAATATTTCATAAAGTGTCCGCCACTGTTCTTTATACCTTTGACTTATATTTACGTTGTCATAGTAAATTCTTCATTGTAGCGCAAATAAAGGTGTACATAAATTAACATGAAATAATTTATTGATAAATATATCAAATCATATTTTCACTTAAAACTAGATGTGAGAATATAATTCTCAAACTTTTAGCATGTTGAATAGACAGCGGGGAAAATCATTGAATGAGTTTGTACTTTTCTGTTTCCGTTGACTTTTCAGGCGTTGACCGTTGCACAAAAAAGGCTAAACATCGCTTGGATACGGATACGGACTATGGCGATATCACAGCGGTGGTGAACGGACTTAAACGAAGAGCGGACGACGATATCTTGAATTATGATACCAGTTTTTCTGTACAACGAGCTATAGCAGCTGGCACTGCCGTTCTCGAACATGTAAATGGTAAAGATGTTGACTATAGAAATTCTGAGACGCAACCTCAACCTGAAAATCGAAAACGAAAGGCTGATGATAGTGAAGATGATATTGTCATTACAAAATACGTTCCTGGCGAGAATATTCGACAAGGATGCGAAATTTGCCCGAAGTGCAACCGACGTAAGCCACCTACGTCTCACGTGAATAATACATCGCTTAAAATATCAAGAAAACATAGCAAATTCAAGAGTCTATCACATCAAAAAGAACAAAAATCTGTAAACAGTAATGTTGATAAAATTGATAAGAATGAGGCCATCTTAATAAAAGACCAAAATATGGACGTGATGAAACACGATAAGATGAGAGAAAATACTAATGTAACGAGTGTTGAGGTTCTTGAACTTGCTGCAAAGAGAACTGATGAAAGTTCTGTTCTCTTATTGCCATCAAAGGAGATACTCAGGGATCCGCAAGAAACGGATGTATCTAACGGATCATTTTGGTACAACTCAGTCGAAAGACTTTGTCAATTGTTGATGCCTCGTCAAGAGGTTAATAGTAAAGATGAACCATCCAAAGAAAGTGAATCTACGGGAAAAAACAAAGAATTGTCGTCATCATCGTCATGGTTACTTGGTAAGTCTTCAGAGAGAGACAAAACTGTGTCGGTGATGAAAAGGACTTCAGGATGTCTCAATGACAGTTCATTGTCGTTGAACCGGCAATCGCCATCTTCATCACAGTCCATTAATTTTGAATTTCTTAGTAAAAGAGCGGGTATTGAAGCAGTTATTGATCACGCTATTGAATTGAAAAACTCGAGTAGGGAAAGAAAGCAGGCGTGTATCTCAAGTTGATATTCCCACTTGTCCTGTCTTACGATGTGATTGTATAAAGTTACAGCAGTCTGTTAACGTTAGTGATAAAAGTTACGAGTGGGGTGTGATACTTATTTTGTATCCTTTCATCATGAGTTGTTTCTATTGTTGTAAAACTTTTACTTTCTCCTACATCGCTAGTTTCATTCTCAATCGGATTTTTTTCAAACGATACCTAAAAACGTTTTCCAAATCAAGACGTACGAATCTGCTAGATCTCATCAACTGTTGTATTAACCTTAAAACCTGCAACGTCGAATATATCTGTCTCAACTTGTACGTGGTCTTAACTCTAATGATCATTTGATAAATTCCCTAATTCATGGTAACAAGGTTTTGGAACTGTCGTCAAAGGGTATCCTCTACTGTGGTGTAGCCAGCTCGCAAGTTTTATTCTGGCCATTTGTATTTCAAGGATATTACCGTCTTTCATTCATTAGAAATCTATTGTTTAGTGTGCAGTTAGGAAACTGAGGAAAATCTTCATTGCAGCCCATCTATTGCTCCTTTATACTCCAAGATATGGGCATATCCCTCTACGTGTAGCATCTGCCTCTTGTAGGTTAACTCTGAAGTTGTCCAATTCTTGGTTTACGGCATAAAAAACTTTGAAACTAAAATTTGAATTTTTTGCGTCAATCTTTTTATTTGAAATTTATTTTCATAAATGGAAGTTGTTGTTGATGGTATGGTGGCGTTTTTGGAGAAGTTCCCTTGACAACAGACGCCTCGAACTTTTTTATAAACTATTCAAAAGAAATGCTTTATAGTCATGCAAACAGATGAATTATCGCGGTTGGAGGAACAAAACCTGATACTTGAAGAACTTGTAAGTGTTATTGTCCGGTATCTTAAAAACCTGAAAATTTTGTGTGTCTATTATGAAAACCCACGTTTTTTACTTTCGTCTTTTGTTCTTAGTGCGTTTGTAATGGCTTGAAGTATGAGAGAATAAAAAATGATGAAAATAAACATGTTCACAAACTCGAAATGTTCTTTTCTGGATTTCCAGACATTGTTGGGATGTCAAACTTTCCAAACTTGCTTGTTTTATGTGTTATTGGGCAGGATACCCTAAGGAAAATTCAAGGGCTTGAACCCTTAGTTCAGCTTGAAGAGCTTTGGATTTGCGAAACAAATGTTGAGGTATTAGGATAACATTGGCTACCAATGTGGTTTTTTTTGTGAGCAGGTGTTAAATGCCTAAAGTACTCTGTCTTTGACACATTACCAATAATTTTCTGAGAATTTGCATTTTTTTATGCACTGCTGAAGATTTTATTCAAACTTCCTGTGTTACTAGAACATTAATGGACTTGAAAATTGCTCAATGTTAAAGAGATTGTATTTATATGATAATGCTATCTCAAAGATTGACAATCTGTCATCTTTAAAGCGTTTGGAAATCCTATGGCTTAATGACAACCAAGTTGAATGCATTGAGGTATAGTCAATCATGTTAACTATTTTGCAAAAGAAAATATTTCACTTATCACTGCTCTTTAATCCTTTAGGGTCTTGATAATTTGACATATTTAAAAGAGCTCAACCTTTCTAACAATAAAATATGTGAAGTTGGTTGGTAGCATTCAGTTATATTCTCTACTACATTATGCTTGATGTATAAATGATAAAGCAAAGAACTGTTCTTTTTCTTTATTTCAGGCAGCTCACTAGACAAACTTAGATATCTTGAATCACTTGAGTTATCTGGAAATAAGATCAGATCATTAAAGGTTCGTAAATCAACTCATATGTTATGCACAATTTTAATGTTGTAATAACTCATTACATTTTTATAGGATCTTAAAAACCTTGTCCAGTTCACATGTCTTCATACTCTGAGTTTAAATGATCCTGTTTATGGCACCAATCCTGTGGCCGCAGTCTCTCATTACTATACATATATCTTATATCACTTGCCTCAAATTAAACACCTTGATGGGTACTTTATTGGTCATGAAACTATGAAGGAACTAGCCATGGTTGGTATACATTGTCGTTATTTTCTTGATTTCTTTTTGTTTAAATTAAGTATTTTGCAAGGAGTTTTGTGTTTGCAGACTACCGTGAAAAAGAAGAAGATGTATTATAATATGCGTGTTAAGACATTGCAGAGAAACATGAATAGCTTGTTGAAACAAGTGTGGGAAGAAAGAGAAACATTGAAAAAATCACCATTAGAAAGAAAAAAGAAACTCACTAACTTACTGAAAACTGTAAGTAAAACATATGTCGTACATTGTATTTAAGGCGGCATTGTAGGGATATTTATGACCTCTTAATTTATGATTGTACATTCTCCCAGCTTGAACTTATAAAAAATGAGTCAGCAAATAAACAGCTCAAGTTTGCTGCTGATAAAGATTTGGATGAAAGAACTTTTAGTGTTTTGTTGCTGACTAAAATTGAGAAACTTCAAGAGCGAATACAACTATTGGAATGTACATGTGAAGAGTAAGTTTTCATCTTGTTGTACAGTTTTGAACTAAGTGTAGGACTGAGTGGAACTAGTTGGGTAAAGAATGTAATTGGAAGTAAAAGTACTAATCTGTGAGGAATATGTGGGAGAAAAGGCTGTAGTGGAAGTTAAAGAAGAACTGTGAATAATAAACAATTATTGGATGATGTTGAGCATGATATCAAGAATTATTCAGACTTTTGAAAATTTGTCCTGTTAGACAGTTTGTTCAAGTTCTTCTGCTTTAAATATTTTGTAAAATATGTTCAAAGACAGCTTTGCCACTTTTTTGTGTTTTCTGCATACTTTTTGTTTAGTAGCTTTTGCATAACGTTTTTAGAAACAGCGACAAATATCGCTATTATTTGATTCTTTTCAAAACCAGTTTTTAATGGCCTCAACTGTTGTAGAAACTATTATTTGTAGATATGATGTCATACCAACAGATATCAAGAATTATTTGTAGATATGACGTCATACCTACAGATATCAAGAATTATTTGTAGATATGACGTCATACCTACAGATATCAAGAATTATTTGTAGATATGATGTCATACCTACAGATATCGAGAATATTTGTAAATTATGACGTCACAATTATAGATATCAAGAATTATTTGCTAGTAGTTGACCAATCAAAACTGGCATTGTTTACATAGTGTATAATAATATAATATAAAGGTTCTTTTGATGGTTAAAATAGATTACTGCGAATAATCTAATAGGATAGATGCTGTGAGTAGAGTAAAGGTAGAGATCTGTGAAGAATGTGATATAATCAATGCTGTGATTGGTGTAAAAGTAGAGATCTGTGAAGAATGTGATATAATCAATGCTGTGATTGGTGTAGAGATCTGTGAAGAATGTGATATAATCAATGCTGTGATTGCTGTGTAGTGTAAATGAGATCTGTGAAGAATGTGATATAATGTGATTGGTGTAAATGCTGTGAAGAATGTGATATAAATTGTAAATGATCTGTGAAGAATGTGATATAATCAATGCTGTGATTGGTGTAAATGTAGAGATCTGTGAAGAATGTGATATAATCAATGCTGTGATTGGTAAATGTAGAGATCTGTGAAGAATGTGATATAATCAATGAGTAGAGATCTGTGAAGAATGTGATATAATCAATGCTGTGATTGGTGTAAATGTAGAGATCTGTGAAGAATGTGATATAATCAATGCTGTGATTGGTGTAAATGTAGAGATCTGTGAAGAATGTGATATAATCAATGCTGTGATTGGTGTAAATGTAGAGATCTGTGAAGAATGTGATATAATCAATGCTGTGATTGGTGTAAATGTAGAGATCTGTGAAGAATGTGATATAATCAATGCTGTGATTGGTGTAAATGTAGAGATCTGTGAAGAATGTGATATAATCAATGCTGTGATTGGTGTAAATGTAGAGATCTGTGAAGAATGTGATATAACCAATGCTGTGATTGGTGTAAATGTAGAGATCTGTGAAGAATGTGATATAATCAATGCTGTGATTGGTGTAAATGTTGAGATCTGTGAAGAATGTGATATAATCAATGCTGTGATTGAAATGTAGAGATCTGTGAAGAATGTGATATAACCAATGCTGTGATTGGTGTAAATGTAGAGATCTGTGAAGAATGTGATATAATCAATGCTGTGATTGGGTTAAATGCATGTCATGACACATAGCTTTATTGTTCAGAAATGTTATCATTTATAGATTGTTGATTGCGTTTCTATTAGAATTGATAAATGCTATGAAAGAAGCTGTTCTCAAGTTGAAAATATCTCCAATTTCACCATAAGAAGACTAGAGTTGGAGTTAGAAACTGCTGGTAATGTTAGATTTGAAGACGGAAACTCCAATAACATTTGGTAAAATACGACCGTAAATTACTCAGTGAACATTTCAGTTGTTTATATCTTATAAATGTTTTATCAGGTTTACGTCATGTCGTGATTTGGTTTACTCAAGATTCTGTGCTTCTGATTACCAGGTTTTGTTGCAATTACGTCATGTAAACGGTGTCTGGTCAACTTTGCCCAATAGCACAACCATTGAGTTTTTACTTCATCGTAGCATTAAAAAATGATCAAACTATATTTTGAGTTAACGACTTACCTTAATCTGAAGTTATTGTCTTGTTTCGCATTTGAATTAAATGGTCCGCCAATTAAAAGTTTTCGATCCTTGCATTCTATTGTAGTTTGATCCCTGAGTTAGGAACAGCTTAACTATGCTTGCAAGGTTTTGTTAAGAAAAACAACAATAACACAACTTTTAACCTCAGTGTTTAGTAATATAGTGTTAAAATCTCGATGAATATCAAACAATAGAGACTGGAAATTGTGGCCGAGATTGTTGGTGGGCCGAGTTGACCGTAATTCATGTAAACTATAATTTACTCCAAGTTCAGTCAAATCAAATTTAACTGTAATTGGTGCAATGATGAACCAACATACTTATTTGTTAGAAGTGATGTTACGTTATGATTTATTATTACTGTCAACAAATACACACAATTGATCAATAACATGATAAATTTACAGAGGTATGATGTCATTGGAATCAAAATTCACCGCATAACTCGTGTTCATAACAAAATACTACGCTTAATATTTGATGAGAAGGTGGCTTCAATTCATAAAAAAGACTTGGATACTGATTGCTTTCTAAAGTAAGTAGGGTGTTTTTTATTAAAGAGATAACAATATTTGAAAATCTCATCCTAAGTTTGCTAGAAAATGTTGATTTACAAAGGTAGATCTCATGTTTTACATTTGACTGTAAAAATGATAGGAAATTGGAATGTGTTTTTTAAATTTGATTATTTATTTATGTTACATTTAATACAAACTTTTGTTTACAAGATGTTTTATGTAGTACAATGATGTGTTAATGTGTTTTGTAAGTCTTGAAGCGTTCATATATTTTTTTCGTTATTTAAAATTTAGCTGAATTTTATGGAAAAATCTATTGAACTTTTTTTTTGTTTTAATTCTTTAGAACAGAGACGTTCGACACGTCAATGGAATATCTGCTTTTGTCCTGGACACAAAAGCTGAAGTATAACGGTGGATTTATGTATATCTTTGAGAACGGATGTACTGATGACGTTAAAAATAAGGTGAGCACCACTTGGTATACTGTCATGTTAAATAAAAATAAAAAGATTAAGATAACTAGACAAAATTAGAGAGATTATGGTGAGCAAGTGAACATGAAGATTTTGGTAAACAGATAAACATAGAGATTAAGATAACTAGACAAAAGTAGAGAGATTATGGTGAGCAAGTGAACATGAAGATTTTGGTAAACAGATGAACATAGAGATTAAGATAACTAGACAAAAGTAGAGAGATTATGGTGAGCAAGTGAACATGAAGATTTTGGTAAACAGATGAACATAGAGATTAAGATAACTAGACAAAAGTGGAGAGATTATGGTGAGCAAGTGAACATGAAGATTTTGGTAAACAGATGAACATAGAGATGAAGATAACTAGACAAAAGTAGAGAGATTATGGTGAGCAAGTGAACATTGACATTTAAGTGAGAAAACAAGTTTTGGAGTAAGGTAACCATACAATAGTCAATTTTATATGAAATGGATGTATTTTGTTATTTTTGTAGGATGGTTTCATACGACTTTCAAACAATCTTTACAATGCTGATCGCGACAGATTGAATGAATACCATCCCACTGATCTTGTGTCTTTAAGACATGGTAAACATGTTTTAACCTTCTTGCAAACATTTTCATAGCCACTATTAATACTATTTTGTTTTTTTTAGGACAACTTGTCATCGCTAAAGTGTTTGTGGGAGATCATAACATGACGAAACAAGATGAAAGGTGAATATTGTGTTTTATCATCATGATATCCAATAATCAACTGATGTTTCTGAGGATTTTTTATGTTCACTTGCGATTTAAGGAGAACTACCACTACTTTTACGGGTATTTATTAATTAATATTTTAGTTTTTGTCGGTTTTATGAGAATCAGTTTGTCAAGAACAGTTTTGTCATTTCAAATCATCGATTACAAGCTACATCGCGCATTGCGTTGTTGTCGTCAGTTAGATTATTTTTTTGAACTCTGCAGTTACATAAAAAGTTTATTTAGCCCATGCGTTACAATTATGAAATGAAAGGTTTCTGTATATCATATTTAAAGAAAAATATAGTCTTCAAAATTTTTCTTTATATATGACGAGTGACGTAGGTACTATATTATTCTATAGTATAACTTTTAGTCAGAAGCCAAGAAAATCCTTGCATTTTTCTCTTTACATGAACACAAGTTACGAACATCTACCAAAAAAGTTTGCGAAGATAGATTTATCATGTGACTGTACAACGAAGCAACGTGATTGGCTAATAAATGATGGTGATCTTGTACTACCGGAATATATTGTAGATTTTGAATATGTAACAAAGGTATGATATTGTCTGCGAAGTTCAGATTTAACATTTAACAGTGGATGGGAAGCAATGCTTGTTTAAATGTCGGAAATGAATGTCTTGAAAATTAGCTTTTTTATCAAAATTTAGCAATTCCTAATGTATAAAACATGATATCTGAAGAGGGATTTGCGCTTTTAATCATTATGAATGTGTACATCAGTCACAAATCTTCATGTACTTAAAATTATATAAACAACTCATTCATATTGATCTTTCTTTTTAAGACTAAAGCACAGTCGTCTTTGCTCTGTTACTACGGTAACCTGTCACGTGAACCTGCCGAGGACTCGGATATTGTTAATCTGAAGCCTTCCTTACAACCACAGCTACGGTATGTACGTCAGTCAATCGTTTTTTAATAAGACGTATCACCTTTTTTCATCTGGTAACGTCAATGTACTCTTACTGTCAGATTACTAGAGCTGTCAGAAGATCTCTTTTTAAAACGTTGTGAGGTGCAATCGACAAAATCCATCTCAACGTTGAATCTTCACGATTGTGGACTCACTCATCTTAAGAATATTGATCAACTTGTCAATCTCGAAAATCTCACGATCTCGTTCAACGCTGTAACAAAACTGGATGATATCGCTAATTTGGTAAGTTACAACTAATTCCAATGTAAAGTATTTGCAACAAATATGTTGAAAAGAAAAAGAACTTTGTTGTATTTTGTCTTCACAGCACAGTCTTAAGTTTCTGGATGTTAGTTACAATTGCCTGACAACTTTGGATGGATTGAAGGTTGTAGATATTGATTGTATTGGATATTTAAGGATATAGTATATGAAGACACCACTATCAGGACATACGTACGACCAATCATATTGGCTTTCTTGCAGTAATTTTTGATAACATATATTTATTTATGTAGTCGTGTGCTGTGTTGAAGATTCTCAACATTAGTGGAAACAAACTGCAGAATATTCGCATTGAAGTTGGAATTTTACGGAAACATGCGCCTAGCATTACATCATTAAACCTAAGTCATAATCCATGGCAAAAAGTATGTATATGGCGCTGGGTTTTTTGTTTTATTTCTCTCTCATGACATAACGTTGCCTTTAAACAGTTATGGTGTATTTAAATTGTTAGGGTAACAATTATCGTACATATGTCATTGGTCGCCTAAGGACTCTTCAAATATTAGATGATGTTAACATTACAGAAGAAGAAAATGCTTTAGCATTACGTCATGCTGCGTCATCTAGGATTTCATCGTTCATCATTCAAATGAATTCTCGAGTAGATTCCGAGGGTTTGCGATCGTTAGGCCTTGCATGGACATCAGCAGAATTGTGGAAACATAGCAAGAATAAGCCTGTTGTACTTCATGATGAGACATACTGGATGAAATATGTAAGTTATTTGTTTGTGTCCTCCTTTATTTGTAAATCTTTCCGTTTATTTTAACACTATTGTCCAATATTGATTTTTGCTATCGTTTATTATCACACATTTACCTATATTATTGCTAAATGTACTTTTGTATTTGTATTTGTACTGCAATACTATTGTAACTTTCAGTCTATTTTGAAATTTTTCTCTGCTAATTTTTACTGTTTGTTTTTGTAGATAACAACTTTGCATCTTGAAGGTCAAGGTATTTCTAAGCTCTCAAACCTTGAAAAGCTAACAGCGTTGAAATGGGCTTCGTTCAGTAGGAATAGTATCAATAAAGTTGAGGTACATAGGATTATCTTGCAACACAACATAAGTATTCGTAAGCAGAAAATGTGTGATGTTTTTTCAGGGTTTGGAAAATTGTAAAACATTGGAGGAACTGGATTTGTCTAAAAACATGATAACAAAGACTGATGGTGAGATTTCATTCAATGGAATTGTAAACCTTTACGATATTTACTAAACAGTGTGTCGTAGGTCTTATTAGTTCTTTTTTTAATAGGTTTATCAAATCTGGTGAACTTGAAACGTCTTGATCTTTCCTATAACGATATCACAGCTCTTGATGGGTCAGTCATGGAAAATATGTTAAATTTGGAATATCTTTGTGTCGAAAGTAACTATATGACGTCATTACAGTCACTCAAGGTTTGTGTGTTTGCCAGTCGATTCAATATATTTTGGAATGGTATGTTCTTTAGAAAGACGATTTTCAAACATAGAAAAAGTGGCCTATCATATAAAGATATGAATGATCAATCATAGAAAGATATTAATATGACATAAGAATGCGTCACTTTGAACTTAACGACATTTGTCAAGCTTAGTAGGACCTTCATATCTTTCATGGAGAGATATTGACCTATGACATCATATTTTTCTCAATGTTTTATTTATGAAATTCTTTTACAACAGAAATCTACCTCACTTCAAGAAATTTATGCAGGAAACAATGAAATCGCAAATACAAGAGAAATCTTTTATTTGAAGGTTGTAATAACTTTGCTCGTATGTACAAGTTATTCTGCATCAAATCTCGCTGTTGCATCCATTTCCAATACTCCGAAATCCTTCTTTTGCAGGAGTTGCGCTTTTTGGAAATTATTGATGTATCCAAGAACCCTCTTATGTCATCAAAGGAAAATACCCGGATGTTTGTTATCTATCATTTGTCATTGCTTAAAGCCATAAATGGTGTCGCAGTAGTATGTTATGCCGCCTGAAATACTTTTAAAGTATGATTATAAGTTGAATTTCTGTATTTTATTATTGATTAGAGTGCAACAGAACGTTCTTGTGCCGTCGACACTTTGGGAGGAAGGTTTGCCCAATGTTTTATCACATTATCTATTGATTACTGACTGAGAGGAAGGTTTTCATAAACATTACGTTTTATCACATTATCTAGTGATTACTGACTGAGAGGAAAGTTTTCATAAACATTACGTTTTATCACATTATCTAGTGATTACTAAATTGAGCAATGGATAATTATGTATTTACGGTGATAATTAACGGTTAATTAATAATTTCAGGTAATAATTGTGAATCATTTCAGGATGACAACAGACTTTGTTGCTGAGCGTTTAGGTCACGGAAACTTTTCTGCACTTCAGGAAATAGATCTGCCACATTGTGAGCTTCGTTCTATTGATGTCGGCAATGGAGAGATGTTTCGTAACTTAAGAAGGTTGATATTTATTGAAGTTTTTTATTAGTTTATCATTTTTGATATTCTTCTTTTAGTGTTCTTGTTTTACGTATCAGTCGTTTATATCTTTCTTTAATATAGTATTAATCTTGAGCATAATAATCTCACCAATTTCGGTGGCCTTATCCATCTTATAAATTTGAGGGTAGGTATGGCGACTGGCTTCATATTGAAACGGTTGAAATGTAACACGTGTCAAAGAAAAACGTTTTTTAAGATATTATTATTCTTGTACAGGTATTGTGTCTAAACTACAACAGAATTGAAAGTGTTTTTCCCAAGAAAAAGACATTTGCAAACCAAAAGAGACAACAAAACGATGACGTAACCTCACCCGAAATATTTACCCCAGTGTTAGAGCAACTTGAAGTACTTCATTTAGGGTGTGATGAAATTAGCAACACATGATTTCTGGTTATTTACCGAGCGAAGTATTGGAAATGTCTAAAAAAACTTGTGTTTATAGTTTTAACGGGATATCTAACATGAAGTCTCTTCAGTTGTCGAGAATACCAAACATAAAAGCGTTGTTTCTACAAGGTGAATTGACTTGTTCATAGAAAACCAATAAATTCAACCTGAATTTGGACTTTTATTTAAGGTAATGAAATTTCCAAAGTTGAAGGTCTTCAAAGCTTAACGGAGCTGAGAGAACTGGTGCTAGATCAAAATAGAATCAAGGTTACTATAATTTTATAGAAATTTCTTCTCCTCATACATTGTCCGTTTCTTACCGAACAATCATCTTCTTTAGCTTTAGCTTCATGAGAAAACATGTTTTTTTTAAATCTTTTGTTCAGACTCTCTCCGAAACGTCGCTTATTGGTCAACGGAAATTGATCGAACTTCACTTAGAGGAGAATAGATTGCGAAATTTATCAAATTTTGAAGCGCTGTTGAATTTGCAAAGATTATATCTAGGCATGAATAAGATTCAGGTTCGAGTAGTATTTAAGGACTAAAAGTGCTAATGAAATAGTAAAGCTTGTATCAAAACTTTCTTTTATATCTCCCTAGGATATGTGTGAACTTCAGAAATTAGAGAAAATGAACAGCTTGTTTGAAATTTCCCTTATCAATAATCCGGTATGTTTTCTTTTATAGTGGACAGCACAGTAACGACGAGCAACATTCGTTGAACACGATACGAAAGGATAACTTTGCGTTGACAATGTTCCCCATTAAAATGCGTAGAGTATTTATGTTATTGAGAATTTTTTTTTGGGGGGGGGGGAATTATACAAACCGTTAATTGCAGCATGAGGAGATTGCGTTAACTCTGTCAAGACTGTGACCTCGGGGATTCGGTTAATGTAAAGCAATATTATGAATTTTGGTTCATCGCAGATCACAAGACGTATGCTACATCGTCCTGTTTTGGTTTATCGTCAGCCAAATATCGTATGTATTGATGGTATACCAGTAAAAAATGACGAGAGAGCCAAGGCCGAAGTTTACCTTATGGAAAATCAGGTAGTATAGAACTTAAGATATAACAGCCATTCGGTAAGTGAACTTTGAAAGATGTTTTGTCATTGTTGTTTTTGTAGTTGTCATCGTTAGTAAAATCTGAATCAGTTACCGAAACTAATTTGCCTGGTTTACAAACGAAGCATCAAGCTCAACTAAAGGTAACCCAATGTTTTTTGCGTCACACTTTCAAGTGCCGTAAATTACCGTTGCTCAAAATTTCAGGTCAATACAGTGCAATTGAGTGTGGCTGTTGAGAATTGTTGGAATCTTGGTCAACGACGGTTTGCTCAAGTAGAACATGTCCAAAATTTGACTCCAAATGTACGATACCATGACAGGAACAATGTTAAAGGTACCTTTTTTAAACGGTAAATTTGTATTTGTCCTTTTCACTTTACTAAGTTTGGTTTAAATCATATTCAGGGAAACCTCGCACATTTAACTCTTGTTCTCCTCAGCACATTCCATCTTCATATGACATGCGCACTCACAACAGTGGTCACCATGCTTCAATGTCATCATCAACAAACCTGGATAGAGCAACAGGTCACAATACAGGCTCTGCACACGATACAGGTTCATATGTCATGCAAGGTAACCCAAGACCAAACTTTTCTCCGACATCCAAGCCAAAGTAACATGCAAAGCGTTACTGCGAAGGAGGATGGGAAAGTTAGAGGTGGGTTAACTTTGCATTTAAGAAATGAAAACGCTAGAACAGTGAACATTTTCGTTTAAATCAAGCTAATGTTCATTCTTGTCACATCGAAAGCTTGCTTCCTGATGTGGAAGATTTGTCAAGAGAACATGTTCAATGTGTTGTCGACCGAACAAAGGACGCAGTAAAGAAAGTAAATTCAATATTAGCAAATAAACTACCTGAAGAAAACATGGAGAGAGTTGAAGAAAGACGTACAAGAATGAAAAAAGAATGGAAAATGTTTGAAGAAAAGACAAAAACTGCCCTTGATAAGATTGAACGTCAACATAACGAAAGAATGAAACAAATAGAAGCGAACATTAAGCGCTTGGAAAACGAGATTAATTCCAAATGAAATATCATGATAGAACGTGTTTATATACAGTGATACAGATCAAGTTATTTAACTATCGTTGATTTTAGTTAATTCGTACAATATTGGTGTGAGTACTTACATTTGAATCATTGGAAACCTTTATATGAACTGTCGTGGAAATCACTTGATTTTAGGAGGACAATTTCGGTTAGGAACAGAAGACATAAAGGTAGACATAAATGTAGACATAAAGGTAGACATAAAGGTAGACATAAAGGTAGTCATAATGGTAGACATAAAGGTAGACATAAAGGTAGACATAAAGGTAGACATAAAGGTAGACATAAAGACACAAAGGTAGACATAAAGGTAGGCATAAAGGTAGCATAAAAGGTAGACATAAAGGTAGACATAAAGGTAGACACAAAGGTACACAAAGGTAGACATAAAGGTAGACATAAAGGTAGACATAAAGGTAGACATAAAGGTAGACATAAATGTAGACATAAAGGTAGACATAAAGGTAGACATAAAGGCATAAAGGTAGGCATAAAGGTGGACATAAAGGTAGACATAAAGGTAGACATAAAGGTAGTCATAAGGGTAGACATAAAGGTAAACATAAAGGTAGACTTGAAGGTAAACATTGATTTTCACATTTTTTCACACAAAAAATATAATTCATGCATTTTCACAAATTGTCACTTTTTTTTCACATAAAGACTAAACTTCATGCATTTTCAGAATGGTACGCATAAACATAGACGTAGACATAAAGAAGACAGAAAGATTGATATAAACGATTCTACATTTTCATACAAAGACTAGAATTCACGCATTTTTACACATTTTTAAACATTTTCACACAAAAAACATAATTTATGCATTTTAACAAATTTTCACACTTTTTCACGCTAAGACAATAATTCATTAATTTTCACAAATTTTACAAAAAGACTATAATTCACGCATTTTCATACATTTTCTCACTTTTTCACTGAAGAAAGAAAAGAAAAAATTCTTTTGTTTTCTCCAAACCTCTGGAGAAAAGGCATTGCTTCGTTTTACTAACCAATGTCGTTAGTTAAGTTAAAACCAGGCTTAATTCCTTTTGTCTTTCTCTGCATATATTTTCATGCAATCAATGAATTTAATCCCTTTTTATCATGGTTTGAACAAAATTGACGTCAAAACAAATGAACTAATAAATTAATTCATGTGATATATGAAAGTTATCAGAATAAAAACTACTGTCTTTCACTTCGATAAACCTATTTGACAGAACTATTCGTCTGCTGAAGGTTGTCCGTGACAGTCAAAGACAGCCTTTAAGAAATACAAGTACCTGCTGCAAAATTCACCTTGAAACCAGATGGTACAAATATTTGAGCAGTTTAGAATAGCAAAAGACTAAGAGAACAACGAAGGCTGTAATGCGAGTAATACCACAAGAACTCTTATCAATGGAAAAGACGAGCAACTGAAGACATGACACATGACACGGCCAACAAAGTTCAAAGATCTTTTACCTATGTTTGAAAGCACCGGATTAAATAAAGAAACATCGTTGAACCTATAAAGATAGTCTACGATCGATGAATTAACATGTATAACCCAATTGTGATTGGCATTCGCGATACAGCATACTCAAAGCATCGTTAAGAATCCTATTTGTTCAAATGAATGATAAATTTTGTTGGTTTCTTGGTATTTCTATGTTTCGATCTTCGACCACAAAGTTGTCGTCAAGATACAGGTATATATTGAAGTGAAAACACGGAACTGCCAAAATTTTCCCACTATTCTTGACATCAATGATTGGACCTTCATCAATACATGTTCGGAAACTATTTTAATTTTGCATTTATCGTTATCATTCACATAAGGTGATGATTTTGCATTTTGCCTATTTCTAAGAACTGGCCAATGTTAGAAATAGCAATTTCGATCTTTTAGCCTTTGTGACCGAAGAATATAATATTGTAGATAACTTGTATGTCTCCTTAAAGCGCGATCTCCATAATTGCTTGCTATGGTATTAATTCAACAGTTGTTGTTGCAGTTTAGTAGACATGTCGGGCTCACTGACAGTGAAAAAAAGAACCCTAACAGTGGTATGTGCTTATAATTTTTTGTTTCCATCAAACAAATAACTTCTTCTGTAATTTTTTTCATACAAGGAACGATGTGATGTTTTTTTTATGTCATAATCTTAACTTGTTTTATAGATGTTTCGTTTATATGAGGAGGATGCTGATGAGAAGACGAGGAAGATGCAGATGAAGAGACGAGGAGTTCAAATGTATTACCTCAAATATTTATTATAGAATATACAAGATATTGCAACATGGAGGCAGAATGTTGCAAAATCTTCAAACTCGATGGTCTTTTATAAACCTTCCTACCTTACCGTAATGATGGAGGGACGAGTAGGAAGCTGATGGAGGCACGAGGAGAATTCTGATGGAGAGACGAGGGGATGCTGATGGAGGCACGAGTAGGATGTTGATGGAGGCACGAGGAGGATGTTGATGGAGGCACGAGGAGGATAGTGATGGAGAGACGAGAAGGATGCTGATGGAGACATGACGAGGATGCTGATGGAGGCACGAGGATGATGCTGATGGAGGCACAAGGAGGATGCTGATGGAGAGACGTGGAGGATGCTGATTGATGCACGAGTAGGATGTTGATGGACATGAGGGGGATGCTGATGGAGAGACGAGTAGGATGCTGATTGAGGCACGAGGACGATGCTGATGGGGGGACGAGGAGGACTTTGATGAGAGACGAGGTCTTTGATGGAGAGACGAAGAGGATCTGATGGAGAATTAGGAGGAATGGATGGAGGCAATGATGAGATTGTTGATGGAGGGATCAGTAGGGATCTGGATGGAGGTAATGAGGAGGGATGCTGGATTTAGGAATGGATGGATGGAGATAATGAGGGAGAATGGATGGAGGTAATGGAGAAAGGATGAGGTGGATAAAGGGGAATGCGGATGGAGGTAATGGAATGCTGGATGGAGGGGGATGGATGGAGGTAATGGATGTTGGATGGAGGTAATGAGGGAGGATGGATGGATGGATGGAATGAGGAATGGATGAGAGGATAAAGGATAGAGTGCACAAGGATGATGGAGGATCTGGATGGAGGTGAACAAGCAGGATGCTGATGGAGATACAGGGGATGCTACGGAGAGACGAGTAGGATTTTGATTGAAGCAATGAGGAAGATTTTGATGGGGGGAACGAGGAGGATGCTGATGGAGGCAATGAGGAGGATGCTGATTTAGGCACAAGGAGGATGCTGATGGAGAAATGGAGGATGTTGGATGGAGGGATAAATGGATGGAAGTAATGAGGGATGATGATGGAGGCATGAGGGAGGAGCTGATGGAGGGGTAATGAGGATCTGATGTGGATGGAGTAATGGGATTCATTGAATTTCAGGCATGGATTTAAAAGGCAGATGTTTGGAATGTAAAAGAAATATAGATATGGAAGTAATCGAATATGGAAAGAAATGGAATTTTGAATTGCAAAGACTATAGTTCACGAATTTTCACCAAAAGACTAAAGTTCACAAATTTTCATGTAAAAGACTATAGTTCACGAATTTTTACCAAAAGACTATAGTTCATGAATTTTCATGCAAAAGTCTTTTGCTTTTCACACACTTTTACGCAAAAGATTATGGTCTTTGCATTTTTACACACTTTTTACACAAAAGACTATAGTCTTTGCATTTTTACACACTTTTACGCAAAAGACTATAGTCTTTTGCATTTTTACACACTTTTATGCAAAAGACTATAGTCTTTGCATTTTTACACTTTTTTATGATAAAGACTATAGTCTTTGCATTTTTACACACTTTCACGCAAAAGATTATAGTCTTTGCATTTTTACACACTTAAACTCAAAAGACTATAGTCTTTGCATTTTTACACACTTTTACGCAAAAGATTATAGTCTTTGCATTTTTACACTTTTTTACGCAAAAGACTATAGTCTTTGCATTTTTACACACTTTTACGTTAAAGACTATAGTCTTTGCATTTTAAATGATCTCTTTTACGCAAAGACTATAGTCTTTGCATTTTTACACACTTTACTTCTGGAAAAGACTATAGTTTTTGCATTTTTACACTTTTATGCAAAAGACTAGTCTTTTTGCATTTTATTATCTCTTTAACGCAAAAGACTATAGTCTTTGCATTTTATTACCCTTTACGCAAAAGACTATAGTCTTTGCATTTTTATTACTTTTACGCAAAAGACTATAGTCTTTATTTTTATTATTCTTTTTATGCAAAGACTTTCATAGTTTTGCATTTTACATCCCTTTACGAAAGACTATAGTCTTTGCATTTTTTAAACTTTAACTGCAAGACTATAGTCTTTGCATTTTTACATCCTTTTTACGCAAAAGACTAGTTCTGCATTTTTTCATTATTCATCACGCAAAGACTATAGTCTTTGTGATTTTTAAACTTTTACAAACGATATAGTCTTTGCATTTTTACACTCTTTTATGCAAAAGACTATAGTCTTTTGCATTTTATTATCTTTACGCAAAGACTTAATTGCATTTTTACACTTTTTTTACACAGAATATTATAGTCTTTGCATTTTTACACACTTAAACTCAAAAGACTATAGTCTTTGCATTTTTACACATTTTTACGCAAAAGACTATAGTCTTTGTGATTACATCTCTTTACGCAAAAGACTATAGTCTTTGCATTTTATTATCTTTATGCAAAAAGACTATAGTCTTTGCATTTTTTACAATCTTTACGCGAAAGACTATAGTCTTTGCATTTTTACACTTTTTTACACAAAAGACTATAGTCTTTGCATTTCTACACACTTTTACGCAAAAGACTATAGTCTTTGTATTTTTACACTTTTTTACACAGAATATTATAGTCTTTGCATTTTTACAAACTTTAACTCAAAAGACTATAGTCTTTGCATTTTTACACTTTTTTTACGCAAAAGACTAGTCTTTGCATTTTTTACACACCTTTACGCGAAAGACTATAGTCTTTGCATTTTTACACTTTTTTACACAAAAGACTATAGTCTTTCCATTTTTACACACTTTTACGCAAAAGACTATAGTCTTTGTATTTTTACACTTTTTTTACACAAAGATTATA